CACAACACTAGCTGCTCATCCAGTTCTAATGTTTACGCTAGCTACTCAGCTAGCTATTAGTTATTACGTCTATCATTGGTGTTTATTAAGTTAAGTTTTAAGGCGGCAGGTTAATTGACACTGTCAATTAGTTTATTTCAAATTTGTTGTGGAGTTGAAAGTTAGCGCAGCGATAGCTTATTAGCTAGCTGTTGTCTGTGACTGAGCACATGGTCTGTTCGCGCGAGCAGCAGCTAATGTGGCTAAAAAGTCGTCACCAAATAAAAAGAGAAAATCTTGGAATTGGCAGTAGAGACAACATTGTGCATTTGAATTTGACTTCTTTCTGATGCACCTGTTCAGGTATGCAAAAGTTGTTGTCCTATAAAAAATTTTTTTTGTTTTTTTGTTTTTTGTTTTTTTTTTGTTATTTTGTGACATAGTGTTTAGTACCTGTGGCTACAAGGTGGTGCAGTGGCTAGGGCTGTTGCCCCACAGCAAGAAGGCTCCTGATTCAGATCCCCAGCCAGGTAGGGGCCTGTCTGTGTGGACTGTGCATGCGAGGCTACTCTGGCTGACTCCCACAATCCAAAAACAAGCTTGTCAGGCTAATTGGTGGGTGTACCCTGTCTCTTATCAAATGGGCGAGGACAGACTTGATCCAGAGGGAGTGATGGATGGATGTGTAACACCTCCTCGGTTGTGTTTTCCTCAGACCACTTTGTGTGTATGTGTGTGATGCAGTGTGAAAACATCATTCTGAGATTCTGAGCTGAGACAAAACCGAATCTATTTGGTTGTTGGAATTTTCCAGTAAAAATGAGAGGTTTTGTGAATAAATGTTGTTTTTGCTTTGCGTCTGCTTTGGACTTAAACCTGAGTTTTTGTAGTTATATCAATGCTGCATTTGCTGCACTCTACACCTAATGAAGATAATCCGAGCTCTTGCAGACCATCTGCCCCCTGTTGGCCAGCATGTGACAAAGGTCTAAAGACTAACGCGTTCTGAAGCGTTTTGGATTAAATCAAATCAAAAATATTTCTGTAGATGATGCACACCCAGCAACCAAAAAAGTCTTAGATTTTTGGACTTTATTGATAAAAAAAAAAAAAACTTTTGGATTAGGTGCTCCAGGGAAATAATGAGGCATATCTTGCACTCCTTAAACCATAAATGCAAAACTTCCAGGGACATGAGGGTTGCACAAACGGTTTTCAGGGTTGTCCAGATGCCCCTCGTGTGCTCTGACCTCCTCTGGTCTCGACATGAAAGCGGAGAATCAAACGGATCATTACAGTCGTAGTGAACAGAGACGGTTTCTACTCCATGCTGATTCCTCAGAGTGATGCCACACACACACACACACACACACACACACACACACACACACACACACACACACACACTACAGAGCGCCGCAGGAACCTGACAGCTCCTGTGTTTGTACCCTTTGATTGATGAGCCTTATCCCAAATGTTTTTTCATGCCGATCAGTGGGAGTTAAAGTGTCTGCTTCATGTTAATACCAAACAAAACATTAGCTGGAGCGGTCCCACAGCTCAGCCCTCTCTGCTGCTCTCATCACTCATCTCTGTGTGCATCCACACCACTCCTGCACTTAGAGAGGGGAGAGGAGAGATGAAACCAGGGCGCATTTGAGGTTTGTAGTTTTACACACATGCTGATCTGCACATGCTTTAAGAGAACTAACATTTTATCAGCTTTGGCTCACTTTCTCTGATTTCGTGTTGGATTTCTGTGATCTGCTGGGAGATAGATATAAAGGTGAAGTCATCCATTGACAAGATGAAACCTAAAAGGTTTGTTCCTCATCTGTGCTGTGGTCGTCATCAAACTTCTGGTTCAAGTCAAGTCCCCCAAGAATCAAAACCCTGAACCCTTTTACCTCAGAAGAAGTCCTTTTACACACTAAACATGTGACACTGATGGAGAGGAGAACTCAAACTGTTTGGTTTAGTTTCAAGTATTTGTCCTGTTAAACTGAATATCAAGACATCGGCCTGCAAAGTAATCCCTTTGATAAGTGTTGTAAAGCTAACGTTGTAGACATTTTTGGCTCTTTCTGCTTCAATTGTTCAAACTCTAACCCCAATACTCACCTCAACTTCATTATTACAAATGCTATTACTGCTCTGATATCACGATAGACCTGTTCACTTTAATTTTCCATAAGTCAAACTAAGATCAGTCTGTTATTATTATCATGCTGTTTCTGTAAATAGCACATACTTGTTTCATTATCTCTGTAACCATAAATCTGTATGCACTATTGTTGTTGTTGCTGTTGTTTTTCATTGTCCATCTCTCTCTTTCTGCATCACCCTTCTCTGATCCCAGCATAATCTCAGCAGATGGCTGTCCAACATGAGTCTAGTTCTGCTCGAGGCTTCTGCCTGTCAAAGGAAGTTTCTCCTCTCCACCATAACTTGTAAATGCTGCCATATTTCACTCATGTGGTTGAAGATGGATCAGAGTGGGTCTGATCTTCTTAACTGTAGTTGGGATTCAATCTTCTCTCATCCTGATGTTGGTTCTTTGTTATTATCATGAAGAGTTTGATCAAGGCCTTCTCTTTTTGTGAAGCACCCTGAGATTCTGCATGTGTTGTAAATTAAATTCAAGTATAGACAAAGATAGATTGATTACTACAACCCCCCTGCAGTCTTCCTCAGAAGGGTCACATGATGTTGTTGTGACATTGTCTGTCAGCTGATTTATAGAGGATCAGAGTTGAATCATGCTAAGTCTCCATCACTTCATGCAGGTGTTTTTTAGGGTGTCAGTGTTCCAGTTTGATGCACTTATAGTCATACTGGAGACATATTTATGAAGACCACCAAACAACAGATCCTAAAGTGCAGCCAGCAGTATTTTTGAGGTATGAACACATACAAATCCAAAAAGTGCCACTGAAAAGTGAATACTCGGAGGAGATCATTGCTGTCATTGTCGTCTCAGAAGTTATTTGAAGTTTAATTTTATGAAAAAACCTGCAAAAATTGGCTCTTTTCACCCCCCACAGCTCAGACGAACACTGAAATCTTATGGTTTGTTATCGTATTCACTTAGATATCTGACAGTTAACTGATATACAGTGGGTTTTTTCCTCATAGAGAAAGATGAAGATTCGGTGTAAAAACTCTTCACAGCTAAACTTTATTTTCGTCCCCCGTCTCCCTCTGACAGAAGCCATCAGAGACACAGGACGAGCCTCTGAGAGCTGACATTAACTCCCCACCGCTCTGTAGAGAGCTGCAGATGAAACTCGCCTGAGGAGAGAAGCAGAGGGCTGCTAATGTCTCCATGAGGCCCCTCACTGTGTTCATTTCAAAGCAACCCGAGCTCATCCTCTCCCTACTGGGCTCATAATGCAATTACACTCTCACATCTGCAGGGGGCTCCCTCTGCCTCCACCTTTCTGGATCTGTGTGTGTGGGTGTGTGTGTGTGCATGTGTGTGTGTGGAGGCAGAGGTAGAAGCTGAGACTGCGAGGTCTCCTGCTCCAGATTTGCGGTTAATCAATCATGGAGCCGCCGTAATGACACCCTGCTGCTTCCCTAATGTCTTCTGGCAGAGGAGCCGCCGCTGGCACTCAGCTCATGCAGGCACACATATGGTCGCCTTGGTGAGTGACAGGACCCCTTTCATGTGAGCTGCCCTGCACGCTGGATGCCATCAGCCTCTTACAGCCGCCGCTGGCTATAAATGAAATGATGGTGGAGGGAAGAAATATGAAGAAAAGAAGAGCGAGGAGCTGTGAGGAGAGTTTGTGCTTCAGTCACCTGGTTTACCCTGAAAGTAAACTGTGGAGAACAAAAAGACACAATGAGGAAGAAACTTTTGCAACCAGTCCAGTCTGCACATCCACTTATTGTAGTTAGAGTCCATCCATCAATTACTTTTGAGTCAAAAAAATGTTTAATGTTCAACCGACACTTTGAGAAGTGACTTTGAATTTAGATAAGTCAAACTATTGATGGTCCCTTGCACCCGTTTTAAAACATGAGGTGACTGCTCTTTCCAGGCCAGTGCCCTTTGCCTTTGGAATGCACTACCATTGGCCTTATGCAGCATAGAGTCTACTGAAAGTTTTAAGAAAGACCTTAAAACCTATCTCTTTCAACAGGCTTTTAACTGATGTCGATGTTATGGGGCCTATGTGAAGTGCCTGTATCTGTGCCATTGTTTGTATCGTGTTTCTCTGTTTTTTATTGCATTTTACCCTTGTTGTAAAGCGCTTTGTGATTTTATCTATGAAAAGTGCTATATAAATTAAATTTACTTACTTACTATAGCTTAACCAAAACTCATCCCTCCATGTCTGCAGAGTAAACAGCATCATGTCTTGGTTCATGACCTCTCCAAAGTCTTCATCTGTTTGTGCTGAGTCTCAGTTTCACTGTAAACACTCAGTTACACAGAGGTTTCACACAGAGATCTGAACCAGACCCCTCAGTAGCTACTTAATGGATTAAATTGATTCTCACAACATTATTATTTTATTATTGAAATCTTTAAAACGTTATCCAATGTGACCCTAATACTCCAATGCTGGGTGGTTATGGGTTTGTGTTTTGGATATATTGCAAATATCTGTGCATATCAGAGTGTAAGTACAATGACAGACAATTGTGTCTATCAGCACATTAGATTTTTTCTGTCCTCTTTTGTTTTTGTCATTTTCATCTGAAGGACAAAGTGTTTGTCATTACTTTAACATGGTCTAGAGATGAACAGTCAAAGTATTTTTCATGATCCATGTTGACTTATTGTTTAAAGGTCTGTTTCCAGTGAGATATAATCTTCCTATTTTAATAAATGATTGATCAAATCTGCTGAAAACTTCCCTGGATGGAGCTCAAGATCTCTCGTTTGTTTCAAATATGAAGCAGGTAAAGTTTTTTATCTGTGTGAAGGACAGGTACTCTTCATGAGGCCCATTCCTCTGAAGACATCCTGACATGTAGACAACAGGAATGCCGAGCATGTTCCATCTCGGTCAGATTAAATCTCCTCCACGAAGCAGAACTTCACCAAATATAGCAGCCATGTTTTTCTGATGCTCAGGATGAAGACCCCTCTGAGTCTGAGTGACATTTATCTCAACCCGACCTGACGTTGACTCCAAACTGACCCTGAAGCCCAGTGTCGTCACATCAGTCATAGAAAACTCCATAATAAGGCGTGTGGAGCGGGTTTGCAGAGCGCTCTCTAAATGCGGTCTGAACTGGGCGCTGCTCAGCGCACCATGCATCCTCCCAGAAAACCAGCAGAGCCGTGAGGAGGGTTTGGAGTCCATTTGCATGCAGGTGTCTGCAGTCGAAGGCCCATCTGTCCGTTGGAGCGCTCTCTGATTCATGTTAGTTGTTGTTGTCATCATTGTCAGCCTCCACACACACACAAAACAAACACACACACACTTCCCTGTTCAGTGGAAGTGACAGCAGAGGAGATCTGGAGCTAAGAGAGCAATCCATCATCTGAGAAAAGCTCCAGTTTGACAACACACACACACACACACACACACACACACACACACACACACACACACACACACACACACACACACACACACACACACACACACACACACGCAATTACACAATTAGGAAGGAAAAATTATGAGCCTGAGAGGATTCCTTATAAATATACACACATTATTAATCTATAAATATTCATAGTCATCCTCCAGCCTGTTATTTGGCCGCATGCGCGATGCACAGAAGATTGGCTCTTTGTTTCCTTCTTTCAAATCAGGCCGCTTAAGTCCTCTGTATATTTTTCAAAAATTAAGTATTTATGGTCAGATCTTTCCCCTTTTAAAGTAATTACTTTGTATTTTTGATCTGGCAGGTTAAAGCTCTCATGGGTGACTTAAGTAGGGTGTGGTTGATTTTGGCGCCCCCCTGTGGACAAAACAGGACAACTTGCCTCTTCACTCACCTGTTTTTTCACACAAAAAACTAATCTATAATTATCTACAATGTCAAAAATGCAGCTCTGAATGAGTCCTCAAGGGACATTTTTGTATGTTTAAAGGGATATTCCAGCGTAAAATTAAGTTAGGATCAAACACACCGTAACACCGAGTTAGACACCTCCTTGAGAGATGATTGTTGCCGACTGCTTTCTTTTCTAGTTATACCAGCTTTAGTAACAACCGCACAATACCAATACACAGCGGTCTAAGGAGCCATAAACAAACCTAAACCAAAAACCCGCTCTATAGCCACAAACAATGCTCAGAACAGCATCTAACTTCATCAACAGTACATATAGGGGCCCAGCCACAGCACAAGCCACCAAACATCTTTTTAAATTTGCCTAATTTCTTTAAGAAAGAGACCAAACACAACTCACCTACTCTCTTCCAGCAGCCGCTTGTTCGTAGCAAGACCTCAGGCCAGTCCATTACGGACTACAGCGAGGTGACGCAGCGCAAGGAAAAAACATGTATGATTATAACTTCAAGGAAATGATCTTCAATGTTCTTCCTTAAGCTGCGTCAACCCACAGCAGGAATATCCCTTGAGTGTTTGTGGACACAACACACATAGAAGTGCTCATCCACCTACAGCACACTAATCAGCTGTTTAATCAGTGGGCTTCAAAAAGACAAAAATACAACCAGACGAAATTCAGAGTGATTCTTATAATGCTGATAACATGCTGCTCACTGAGGACACACAAGGACAGAGGACAGACCAGAGTCTACAAAGGAATTGAGTGACTCTGTGCGGAGAAAGTGTGAAGAAACTTCAGAGCTAGCTGTGGATAAGGAGAGATCCCAGGTTACCTGGTGGTTCAGGTGTGTAAACTGTGAGCTAACACCCACAAACTACTGTCAGGGTGAATCTTGATGACAACAGCACCCCCGGATCTTCGGGAATCCAAAGCAGCAGTTCACATGAGGCTGCAGTCTGCAACCATCACTAACCAGAGTCCACTGCTGTACTGAACACTAATTTGCTCAACACTGTTTGTTACTCACTTTCTTCAACATTCAGGAGTTGAATCAGAAAACTAAAAAAAAAAGGAATGGATAAGCGTCTTCAGAGTCAGAGTTCAGCTCTCAGTGATTTTTTCCAGCATAATGACAAAACCCACAGGCCACAGGATGTGTTTACCGTTAAAATACACTGTTTGCTGCTGAAGGGGAAGGTTAAGCTGAAATTACAATCATCACTGTGTCTGCAGGCTGATCTAAGGCATTTAATGCTCAATAAGATGCAAAACCAAATTTCAAAAATATTTTTTGAGGTATCTTAAAAAAATTATAGAAGAGTCTCATCTGGTTTTCAGTGTTTTACATGCAATCAAAAATGGAGGTTCACCATGATTAACTATAAATGTAAATATTTTGTTTGTTTTTTTTAATTCAGAAAGGAATAAAGCAACAGAGAACAGGAGTCAGACAGAGAGCCTGACCTGAAGAGAATCAGGGAAAGATATTGGTAATATGATGCTGCCACCTGCTGGTGAGTCTTTCACCTGACTGAAATATCCTCAACTGTGATACAGTCCTGCTGAAATGTCATAAATATGTTGTTTTCACTTAGGCACAAATCCTTTTTGTTCTTCACTCCTATGAAAGCAAAGACAAAATATTAGTAAAAAATAGCCACTTTATTTTGAGTCACCCCATGACATCAAAAATATCAGTGGCAGCCTTGTAAATAACAGTTTTGCATTGTAAATAAAAACCTCAAAATACTGCACAGCCTGCAAAAAAAGTCATTTGATGCAAAACAATGACAATAACAGTACAAGTACAAAAAAACAAACTACAAATACCAGATTCATCATGTGTTCCTCATTCACAGTTGCCATGCTACAACATCCAGGCCTGTGCATGGGTTTGAAGTTTGTCATCTGATTTTTTTAATCAAGTTTCATAAAGTCTCTTTATGCTTATAAAGTCTCTTCAGGTTAAAAAAAAAAAATAAAGCAGAGAAAACATACTGAAGTTGGTCTCTGCAAAACTTCAACATAACAGTCCTGATCCGGTTCAGCCTGAGCGATCTGCACCTTCTCCAGTGACCCAGTTCTCCTGCAAACCTAAAGAATCATCCTGGAGTGAATGTCTGCCAAACAAAAGGGATGTGGAGCATTTCTTTATAGAAGAGGTCATATCATACAGCTTAACTCATCCATAAACCTTCTCATCCAATCAAAACACTCTGTCAAACTCAGTCTGACTTGTAGTTGCTGGATTTCTGTTCTGGTTTGGCTGCTGCTGTGGCATGTGACCTCTTCGTCTGGGCGGGGCCAGGTACTCAAACATGGAGGTGTTGTGGGTAGAGAGCATATTTTTAAGGTCTGATGGCATCGGGTCTGACCAGAAAAAGTCATGGTTAAGCGCATCGTCGCTGTCTATGCGCTGCGCCGGGTCCAGAACCAGGAGTTTGTCGATGAGGTCCAGAGCGTACGGGTCTTTGACGTACGCTTTAAGACGGTCCTTCACTTTCCTCTTCTGCCCTTTAGGGAGCTCCATCTTCTGGTAGAGCTCATACTTTTTATCCACACTTGGCCACACCTGAGAAGAGGTAGAGAGCGGAGCAGCATTAAGTCGACAGGAAAGAGGAGAACGATGCAAAGGTAGAAAACTCTGCTGAAAAATGGCGTTACCTCTGAAGTGATGGAGCCACAAAGCTGGCTGATGAGGGTCAGCTGGTGCTGCTCTGTGTTTCCTTGCATGATGGGACTTCTGGTCCACATCTCTGCCATGATGCAGCCCCCACCCCACAGGTCGATGGGAGGGCCGTAGTCTCGCTCACCTAGAAAAAGAGAACAGATTATCAAAAAATTGAAATAAACTTCAATCCAGGAATGTTTGGGTGTTTTTTTTTCATTGTTGGCTTTGGTTGTTCGAAGAAAAAAAAGTTCATGCAGAGAGAAAAATACACAGAAAACACAAGCAAGAATGCAAACTTGGAACTTATTCATCCAGCTATCAGTAGTTGAATTTATTTTCTTATTATCACAGAAAATCTGAATATAAAAGCACACAGCAATCAGGTCAAAGTTGATACACTACCCTTTCATTCTTTTGCATTTACACATAGCACATTGTATAATTAACAAAGCAACAACTGGTTTACGGACTAAATATTTTGTCTCATCACATTATGAAAATTTACACAAAACACGGTTTGACAGAAACTTCCTTAAAGAGTATTTACTGACTGCCACCCAACATACAAACTCAACAGAAAAATATTTGTAACTAACTTTGACGATTGTGCGTCTGCTTTCTTACATTTGGCTGAAATCTCTTCAAGTGTTTTGACACCTCTTGCTGATTCCTCTACAGTTGTCCCACTTCTTGTCTGTGCTGTTGTCTGGTCAGCCATTAACCACCACTCTAAAGCTTTGTGCTCTCCAAATGAATTAATTTAAAGAATATATTCCATGTTGTTTACCATCATAAAAATGTTTTGATTGATCAGAATCAAAGAGTAGATACAGCTAGCTGATAAAGAGGACTGGTCATAACATTGCCATAATGCACAACTCAATGAAACTCTGTAACCTCAGGTGCTGCTGCATAACCTACATGTTAGGATGAGTTTCTTTAGCCAGTCATGTCAGCCTTTAGAGTGGTGGAGCTGTGTCACTCAAATACCACAGATACTTTGGTGCTAGATTTCTGGAGCCATGGGCCTCCGACAACCATCCTCAACAAGGACCTTGTACCCATGTTTTACATCACACAGGTCCCCAAAATACGTTCTGTCATGGTATTTCCTTCAATGGACCCTCCATATGTTCCCTAAGGCTCCTTAAAATATGTTGTCCTTTGTTCTTACCGTACATGGATTTTTCTTAAGGTCAACTAAATGTCAGCAGTATGTTTAGAAATGTGAACAGCTATATAAACTTGAACGGTCTCAGACCAATCTTTGTTACACTTTGTTACGCTTTGTTACAGTTGTGGCATGATGAAGCTGTAACCCAGATCTGTAACCAGTAAAGCTTGTCAAAATGATCATTCGTGTGGATCTTCCATTTACACTACATAATCCAGGGAGTGTATGAGCATCTTTCTGCACTAAGTGTGATGACTTATGTTGGTGTCTTACCCAGCAGCAGCTCTGGAGGTCTGTACCACAGTGTGACCACTCTGTTGGTGTATCTGTTCCCCTGACTGTTTTTAGCCAGACTGAAGGCTCGAGCCAAACCAAAGTCAGCCAGCTTCAGGACGCCATCTCTGGTGATCAGCACGTTGGCTGCTTTCATGTCTCTGTGCAAGATCTGATCCAAGAACAGGTGATATCATGAGTCAAGTATTTATGGTGCCAATAAAATGCAGGAACACTCTTGCAGATCTTTGATGAGAACCATATTTAAGCTCAGAGTGAAGCTGACTTAGTCCTTTTGACTGAGGTCTCTGTTGTAGATCTGGAAGCCTCACCTTGTTCCTGTGGATGTAGTAAAGACCGTTGAGCAGCATCTGCATGACTTTCTTAATCTCTGCCAGAGTGAACTTCACGTTGGTGTTGCTCAGCAGTCCGGCCAGATCGTGTTCACAGAAGTCAAACACCAGGTAGATGCTGCCTTTGTACCTGTTAAACTGAGTGGCTGCAAGAACAAACACAGAGAGGAGACGTCATTACTTTCATTGAAACACAGAGTGTGTTCCCTGTTTCCCGGACAAGCAAGCAAACACATAAGAGCAGAATTTTGGAATTTTGGGGGGCAGATTTACAAACTAGAGAGTGGGACACCAACCTTTGGTTCTGCAGATCTCGATCAAATTGACAACATTTTCATGTTTGAGCAGCTGCAGGATCTTAATCTCCCTGAGAGCTGTGATCGGAAACTGAAACAAAGCAAAAAAGTTTATGAGAGTTTGTATCTGTTTAATAACACATTTATTAAGCTCTTCAGAATTTTTGTATATTTTAGGATTTTATGAAATTTCTTTATGATTACAAAGAAAATGTGTCAAGAAATAGCTGTTTGATGCTTTCAGTTTTGTGACTGTGGTATAGAAATAGGGATCAGAAATTGGTTTTGCAAGTATTTTCACAGAATGAAAATGTGGGTATTGTTACATCTCTAGCTGAAAACTCGTTTTTTTCAGTTCACTCACCCCCTCTTTCTCATTTTCCATCAACACTTTCTTCAGAGCCACCTTCTTACCAGTCTGTCTGTGCTTTGCTTTGAACACCTCCCTGTGGAGAACAATCACAATACATTTAACGTACATTCACTGAAAGGACTGAGACTCTGAAGATCAGTGGATTTTGAACATCTACAAAGCAAACCAACAAGATTTTTTTCACTGTTTTGAACTAGACTTCCATGAGTTTAGTAACTCTCCCTTTATAGGCATCAGGTGGTTTTAGACGTTCCTCTATCCTTTTTAAAATCTAGAGGAGATAGAGCATTTTCTGTCATGGCTCCCACTTTGTGGGACGCTTAACCTCTGACAGTGCACACTGCTAACAGCCTTTCCACTATTAAACACTTCTAAAGACGCACCTGGGCACTTGAGCTTTTGGGGAAGTATAGCTACTTTTATTGGGTACTTTATTTATTTGCTATGTTTAACTATATTGTTTTTTTAAGCTTTTATTGTTTTTATAGTTTTCACTGTCTCTGGCTATTTTACTGTAAAGCACTTTGGTAGGCCACTGGCTGTTTTTAAATGTGCTATATAAATAAAGCTGACATTGACATTGACTTTAAGAGATACTCTATTAGAAAGGTGTGATTTTGTTAATGAATGAACATAAAAATCCCATGATGTGGCTGCCTGCATCTGCTCACAGCTTGTAATTGGAGAGTTCAAGAGAGGGTTAATATCAATCCAAAACAAAACACATTGACTCCTAAATGTAGCCTGGGACACTTTAAACTAAGAGTCTACAATCTTCTTAAAATTGAGTGTCAGATGTGTGTAACCTTTATTCTATTTTAGTGAATGCAATAAAGAGCAAGTTCACCGTTTTCTGTCTAATTGTAGAAACCTGTAGGTACTGTGTTCCAGGATCAGTATTTGATTCAAGGGGAAAAGAAACCTTCAAGTAATTCATTTTTATGAATAAGGTAAAGGTTCTGCAAATGTTAAACTGTGTTTCAGGAAACCTGGATTATCAAGTCCAGCTCTGAGAAGTCTGGGTGTAGTGGTTTTGGATCGAGACCTGGTTCAGTGTAGTCGAGGAAAGCAGAAGGTGTGCAGAAATGCTCATTTCATTGTCAGTCAGATAAAGCCGTAGTGACCTGAAATAATATATTATATATACACATTCACTCACCCAAAGGTCCCTTGTCCGATTTTCGCCATCTTCTCGTATTTTGAGAACTCGTCGCAGTAAGGAAACTCCACACCATCGTAGTATTTCGACATGATGGCGGCCTCCCGGTCAGGCCTGAGAGGACAGTTTGTCAAATATTAGAACATTCAGCTTAATCACAAACCAGCTTTGATTACACATGTTTCATTTAGATTGTTCAAAATACTGTGGTATTATAACAGCGTTGATAAAGAGCTGTTTTCTTACTTTTCAGCCCCCCCGGCATTGCTTGTTTTGTCTCGCTGCATCCTTACTCCTGGATCTGCAACCGACGACAGCGTGCTGCATTAATTGTAACTCGGAATTTTTCCTTCCAGTGCGCCGACTTGTCTAGTCTCCCAACAGCAAAAACAGAGTTAAGTCAATCTCAGAACGATTCACTTGTCGAAATAAATCTGTATATATTTTTATTTTATTTATGTTTATATATGCAGTGTTCAATCTTGATTTACCGACTTTACGGAGTTCCAAATAGGTATTCGAGTGCCGCATTTATTAAAATTTCGATTCTAATACTAGTATATGAATGCATCAGTGTCTGATAATTTGGGTGGACTTTCGTGAAAGCGACATCTGGCGACCGGGAGGAGTAACAGCAGTGTAGGTGCAGCATTACTGTAGAGAGAAAGATTGCTTTATTAAACACCAGTTATTTCCTATTTTATATATGTTGTTAATTATTATTACACAGTTATAATATGTAATTTCAATTTAGGTTATTTTGATGGATGGAAAGTGAAATCTTGTAATGTTGTACTGTTTAACAAATATTATGACTGTAATATACACTATATATGATATAATATAATTTAACACAATACAAAACGAAATAATATAATAAAATATAATATAATATAATATAATATAATATAATATAATATAATATAATATAATATAATATACACTATGATAGTTATTGTCTTCAGGCACTATTATAGTAGCTCTAGGAGTCAACTGCACAAACATTTCATCACTACAAAACATATACCTGAATGTAAATGTGCATTACGCTTGGAATTTTTTATAAACTCGTTGAAACATTTCATAAAAAAAAAAAGATTCACAAAAACTAAAATGTTTCATGCACGTAACAAAGAGTTTTTAATTTTTTTTTTTTAAATAAAAACATTTCATCAATAGGTCTTATTTTGGTGTAAAGCGTTTTGTTTTGTTGGATGAACCGTTATTGCATTTTCTAGAAATGTTATAGTGCTAATAAAACATCTGTATATTTTGATTATTTTTAATGAGCTTGGATACTTTTCATTTTCCTTGTTGTTTATTGTGAATTAATATATATATTTATTTATTTGTTTATATCTTTTTTGTATGTTCTCTCTAACAAGAGGGGGCGTGTGACTACGTCATTACGCATTTGAAAGCCATCGTCCATATTTGGTAACCGCTTCCCGTGACAGCTCGACGCCTCATCATGGTGTGCATGTCGCGCGTGTGGCAGCGGGGCTCCGGGTTTGCCGCGCGGTTTAGGAAGCAAGACTGGGCGAGCAGGTTGGCGGGTCTCTCTGTTAGATACTACAGCACAAAAACAGCGCCTCAGATCCCAGGGATGGAGTACCAGGTAAGACCAAAAAGTGCTTCATCTGCCTTACGTTTGAATCAGTTGCTAGCCAAGCTAACTAGCCACCAGCGTCAGTTTGGTAAGTTTGTAATAACTCAGACAGATTCTGCAGATCAGAGATGATAGAAACATGGCTGACAAAAACACATGAGACCACTATAACTTTTTAGATGGTGATGTCAAGAGAGCTCGAAAACAGCTGTTGGTGTCTGAGTGTCTGCTGTCTGTCTGTGTGAAGTTAACTGTGACCATAGCTCTACTGTACTGTGTGTTCCTGCCACACTGACAGGCTCAAACTCACTCTACAGCCGGTCTAACACACGTGGTCTGAGCGCTCTTTGAAACTGGTTTGAGTTGGGATAATGTTGCATCTTATGTAAACTGAGTTCTTCGCCTTCAGATTTCCCATGTTTTTTTTGTAATTTTGGTTCACTTTTCATAAACTACTTTATTCGAAGTGTCTTGAACATACAGGAGACACTTTTATATCTATATTTACATGATTTTTATGTTTTGTTGAAGTTATTGGATATCAGTTGGAGGATTATGTGCTGGTAATAGACTTGTATCCAAGTACATATTGTACCTGTTTGTTAACCACAAAGTATGACACTGGCTTTTCAACTTATGACAAGATACTATGTGATACACTGTTTTGCTTCTCATACAATTCATCAAGACAATCATATGAAGTTATATGATAAGTTACTTAATACCTAGTCAAGCATTCCTGATGGTTCATGACATTCAAAGACAATTGTGTGACGACAGCTGGTGTCTGTTGATCTGTCTCTTCCTGAGGTTGGAGGACTAAGAGGACTAAGAAACTGTGTAGTTCCTCTCTTATTGCCCTTTTACCGTTTGCTGTGACTAATGTAACAGCTGCTGTTGTTTTTATTTTTACTACTGTGTTGCTTTCTTTGCGTCATTGTGTCTTTCTATAACACAGGTGTCAGACTCAAGGCCCGGGGGGCAAATCTGGCCCATGGAACAATTATATCTGGCCCACAAGATCATATCATATATTATTATTGGCCCACCAGTATGAAGTCTGCAGATTTCCTCCAGTATAATAATGTAAACTGTAGTACCATTGTTTAAAATGTCCTTTATAAACCATGAAAATCTGGGAAATTAAAGAGTAAGGATGATTTGATAAATAGTCAAGAATGTGGGGGATTTTATTTTATGTTTTCAATTTTCCATTTCAGGATTACAGGTCAAACATGATTGGATTTTTTATTTCATGCTTTGACTTGTTTCACTTATATACTTAAGATTCCAATTTAAAATTTTAAGTCATATTTTGACCTTTAAAACCTGATTTCAACGTTCTTCTCTTGTATTTGCTCTTTAAAAGCATTATTTTTCTATTTTTGATATCATGCTCTGATCTTTTCAACTAATAAATAAAAATAGAATAAGAAATTAAAATTATTTTTTCTATCTCAGTTTAAACTTATCTTTTTTTTTTTTTTTATCTTTTTTGAATTTCCAAATAATTTATAATCATTGCTATTTTTGTTACATATTTTTTGACAGTTTTGGTGAAATGTTTGGCCCTCAGGTTAGACCTAAATCCAGATTATGGCCCTTACTGTGGTAGAGTTTGACACCTCTGTTCTATAATGTCATTTTTTCGCTTATGTCTCTTATTGTCGCACAAGCATAAACGACAACACTGAACACCATTCTCGGGCCTAACAGAGAGATTATGTTTGAGAGACTGAGTGAGTTTGCTGTGGTGAACACAGATAGAGATCACACTGAAAGTGTCAGTAGTACGTCATGTTATGTAACGCTGAATTTTCACCCAGTGTAAAAAAGTTGGGTGTCAGACTCTTGGATGGTCTATCAATGCAATAAACCAGATAATAAACATGTTTGTTTTTGTTGTAAAGTTAGATATTAAACACAGGTTTCTATTGACACTAAGCCGTGGCTTCATTTTAGTCCTATAGTAACCTCTCTTTAACTGATCGAGACGTCCTACTTAAACAAAAACAAGGCCCAAAAGATAAGAGTGGGTGATATTATTGAAAAGCTATGAATTTGTCAAGCATATATTGAAAATAGGATTGACTGTAACCTAAAATATAATGTAAAGTAAGTGGGTCAGGGTAAGCAGGATCTCACACAAAACGACCTTCTCATTGAAGACCAACCCAACAAACTGGTGGAAGTTAAAAAGACGCCATTACTGCAGCGGCCTGTGGAAGAAGCTGTGGAGTTCAGCTGCTCTATCAGTCCTGACAAACTTTCTATTCTTTACAAAAAAACTCAAGGCTTATCATGAAGCGTCACTTTACAGAGGTTAACCCAGTGCAGAGAGGACTGAAATACTCCAGAAAAGACTGAAAGTTTTGGCCACAGTGTCAACAGGTTTCCCATGTGTAGTATTAATCACCTTTGTAACAGGGTTTTGACCAATCAGAATCAAGTATTTAACATATCTGGGTAATAATTATATTTTGTTACTCAGTTAGAGGTGAAAAATCTAGACCGCACCAAACTTATGCAAAAATATAACTTGTTATTCTGCAGGATGCCGTTTGCACACTGAACACGCTGCAGACCAATGCCAGCGCTCTGGAGCAGGTACGACGAGAGCGGAGTCACCCTCAGCAGCAGCTTCACGCCATGAGAAGCTTTCTGGAACGAGCCGGTCTCAAAGTGAGTCTTAATCATCAGCTCACAAGAACAGAGGACATGTTTGTCACCTTGAGTCAGAGTATCAAGCTTCAAAAGAGTGTCACTGATGTCTGAGGTGATAGATTTTGTGCAGTCTTATCTAATGTTTGTATTTTTGTGTGTCAAAGGTGGAAGAACTGGATCATCTCAATATCATTCACGTGACAGGAACAAAGGGCAAGGTGAGCTAACCAGAGTGATACTGAGCCTGAGCTCTGGTTATGTAACCTCAGCGTTCGTTAACTCACTGATCTTTTTCTGACAGCTTTATGTGTGTTTGTGTTTTTCCTCAGGGCTCCACGTGTGCGTTCACCGAGCAGATTTTAAGAAGTTATGGCTTCCGCACTGGATTTTACAGGTAGGTGGATGAAGAAAGTCAAAACTGCTTGATGCTTCAGCATTGAAGATTTTTGAGATTAATTAGATTTAATAATATAACACACGAATAAATCTGTAATATTAAGTAAAAATAAAAAAAGTAATGCCGTCAAAAAGTTGGTCCAGCTTACGATCGTAAATAAAATGTTCCAGTTGCTTCAGATTTGCTTTCAAACACTTTTTACCTCTCAGTGTGAACATCTATCTCCATGACAAGCACTTAAGTGTTCATTTAAGCCCATTTTAAAACTATGAGTCACTGATGCAAACATGAGAAACCTGAGGCTATATTTGAAATTATTAGATTAACATGATTAGAATTACATACCTGGCTTTGATTATTATTTAACTAAAACCTTTTATTTTCAAAATGAAACAACTTCTCAGATAAATTTCCCTCTGAAATTCTTTGAAATATCTCACATTTTCATGACAGAGGAGACTACATGTACAAAAACACTGTACAACTACTACTACACTTAGCAGGTACAAACACGCAAAAGTCAAAAACACACAGATGTTAAGATACTTAGTACATGTACATCCATAGGGGGCACCTGAAAGTTCCTCACAGTTGCATTTAATTTAATATTTTACATGTAATATTGATGCTATTTGGTATAATATTTGACACGAGTGAAATCAGTCTTGTTTTTCTAAATCTTAATGTCTTTTTTTTTATCCACTGTGTCAGCACATAGATTCAGCAGCTCAGTATCCATGTACACAAAGTTCTTCAGTCTGAACTTCATTTCATGTTTATTGCTTTTCAACCAGTTTCAACACGTAGTTTTCATAATTCAGCCTGAATCCAGTCCTCTTCTTGGATCATGGTAATCCTGAAATTGTAGATTTAAGTTTCCTCAGTCTGGGAGTTTCAGATAGAAATCTAAAACTGGATTCTGGAGTTTTTTGCGTCTGATTTGGGACCGTCTTTTTTTCTTTTCTTCGTCTATCAACATCTATCATGTGATTGTTTTGATCCCATCAGATGAATTTTGGCCCTTGTACACATTTATATGTTTGCATGTATTTTTTCATGTACTGACAGTATATAAACTCATGTATTGGTCCGTCTGTCTGTGTTGCAGCTCTCCTCATCTGGTCCAAGTCAGAGAGAGGATTCGGATCAACGGTCAGCCCATTGGTAAAGAGCTCTTCACCAAATATTTCTGGCAGGTTTATGGACGTTTGGATGAAACTAAGGTGGGTCATATACCAAAAAACAAGACTGACAGGTTCCTGTTGTTGCTGTTTGCTACTTTCTTTCCCCATTCCACTCATGGAAAGAGTCGAGAGTATTAACCTCCTGTCTGTTGACATTTTCAGTCCTCTCTGATGTATTTAAATCGGTCGTACGTTGTGTGCGTTTATAATCCAGCCCAGTGAACCTTCAGGGTTGTCTCATCAGTATCACATGTTGTAATTTAGTAAAAAGGAAAATAAGGCTCCTCATGTGAGGATGAGCGTGAGCCTCATGTGACAGCACTGATTGAAAACCTCCAGCATGCAGTTTGTCTCCTAATGGAGGCATTAAAATAGACACAATGAGAATCTGTTGATTTAGACTTTGACTGTGGTTGTAAAACTGTTTGCTTGTTGGAGCAACACTGAAAGCTGTAAAAACAACATTGTAATTGAACTTGTAAAGTCATCCAGGTGTCATTTTTCAGACCCAAAGTGACAAACAAAAGTTTTATTTCAATCAGAGTGCCAAAGTCATTGTCCAAAAACATAATCTTTCTCTCTTTTTCTCCATCTTACATCCTCAGGATGCTCACGGAGGGACGATGCCAGCATATTTTCGTTTCCTCACCATCTTGGCCTTCCATGTGTTCCTGCAGGAGAAAGTCAGCTGACAGAGAAAATAAAATCTGCTTTAACTTTAAGTCCAACTCTGCATAAATCTAATGACCTCTGTTGTTTGTCCAGGTGGATTTAGCTGTGATTGAAGTCGGGATTGGAGGAGCTTACGACTGCACAAACATTATAAGGTGAGACTGAATTTGTCGTGATGAATCAGGACCAAGCATAAATTTTGTTTTCGTCAATAAATAATGGTTGAAAGGTATAATGATGACATTTTAAATAGATCATTTGACAGCCCTAGCACACATAAATACAGCACTCTGTTGTATTTTCAGCCAACATCTCATTTCAGAACTCCTCAGTCAGAACGAGGATCCTGTCTTTATATTCTCTGGTTGTGCAAATTGTACAAACTGTTTGTGACATGGGGTCAGGGAACGCTCCTCCCTCCAACATAACATGCCTTTGTTCACGTCTTTGGCCACAGTCCAAAGTCCCACTTTCCCAACAGGCCTGCAGGAAGTGGTGCATGTTATTTTGGCTGGAGTCCAGGGGCGCTGCATGCTCTGCATCCAAAAACGGCTCTTGGAATCTTAACCTTGAGTATTAGATCTACCCCACAGAAACTGGAGCACGTTCACTGGGTCTTAGTCCTCTGTGACATTTGATTTGAAAGAGTTAAAGCATCATTCAGTGAGTTTAGAACAACTGACATCCTTTCATGCTTACTGCACACTAACCGAGGCATAAAGAGACTTGCTCTGAACTCAAATGACCATGGCAAAACATGAACACAAACCCCCTATCAAGTTCAGGCCAGCCAAAGCAGGCTTATATAAGTGTAACATGGCAAAGATCCTTTATGAGTGATTCATTTGAGTGTTAAAAAAAAAGAAGGATGATTACACATAAACAGGTAAAAACCAGGAAGGAGATGAAGAGTACTGGTTTGTCCACAGGGGGCACCAAAACTGACATGAACCAAAAGTTCCTCACAGGAGCTTTAAATGACAGGATCGATTATTTGACATTAATTCCATAATAAATGTCTTTTTTTTTTTTTTTTTTTAATATATATTTCACAGTTTGCATTTAGATGTTTTTCCACAGACTGTCTTGAAGAACCTTAAAACTGGTTTCTAACCTCTTTTTAAACTCAACAAACCCATAAAACCTAACCATTATTTGTGGATGTATGTCAACAGGAGGCCATGGGTGTGTGGTATCTCCTCCCTGGGCATCGACCACACTCAGATTCTGGGAGACACCATCGAAAAGATCGCCTGGCAAAAAGGAGGGATATTCAAGGTTTGTTTGCCATGAGATTTCTGAAGCCAGAAACTTAAGGCCAACTTTAACCTGTTTTTTTTAGCATTTTAAACTTCACCTTGGATCAGTACAGTTGTTTAGAAAGTTGCCTCTTGTCTCAGGAGAGAGGAGTTTTTCAGAGTTTTTGAGATGATAAAAACGGAGCATCTTCATTTAGTGAGAGAAGCTGTGAGATGTGTAAAATCATTCTGCATTACTCAGTGTCTCTGTCTAGCTATTCAGAAATCTGGGTTTTGTGATGCCTGAAATCCAGCTTTGACAACATTGGAGTCACCTTTGTATCTTTTGCTCACTGTTAAAATTTCTTCCAGACGGGGGTTCCTGCCTTCACAGTCAGACAGCCAGAAGAGGCGATGGCCGTGCTCAGAGACAGAGCAAAAGACATCAAAGTAAGACACCAGAGCTGTTCTTTCAGTCAGAGTAATGCTAAACATTTAAAATGACTTTGCTTACAGACATATGCACCCAGAATCACTCAGATGTAACTTGTTGTTGTAGTGTCCATTGTGGGTATGCCCAGATTTGGAGAACTATCAAACGGACCTCTCTGAACCTCTACGCCTGGGTCTGGCAGGACAGCATCAGCGCTCCAACGCCTCCCTGGCACTTCAGCTGAGTCACACATGGCTGCAGAAAAGATGTCTACGAGGTGAGAGTGGAATGTTCACTAATATAGTATCTGAAAAAAAGCAAAAGGCAAAAATCAATCTCTTCACTATTTCCCACACATGGATGATACCTGGGCGAGCCACCAGGGTATATTTGCTGACTATCCTGAGTGATCAGCTCCCCTTCTACACTATGCATGTATGCACAAGTAGCATCTGTAGTCTTCATAGATGATTAGAAGGGCATGTGTCTTGCCCAAGGATACCTTGGATTGGGAGACATTTAACCATACAGTGTTGTTAGTGTGACAAATAAAAGGCTTTTTGGAGACTCTTTGGTTATCTAAAGTCAGATCAACCTAAAAGAATATTTTTTTCCTGTATTGGTCTGAGCAAAATAAACCTTGTCTGATAATTACCTGGTACTAAATCCTGAATTAATAAATCCTGACTTTAGTCTAACGTGATCACTAAAAGAATTTCTCTCTGCAGATAAAAGCTTTCCTGCTGCTCCTGTTGAGAACACAGGTGTACTCCAGGTGACTCCCTTTAAGCCCAGCCCCGTCATGGTGAAAGGTGAGGATCAATCAAAGTTGATAAGAGCAAAATAAAAACAAAGATCACTCCTCAGACTCTGCTGATACAGCACACTGAGAGTGAAGACAAAGGGTTTGGCTAATCAGCTAAATCAGGTATTTCAGCATTTAAAGAGGACACTCAAGCCCAGAACAACCATAGCTCACATTTAATTCTTGATGTCATTACCTGTGTCTAGGTTTGGGCTAAGTGAGATTTGAATGTAAGAGAGTCATTATTTTTAGTGATAACTGCCAAAGGTGAAAGAAGTGAAACGCTAACAGATCAGAAATCACCCAGTATCATTCTTTGTGTTCGGTCTCAGGGTTGGCAGACACTGAATGGCCCGGGAGAAACCAGACCCTCAAACATGGAGAGGTCACCTATTTCCTGGATGGAGCTCACACCATGCGCAGTATGCAGGCCTGTATTCACTGGTTCAGAGAGGTAGCAGCTCAGCATGAGAGGACCGCAAGGTGAACATTCCACTTTGATAATTCACATTGAAACAGTGATGCTGCAGTGGGCGTGAGTTGACGTAAAACCTGAACTCGTGTTTGTGTTTCAGTGGACCTGTGGCCAGGGTTCTGCTGTTTAACGCCACGGGAGAGAGAGACTCAGCAGCCATGCTTAAACTCCTGGTGGTGAGTTGAACAGCTTTAACCTCCATACAGAGAAAATAACATGACACTGTGGTTGACATCATTCTGAATATATGGATGTCCTTGTAGAGAAAGTTAGAAACAATATTTTTTTAACCTCTACTTCTTTCCATCTCATTAAATTTTCTTATTATATGAACAAAGTATTTATATGTATCATAGGAACTTGTAATTTTTCACATCTTTCTGAGTTGGAGAAATTAATGAACAAACTAAATCTGTTCAAACACTCAAGAAAGCTCAGTTTCCTCCGTATGCTGTTCACTCTTCCATCTTTGCAAATGTTTATCCCTTTTCCCCCTCGTCTTTCTTTTCAGCCATGTCATTTTGACTTTGCTGTGTTTTGCCCCAACATCACTGAAGCCATCACGTCTTGTAATGCAGGTGAGATGTTTTGAGATTGGATTCCTCTCTGTATAGTAAGACTGACCACTGTGCATACAGTATCTGTATCTGTGCACCGTATGGGTATAGAATGTAAACAGGTGCACAACAATACTACCGTCACAGCTACCTGACTACACTAAATTAAGCGAGGCAGTGCTGTCTCGTTCATCTTTGGGGTACACATCTATGAAGGTCCTCATTCATCCAGGTCCTTGTAACCCAAGGGTCAGTCCAAAGGGGCATCTGGACCCTGTTTAAGTTCTTAAGATGTTCCTCAGTTCTGAACTACCAGAGTTACTTTTGGATATCATGGATAATATGAATGTCAGTCTATTTCATGAAGGTCAAAAAGTCCTCACAGGAGCTTTAAGTGTCATAGTCTGAATTAAAGTTCCATTGAAACAAATAGGAAACTGTTGATTTTTTTAAGAACGTGTTTCATCTTTACCATAAAACTAATCTGCCCTCATGTCTTTCTACACCCCACAGATCAACAGAACTTTAATGTCTCTGTGGAGAACATGCTGACTCGCTGCTTGGACAATGAGAGGAGCTGGCGTCTCCACAACAACATAGGCGATAACAGAGGAACTCAGCTGCTTATCGAAGACAGCCTGTCCCTGGTCCCTGAGAGGAAAGCTGACACCCTGGTCTTCCCCTGCATCCTCAGCGCCCTCCAGTGGATCACCCAGGGCAGGGACTCAGTGCTGACAGACCCAGCCAAAACTGTCCTGCCTGTAAAACCAAGTGTGAAGGCCAAAGCTGCTTCGCTCTGTGATGCAGCAGAGATCCACGTCCTCATTACAGGAAGCCTTCACCTGGTGGGAGGAGCACTAAAACACCTTGATCCAGCGTCTTCAAAGTAAAGGGATCATGTGGGGTTGGAATAATGATTTTAAACACAGGGAGGGCTCTGCTGATGGACACATTTACCTGGAAGTGGAAAAATTATAATTGGTACGTTTGATGAACCGTTGGAAGTGGGACTTTACCTGAGCAGGTTCAGTCACACCACGGTAATGCTGTTGTCTAGCTAGCTTTTCCTCAGTGGCTGACTCTGGCAGCCAGCCAGTTGGGACCAAGGCAGCTTAATATCAATTGCAAACAGCCCTAACTTCACCCAGAGCCTTACAGACGAGGCACAAATCTGTGGTGCTTGAGTCTTAAGTCTTAAACTTGAAGCCAAATACGTTTACATGAACGTTAGATTCTGCTGAAAGCAACACTGGAACTGTGTGTTGGTGATCTCTGAGACCACCTGACTGAACAAGAGGTTTATGGAAGTCATGACACTTCACACCATGAATACAAAAGCTGCAGATTACAAGGAAGTAGACCGTGCCACATGGGCATCTATGATTTTTGCGTGATTTAATTTAAGTTTTTACATCTGTTTCATACACCTGACCTGTCACAGTCTTTTTTTTTTTGTAATGAAAGACATTTTGCACAGTTTGTACTTTTTATTTTGCCAAAATGACAATGAGCCTCACACACAGGACCTCCTCTTATTTGGTGTAAGTGTGTAGATAGAAAAACACTAATGCTAGCATCAGATAAGTTCACGTCAATAATAAGTGTCAATAATGTCTGTGTAATCCGGTTTCTACGAATTAAAATAATTCAAGTCACATTGTCTGCCATCACACACCCTCACTGTCTGTAAGGATGTACGATGTGTGATTGTGTGAAAAACGATGTATGTAAGAAGTGCAGAGTGCAAATAAATATAAATGTTGGAATTTGTACGAATGTTTTTTTTCTATCACTTCTCTACCATTCAGTTCTCAGTCTGGGACTTTTTAAGCTAGTTGATTTCATATATATGTGGAAATATAGTGATATTCAGAAATTGAAATATACTGTCATGATTTTTGACTGATGGACTGAGGATTTAAGACCTGTAGAAATGAGTAATTAAAACACTAGATATAAATAAAATATTTATAATTTTTCTGTAAGACAGAAAGAGCAAGACAAACGGTTTTAAATTCTAATGCAGAGCATATTCACTTTTTTGTAAGGGTAAATAAATTGAGAAATAAAATTAATTAAAAATAATAAGTTATGCTAACTTATAAATATGGGCCCCTTGTTTCATTGGTTTGGACCCTATATGTACCGTTAATGAAGTTAGGTGCTGTTCTGAGCATTATTTGTGGCTATAGAGTGGTGTTTTGTTTGAGGTTTGTTTATCGCTCCTCAGACTGCTGTGTATTGCTATCGTGCGGTCCTTACTAAAGTTGGTAAAACTAGAGAAGCAAACGGTAGGCAACATTCATCTCTCGAGAGGGTGTCTAACTCGGTGTTATGGTGTGTTTGACCCTGAATTAATTTTACGCCTGAATATCCCTTTAAGTTAAATTTTTGAAGAGCATTGTAAGTTATTTTATCTCACTATTATTATACTCTTCTACCGCTGGGTGGCGGTGCAAGTTTCAGAAGATAACCAGAGAAGAAAAACAGTTGTGACGTAGCACGTACAGCGTCAGTGACGTAGTGAGCACAGGGCGCTCTGCTGCTGGCGCTGAGTTTAAAGAGTCCCGGGTAGATGTTCAGTGTGAAAACAGCGACTTTTTCTACTATTCTGTGAAAAATCACCACCAAACCTGAGTCGAAGATGTCCGGAGGAAGGTATTTAAATATTTCGATTCGTCTTGTATTGATTTTAAGCGATGTTGGTGAAAAAGGTAGCCATCACGAAGCCACCTGTATGGTTATCCTTGTTGTGTAATAACTAAAGAAATGCAGATTTAATATATTCCGAGTTAGGTTTTGTGTGATCTTAAATTATAAAGTTATTCCTGCAAAACTTTGTTCGGCGCCAGTTTTGATTGATTTAGTCAACAATGGCTAAAGATCGATACCGCGCTTTCCTCTCAGCCAGGCCTCCTCTCTCATCTGACTTCACTTCACCATGCTATATCAGCTTCATTTAATTTATTTAAACAATATCTTTAAGCTTTACTTCTCATGCATTTATAGAGATAAAAAATGAGTAATGTCGTGTTTGCAGTCGTGTTTGTCTGTGCGGTTTTGCGCGGTCACGTTGCTGTAGAAATATGGCGGGCAGAGACAGTTTCGTCTCTGTCGGACTCCTTCCCTCGCTCTCTTTCTCTTAGTCTGATGTTTCTTCAGGGCTTTGGTCATAATTATAAGAACAACCTTCTTGATGGGTAAAAAGTCTGATTACTCTCCCCTCCCTACAGCTTACCTCTGCAGGATCTCCCCTGCCTGAGCCTACAGAACTCCTCCATGTTGTCTCAGTCCAGAAGGACCAACAAGAGAAAGTCCAGGGGCTTCCTTACTGAGAGTCTGGACACTGAATGCACCCCCACAGACCTCATTCAGCAGTGGTCCCCGAGCCTCCAGCACCAGAGGCTCATCAGCAAGGGGAAGGAGAACAACGAGAACCACTTTGTGCTCGCCAGGAGGTCAAGAAGGAAAACTGACCACACATCAAGTAAGACGAGGCCGAGTCCCTATCATCACCCCGGAGCCTGAACCCTCACAGACTTAGATTCGACGTATAGATTAAATCTGTTATTTAAAATGCTGAAATGTTGCTGTGCCAGTCAAAAGTTGGATATGTGAATAAAGAGAATTAAAAGCTTAACAGGTTTTTCTCTTCATCATCAGGTGTCTCATGGGATCATCTTCCTGAGGAGCTGCTTCTCAGGATCCTCCTCTACCTCCCACTGCAAGATCTCCTGAGGATGTCTACAGTCTGCAGGCGCTGGCGCCGCTTAGCGTGAGTTACATGATGCTGACCCAGGGTTCATTTTTTGTGACATTTACACCCAAAGCTTTGATAGTGTATCTCTTTGCACATTTATACTTTGCATGATATTGTAGCATAAGAAAGTCAGAGACTCACATAATGAGACAGCATCTCTCTTTGTTCCAGATTTGATGAGTCTCTTTGGCAGAGTGTGGACCTGGAGGGTCTGACTCATATGGATTCAGCTCTGCAGCAGGTGCTGATGACTGGAGTCCGTAGGCTGCGCTGTCCTCGCTCCTTTGTGGAGAAGACACACTTTACAGACTCTGGGTGAGTCCAGCAGCTTCGTCTTTCACCCACCAAGCTCGGATTCAATGTTTAATGTCATAGCAAATCCAGAGGGCTTCTTTATTTCTTAGTTTCTCTACTTTTCAAAAACTTCTGAGAGGCAAATGAAGAAGTGACACGAAAGACAGAAACCAAACCTGACCGTGCTGTCCTCTCTGTCCTCCAGTCCTCTGCAGATAGTCGAGCTGGATCTGTCGAGCTCCATCATCCCCACCACGGCTCTGGAGAGCATCATCTGTCGCTGCTCACTGCTGGAGTATCTGAGCCTGGAGGGTCTGCAGCTTTCTGACACCATCATCACGTAAGATTAAGTGTCTCACCCCCCACCGCCATGACTGAACATGCCCACAATTTCTGCTTAATTAATGACGAGAAGGCAAGTCCTGTATTTTTACATCTGGGCCTCTAATTATTATTTTAAGTGTCTGCTAACATTACAGAGAAAAGGTTTTAACGTAGGTGTATGAAGCATAAAGACCAGCAGGAAAATAGACTTCACGTTCAACAATTTATAAAGGAGGATTGTTATTTGTAAAACACACCACATTTACATGATGATATGTGCTGTCCTTTTGTCATATCTCCAGTATCCAGTATCATTCTGCCTGAGCTTGAACTAAAAGATTATAAACAGAGGGAGACAGATAAAGAGGCTCCCACCTCTTGGAGCCGATGTCCAGTTTGTGTATTATTTATCTGTGCATCAGTATCTTAATATGCTGGGGGATACTTCCTGTTGTTTTTGTGTGTGTATAATAATACTTGATGTTTTCTGTCTCCGTCAGCTCTCTGTCTAAAAACACAAACCTGCTGCAGCTGAACCTGAGCGGCTGCTCCGGCTTCTCCGCTCCTCCTCTGGCCGACATGTTCAAATCATGTAACAGGTTAGAAATCTGTTCTTATGTCAAGAAAACAGCAGATTTTATTCAGTCTCACTGCACCTCTCTGAGTCATTAATACTCTATGTGTTTGTGTTTGTTTCCTACAGAATAGAGCAGCTGAACATCTCATGGTGCGACTTCAACAATAATCATGTGAAGAGCGTCGTGGAGAATCTGAGCTCGGCTGTGACGAAGCTAAACCTCAGCGGCTACAGAGAGACCCTCACACTGGACGGTGAGTGACAGAGTGTTGGGGCCATTTTTATGTGAATGATTTTAGAAAGTCACTGCCATTTACTGGAAACTTTCACTTAGGAGAGCATTTGTAGAGTCAATCCATAGAAAGAAAAAAACACTGAAAAAAGCAAACCTGGTGTGTTTACAAAACAATGCTTTTGTTTGAACCCTTTCTGTGGAGTATAAATAACATTTAACTTAAACAAAAACTTTGAAAGTGAACACCATGACACAAAACAACAAAAAAAACCTACACTGACAGTAGTATGACACATTTCTTTCTTTCGCTCAGACTCGGACAGGGGAACTGAGACGCTCGGTTTACCATCATGAACCACAAGAAAGCTAATCTTTGACACACTGTTCCACACTTCTGTGTAAAACTGAACGTCTCAGTGGCTTGGGATGTAACTGTGGGTGATCGAATGTAGCAGATGCAGACAGAAATGACAGTCTGGTGTTGTGCATGTGTGTTTCTCTCACAGATGTGAAGGTGCTGGTGATGAGATGCCCCCAGATTCAGACTCTGGACTTGAGGTAATATATTCACTTAACGGCAGTTTTGGGATTTTTTTTATTTTTATTTAGAAAATTTGAGATTGAGACCATAAACTCCTCAGGAAAATGTCAGAAAATGAATCCAATAGGAGCGGATTCAGCTGCATGTTGAATGTTGTTAAATAATCAATGCTGCCCCCTAGTGGTTATGAGTAGAGCAGTTCATCACCTGGTCTTATCTTTGTTTCACAGTGACAGCACTCTGTTGATGGCCGACAGTTTCCAAATCCTCAAACAGCTAAAAAATCTGCTTCATCTGTCTCTGAGCCGCTGCTACCACATCCACCTCGCCGCTCTCACGTAAGTCTCCCTGAAGTCTGAGATCCTCTCTTGATTTTCTCTTCATTTAACTTTTTCTCTTTTAAATGTTGCCCTTAAAAATGTTTCTCCCCATTCTCCGATTTCACTGACAATTTCACGCCCTGCCTGTTTTATTTGCAGAACTCAGGCTTTTATTTTGAAAAGCTGTCACTCACAGTTAAAGCCTTTTTTTGCAGGGATCTGGGGCAAATGTTCCCCTTGCTGACCTTTCTGGAAGTTTTTGGTCTCACCCATGACTCTCAGCTCACCTCTCTGAAGAAGGAGCTCCCTCGAATCAGCATTAACTCACGCCCTTTCTCCAGCATCGCCCGGCCCACGCCCTCCTGCAGACCCGCTGGCGTTTTCAGCGACCGCACCATGTGGGACAGAAAGTGTCGTCTGAGGGTCAAACTGTAAACCGTGGGGTTCGGTTTCAGTGTTTGCTGCTGCTACAGTTGATGCTTTTAGAGCTGGTGGGAATAAATGGTTTTAGAAACACCAGCTTTTAGAGAATTGTTGGATTTGGGATGTTGAATCCAGTTTTGTTGAATGTTTTATTACGAAGTTTAAGTGAATTTTTGGATCTGTTTTGGGGTCTAATAATGTCTTAATTTAAGATATCTTGTGATGAAAATGTGGTTTTAAAGGCTCAAGTGAATGTTGACATCTTTAAGATGTCCGTGAATAATTGGAGCAGCAGATGTTTTAGACATTTTAACTACCATTCATAATTTCAGCAGTAGTAATAATGAAAGAACATCTGATTTTTAATCAGTGAGGAAGTCCAAACGAAGAACAAATCCATTCAATGCAGCTTTAAAAATCCCTCTTGAACCACTCTGTTACAGAAAAGATATTACCTTCATAAATGACTGAACCAGGATATCATTCATGTCAACATGAGGTTAATTATGACCTCAATATGTCAGTGTTTGTTGAGCTGTACGCTCGGTGCTTTCTTACAATGTCAATCTAGTGTCAAACAGGCTGAAGTTTAACTGTTTTGAATTGTCAGTTGTTCATTTTTCAGTAAAAAAGAAGCGACTCTTTAAACCTCTTGTGTGTGAGTTTGTTTCCACAACTGGACTTTCATGCTGGATTTTTAAACCTGGACTTTTTCTTTTACATATTGAGTATTAGAGCTGTGACAACATCAGAGTACAGATTATTATGAACATAAAATACCATAATTAACTATATTATTGTGTTATTTCTGAAAAGGTTAAAGATGAAACACAAATAGAGAAAAGGGCAAGACAAGAAAGAAGCATCACATAACTTCATAAACACATGAAACCTACATAATTTATCTCTAACAAGGTTTTGAAAGTTTGAATGTCCGATTGATTAGTAACTTGAAGAGACACTCGCTCCTATGTCGCTGACAACAAAGAGACAGCGGTGAGTCAATCAAAACGCAGAGACTTCTCATTTCATACAACTTTATCAGATTTAAAAACACTTACACATGTTCATGCAGGACTCTGCCTTTGGCACGCTGTTATTTGACAGTATCCTGATTGTTTTATAAACCTCTTGAAGAAAAAGTGATGAAACATTTTTTCAAATTAAAGCTCCTGTGAGAAATTTCCTGTTTGTCTAGATTCTGGCACCCAGGATAAAAAAAGTACATATTTTTGCATCACTTTTAACCAAATACAGTCAAAATCGAGTTATTTGTGGTGTGGGAAAGTTCAGTCACATGCTGCCACTTAATTTCCTTTCTTTTTCTGTCCTGTGAGAGGTTACATACTAACTTTGACCGGAAACACAGAGTTCTGCTTTAGTGCACTTATTTCAACTCCTCTCAGACTCCAGTGTTTCAACACGTAGAAAATATAGACGCTATCTTTCAAAAATATCTTTAGTCAACAAAAAAGCCGAGACAAAGTCACTGTGCTTCGGGTTTGCTGTACAGAAACACTTTATACAACATCAGCACAGATTATAAATTAACTTCTATCAAATAAAGTGTGTCTCACTTTATGATGTTGATGTTTATTCTTCTTTCTCTGAGCCACAGATGCTGAGCACACACTCCTTAGTTTGACTCAATCAATAATACGCCAACCCTCTGCAACACAAACGAACCAAAGCACCAAAGGGGGATTCATCCACCACAAAAAATAGCCCCTGTTGAATGCATGATTGAAAGGCTGATTAAAAATTGCAGAAAACAGCAGCACTGTAAGCGTCTATTTTTGTGGGATTTTACAAGTTATTTCTTCAGCAGGAACGAGATAATATGGAGATGAGCTGTGCAGAGGAGCTGGGGTTGCCAGAGAGTAGAAAGTCAGCTGGAAATTGAATGATTAGGTGATTTAAAAATATGTAGAGGAAAAGAAACTGTTTTTTGTCTTTAAAAGGTGGCAAATAAAAGGCTAAATGCAGAGAAAGCACCATCAACATCCCCCATTCATTTACATCTAAAGTTATCTGTGCTGACCACAGAGCAGTATCGAGGATGCAAGGGTAAACAACTCCATGAGCAACGAGTAGAAATGACCCCTTTAGAGCGGTGCGCTCTAAACCTGGTCCTCAAGTAGACGTAAATCATCATTCAGGCCAACCTTTAGATTTATTGACAGAATGACAAAAGCCATTTGACAAAATCTTAACCTGTAATGGGTGTGAATTTAAACCCTTAGTGTGCTGATTTCTCTCTTTCATCAAGACCTGCAAAGACCTTTGCTTAAATGCAGGACAGTTGACCGTAACAGACATGATAAAGCTTCCTGACACACTATCTACAAAACTTTGACAGCCATTTTATCCTGTTACAATCTGAGGATAGCAGTGCAGGGATTTAAAAACAAAAAAATATATCTGATTTGAAAATCATAAATTTGGAAAAAAGCACACTTTTCATGAAACAAAAGTAACAATGACACCTTTTTCTTTTTCTTCAGGTATAAAAACAGGTGTGGAGGCTAAAATCTAAATGCTCTTCTTCCCTTTAAACTCTGGAGGAAAATCAGTTGAACGATGTGAACTCTAGACTCTCAGTTCTCTAGAAGAACCGTGCGGAGCTGGTCCTCCTCGCTCATGCTGATTGTGGCGATGGCGCCGTCATTAAACTCGAATGACGTCCCGCCGTCGACCACCATGCAGGCGTCCCAACACCGTGAGCGCACACACACCCTGCAGCAGCAGCAGACACAGAAACATTCAGACGGGTTCACAGCTGCTTTAGACAGACTTGAGTGTTTTGCTGAGACACTGACCTGCTGGCGAATCCTCTCTGTCTGCTGTTGGAGAACACACGGTTGACGATCGGCTCCCTGACGCTGAATAACAAACGTCTGTCATCCGGACTGAAGACCAGAGACTCGTTGTATTCATCAGTAACTGAACACACACACACACACAGATGCATCATTATCACACGAGACAGAGCTCATCAAAGAGTTGAAAATAAGTAAACAAGGACTGTCAGCTCACCCTTTTCAATGACGTCACGAGTGATGGGGATGTTGAGACCTGTTTGAGACTTGGCTGAAAAGATAGACGAGTTCGTCACTGAGGTCATGTCACATATGTTCAAACTTAAAAAGACATCTTTAGTTTTATAACTTGTGAACACACGCACCAATTTTCAGCACCTCCTCCACAGCTTGTTCAGAAAGTTTGTTGATGTTATACGACCTGAAGATGAAAAGAGAGGACGAACTTCAGAGCAAGCAAGGGTTTATAGAGAAATCACAGTATCAGATTAACTGAAGAATAGGCTAAGTATTACAGTAGGGCTGGGATAATACACTTTTCTCCCGCTTGGATTGTACGAATTTTGGATGCCTATGTGATTTAAATTGCAATTCTACAATATTGTCAAATTTCTCAATTTTTTGTCTGCATTTTTCAGGAACCATATTTGCCCCAAAAATACACATCACATGTAAGTCAGTTTTTAAGATTTATTCTTAAATTTGAAAAAACAAAAAAACAAACAAACTATTTTTTGATCATAAAAATCAATTTAAAAATTGTAAAACAAAAAATTGTGGTACTTATGTGAATCATTTTTTTCTCCCACCCCTATATGACAGTCATAGGGGCTGACAATCAGTAGCACTGTTCCTCAGAGTTTAACTGTAAGGGTCATCTGTTCAGAGCGCTGTAATATTGTTGAATTAAGAATCCAGATATTCAGTGAGAGCTCAAGAATAAGTGCATATCACACAAGTGAGGATCTACATTTTGTCCCACCCTTATTTTAGAATCTGCTTTGATTAAACACATTCAGGATTTAGGGTTTCATAACAGGCATTACAGCCTGTTTACCTTCTGAAGTGCAAAGAAATCTACTGGAGCAATTCCAAACATCTCTGACCTATCTTTTGTCATTTATTTACAAGATCAGAAAATATCTCAAATGATGATTAAAAATGCTATAATCCCCCTCTGACACAGAGCGTCTTACTCTGGTAGCCACACTTCACCTCAGTTCATGAAGTATACGATGATGACGGGAACCAGTGCTGTTGATATGGGTCACTTAGGGACATAGAATCCAAAGTATGGAGGGTACACGAGGGTGCAGAGTACACAAGGATAAGAGGCCTGAACAAGTTGGCAGGTTAACACAAGCCTTTCAAAAATGAAAGCCCGTGCTTTGAGTCAGTTTGTTCACGAGATTATCGATGTGTATGATGAAAGAAAGCCCAACTACAAACTAAGTCACTAATTCCTAACCTGCTCGACCAGTAACAGTGTTGAGACAGAGCACTAAAAGACTTGATACTCACTAAAATAATAGCCAGCTGAAAATAGATGTTTGCTGGAGTCCAAGTGTATTATTTTGTGATGCTTTCAGCTAATGTATAAATGAATGCTAAATGATAAACTGATGGTATTAAGAGCTTCTCTTGAACATTTCCTTCAACTAAAATCCACATGTACTGGGGCATTTTGGCAGATAGGAAGTCTGGGAGAAGCTAAGTGACCGGAAGAAGACTGAATATAGCTGACAGACGAACTGAAGTTTGCCACTAAATGTTTTTATGATTTGTTTTACAATCATAGCTTCCTCCTTCTGATTCCAGACTTTGTGCCAAGCTTGGCTAACTAAAGCTCTCTAAATTCATACTCCACATCCATTGAATATGTCAATAAAACTTCGTCCTCTATCCTCTTAAACACATGCTTGACTTGGATTAGTGAACAGTCAAATATTTAAGGTTAAGCTGTAAGGTGTGTGCAGTTACACTAACCAGGCTTTGGATCCTGTTCCTGTGCAGATACTAAGTCCTGAACTCTTCTGCTTCTCCCACGGGCCATCGTCCACAGAGATCTCGTAGTATGAAGCCCTATGGAGGTTAACACAAAGTTAAAAAGTGGTTCAACTTAGATTCAATTAGTGTTAATGACAGTGGTACCTGGAGGACAGAGATTCTCCGATGAAGATTTCATTTAGACCTCTGACTGGGAGCAGGCTCGGCTTGGAGAAACTCTCATCTAAGGTTCCTTTCCCTGAGAAATATGACTGAATCAGAAGCAGAAAACTAAAGGACAAACGATTTCTGATCCTTGTTAGAGGTTAAAATCCACAGAGAGTCAGACAGAAAAACACAAAGAGACAGTCAGACAGGAGGACTGGGACAGGGACACATGTCAGGTGGAGGTCATACTCCGTTGGCTGTCGATGGTGGTGATACGGTGAGCCTGACTGTGCTGCTCCAGACTCAGCTGTAGTTCATGCAGATCCACAGGGGTGGGATTGATTCCTGTTCCCTCCAAGTACAAACGGATTCTTTGACGCCACAGCCACCTGAACGCAGTAAGGAAAGAAAAGAAAGAGCTTAATTATACCATCGAAGTTGAAAAGAGTTTTTTGTTTGTTTTATGCAAAAATATCTGTGTTCATCATCAATGTTCATCATCAGCTCTTCTTTCATTTTCAGATCTTCCCTGAAAAAGTCTTTGTCTGGATGTCAGCATATGTTGCTCCTAAACCTGTAGATATTGTTCAGTATTAATGAAGCCTTCACAGATGTGGAAACTATCCATGAACTATCTATGAACACCGATGATCCCCACACCATCAGGGATGCTGGCTTGGAACTGTGAGCCAAGAACAACCCAGGTGGTCATGGAGCAGAGACTACAGAGTCCATGATTTCCAAAGAATGTCTAATTTAGATTCTTCAGACCACATTTGTTGTGCGATGTTCTTCTTGGTGTTTTGTCCCTGACAAGCCCAAACTGATATCCTTAGTGTTTGACAATTTTACGATAAGGATCCCTTAAGAAATAGACCTTTTGGTTTGAATTGAAAGATGTTTATTTAACCAAAACAGCAGTTCATCATCACTCTTTTTGAAGCTTCTAGATACCATTGACAAAAATAGTAGTTTTATGTGTCATTTAACCCTCTTGGTAAGAACAGCCCTGACATATTATCCCTGATAAAGTGCTCTGTACACCTGTTGATATGAGCTCAATAATGAACAAAATAACAACACAAAACTGACACTATTGGATAAAAGAGGCTAAAAGTTCTTCAGTGAGGAGGGTTGTTTATTTGCGACTGCAAGTTATAGATTCATGTGACTTTATTCATCCAGCAGAGCTATAGTTAGATAACTTGGCCCTTGTAATGAAACTTAAATCCTTCGCTTGGAATCATATACCACTGGAAGAGGGTGGAGCAGCTGTGTGAGGGGCTTAGAGATTCCCTGCAGAATAATGGAGCAAAAATGTATTTGACCATTTAAGAGATATTTACATTCAAAAGATGAAAAACACTTAGAAAGACATGTTCAATAGTGCATTCTAATTAAAAATAATAATTTGTATAAAATTTGCAATAAAAAAATGAGTAAAAGGTAAATTAGGTAAAGAGAAGATCTTTAACTTTCCATATTCTTCACATTTACTTTTTCACTCATAGTTTTAGTCTTTTTCTTATTGCCCCTCTTTTATTTATATAACATATTTACTTAATATTATTAACTATTTTAAACCAACTATTTTAAACTATTTCAGTATGAAACTCATGGTGGTAAATGAGGATAAATGTGGGATGAAGGAGACACTTCTGTGTGCTGCTGTATTCTTAGTGGAAAAACTGAAGTTGTAAAAATTATAAATATGTAGTTGAGACCTACTTTATATTGCTTTTTACATATTTAGATACATTTCAAATAAGAGTGTTAGAAAACCTAGAGGTTAAAAACATTTTAAAAGCCTAAGAATCACCAATTTACTCTTATTAAGGAGTTCAAATAAACTCTGTGACTAGTTAAGGAAATCTAAGGGAGGGATTTATAATGAATTCCAGATAGAAAAACCTTCAGTCCTAGGACATGACTCAGTAACTGGATTTAGGCTATTAAGGCTCAGCTGAAAACACAGCAGGGGAGTTTGAGGCGCCTGGCACAACAGGTTTAAGCCTGTCTCCAACTGTAAGCTAATAACAGACAAAGTCTGAATAGACAGCAGGGCATTACATGCATGTCATTGTATGTGTTGGGATAATTTTAGTGACAAACTATAAAGAGATAAGAGGCAGAGTGTACATAAGGTGAGTGTACATAAGGTGACAGGATATTAGCGTTCAGATTGTTTGTGGGTAAATACGCACCTGAACTCACCACGACGGAGTTTCTGCAGAGCCTCTGGGAAGGCACGAGTGTACCGCACAGGCAGGCAAAGATGACCTTCTGACCTTTAGATGACCGAGAAAAATAATTTCAGCTTAAACTTGAAGAGTAACACAAAAGTAAAGACATGAAACAAGATTTTAAATTGGAGTTGTTGTCTTTTTTAAAATGGAACAATTACTGTATACAAGTTAAGGTCTAAAAAACTGTGCCCAGTATTTCCAAAAGAATAAGAATTTATTTCAGGCAACACTTCATTAAAACAGACGGGACTCTGTAGTAGAAATCACTGCATCTTCAAATAAGGTTAAAACCAAACAATGCAAAGAAACCAGATAGAAACATGATCCAAAAACACCAGAGACTTCTCTTACACCCATTTACGATGGACTGAAGGGAAGAGGAAAACTGTCCTGTGGTCTGATGGATCAAAATTTTACATTCTTTTTGGAAATCAGAAATGGTCCTCTACTCTACAGAAGATGCCCATAGTGGGGGTGGCTTACACATCAGGGCATGCTCCATTATGCTGAACAATATATCGTGTTGTTAAAAGACAGAGTGATGCAAAACACTGGCTACCTTAACTTCTTTTGAAACATGTTGCATCAAATTGAAGACGAGTATATAATTTTATAAAACGACAGAATTTTCAGTTTTAATAACTGATCAATTTTCAGTCAAATACAGGATTCGAATGATCTGCAAACTATCAGCATTTTACACAGTAACCCACCTCCTAAAGAATTCAGGTTTTAGCCATGCAAAATAAACTTTATCATTTTGTCTCTTTAAGAATCGTTTCTGGCCTTGCGGAGGTAAAACCAAAAATCCAGGATGCTGCAGATCATTCTTGCAGCTGTTAAGCCCATAAGAAGCTGTTGGCTAACACAATTTAAATACAAAAAAGTAATTGCAGCCCTTGTTTCATACTTTCAAGTGTTTATGGACGCATCTCCTTGAGAGATTTTTCACAGAGATGCAGTGATAGGAATCTAACTGTTCCTTCATTAGCCACCCAAAAAGTGCTGTTATGTGTTTTACCTCTCAGGGTCGGTGTTTACTCCAACAATTGGTTTGTCCTTGCTCAAAACCTTACTGGCAACCAGCAGCATTGTCCCGTCACCTAACGTAACAAAAGAAACTGCAGTCAGAGAACTTGTATTGTGTGTTTTTTTCTGTTGTCAGTCTGAAACCTTTGTCCAGGTGACTTTTTGCCCCCAGCATTGAATAAGTCAAAGTCCTGTCCATTCAATCCATCATGCCTGCACACAAAAGTATGTCATCTAGGAAATTTCTTTTGCTGAAAATCAAATAAAAAGTAGAGACAATAAAGACAAAAAATGTACACTAGTTGACTTCCCTGGTTGAACAAAGATGGAAAACTTAGAATACATATATGTGTGTGTGTATTTTTACCTCCAGCAGAGATGATGGCATCAGCCCATCGCACCACCTCTTCATCATATTCTCCTCTCTTCACTACTCGCACCTCCATGCCTTCTTTTCTGCAAACGTAAACATAGCAAAAGAATAAAATCAAAGTTTTGCAAACATTAAGAAGCAGAAGTGATAAGGGGCAAAGCACAAATAGTTTGTATTGTTCCTTCAGTAGCCTATTACCTATTACTTTTACTCCTCACATTACAAATACAAATATTTCCACTCTCTGATTCTTACATTTTGAAAACCTGCTTGTTACTCCAGATGTAATAGATCCAGAGGAAATTGAGTCATTTTGTATCACTAAGCAGCTCTTTCTCAATGTAATAAACCATTATAACCTCAATAAATGATACAGAAATTAATTTTAAAAAAAGATTATTCCTTGCTTCCTGTAAATTTCATCATGTATAAATAATCTGAGAGGTAGTCGTAGAAGTAGACGACTGCAAATAAATCAAACCTGACAGGGAAAAAAAACACTTCCTGCTTTCTTTGTATACTGGAATAAGTGAATATTCATTATTTTCAGTACACGTTTTTTCTCACTTATCTTCAGAAAGTAGTGTCTAAGTAAATAAGTCTATGTGTTGAACAACTGTCTGCAGGTATTACAACAGCATAGCCCCTGTCATAAAAAAGTCCTGCGGCTAAACTGACCTGTCTGCAGTCCTGACCTTTCACCCACTGAAAACATCTGCTAATTTTCAGTTTCTTTGCACTGTTTCCAATTCAATATTGGGTTTAAATGAGTCAGAAACCATTAAGTTCTGTTTCCCTTAGTCCCATCTGTTCGTGAAGTTGGGTTTTAAATTACCAATATTTTTAGAATTGCAAAGTATGACAGTATTTCATCATTTGTAAAATGGGTACCACGATCTAAGTATTGTGATCAATATTCCACCTGAGGTCCTTGCCAATACCCAGCTGTAGTTCATAAGGTGATACTTCATGAATTGCCCTCTAATTTGTGTTTTTATACAGACTCCTTAAATTATCAGTAGCTGCAACCTCTCTTGACCTCATCATGTGTGTCATTCTTCAAACTCGCTGTCTTTTACAGCAGTGTTTTCAAAAGCTTTCCTTCAACAGAATAACTCGAATTTAAAGGCATTTTTAGTAGCTTTGAAAACTTAAAAATGAGGATTAGGGAGCATTAAAAAGATTTTACTCAAATATCAGTACTTTTACACTACATATACCAAATTCAATGTATACTTTTGCTACCTCTGCAAAGCTGCCAAACGTCTTGTGCTTCTCATGAATGTGTCTAATCTTACCTCAGGCTCTTCACAATGTGTTCCACATTGTTAGTGTGGATGTTGTGTCTTTCCAGCAGGCCACTGTAGCTGGAGCCCTTCATGGCAAGCTGCAAAACAAGCCCCGAACAATTACTGTAGAGAATAATCAGAGGTGATCTTAGGGTTAGTGAAACTAAGTCCTTACCAGCTGTTTTAAGTCCTCCTCAGAGAGTCCTGCGTATCGGTACCTCTGCTGCTCGAACTCATATCTAGTCGTCTTTGTAACCACAGCCACTTTCTCAGGTGTGAACCCACCTTTAGGCAGTGAGGAGTTGTTGCGTATTGAAGTGTGGAGGTGACGGTGAGAGTTTCCACACAGCAGGCTGACAAAGTTCACCACAGAGCGGCGACTCATTCTTACAAGTGAGCACACAACCATAGAAATGGATATATTACATGTCCAGGTGAATTACAGGTGTGCTTCGATTCTCTCAGTCCTTCTTTCTGTCCATTCACAGAAGTCAAACTCTCTCACAGCTGTCAGGGAAGGTCACCTGCTCCACCAAGCGCTCGTATAACCGTGTAATGAACAGTTTCTGACTTAAATCAACGACTTTTTCTTCCAGAAAGTAGTGAAACAGCAAGTTGTTTCCATAAACAACTTCCAGCTAGTTTATTATTACTTCTGGGGTTACTAACTAGCCTCACAGCTACGATTTGAACTAAAAGCAGCTAGCAGCGTGCTAACAAACCGAAAGCTAATGCTCGTTTTTATCACAAATTCTGTCTGAATTTAATCTCGACAACAAACTGCGGAAACTCCTCAGGTCCGCCCGGGCTTGGATACGAGATAACACACACGTGCAGGTCAAGAATAAACGAAAACACAGGTGAACACAGGCGACGCTTCATATACCATTCATGCTGGCACGTCCAACGGTGGTACGTACGTTATGTAGGGGCTTATCTGATTGGCTGCGCTGCTTTAGGGGGTGTGACGTTTTGTTTTGGGCGAGTTCACTGGTAATGATGCGTTCACGGCCACAGCAAGGCTCGGAGAACTCCAAAATCAATTATTGTAAACTCAGTGGATAAAGGGAAACTTGATCAAGTTTATAGACATAGAAAATAATGCAGCGACAACGTTATTTTGTGATTAATTCAAAAAGGTAGACTTTATTAATTCTTCTAATTGTGAGATGTTAAGTGAAATCATTCAAATTCAAATTCAACTTTATTTATATGGCACTTTTCATACAAAAAAAATGCAATTCAAAGTTCCTCACAGATGCTAAAAACAACAATAATGACAATAATGGTTAAAAAAGTGAGTCGTAAGCCTCTTCTTAAAAACAACAACAGTCTCTGCGGCCCTGAGGCTCTCTGGCAAGCTGTTCCACAACTGGGGACCATAAAAATATTCATTTTGTTTTGGTTGTGAGCAGCCTGAGTGCAAAACACTACTTCATCACAAAACACAATAAAAATTATTTGCATGCTTTTTGTAATTCCTTTTTCATTTTTCTTGTTTTTTTTTTGTTTTTTTTTTGTTTTTTTTGTTGTTGTTGTAAGTTTAGAATATCAAATTTTGGACTACTTCCTCAATCAGTTTTTTTCCCATAAAACTTCCCAGCAGAGTCTCTAAAATCTCCTTGTAGACTTAGGGCCGCATTGACTCTAGACTTGATAAAACACAGTGGACCAAGAGCAGCAGATGACATGGCACCACAAATCATCACAGACTGCGGAAACTTCATGCAGGATTTCTAGCACATTGGATTCTGGGCCTCTCTGATCTTCCTTCAGACTCTGGGCTCTGGGACATTGATTTCTACATAAGATACTAGATTGACTTTCATCTGAAAAGAGGACCTTGGACCACTAAGCAATAATCTGCTTCCATACAGCACTCTGTGAACAGCCAGTCTTTTCAGCAACAATCTTCTGTGGCTTACTCTCCATGTGGAGGGTATCCATGATGATCATCTTCTGGACAGTTGTCTGCATTGTGATAGTGGTTGTGTTTACAAGACTAAGAGATACATGCTCTTTTTATGATGAAACACCTGTCCAAAGTACCAAAACTACTACAAATGGACCACTGACACTCATCATCTCCTGAACAGCTGTTAAGTCAGCAGTCTCAATCCCTAATATGTGCATTGAACTTTTTCACAAGATCCTTTTGTTCTCAGTTTTGCATTGCTGTGATGTGGCACTTTGCAAATTACAATATCAGAACTGATTGAATTCACAGTTATGATATGTTTGTGAAATATTTTGTATGAGTAAAGAACAACTGCAGAAGTCTATCATTCATTGGAGAGTCTGTGTTTAGGGAATAATGTTTGTAAGAGACTTGGTGACCTGATTGGAGAGGGGGTATTCTTCACTAATTATATTCACCTCCATCAGGGAATATGTTTCCATACAGTCAGGTCACTTATTACAGCTCAGCTCCATTTCTCTCTGCTAAATGTGGTGCGTGGTTTACTCTGCGGGATTATCTCAAACTATCACAGCTCCCCAAAGACACTGTGTGTATGATTTAAAGCTGCTTATTGTTTGGTACCACATGAAATTTACACAGATGTTTCTATAAAGTTTTCAAACTTTATTAAAGTTAGAGGAAAGAGGTTTATATAGTGGGTTAAAAGGGAGAAGGAGGAGAAGAGAAGAGATGAGGGAGATTTCTAACTTTAGCAAATCATTCCCAATGCAAATAATCCATGAACAACTCTCAACAAAGTTTTGATACATCTGGGTTTTACCTAAAACTGTGTCACAGGGCTAACAGTGTTATTATGGGAGGACCAGTTTTCTCATCTGTCCTCTTTGTCTCCCTCCTTTCCTCCCTCCCTCTCTTTGTCTCTCCTCCTCAGCAGGTGCCTGAGAGCTCTCTCTCCTCTCTTACACTCTGAGGTCTTCAAGTTGAAGATCCATCAGCGAGAAACTCTGTCCTCCTGATTCACCAGATAAACCAACTAAAACTTCTGCAAATTCCACTTTTTACACACCACTTCTTCTCAGGACCTCCAGGACTGGCAAAAACCCTGAAATATTTTCAACAGAGGAACAAATTATCGACGAAAAAAGGTATGTCTGCTGTGTTGTGATTGAAAATATAAAAGGGAACTTGTTTTAACAGCAAGAGGGGACAAGAGTTTTGCCCTCATTTGTTTAGCTTTTAGGATACCTGCATAAAACTGCACAGATTTCTTTTAGCTGATACAAAAACCTTTAAAAAATTAAATGTTAATACTGTTTTGCTGTTTTTTTCTGCAAATGTGTCACCTTTTAAACATCTTCTATGTGTTTTTTTTACATGAGTCTACAATAAATCCCTATCAAATCTCTTCATGTGCCAAATAAATTTCACAACATTTTGCAGGTGCTTCAAATTACAAAATTGAGAAACTTTAAAACCACAAAGACAGAATTTATGCAGCAAAACTATCAAAAAGTTTGAAAGGGAGTAAGGAGAAAAAGCTTTTTCTAAATTAAACAATTCTGATTTTAAAGAGTTGGCTGTTTTTTTGAGTGAGCAGCTGTTCGTTAAAAGAACAAAATGCACAATTACATATTTATCAAAACTAAGCATCATATTTAGACAAAAGTTAATTTGACACACACTGTATTTGCAAACAAATAGTGATAACATACTTGTAGAAAAAATGTTGTAACTTTGCCAGACACTTCTCCATTTCATCAGAGTTTTACCAGCTTCGACCAAACACCTGTGGACACAGTTTGCACACTTCTGCACAGAGTTGCAGATTTTCTCTTCCCCCTTTTATTTGCTTTAACAGACATGTTTGGGTTTTCTGCAGCAGGATGCAACGTTTCAGGGAAGGTATTCACATTCGCACCATGAAGGCGAAGCGGAAAGTGGAGGAGATCTCCAAAGAGGACGTGCAGGCCTTCCTGAAGAAGAACGCTTTTGTGCTCTTTACAGTCGGGGCCGTTATCGTAGGTAGGTACAGTATGCCTCTGAAAGCTTGATGTCAATATCTTTATACCTTGAGAGTAATGTATATAAACCCCTCATATACTGTTCTCTGTGCAGGAATCATCCTGGGATTTGCTCTACGTCCATATAAGATGACCTACAGGGAGGTGAAGTACTTCTCTTTCCCAGGAGAGTTGTTAATGAGGATGCTTCAGATGCTGGTTCTCCCTTTACTCGTCTCCAGTCTGATAACAGGTACAACCTTCACAAGTCACTCCAAAGATTGACACGTGGCTCCAACCTTTAAATCAGGATGGTAGTGTTGTTAGGATCAGCAGATGTGCTGTGGGCTGAGTTTGATTTCATGGCCTGCCTGAACTAGCAATACCCTTGATAGACCATAATTAGATAGGAAGGGGGGTGAATATCACACCAGCCCATATCAGCTGATAGCTCGGCTGATCATTCTCTCTAATTTGAAAATGTCAAAATGTTTATTCTCTTCAAACTGCTTCAGCCAGCCCACTCTTCCTGCTTCTTCTGTAAACTGCTTTGCACCTGCCTCCACCCAGCTCGTTTTTGTTAAGCTGTGTCTGATTTTACCCTGGATTATAACTGATGCTGCTCTGCTCTGTAGCCTGGGGTTTTTGCTGCTGCTTTCCTTGCCTTCTCTTTTCATGTATGCACATGAATCAGAGGGATGGTGTGCTCTCCCTACTTTAATCCTCTGGCATTCCACATACATGGAAAGGCTGGAAGCTCCCAGAACAGGGCGATACCACCAAATATAACTTATTGCCTGATAGCTGTAATTTCTTTTGACTCAAGTGGTGCTGACTAAAAAAGTGATAAAAAACAGTTTTTTTTTCCTTGTACAGCCTGCTAAACACTTCACTCTGGGCCTTTAATTTTTTTTTAAAGACCATCAAAAAAACTTGTTGTTTGGATGTTTGCAGGAGACATTGTAGTAGCCAAAATACACTCGGCGTATGGGAAAGTCAGAGCTTTTTGGAAGAAAACTTCCACATTTCATGAGGAGATGTAGATGTTATCGTTAAACTGCTTCAGCCTTCCTACTCCTGCTTCCTCTGCAACCACTTTGAAACCCTCCCTCACCCCAGCTCCTCCTTTTTGTGCTGCTGTGTCTGATTTTACCAGTGTCATGCAGACTGTTACTGATACCTGCTTTGTACTGGGTCATTTCCTGCTGCTCTACCTGTTTTGGCTGTTTCTTAAATCCCAGGAGAGGTGTGCTCTCCTTATCTCATGATTGAGATTCCACTTATGCATTTGGAAGGACGCAACTAATGGCATGCAGTTCTCATTGACAAAAGCCGTGCTGATTTAACTAAATGAAAAGCCAACATTCTGCTGATACATAAATGATACAAATACAAAAACACACCAATGCACAAATGATATGCATATAAAAAGAACTGGAAAGAACAAAGTGCTGCAGGTCTGTAGAGATGTATTGCGGTAAGAGTAAGCAAGTCAAGCCAGTAAAAGCCAAGTATACTCCCCCGCCTCAGGCTTTAGCATTCTACAAATACATGTGGACGGACATGGAGCTCTCAGAGTGAAGTCATACTCCCAAATATAACTCATTGCATGAAATTAAGTGATTTTCTTTGGTTAAAGTGGTCCTGGCTGAACTGAATATTTGATGCTCTGAAAGCAAAACTTGAGATTTAAGTTTGAGTGAGAGCTTTATGGGTTTATTAATGGCAATAAAAACTGCATTTTCACTCCCCATCGATCAGGAATGGCAGCTTTGGACAGCAAAGCATCAGGAAAGATGGGAATGAGAGCTGTGATTTACTACATGACCACCACTTTCATCGCAGTCTTCATCGGGATCATCATCGTCCTCATCATCCATCCAGGTAAAGGGTCTAAAGATGAGTTTGGAAAGCAGCAGACGATAGAGCAAGTCAGTCCTGCAGACGCCTTCTTGGATCTGATCAGGTAGAGCGCACACTCGATAAAAATAATCACAAAGATTTGATTAATGATTGACAACATCTCTCAGCATCTGCTTTCTCTCATTTTAGAAACATGTTTCCTCCAAACCTGGTCCAAGCCTGCACACAGCAGGTAAGATCAGCTCAACACTCACCTGTTACGCCCACCTGATTAAGAGAACGGCTGATGTTTTGTATGGTGTTAATCCTCTAAAGCATATGAAATGAGTCAACATTTTCACCTTTTTGAGTGGGACTTTCTTCATGCAGAAGCTGGAGTGTGTATGAAAGGAAAAGCCAACAGAAGAGTGCTCAGTTGATGCTAGAGTGACTCATTTTGGTTGAAGTCCTGCAAAACTTAGAGAATTTTTCAGATTGAAGAATACCTGAACTTATGTCAAAATCACATCACTGTAACTTTATTTTTATATCCTAATACTTTAGTGTATTTTTCTCCTGCTGAGGCTAACCCTTAAAGTTGGCTCAAGGGTCAAAAACCAATGTTTCTAATAGCAATAAGATACTTTTAAAACCACCAGGAAAAACAGATATCATGATATTGCTGTCGGAGATGCAAAAGAAACTTTGAAAAAAAAACAGTATTTGCTGCAGGAAGCATCTCCAACAGTTTGATTAAATTAAAAAATCTACCAAATTATATCCCATATGTCAGACGATAGGACAAAACTTTCCTTATTCTTAATTTGGCCCAGCTTGAGAAACAAACGGTTGTCTGCTCCACTGTGGAGTGGCTCTGAAGGCAATAGCAAAGTTCCAAATCTCTAACATGCAAAGTGGAGACCCAGCTTAGAGTCGTACTAGTGGAAAGGTCCACCCAGAAACCTCCACTGATGCTTGAATTTTCTCCTGTCTCCAGTTTAAGACCAAATACGGAAAGCGAGTGGTCCACGTGACGGTGACGATAAATGACACTCTCTTCAACTCCACCAACGGCACCCAGGAGGTTATGGAGATCAGCAGAGAGGAGGTGATCCCAGTGCCGGGTCAGGTGAATGGGGTCAACGCTCTGGGGTTGGTGGTCTTCTCCATGTGTTTTGGTCTGATCATCGGTAACATGAAGGAGCAGGGTCAGCTCCTCAGGGACTTCTTCGACAGCCTCAATGAAGCCATCATGCGTCTGGTCGCCATCATCATGTGGTGAGACTTTACCGCCGAGTTGAAGTGTTTCCTCTTGGGCCAATGTTCCCCATCTTCAACAACCCCCTCTCTCCTCTTCCCCTCAGGTATGCTCCCATTGGTATCCTGTTCCTGATTGCAGGGAAGATTGTAGAGATGGATGATCTGACTCAGATGGGAGGCCAGCTGGGGATGTATACTATCACGGTCATCATTGGTCTAATGATCCACGCCATTCTTATCCTCCCAACTCTTTATTTTGCCATCACTCGACAAAACCCATTCATCTTCATCGCCGGGCTCCTGCAAGCTCTAGTCACAGCCCTGGGAACCTCCTCCAGGTGAGTCCAGACCTCAACAAATGAGCGACGATAATCCCCTCAGACAGTCAATCTGGAATTCCAGGATTTAAACCAGTTTTGTTTTGATGTAGCCTGGCTTTTAGCAGGAACATGAAGAGCTTAAGTCAACATTGGACATCTGTATGCTTTGTGTACGAAATCTTAAGACTGATTTCAACCAAAAGTACCAATTTTTTGAGTCTTAGGAGATGCCTTTTGAAGGAACTCAAAGGTTCCCTCTGCCATATGCTGTGGCATAAGAATTGGCTGAAGTTAAGGAAACTTTTTGCAGGGACCAGAAACCTTTCAAGGAACCCAAAATCTCTCTGGTGCAGGGACTGTGGTCTAAGCTTGAGGACACAGGCCCAGGGTTTGACTCTTGGCCTCTAAGGTGCTCTTGCTGACAGGGGGATCTTCCCTTCAGAAGCAAGAGCTAGAATAGCTAAATGGTCCAGCCTGTCCTCACCCACCTTGCTTTGTGCAAAGCACGAAGAACAGGTACAAATTTTTGTAGCATCAGGTGCCCAGTTGTGTAAAACATTGACATAGCTTTGACTCCTTTGAGAACACTTCAATTGACAGTCAAATAAGAAATGAAAAACAGCCAACTTTGACGAAGCTACATGCAAATTTGGCACAAGTCCAGTAAAAGATTAAATTCAAACACATCATAACCATAAAGATCCATGGACTAAATCTACAAAGGAGGCATAATCTTGCTCAAATTGTCTATGATCAGTGATGACAGGGTTTGAATTCTTTTTCAGTAAGCATTCTCTAGTGATAAGAATTCAGGCTCTGTTTAATGATTCAGATAATTCAGCTTTGCAAGAACTGACCCCTTCCATACTTAAATGCCAGTCAGAAGACGGTTTTTAAAGCTGAGTTTTTTGTGACTGGCATATACTCAGTGCAGATACTGTCTGCAGTCACAGTTCGGTGTTCCTGCAGGTTAAAAATGATAAAGTTAACAACGAACTGAACCAAATATTATATCTAATAAAAAGAAATGTTAATAATTAACTCTTCATAGATTGACAGACCAGAACAATGATATTGTGTATCACAGTACTGAACCACACCAAGTTTCCAAATTTTCTCTCTGTGAGAGCCAACTGGCAAGAGGCAAAGTGATGAAGTTGGCCTTTCTCAAGTTGGTCAGCTACACCTCCAATGCTGCAAAACTCAGATCTTGAATATCTTAAAAACTAAAGAGTTATGAAACATCACCCCAACAGAAAGAGATGAGCGATTTAGACTGAAGTCTGACTTTGAATCAGGCTGTAAACATGTTGAGTTTTACTGGATTTATCAGAGACCTCAAATGAAAGGTTCAAAGATGAGTCACATTTTTGTGTTTGTAACTGTTTTTATTAGTGAAGTTTGTGTTTTGCCCCATACCTGTTTCGCTTCTCCTATAGTTTACCAATTGTGTTGTTTATTCAGTGCCAAAAATGGGTGGTAATATTGTTGTTGTGACATTTTACAGCCACAATAATTGGGAGGTAAAAATTTGATATCTAGACAGCCCTAAAATAAAAGATCTATGATGAGCATCACTATTTTATCAATAATATTATCAGTTGGTGACATTTGTTCTGTAGTGAAATGCAGGTGGATGAGCTGCTGTCTCTTTGCCAAGTAGGAAGTAAAACTGAGTGAATTTGAAACTTTATTTAAAACGGTCAATATGATTTAAGCAATTTCTCCATTATTCCATCGTCACATTTTTACCAAAATGTCTTCATTTTTTCGTCTTTTCTGGACCAATTTTGCTTCTTCATCTTCTGAACTCTAAAAGAGCTAAGAGGGGAAAATAAGGCATGACATGACACCTTCTGTATTTGGAGAGCACTTAAACCACTATGCCACAATATATTAATCATATATCCTTATCCTGCTTTCCAGTTCAGCCACTCTCCCCGTCACCTTTAAATGTCTGGAGGAAAACAACAAAATCGACAAGCGGATCACTCGCTTTGTGCTTCCTGTTGGCGCCACCATCAACATGGATGGGACTGCTCTCTACGAAGCACTGGCCGCCATTTTCATCGCCCAGGTCAACAACATGGAGATGAATTTTGGGCAGATCATCACCATCAGGTAAAAAAAAAGACACAAATCAGAATAAAAATCATGTTTGAAGCTTTTATTAATAAGAAAAGTGGATATAAAGCATCTCATCACTCCAGCATCACAGCAACTGCAGCCAGCATTGGAGCTGCAGGCATCCCTCAGGCCGGCCTGGTCACCATGGTGATTGTACTGACCTCTGTTGGACTTCCTACTGATGACATCACTCTTATCATTGCTGTTGATTGGTTCCTGTGAGTATCCTGGTCATAGAAGCGTCCTTCCATCCATTCAAACAGGAGCTGCGTACCTGTAGCTCACACCTCTTAAAGGTCAGAAGTAGCTCTGAGTCTACTACCACCTAGTGACACACTTCTCCTCTCCCCCGAGCCCCGCTCCACATCTCCTCCTTTCTATTGAACATTTTCTGCAATGAGTTTTAACATAGAAACATAATTAGGTTTCCCAAATTAATCATTTCAATTAGAATACCCTTCCCAGAAATTACTCAGCTAACTGGGGTAATAAGAAAAACCCTCCTCTCTTTAACTAGGATGGACCAAATATGAAACTCTGAGAAGCTGTCCTGCTCTGAGGAGGCAGAAGTACAGCTTCTGATGGATATCAGGCTTTATTTTCAGGAGCAAGGCAGGGTAATAGTTAAAATCCACTCACTGATCTATTACCACAGGGACAAGATACAACTTTGCAAGTGATTTTAACTTTTGTAAGACTGTTGCGTTAGTCAAAGCATCTCAGTCATTGGCTGTGGAGTGGTGAATATAAGTCAAATGTTTTCATACAGTGAAATATGATCAAAATTATCAACATTTCTTGTTTTGTTTTTGCACACAGTTCTTGTTGCAAGTGTTCATGCCTTTATTCAACCAGCTTATCTAAATATTTTTATTCCAATATCATGTTTCCCTGCTGGTGTCTATTAATCTTAACTTTTAAATCCATCTTTGTTTCATGACTTTTCACCTTTTATTGTTTTTAATCCTTTTACAGCACTTTAAATTGCTGCGATTGGCATTAAAGGCACCATATAAAGCTTGATTGATTTCTTGGCCAGTTGTAGCAACTTTCAGGATAGTCACGCTACTGTCGATGACCTATCCAGCACATAACGTCAAATAAAACCAATAAGAACTTGTATTTAGACCTTGTCTTTTAAATAAAGTCTCATAGAAAGTGAGTGTGCTTTAGAGGTGATGGTTAAAGATATAAATATTGTATCAGTTTGAATGATGAAAATATGATTCCTACATTTCCTAAATACACACCAAAGCTGCACCCTCATTCTGCCTCTGCAAAATTTTACATTTACAGAGGCAGAATGACTGTGAATGCCATCACAAAACTGTTTTATAGTCACGTCGAAACATTCCGTAAGTCAAGCTGGTAACAGAGAGTAGCAGTCATTGCAGAATATCAACCTCAGTTCAGGCTTTCAAATCAATTTTCCACTCGGCTTAGATACTGTGGTTTCATTCAGACCATTTCCAAGTGGAAAAAAATCAAAATTACTTGCCTTGCTTCGAAGCCAAGTAATTTCATAGCCAACCTTAGTTGACACAGAGATCCTGTATGGTGCTCCTGCTCTGCACTGTCATCCTATCACATGTGCCTCCATCTGATAAACAGAAATGATCTTTCATTTCGGTTTATCAGCTGGAAGGGAAATCAGTGTAAATGTGAATCTGCCTGAGCAAATAGAAAAAGAGAATGAAGATTCATGTGGCTCCCAGACTAAAATCTGAGACTTTCAGAACAGCTTTCTGTATGCATTTACAACCAAAGCCGTCCTGACTCGCCTGTTAGGTTGTCATGTATTCCCATTTATTTGCCCTTTTCTCCTATTTGCCCTTTTCTTTGGGATGTAGGGACCGTCTGCGCACAACAACCAATGTTCTGGGGGATTCAATTGGAGCCGGTATCGTGGAGTTCCTGTCCCGACACGAGCTTCGCAGCAAAGATGTGGAGATGGGAAACTCTGTGCTGGAGGAGAAGGAGAGGAAGAAACCATACAAGCTCATCTCTCAGGATAGTGATTTTGAAAACGACAAACGTGCTCACAGTGAATCACACATGTAATTCATCTTATCACAGGTCCTGCTCCATCTGTCCGCTCATTAAGACCCTCACAGCTGGTTCTTTTTGGAGAAGTAGGGACTTCATTGTAAAGTGGTTTTGTCGGCCATTTTGCTTCTTCACACTTTGGATTTGTTGACATTTCTCCATCGTTACAGAAGTGAATTTCTTACATTGCCCTAAAGATGACATTCTTAATTAACTGCATCTTCAAATAGGACTGGTAGATTCTGTATTCTATGTTTATTACTGTAATGAGTATTTCACGTCATATTACCTTCATGCTTCATGAAAGCAGGTCTTTATATTTAATGGGAAAAATTGGAAGTGGGCCTCATACATTTTCACATAATCCAAGATCTAAATGACCAAAAGTTACAAAAATGTTTTGTAATTTCTCCAGCAGATTTCTGTGTCTGGCTGTAATGATACAGCTGATAACCCACAGCAGCCAAAACAATTGTCATTAGAAGAAAATGATGCAACTACTAAAATACACGAAAAGTTCTGATTAAATGCAAGAATGCAAATGTGCAAATTAAAGAGCATGCTGCAAAAAGTCCAAACGTACACAAATCTGATGCACAAGAGCAAAACACTGCTGTAGAGAAATGCTTCCAATTCAGACTTTACAATACTTTTGTTGTAGCCTTTAGGATTTTTTTAAGCAGACCACATTATGATTATACCCTTGTCCAAGCAGATCATCTTTGAGCCCCAATGACTTTGCAAAGATTTCAATAAAAGCCACACAGCTTTTACTTAGAAGTAATGTCATGTCCTCTCTGTCATGTTTTCAGACTGTGCTCATTAAGGGACAAAAACATGCACAAATAATTATTTTGCAGCCATTACAGCTTGTCTCAGAAATGCAAGCTGAGGAAACATACTGGATCCATAATAAAACCCTTTGTTCCTTTTAGTCATTTACACTCAAGAATTTGAAAAAATGAGGCTCACATCTAAAATTTCTTGACTTTGCAGCCACAAAGCAGAACAGAGAACAGGCTGTTGAGTACAAACAGTTCCTGTAGTCTCATGAGGAACTTTAAAGACATTTGCTGAAGAGAGGATGATGAGATTTTAATCATTTTTTTGTCACCACCATAAAATTAGACTTTATCTCCATTTTCCAACATTAGCTGGGAAACTTTATGGTTATATCAAACATTTTACTGTTATTTTTTTGTACAGGCGCTAGTGATGCAAAATGCATATGAGTGCATGTTCACGTTTCAAATGTGGCTGAATTTTTTTTACTTAAACTGCTGATGCATTGTAGATATAAGATAGATAATTACACCTGGGGTTATACATGTCAAAATCCTCTGATCATGACAGAAATTGAACTTTGTTTTGTGGATAAAGGTTGTCTTAGTTTTGTTTATTATATCTTCATATAAATAAACAGAAGAAAACCCTCTCTGTGTGTTTTCCTTTTTATTTTTAATGTCAGGGGTCACTTTGATTACACTGGACTAAATAAATCATCTGTTCCCAACAGTTTTTGACATTAATCTGAAATAAAGTCATAATCATGGGGTAAAGAGGCTTTTTGTCAACTGGATCATTAAATGAAACGCCTCATTAGACATCCTGAGCGCATAACTCAGAGGGATCCTACTACTGATGGAGACAGCTGTTGAAATAAGCAAAATAAAAAATAAAAAACAGCAGGTCATGTGTGGATGGGTGTGTGAAATACTGTGAAACCGGGAGATGGCGACACGGCAACACCGGGATTATCACCGAAACTAAAACTCCTGAAGAAGAGTTGAAAACCGTCTCTGTGAAAAACTTCAAGTATTAGGCTGTGTCCGAAATGGCCTACTACTCCTACTACTCCTACTAAACCCGCCTCTGAATTGAGTAGGCAGTGCGTTCACACTGTACAGTATGCGAATTTTGTGTATGCGAGAAATGCCCGGATGTATACTCAATTGGCTTCGATTTCTGAGTGTGCAACGGAGCTTGCTTCACGTACTGCTTCTGCCCCACAATGCATTGCGCACCTCAGCTGGTAATATGGCCCTCCTTCCCGAGGCTGAAAAGAAATAGATGGCACGTGATTGCAATAATATATATATATAGATAAACAATATTTAGTCAGTATACATTACACAATTTTTATCATTTTATCATATTTTGATCTTTTTACCAGATTTATTTGTATTTTAAATTAGGATTATAGGTAATGTTTTTAACTATTCGTATAAATTGACTTTATTTATTTTAGTGTCTATTAAAGATGTATTTATTACATCAAGTTTGAGCATCTTCTCATCTCTGAATGCATCATCAAAGTGGTCGCTCATATTAAGCACAGACCTCTGATTAATAAAAATTATCTTTGGTAGAGAGCACATGGTTCAGAATATACAAACGGGGGAGTTTCCAGTTGACAATCTATGTGAGCTTTACTAATTCTTACTTGTGGTTGAAAATCTGATGGTTTCTGAAATGATCATTGTACATGAAAAGGATGTAGTCGGGAAATTATGAATTTGCCAAGGAATAACCGAACGAGGTCATAATAATTATGTTTTGTGTTGGTCATTTTGCAGCCCTCTGCTGCTCATCACACGCCTAGCAGGTGGTGTATAGCATTATCACCATGGATACACAGATGTTTGTGTGATTTTTTTCATCCACTGCCGCCCGGTTTGTGTCGTGTAGATGGTGATGATGAAAACACTTTGCAATAATTTGGAAACGTGAAGGGGGAGCTGCTGCTGCCCGGTGTTTACGGTAAATAGACGCCAACACCCACCAAGCGGACGCTTCGGTCTCCGAAAACGCCGAGACAAATTTACAAACAGCCACTATTTCAAACAACTGGGCTCATAATCGTGATGTAAACACATACTTTCTCGCTAGAAAAATATTATTATTGAATGAATTTATATAATTTGTCCGGAATGCAGTTGTTCTGTGTAGCTTGTGGTAGGACTATTTAAATTTTCCCGGCGCTGCGTCCGGCCGGCACGAAATGCATTCTGGGGTATTTAGTATGTATGTGTGTAAACGCTCGGGCAGCCGCGGCATACTCAAATCAGCTTTGAGTAGTCAGTAGGCAGTAGCTACTGCTTGAGTAGGTAAGTAGATAGTAGGCAGTATGCCATTTCGGACACAGCCTTAGTGTCACAGTCTGTCCCAGTTCACCTGCTGTCTGCACCATGTCGTCCTCAGACCTGGGCCGGGCGCTCTGCATTATCACCGGGGCCTCCAGAGGCTTCGGCCGGGCTGTAGCGGTGCAGCTGTCCCGGTTGATGAAGCCCGGCTCGGTGTTCGTGCTGACGGCTCGCTCCGGGGACGACCTCCGGGCTCTACAAGAGGAGCTGTCCGGGTCAGAGGCAGGTAAAGCCGGATTGAGGGCTGTGTGTGTGGTGACAGATCTGGGACAGAAGGAAGGACCGGAGAGCATCGTGAAGGCTGCTGTAGAGGCTTCTACTGAGGAGATAGATCACATCATACTGATCAACAACGCAGGTAAGAGGACCTCCTGTTGGGCTAATGGACTGAAGGTGAAAAAAATATATTAGTATTCCACTCAGTGTAAGTCGATAGGGGAGACCAGAGTAAGATTCAACACGTTGCATTTCTTCTCTTTGTTAAAAAGTTATGGTGGCCGAGAACTGCCACTGCTGCGAATAAAAAAGAATGCAAAAAAAAAAGAGAAGCCACAACGGAAGTTACCAATATAAAAAATAAAAGAAACCAAAGCCCACTGCTAGGCCTGTCATGATAACACATTTTGCTGGACGATAATTGTGCTACAAATTATTGCCAATAAACGATATTATTGACGCCTTTTTTTAAATTATAGATAATGATAATATATGGTATAATAATGCGAGAACACCATGTCAAAAGCGATAAACTTTAATCGCTCAAGATTAAGAACTTTGAACTAGGATGAACAAATATAATAAACAAACAAGACAACCAAAAAGCAATGAAAGTACTAGGGCCCCGTTGGGGCACTGGCGGGCCCGAGCGGTGTCGCGCCGCCCCCAGCGCGACCGCCTACCCCTCCCGATCGCGTCACACTCAAGGTCCAAAGATGGTGTGCGCACTTGTCTGTGGTCATTTACCATTATAATGAATGGGAGGCGCAGTTTCTACCAAAACGCTCGCTGCAGACAAACTCCATGTCCTTTTTGAAAAAAGTCTGGACCATGAGTGAGGGCACAAACACAGCTAGTATATATCCAAATGGCAAGTTGCTCCTCCTTTCGGTTTTGCCGAGAGAGCGATGCGTTTGAGCCATTGAGCGATGGGCAGGAAAAACTTGACTTTTTCTCCTGCCATGGGGGGGCGCTCTTTTGGGGAGAAAAAATTCCTTCACAAATGTGTTGATGGCTGGACATTGCATCATCCTAGAAAACTTGGAGGCCAGTGAGGACAAAAATAAAAAGTTATAAGACTTTTAAAAATGTGGATATTTGGGTCCTCTTTGGCGCCCCCTAGAACGTAAACTGTGGGGTGCAGCGTCATGATTTGTACAACTTTGAATGGCCATGGGGTGTAGATTGACCTGAGCAAATTTGAAGCCGACGGGACAAAAGATTTAGGAGGAGTTAGCCACATTCCAATGTGTGCGAATCGGCAAAAAATGCGAAATAGCCCTTTAACCGTACATTGAACAGATACGCTCGCATTGACTTTTTCGTAGATCTTATTGAGATACATGTGTGTGTCAAATTTTGTGTCATTTTGACAAAGCGTAAAGGCGTGACAGTCAACAATGTGTATTTTCGCCTTAGGAGACAAGAAAAAATGGACTTTTTTCTCCTGCCATGGGGGGGCGCTCTTTTGGCGAGTAAAAATTCCTTCACAAATGTGTTGATGGCTGGACATTGCATCATCCTAGAGAACTTGGAGGCCAGTGAGGACAAAAATAAAAAGTTATAAGACTTTTAAGACTGTGGATTTTTGGGTTATCTTTGGCGCCCCCTAGAACGTAAACCGTGGGGTGCAGCGTCATGATTTGTACAACTTTTAATGGCCATGGGGTGTAGATTGGCCTGAGCAAATGTGGTGCCTTTGGAACGAAAGCCTTCGGAGGAGTTAGCGAAATTCCAATGTGTGCGGATCGGCAAAAAATGCGAAATAGCCCTTTAACCGTACATTTGACAGATACGCTCGCACTGACTTTTTTGTAGATCTTATTGAGATACATGTGTGTGTCAATTTTTGTGTCAATATGACAAAGCGTAAAGGCGTGACAGTCAATAGTGTGAATTTTCGCCTTAGGAGACAAGAAAAAATGGACTTTTTTCTCCTGCCATGGGGGGCGCTCTTTTGGCGAGTAAAAATTCCTTCACAAACGTGTTGATGGCTGGACATTGCATCATCCTAGAGAACTTGGAGGCCAGTGAGGACAAAAATAAAAAGTTATAAGACTTTTAAGACTGTGGATTTTTGGGTTATCTTTGGCGCCCCCTAGAACGTAAACCGTGGGGTGCAGCGTCATGATTTGTACAACTTTTAATGGCCATGGGGTGTAGATTGGCCTGAGCAAATGTGGTGCCGGTGGAACGAAAGCCTTCGGAGGAGTTAGCGAAATTCCAATGTGTGCGGATCGGCAAAAAATGCGAAATAACCCTTTAACCGTACATTTGACAGATACGCTCGCACTGACTTTTTTGTAGATCTTATTGAGATACATGTGTGTGTCAATTTTTGTGTCAATATGACAAAGCGTAAAGGCGTGACAGTCAATAGTGTGAATTTTCACCTTAGGGGGCGCTATGGAGCCATTTTGCATTTTATTGTTTGGGCGACTTCAGAATATCGAATTTTTCACCAGGCCCATTCGTCCTGCCAAATTTCATGAGTTTTCGCCAGTGGGAAGTGGGCCATTTTCCCCTTCAAAGGGGAGGAAAAATAAGAAGAAAGAAAGAAAGAAAGAAAGAAAGAAAGAAGAAAGAAAAACCTATACAGGAATAATAGGGCTCTACGCCCGGCTGCTCTGCAGCTGGCTCGGGCCCTAATAATGGACCCACATTCTGTTTTATCAAAAACTGCATTCAAATAAAAACCACAATCACAACTACAAACAATAAAAAAGACCTTGTCTCTGGTACGGAACAAAAACTTCACTCCACACATGACTATCTAAACATTAAAAAATATGGAGTCTCGGGTCAGTAAACAAAATTGCACTAAATAATTAGCTTTGGGTGCTATTCCTCAACAGGTCAACAATAAACATGCATGCGCACCTCAAGCACTTGAGGTGGAAAGGTTATTGTTAGGGCCCGAGCCAGCTGCAGAGCAGCCGGGCGTAGGCCCTATTATTCCCCAAGTGGTTTTTTAGGGCCCGAGCCAGCTGCAGAGCAGCCGGGCGTAGGCCCTATTATTCCCCAAGTGGTTTTTCTTTGTTTCTTTCTTTCTTTTTTCTTTTTCCTCCCCTTTGAACTGGAAAATGGCCCACTTCCCACTGGCGAAAACTCATGAAATTTGGCAGGACGACCGGGCCTGGTGAAAAATTCGATATTCTGAAGTCGCCCAAACAATAAAATGCAAAATGGCTCCATAGCGCCCCCTAAGGTGGAAATTCACACTATTGACTGTCACGCCTGTACGCTTTGTCATATTGACATAAAAATTGACACACATATGTATCTCAATAAGATCTACAAAAAAGTCAGTGCGGCCGTATCTGTCAAATGTACGGTTAAAGGGTTATTCCGCATTTTTTTCCGATCCGCACACATTGGAATTTCGCTAACTCCTCCGAAGGCTTTCGTTCCACCGGCACCACATTTGCTCAGGCCAATCTACACCCCGTGGCCTTTAAAAGTTATCAAAATCATGACGCTGCACCCCACGGTTTAGGTTCTAGGGGGCGCCAAATATAACCCTAAAATCCACTTATTTAAAAGTCTTATAACTTTTTATTTTTCTCCTCACTGGCCTCCAAGTTCTCTAGGATGATGCAATGTCCAGCCATCAACACATTTGTGAAGGAATTTTTACTCCCCAAAAGAGCGCCCCCCCATGGCAGGAGAAAAAAGTCCATTTTTTCTTGTCCCATAAGGTGAAAATACACATTGTTGACTGTCATACCTGTACGCTTTGTCATATTGACACAAAATTTGACAATCACATGTATCTCAATAAGATCTACGAAAAAGTCAATGGGCGCATATCTGTAAAATGTACGGTTAAAGGGCTATTTTGCATTTTTTTCCGATTCGCACACATTGGAATGTGGCTAACTCCTCCTAAGGCTTTCGTCCCACTGACACCAAATTTGCTCAGGCCAATCTACACCCCATGGCTATTCAAAGTTGTAAAAATCATGACGCTGCACCCCACGGTTTACGTTCTAGGGGGCGCCAAAGATGACCCAAAAATCCACATTCTTAAAAGAATCCCCCCCCCCCCCCCCCCCCATCCCCCATCCCCCATGGCAGGAGAAACAGTCAAGTTTTTCCTGCCCATCCCTCAATGGCTCAATCGCATCGCTCTCCCGGCAACACCGTAACGAGGAGCAACTTGCCCTTTGGATATATCCTAGCTGTGTTTGTGGACCCACTCATGGTCCAGACTTTCTTCAAATAGGACATGTAGTTTGTCTGCAGCGAGTGTTTGGTAGAAACTGCGCCTCCCATTCATTATAATGGGAAATGACCACAGACAAGTGCGCACACCATCTTTGGACCTTGAGTGTGACGCGATCGGGAGGGGGGGGCGGTCGCGCCGGGGGCGGCGCAACGCGGCTCGGGCCCGACAGTGCCCCACCGGGGCCCTAGTCTTTGTTTCTTTCTTTCTTTTTTCTTTTTCCTCCCCTTTGAACTGGAAAATGGCCCACTTCCCACTGGCGAAAACTCATGAAATTTGGCAGGACGACCGGGCCTGGTGAAAAATTTGATATTCTGAAGTCGCCCAAACAATAAAATGCAAAATGGCTCCATAGCGCCCCCTAAGGTGGAAATTCACACTATTGACTGTCACGCCTGTACGCTTTGTCATATTGACACAAAAATTGACACACATATGTATCTCAATAAGATCTACAAAAAAGTCAGTGCGGGCGTATCTGTCAAAATTACGGTTAAAGGGTTATTTCGCATTTTTTGCCGATCCGCACACATTGGAATTTCGCTAACTCCTCCAAAGGCTTTCGTTCCACCAGCACCACATTTGCTCAGGCCAATCTACACCCCGTGGCCATTAAAAGTTATCAAAATCATGACGCTGCACCCCAAGGTTTAGGTTCTAGGGGGCGCCAAAGATAACACTAAAATCCACATATTTAAAAGTCTTATAACTTTTTATTTTTGTCCTCACTGGCCTCCAAGTTTTCTAGGATGATGCAATGTCCAGCCATCAACACATTTGTGAAGGAATTTTTACTCCCCAAAAGAGCGCCCCCCCATGGCAGGAGAAAAAAGTCAATTTTTTCTTGTCCCCTAAGGTGAAAATACACATTGTTGAGTGTCACGCCTATACGCTTTGTCAAAATGACACAAAAATTGACACACACATGTAACTCAATAAGATCTACAAAAAAGTCCATGCGCGCGTATCTGTCAAATGTACAGTTAAAGGGTTATTCCGCATTTTTTGCCGATACGCACACATTGGAATTTCGCTAACTCCTCCGAAGGCTTTCGTTCCACCGGCACCACATTTGCTCAGGCCAATCTACACCCCATGGCCATTAAAAGTTATTCAAATCATGATGCTGCACCCCATGGTTTAGGTTCTAGGGGGCGCCAAAGATAACCCAAAAATCCACATTCTTAAAAGTCTTATAACTTTTTATTTTTGTCCTCACTGCCCTCCAAGTTTTCTAGGATGATGCAATGTCCAGCCATCAACACATTTGTGAAGGAATTTTTACTCCCCAAAAGAGCGCCCCCCCATGGCAGGAGAAAAAAGTCAATTTTTTCTTGTCCCCTTACATGAAAATACACATTGTTGAGTGTCACGCCTGAACGCTTTGTCATATTGACACAAAAATTGACAATCATGTGTATCTCAATTAGATCTACGAAAAAGTCAAAGAGCGCGTATCTGTATAATGTACGGTTAAAGGGCTATTTCGCATTTTTTGCCGATTCGCACACATTGGAATGTGGCTATCTCCTCCTAAGGCTTTCGTCCCACTGATACCAAATTTGCTCAGGGCAATCTACACCCCATGCCCATTCAAAGTTGTAAAAATCATGACGCTGCACCCCACGGTTTACGTTCTAGGGGGTGCCAAAGATGACCCAAAAATCCACATTCTTAAAAGTCATTTTGGCCACTGCAGGAGTACAGAGTACTGCAGTTCTAGGGGGCGCCAAAGATGACCCAAAAATCCACATTCTTAAAAGTCTTTTTGGCCACTGCAGGAGTACAGAGTACTGCAGGATACACACACATATACACACACGCCAACACACACACACACACACACACACACACACACACACACACACACTCAGAGTCTGTTTTTTAGCACCTGCAAAAACATGCTGTTTACATATTTGACAAGAATGCAGAGGCTTCCTTTTGCCCCTGAAAAAAATCAAATTTCAAACACAACTTGACTGTTCATTTCTCCAAAAGACAACCATGAAGCTCCATCCAAACCTGAAGCAGATAGTTGGTGCATGTGTACAGTAACCTGAGGGGAGTGAGGTGACTATTTCTGAGGAGAACATGAGCAGTGAAGATTCACCTTGGAGCTAGAACAGGGACGTGCACATGATTATACAGGGGCAGGGGCTCAAGTTTTTTCCAGTCATTTATACAATATGGAAATTAATGTGAAATTAAAAAACAAAGTATTAATAGAAAGGTAATGACTGTCCTGTGTAGGTGACAGTGATATCCAATAGGCTAGGCACTCACGAGGCTGGCTGTGGCAAGTGTAAGTGAAAGCAACACGCACTGGCAGGAAGAACAGCAAACGCCGATGAAGGAAAGGGTCTTTGCAGTGATGGGCGTTACCAGAGAGGACGATGGCCAGAGGACGCGAATGGGACGGGGAGGCAGCGCGTTGGGGGGGGCAGCGCGACACGGCTCGGGCCCGCCAGTGCCCCAACGGGGCCCTAGTTTGATTTTGCTTCTTCTGCTTCATTTGGTTAGGACATGTAGTGCCTGAGTCAATATGAAGTTAAACTTGAGGATGCTGGTGTAGTGTTAGCTTCAGCTCAACTTCACATTGACTCATGGCCTAACCAAATGACACACTGAAAAGCACATGAAGTGAAATTAAACAATAACCTTTTCACTCATTTCGTTGCTTGTTTTTTCGCCATCGTCTCCTGTATTTTGATCATAAAACACTGGCACATTATCATTATTGGTCCCTGGCAGCTCTTCTGTTGTGGCTTTTTTTATTTGCATCCTTTTTTTTTCGCAATGAGTAACTTTTTTCTTTTCCATCCATCCCCACTTTTTTTGCGTGGTTAACTTCCATTGTGACTTTTTTTTTTTTCATTCTTTTTTTTATTTGCAGCAGGGGCAGTTCTCGGCCACCGTACAAAGTGACTGAACTTGACCTAGATTTGCATTGTTTATAAATTCACATATGTCTGCATCAACCATACCAGGGAGACATTAGAATTAAAAAATATTTATGTTAAATGAGGACTGAGCAATTTGGCTGATTGAAGCTTTGAAAAGGCCACGGCATTGTCAAGGAGTCCTGGGTTAATCATGTATAGATGGGAACACAGTGCTAGTCACATAGTTACATTTGCTTAATCAGTGTTAAATCTCTGCTAATATGTTCATGGATGGGGACAGAAACTCTCTAACTTCCTTTCCTTCTCTTCTAGCCTCCCTGGGTGATATTTCCCGTTTCACCAAAGACTTCACCACCATGGCTGATGTGGACTCCTACCTGTCTTTTAACTTCAGCTCCTGCCTCTGCCTCACTGCCGGCATCCTGCAGAAGTTTCCGCAGAGACCAGGTTTGAAGAGGACTGTGGTGAACGTGTCCTCGAAGTGCGCCGTGCAGCCGTGCTCCTCCTGGGTGCTGTACTGCAGCGGCAAAGCTGCCCGACATATGATGTTCAAGGTGCTGGCACAGGAGGAGCCAGACCTCAGGGTGCTCAACTACTCTCCAGGTCAGGGAGTGATCAAACTTTCTGTCTGTACTGTTTAAGATAGTTTGGACTGGGTCTGAGTTTAAAGGGATATTCCGGTGCAAAATTAATTTAGGGTCAAACACACCGTAACACAGTAACACCGAGTTAGACACCCCCTCGAGAGATTAATGATGCCAACCGCTTGCTTCTCTACTTATACCAACTTTAGTAACGACCGCAGGATAGCAATTCACAGTGGTCTAAACAAACCTGAAACAAAACGCCACTCTATAGCCAAAAATAATGATCAGAACAGCACCTAACTTCATCAACAGTACATATAGGGTCCCAGTCGTAGCACTAGCCACCAAACATCTTTTTAACTTTGCCCAATTTCTTTAGCAAAGAGACTAAACGCAATTCGCTTACTCTCTTCCAGCAGTCACTTGTTTGTAGCAAGTCCATTATGGACTGCTGGGGGGTGACGCAGCTCAAGGAAGAACATTTATGATCATTTCTTTATCATTTCCTTGAAATAATAAACAACATATTAATCATTTTGCACTGCAGACGCGGTAGTTCTTCTGCCTTAGCATCTAGATCTGATTGCATTTCCATGAAGAAATAATCATAAATGTTCTTCCTTGAGCTGTGTCACCCCGCAGCAGTCCGTAATGGACTGGCCCGAGGTCTTGCTGCAAACAAGCAGCTGCTGGAAGAGAGTAAGCGAATTGCGTTTAGTCTCTTTGCTAAAGAAATTAGACAAAGTTAAAAAGATATTTGGTGGCTAGTGCTGTGGCTAGGACCCTATATGTACTGTTGATGAAGTTAGGTGCTGTTCTGAGCATTATTTGTGGCTATAGAGTGGCGTTTTGGTTGAGGTTTGTTTAAGAGAAGCAAGCAGTCTGCAACATTCATCCCTCGAAGGGGTGTCTAACTTGGTGTTACGGTGTGTTTGACCCTAAATTAATTTTACACCGGAATATCCCTTTAAAGGAGTCTTCATTATATCTAATAAAACCATAACAGTTTTCAATCACAACATTTGACACGTTGTCTTTGCAGCATTTAGGATCTGAATGATTTGAAAACCATCAAAATCTGTTTTTCCTTAATATTTTACACGATGCCCCAACTGTTTTGTAATTGAGAGCTGTATTTCATAATGTAACTTTTGGAATACGCAGTTACACAGTACACCATGAAAAGCATTGTTCAAAGCCTTTATCTTCACAGTTCAGTCTCCCTGTCAAAGATTCTTGTGCTGATTTTTTAGTTTCTATCACAAAGTTAAAATCAGATTTTCAAATGTGTTGTAGGTCAGAGTCAAGGCAGGACGGTGAGTCCAAAGTCCTCGTACTTTTCAGAGAAACCTGTTTATCTAATCTCTGTGTTGTTCCAGGCCCCATGGACACAGCCATGCTGGAGGAGGGTCGGCTCAGAACAGGTGACCCCAGTCTGAAGAAGTTTATCTCTGATATGTATCTTGAGGAGAAGGTGCTCACCTGTGAGGAGTCCTGCGCTAAGATGATGAAGCTGCTGCTGGAGGACAATTACACCTCAGGAGATCATATTGACGTTTTTGAGGTGTAGACTAGGCCTGGCAGGAAATATCAAGTCTGACTAAATGTGCCTTTTTAAAATCCAAACTCTGCTCGGGACACTTACAAATTTACATTTGAGAGTAGCTTACAGTCTAAGCAGCACTCAGCAAAGTGTTTGTGATCATATTTTACTGTTACACAAAGATTTCTAAAACCATCCGTCTATTTTGACTTTAACAGAAACAGTTGATTTTACATATAGTGGGGTCACAAAGTGAGATTCTGTGACCATCCTTTGGCAAGGATGTTTTGACAATTGATTTGACCTCTATGGACCCTTTAGAAAAGATTTAGCCCCCAGGTCCCTCGCAAAAATCCCGGCATTTTTTGCTAGACAGCTAAATTCAAGATGGCGGCCAGCGCCATCTCTAAAAATTAACTTTTGATCTGGATGACCTAGAATCATGTATGAAGGCACTTTCATTACTATACTTTCTATACTTCTATACTTTCTATACTATATTTTCATTACTATACTATATACTAATACTTTCATTGTGACATACGTTATTGACCTGAAACCAAAATGGATTAATATTCTGAGAACACATCATAAATCCAGGGTTTGGTGTATACGCTCTTTAGGGTCAATGTTTAATTTTGTTATGTTTATAAGATCAGCTCCAAAAAAGAACTGGGACTTACTGTTAAATCTACTTGCCTTGTGAGACAGCTAACTTTCGGGCAATCAAATTGGTTTGTTTCTGCAACATCATAAGTCTTTTCTTTCCCACAGAAAAGATCACTGTATTTTTATAAAGTGTCCTGATCCAGTAAATCAAACTATTAAATCCAAGCATTATTTGGTTGTCCATGGTGGATGAAGTTCACATAATCCTTCTTACAACAGTTGCTGACCGTGAAGCAGATCAGAAGATTACCAAAGGTGATGTAACATTTGTTTGTTTTTTTTCTGCTGCAGTGGAGGTCGAGCTCTGGGTGGCACAGGAAGAAATTAACTCAAATGAAGGAAAATTTAATCAAGAATTAGCTCTACAGAAAAACTTCTGTTGTGTAATCAATATACTCAAATATAAAAGAAAGTTTGATATCAGTATTACTGCGCTGCCTGACTTATCTTACCAGAGGAATGCTCCTGCTGATTTAGCTTCTCGTTGTGTGACTTCATGGACTAAAAAGTAAAGATAAAGAACTAATTATTGATTAAACACACACCAGAGAGGCCTCAGAAAAATGTGTCAGATGTAATGAAAGCTTTATAATTCTTATGTCGTACGAAGGACCCAGTAATACTCTCAATAACTGTTCAAATTTAGATCATACTCTGATGGTTCTGTTCAACTGGGCACCACATACAGCATTTTCTGTCATGGCATTTTATTTTATTTTCTAAATGTTTTCTTACAATCTTTAAGGTCTGCTTTAAAATGTCATCCGCTGCTGGGATTAGGATCAATCCAGGTCTCATCTTAAAGCCTCCTCAGTACCTACATGCAGTTTAAACATAACTGCATCCTCACACATCCATGAAATCTGTAATCAGGACAGAGTGTTTTACTCCACTGTTTCACTGATATGAACAAGCATCTCCCACACTTACATTTTTACATTTTACTGTCAAATCACAGATGAATCCAGGAGAGCGCCAGGGGTGACCATAATAATATTAATATTAAAATATGAAAAAGCATAACATAGAACAAACAAAATAGAAATCTAAAAGTTTAATAAAGATTGAAAATATGCCATTTTTGTTGGGTAAGTTTAGAAATTCCTAATGTTTTTGACGTGTTGTGGTGACCTACTTGACTGTTGGATGTCAGAGTAGGTCTAACTTGTCCAATTGTTTTTCATTCATGTGTGTGAACATTTACTTGATGCCACCCCAGTTACAGTGTCTAGTTTAGGCCAGTTTACTCTAAAAGGTCAAATCCGAGTTATCCAAAAATGTTTCTCTGGAATAAACAAGTGATAAATAGAACCAGGAGATGGCGATACCGGATCTACTCCAGGACTAAAAACCACGAAGAAGACAGAACCGCTGCACTTCACATCTTTCCCAACATCGCAGTGAACCTCGGTCTATCCCGGTCCTCTTGCTGTCTTTCCTCACCATGTCGTCCTCAGACCTGGGCCGGGCGCTCTGCATCATCACCGGGGCCTCCAGGGGCTTCGGCCGGGCTGTCGCGGTGCAGCTGTCCCGGCTGGTGAAGCCCGGCTCGGTGCTCGTGCTGACGGCTCGCTCCGGGGACGACCTCCGGGCTCTACAAGAGGAGCTGTCCGGGTCAGAGGCAGGCAAAGCCGGATTGAAGGCTGTGTGTGTGGTGACAGATCTGGGACAGAAGGAAGGACCGGAGAGCATCGTGAAGGCTGCTGTAGAGGCTTCTTCTGAGGAGATAGAGCACATCATACTGATCAACAACGCAGGTAAGAGGACCACCTGTTGAGTTTTTAAGAGTAAACTTGGATGATTCATTCAGTGTAACTAACAAAGACTGTATATAGTATGTACAGTCTGTGGTAGATAACTGCTAGAACATGAATTATTCTTATCAATGCAATTTAATAGGGGAGACTGGGGTCGTCTGTGGAAAGTGTACTTTGTATTTTACTTATTTAGCTGCAACAAATCCTGTCTGAGGTGGACCCACTAAATTTCAATACATTCAGTCTACATCTGTCTGTATTAATTGAACTATGATGTTTAAATATTATTTCAAAAGGACATATTGCAGACAATTTACCAGAATGATAGAGGTCAGTCTTTATTATTCAAAATCATTATTTGTTATCATTTTGGTCTCATGATTGTGGTCACATGTCACAGCTGGGGGTGTTAGACTGCCAGTATAGGGCAGGTGAAGGCGGTAGTTTTATATAGGTTTTGACCACACGTGTATATTTTTCTTGTTTATTAGTTAAAGCAGAGCTTCTGTTATCATTGAATTTAATATTAATTTTTAAGAAGCTTTTGTGGACATTTTAATTTTTGGGGAAATAAACCCTTCAACATTGGATCAATATTGGTTTTGACCAATACTGAAGGCTACAACATTGGTATTGTATCAGAAGTTAAAAAAAAGTTGTATACGGACACCCCTAGTTTCAGTGGTGAAACAAAGGCTTAATAAAGGCTTTGTCTCAGGTGTAATAAGTAAGTGTATTACGCTAAATGAAAGTGTGTGAAAACCTGTCCAAATTATGATTGGTCAGCAGGGGGCGGCTCCACTGACTGCAAAAATAAGTATGATTGTTTATTGAACTATATTGATTGTATTTGGCTGTGTGGGAAAATGGTCCTACATTTGGTGGATTTAGTTTTCTTGTGGAGTTTATGCTTCACCATCTAGAGAGCATGTTTTAGCAGAAAATATATTTTCTGAAGTATTTTCTTGTTGGCAAAGCTCTGGAAGATTTAAAGTCCAGCTGTGAATTTGTGTCAGGCGACTCAGTCATGGGATTTGCACATGTTGAAATGATTAACAGTCCTGCAAATTCTGACAGATCAGAAGCTAAAAGCAATGATTGAACAAATTTTAACATCCAAACTAATGAAAAGCAGAAATAGTGGCATTTACTCTGCAAATGTCATTTTTACTGTTGAGTATTAATGAACTGCGATGGGATGTGCAAAATAAAAAAGGCATTTCTTAAAAGCAATAGTTGGATTTTTACAAAAACCATTGTGAATTTTGCAATTACAATCAATAATACAAAGATGCTTAAACTACTGAGCAATATGCAGAAACCACTGTACAATATACATAACTGCGTATACAAATACTACAATTACCTACTATTGTGAAACATACACAGATACTTGTTTTCTACATTATTATTGTGCATCATGGTATGTCAATAATGTGATACACATTAAATGTAAAATTTACAATTTTAAGTTTGTAATACACATTTAATACCATGTTACTGACAGATCTTCACTGCAATTTACTTTCCTTTACTTCAATAAAATTTGCCTTGTCACTGTGGATGCTTGGTCCTTGAAAAGCTTTCCTTATATGTATTGTTCAAGGACTAAAGGCTGTTTTCCAGTCACTTCTACCCTATGTTGTGAAGGGGTTATTTGCACAAGTTCTATACCTTTGTTTGATCAATGTCATGTAAGGTTACTCTGAACAGGGTTTAGATGAAACTTCTCAACAGTGTTTTGGTTGTTTTTGCCTCATAGTGAATGTAACTGCTGTTTTACTTAAAAACAATCCTCTCTGTATTCACAAGAATCTATAAGAAGCCCCTTTCTTCCTTCATAGGCTCCCTGGGTGATGTTTCCCGTTTCACCAAAGACTTCACCACCATGGCTGATGTGGACTCCTACCTGTCTTTTAACTTCAGCTCCTGCCTCTGCCTCACTGCCGGCATCTTGCAGAAGTTTCCGAAGAGACCAGGTTTGAAGAGGACTGTGGTGAACGTGTCCTCGCTGTGCGCCCTGCAGCCATTCTCCTCCTGGGTGCTGTACTGCAGCGGCAAAGCTGCCCGACATATGATGTTCAAGGTGCTGGCACAGGAGGAGCCAGACCTCAGGGTGCTCAACTACTCTCCAGGTCAGGAAACCTAAGCTCGTCTTCTTGAGAATATGGCTTAAGTGGTGGTAGTGAAAGAGTTCTGAAAGTAGCGTAAAAGACTGAATTAAGTAGATGAATGAAACAGTTTTTGGATGTAGTTTTCTACTCTTGATTTACTTTTTCCTTCCAGAACTTAAAAATAGACAGGTCGCCAGTGTGAGGAAGAAATCAAACCATAAGACGGTTGAGCAAAGCCATGCAAGAGCTCAGGCAAAAGCATGACCATCCCCAACTATTACACACTCAAACCTTCAACCTCAGATTAAAAATAAAACAAAATCTTATTTTTTTTGTCTGAGAAATCTATCATATTACTCTGGAAATTATAGATATAAGTTAACAGCTAAAAAAATTCTTTTTGTGTCAGTTTTTTGTCCCATGAAAACAGAATGTGGGGATTTCTTTGGACCCGAGCTCATTTAAGATGGACTGAAACAAAATGAAAAACTGTCCCGTGGTCTGGCTAACCAAAATCAGACTTTTTTTTTCAATTTGACACAGAAAGATTTTCTTTTCTCTAGGTTCCTCTTTGCAGGCTGATATTTTTACCCCTTTATCCTGTTTCTCTGTTTGGATCCAGGTCCTCTGGACACAGCCATGCAGGAGGTGGCTCGGTCCGTCACAGGTGACTCCGGTCTCAGGAAAGCTTTCTCTGACATGTTCTCTGAGGGGAAGCTGCTCACCTGTGAGGAGTCCTGCGCTAAGATGATGAAGCTGCTGCTGGAGGACAAATACACATCAGGAGATCAAATTGATGTCTATGACAGGACCTGATTATATGTGTGCCTTTAATTCCATTCAAACTCGGTTCAGGAAGCTGTTACTGTCATGTTTATCCTCACTTATTAACCAAAGTTTGTTTTTGTGAACTATTCATGCTTTCATTTTATGACTTTAATGTGTTCAATCAGTAAATCTTTGTCTGATAAATTCAAATTGTAGTGAAGTCTAGAGGTTTTTAATATACCTTACTTATATAATCTGTCAATGAGCTGCTTCCTGACATGACAGATTTACAGTAATCAGTATTTCATATTCTTTTAATGCTGTGTCAGGGCATTATGATTTAAAAGAGAAATATTGTAGACATGTTTGAACTTTGACTTTACACATTCCTTGGTATATGACTTGAAATTCTGGTTTAATAATGACCTGAAACTATTCCTCAATAGCTGCTTATCTCAGGCTGTTTTTCTAATAATTCTGAATGATTTAAAATGATAAAATCAGATTTTTTCATCATTATTTTTGCTGCCAAAAGACCGATAATCTTAGAAGAATAGAAATGACAGAAATGATGCCAAACTTTAAGTTCAGAAGCACATTTACATTTCTGATTAAGTTTCATGATTATATATATTTTTTGTAACACAGTGTCATAATAAAATGCATATCAAAACCATTTCTGTGAGAGTAATTTTTAAATGTAGCAAACGCCTCAGTGCTTAAAATGATTTAAGGTTTATCTTTGGAAACAGGAAGGGTTTTTTTTTTGAAGCCCTCAAAACAATCATAAAAAATGAGGACAGACGTGTTGGAATTACAGATCACATTATGAAAAAAAGTCATGATGATTATGGAAATACAGCTGTTGTGCCTTTAAAGCATCAAATGGATTAACTCGAGAGACAATATACTTTCATGAAACATTTCTACTTCCTGCTTCAGTCATAAGTCACTACGCTGTATCTGAACAACCATCTCCATACTGTCGCCTTCATTTGTTCTGTCCATTTTCAGCTTCACCAGAACAGCTCTCAAAAGGTCGATGGCGCAAAATTTCATCAAACACAAAAACATTTTACGAAACACAAGAATTAGAAAACAAACAAATGAACATAAAAATATTTACAAATACATTTTGAAATCCATTTGTTATACAAATACATTTTGAAATCCATTTGTTTAATATATATTTATGTATACATATAATCTTTTTTGCTATTCCATCATTTTTTATGCTTGTATGATTTATTTGTGTTTTTCCAAAATATATTTTGTGTTTATGTTTTGGGTTTTATGAAAAAAAAAAAAAGATTTAATTAAATGTTTTGTCTTTTTTTATTTTTTATTTTTAATCCTCTTCCTAAAACATTTGTGCCATTTACTTTCATTGTCACCATACGTTACAACTTAATTAATTAAAAATTGACCCAGGTAGAGGACCGGCTGAAACATCAGGCTTTCATCTGCTAAAACCTGCTCACACTCGCTCCTCCTATTCTTTGCCTCTTCTTAATAACTGGGTTTATCATGTGGATGAAAAACTAAAGGTTTTCAGCTCATTTCTAATGAATAAGTAATGGGGTTATAAAGAAATCTGCCAGCCAGCACAAGATGTTCCCTGCAGAGCTACCAGCACCTCCTCTCCTACTTCGAGACATTTATACTTTCTTTCTTTATTGGGATCCCCTTCAGCTTTGGTAACAGCATCGGCTGTTCTTTCTTGGGTCCTACACTGGAGCCTGCTGCCCATGAGCAGAGAGACAAGGTCCAAGATATCTAGAAAATAACTTTAAAAAAGGAGCTAAACAATGCAACTTTTAACAGGGGCTTTTTTAAATGTAAAAAATGATCACATCCCACTGAAACGACAGGTCCCTCTCCTTTTTGATGTTGCATCATTAGGTGATGAATTTAAGAGGCGTTCTGGTGAAGATGCAGCACAGAGTAGTGAACTGAGTGTCTGTCCAGGGGTGTTTCTTGGACTTAGTACATGGGGGGCTAAGCCCGGACCCCTCACAATCCCACCCAGAAAAGAGAAGGCAAAACAAAATAAATACAGCCATAACGGCCAGAGGAACAGTGTTTTGTGTCTTGACTTGGATCAAGGATCATCCATTTTTATTACCTCAACAGAGGTGAGCTTTGCATTGTAGGAGAGTCTTATCTGAATCATCCTGTTGTAATGAGGCCTCCAAATGCTGCAAGTAAGACGTGATTCCAACTAGAAAAAATATTGGATTTTTTTTGCCCACTGAAACTAAAAGGCATTTCAGTTTAAAGACAAAGACTTAATCTAAAGTAGCCGCCCAAATCAGTGCTGGCTCATTCTGCTGCCCCCTGGTGGCTAAATAAATACCAGGGCCAGATTTGAAGGATTGCTGAGGGAGTGAAAGTGACTACCTTCACTGTACAGTGCCAGAATAAGGTGAGATACAGCAGACTGTCTCTCATGTATGTCTGACTGACAGCCACAGCTGCCCAGGACTAAAATATCCCACAGGAACCGACCCAAAGAAGGGGAAGACGCCCACTATGACCCCCTCAGACTCCCTCCTCTCACCCCTGTCCCACCCTGGGGAGGTGGTACAAGCCCACAGGGTGCACTTTTATTTTTAGCTCTTTCAAGGGTCGGGCAAGTGCTCCTGAATGTTTGTGAGGATTTCTCCCTGCAGCTCTTTGACTCCTTCGTCCCTCCCTCAGACGCTCACTCCTCTCCCTCTGTCTCTGTGTTTTGTTTGGCCAGGACAATGACTGCGGGGAACATGGAGAGCGCCGAGCTGTTCGATGCTGGGAATAAAGGTCGCGGCCTGAGAGCCACCAAGAACCTCAAAGCTGGGGAGGTGGTCTTTGCAGAAGCAAGTTTCTCTGCCGTGGTCTTTGACAGGTAAGTGTTTCCTGCTTTTTGTGTTTTCTTTAGATTTGATTGAGGGGGAAAACAGATGATCAATTCACCTGAAGGCTGCAGGTGAGCTGTGGACAGCAGGTTTTCTCTCACTGTGACCTTGTTTCTTGAGGCCCAAATTCTCATGACAGCAGCAATGTGAAAACTGTAGAGGTGTCCAGTGAACTTGGGTATGACGTACTGTTGGATTCAGTTTCAAAGGATCCTGACGCCTTTCAAACTTTCAAAACCACTGGTCTAATCAAAAGAATAATAAAAGAATTTTATAAAATCCCAATCATGTCTGAACCAGAGGTGTCAGGCTCTTTGTGGCACCACTTTGAAGTCCTTGTTTCTGAGCTTCTTGCTGTGCCTTAAAGCATACATTAGTCACACTTCTTCACAAGGTGTTTCAGAAGACAGAAAGTTTTGTGGTGGTGTGTTGCAGACATTTGGTGCTTAGAAACTAAAGGCTGCTTGTCAGTGTTTAGTTTATGCTCTAAAGACAGAAAGCAGACCTGCAAAAGTTCAAACAGCTCTTGTTGTAGTTACCCATTAGTTATCCGTTTGGCACCTTAAACTTTAAATCTTCACTGAAGCAAAAAAGCAGCTGCCTCTACGACTAGTTCATATTATGTTTCAAACCTAAGCTTTGATTTTACAGCCGTGATGTACAGGTTTAAATTAACGGTTTAGTTTTACATGACCAAAACTGTTGACCAATAGTTGTGCACGAGGCTAGCTATGTCGAGTGGTGCAAACATGAACAACCTTACATGTTTTGTACACACTGTGCTGAAGCTTCATTTTATTTTAATTCATTTCCTCTTCTTCTACTGCTGCTGAAGTTTTGTTTACCACCTGACTTCCTTCATGTATTTTTGGTTTTGGACCTCTGGTGCACTAACTTTGGAGCATGCTCAGAGCGCTTAGGCCAGTTTGGGTCCTCTACAGATGAGAGAAAATCAACCCCAAACTGTTTTATTATCGAGCTTTGTTTGTTCGACTTTGAGAAATTTGTGATTTTAGTCAAACTGACGTATTAATGTGTATTTGAAACGTTTTATTTTCACTAACCCAGTAGATTTCTAGATTTCTAAAAAAATATTGTATTTACAGATTAATGGCAAAAGTTTTGGACTCGCTTCATAACTTTGCATCAGACTGAAGTCGTGTAACTGTATCACTGTTGAGATCAAATGGGCTTCATCAAACTACGCCCAATAAAAGTTCTTGTTTTTGTCCCTGACAGGCTCAGATTGTCATGTTTTAGTGTCTGATTATGTTACAGGAAGGATGAGGAAAGAGTTGACCCTTTAAAAAAATGAAAAAAGAGAGAATTGATTTTTTTTTTCACACTTTTTAAGGACATCAGACTTCACTTATGAAATACAGTCATTATTTCCTTGCAGCACATTATTGTGTTCCCATCCTACCAGTCTGCTGTGGTTCATCATAGAGATAGTCTGATTAAGCAATCAGTTCCCTTAACCAGGCCAAGTGACAACATTTTGAGATGATCAGCATCATCTGATGCCTCAACAATCACATTGGCCATCACAGCCTGGTTCACTGCTGCCGGCCGAAGCAACCTGCTGCAACAACTGGAAAATTTCTGGTCGTTTTAAAATGATTAAAATTAAGAGCAGAGCAGGCTGTAATTCCCAACAAAGATCAAGTCCTATCCTCTGAGAGTTTCTGTTGTCCAGCTGACAGGTTCTTGTGTTTTACTCTGTGTCTGACAGCATCACAGAAAGGATCCCTTCAAAGTCTGACCCTCTTTTAAAGATTATAAAGTTTGTTCTTCAAACAGTGTACAGGGCAGTGAACATTAATACTACAAAATATATATTCTACTTGTGCAATGTGCATTTTCACTCTTGTCATCTTAGTTGTCCACCATGCACTCTACACTATAAACAGTGTAGTGAGTAGTATGTACACTGCAAAATTGGATTACAGAGTAGTAAGCTTTAATGCAATGTATATTATTGACTATGCAATGTTCACTTAATTTAGTGCACATACATTTTGAGAATGCAGAAAAAAATCTTTATTGTAGTAGAAACCACATCCCATGCAGTCTAACCTCTGCTATGTAAACTACTCTTTTTTTAGTGCAGCATACTTTATCTACTGTGTGATATGCCATACAGTAAATTCCATGCAATCTACACTGTGGTTAGTGCAACAAAAATATCTACCATGAATGTTTTAAATGCAATGTACTTTATCTAACAGGCAAGCATCACTTTTCACAGTGCTGTAAATATGATCAAATTGCATCACATATTATCTCCACTGCATTTCATACTTTTTATCTACCATGCGTTGTACATTTTCTTCTTTGCTATCTGGAGTGTAACAGTGTCGATTGATTTGAAACACAAAACAGCTGTTTCATAGTTTTCTCTAAAGCCACAAGAGTTTATGAACAGAAACAGTGATATTACTTTGTGCTGAACACAGAAGCTGCTGGTCCCCCACAGCTTGATAGTTTACAAGTGAATCAGCTGCTTTATGTTTAGCAAAGTAACAACAGTTTGAAGCCTGCTGCTAAAAGAGATTTGGAACTTTTTGTTACCTCAATACTTCAAAACAATGACGAACAATATCAACATGATTGGCTGCAGTAGCCGCCAATCAATCAAATTGTGTCTGATGAAAACTTTGGTTTCATATTTTGTGTTGAAATTTAGTTTGAAAATAATAATAATAATAATTAAGTTAAAATAAAAATAAATAAACTGATGTCTTTCTTTTTTTCTGCCATTCAGGTGATGCGAAAAGTATCCAATCCTTTCGGATGTTGAGCATGTTTTTAATCGGAGTTTGGCTCAGTTTGTTAGTGTGCTGAAAACTCACTGTCTGTTCTCTGCCCGTTTGGACAATATTCAGTTTGAACACTCACTTCTGTCAGCTCAGAGTTTTTCTGCATTGTTGTTTCCAAATCTGTGAATAATGTGAATTCAAATAAATCGTGTTGCCATGTTTGTGAATGTTTGTGAACATGAAATATTTTTATGCTCCTGCCTTGAATTTAAAAGAAATCATTCTTGACACTTTTTCCTTTAATTGTAATTTTTAAAATGGAAAATTCACGGCAGAGTTCTGTAGCAATTCTAAAATTTAAGACTGCTTTGTTGCAAATCGTCACAGGGTTAAAGAATTATTTAGCAACACAGAAAATTGTTTTTGTCTTTTTATCGTTGCAGTTTCAGAAATTCTCTTATTTTTTATTTTTCCAGTTTCGCCAGTCAGGTGTGCCACAACTGTTTCCGGCGTCAGGCCAACCTGCACCGCTGTGCCCAGTGTAAGTTTGCGCACTACTGTGACCGCACTTGTCAGACAGCATGTTGGGACGAACACAAGCAAGAGTGTGGAGCCATCAGGAAGAGGATCAACGCCCCGAGCGAGAGTGTACGGTAAGAAACACAGATTTGATCCATCCCACTGGGGGGCAGAGAGAGAGGGAGAGCTGCAGAAGGAGGGCTGAACTTTACAGAACAAGATGCTCAACTTAAGCCCCAAAGTTTGTATGGACCGGTCACCTTGAGAGCGGTTTTTTCTTGGGTCTATAAAGTATCCTCTGTTAGAGTTTACAAGGTCAGTCAAGTCCATCCTGTGCAGGAAGTCGATGTAGTTATTGTGATGCCATCTAGGCTCTGTCCACTACATTCTTAAAGCCTGGAGTTTGGCAGTGCTGCAGTTGCCTCAATTTTTTTTACACATAGTCTGTTTCTGGTTCAGTCTGGCTGCTCGGGTGCTGTGGCGTATTCACAAGGACACAAGCATCGTCTCAGACACTCAGCTGGTTGCAGTGGACCAGCTTGAGGACCACGTGTCTGACCTTCCTGAGGAGGACCTGAAGAAGATGAAGAAGGATGTGCAGATCTTCCAGGAGTACTGGTCCTACGGCAGGAAGAAGCACACTGCAGAGGAAATCTCACACATCTTTGGAATTGTAAGAACTGACAGAACATTGTGCAGTTCAGCTTTTGCTCTTTGAACCTCTCTCCCTTCATATCATCAGCCCTTTTCCTTCTCTCCTCTCTGCAGATTAAGTGTAATGGATTCACTCTGAGTGATCAGAGGGGCCTGCAGGCTGTGGGTGTCGGCCTTTTCCCAAATCTTTGTCTGGTTAACCACAACTGTTGGCCAAACTGCACCGTTATCCTCAACAACGGCAAGTACGTATCTGAGCCAACTGATAGTCATCCTTGACTGTATACCTTACATGAATAATACAATTGACAATATTTGGACCATGAATGAAAAGTCAAATATTATCTACCAGGATTGAACCGACTCTGATTTTGTTTTTCAGCCAGTCTGCTGTGAGTTCTGCGCTCCATTCTAAGAGGAGGTTTGTATATCACTGTCCACACATCAATATCCCTAATGGATGTTTTTACTCATTGCAAATATGGGCTCTAGCTTGGGCCTGTTTTGACATGCACAATATTGGAATTTTTTGCATGTTAAACAGAAAGGTACAATAATTTAAACCGTCAGTTCAGATCCAGACTCCGCTCTCTCCTGCTCTCTTCCCCTGTTTTAGGATCGAGCTGCGAGCTTTGGAGAAAATCCCTGAAGGTCAGGAGCTGACTGTTGGCTATGTGGACTTCCTGAACCTGTCAGCTGACCGTCAGAAGAAGCTGAAGGAACATTTCTATTTTGAGTGCAGCTGTGAACACTGCAGCAAGCACATAAAGGATGACCTGATGATGGCTGCTGCAGACAGCAAAGTCAGGGAGGGGAGGGGAGGACTGGTTTCAGTAGAAAATACAGACCTTTGATTCTTGTCTATGATAATAACTCTGTGTGTTTCTGTTTGCTCTCAGCCGTCTGCTGATAAAGTGAAGGAGGTGACGGCCTTCAGTAAAGACTGTCTGGAGAAGATTGAGCGGGCTCGTGTGGACATGGATTACCATGAGGTAAACCACATGACTTCAGTATTTTCTTCATGTCTGTCCTCCTCATTGTCCTAACATGACCATCACTCTGAGTTCCAACGTTCAGTCAGCTGTTGGGAATCTTGGCTTTATTTTTGACAACCATCTTAAACTTGATGAGCAGATCAGTCATGTTGTTAAAACAAGCTTTTTTCCAGCTCTGTCTTTTAGCAAAGGCTAAAAATTATTTTTTAAAAGGCTGATCTTGAGAAAACTATTCATGCCTTTATAACATCACAAATAGATTACTGCAGCTCCTTGTATGCAGGCTTGGACAAGTCATCCATCAACCGCCTTCATCTCATCCAAAACCCTGCTGCTCGGCTCCTCGCTCGCTCCAATTTTAGTGACCCTTCACTGGCTTACAATCCACTTTCACATTGATTTTAAAACTCTTTTAATTGTTTTTGAAGCCCTCAATGGGGCTTTTTTTTGCCCCTCCTTACTTGTCAGAGCTCCTGCATCACCACTCCCCAGCCAGAGCCTTAAGGTTCTCTGACCAGTTACTGTTGAGCGTCCCCAAAACCAGATTCAAGTCTAGAGGTGACAGGGCTTTTTCAGCGGTTGCCCCCAGACTGTGAAACAGTTTACTTGTCATACTTAAAGACCCACCTTTTCTCCCTTGCACTTAATAAATGAGCACGCAGGAATCATAGGCACTGTAGCTTTGACTCTTTTACTGTCTGTATTTTGATTTTAATTGTTTTATTGTTATCTATCTATTTATTTACTTCTTTTATTCATCCCATGTACAGCACTTTGTTTGACTGCTGTCTTTTTAAAGCTGCTTTATAAATAAACTTTGACTTGACTCAATCACATGTTCTTCCCGTGTCTGTCAGGTGATGAAGTTGTGCCGTGAATGTCTGGAGAAGCAGAAGGACGTCCTGGCTGGCACTAACCTATACAAACTGCGTGTGCTGAGCGTGGCCAGTGAGGTTTTGTCATTTCAGCAGCAGTTCTCTGAGGCTGCAGGCTACGCCCGAAAGATGGTGGAGGGATATATGTGAGTGCACAAACAACTGGGACAACACGAAAGAAAGTCTTGACATGGTTATTGTTTAAACTTATATAAATATTCTGTTTATTAACATTGAAACTTACTTTAAGGAACCATTTTAAGTGACAAAAAACAGTATAACCCCAATTCAAAAACAGTTGGAATTCATAAGGTTGATAGAGACACTGTTTGATTGCCTGTTAAATTCCATATTTGATTAAAAACAATGCAGGGAAGACCTCAAAAATTAAATACGTGGATATTAATCAGCATAATGAGACTTTGTTAAGGTGCTGGCCCGTCCTTAAAAACTGTTAAATCCCATTGTCCATTTCATAACATGAAAATTGTTCCCTCCCACTTAAACAGGAAGTTGTACCACCACAACAACGCCTTGCTGGGTATGGCCATCATGAGGGCTGGGGTCACCCACTGGCACGCTGGGCAGATAGAGGAGGGTCACGGTTTGATCTGTAAGGCCTACGGGATCCTATTGGTCACACATGGACCAAACCATGCCATCACTAGAGACTTAGAGGTACAGGAGACTAAATATCTTCAATATCTGGTGTATTTTTGATTTGATACCATCATTAATATCTGTTTTTTCTACGTGCAGTCAATGAGGACGCAGACGGAGATGGAGCTGAAGATGTTTAGGGAGAGTAAGGATGCCTACCACAGCATGAGGGATGCTGCTCTGAAGATCCCAGCTGTTGAGGAAAAGGTCAAAGGAGTCTGAAGAAGAAGATGTAACCAAATAAACCCGCTCTGATGTTCTAATGCATGTCTGAGCTGGTCATATAAAAATCTGCACACAGTCCTGCACGGACACTGTGAGTGTGTCTGATGATTCACTGCTCTGCAAAAGTGTGAAGATGATGTGATAAAACATGGTGCATGTACAGAAAATGTGCAATTAAAGAGGAGATTCAACTCGTGCTGTGACCAGTTACCTACAAACATGATGCACATGAGACAGCTGAGACAGGAGTTTGGGAGTTTTTTTATGTCACTGTGTCCTTAAAACTCCATCTTTTTCCTATCCAATCAGATACCGATACCTGGGCTGAGCGTATAAGCCGATATCCGATACTGATCCAATACTACTGTTGAATGAATGAACTGTATACATCGCCCTGTGAGTGGAGGTATCAGATTAACACAGATATAAATTTACTTAATATTTATTAACAAAAAACAAATTGCACATTAGCACACAGCAAAAAGAAGACTTCCATGTATTAAAAGAAAAGTTAATTACAGATCGGAACACTGGATCAGTGTCATTCATCCAATCCAATTAATTTGTCAATATTGGAGCTGATATCCAATCCAAATATTAGATTGGTGCATCTCTTCTTAAAACTAGAGACCCAGACTTGAAACTCATTTAGAAAGTGAACCCTTTTTATGATACTCAGTCCAGTGTGGAAACCTGAGGCCTCCACTGACAAAAGCAGTAATTACATATACAGCTGACAGCAGTTGCTGGTCTATCCTTACCTTGACTGGATAGTTTCTTTGAGATTATGATGTGACTGTGTGTTTCTAATGTTGAGTTTTGGATCCAACAAATTTCCAGTGTAACACACTAAAGCAAACCCACAAACACACACATAAACCTATCATGTCCAGAGATAGTAGACCAACAACTCCCAGTCCTGTTAGTTTTGCCAATAAGCTGTTTTTTTATGAGAAGAAAATCACAACAGCTCTGATTAAACTTGGACTTTAGATCATAAACTTAAAAAGGAAAATGTTTACTGAAAAAAAGAGTACCTGAATACCGCGTGAGGCGTGTTTCATATTCACTGTTGCAGCAAAGCCATCTGTGTGCTTTAAGAGGAACCATCAACCTGCAAACAGAACTCAGACAACAGAGCAAAGTCCAGACTAAAATCTATCACATATAGGGAGATTCCCCTAAACTTATATCTCTGTCTGTTGGTGATTGCTACAAATAAAAACAGAAATACTGAAAATAAATCAGGATTGCATTTAATACAAGACAGATATGACCTCAAATAGAGTGTGATATAGCAGGGAAAGGACTCTAAAACAGGCAGCTGTGGAGTGAGAAATCACTCAGCTGAGATTTTAGACAAAACCCTTTTAAATAAGACAAGGAGATTTTTTATGCGGTTTCATTTTGTCACACAAAGACAGAGAGAGGAAGGCAGAACAACCCAGACATCATACAAACAGTATCAAAAAGCTGAAAATAGAAACTCTTTGCTTCACAGCTACAGTTTCTCTTCACAGTGAGCCCTGAGAAGATTCTGCATAGAGGTCAAAGGTCATCCAATAATAGTGTCTCTGCTCACTTTAGTAATGCTTATTGCTTTCAGCTGAAAAAACAGACATTTTATAAAGTATTTTTCTCGTGCTACAATTTAAAATTGATGTTTAACACCCACAGAAACACAGAAATCCCTCATTAAATAAAAAATGTTCTAAATAACATTAAGAATTAAGTAAACACGACAAAGGGAAAAGTATTTTCCAAAGCCACTGCATGAAAGATATATTAACAGCACAATTATTTCCAGTAGGAGCTTGTCTGAAAACCCTCATTGGATGATGCAGAGCTCAGTGCTGGTCTCTCCTGCATCCCTGTGAGTCCGACTCTGCGGGTCTGAGGCTCCATCCTGCTCGTACGTCTGCGGCTCCAGACCCTGCCTCAGCTCCATCAGCAGCTCTTTGCCGTCACTGGATGGGAGGTTTCCCAGGAAGTACGCCGGGGCGAGCTCCACAAGCCTGCAGCACAGAGAAGATGGTCAATTCACAGACTGTAACAGGAGAATTTGTGTTTTTTTGATCGTGGTCCTTATTTTGATTTTTTTGGGGTCTAAATGATAAAAAGTACAAGAAGTTTTGGAATGAGTTTTCTGGATTGCTTTAGAAAAAACAGGCCGTAATGGCTGCTATCTAACACTTGTGAAGGTTGAAGTTTCTGTCTGTGTAAAAATTCTCTCCTTCCTTTGAAGTAAAACCAAAATGTTTAGAGCTCCCCCTGCTGACTGGAAGCAGTATTGACTATACAGACCACCTCTTCCACATAAACTTGAATATAGAAAATCAGATAATTCCTTTATGAACATTTTAAACATCATCATAGCTAGCTGTTATCATGCTGGTTTACGTCTAAATATAGAGAAATTTTGTTCGAGTTGACCGTAACATAAGACACAGTATTTTCCCCCTACAAAAACAACAGGAAAAAGTGGGATTGTCTCATATGGGAAAGTAATTGATTGAGCTGGCTCTGTCCTATGTGATAATCAAGTTGTGTTTACAAATTTCAGGACTGAAAATAGAACAGTACAACGCAGGTACTTGCTGTAAAATCCTTCTGCTTTATGAGATCAGCAGCTGTTTCTGCAACAATCAAGAGCTTTTCTATTCCACAGAGAAGATCAGTGAATTTTCAGTGAATCAGATCCTCCTTTTGTATTCAAATTTGAACAATTTTATTCCTCACACAGACGATTTAATATAAAGACCTGCCTCACAGAACAACCTGGTACCTCCGGCAGTACTTGAAAATACAGGCCCTGGTCTTTATGTCAGGATTTAGACTTAAAGGACTGGTTTAAAGACCCACTCCAATAAAAATCATGTTTTTCTTGTTTTTTATAAGTTCATATGGCATTTTTCTAATGCTACAGGACATATCATGAGAAAACTTGATGCGAAATTGCTTTTCTGAGTATTTCTTCACTCAAATCGCTGTGAATCGCAGCGGACGATCGCAGAACAAGCGTGTGTGTTAGTGGATTGTAATGCTCGTAAGAAAGCTAAGTATGATATTAACTTACATCACGTCCCTAAAGACATTTGTGTCCAAGAGCTGAATAACTCCTATGTTACCTGCCACTTCTACTACACAGGCAATGTTAGGCTGCAAGCTAGAATGAAGAGGCTTGCTACTACTGGACCTCTGCAGAAGAAAAGTCCTTGAAATGACACAGGTATGACAGTAAGTTTTTTTGGTAAAAACTTCATAATCACAATTTAAAGACCACTGAGAACACTTGAAGTAGTAAAAAAAACAATGGCAGTGGGACTTTAAAGCAAAAATATTTCAGTTTTCAGTTTTCTCTGGTGTTTTATTTTGACCTATTTTCAGCATCAGTAACTTTGAGTGACTCACATTTGAGGGTGGACCTCTGAGGCAATACGGATGCAGTTATCCCTGGAGATGGTGAACTCATGGTACAGCACCCAGCTGGGGGGGTCAGGGCGGGGCTGACGGCACAGATAGGAGGAAAAGGTGTGCAGGTGAGCCACGTGGCGGTGAGTCAGCAGGAGGTAGTTACCTGAGCCATCCACATCATGAGCCACCTGGAAAAGGAATAAAGACGTTTAAGAGGCCGCTCTATAAGGAGCAAAGACGTGGTTTTCATCAAAAGGGTTTTTACTTTCAGGAAGAAGCCTGAGATGAGGGCACGTTTGATATTGGTGCAGTTGTCTTGGCATCCAAACGCAGGAGGAGAAACAGGGAGCTCTATTCTCTGCATCACCTCCAGGAGCTCCGCCCTGATCACCACAGCCAATCGTAAGGCTGCATGACTGAGGAAGTTGGTGGTGCACCATGCCTCGTCCTGATTATCTGCGGAAATCATCCAAAAACAATCGATGCATAATTAATATTGTGTGAACAAGACCTTCTGTGAACTCTAGACAGGTATAATAAACACGTACGCTCTATGAAGGCTTTATAGATATTAATGAGGGTCATGTGATCTCCCTCGGTGTGCGTTAAAGGTCTCCAGTGCGTGATAGCCACCTCCTCTCTGCTGGAGTCTGCAGTCACAAAGCAGGAAGGAGCTAGAAGAGAAATTAAGAATCAATGTTAGTTTTTAGACTAATACATTAAATGGTATATTAAAGAACTAAAACAGAAAAAGTGAAAAATCATGTATTTTTTATTGTTTCCCTAAGATAAAGAAGATGTTCAAATTCCTAAAGCTACCTGTTAGCATAGCAGCGATAGTGAGCAGCTCATCCACACAGTCGTACTCGCATGCAGCGATTAACGCTTTGGCCAGTGACGGCTCCAGAGGAAGCTCCGACATGATGATGCCGACCTCTGAGAGGTTTCCGTCATCATCAAGAGCTGCAAGATAGTCCAGGTCCTCCAGGGCCTGCATGAGGGCTTCAGGGGCTGAGAGACAAACATGGAGGGGAGAGATGGTGTTGTATTTAGATCTGCTGTCAGCTGAAACGCTTCAGCTGCTGGAGGTTATATCACTGATAAAAGTCTGTTGAAGCACCTGAGACCACAAACAGCAGAGACAATGCTGAACTGTTGATAAATAGAGTCAGAGGTAAAACATTTACAGCTGACTGTATTTCGAAAAGTTATCCCCATTACTGATTGACTTATCTAAATCCTCATTATGTCCGCAGTAGTTCACAAAAGTACCTGGTCTGTCCAGGAACTTGCACTGTCCCATGTCTGCGATGTCGAGTCTTTTCAGCAGCAGCACCAAATGGCTCAGGTTCTCCTCCATCACACCAGGACAGTGAGCCTCCCCCATCCCCTCCTCATACAGAGACTGAGGATACAGACGGAGACACAGCCCTGCAAACACAAGGACAACATACAGGTTCACAAAACAGTTAAGCAGCAGTAAAATAAGATCTATACCAATGACATGTCTTTGCACTGAAAACTCAAACTGTTTCATGAATAAAACTGCTCATTTTAAATTTGATGGCACAAACATATTTCTAAAATGCAGTTACAGGATCAGCTCTTCTTACACCAAGTCTCTGCAAATGTTCATGAATGTTTGGTTGATGCTTAAACAACTTTCTTGTAACATGTTGCTGTCACGAATTTTAAAATCAGCATATATTTTTCACAAAAATTTGTAAATGTAGGTGTTTTAACATCTGATATGTTTGTCTTAACGCTATTTTTAATCTAATACAGGCTATAATTTATTTTTGAGCCATGGTTTGCTACTTTATATTTTGTTGGAAATTCGTCAACTCTTGATTTCAGAATTGCATTTTTTAATACAACAGAAAAAAATAATGTCCATCCTCCTTCCATGAGTCAGTCATTGTGTTATGTTGGTCAGAGTATCTTATGCAGGCTTCATACTAAAATTTAAACAAAATATTACATCTTATTTCAGGTATCAGCTGATAATCAGAAGAGCAGAAATGACCTTTGACCTACCTGGAAGGTGGCTGTTCACCCTCTGAGTTCTCATGTTGGCCTGGTGTTTGCTGATCGTCCTCAGGACCTGAGAGTTGGCTCTGATTTGTGGATTGTAAACCTGTGGAAACATTTATAGTGTGAAAAAAAGATAAGAAGAACTTTATTTATCCCTGAGAAGATATTCAAAATATTTGCATCTTCACCAAAAAGATCTTGTCCTGAAAATGAAATAACACTGTTTGACATTTTTGAAAGCCAATATGAGGTAGATAGCTCTGTGATAGACCAACAACCCGCCTGTGTGTAATCCTGCCCCTCACCAGATCACATCTAGAACCAGCTTCAGTACCCTTATAGAAGCCAGGTCCTTTTTTTATTTTTTTTACAGTGCTTTCTCGTCAGCCCAAACTTTGGACCATTTTAGGATGACCTCTTCCAGCTTGAGGCCATTTGGGTTTGGAGAAAATGAAATCCAGAAAATAAGTCCTGACTTTGATATTTTAATATTTCTTGAGAACCGGTTGCCTTTCAGCATTTCAAAGTAAATATCACTGCCTCATTTATATTTCAAAGACTTCCCAAATTTGTGAGTTCCAGTTCAGGGTCTTGAGGACCTTTCTATCTTGAAAATTGCACTCTCTGTGGTCTTAAGAACATCAATTACTGTTTCACTGTTATTCTAGGATTTTACACTCTGTTTGCTTTTAGATCCTTGAATATTTCCAAAAAAGGTCAGGTCATAATATTTGATGACAAACTCACAGTTTTGAGTTGAAGGCCTGTGTCGATGACGTAGCGGATCCCTTGCAGGGAGAAGGAGGCCTCTCCGAGTGTATCAGTCAGGATAACTTTTCTTTTAAACCCTGGAGGACCTCCAGTTCCCAGCACCGAGCCATCCCCGCCCTCTGAGCTGTCGTTCTCCCTCAGTACGGTGGGATCAGCTTCATAGACACGCTGGACCAGCCCACCAAGTCCTGAATGAAGGGGGATGATCCTGAGAGCACCAAGTTGAGGACTTAGAGCTACACACTCCTTCTCCAGAAAGGACATGCACTCCTCTGTTTCCTGCACAGATTAAGACAGAGAGCAGTTAGAAATTTTACATTTCAGGGTTTATTTCAGCTGACACAAGCGAGAAGACTTTATGGGTTTCTATGTTGGTGCAGAAAGATACACACACTTGTTTCTGTCCTCAGTAAAAACCAGGAGTGAGAGTGAAGGAGCAGGAGGCGTGGTGATGTTGACTTAGAGGGAGTTTCATGTGCATCCTGCAGAGTTTTAGATCAATATGTACCATGAGCTTTGCACCTGAATGGACGACATGACAGGCCTGCAAACATCTGAGTGTGAACCAGGACACCAGACACCTGCAGACCCCAAAGGACTCCCAGGCAAAGGTGTCATAGTTTCACTAAAAGGTGAAACTCAGTAGAATAACCTGGTGTCTAAGACAGTTTCACACAGCTTTTATTCAGTCCAAACATGAACCACACAGATATGTTTGCATGCTGATTTAACTTAACAGTTTTAATACTGTAACACTGATGGTGTGGTATCTGTAATTAACCATAAAGAACACAGGGGATGCTGCAGTTTCTCAAAAGTGAAACCAAAACATCTGGACAGGCTGCAGTTTTGGTCACAACCCAGTAGATGGTGCTTGAACTTCAACCTTTTTGCTACTAAATGGGCTCTATGCACTGATCCACTACTTCCTGAACTGAAGGCAGCTCCTTTATTTCCTGTCTTACATTATTGGACAAACTGATTATTCCAGGTGTGACTGATCATTATGACTAATCAGACACACCTGGATTAATCAGTTTGTCAAATCATGTAAGACAGGATATAAAGGAGCAGGTATTGGATTGGTGCATAGAGCCCATCATGCTGCATACACAGTGAGGAAGACAAATGTAGCAGCACCACAGTAACATCAGCTTTTCACCCTCACTGCTGGTAGTTCTGCATTTAAAGAAAATGGTGGCGTTCAGTTCAGTAACTACATTTTGTAACATGCTGAAAAGACTCCTCAATCTGAAACAACAAATAACCAGCAGGGGGGATGACGCAAATCTTTGTGGCTCGGCTAGCATGTTGTGCAACATAAATCGCAAATGTGAAAACTTCCAGTAAAATATAAAATCTGAACTTTTAGGTCTGTTTTCTGCTTTCGAATCAAATATTCTTCCTTCTCATCTCAGACTGTGTTCAGCTCTCCGACCATAGCTCTGACACCTGCAGACACACGAGGTCGAGAGAGTTTGGAGCAGCAACAGGCTGCTGGATATACTTAAATAAATACGGTCAACTTACCCACTCTATCATTTCTGTCTGGTTAAAAATTCTGTTTTATTTGAGCCACAGGCTGTTTAATGGAAACTTGAAATTTAAACCCAAACTCACCATCTCCTTTAATATACAATTATTCACATCCCTATGATGTACAGCAGGTGCACTGCAGGTGCGTATAAGATAGTCAACACTCTGTGGTCGTGTTGGTATAACAGCTCGCAGGTGTGCCCACAACATTAAAAAGCACCAGGATGAGCAGGATCACTCTGTATAATCTGTCCCGCTTAACAGAGCGTTTATCAGGGATCTGCAATGACATGCGTGCATGTTTAAACCCAACATTCATGTGGCACACAGATACAGACGCTGCCCGCACAGCCTCCATGTGCTGCTTCAAAGTGATTTCAGATACATGTGTATCGCAGATTAATCCCTGACAATGAGGAAGTGCTGACAGCATGACGTCCTCAGGCCATATGACCGTTAATGCATGTCCTGCCATGTAACTATTACACCTGTGCACATTTTTGCAATTCTGATGTTCAAACAATACATGGATGACAGCAGCCTTCCTCTTTTGGCTGACAGCAGTCTGTCCAAATAAATAGCAGTAAATGGGGTTTGTAAGGCCTTTCACAACTTAGTGGCCTAAAATAATAAAATGATTGTTTGTAACAGCCGGCGAGAGCCCAAATCTAACAGCCAGTCAGGCAAACACATGAATCTTGACTTTTTGATCAGTGATGTAGTATTCAAACACGTTAAGGTTAAAGGTCTGTAAGTGTCTTGTAAGTCTGCCTCCATGAATTTGGATGAATGACCCCATGTTGTGCCCAGAGGCGTCATAAAGGGTCACATATCACATCATTCACGTGTGTATTTTAACAGTGTTACCTGAATCGGGTCATCACTTTTAATCTTTTAATCTTAAGTCTTGCTCTGGCACCATGCGGAGCTGTAATAGCTTCAGAGACCGTTCACTGCGCTCTGAGATAGCAGGAGCTGTGGGCTGCCTCGGGACTCTTCAAAAAGCCAAGGAGGGTTAATCGTAGCGACTCCCTGCTTAAACCCCACATGTTCCTCAATTATAAAATGAGTGTGACACGAAGGTGCCAGCTTCAAAATGCTTATCGAATGTTTGCTGGTTCAATAAAACTCTGAGCTCTCCTGCTCTCACCACCACCCATCAGAAAAGTCACGCTTTCTGTATATTTACCTGACTTGCTGTTAGATCTGGGCCATCTATAACTACTGAAATAATACAGTTTTCTTATTCTTACTGAAGACCCTGGAGTTTTTATTTACCACTAGTCACCCAAACAGGGGCAAGGACACAGTACCCGTATGGATTGCTCTCATCTGTTGTGCAGCCCTATGATAGAGATTCAAAAACGCATTCATAGGAGTGCTTATCCTCTGCAGTGTTTAAATCCTTTACCTGTGCACTGGCCAGAAACACCATCACGTCTCCTTCCTCCCCCCTCCTGTGCAGATCCAGCACCATGTGACACGCAGCAGAAACCGGTTCCCTCCCAGTTGAGAGCTCCCGGTACAAAGTCTCCACCCTGTTCACCTCAGCAGGCCTCGTCTTTTCCTCTACCTCACCCCCCTCTTCATCTTCACCTGAGGGGGGCGCACTGTCCAGGTTAAGGTGAGGGACCGAGGGTCCCAGGAAGGCTGAGAGGCGTGGAGCAAGCGTAGGGTGGGTGAGCAGGACCACCCTGAAGTTATCGGGTCTCTGCCTGCAAACGTCGCACAGCAGACCAAGCAGCACATCGGTGGGGACGGTCCGCTCCTGCAGCTCGTCCAAAACCACCAGTCCGTACTGATGCAGCAGGGGGTCTGACATCATTTCCTCTAACAGGAGGGTGTCGCTAACAAACCTGAGGAGAAGGAAAACCAGGATATTTTACACAAACAGAGGTTTTAACATATATTCAGGCTCCAAAAGCCACGATAAAGGACCAGAGACTCTGTCAAAAGGGAGGAAAACTAAAGCTCTTAATAACAAACTGAGACATTTTTTTCAATAGTCATTGAAGGGGGCAGGAGAGGACAGTGGGATCAATTTTCACTGCTATAACACTTTCCTCACCACCTCTGACAAAACCTGAAGGGGGCTGAGGACAAAGACTGAAGGTGTGACTGCAAAAAAGAAAGGACGTGTAACATGAGAGCTACACACTGGTGTTATCCAATGACAATGTCTGAACCACCACAGGGAGGAGAGCTCTGTGTGAACACATGATACAAATAAGGCCAGAGGATAATGCAAATAAAGCAATGACTCATTTCATGGATCGCCCTACAGTTGGATGGCCAAAAGAAACCCTGAGAGGCCCTTCAATCTTCAAAACCAGGACATGTTTCTCCTTGTGGGACTTCAATCTGTTCACAAGGCAAACAACGTCATGGCTTCACATTTCAGGTAGAAGTGCCAAATAGCTGCAACGTAGAACAAAAAACCGCCCTTCCTAGACTTGAATCATATCAGACTGAATCATGTCTGGATGTTGAGTCTTAAAAGAAAGTTGACTCATGAATATCTGCCCTGAAAATGTTCGGAATAAAAGCTTTGTGTCTATAGAAATGTCAGACGGGCTTTGATGTTTGATCATACATTTCATGTGACATAATTTTAAGATGCCATTATTCTTGTATTTTACGCGCCAAACCAATGCTGGTCCTAATCTGCAGATCTTTACTTTACAGACCTATACTTTTGATAACACAATGAATTCTCTCACATTAGATGTTATCTATGCACTATTTTCAACAAGATATAGGCTTTAGAAGATTTACCACACCATCAATATCTGTTTCAATCAATATTTGAAGCTGTGTCCAAAGTCAGGCTCTAGATTTCATGCATGTGAGGCTTGCAGGAGTCAGAGTCATAATTCAGTGAGTTTCTTGAGGCTTCCTTAGACAGATTTTATGGTGTATATTGTACATCAATAATCAAGAGGTAACCTTAATAAAATAAACAGCTAAACATCATGCAGAACACTTAGTTATGATTACAAAGGGGGAAATATAACAAAAGGCTGAATGTAAAAAAAAGTGAGCTGAAGAGCTGTCGGTTTGAGTCCTCTAAACATTACGCTCCTGCTGAATGACTTCCTGTTATTTTCATTTGTTCATCTTCTGCAAAAAGATGCAAGGAGATAATATTCTGATTTATAAGGAAAGGTGTGTGTTAAAGTAAAGTACATACTTTCAGACTCTATTGGCAAACACTTGAAACTTCAATATTCGGGTTTTTGGAGGCTGTAACATTCAAAAGTGGTCTCACTATTTTGTCATGGCGATAAATAACTAAGTGTCACCTTTCACTATCCATCATTCCCACATCCTTACCTGAGCATGGTGTCAGGTGTGCAGCTGTCATCATGAGACACTCTGTATCCGACCTCCAGGCCCAAACTCAGATCCATCTCATCAGCGACACGCAGAGCCAGACTCACAGCTGCCGCCGAGTACGGCTGAGAGCAGCAGACAAGACCCTGAGAGAACTCGTAAGACAGAGCGAACTCGGCACACCACTGAGGAACCTGCAGAGAGGAAGAAGAGGAGGGAGAGATTATACAGTACTCACACACACACCTTAGATGTAGCTCTCATTGGGGACCCAACAAACTCTGAACCTGGGATTTTTTCTTTTACTTTCACAATCATTTGAAATCTTTTGGTCTGCCTTTTCAAGCAGGCATCTCTTAGCTTCACTGCCGGAAAATGTTCGCTGCCGTGTTTGTTTTTTTGTTACCAGATTAGCATGACAAAACCTCCAGTACATTTTCAAAAACAAAAACCAGGAGGCAGAGATGTGCGGGGCCCCGCTGAGTGCACACACCCTGATCAAAACATTTTTATGAGTATACACAAGCTGCAAACAAATCAGAGGCCTGCACACTGACAGCAGCTCTCCATAGAGAGCTGCATGAGTGAATTATCGACTTTACTGAAACAGATCAACAAATAAAAGCTCATATTTCTTTCACAGAAGTTTGGCTTTAAGTTTAATACAAGGTTGAAAAAAGACATCTTCCTCTTCAAATAAGTAATCATCATAAAATTCAAGCGTAAACTCCTGCATGTGTGTATCTACTCTGCTCACTATACTGTCATTGTAGCTGCTTCAGGAAGTACATGACCAACAGGTAAAGAGCCCTGGATGACTGGAGAGAACAAACAAACAGCCCTAAAGTTGACCTTAAACCAATATTTAATAACAGCCTGCATTCGATCTGATAATACTAAGTAATACAGGCTGATAATCAAACAGAAACTCAGGAGGTTTTCCATCAGTTTGTAAAAGTTAGCATGGATTTTAAATAGACATAAAGAGGTGAAAAAAAGAAATAATGTTGAAGTGAAGTTCCTACAGCTTTAGTGCTTTTTTAGTTTAATACTTAACCACAGCTAAAAACACTTTTAACATCTGTTGTTTTAGTCCAGCATCATCTCCAACCTGGCTCCTGTAACTGCAGTGATTGATAACCTGAAAGTGTTTGTCTGATTCTTTGCAGAAAAAGAAGAAGGTGCGGGTAAATGGATCTCTGGGTGTTAAATTGATGACATAAGAGTTCAGGTTTCAGCAGCACAGTGTTGGTTTGATCTCGGCTTCATTATTTGCCTGAAGGGAGTGAACTGAGGAGCTGCTGTGACAACAACCAGGACACCTCAAAGAAAGTCCTCAAACACACTTTTTAAAGAGCTGTGCTCAGAGTCAGGAACTTTTAGGAGTTAAAAGTAAAAATTTGTGTAAGCACTGACATCTACAGCTCTGTGTAACAGAGAGTTGTGATGCTCACAGTTCATCCCAAACAACCAGACACAACAACGAGCAAACTGCACAGAGCTGCAAAACATCATGAGAGTTTTTTGCTCAAATATCATTAAGGCAAAAAGCACATAGAGCGCAGATGGGAGGGAGAATGATGCTCAGTTCTTGGTTATGTAAGGAGCCACAAACTATCCTCCATCTAGGTTTCAAAAGAGCCCCCTTCAAAAAACACTTTAGAGAAACACTGATTCTTTTTGTACATCTAACTAATCTTTTTTTAAATCAGTTAAAAAACCCGGTTAGTGTTATAAAAGAGGTTATTTTGGACTAAAATACAAACCTTGATAATGAAGTATCCTGACCTAGAAACAAGCTGAGCAGCCAGTTAAAATCTGAAGTGATATATGTATTTTTGTTTTATTTTTTATAAGTGTTTTAAATAGGAGATTAATAATAATTTATTTGTGGTTATCTGTTCTGATGCTATTGGCTAAAAAATGTCATCACCTTTGTTTGGATGCAAATAAAACATCAACATGTGCAGCACAAAAACGATCATCTCTGGCCATCCAGGACAAAAAACATAATTCCTTTCCAGCTGGTACCTGTGTGCTCTTCCCCGTCCCGCTGGGTGCACTCAGCAGCACCATGTTGTGGCTCTCCAGGTGCTCCAATAAACTCTGCCTCAGCCTCCACACCGGGAACTTCCGCCTCTCCTCCAGCAGGGAGTAATACCGGGAGGAAAACGGTAAACCATCGTATGGGTTCACCTCCAGGTCTCCCAGCCCGTCCTCCTCCCCTTCTTCTCCTTCTCCTCTTCCTCCTTCTCTTGCTTCATCTCCTTCATCCTCTAAATCCCCAGACAGGAGGGAGGACACAGAGAGGGAGTCCAGGGCTGTGGGAGGCGGGAGACGGGAGGCAGCAGGGGGGTTTGCTGGTGGAGATGACATCAACAGAAGTGGTGTTTACAGATTACCTGCAGAGAGAGAGAGACGGAGGGTCAGACATTTGACATGCAGCAGATTTAAAGTCCCAACACAACAAACTAGACGAATGTGTCTGACTGCTGCATCACCTCACTATTTCACCCCTGATAGTCTGAAAATAACTCTGCACTCAGACAGGAGGCTGTTTGAGTGAGATTCCTGAATGTTTAGACTGACGTTTGACTGAAGTGTGTTCGCCTAAAGGAGCAGGGAGGTCATACAGCAGAAAGCAGACAGATATTCCACATGCAGTTCAGGAAACACAAACATAAAGTTAATCTGAGAGGCTGCAGTATAACTTGTCTCTGAGGCACTTTAAAGGAAGCTTTAGCATGTTTGGTATTTAACTGAGGAATTTCTTTCTCCACCCAGATGCCATCGAGCACGAGCGCGTTTGACAGCTGCGACAGATATGACGAAAGGTCTGCAGACTTCCTCTCACACACATTTCTGAAAAATCAAGACAAAGTCTGTGAAATATTAAAAAGCTTTCTCAGTGATTAAGAGAGGGGAATGAGTCTTCAAATCTTGATATTTGGCTGTGAAAGGCTGGGCGATAAGACAAATCTCAAGATGAGATTGTGGTTAAAATGATTTCTTATCTTCATAACCTTCAAACAGTTTTCTGTAGCAACCTTAAAATAGTTTGAAATGACACAAGACAGTCTCAATGTGTGACGGAATGAGACATCGTAACATATCTTATTGTAAAAGGTAAATTCTGAACTCTGTTTTGGTGAGAAACTTTAAACTCAACATATTTTGTTTAAAATCTGTAGGTGTGTTTCAACACTCAGGTCTTTAAAATCCAGGCTTTCATTTCTGCTGTTCTGCTTATGAAATCATTTTAACTGCTTTACTTTATGAACAAAGTGCTGCTCCATGAACAAAGTTCCTCTGTTAGTTGGTGTAAATAACTTGTATCCTCGACCACAGAGATGGGCTGGTTGTCTAATGTGATATAACCTTTTTTTTTTCTCCGGGGGTATTTTTCCTTCCTTTTTATGACCAGAGTTTGTTGCTTTTCTTTGCTGTTTTGGTGAAGGCGTTTTTAGCACAGCTCTGTTTCACTGAATACTCTGTTGGACTAAGGTGACATAATCTACACACATCTCTTTAGGTCCTTGACTTTTTTTCTCATTCTGCACAGAGATTTATTAACAGTGACCTCTTCAATGTTCATCACTGCATTCACATTTTAAGGCAGTCCCCCCCTTGGTGGTCAACCCATGAAGGAGGACGTGACCATCACTGGGATTTCCTCATCTCTTCATGTATAAAACTATTACAGGGATATTTCAAACATACCTCAATGAACTTCTTTATCACTCAGCTTGTCTTTATCAGACTTACTTTTACATGTTCCTTGATTTAGATCTGAACTTAAGGAAAATGCTTTTTGTTATTTAACCCCTGAATCCTGAAAGCAGCTATTGATCTTTATTGGGGGAAATTTTTTTTGTCACAGCAGCATCACAGACAAAGAGTGCAAAAATGCAGTTATAAAAATAAAGATCCTAATATTAAGAACTTAAAAGGTAATTAATTGATAAATAGGGACATGTGCAAAGTACAATGGCAATGTCCTTGAAACAATACAATAGCAACATAATGAAATAAGAAATAAAGATACGCATTAGAGAATGGATTGGCTTGGATTGTGTGGAAATCAAGACATCAATATTATGATCATGTTAATTTAATGGCTTATAATTTCCTTTATTCTTGTCTAACTATTGCCAAAAAAAATTCAGAAAAAAGAGATTAGTGACTCAAAAGGCCAAAGATGAAGTCCTCATATGTCTGGTTTTGTCCCCAAATCTAAAATAACAGTTTACTGACTAAGAGGAAACATCAGATTAACATTGCTGCAGTTAGAGACTTCTAATTATCTATTTTCTTGATTTTTTTTCCTAAAACACACAGATATACTTTTACAAAGATGCTGATTTGCTTTTTATTTATTGAAACTTATCTTACAGTTGCTCCATGCATCAGTGGTGAATATGAACCCCTCCTTAACTACAGTAGGCCACCTTTTGTCCAGATAGAATAAACCATTTTTCAAGGCTGAGTGTGTCCCATTATGTCTGGATTGAGGATTATCTAATATGATTCACCCATGGGTGGAGCCATAATTCCAGTTTATGTGCAGGAGCAACGCTAAATATAGACCCAACAAAGGATGCCTTAAAGCTAATATATGTTTATTTGACAGTAAGAATGAAAGCTTCTCCTCTTTTTACTGTAAGAAAAACTGAATTTTACTTCACAAATAAATCAAGCTTTTGCCTTTTTTATTCTGAAAATATTTTTAAATCACTAAAATAATATCAGTGGATATAATGATCACATTTTAATCTCTGTATAATGATGTTTGTCTGTCCAGGTTAAAGTAAATTAATGATGTAACTAGCCTTTGTTGATAATACCCTTATCTACAACACAATCTGGTCACTCTCTCTTTATTTCTGATCTCTGCGGTCATTTAAACTCTTACAAGAGAAACATGTCAGTCCACGGTCACTCACAGGTGTAGTGTTTCCTATGACAACCCTGTAACAGACGATAATATCCCAAAAGATTATTAAAACCAGGATTAAAACGTTATCAGGTGTTTCCTGTCTCACCTGTGAAACATCTCGGCTCGTGGAGGTGGACTAACAGACACCGACAGTCCGCCCTCAGACCTCTGCTGCCGTGTCGGTAAACTCCTTGCTGTTTGGCGTTAAAAAACCGGCTTCACATACTGGACAACGATTCTATAACAACCAGAGAAGGCTCACAATAGGTCCTGGTAGTACGCGTCCACGTATATTCAGCTGCTCGGGTTATTTTTTACCAAGAACGATGCAGAGACCAGAGCGTTCACTGCTTGTTTAGCTAGCAGCCGCCATGTTGGCTGTTGAGCTGTCAAACCCCGTGCTGCATTTAGGGAACCTCGGAAAACACATTCTGCTATACCATAGACTGTATATAGAAAACATACAGTCTACGGCCAACACAGACGACATGAGGGAAGTAAATAAAGGGTAATTTATTTTACCAGATTAATATTACGAGGAAAAAAAACTATATTATAAGATTAAAGCTGTAATTTTAAGATCAAGGTTGTTAAGGTAAAGTCGTAATATCACTAAATACATTTTGTGGGTAACAAAATTAAAGTTGTAATTTTATTGGGATTTTTTATGATATTTTCAAGATTGATTCTAAATCATGTAACAACTTTATATTTTACAACTTTATCCTTTAATTATTACGAATTTATTCTCAAAACCTTCAGTATTCTGTATTGTATCTTATCTTTTGGGGGCTGCCCAAAAAACATCTATTAAACTTGTAATAAAACTTGTAATTTGATGTTTTTCCACTCCAAAACGATGAAGCCAAAGTCAAGGAGAGCAAAGAGACAATAAAACAACAACAACAAAACAAAATATTTTTGCAATATCTTAATCCTTCGTTAGTTTCTGATAAACAAAATTAGAACAATTAGCCAAATCACTTATATAATTTTACACAGAATAGACTTCCTCACTGCATTTCATTTTCCTTTCTTCTGCAAATGCTGATACTACCAAGCATGGTAAGGAATAAAAAAGGAGTAAAATAAACAGAGCATGGTTTAAAGGAGAAATAAAAAGGTTTTAAGAAATGTGCAGTTTATATTGTCTGTTGTCGCCAGTTTTTTAAAACCCCTGTGAGTATTTCTGTGGATTCTTGCAAAGGTACATCATTTTTTGTAGTATTTGCTTCATAAAACAGTCAGTCTTGTTTTTACAGGAAAAAGCATATCATCATAACTCTCAGTTAATTCATTAACTCCAACCTTTGTAAAATATTGGGAAAAAACAGAAGATTTTTGTAAAACAATTTTTATTCACAGTCTTGGATACGCATTAAATGTCCTTCATTCAGCCCACCCTGCAATCTTAAACAAGGGTGTCTGGGGTTTCCAAGTCATGTGACGCCATCTATAGGTGGTTTCCTGCTACTTGATAATTTTAATTGCAAACAGGAGGGCTCTGATGAATCAAATAAGCTTATCACATTATGTAGCGTGATCATATTCGGAGAAGAAGGTAATTGGAGTAAAGTTTGGTAACCTGCTGCTCTGATTTTTTATGTCCCCATAAAGTCTGCATGTAATTTCAGTCAATAATTTACAGTTTCAGCAGAGTCAAAGTCCAATAGTCAAACAGTTACAGACTTTTACATCGGTGTGTCTGCTTTCATTCACATCACTCTATCACATGGGTGCAAACAGGATAAAAACAAACATTTATTTTCATGTGTTTTATCATCGCCATGTTTGTGGAATAATTTTCATTACCTTTAATCTTTGAGGTTTTTTTTTTGATTGAGACCATTCACAGACAACTCTGGGTTCATTTTTTTACATTTATTTACACCTCAAAGAAATATTAAACATTGTGCATACTTCATTGGCTCATCACTGCAGGATTTAGGAGTTGAGTCTTACGACACTGTAGGCCAAAGTCCAACAAAGAAGCAACAAAAGACGTTTGTCCAGATAAGGAGTGCAGAGTTTAAGGCCGGGCTAACAGTCACCTGACCTCACCATTTTGACATCATAAACTTTACATCTTCAAATCAGCTGTAGTACGCCCCGTTGTTTTTCCTGACTAAACTCACAGACTGGATCTGCTCTCTCAGTCTGTCCTCCCAGTCTTTGCACCAGTTCTGGCTCCACTCCAGATTCTGAAAACGAGTAGGTAACTTGTCCAAAGCCAGCACGGCCTCAGGAGGGTTAAAGGTCAGGCCCGCTTTCTCCACCACTGCCTTGAACTTGGCTGGTGAAGCTGTCGCAATGTAACACCTGTGAGAAGAGGTTCAATGATTACACAAAACACCTGATGAGACCTTTCACACAGTGAGCTGATTTTTGACACATAGGGCAAAATCTTAATCTCTGCCTAAAAATAAAGTACAAATATTAAAGGATAAGGTAAAAGAGGACACTAAATATATAATTTAGTTATTCAAGTGTTTTTTACTTTTAGACACTGTGAGAAATCTTAATGATACATGCCTCTCAGTCTGACTGACCTGCTGATCTTTGGATCGTGAGCAAAGTTGTAGTGATGCCAGACAGCCACAGCTGTATGTGGACACAGCACATACTGGTTCTCCTCCCAACACCTCTTCATGGTGTCCAGGATCCCGTCATCACACACTGAGCCCGTGGACAAAACCTGAGACAACTAAAAACCCAGAGAGAGTTTATAAAGCATCACAGCATCACAGACTGAGAGAAAACCGTAAACAGAGGATGAGAGGTACCAGTTTGTGTTGGTTTGTAGGTAAAGAGTGTCGGTGTGTTTGTTGAAACTCCTCCATCATCTTCTTCACTGCAGCTCCGTTCTTTCCCAGCAGCAGCCAGAAAACTCGCTCCATGTTGTATGGATCCTCCAGGACAGGAACGATATACCAAACATGTTAAATACACCTTAATATGATCACTTCATATGTTCATATTAAAACTAGGGAGGTACTGCTGCTCCTGACTCACCATAAAATTCGTTTCAGGATGCTGGATGATTAAGTGTAATTTACTGAGTAATTCTTTTGCAGTTTTTTAAGGGTATAGGTAAACCAGTTTGTGTTTAAAGGAGAGATGGTCTCATGAAACTGTTGTTTGGGCTGCTTTTATTTAGCTCTTTTTTAAAAAATATACCAAGGTTATTTTATTTAAGAATTTTATGAACAACATGCTTTTATTCTGAAATTCCAACAGGCATAAATGAAAACATCTAAAAAGAGGATCTACGGTTCAGTATTGGGTGTATTAGCTCCCTCTGAAGTTCTTCTGTTTATTTTAACATTGCCCATCACCCGTTACTGAGTTAAAAACACTAAAATAAAAGGAAGAATGATGTTCACTTTCAATCAGCTGTGTGACTGCAGGCGGAGTGACTGTCATACCACCTGACAGTCAACTGACATGACATGTAGCAAAGACATGCCACAGTTGAAATTTAAGACCTTTCACACAGAAAGATAAGACTTTTTTTTAGACATTGTATGATCTTGCATTTCTGAAATCTAATTTAAGACTTTCATTGCTTCCTCTACTTTTTCTATTTTTTTTTTCTTTTCTTTTTGGATGATAAAATAAAGGGACTTTGTTTTTGAGGGGAGGGTTTTATATAAACCCTTGGGCTTCTTTCCTCTGCTGCACAACTGTTTACTTTGTATTTCTGTATGTGTTTCTTATTTGTCATTGTGCCGTTCAATCAAAAAAAAAAACTTTGTACGCTTTTTGAAAGATCTGGGCTAACCTTGAAAAGGACTTTAAAGTACCAGCAACTGTACTTTTACTTGAAGGGAGTATTTTAGGAGTATTTCCACCTCTACTGAATGACTCTGTTCAGCTACAGAAAAAAAGAGACATGCTGACATAAATGAAGTCAGGGGCAGATAGCACCACCTACTGTTTAACTGATTTAAATTGTGTCACATCTTAGCAACAAATAAAAGTTATTTTCAGCGTGACATCTTTGAAACCTCCCTCCTGTCTGTTTTTACCTGGATGTCTATGGCAGGAGCCAGAGTCTGTGTGACGTTAGCTGCCATCGAGAAATCACCACTGCTCACTGTCCTGTGGACGATGTCGTTAGAGTTCACCATGGCAACAAGCTTTAGAGGCAGCCCCATCTGCTTTACAATGAAACCGGCTGAAAGGCAGAGAGACAGACAGATAGACAGACAGAAAGAAGGACAGAGTGCTAAGTTATTTGTAACAGGTACCCCAGCAATAATGGAAAAAAACCTTTGATTCTTAAAAAGATGTCATACTGAAACTCTGTATGAATCCCACCTGCGATATTCCCTGCCCCTCCAGTGGGCACCACCACCTCCAGCTCAGGTAGATCTCCTTCAGTCTCTGCCTGCTGCATGCCACTGAGCTGCAGGTAGGCGTAGATAAAGTGGGTAAGCTGGACCATGACTCTGGACCAGTTCACCGAGTTCAGACTCATGAGGCCGTGAGACTTCACCAGATCCTGGTCCGCAAAAAGACGACGTATAGGCTGGTCGATGTCGTCTGAGCTGCCGTCCGCTGCAGATGCAAATACACACTTAATTGTGTTGTTGTTGTTATGAGAGAAGAAGCGTAGCTCGTAGTTTTAGCAGCTTCAGCATCTGTAGCTCTACCTGCAAACACGTGGACGTTATCCTCCAGACAGGTGGTCATGTGTTTCTCCTGGACTGGAGTGATTCTTCCTCGAGGATAAACCACCACCACGTCTACCCCGCTCAGACCTTTAGCACTCTGGATGGCTGAGCCGCCTGTATCTCCTGATGTACCTGGAGAGGAAAACATTCAGACTCATCATGTTCAAAATTTGTGATAATTAGGGTGTTTTGTGTAAATTCATACCTACGACCACAGTGGCTCTGCAGTTCTCCTTTTGGAGGAAGTGGTTCAGGAAGCGCACAGTGCAGGTCATAGCCAGATCCTTAAAGGCCAACGTCTCTCCATGAAAGAGCTCCAAGACTGACAGACCTCCCTTAAGTCTGGCAATCCGCACCACCTCAGGCACCGAGAAACCAGACAGAGCTTCACCCACCAGGACTGAGACAGAGGAAGGTGGTGGATGGTTTTAATGACCTGTTTTTTTATTTCACTACTTCTTATTTCTGCTGCAAAAATTTGAAACTTGACATGTGCTCAAAAAGAAGTTGTGAGTATCTCCTCAGCTCACCCTGCAGCTCCTCTCTGGGGATCAGCTGATGGGGGATGAACAGAGTGGCGACCTCCACCACCAGCTGGGAGTAGTTCAGGCCCCTCCAGCTCCTCAGGGTCTCCAAGCTGAGCACAGGTACACTCTCCGGCATGAACATCCCCCCGTCTGGAGCGAAACCCGAAAACAGAACATCTCGGAAGTTCCACCCAGAGACCCCGCCCCGAGTGCTGCAGTATAGCATCGTACCTGAAACAAAGAAGAGAGGAGTGTTACACAGAGATACTTTGACTTTTTCAGTGGGACAATATTCCCTCAGCCAGCAACATCTACTTCTTCTACTTCTTCTACAGCTTCTTTCTGATTTTTTTTTAACAGATCTCTGAATCTGTCATTTTTTGTCCAATAATCAACCCTACAATAAAAACCAAATCGCACATGACAAACTGACAAACTGACCCTATCATCGATGTCTGTTTTGTCAAGTTATGAAATCAGATTAATTCCAGCTTTGTAAGATAATAATAATAATAATGCATCAGATTTCATATAGCGCTTTATCAGAGACCCTCAAAGCGCTTTACATTGGATACATCATTCATTCGCTCACACAGTCACACTTTGGTGCAAGTGTTTTAAAAATGAATTTTGGGTCATGCAAAAAAGGTTTTGGGGATTTTGCAAATTCATTTGAAGGATTTAGGAATATTTTTTTGTTTTCTTTTCATGCAAAACTGTCCGAACACCTTCCCAGAGTTTATTGGATCTAAAAAACTGTCTGGTAATCTAGTATAACTTTTCAGGGCATTGACAAAAGCCTTTTGGAATCATAGTGAAGGTTTCACAGGCACCTGTAAAAGTTTTTTTTTTTAAATTATGAACCAACATTTTCTTTCTCCATCTAAATTCTCTATGGAATTTTCTAATTTGCCTTTACATTACTGAATCTACAACAACCAAACACTAGATATGGACAGTCAACAAAACAAATATCATACTTAAACTTCTCCACAAATCTCTGTCTAAATATTCAGCATGCACAACACTTACCACTGTGAAGTAAATCGCTTTTAAACAACTTGACTCTTGAATTTCTGTCAGAGATACACAGTCAAACACACTCTCCGATGATCAACCTCAGGCTGACTCCTGATCTCTTCCTTCAGTCACAAAGGTAAATGTTGACACACTGTTGACCCCTCAAGGAAGATAAAACCTGAACTTGAACTTTGGAACAAATTCTGCAAAGACATTTTATCTCAACTTACTTCACCTAAGATCTCCTGTACATGAATTATGTTTCATTCATTCTTGTGTTGTATCCTCATGTTCCTTTATCAAGACAACCCTCTTTGTTTCTGTTAAAAGATGACAAAACAGCCAACTTAAAAGTATCTTTTGCCCTTTATAACTGATTGTAAACACATCTGAACTCTTTATCCAGCACTGATTTTGTCAAAGGATTAATTTGTGCTTGAGGACTCCAATAAAGTTTCTATTTTATTTTAGTCTCTTAAACTCAAGCTTTTGTAACACACATAATTTAACATCCGTTGAGGTTAGCTTGCTAGTAAAGCCACTGAGGTGTAATTACTTTGTTTACATTAGTTTATATATACAGTTATAGAGAATAAACGGAGTACAGCCCCTCCTGGTGACACCATACCTCGGGAGAAAGCTAAATAAATTTTATTTTATGGTCCGAATTCTCAACATGACGGCTATCTTTCCACATTGTAGCATTTGGACAAGTTAAATAACGACTTACCTCGAATGAAGTAAAGAAGCAGACTACTACCATGCGGAAACAGCGCGTAATCCTATTGGCTAAGGGGAGTGTGGGTGGGACTCTGTGGTGCGTTCATGGCATTCAAAAAAAGGACAAACAAACAAACAAACAAAAAACAGGCTGTTATTAACTTTTAAAGTTTAATTTGGATTTATTTTTCAATCAGAGCTTTATTGTCTGAATCTCAGCTTTAAAGCTCCTGTGTGTTTCTTTCACAGGTCATATTTACAATGAAAAAATGAATAAATAAATAAATAAGTATACTGTATGTTGCTGCCTAAGATTTTTCCCATGAAATCATTACAAAATATCTGATGAAAGGTAGTCAAACCCAAAGCTTTTTTTTTTTTTTTAAATATGGCCGAGGCTTAAAATAGCACAACCAAAAAGTCAAAAAGTCTGAATGCAGTTTTAAATTTTTAAGTTTGTAAAACATTGAACGCATATCTTAAAGGGATATTCCGGGATAAAATTAATTTAGGGCCAAACACACCGTAACACCGTGTGAAATACCCCCTTGAGGGATGAATGTTGCTGACCGCTTGTTTCTCTAGTTATACCAACTTTAGTACCGACCGCACAATAGCAATACACAGCGATCTGATGAGCCATAAACAAACCTCAACTAAAATGCCACTCTATAGCCACAAATAATGCTCAGAACAACACCCAACTTCATCAACAGTGCATACTTTATCCCTTTTTTTTATCCCTTTAACTAAAAATAATGCAAAGACAACATATATGTCTCTTTTTTATGAAAAAGTAAGTGCACGTTTTAAATTAGTTGTCAGAAACATTAAATTATAAAAAATCTAATGTTGAAAGAAATACCAAGAGGAAATTTCCTTGGCCTGGGTAAATTTAAAATTTCCATAAAAATTAATGAGACAGCATGGACATGAATTTGCCTCTAAATAATAAGCAGGTAAATAAATGACACAGAGCAGAGAGGTGTTTGATTTATACCATTGTTCATTTTAATGCACATCTGCAAACAAGTAAAAACATATATACAAGTTTAACACTGGAGACAATACAAAAATGTGCTTACAAAATTCTGAACCATGCAAATAACTGACATAGGACATAAAGAGTATAGTGAACATCATCCCCCCGAACACACTCACTCAAACAAGCACACCCACACACACACACACACACACACCACCATAAAGATAGAAAATAAATACACATTAAAAGAGGAGCAGTTGGATTCCATCAGTTAGTAACAGTCCCTCAAAACACATATTCAGCCAAACAGTTCTGCACATGATGAAAAAAAAACTTCAAATGCAAAAACTGGTTTTTGTTTTGGTCTTTATGGAAAAAAAGTAGATACTGTTTAAAATGACTTTAATATGTTGACTTTTTGATGGATTTTTCTCAGGAAATGTCAAGCAATCTATTTCAAAACTGATGCCTTACAGATCTTAGTTAGTCCTATACAAGGAGGTTTAGCTTAGTCCAAAATGGGTTTCCAGTTAAATGTGTCCTCCCCATAGACTGTATGAAGACATGGACATGATAGCCTCCCAAAAGTGAAGCCAAACAATTAAGAGCGCACCCTGGGGACCGTTTGCAGAAAAGGTCACAAACCCTGCCTCCTCCATGTTAACAGATGGGACATGGGTCAAACTACAGAAACAAAAAAATATCCAATAAATTTTTGTCAAAGTTCGCTTCTGTCATTGTAGATAGTTCTGATTAAATCAGTTATTAGGTGCTCAAAAGGGGGATGTGGCATAATGATTGACAGCTCTGTTGACCAATAAGACTCCTGCAGCACTGTGCAGCATATTATTATAATATGGGTTTTGGTCAAAAGGAAGGGGTGGATGTCAGCCACATGACTCCGAAATAAGTCAACGGAGCAACTTTGGAGTCCCCATTGTAGGAGCATTTTGGCATCACTTTCTGTATCACAGGGGGAGGTGGCTGCATATTCCCATGCAGTCAATGGTCAACACCAGGTGTCTTGATGATTTTTAAAATCATTCTGGTTCAGATACATAGCTGGCCGACATTTTGATTAATCATTTTATAATTTTGTGTCACTGAATGCCCATTTTGCATTTGCTGTTTAAAAGAAATTATTTTTTACTCCTATGAAATAGACTGAAATTCTAAATTTTGTAATGATATGCAAAAGTAAAAGGGTCCACCAGGGACAGGACTGATGTTTATTAATTAATTAGTTTCAATGCCTGAGACTGATGCGGGGGAGTAGGTGTCAGTGGAGCCGCTGAAGAAAAAGCCACTTTTCACATTTTCCATTTCAAAAGTTTAAAAAAATTATGCACTTGAGTGTCAAGTCCGAAGACTTCACTTGGGCGTGTAAGGACAAAATCAGCAAAGACCACAGGGGGCTAGGATTCAAAATATATACATTTTTAATAACATATATAACTTTGAATTAAATATGCTGGCCGATGTGGTGAAATGCAATTTCAAAATTTGATCACACATGATGTATAACATGTGCATAATTATTAGTGATCATGTGAATGTTTTTTCTTTAACAAATGCACTTTTTTCCACTGTTAAAGTCAAGTCTGCTAAATACTGAAGAGTCAGGTTATTCGAGGAAAAGGACTTTTTGAGAAATTAAACTTTATAATATTCAGGATTTACACTTGTAACATGAATCAGAGGGGGAAACTTGGGCAAATTTTTTATTTGATTTGATTACCCCTAAAGTTGTTGGGGGGTAAGAAACAAGAATATTAGATTCATCCATTTAGTTCTTCAATTATTTTTTTAAATGTATTAAGTTTTACTCTAGTTAGTGACATTTCAGTGACGAAAGTACCCTAGTTGGTGAACTTCATTTTATCTTAGCTTTTAGGATAGTGTTATATGAAAGAACTTGCAAACGAATGTCAATAATTCCTTTTTTCACTGATAAAATCAGTCAATGACAGTCCCATTCTTAAATATAAATGTGCAGGGATTCAGTGGCTTTGGACTTGAAAGTGTCGAAATCCTCCAAAATTTCTCAAATTTTTAAAAGAAGCTACTTTTGCAAATCAAATCTGTTGAACGTTCAGTAACTAGACACAAATTTAAAAATAATCACTTCCAGTTTTAATTAAAGGGCACTGATAGCTAAGAATAAGATGCTACTTGAGTTGCATTTGAACACATTTCAAAAGAAAAAATGTACACATGAACAGAGCTTTTGCACATCCATAAACCTTCGATTGTTTAAACAATAATTAAGTAGTGTGTTTCAACTCGGATATCTAAGAGACAGGCAGGTAAAATAAAAAGTGAAATAATGCTTTATCTGATGTCACAGGAGTGTCTTCAACATGTTAAGAGTTAGACTTGACAGTAATACTTCCTTCTGAGAAATGGTACATTTAACAACTCTTGGCATGTCTATCTGAAAATCCTCTCTCCACTTGGTAAAAGGCAGGGAATTGAACCTTTGAGTCTATAAAGAGTACCTTAATATTGATACAAGCCTCGTGATTCTATGAGTAACTTTACTTCTGTTCTGCTTCCTTCCTGATTCACATATTTGACAGGTTTCATGCCTGTGACTGTAGATTTTGGCAGTGAAGAATTTCGGTTTGCAGATACATTCATAGTGTAATCTTGACTTAAGTATTCATAACATATTGGGCACAAAGCAGGATAAAGTAAAGGATGAAATGCATGAAAATCAAAGCTGTGAGTGAAGCTGTGCTGCTGTTCACACCGACTATTTCAGACCACGGCCAAAGGTTCGAGGAACAAATGTCTGGGGATTTGCCAGTTCCCGCCAGTGAAAAAAAAAAAAAAAGATGAGATACAATATCAGCTTTTTTTTCCCACAAAAAAAGATAAAAAAAAGAGATTTATGCGTTTAACTGAGTTAGAAGCACATAAAAAACACTCGACCCGAAAACCCCCCCAAAATTGCTCAGACAACTCCACCATGCGTAGTGGGTCCTCTTTTTGGGGATTCAGAATATGGTCACCCGAGCATAATACAGTTAGTACTGTACTATATTTCCTTATATGTAGACTTTTAAATATGCCAAGTCTGCCAAGGCTCTGTGCTATGAGAGAGCCAAGTTAAAAATAATGTCCATTTACCAACACAGAACTTCGAATCTTACAGATGGACCACAGTTGGTCAGGAGTTCACATTAAAGCTCCTGCAGGGAGTTTTTTATGTTAATGAAACGGACTGAAATTCAAAGGCGTCAGCTGTGCAGCTACAGAATCAGCTCTATTTTAAACATTTCCACATAAGTGATATATTTGAATGACATAAGTCACTGCCAGATGACACAACTTATGCATGTAGAGGACAAGACAAGCAAAGTCTGCTCTGTCCACAGGGGGCGCCAGAGTTGACACAACCTAAAAGTTCCTCACAGGAGCGTTAGTAGAAAAACATGTTGATCCCGAGTGGGATAAAAAGCTCCACGAATAATGTTCAGTATGAAAAGCAGCACAGTTTCCACAGATGGTTCTGAGATAATAACTTGGGTCTTTAAAGAAACGTGACTTTTTAAAGCCAACTTCATCTTCACTTGTTATTGTACGAAAACATTATAGAAATGAAAATTTTCAGAAGGTTACTTCTACAATACTCAACAGGCAAGGCCCATCACTTCATAATTATTCATCTGGACAGAACACACTGTCTCCTGTTTCACATCATTGAACAGATAAGGCATACATGTTTCTTACGATAAAAACATTCAACTTCTAATAATTAAAAAAAATGCTGAAAGAATAAACATGCACTATTGCTCATCCCAGTTCAACATCTGCTCAATCTGACTTCAAATGTGGTCCATGGGGGATTTATGTCAAAGTCGAGCCTCTTTCTATAAATCCTTCCTGTTATATTGGTAGTGTTGGACTCCCTCCCTCTCTGATGTTCAGTGCAAACTTAATAATCTGAGCACAATAAGTCTCTATGAGAGAAATGGCTGAGAGGAGCTTTTTTCCCCCATAATGCACCAAGAAGCAAGTGGCACCTCCTCCTCTCTTCAAGGCAGGAATATTTTGACCACGTCCACGAAGGTTTCACGTCAGTCTTCACTGATCAAACACGGAGTTAAAAAGCTGTTTGCTGAGTTTCCCCGACACATCTCTTCAGGCTCTTCATTGATCAAGTTTCTCCATTCAAAAACGTTTGACATGAGTGTTTTTAAAGTCTGAACTTCCACCTACCACGTCTGAGAGGGGAGGGCAGGAGGAGGAGAGGAGACAGGTTATGAGTTATCCTGCAGCTCTTTGGCTTTCATCAGGATGGTGTGCACGTCTGAGATGGGGTAATCCTAACAGAGGAAGAAAAACACATCTCTGTGAGTGAGTTATGTCTCTAATTTAAAGTTTTTATGATCAATAAAAGAAAAATTTCATCATACTAATGTGTGGCTGATTTCTGTCTTTTCTGTTATATGAAAAAAAAAAAAGAAAACTAATCCAACAGTTTATACACGAATCAAAGCTTTAGGGTTTGTCTGTGCCTAAACTTGAAAAGTACAGACTCTTTTCTACATTATTTGTCGTCTTTAACATTTTGGAACATTTTATGTTGTTGTACTTCATAATGTTTGTTGTATCGTTTGCATGTTTGGTTTGGGTGCATTTTCATATATTTTGCATGTAATGTTTGCTGGATGTGGACAGCAGGAAGAATATCTGCTGCAGTAACAGCAGCTACAGAGGATCTCAATGAAAAAGATGAATAAGGGAATAAAAGTCCAGGACTGATTTGACTCTGGGTTATAACTATGACAGTAATATCAAATTATTATTTAGTATTGATGGGAAAATAAGGAGGCCCTGATCATGAGATAATGGCCTCCTTTTCAAGATTAGCAGGTGGATTTATTCTTTATTTGACAGTAATGGTAAAAAGAAATAAAACCTGTGAGGAGACTAAAACAACAACCTGCTGCTACGACTGGGCTTGACAGTATTGAGATTGTAATGTTCTCTCTGGCAGCTGGCATCGCACCAATATGGTTATTGGCTCTTGAACATTTATTGAATTTTTATATTTCCGTTAGAAGTTTTGGCCAATTTTCCCATTATCTACTAAACAACTGCATGTGAAACAAGACAAAAGTTGAGAAATTGAGGCTGATGTAAACCTTCAAATCTCTCTCCACAGCTTGGTTAGGCTGTTAAGACTCTGCCATCATGACTGAAGTTATGACCCACGTGAGCTTTCAGTGCTGCAACCCGATCCTCAACAGACAGCTGCATGGGAGAGCTGTTTTCTAAACAACCAATAAATATTCTTAACTGAATGTCTGTTTAATAGAAATCCACACGTATATTTGAATTTGGAGTTTTCTTTGACAGCCCTGCTAGCCAAACAAATCAAGATTTAAGTATGTAAAACGTGTTTTTTTTAAGGTTAGAAATTTGGAACGTTAAACTAACTCTTGAGATCAACTCAAGTTGGATATCAACGCAATTCTACAGCATTTCAACTTTGTGTCAAACATTACTCCCTAATTCCTGAAAGCCTCTCTAATTTTTTTGATTAGCTACCAATGGAGTTTATAGGACTGTAATTCCAGTGGGTCTCACTGCATGACTGAGGATCATCAGCATTAAAATGATTTAACTGGCTGAGTGGCAGCTTGCAAGTAAAAATCATAAGAGGGCCAAGAACAAAGCCTTGGGGAACGCCGTATGTAAACGATGCTCTGTTGGAGAGTTTATCAGCAAAACTAAGAAATGTCTTTGAAAATCTCCATACAGCGATAAAGACTCATGTCCTTTACAAACATCTTACCTGTAGTAATCTCATGTTGACTGTGAAGTCTCCTGCCATTATGCTGTCTTTGATGAGCCTGTTGGTAGAAGAAGAAACTGAAACCATGATGCACATGAAGAACCAGAGGTGAGAATGCTGCAGGAAGAAGTCTGAAAAGCTTACACAAGCATGGCGCAGCAGACAAGGATGAGGAAGTGGAACCGGTCCTGGTCCGAGAACAGGGTGTCCCAGATCCGGATGACATCTGGCAGGAGGAACTCCTGGGATAACAACAAGGTCAGCCAGCGGAAAGTGAAATACTGGGGTTTGATCTTCTGCTCTTCCTGTGTGGACCAAAGAAAAGAGAGAAAAACAGAGAAAAAGGCGAAATCATCAGTTTGTTGGGAAACTGATGCTGTCCTTTTCTTTCCCCAGATCAGTTCTCAATTCAACTTGTCTTAAGAGCAAAGAGGAAAAGGAGCCATGGCCAGGGCTGGACTAGCAAAGAGATGTATTGGGGGTTTCTAACTGGCAGGTCAACACACCAGTAGGCTAAAACATGTCATCAGCAGGAGGTTACATCCCTGTGCAACAAAGTTTAAGAGCATGTAGAAGTCATGGTCACTGAACACAAGGCAAAGAGGCATTTATGACAACACTGCTGCACACTCACACTCACAGTGTAAAGCTGTAAACAGCCCCTAGCTTCCCATGAAGAGCAAGGTTTCAACATAAGATGGCCTCACCAGTTTGAGATAGAGCTCTAGGTCTTTGTCTTTAAGCATAGAGTAAACACTCTCCATCTTGTATGTGATGCCGCACTGAGAGTCGTCCAGGCTCTTAATGAAGTTGTCTCGGTTCTCCGACATCAGGTTGGTGAAACAGAAAAACGTGTCTGCTTCAGCGTGCTCTGAACCGAGAATCACACAAGACATTTTAGTCATCTATGCCGTTTTAAACATCTACATTTTTCCGACTTCGGATCTTACCAACCTTTCCACTGGCTGTTTGGGTCTGTGGCGAACGTGTAGTAAATTGGCCCGACGATCTCATTCATACCCTGAACGTAGGCGATACCGGGGTTGAGTTTGGCGTAGATGAAGAGGATCCTCTCCACCACCTCCCAGTGTGCTTCACTCCCACTGGGGAGCACCTCGTACTCATTCGATGGATACAAGTTCAGCGCCTTTCCAGGAGAGCTGACCTGAAGAACAGATCCATTTTACACCACAAACCATTACGTCTAATATGTACTCCTCCACTAAACCACGTAACCATAACCCAACTGTTCTCTAAACACACAATAACTAACAGTTACTTACGTTTGTGACTCCGCTGCGGTTGCGGTTTACAGTTTGTGCTTTCAGGGTGGTTTGTTCGACTCGTCGACGCAACGTCTCATAATCGTTCTGGGGATCCAGGATGAGCTTACAGGGGTAATCTGTGGGGCGCTGGAAAAAGGCCATGTCTGGGTACAGCCGCCTGCAAAAATGAAAAAACACACACTGCTTTTAACTTCCTTGAAACAGGTTTCCTTATCCATCTTTCATTGATATTTGTATTTTTTTATCTGTAATAAAAGACAGTGTTCCTTTAACAGATGTGTGAATGAGTAGATTTTGAAAGTCTTACCTTACATCCTTGTCTATTTGAAGCAGAATTTCATTATCTTTGAAGTAGGTGTTCCATCTGCTGTCTGGATTTGGATTTAGAGGCTGAAAATTTAAAGAAAACAAACATACAGTGCATCACACCTTCAGTTAATGTTTGGCCTGTACAAAATAAGCTGGTGATCACAGATTTAAACTTTCCTTTTTTCTGTTTTAAGAATTCCTGTTTCACATTCGGGTCAGTGTTGGTTAACCCAATGACAGTGTCACACACACTTACACTGCGACTATATTATGATATGGAATAAAAAAACAGGGCTGAATCATCACCAGACAAAAGGCCATGGTTTAAAGAGATTAAAAGAACTGCAAACCTAAATCATGGATTAACAAATCCACATTTCATTGATCAAACTCTCTTGGCTCTTCCTATGACATTTAGATTTATACCACTGCTTCCCCCACTCTTCTCTGCCACTACACTTTGTTGCAAAGTAGTGAAATTTTTGAAAGGTTTTCAGTTTTTAGAAAGCACACAGTGTTATACACAGCACAGTTATCGAGTGCTTAATGTCAGATAAAAATGGTTTAATAGAAAGAGACTGAAAGAGAAGGTAGATGTACTCGTCAAACTTGTTGGTATGTGGATGAGATATAAATGGACCTTTTTGTGATCATTTTGTTTTGGGTGGGACACAGAACTTCAATCTCCAAAAAGGGCATGGCAGAAAAGGTTTGGGAACCACTATGTAAAATGGTGGTTTGGGACATATTCTTACTTACACTCAAGGCTGCTGTTGGTATCTGCAAGCACTGCAAAATTCATTGGGACTGCTACTGCACCATCAGCTATGGCTGACAGGGAATTAACACCAAGTGCATGAAGCACGAGGACGGTCACAGCTCTGCCCCATCTTAACATGCATGTCTGCATCAACATTCCTAGAGTGCACTGTATTGCTATCCACTGTCTTCTCCTATTAAATTCATGCAGACAGTTTGGATAACACAATAAATGTGTCTTTCTCTCTTTTTATTTTTTTTTTAACTAAAAATTGCCTCCTGTATAAAAACAAGAATTTGTCCTCCAAAAGTTATTCTCTAAAAGGGTAGGGGTCGTCTTATAATAATGGTCCTCTTTTATCCTTTCCTTTTGTGTAGATGTAGTTTCATTAATCATGTACACAAGGCAACAGTGTAAATAAAATGAAGATAAGATGGGACAAACCTTTATTTATCTATTCACCTCTTCATCTATTTATCCCAACTAGCCCAGCCAGTCTGACTTTGCAAACTCACTCCTGCTCCCTCTTAGATATAAGTTACACCCACTGATGACACAGCTGATCCTGTTGCAGGTCTGCATCGCTGCGCTGAATCAATTGTTGCAGTGGTCGTTTTAAACGCTTTGAAAGTCAATCAGTGTTTCAAAAAATGTGCTGATGCAGCCGAGGACCTGAAGTCAAAGTCTTGAGGTCATAAAGGTCCACTTTTTACTATTGCCCTTTACACTGTAAGAAAAGTTAAATGTTTACCCAAAGAGAACATTACACAGTCAGTCCTGCCAAGTCACACAAAACTGAATCTGCTCTGGACTCTCTGTGTCAGTCAGAGCTCAATAAGATGATCACAGCCGTCAGGATTATCACTGAGGTAGACATAACTCTCAGTTCAACTCCACTGAGGAGAAAAAAAAATCAGGGAAACAACAGAGACTCAGACTCACATGATCCTCCATGGTGACGTCTTCTCTGGACAGGCCCAGGTTGGCTTTGGCAATGCCCGGCTGGATGATCATTTCTTTCAGGAACTGAGAGTAAACCTCCCTGAAAAAGACAGACATGAGCCAGAACAGAGGAAAGTAAACAAATACACCTGTTACATCTGTTTTGTTCAGGCTTTTCTGGGAAACAAACGCTCTTCTACTGAAAAGAAATTGATCACAGGAACAAAGTTACAAAATATACCTCCCCAGAGATAATAGACTTTACTTTTGTTCCTTCTGTTTGCATGATAAACATGAAACCTTTCCAGTGTTTTACACATTTTTATGGACTATAAGAAATTGCAGCAAATCTGAGGTTAAAAGACTCAGGGGCTGCAGGGCAAAGGCAGAAAATAAACATATTTTAATACACCAAAACACCTTCAATGTATTGTTTGATTGAAGAGAAATGGTAGTAGAGTTGGTTGATTTCCTGCTGGCTTGACTGTGAGAGACCGACATAATGACCTGCATCAGGCTGGTGACTCAGAAATAAAACGGGTTACAAAACAACATTAAGTGATGTCCTCAGGTATAGTGATTAAAAGCACCTGATTCTGTTTTTTTCCCAGAGAGAGTAAAAAAAGTAAAGATGTGAAACTTATGAGAAAATCTGAGAGAATTCACCCTGAGAGGGAACTTTTGTAAAGGTACTCTTGCTCTGTTTTAAACCAACCAGACTTTGTCGTTAAAAACAGCATCTTGACGTCCACTTGAAATTGCTGGTTTACCACTATTTCAAAGAGTAACTGATCCAGCATGTTCTACAAGATAGATTTAGTGGTTTTGTGAATGAAGTTTGGCAGCTCTGATAAGAGTAACGTAACGGTAGTTTCTGGTAGGTGAAATTCTCCTCCCCAGAATGCTCCTCTCTGAAGGGTTCCTCCTTGATGCTCCTCCCATGTGAGCGAGCATCAGTGATAACACAAGTTGGATTTCATTGTTTCTCATTGAAGTGTCCCAACTACACTAGAGCCATGAAAAGACTGGCAAGCAGTGGTTAATTCATGGAAGTTAAAAGAAGAGTTGAAAGTCTGATATCTCCATTTTTCTCAACAACTACGATGAAGTAGCAGCTAACTGAAAGGAAATCAACAAAAGGCTGACAGGGTCCAGCAAGAAGTTTCCCTTGATTTTCCTCTGCTTCCTTTCTAGGGCTGCACATGAGGCAATTATTTAACATACAAATTCAAATTCACATTTTAGATGGAGGCCTGGGTATCATGACCATGCTTTCACATTTTGATACGGTCAAATAAGGCCTGATCTAGCTTTCAGATGACCTCAGATTATTTGGTTATAGTTGAACAATGAAAAAAAAACAACACTTTTGCATTAAGGCGAAACATAACGCAAACACGGGTCATATGTGAAACACTGAAACAGCGGATAACCTCTGTTAACTGATCTGTTTGCACTCTATAATATCTGTTTATCAGACTGTCTTTCTTGTTTAAAACCACAAAAATCAATAATTTTGCTGCACACTGTATTTTGCTTCCATTTTGTGTAGTCTTGGTGACAGATTTTCTGGTCATGGGCTGAGCCAAGTGTGGCAGAAACAAGTGTGAAGTTTTGTTAAGTCACAGATAGTTGATTTTTAATGTATGTATTTTTTCAGGTTGTAATAAATGTGACAGAAACAGATTTGATGTCATTTTTTTCCAGTATTCTGCCGCCCTAACACTCAAGGAACAGAACTTAGCTTGTGCTGCAAAATGAAAACGGAGCCGCAGTGTTGTGTCATGTAACTGAAGTGTATGTTTGACGGATGGAGTGTAGACAGCAAGCATTTATTACTACACATCGTCACATGACATGTTTTGCTCACATGCTGTCAGGAGAGGTGACAATCTAAGACCCACACTGAGAACTTTTAAAAGACGTACTGTACTCAGTCATGTTACTGCCTGACATTCTTCCCTGGGAATTTTAACACTTTGGACCTAAAAGTAAGTTACTTAAATATGCAAAAATTTGAGAAAGATTAAAGAAAAAAATTCATCACTCCTCTTGAATCTTGGGACATCTGGCTCTCAGGTTCAACAAATTCTCCTTCTCACCTCTGTTTTTTGAGGAAAGACTCCCACAACGTCTGATCAAGAGGTAGATAATTGAGAAGGATCTGGAAGAGAAGTAAAGGAAGTCACATGAGACAGGAGCAGACATCACAAGAGTCTGTTCATTCAGTCAAACATGCAACAGTCTGACCTCCCTGCTTCACAGTCTCATGGAATCCATCCCTCAGGCTTCTTTCATTACTCTTATTTCTGCAGCAGACATTCATTGCAGACTAAAAATACTAATTACAGCTGAAATTTACCCAATTATCTTTGACTCTGCTGGACCCACCACTAGGGCTATCATTAACTGTAACTTCACTTTGTTTAAAATCTGGATGAGATCCCTTTAAATGAAGTTTTACATAGTAACACAATTGCAGAGTGACTCACCTTCCAGCAAAGTGCTCGTATGCCTCCTTCAAATGGGACTCCTGAGTTAAATAAAGCAAAGGAAAAAAAAAGTCAAATACTTGTTCTTAAATATCTTCAACAGGTAAACAAGCGGGAGGAATTTTAAGATATGAGAGTCACCATTGAAGCAGAGTTCCCTTAGTGTCTTTAAATTGATAATTTCTTCACTCAAGGCTACTTTAAATTCCTGTATCCTGAAAAAAAGAAAGATAAGGTTAGATGAGTTTATCTGAATACTGCAATCTTCATTGGTATCAGTGTAATTATACCTGCTTAGGTACAACCTTGATATTCACGCGCACCAAAAGTTTTGATGGTCGGCAGATTTGATGGTTTGCAAATCATTTTAAGTCTGTATTATATAGATGGATCTAAAGCAGGCAGCTCAGTGACGCACGGAGGAGAGTGGTCTGCCTCAACGGTAAATAAACCAGTTTTTGAAGTACACAATAAGTCAACAAGTTTCAGTTCAGCCCACTTCACGATGTTCCCTGCTGTGCTGGTCTCGGTCACGCCGAGTTAACGGTGAAGTACCATGTAGTTGAAAACACTTTTCTATTCCGAGTTTGATTCATGATCAATACGCGGAATAGTAATGAGACGATCAGTCAATCTTCCTGTCAGCATCAATAGCAGTAGCCTGCAGTATAACAGGTGTTCCTCATTTTTTATGATGTACGTGAGTTAGCTTTATCTTTATTTATTTATTTACATAGGCTATTTATTTTAGAGGATGACGAGTGTGTGAGTTAGACAAGACAGAGGTTGACAAAATAATCAGACTCACACCCGCTACAGTCTAAATAATAACCTGAAAAGAATTAGTTTATCATCTTTATTACAGTTAAAATAAATAGCCAGGGATTGTTTTAGCAATAAAAAGGAATTGAAATGAGTTTTCTGCCTTCAATTCTTTGAAGACGTGTTTAAAAGGCTCAAAAGCAGCCATTTGTTTCAAAGAATAAGTAAATATGTAGATATATTATTTTTTTAAATCGACCGATTAATCGTAATCGATTAACTTATTTGAAAGTGTTGCTTGCATCAGTTATTAAATATATTTCCCATAAACCGTCAAACTTCTCGGTATTCACATTTGATTTGTTGATTGTTTTTTGCTTGTTTCCAGTTGGGGTTTTAAAGAAATGCAACTTAAGAAATCATGTTTTTATCAACACCTTATACAGCGTCTTAAAGTTGACTTTCCTTTTAAACTTTGTATTATATTCACAAGGAGATGGTCGAGGAAGCTTATTTCTCTCATCTCTTCGTAATAAATGAGAACAGTCACATTTTAACTGATTATAATATCGGACAAAATATATTTAAAAAGATGGTTTTATTAATAATATCTCCTTTGTTTACACAACAGCTGACGTCTGCTGTAATACGAGAGAATAACATGGATAATGTGATTTTACGGTCCCATTAAACTGAGACAAAGGCGTTTTTACAGCATCTGTTGTGGACTTAATTCACTAGAGCTAATTAATCACCAGGATTTGAGATTTACTGGTTGTAAAGCACAGTAGTTTCACAGGAACAGAAACCCAGTGTCAGCACGCACAGCTAGCCGGGGATGATCACGTTAGCTGTTAGCTTGTTAGGGAAGTGTGATGTGTCAGCTGATGTGCTAACAGGGAGGCAACACAGCAGCAAAGCCGATTTCAGCTTTCGTTACACGGAGAGGTCCTCTGTCTGACATTTACTGTGATTTTACTGCATCGAACCATCATGGAACACACGCGTGATTTTGCATTTCTTGATAAAAGTTGGATCGTGTTTGGCTAAGTGAGCTGCTAGCTGAAAACACTGAAGTTTCTCTGTTAGCATGCTAGCTGCTTTATGCGATGTTGTCTGTCCGCGTGCCCAGCGGCTCGTGCAAAAACACAGGTAAACATGAGTCTTACCTGTTTTTGTAAGCAGTAGACATGTCTGTACCGGAGGAGGGTTTATCCTCAGACGGTGTCCAAGAAGAACTGAATAACTGGACTGAGGGAAGTCCTCCTCCTTTCACTTCCGTCTTCACAACAACACTAAACACACACACACACACACACACACACACACACACACACACACACACACACACACACACACACACACACACACACACACAAACTGAACACTAACGCTCACTGTAAACGGGTTCAGATTGTTCCTGATAAATACACAATGTTCTTTTTTTTTTACCTCCTTACTTCTGCCCACTCATTTGCCAGCTTTACAAAAAATATCTGGTCGTTATCAAGATTTTATAAACATAAAATAAAAAATATTTGATTAAAAGGTTAATTTTTTACACTTTCAAAAGCTCAATTTATAGTCGTGTAATTCAATGTCAACATTACAACATTAAATTTACAAACCTACAAAGGTCATTGTATATTTCATATTTCACTGTATATTTCATGGCTTCCTTCAATCAACTTTAGTTTAAAATGTGAACAAATATAAGCGCATTATTGTCCATAATTAATGTATTTGTGCAGCTGATAACAGCAGCAACAATACAGGTCACTGTCAGTTTGACTGTTTCTTTTGTTTGGTGAATTATTGCTGTTGGATCCTGCTGCATTTAACAGTGTCTTCAAGATGTTGTAATCACCTACAGCCACTAGGGGGCAGAAATGTTTAGAGAGCTTGAAGGACTTCATCCTCATGAAATTAATGTCTTAAGAAAAACATTGCGGTCCTTAGGCTGTCATGTTGAATTTTTTGTAATAAAATTAAACATATTTTATTGGAGTTTTCTCTACTTTTGGCCTTAAATATCTCCCCCTCCACTTTAACATGTATGGTCCAATGCAATATTGATTCAGATTTTATAATAAGTAGATAGAGGCTCCTAAATGATTCTACAAAGTTATAAAGACAAAATAACAGACTATTCAAAAGATTGTCTCAGCAACAATTTTTTAGTGTCTCACTTTACCTCATGTTGGTGCAAGATCCTGATATTTTTTCAACCAAACCTGATATGTTGTTTTTAATTGCATGTTCACAAGTCAGCCTGCTCCTGCTGGTTGTTCTTGTAGTCTTTTTTTCCCCTAATTAATATGTTTTTTCATTACAGAGACACAAAATATTAGTCGGACTCTTCCACTACAGGGCCACACTGTTGTGATTCCAGCAGAATGAGGTTTTGTATTGTCTTGATGAAATATCAAGGTCTTCCCAGAAGACGTCTTTGTCTGAATGTCAGCATATGTTGCTCCTAAACCTGTATATATTGGTCAGCATTAATGGAACCTTCACAGATGTGGAAACTACCCATGGACGCTGATGATCCCCATACCATCAGGGATGCTGGCTTTGAACTGGGACCCACAGGGCTCTTCTCAAAGCCCTGCAGCACAATGAAAGTGAGGGACAGAAATTTGGGCTCAGCCCTGCATGGGTCGGCATTTGTTTCGCTGCAAAGGTGAGGTGCTAGGACACCTTTCCAAGACTTCCTCACTCAGCAAGCTGAGTCCTTTAGGTAGATACCTCTGGTGCTACTCTGTGGCATGTGCTTACACAGAGTAACTGTGTCTCTGAAGGCCACACAGTTAGCCCTGCAGAGCCTCTCCCAGCATCACCTGAGCAAAGACAGCAACCTCTATTTCAGCAGCAATCCACAAGCTCAAACTTGTACTTGGAAGCTGGCTGCAACCTGCTTCTGTCCTTGAAATATTGGTGTTTTAAATCATTGAACTGTCTCATCTACAGAAACACAGAGTTGGAGTTTTCATTGAATTGGATAGTTTGAAATTTGGACGACCTTTGCATACGTCTTTGGACAACAACTGCACCAACAACTGCACTGGCTTTTTCAAATCTTCAGCATGCTTTCAATTTGGTCCAAGATCAGCTTAGGCAGCTGCAAATTGTGCTTAATGTGGAGAAAACTAAACTCATGTTGTTTTCATCTACAAGAGCATCACAAGAAACACTGTCAGAGAAAATTGTTAATATTGACGGTCAAGAAATTGGGCTTTTAAGTGCCGCAGGTTTTTACTGGCATGTTGCTAGAAAACTGAAAGTTTTACTAGGCTTTTACTACAGAAACAAGTCCTGTTTCTTTTTTAATGTTAAAAAGAGACTTGTAGAGTCTACATTCTTACTTCTTCTTGATAATGGTGATGTATTATATATGAATATTTTTATTCTGTATTGAGTCTGTGTGTCTGTTTGTTGTAACTATGTATTTCTGCCATTCTTGGTCAGGTCTCCCTTGCAAATGAGATCCTCAGATCTCAATGGGACAAACCTGGTTAAATAAAGGTTAAATATATAAAAAATTAAAACTTGATATGGAGTGTTCAGGCTTCATTTATTCACTCCTGTTTGAGCCACAATCTGTTTCTTATTTGCTTTAATTAACCTCAGATTGGGGCAGTGAGTGACATGGTGCTGTTTACGTTTTGCATGTAGTTCCTACATCAAACAGCAGGTAGAGACAATAGTTTTATGAGTGTATATGTTGGTGCATGATATGTAATGAGTTTCTTTGTGATAATAAAGTTAATGTCAGTTTTAGGGTTTTTGAAATCCCCACAGTGTAATAAAATGGAGAGTTATACTCAAACTGGGAGGACATTGTGTAACGCGTCAACTGCAATGTCCAGTGTAGAAAGTCGATTCCAGATGAGTGGTTTCTTCAGAAAAATAAAGGTTCGTTTTAATTTATTTGCACAGCAACCAAATTTCAACATTATAATGAGTGACATATGAGTAAAAAGTCTGACAGCAGACCCCGGTTTCTCCAACACCTCATAAGTAGCTGTAGTATTACAGATCTTCCAGTAACAATAGAGAAATCGGTGTGTTTAACAACAGTCTGACAGGATGAGAGACTGGAAAGGAAGGAGAGGAGGAAGAGGAAGGGGAAGAACGGGAGAAAGAGGTGGAAAAGGAGGAGGAGGAGTAGAAGTAGGAGGAGGAGGAGTCTGTTTGTTGACATCGGACGAAAACGAGAATCAGATGAGTGAAGAGTGGTGATAATAACTACATTTCTCTCCGTCATCGAGATACTCAGCCTTGGCTAAAGCTCAGGTAGATCCATGCCTGATGATTCGTGCTCTCTGACCCCACTGACTGCGGTTTGGAGCTTCACACTTACAGAGAGACAGAGCTAAGCTAGCGCTAGCCCAGCTGGCTACAAGAGCTAACATCATAGCAGGGAAAGTCACGGTTAGCCACACGCTAAATGCACTGCTGACACCATATCGGCAAGTTACAGGAAAACTCAAAATAACAAGTCTTACTCTGTGTTAGTTTGGGTTCTTGTGACTGAGCAGGCCAACAATTAATGTCTGTTGGCATTTAGCTATGTAGCGTTAGTGTAGTAAAGTAAAATATTCCACAGAGAAGCTAGCTAGCAAGCTAACTTAGGAACACCGCTGTGTCCCCCTCAGGATTCACTGCCCAGTGTGGTTAACTAACAAACTACAATTACCGACTCAAAGACAAGGCAAGGTAGGCTTTAAGCTTTAATTTAACAGCATGAGTCATTTAACTTTTTAGATAAAACGTCAACATATCATGCCATTTACGCGAAAACAAGTTGCTGCAAAGTTGCTAACAACAGAGAGCCGTTGGTTTTGCGGCTAACTTTGTCAGGTCTGCAGAGGTGTGTTATAGGTTTATAATGGCAGTAAACTAATTTTACCGCAACTCTCCTTCCTGGGGATTTCATAGCCGTGAAGACACAATGAAGTTTATCGGAGTCTGAGTTTTCCAGACTGTGTTTGACTTAATGTTACTTTGAATGTTCATGAAATTAATGTTGATCCTGTCATAGGCTACATCAAGAAACTTAATTTATCATAACAATTATCACACAGAAAATTTGCACAAGAAAAGACTTACAACATTGAGTATGCACCATATTGGGGATGCAACATATGATGCTTCACATATGGCCCATGATCACAATAATCTGTTACAGGGATTCTGTGATGACAACCATTCACTGACTAAACAACTACCTAGATAATACAGTCCTCCTAAATGTGACATGCAGGATCAGTTGTGCCACCACAATGGCACATAAAGTAGTGACATGTTAAGTAAAACTGAAACAGAGGCTGCAGTGTCAGGACCAAAACTCTAGGACCGCTGCCCTACTACTTTTGTGTTGTTGCAACATTTACGGCAAGAGATATGGCTAGACCGTAAAAATGCAGTTGCAGACAATAAGGATCTTAGAGCTGCAGTCTCAGAGAAGTGGTCCTAAATCTACAACCTCCAAGTCTGCAGGCCCGCGCTACTTGTCTCATCAGCTAAATGATGCAAACGGAGCTTTAGGCAACACTTTTTGACATCTTTGTTCTGGCATTATGACAAAATTGTTCATTTCAAGAAAATAGTGATGTACTCTTTAGACAAAAAATAAACATGCTGGTACTGGTTTGTTTGAAAAGGCTCCTAAATGCACAACAGATGACCAGGGATAGTGTGTGCAACTCAAGAAAAATTGGTCACTTTAAGCAGGTACACACTCAGATGAAAATATTCCTGTGTCAGGAAATGGTTGCACTTGTCACTCATCACTTATCCCTCGTCACTTTTTCCTCACTGGCCAGTCAAATTTAAAAAAGGGCAAGACATTCAATATTGACTTTGGGAAATGGCAGAGAACAAACTACTCAGACTCGTTTTCTTTTGGGTCTCCAGAGCTAGAGCTGCTTCAAATGTACAGATACAACTCTTTTATGCATTTGAACAAAACAATCTAATTTCTTATGAAAAATTATTTTTCTGTATATTGTCCTCGTAAACTCCAACAAGCAGCAGAAGCACTGCAAGAAAACTTGTGAGATGTACCATAAAATTGAAGTTGTGGCTGGTGTCAGTGCAAAAGATGCTGTAAGTGGACACAGGCCCTTGTATTGCATGAATCAGGATGTTAATATGTGCACAAAAAAACATGCAGCCATACACCAGAAGCGACACACAAAATTTTTTGCAGAACAGAAGTCTTTAGGCTGAACATTCATGTGAAACAGCAAAGATTGCTAAAAATAATGGTTGTTGAATCCAGCTGAGATGTTAGGTGTGTGATCTTCCTGTTTAAAACAACAAAAAACATTAACTTCAAAATTATCTGTTGCATGAAATTTTAGGAGCAAGTTGGCTCTTGTACAGATTTAGATTGAACCACACCACAAATATAAGGTTTCATATAAGTTATAATGGGCTGAAGATGAGGAGCACAGAGTAATCAACTCAAAAAGCTACAGTGAACTGTTTTGCAGCCTGTAGTGAATTAGAAACAGCTTCTTACCTTTAGCTTTGTTCACTTCAGGCCTTCTAGGTCCTCTGCTCTGCCCTGTCTGTGACCTGAGCTGGAGAAGAAGAGGCAAACATGGCAGCCAAAGCAGGAGACAACCCCGACAGCCTCATGTCTCTGGCTACAGTGTTCTGCCTGAGGAACCTCAGAAAGACGATGTGCTACCAGAGCTTCAGGAACAAACTGTGCCTGCGCTCAGACATCTTCCTCCCAAGCGAGATCTGTGACAAGCTGGTCAACACGTATGTAAAAAAAAAAAGAGACATTTCATTCAGTCAAAGTGTCCCCTGTTTATTCTGGTGTTGCATGCTTAACAATGGATTTTTTTGGAACAGGTATATGGAGCTGGTTCACACAGACAGTAACTTTGAACCAGAGGAGAGTTTCTTCCAGCTGTTTTCAGACCCTCGCAGCACCAGACTGACACGGGTTCAGCTGAGAGAGGACTTTGTGCATGACAGAGATCTGGAGGCTATCAGAAAACAGGTGGGAAACACCTTCAATTGAACATTGCAATTCATTAGGGTGATTAAAAACAGAAGAAGTAGGGAGCTAAAGGACTGATCTTCCAGGATATCTGAAATGATATTGGAAGGAAACTCTTTCCTCCAAATGTTGAAAAATATTTGATATTTTAAAAATTCAGGGGTAATTTTGAAGTCAGTAAATACTGCATGCAATCCTTTTTAAGTGTGGCATTGGCAGAGATAAAAAATGCCTTAACTAGTGAATTTTCTTCTTTCAAAGAGAATAAATTAAAGATATATTATTGCTGTTTCTAAGGGGGTGTATGTCTGTTGAAAATAGGGCTGTCAATGTGAGACTGAGCTGGATATCTTAACATGTTTATATCTTTTCAATGATGATAGAAATCCTTGATGCAAACTCAGAGCAGAGAAATTAAAACCAGAGCCAGCAGCAGACAGCGATTAAATGGGCTATTAAAAGTGACACATGTGGAGCCTTTTTTGATAACTTTTTAAAGCATCTTCTAAGACATGGTTCAAATTAGTCATACCTGTCTGAATGATACAGAGGCAGGGGAAGCAAAATTAAGCATCAGTATCACTACATAAACCAAATCCCCGAAGTAAACAAGCACTTTGAAAACCACTGAGAGTAGTCCAGTAGTCCACCTGGATGAATGAAAACCTGCACAGACACTGAGTTTAATGTCATCCTCTGTCATTTGAAAGCTGTTAAATTGTGATGCTCAGCTGATCAGGTCCAAGCTCTTTAACTCCCAGCTTCTCCTGCAAAGATCCACGCTTAAATGACTTAAATTTCAGCCTTCTTTTTGAATTCTCTTTCTGCATTTTGTTAACAGCTCTATGACACCAGTCTTAAACTTTCCCCTAGGCTCAACTGCTGTCTCCTGCACCACATTACAGACTTGTACTACAGTACAGCATGTGGAACATTCATTTCTCAATTATAGGGACATAGACCTTTGGTGGAGTAGCTTGTACCTCTTGTATTGAAGAGGATTTAACGCTCATGTGCAACTATGCATGAGTTGGATGGTGCCACAGGAACATTTCCAATCTTTATTTTTAAAACCTTATTTTATTTTTGTTTAGTCCTATGTTTGTATCCATAATGTTAAGTAATAGACGCCTTCATTTGCATAGTGTTTTGCAATATTAGAATCATGGTCTCAAATAATTTTGGCTGAGTGGCAGGGCCAGATCTTTGGGGTGTCCAGGGTGGCTCGGGCCCCACTTGTAATCTGATTGCCAACCCCAAGTGCCACCCTAAAATTTAAAATAACTACCAGGCTGCCAGAAATTGTCTAAATTTACACATATACAAACCTCTCAATATTCTCGCTGCAAAATCTTAAAAGCAAAAAAATATTCAAGCATAACCCTATTTTTAACAGTTACTTAATTTGCATAAGTGTTTGAGTTTTTAGTCACTAACTTCTGTTTAACAGTCTAATATGGAAAGTGAGTTGACACTCAACACCTCACATTCTGACAGTCTACTGCAGGATTCTGTGGTAATGTGAATTCATGTCAAGCCCCTTTTAGTGGAAGGGAGCAGCTGTTTGGTTTTCTGTTACCACTCAAACAAATTATGCGGAGTGATGATCAAGAAACCTTAGTTACTTGTACCTGAGGGCGTAGGCTTGCTCTCAGCCTGGGAAAGGGCACATAAAACCTGGGCTGGTTGTCACTCTTTTTAACATGTGCCATGTATCTTTCACCTCTAACTTTATCTTCTAACCTTTATTTTGAGGATTTCTCTGTTGGAGTGATCAGTTTTTCGTCTCCTCCTGACATTTCTCTACTGTTTTCAATTATTTTTTCTCGTGTGGAATAAATGTCTGAAAAATTACACGTAAAAATAACACAACCTTTTGCTGATAGTGTTGTCATGATCAAAATCATTCACGTATTAAAATTGAAAATACACATTGAAATGCAACATTTTTCTCAGAGCACAGCCCTTTCATATTGGTCATTATAGCATAACTGGGATAAATTGTCTGTATGAGTCATTGTTTCAGCTGTGTAATTCTTTCAATTTCAATTTTTTTCAGGACCTGATTGAGCTCCACCTCACCTATTGCAACAGCCTGTCATCCCGCAGTTTAAAGACCCTGACCTGCTTCAGGGAGACGTTGGTGTCTCTTTGTCTCTTTGGCTGCAGCCACATCTTCTACAGAAAAGGGGGTGCCCCGCTCGCCTGCAATGAAGACACAGAGGACGAAGAGGACGAGAGTCCAGCTTCTCGACAAGCTTTGGAGACAGACTTTAACTTTCAGGGTTTCAACCGCCTCAGATTGCTCAATTTAGGCGGTCTGCCGGACGAGGTGGATGCAGAGACCCTCCTAAAACCCTTGAAGTCCCTCACCTCTCTAGATCTTTCTAATGTTCAGCTACTGGGAACATCTTTTCTCACACAGTGGAAGGACAGACTGGTGTCTCTTGTTCTCTACAATGTTGACCTGTCAGAGGAGCTGGTTGGCACAGTGGTAGAGATCACGAGTCTCAGGTGAGATTAAAAGGAAATGAGAAATGGGACTGGATTTTAGCATGATTTGTTCTGGTACTCCAAGTGGTACGGGCCAGTCAGTTGTCTGCAGAAAAAAACAGTCTGTATGGGGAGCAAAAGCAGGCTGCCATGCTTGGTAATCTGAGTAGAGTTTGTTTCTCTGTATAAACAGACATCTGCATGAAGGTCAGCCAACAATCTGTTCTAGATCAAACATTTACACTGAGACACTAATCTACCTGATGCTGACTCACTAAAGTCAATCAGCATTTAGAGTTCCTGAGTTTCTTGAATGCATCAGAAATTATTGATCTGACCTCCATTCAACAAACAAACATTTTCAAAGTTGTTTTCTTCTCCTCTTGAGGACAGACCTGACAAAGCTGGACTTTTTAAAACTTTTTGCTTATCTGTATTATGATGTTGCTGCATCAGCAAACTTAAAGCGACCATGAAGAACTTTCACTTAGTTTTTTCTCTTGACACCCCCTGTGGACAAGGTGGTGTCTTTGATCTCTTATATGTGTTTTATGAAACATGTGCAAGCCCTGTTTTCTAACTAAAAAACCCTATTTGCTTTTTTTTGGGCACTGGAACAGATCAGTCATTGAAAAGGCCTATCATAGGAAGTATTTCAAAAAAATACATTTAAAGTGAAACAACAATATTTATTCAGTATTTATTTTGCAGACATACCTAGAGGGGAGAATTTCACCCCACTTTCACCTCACTAGATCTCAACACACAGTTGCTTATCGAATTGCTGACTGTGTTGTAAAAATTGCAGAGCAAGAGAAGGAAGTCTTGTCTTATTTATCACTACCTGCTGGTTACACCTGAATAAGCAAAGCAGTACCACCAGCTGACTCTGGGAGCAACACAGACAAATTCCAATGTCCTTTGTGGCCCTATGCGTGTGCCGTATTAATAAAGAAGTCCATTATATTCTGCTAATCAGTAGAGTATAACAAAAACAGATGCAGTTATCAATGTTATTGATGTAATTGCAATGTTCCAGTATCTATGTTTTTCTTTTCTATGCACACAATCAGCTAAATCAAGGTGTTTCTAGCACTGATCAAAAGTTGTGTTTTCAGGCATCTCGACATCTCACGGGAAAGTAGGCGGAGCTCCAAGTTTAAGATGACCAGAAAAGTCCTGACGTCTATCGTCCAGCGGCTGGTTAACCTGGTGTCTCTGGACATCTCAGGTCACATCATGCTGGACAACTGCACAGTCCCACACTTGGAGGAGGCTATGGGCCGACCCAGGTGAGTCACCGACTCTGCAGCTTCCTTTAAATGTACACAGTCAGGTTCTTTTTGAAATTCCGTTTTGTTAAACTTTTATCTCTCTGTTTCTCAGCATTGAGCCATGTAAGAGCAGCATCTATCCTTTCCAGGAGCTGAAGAGGCCGCTGCAATTTCTGGGTTTATATGACACCACCCTCTGTAATGTGACACACATACCTGCCTATAAGGTATGGCTTGTAGAACATCAAGATTTCTGGACTGATGATACCTTTTCTGAGCATCTTGAGTAAAGCAGCTAATCCTTAAATCTGATATGAACTACCTCCATGTTACTAGTTATTATGATATTAGAGAATTTTTTGCTGTAGTTAAACAATATCAGAAAGTAGTTCTTAACGTGGAGGAAATTTTTACTTAACATAAGACAGTTTTCCATTTCAGCTGGAATTTTGTCCCGCTATACTTTACAGTTTAAAAACAAAGTGCAGAAAGTCAGTTTTTTTATGAGCAATTACAAGAGAAAGAAAAAGAAGTTCATGAACAAGCTGACAAGCAAAAGAGCAAGGTGCGTAGGGTTAAACAGACTCCATCTGTTGTCTATGCCTGCGTAGATCCGGGTAGTAGAGCATTGTAGTATTAAACAGCCCTTAACCAAAGTTACAGCCTGGACTTGTAGTGGTTAGCTCCTCTTCAGCTGCGACAGAACTTGTAATGAGCACTTAGAGTCTACAATAAAAAAAATCACAGCATAAAAATGGCCCCAAAACTGATTTTTGATTTTTTTAAATAGGATTCTTAAGAACTGTGACCAAGATGAATGTAATTTCTCTTCCAAGCGTAATAATAGCTCCTCGAACAGCTATGGTTGTGTGTCAAATATGTGTTTTGGGCCTTTTTTAGGTGACAGGATCCAAAAATGAGGACCAGGTGCTGAATGCAATTGAGGCGTACACAGAGTTTCGTCCTGAGCTGGCTCACAGAGCCATCAATCAGCTGTTTGACATTGCCAGGATACAACACTGCAGCCAGCTGCTCCGAGCTTTGCAGGTATGACAGATTGAAATGTTTTTTTGAACAGGAGTGGACCGTACACCTGGGATTCTTCACATTTCTTACTCTCTCCTCTGTATGTTTGTGTCCTTTCAGCTGGTCATAGCTGCTCTTAAGTGTCATAAATTTGATAAGAGCATCCAGGTGACAGGCAGTGCGGCTCTGTTCTACCTGACCAACACGGTAAGGTACCGCAGCGATCAGAGTGTGAGGCTGCGCAGAGAGGTGATCCAGGTGGTGCTGAACGGGATGGAGCAGTACCAGGAGGTCACGGTAAGTCTGCATCCCTGCCTGTGATGAAGAAGTTTTAGTTTGAGGCTCCGTTAAATAAAAGAATATGTTTTTTGGAGATGGACCTGCACCATGTTACTGTTGTAACTAAATAAATTGTCTTCCAGGGGCAGAGTTAAGTTGAATTATGACATTGTGGCATCAGAGCTTTCGGAGCTTTTAGACTCATATAAAACCTTTTTATATCTGTCTCTGCCTCCCTCTTCAGGTCCAGAGGAACTGCTGCCTAACTCTGTGTAACTTCAGTATCCCAGAGGAGCTGGAGTTTCAGTACAGTCGGGTCAACCAGCTGCTGCTTAAGATCCTGGAGCCGGCCAGACAAGACGAGTCCATCCAGAGAATTGCTGTGCACCTCTGCAACGCTCTGGTCTGTCAGGTGGACAACCATCACAAGGAGGCTGTTGGCAAGATGGGATTTGTCAAGGTGACATCGATAAAAGAGTTTCTCCTTTTATATTTGTGTTTGAATCATGGGACAGCCTTACAGATTGAGTTTGGGGAAAATTCCCTTTTTTGTGGTATCTCTTTGTGGGATATAACTCTTCTTTGGAGGAGTTAGTCAAAAAGTCAATACCTCACAATCACATTCCTCTAATTCACCAAATGTTCTTTTTGTGCTCTTCATCTTTCCTTTGCAGACGATGTTGAATTTGATTCAGAAGAAGCTGCTGGACAGAATGGTGAGTCACACATTAAATCCTCTTAAAACATTTGAAAATAATTTTCTTGTGATTAATTATTTTGTAGACAGAAACTTCTCTCTCTTCAAAGTTCTCTAAACCCTTTTTTCCTTTTTTGCTTTATAAATAAAAATGGATTGATTGCGTGATTGGTTGATTGTAATGAAGTTAAAGGTGTTGAAGCTACAAATGTTACACTCACACAGTGTGATTCTAACTTTGTTCAGGATTGTGCTCTCTTCTCAATCACATGTGCATGGCAAACATACTCTGATGAAAAGCCAGTCCTGTTTAAAGATCCTGCAGGCAGCTCTTGTCTTTGCTGAGTCAGACACAGTGGTTTTGTATGAGTTGCCGCCTCACGTTTCGTCTTCTAAAACAGAAACTGTACGGATGCCTCAATCCTCAGGAACCAATATTGCCACATTTATTCACCTGTTGCTTACTGGTTGCTGCGTTCAGTGCAGCATTAGAGAAGATGCAAGGTCTCTAACATCTGATTGATTCAACAAAAACATGTCTGAGCACAGCAGGAAAACAAAAACATGTACAATGAAGTCACCAACCACTCTTTGTTGTTGATTCTTGTCAACGATATTAATGATGTGATGTGGATATATTGGACATTTGTGCACCATTATAGTTGGATGATGAAGTTTCTTATTAATATCACAACAATATCATTAACAGAATATTCTATGGCAACAATAAGCATCAGGTCACAATCTGATATTATGACAGCCCTAATAATCTTGATAATTTAGGGAAAGAAAGGAGATGAGAACTATTCCTGTAAGTTTGAGAACGTAATTTTAAAGAAGAAGAGGAAATTTATTTTCTTCACTTCAATATGCCTCAGCACTCTTGTTTTAAATGTTTTGGATTAAATTTGATGCTTTTTCCCCCTTAGTGCGATCAGGTGATGGAATTTTCATGGAGCGCTCTGTGGAATATCACAGATGAGACGCCAGACAACTGTCAGATGTTCTTAAACTGTCGGGGCATGAGCCTCTTCCTGGAGTGTTTACAGGTGAGTCAACAGGTGACGTAACTGTACCTGTCCTGTGTTTTAGCTCGTGCTTCAGTGAAGTATCCCTGCAGTATTCTTATCTAATGTCGTGTGATCTCCATCTAGGAGTTTCCAGAAAAGCAGGAACTCCATCGGAACATGCTGGGGCTTCTGGGAAATGTTGCTGAAGTCAAAGCTCTAAGGCCACAGCTGCTCACTCCACAGTTCATCACTGTATTCAGGTAAGAAGACTGCCCTTAAAATCAGCCCATTCTGGTTCACCTTTGTCCTGCTTTTCATGAACTAAGACATTTACACTTCTAATTTGTCTGCAAGACAAAGGCTGTCCTCGTTTTTGGCTCATAGCAATGTTAGAGCATTGTACTGCATACCAAAGACACATACCATTTGACTACCTGCTGCACCAAAACAATGTTTCCTTGGCAACAGTCCTCCAAATATGGGCATAGGCACTCAGAGGAAGACAAAAGCACCTGTGCAGCATCATAAGAGCACACACATCAAACTTGTCTTGGTTATAATGTTGCTAACTTCCTGTGTGAGGATTAAGGCATGACCTCAGTCTTTCTACTATCTGGTGTTTTCGGTTGTTTGTTTAAATAAGTTTCCATGAGTTACACTTAATAAAACGGGCTACTGCTTTCAGTGTAAGCTTAATGAAGAATAAGACATTGTTTTAAGTACACAAAGTTGTGTATCCAGTATGTTTTCCAGAGGTTCCTCTGACAGTGAAAAAGTTGTCAAACACAATAGAGGGCATGAATGTCTCATTTGTGTTTAGATTTAAACATTTTTTGTCTCCTCTCTCTTTCTCCTTCTTGTTTGATGCTCTTATAGTAACCTGCTGGACAGTAAGGCTGACGGGATCGAGGTGTCGTACAACGCGTGTGGCGTTCTCTCACACATCATGTTTGACGGCCCTGAAGTCTGGTCGATGGAGGAGCCGAAGAGGGATGCAGTGATGGACAAGATGTGGGACGCCATTCAGAGCTGGGACGTCAGCTCCCGACGCAACATCAACTACAGGTTTTACTTCGACTAATTCATGTCGTAAATACATCATGTCATAAAATTTAAGACTAAAAAGTGCAAAAAGATGATAACGGAGGCTGCTGTTGATTGAGCATCCTGTAATCTCGCTAATTATGAGTCATTAAATATCAGTTCTGTAGCTGCACAGCTGTCAGTGTTTTCCTCCTGGTTTAAATTTTTAAACCAAGTCTGTTCTCTCAGGTCATTCGAGCCGATCCTGCGGCTGCTGCCTCAGGGTATCTCCCCTGTCAGTCAGCACTGGGCCACATGGGCGCTCTTCAACCTGGTGTCAGTTTACCGTGAGTATCTGCTGCTCTTTGAGTGCTAAAACCACACTTAACAATTAGAGTTTACAGAGGCAGCCGTATTTTGAACTGTCAGTCAATAAACAATGATGGAATAATAGACAGGTTCAGACAAAAACACACTGACAGTCAAAAAAAAAAAACACTGTTGAAACACAAAAGATCCAGGTAAAGGAAATGTAATATAAACAATGTAATTAAACCAATGTAATAAAAGTTAGTACGTTTTGGGCTCAGCATCTTGTTTACATTATCGACCAGTTATTACATTTTGGGTTTGATTTTCAAAGATGGTACTGAATTTCCCTTGCATGTTGGAAATGATGTACAGTCGAACAAATTTAAGACCTGTGCTTTAGGATTTGAGGCTGAAGCTCAGTTGATTAACAAGTCATTGTTAAAGACATTTCACTGTAAGATAATAGATCGGTTCATGCTTAACCTCTTTCTATTCTTTTAAAGAAGCCTTCAGATTCCCCCTGTAACTCCCTGTTAACCAGTGCAGGTGTGCTAATCATGAAGGTTTTCTGAGTTTGCTGTCACTTCAAATCTTTGCAGCTGCCACCGAGGTTCGATGTTAAATTTTCGTTAACTGGAAGAGTTCGTCATATCCCTCTCTCTTGTCTGCAGCGAGCAAGTATTGTCCCCTGCTGATAAAAGAAGGAGGAATCAGTCTTCTGGAGAAAGTTCTGGAGCTGGACAGCTCACACCCAGAGACCAAGGACATGGCCAGGTAAGACTGCAGAGTGAGCTCAGTTATTTTTGACCTCTTCATTGTGTGGTCTTCTTGCATGTTGGCGCTCTCTAGGGCTGCTGTTTTCTGAAATAATTTTCGCAGGTGATGGATCATTCCAGTCTAATCCAAGTTTATTTATAGAGCATGTTAAAAACCAAAGTTCTGTGCAGTAAAAATTTTTCAAAAGTGGAAGGATGAGGCATAGCAGGAGGAGCTTAAATTAGTGGTTTGACTTGGCAAAGATGATGTAACTGTTCAGGCCTGGTGAAAATCCACTCACTCTGTAGCTTTCTGATGATAAACTTTCAGGAGTTTTTCTATCGTACTGAGAGGATCAGAGTGTTTTCAGAGACTGTCCTGATCTAACCCCTCAGGAACAACTGTAATCTGTGATGATTTATGTATCAATTCTAGAAAATTAGTGTCAAAGGGGTTGATGAAATTTTGTAGGATATTCATAGAAATGACATTAGCAATACAACCCTTCTTCCGTATCACAATTCAGAACTTGAAATATTGCAAACTCCATCTCAAAATGTTGTCATGTAATGTTGAATCACATTCCTCTGTAACTCTGCAACAAGTCTCCGAATGATTCCCGTACAGCCTCATTCTTTATATGCAGTCAGATGATTCTGGCCTCCTGCTAACCGAGGATATTTCCTTTTTCAGCAAAGTGATCGAGCAGTGTGAAAACTTCAAAGAGGACCCGATGGAGACGAATCACGGCCAGGAGGTAAACTATGGACAAAGAGGCTGACGCAGCAGGTGCCGAGATCCTCAGCAAACATCGAGCAAACCAAGCTAAGGCCTCTCCCACTGTCATCACCACAAGAAGGGTCACTCGTGTGCATTAATCTCCTCCCAGTCATTCTCCTTCTTTAGAGCAGAAACGTGTCTCTGATCCTCCTCACCTTTCATATACGACACTTAGGACTTAAGACGTGGTGCATGGTGTTTTAATATGAGGGCGCTGCACGTTCAGCATCTCGTCTGCTGGGATGGGTTTGTGGGGGTGGGTGACTGTTATCTCTCAGTGTGCGTGTGCCTGTGTGTGAGTGTGTGTGTGTGACAGAGATTTAACGACAGAACAAAAACAGTCGGAGTGACGCTGAGCTCCATTAGCTGTGTAATGTTGAACAAAAGGCCGCATGGCATCCTACGCCACTGTCAGAGGCTTTCACGCCGCTCGTGGACACATGTACAGTGAATATTAGCCATTATGTGTGAAGGCTGCAGAGACGCTGATGTTAGTCAAGAGAGAAGTCTTCCCAGACCTGGAGGCACAATGATGGACTTGTTTGTTAAATATGTAAATATTCTCTTGTTTGTTTCATCCTTTTACTGTGTGTATGTTTTATAATATGACTGTCCACACTCATGACTTTACTCTGTATTTAAATCTCTTTAGGTCTGACCAGCTGATGGTCAGTGCTAGGAATCTAAACGCAGAAGAATATCTGTTCATTGAAACGAGGTCTGGCAATCCTGGATGCTCTGCTCCTTTATGAAGGATCATTTCACTTTAGTTCAACCTCACCATGCTTTTTAATTATCTGGCACTTTCTTCAAAGAGTTAGAAACTCACTGTGTCCAAACTATAGAGTGTGTAAAAGAAGGATAGAGTAGCAGCTCCAGTGAAGGGGAAACGTGGCTGCACCACCGGTCTTGAAACTATACTCAATACACATTGATTCATTTTTCCTCTGACGTGGTTTTTGTCCTTTTCTTCAGTTATTTTCATGTTTGAGTCAGCAGATGGGCGGGACTTCAGTACCACAGCTTCACCAGACGTTCTCTAGTATAGTGCAAGTTAACACTAAAAATGCGAGTCGCTCAAAGTTCCGTTTACACTGATTAAAGTCAACTAGTTTGTGGTCGTGGTTCACAACTCTCTGTGTCTCCCAGAACCTCTCGGATCTTTTCTGGGAGATGAGCAGTCATTCACCTTTATTTTGAGAAGAAATAGTGGCAAAAGGGATTGCAGGCTGCTAACAAACCTGAGATATTTGCATGAAGATAACTTTCTCTGTGTAATGATAATAACATTCAGACTGCTTGGTGCCCCAGCGCATTTCTTTTCTCAGAGTGGCTCTCCTGCAAAAACATTTACACCTGTCCGGAGGTGTAATCAGACAGAGGCAAAGCAATCAGTTTTGATCATGCAGATTCATTGAAAGTTCATGCAAAGATTAAACCCGATGCAAAGTTTCAGCTGTGCAACTTGAAACACCAGAATGTCAAAGACAAAATTGGGCTTTAATTGAGCATAGCATTGCAGAGAGTTCTAAAAATCCTGAGTTCAAGTAGAAAAAGACCTGAAGAAACTGCTCTCTTTTATCCTAAGCATGCTCATGAGTCTCAAAAAATTGTTAGTTATTTATCAACAGGTAAATGTACAGTAAAATAAATTTTATTTTAGAGGTTTTATGTTCACTTTCCTGCACTGCTGGCACAAAAAAGTATGAGGGAAAGGCAAAAGTCAGGCAAAATTCGAGCTAAAGTCCCTGTTTTTCACTGGTGTTTCAGGGTTAAACCTTAACTGTGGTGAATGAAGTTTTTCATGAACCAAAAATGTGAAGGGTTCCCAAAAATATTGAAAGAATAAGAACTAAACCTTTAAAGTCTTCGAACTCTTAAAAGGTGTTCTCTTACCAAGCACTTACACTTACAGGTCAACTCTGTTTCATGATTTCCAACTTGGCTTTTAACGTAATTATCAAAATACAAAATCAAACAAAGAATGAACAGCTCTGTAAGTGGTTCATTATTTGTGACTTTGGTGGTGACTTTTCTTCAGCCTACATGGTTTCAATTGAAGGAGAGGGCCATCACTTAAACCTCGCCTGCATTCAGGATGCTGTTTAAGTCTAGAAAATTCATCTGAATAGGGAAATAAGCACCAGTGACTACATCATCTGCAGGTTTTATCCTCTGTCTGTTAATGTGCAGTTATTTTTTAATGAAATTTTAAGTAAAAACAGTTTTTAGGTTAACTTTACAATCATTGCCTCATTTCCGTTTTAATTTAACTTCATGGAATGACTTTAAAGGGGTTGAATCGACACTCTGAGCTGAGATTAAACACTCACTAATGCAGCTCCGATGATTTGGATGGTGGGTTGATGCACAAAGCTTTCATTTCCTTAACTCTCCTCCTAAACCAGGGTCTGCCAGAGCCTTCAGTCTCACGCACATACAGGAACATGCACCACCAAACCTTTCACAAGCTCTCTCCCGCACCTGTAAAATATTGCACAGTGGTTTGTAATAATGTAGCGCACTAGCACCACAGTGTGTCTGTACAGTCTGCCGTTCAGAGTCTATCACAGCTTACAGGGGGATTCCTGTATTTTTAGACTTCAGTCCTATTTTTATACATTTTAGAGTCTAAATAACTGAAAGGTGCGTAAAGTTCTGGATTTGTTCCTCCAGATGCATTTAACCTGCAGCTGTGAAACAGGTTCAAATGGAGTATAGTCGTTTGAGAATAATGCGCCCAGTCAAAGAATGCTGCCTTAAAGCTGTTGGAAAAGAGAGGAGAAAAATCTTTTTTGAAAAAGGTCTACTCTTGTAGGGACTCTTTCTGTAACATCTCCTCCCTTTTTGTGCACCAAAGTTTCCTGAAGTTTCTCTGTGGGTGAGCTGCGCATGTGACACACTCATTTTTCACCCGGATATGCTGCATGTTTTAGTTCACTAATATCAAACTTAAATTTCAGATGTGTTTTAGCGCATGAGTATCTCCCAACACAGAATTACTTCATATCAAATCACTGCTCTCTCCATTTGTATTGTCAGGGGTGTAGAAATGTGTTTTGTGTCTGTTTTACACAATCCATCATGACGATTGACATATTCCCAATTAGAGTAAAGTATTTCAAATGTTCATTGTTCATGTAAATGGTGTTAAATGTCAAACATTAGATGCTTTATGTTGATTCTACATAGAAATTTAAATGTCTGGACAAAAACTTTTTCAAGAATTTCTTTTCAAGCATTACCGTTTATTTCACTGCTGCTTTCCAGAACTTTTGACTGCACCTTTTAGTCATTTACACCACAAAATCTTTTAAAAATAGGACCACAGTGTCAAAACACGAGAATCCCTCTCACAGGATTTACTCATGTGGTGCCTAACAGATGTTTTAAAGCTATCTCATATCATTTGTTTTGGGTTTACCCACTGATTTGATATCCTGGTTCTCATGTACAGTTTTTCTTTGTGTGATTTCTGGGAATCTGATCGGTACAGATCTGTTTCTACTTCCCAGTCCTGGTGGAAATAAATGTGTAATAGGCAGTGTTGGTGTGAGATGAAAAAGCTTTATTAGAGGCTCACTTGATGTTCAAATGTGTGGGTGTGAAGAGAAGTTTAAACTTCACATGTAATCTAAAGAAAACCTCCTTTAGTCCTGGAGACTCACTCAGTGTTTAAGGACTCTGCTATAGAGGATTAGCAGTTCTCTGTCGCCTGTTCTCTTTGATTTGAACTCATGCAGTGTCTCGGTTTGTGTTTTCCTGGACGCTCCTGGACGTCAGGCTTTGGTTTTAATTTATAAAGGTGTTTGTGCTTCAGGAGATCTGTTGTCTCTCTTCACTGATTTCATCTGTCACTATTCTTTGAAAACTGCTGATAAGTAATCCAAAACAGAGTGAGGAATATTTGATCCAAACTTTATGAAATTCCAGGTTTTCCTGAGCTAAATAGTACCAGGTGGTTAGTGTAAAGATATGAATAAGCAATAAAGATGGAGTGGTTAAAAAATAAATAAATCACCCGTGTGTTTTTTTTCCCCCTACTCTACAGGATCACCTTGAAACTGTCTGATGTTGATTGACTTTTTCTGTAGATTTCGCTGTCTTAATATCATGCAAAACACTGTCAGAGCATCAGTAAACTTTTTTGTGTGACGGTAATCTATCAATACATTTTTATTTATGTCTCTGCTACATTCAGCAGGTAAAGATAAAAGATAAAATATTTTATTTATAACATATTTAAGTGCTACAGATTAAAAAAAAAGAAAGAAATTATATTCAGATTTGATGTCAGATGGAGAGTAATGAAGAACCAGTGGGAAAAAAAATATGAACATTAACACATTTTACTGAACTCAGAAACATTTTATGAAATACAAAAGTATTCACAAAGCTATAAATATTTTACAGAACACTAAAAGATTCCTGAAATAAGAATACTTTACATTACATGAAAACATTAAATACAACAACACAATAAATGGCATGCAAAAACTATTTTTAAAAATACACAAATATTTCACAAGCAAGACCAGGTCATAAAAATAGCCTCTATCCAAAAATATTTCATAAAACATAAAATATTCTTGTGGTTGTATTTGCATTATTATGAAAAAAATCGATTCATGTTATTTTTTTTTTGGGGGGGGGGTTGAAAACATTATTTTGGTGAAAAATGTGTTTGGGAAAAGTTTTTGTGTGCTTTAAAGCTCCTGTGAGAAACTTTTGCTTTGCATCAATTGTGACCCCCGTAGACAAAGCAGTTGTTGTTTATCTTGTCCTCTACATTCTGAAGTTAGTGTCTCACGACATTCACTTTTCCTGCAGGCTTTTGACAGCCAGATCTAATGTGTAAGTTGTAAAACCAGATCTGTTACTTCTGCAGCTTGGCTGACACCTACCCTGTGGCATTGGTTTTGGGGTTAAAAACTGAAACTTAAACTTCATCTATCATGCCCTTGTTTGTACTAGACACTATTAGAAGGCATCAGTATGAATTCCAGTCAGTTCAAAGATGTCAGAAACTCCAAACAGAAGCTTGAAATGTGTGGGACGTTCAGGGCTAATGCACATTAGCCTTTAAATGAAAAACCAACTAAAAAGAGTGCTTTGTATTACAGAACTTATTGTTGTGTGGTTTTATAAGTATTTATTTTCTCAGTTTTCAGTAGTGTTATCTAACTGTGCATAAAGCTTGATTGCATGTAAACAGATTTAAAATCCACCTGCACAGCATCTAGATGATTATCAAACACATTTTAACGCTTTGTCCAAATACACTGTTCTGTCTCGCTGCTTGAATCATAAAATTGCCTCTTTTTTAAATGGGGTTTGGTTTATGGATGATTAAAATCAACATTTCACTTGAATACGTGCACATAAAATGATTAGAATTAATTAGATTATAATTTTTTCTCATGCAAACTGTTATGTAATGTGTGATGTATGTTTGAGGTTGTACAGTACACGCAGAAGGCTGTCAGAGGGGGGCTGTTGTCTCTTTAAACGCAGGGCGGAGGGCAGATTTCCGATCCTCCATGAAGCGGATTACAATCCTGCGTCTGCTGCTACATCATCTCAGCTGATCTGGAGGTTTCCCTCTGCGGAGACAAACAGGAGCCCGACCCAGAGCAGCAGGCATCATGGATTTTAACGTCAAGAAACTGGCTTCAGATGCGGGGGTCTTCTTCACCCGAGCAGTTCAGGTAAATTTACACGCAAAATCATCTGCAGCCGCGCACAGAGCAGCCTGTATACCTCTGTATGAATGCATTACTGTCAGCCTGCAGGGATAAACCTCCTTCCGGGCCTGATGTTTGATTTAAACTACACCCACACTGCAGTTTGTAGGGGTATCTTGCTTTTTTAGGGTCGTAATCAGGCGCAGTTTTGTGAAGCGTTTCGCCGAGGACAGACAGCGCTGTAAGCCGATAAAGGTTTGTCCAGCCTCGATCTATTATTGATGGCTGTGCTCGAGTGAATCACCCATGTGACAGCACCAACACCAAGACAGGCTCCTTATTGTATTGAATAGTTAAAATTATTCATGGCTCGCATACAGATTTAAAATGAGTCAATACTGGGCAGTCTAAAAAATGCAATTGAAGGATTTATTTAATATGAAGAGCTGTGAGTAGAAAGAAGGAGCAGCCCTACTGTCAGTCACGATCAACAGGATTAATGTAGAAATTTCCAAATGATGTCCTATCATGGATCATTTTCTCCTTATTGAAATGGTTTATCAATCATTCATCAAACCCCCTTCAAATAAGTGATAATTTAAGAATATAAGGGTTGTAGGTGTTGTATGGTGAGCTGTATACAACAGGTAGAATCAAACGGACCAAGAAATAATTGATATATTTGGCATCCATTTTAAAATCAACCAAGCAGTATTAGGATGATAACACTTATTCCATTTTTAATTTGCCAAACCCCCTTTAAACAGTGGGTGTAACAAATATATCATGAGATGTAAGTAAATAAAGGAACCACATCTACTTTTAATTTAATTTAATAAGGATTATAAATTCACCAAAATTACACAAAAATGTGTACATTTTGTGATTCCTCTTGTCCTATAGACTGTGAGTAAACCACCCTTTCCTAAAAAGTGACAAGAGACATTTTTTGCATTTCATTAGATAGTTAAATTACCGTTTGTTTGTTTTTTACACTCTTTTTGCATTTGAGTTTTTTTTACATTTCATTGACAAATATTTTGAGCTATGTAGAAGTTTTTGTTTTCTCAATTTTTTATTTTTTGCTTTTCATGAATATTTTGTGTTATATCAATTAGTTTTGCAAATTCTTTTTTATTTTATAAATTAATTTGTATATTTTGTGCCTTATCGTCTGTTTCATTAAATAAATTCACCCTTTCATAGAATATTTTATACATTTCATTTAATATTTCTGCATTTTTGGAGCTGCTATAAATTTTATGAAATGTTATTGCATTTAAAAAAATTTTGGTTTTCATAAATTATTTTGTGTTTCATGAAATTTTGTTTTGTGTTTCTTTTAACATTTTAGTCTTTTTAAATCTTTTTTTCTACTTCATTATTCTTCGTTTTGTAAAAGGGTTTTGTTTTCTGTAAAAAGGTATTGGTGATCAGTGATATGTTCTACATGTTTATGAAAAAATGGTGCAGTTGACCCTCAGGGTTACTGTACCAGAATAGGAAAAGAGTTTGTATCACTCCTTCACCAAACCCCCTTTGAAAAAGTGTCAAATTGATAAGCAACATGAGCTGTAGAAACGTTCACTAATAAAACAGTAGGATAGTTTTGGAGATTCTGCATTAATTTAATACTCAAGAAAACATTTATTTCAGTGACTTCTCAGTTTTTATCACTGGCAGTGCTGTAGTTTGTAGAGCTGTATGTTTTACCTGATTTAGTCCAAGCTTTTATATGTATAATGATGAAAATAACCCCATATATTCAGTGATGAGATACACCATCTTTCATAACTGCTTTATTGTTGGTGCATCATTTGTTCAACATCTGTTTAAATGGATCCATTAAAGCAAGCAAATCAGAGAGCTTTCCTCAGTCTTGTCCAAAGGCATTGTGGGAAACAGGAAACTGCTGGCTGCAGAGGAAGTAAGCGAGACAAAAACATGTGCCAGCTTTGCACTAAATGACATCTGGATTAAACTCTTTCAAAACACAAGCAGCTAATGACGTGTGATATACATGCAGACCCTTTTCTCTGTTTATGAGAGCATAATGATCCATAGCGGGATGAGTCTGACTTCAGGCTCTCTGCTGATGTCTTCCTGTCTCTTTGTTTATGAATCCTGCTAAATCCTTCTTAAGAAAATACTTCACCGCAGCTGAAAGTGCTTTCTTTTTCAGAATCTGGAGTGGTTTCATTTCTCTATTTGCAGCTGTGAGGAAGAAGTTATGTGTGCGTCAGTTATGAGACGCTATTTTAGCACTTGTTCAGTTTCCTTGATATCAGGTGTCAATTTCAGACCAGCTCAGTCTCTAATGCTGCAATAGTCAAAGTAGTTAGCTGTCACAGTGGCATAAATATGATATATGGTTTATTATCCACTGCCTCCGAGCAGTGTAACATCATAATGGAGCTGTGTGTTCAGATTGTCTGAAAACATATTATTGATGTGAGCTGCACAGACTCATTTTTGCAGGTTAAAATATTGCACATGCACGCATATGTGCAATGTGCCCAGACCTGTTCAGCAGTGTGTAGGCTATTTGTAGTCTGTTCTGCTGTGCCTTGCTGAATAGTTGCAAAAGTAGAGTATTTTTTTTACATCATAAAAATGCTGACAAGTTTGAAGCGTGAATGTACCAGATGTCGGGCCCTGTGTGTGTATATGTTCTTAATAATGGAGTGTATGGGGTGCTGATGGCCCTGTCAAAGCGTCCGACTACTAAAGGCTGTAGTCCTCGTCGTATAGGTTGCTGGTTTGATTTCTAGTCACGACCCTTTGCTGCGTCTTCTCTCAGCTTCCTACTCTTCTCCTCTCGCCTCAGCTGTCTTGTGAAGGAAGCAAATGCAGTGAGTTCATTTAGGAAAGTTCAGTTCCCTGCAGCCTTTTGGACCTGCTTCATCGCATGAGGCTTGTTAGCTCTTGTCTGTACAATGAAGTGTGGTAGCTGCACACTGCACGTTTAACACATATCGTACTATGTCAGTAGAGAAAGACCGATTAATCTCTGGCTGAGACTGTGACATTGTAAATAAAATGTTCTCTTAAAAGCTTGTACTTGGATCGGACCTTTGAAGGAGGAGTCTAAGTCTATGAGCTATGTGTGGGGGGCATGCATGAATGTCATTCAGTTAGACTGAAGAGGTTGTTCACTATCAAGGCTCAAAAATGTTTATTAGTTTTTATTAGCGGGGCATTCCTACACACCACCAACACCAACTGGAGCAACAGGTAATAAAGAGACAAAGAGTTGAGAATAGTATAATGTACATTTCTTAAAATATGAGTGTTTACAGCAATGAAAAAGAGTGACGGTGGCTTTCCTTTGCTGGACTAAAGGTGGTCAAAGATCATCGAATGAAGACAAACCTGTCATCCTGCAGTGAGCCTGATGGTTCCTTTGGGTTTGACACTGAAGCCGATTGATCCAGCTTAAGATTGACTCTGTCCATCTCTTACATCTCCTGATTTCGTCTACTTTTTTGAAAATCTGAGGTTTCTTAAAAGTCATTTGATGGTTTTCCTGCTGCTGTTCAACAGTAATGATTCATTTTATGACTCATCAGCGCGTGATTTAAGTCCAGTTGGCATATTCCTGTCAGTCAGCCATGAAACTGTCAGACAGATGGAAGAAGTCAGACAGCCAGCTTGATACCACAGATGGTTGGGTTAAATTAATAATTAATAGTACTAATCATAATCATTTTTATTATTATTATTATTGGCTGCAGTTCCATAACACAGAGTTTATAGAAGCAGTGGGTGTTTGTGTGATACTTTGTTCAGTTTTAAGATTGTTGTGTAGATGATGAAATATTTGTTAAGTTGAAATATAAGCTGTTTTATACGCCTGACTTTGACCTTCTGTTAAATGTTAAATCAAAAAAGCGTTGTTTCATAGTAAAGAGACCGTGTTTGTTGGTGTTGCTGGTTATGGTTTATAGTCATGACAGTAAGGATGCTCGTATTTAAAGGATGAATTTAGGGGCATTTGGTAAATGTCTGCTGAAGTTTAAACAGTCTTTTGGGGGGGGAATTGCCAGTAATGCACAGTGTTTCATGTGATATTTCAGGCTGATATATAACAAACACTATATACTCTCAGGCCTATCAAATTCATCCAGCCTAACAACACTGCAGGGGGGTGGGGTATAAATGAGCTTTAGGCTGTACATAAATCAAACAGGACTCTGCTGTTGAGAAACAGAGTCATGTGGCAGCGCAAAAAATAAAATATTGTCCCATTCTTGTCTAATAAAGGATTTCAGCTGCTCAAGAGTTCAGGGTATCCCTTTTCCTATTTATTATTTTTTGTGTGGAGGGCATTAATGGAGCCTTCCCAAGTTTGTAAGCCCATGCCATGGACACTTATGATCCCTGTGTCTTCACCAATGCTGGCTTGCAAATGAGAATTGAGAACAAGCTGGATGGTCATTTTCCTTTTAATTTCCAAAGAATCTCAAATTTTAATCAGACCACAGACAGTTTCTCCAGATTCTCTGAATCTTTTAATGATATTTTGTTCTGTAGATGTGAAATCCACTCATTCTTTCACATTTGACACTCAGAAACATTATTCTGAAACTGTTGAACTATTAGCTCACACAGTCTCTCACAGAGTGGTGAACCTTTTCTCATCGTTCCTTCTGAGAGACTTAGCCTCTCTGAATTTCCTTTTTATACCCAGTCATGTCACTAACCTTTTGCAATATCTTTCTGTCCCAGTTCACAGAGGAGAAACTGGGTCAGGCTGAGAAAACAGAGCTCGATGCTCACCTGGAGAACCTGATCAGTCGAGGGGACAGCACCAAGAATTGGACCGAGAAGATCCTGAGGCAAACAGAAGTGCTGCTGCAGCCAAACCCGAGTAAGACCAAAAAAAAACAACAAAAAATGTAAAAAGTACATTGATTTAAACTCTTCGCAACCAGGCATCAGTGAATGGAGTCCTAGAAGACACAAATTACAGTTACAGTTCTGAAATAACAGTTCTGTCTAATAAGTCAAAAATCTATCTGGAAAGATTTTTTAAAAAAAAGAAAAAAAAGCAAGATTGAAAATACCAATAAAGGTCAATAAAATTTTATGATTTTTATAAAACAAAAACAATCTTTACCAGAATACAAAAGATGAGATTTGTCACCTCTGGGACTTCATAGAATTATAAAAATATTTTCCAAACAATTTGGAGGCATAAACGTGTGATTTTCTAAATATGTTGTGGAAATATCTTCATGTCTTGTTTCAATTTTTTATTTTTTCACAGCCGACCTAACTAGCTTTTTTAACTTAATATGTTGCATTAAGATTTATCTTTTCCAACTTTAGAGTTATTTTTGTCACCAAAATGTATTTATTTAACATTTATAGATTCCCATGTAGTACTCCCTTAAAAAATTTTCATACATGATATAGTGGTAGTTTAAGTTTTGGTAGCGCTGTCTAACTGTTGCTTTGTGTATTTTTTAACCCTTCATGCTCCAGTTGACCACACAGGTGAGTCATTTCCCAGAGTGCCTTGTAAGAAAACACTGTGTGAACTCAGTGAATCTGACCCTCCTCAGGAACAGTGACAGATAATTCACAGTGAAGCACATTCAGACAAACAGAGGGATAGACATGCTGCTGCAGTGTGAACAGACTGACTGTGTGGACACAAACAAGTGTTGAATTACTAATGAGTCTATGCGGGAACACACTTGAAGCGCTTGTTTGGTTGGCTGCAGCCAGTGTTACCTTAAACGGGTTGAGTGTCAAGCATAGGCTGACAGTTTGAAAAGTGTTGAAATCTCTAAAAATTACCCGCAGCATGAGATATTTGCATTGAAAGGTAGGAAAATTATTAGTACTATTAGTGCTTATGTTAGTGGATGAAATATCAAATATCCTCCGTAATGTTATTATATAAAACACAAAAAAATATGCCCCCATTTCAGTGTATGATGCACGAGGTGCCTTCTGGATGGTCTTTCAGTGGTTGAAAGTAAACAGAGTGTCCTATAAATGTCTTACCAAACAATGATTTAGACAAAGTACCCCTCAAAGGCCCTTGTAGTGGATGAAAAGTGAAAAGAAAATGGCCCTATGGAGCCCTTCAGTGGACAACATGTAATCAAAGTACCCTGTTCATGTTGTACAAAACAAAAAAATGTAAACAAAGTGCCCTCTGGAAGCCTTTAAGACAAAAACAGTAAATTAAGTGCCCAGTCATGTCCTACAATAGATAAGGTTTAAAGAAAGTACCCCTTTGGAAGCCTTTCAATGTTACATAATTCAAAGTGCCAAGTAGATGCCCTGCGATGCTTTATGTACAAAGCAACTCCCTCTAGATGCTCTACCAGTGGTTAAATATATAAAAAGAACCCTGTGAATGGTCTACCAATAAAATGTTATCCAAGTACCCTGTGGAAGCCCATCTAAGGAATAAACTGTGAACAAGGTGCCGTATAAGCTCTTTAAGTGGAAACAATCTAAAACAGGGGCCTTGAAAAAAAACACCCAGCTGACCTAATGTATACAAAATACTCTTAAGCCAATTCTATATCATCTGTAAACAAAGTACACAAGGGGCCTTTTTTTGGATAAAATGTTTACAAAATACACCCTATAGCCCTTTAAGTTGATATAATGTGGGGCTCCGAAATACCTTTCAGTGGATACAAGTAAAAGAAGTACTTTTCAAAAGTACTTTCAGGAGATATAATGTAAACCAAGTACCCTGTCAAGGCCCCAGCAATGATAAAAGGCAAATAGAGTACTCTCAGAGACCTTTTCAGCAGATGAAGTGGAAGGAAAGTGCATAATAGAAGTCCTGCAGTGGTTTAACTGTAAACAAAGTTCCCTCTGGAAGCTGTCTCAGTTGATTGAATGCAAAGAAGTTTCCTTCTAGGTACTATTACAGCTGATAAAATGTAGACCAAATGCCCTTTGAATTCTTTTCTAGTGAATAAAATGTCACCCCTTATTTGTGGATAAACATAGTTAAGTACGGACCTTTGTTGATCACAAGTAATCAGTATACTGATCCTTTTCAATTATTTCCACCCCGACCCTCAAGAAGCCTGAGTACACCACCAGCTAAGAACATATCTCTGGATTTTTGCTGAACTTTTCCACTCTCTATCTGCACATGAATTATGAAACTGTCATGACTTGTAAGAGCTCTGTGGGTTGGTAGTTTCTCTTATAAACTGGGATTTGGACAAGCTGAGTGGGAGCAAATGTTGTGTCCTGGGAGGGGGGTTGCAGCTTTCTGTTGTCATGCTTATCAAACCTCTGTCACATTACACTTACATTATGAATGATTTTCATCTTTAAACACAAAAAACTGAGATGTGCAGCTTGATAACCATGTCCCCAACTGTCCTCCAGGTGCTCGAATAGAAGAGTTCATCTACGATAAGCTGGATAAGAAACTTCCCTCCAGGACGACCAATGCAGAGCTGCTGGGACAGTACATGCTGGATGCTGCCACTGAATTTGGTTCTGACACGCCGTACGGTCAGTGGAGATAAAACTGAACCTGATAGTTGGAACTGATTACAGACTGAAACATGGAGAGACTGATTCAGTTATTGCGTGATCTAAACAGAGACATCTTCAGTCACAGTTGTCGTCACGTGTGAGGTAAAATGTGTGTTTAAATACTGCAGGACGTACTCTGATCACAGTGGGAGAGTATCAGAAGAGACTGGGAGGAGCTGAGCGGGAGTTCCTCCACACGTCAGCCACAACTTTCCTCACCCCGCTCAGAAACTTCTTGGAGGGCGACTGGAGGACTATTTCAGTGAGTCTAATGGAGTCCACCTCTCGGTTGAATATCTGATTGTGAAGTGCTGGTTTGTTTTGACTACAGGTCTGATCATCTTGGATTTGTCCCATCATTTCTGACTGGTTCCTTTTGTCTTCTGCAGAAAGAGAGGCGACTGCTGGAAAATCGACGTCTTGATCTGGATATCTGCAAAGCTCGGCTGAAAAAAGCAAAGCAGGCAGAGGCCAAAGCGGCGGTGAGATGATTATATAATATCTCTGTTCTTTTTGTCCCATCATCCTTTTTCTTTCTTCTGTTCCCCTGTTTCAAAATGACTCTGAGACTAGAGACCACAACACACAAAGGCTTGACTGTGCTGAAGGATTAGAGACATCTTCCCCTTTGCAACAACACATCCCGTTTTATTTAACACCAGCTGAGGAAGAGTAAATGACTTTTTCGGCCACTTGGGGGCAGCATTTACAAACAGAGTAAATGTGTACTTTTAGTAAGAGAGTAACAGTTTCAAAGCAGAAAGCAAGCACCAAAGACTGCATGGTCACACTGATCAATCTAAACCTGTAGAAGCCTTAAAAGCTTTCAAATGATTTGATTTTAGCCTGCAGTGCCTGATGCATGTATCCAAACCAGTCTCCTACGTTTCTTTCTGTTTTGTACCAACACTGAGATGCCTTCTCTTTTAGGATGTTTCCGAGTTAAATAGCACTAAGGTCTATCTGTCACATGGGATGTTATCCATCCAGCTCCACATGTTTAAGGCTTTAAAAGCGATAATCAAAATCTTATGGTCCCTCTTCCTGTCTGCTCTTTTTGAATGTGTTCAAATGTTTCTGCTCTTTTGCTGCTTTTTTTACATTTACTTTCCGCCGCTCTGCACCAGCCTAACACATTATTATTATTTTATTTTTCTGTCTGATGATTGTGACTGCATGTCTGTGAAAATACTGTCTCCTCCTCCCTGCTTTTGTTTGTAGGCTGCACCTGATTTTCAGGAGACACGGCCTCGAAATTATGTTCTGTCTGCCAGTGCATCAGCGGTAAGAGGAACACATGCAGCAAATATGCAGGGCTAACATGCTATCCGGGAAAGCATTACAGGAGTAGTTTAAATGGGCTATTCGGAAAACCAGCTTTATGTTCAAATCTGACTATAAACCACTTTTTTTTTCACAAGATTAAAAGATGAATCTTAAAAGCCACCAAAAACATATAAAAATGTATAACAAGGTAATAAAGGTGATAGAGTTTGAGAGCCACATGAAAGTTTTCTTAATAAAGATTTAGAGACACTTTCTAAAAGATGAAATCTCTCATGAGGAGGATATCATATTAAAATCCAAACAAGGCTAAAATCTCAGCAGTTGCACCTAAATTGTTATATCCCTCTTCTAACAGCTTTATATGGCATAACATAAATTGAATTAACCACTTCACCTTTGTAGCATGATGACTTCACTACAACTTAATTCTTGTCTGGAGATGCCTGAAAAAAAGTCTTGAAAACCTTTTAAACAATCTTTAATGTGGCTCTAATACTTTGACACACATTTTTCCTGTCCCTATCAAAATAAAAGCAGGAATATTTAGTCTAACCAGGTGGGAAAGTGTGCATACACGTGCATTATCAGGGCTTGTCTGGCTGCAGTAAGATCTGAATTGCATGATGTCTGCAGCACAAATATAACACTGGTGACTTGAGCATGATTGTGCATGCCTATTTTTGTTGTTCGAAACACCCGCGTGCGCATATTTCCAGAAGATGTAGGAGAAAATATTTTGAAAAAATTCAGGAGAAGCTGGTAAATTTACGACAATATTACACCTGTGCAGAGGAATTGTAGATTGGAATAAACTGCAGTTAGCTTGATTAACAACTCGATACATCGTGGTAAATGTTACACTCAGTGAGCATTATAAGACCAGTGCTGCATAAAAGGAAACCCGTGTGAGAGCTGACCTCAGATCGTAATATGGTTTGTATCACTTTCTTTTGCAGAGCCTGTAGTTTTATCATGTGGCTAGGTGACGAAGTATTTCACCATCTAATGTTTCAATAATTTAAATCAAGATCCACATGTATAAGGTCATAAATGCTGGGAGTGGGAGCAAATGCCCGAGTTTCTGTCTGCTGTAGTGGACACATATATCAGAAACTATAACTATATCAGAAGACTTTTGGTATTAACAGCCCACCTCTGGGCCCATGTGTTCAAAGTGATAATCAACGTCAGCCGAGTCATGAAGAGACCTTTGGGGTTTATCTCAGTGTTGACTCAGAGAAACTCTAAACAGATGTTTGGGGTTTAAGGGATGATTTGAAGAAACTTTAGCTGTGACAGATTATGTGTTTGTATTTTGAGTGGGACAGTGACTGTGTATCCCACTTTCTAATGCAGTAGAAATGTTTGTGGTTTTTCCAGTGTTGACTCAGAGAAACTCTAAACAGATGTCTGGGGTTTAAGGGATGATTTGAAGAAACTTCAGCTGTGACAGATTCTGTATTTTTACCTTGAGTGAGACAGTAACTGTCTATCTCACTTTCTAATGCAGTAGAAATGTTCGAGGTTTTTTCAGTGTGTCTCTCTTTTTGTCGAATGTTACTGAAAGCTGCAGAGCGGCTGGGAGAGTTGGGATGTGGCGGCTGAACCCAATATGGCTGAACAGGCTAAGGTTGTACAAATCTGACAGAAATACTGAAATAGAAGTAGAGACACATCTCAAATTGTGGTAGAAATGTAGAACTTTTTTAGATCGTCTCCTGTGATGTAGTGTTTTTTGCAAACCTTTTTGGCTTAGTAAGACTTAGTTCTCTCGATATCCGCTTTTCAGGACGAGCTTAATGTGATAAAGTTTGCATGCTCAATTTTTAGTCTGCTGCAGAGGAAAGACTTGCATGCAGAAGACAAAGAAGAAACAGATGGGAGTCTAGATTACAGAAATTGTCTCTGAAAGAAGCGGAGCTGGACTAAAGTAAAGCTGGACTTAAGTGAAGCTCTGCACTGAGGAAAGGCAAAGATGAACTGAGACATCAGCATTTTACGCTGCTCAGCTGACCTTTATACAATAAGACTTTCTGCAGCTTAGACTCCAGTCTGTCACTTTTTCGTCTCTGTGTTTGTTTCCTTTTTTTGCAGTGACTAACTCACCTTTGATCCTAGAGGAGAAAGTATATGTAGGACGGCTTTTTAGAAGATCCATAGAGTTCATTTTTTAAACATTGTTAGCCCTAGATGGATGAAGCTGCTCAGGATGGGGACATCTCTGATGGATGGACGGATGGACCGATAGATATTCCATTATTTATATATATTTATATCTTCTTCAGTAGTCTTCATGTCATGTCCAGGTTTTAAAATCCACTCAGCTTCAAGATATTCTGGTACAGTGTTTTAAGTAAAAAAGGGAATGCATTGCTCCCTGGTGCAGTAACCTCTGTCAAACACAGTGGGGCGCAATAATATAGTCTAACACAAGTCCTCCAGGTATGTAGAAAGTGGGGTAAAGGTCATTCAGAGGTCAGGCAGTCTGCCGAAAGCAGAAAGTGTCTCACACAAGAAATTTCACTTTGCTGTTGTGAAAAAGAAAGGCTGTTTTTAACACCAGTTAAATTGTTTACAGGTTTAACATGATATTAAAGGTATAATACGTAATAAATTGTAACTTCAGAAGGCATTACGCTCACTGCTTCAAACACCTGGTTAACATTGTTATAAAAGCTTGTTGTCACTAATAATGGTTGTTTAAAACTATACAGATACATTTCTGTTTCTATAATGTGGCCCTAATGCTGTGTTGTATGAAGCATTTTAAACACGTAACAGTCACTCGTGAGAAAAGTGAAACGACCGCGGGACAAAATTCTTAACATAGTAACTTGGATGTGTTTTCCTTTCACTCATAAGAGAAGGAAAAGAGAACACTGGGTCACAACACCAGATCCTATTTATTTTTAACTGTTTGAATTTTGGATGAAAAAAAAAGTGTTTTGCCAACAAAAATAAATATTTTTTTAATTACTGAGAAAAAAAAAACAAAAGTAAGTCAGATCTGGTGACTAAGAGCTAGTCTGTGATCAAGTTATTCTGCCGACAAACTCTACTATGTCGTATAAAGTCAGAATGTCACTTTTACAGAGTCTGCAGGTAAAGAAATTGTAAAACATCTGATAGAAGTTTGAAATGATCTCAGCTCACAGCTTTTAGTTCCTGAATGGAGCTCAGGTTTAGATTGTAGTTTGACAGTTTTATAGTTTATCAGCTTGATGTCGTTGCATAATTGGAGTCTGGGTGTTTTACAATGATTTTTTTTCTCTCTTTATGCTGCTCCGCTCAGCTTCTGAGTGAGGAAGTGGACAAAGTAAGTACCTTCACTCCTGGAAAGTGTGTGTATGTGTGTGTCCTATGAGGCTCTTTTAAATTCTTCATTTTTGTCTGTTTCTCCTCCAACAGGCAGAGCATGAGCTTCGTGTGGCTCAGACAGAGTTTGACCGTCAGGCCGAGGTCACCAGACTGCTGTTGGAGGGGATCAGTAGCACACATGTGAGAGCGTGTAACTCCTTTTCAATGATGGTAGTTCTGGAGAAGTGTTAGTCAGAGGAAGCAGACCATGGGGAGACAACAGCGAGACAGAGATGAATAGAAGTCTAGCTCGTAGTTAGATTTCCACTGTCTATGTACCAACTATAAGACGTCACTAAATATGATGGGGGTATTGAGCAATATAGGAGACGCTACAATCCAAGCCAAAATAAACAAACAGGTTACCTAAATTGGAGTAACAAACCATATCAAACAGTTCTAGTGCTCAAGTCTTTATGCTAAGCCAAGTCACCCAGCTTTCATTGGTTATGTAGCTATACCCTGAAGTTAAACCAATGTCTTAAGGCAGCAAGTTCCCCCTTGATAACAGTCTCTATTCATCACTGCTGGCTGCAACTGTCACTATTAACAATGGAGCTTCCCAGCTTCTAGATGAGCCAAGTGTAGTAGCCATAAACTGGAGCATCTTTACCAAACCTAGCCAACCTTGAATCCCTATAAAACTGAGCTAAGCAGCTCCAAGCTGTAGCCTTTTGAACCATCAAATGAATAAAGCCAGGAACAGTTTTTGCTTGTTTCCAGTATTTATGCAACGCTAAGCCCACACGCATTTGGTTCCGATCCACGCAAAGGACGATGGGAGAAAATCACTCTTAACACACCACATACCACAGGAGAATCTGTGGTGGGGAGTATCTGGCCAAAAATCTGCACATGTGTCTTCTAGTGTGTGCCTTGCTTTCCTTGAAGAACCATTTCAGCGTATATCGCATCATGTACAAACTCCTCCTGCTCACCTACAAAGCTCTCCATGCCCTAGCCCCACACTATCTGTCTGACCTCCTCAAGGACTACATCCCGGCGCGTACTCTGCGGTCTGCGGACCTTGGGCTCCTCACTGTCCGTTATGGGAAAAGGCGATCCCTCGGTGACAGAGCCTTCAGTGTGGCCGCCCCTCCTCTCTGGAACTCTCTCCCCTCTGAGATTCGCCAAGCACAGACTCTTGACTCTTTCAAGTCTGCTCTGAAGCGACACTTGTTTATTCAGGCTTTTGGTATCTAGTTAGGTTTCTTGTAGTGTGTTGTTAAGCGCTTTGGGTATCTTGAAAGGCGCTATATAAATGTAAGATATTATTATTGTTATTATTATTATTAAGAGTTTTTAAACTCCATTTCAGGGGTTTATAGTCAAGGTCAGGCCGTAAATTTCACCATAACTGTGAGCTTACTGCCACAGGTTTCACTCATACTTGTTTTTCTCTTCTTTTCTACCCTCAGCTCAACCACCTGCGTTGTTTGCAGGACTTTGCAGAGGCTCAGGCCACTTACTACGCCCAGGGTCATCACTACATGCAGGACCTCCAGAGGGAGCTCAACAGGTTAGGGTTGAAGCGTCGTTATAGATATGCATACAACACACACAGCTGTATTCAAGATTTGATCTGATGTGAGTTTGTTGTTTAGTCTCTCAGGGTAGCAATAGCTTACGGGAATTTAGGAAAAGGTCAACATATTTTTGGAGTGACTTTACAAAGATTGTGTTTTTTTCATCGTCTGGTTTTATTTAGTTCAGGGAAAATACAGAACCGCCATTATACAAAAATATCTATGAGACTTGATCATGGACCCACAGTGATGTCTTTGTTGCACAGTATTGTCTTTCGCAATACTGGAATTGTATAACTACTTTACCTAAATTAAAAAAATCTAAGATAGACCACATGTTGCTAGTACGTTAAGTGACACGAGATGACTAAGGGGTAACTAAGGGAGCAGTTTGCATCAAACAAATACAATCTGTGAACACCAAATAATCAAGTTCAACAAATGCCACAAACTTAAGTTAAACAAACACCAAATAATCAAGTTCAACAGTTCAACAGATGCCACAAAAAAAAGGTTAACCAATGCCACAGTCTCAAGTTCAACAAACACCAGAAACTCAATTTCAACAAATGCCACAAACTTAAGTTCAACAAACGCCAAATAATCAAGTTCAACAATTTCCACATACTCAAGTTTAACAGACGCCACAAAAAAAAGGTTAACCAATGCCACAGTCTCAAGTTCAACAAACGCCACATTCTCAAGTTCAACAATTGCCACAAACTCAATTTTAACAGACGCCACAAACTCAAGATCAACAGATGCCACAAAAAAAAGGTTAACCAATGCCACATTCTCAAGTTCAACAAACATCAGAAACTCAATTTCAACAACTGCCACAAACTCAAGTTTAACAGACGCCACATTCTCAGGTTCAACAGATGCCACAAAAAAAGTTCAACCAATGCCACATTCTCAAGTTCAACAAACTCCAGAAACTCAAGTTTAACAAATGCCTCAAACTCAAGTTCAACAATTGCCACAAACACATCATTTGTATGAAACTCTGAATTTATTGCTGTAGTTTGACGAATGTCTCTTCCTCTTAGTTTAAGTGCACTTGGTCTAGCATGAGCCTTACTTTACACCATTTTTTTTGTTTTTGTTTTGCTTAATTCTCACAGAGGGACTTAATCTTTTTACGCAGTCGTATATTAATGAGCAAATAATGCACCAAGAAAATGTCAACACAGAGAGTCTACAACCTTCGCATAGAGTATTGGAATTCTTAAGATTGTATTGAATCATATGCCGTTGGTGATTCCTTTATTTATTTCTGTGGAATTTTTGTGTGGCCTGTACAGGTTTTCTGTCACTCAGCTTACAACAGTAATATTAATAATATAACTCAAATTTCAATACACATAACATCACAGATTACGTTCATTTGTAGGGCTCTGGACAGTCTCAAAAAATACACAGATCCTCTCTGTGGAATAGAAAAGTTCTCGGATGTTACAGACACACGCAGAGTTTGTTGCTAGAAAGTTACTGGTCACACGGAGTTCACAGTAGATTGTTGTATTGTGTAAGTTCAGGCGGAACACCAAGCTCAGCTTTTATAGCATCATGCCGTAAAATGCTTGCGTATTCTCCCTCTGTTAAAAATTTGTGATTAGTAATTAAGGGAAAAGGAAGGAGGAAATTTTGACCATGCTTGAGTCAACACAATTGCTCTACACACTGAAGCATTCAAAGCTTTATGTTTGTTTGTTTTTTTGTTTTTGTCAACACCTTTTTTTCTGTGTTCGTCAGACTTAGAGGATGTGGGCTTACGTGAAATCCTGGAATGGGCCCTTAGTCTCGATTTGATTAACTTCCCTTTCCTTCCTCTGCATGCATGCATTAGACATGGAGCCTCAATTTAACCATTTACTCAAGCACTGCACAGCAAAGCTCCTGATTTCTAAACTTTCTGTCACAACATGTTCTGTTTGATTCAGTTTTTCCCTGGTCTTGTGATTGTGAGTGTGTTTTCTTTGTATTTTCCCTAGTGTTTCTATTCCCTATCGTTCCTGTTCTCCTGTTGTCTTGTAAGTTTTCAGGTTGTGTCTGACACGGTGTCCCTCATGTTCTCAGAGTTCTATTCTCTATCAGTTTTCAGTGTTTCCTGTTTTATTTTGTAGTAGCTTATTCCCTGTGTTTCTAGTCTTGTTTTTGTTCCTCAGTTTTCCCTCCTCTGTGACTGTCTGCACCCGTGTCGAAGTGTCTTACCTGCCTCTCGTTGCTCGTTTCCCTGTATATATATATATCATCCTTGTATTCCCCTGTTTCTTGGTTGGTCCATTGTGTGTTGTGAATTTGTGATGTAATGCTGCGTTTGAGTTACCTCGGAGGTCAGATGTCGGAGCTGAAAATGACGTCACACACGAGTTACCAGTGTTTCAGTTACCAAGTCGGAAAAACCATAAACAGAGGCGGAAACAACATGGCTACATCTACGAAAGTTATTTTAGTGCTTGCCTTGTCCGAATATAATAAGGACTTTCGTAGATGGAGCCATCTTATTTCGGCCTCCGATTTTGCATTTTTCCAACTTGGTAACTAAAACACTGGTAACTCGGGTGTGACGTCATTTACAGCTCCGACATCTGACCTCCGAGGTAACTCGAACGCAGCATATGTCTGTGTGTTAGTGTCTCCAGAATCTCCAGTGTCTCCAGTGTGTTGGGAAATCCAAAATTTTGGTGGATTTTGGTTTTTTGTTTCTTGTGGTTTTTGCCTCTTTTGTTTTTGCTTTCAGGAGTAACTTGAACCTGACACTTTCTCCCCAACACCACATGAACCAACACTTTTTTTTTAAGTCTTCATGTGTCTGGCTGGATTTTTCCCCCCACATCCTTTCAGATGACGGCTTGCCACAGGTCTAATTGTATCACTCTTATTCCTAAAAGGCACTGCATGGTTTTCCATTGTTTCTGGACATGGTGAAACCTAAAGGCGCTGATACTTCCGATTTTCCAACCACAGAGCATCCTGAAAACTGTCCACCAGCCCTTTTCCCACCAGAGATGTCGTCTTCTGGTTTTGCCGAACGACCTCTAAGGCAGTTAGCAAAGCACGCAGATTGAAGGGGAACAAATGGGATTGTGGTCTCTAGTTCCCCCTTTCATTTGATCCACTGCAGCTGAAAAATACTAAACTTTTTGGACAGAAGACCCTTCGTTTTACACCAGTACAATTCCACGATGACATTAAGACACTCAGTATGGTAACATGCACAGTTTACCTGTTAATAACCAGTAAATGCGGCTGTACAAGAGGGTTTAAGAGAGACTTTATGAACATTAATATTAACTATGAAGTGACTGAATGCTAATGTTAGCTTTGATCTGATATTGGCTAATGGACCATCAAATGTGTTTGGTTTTTAAAAAACTTAAAATATTGAAGATTAGAATATTGAAATATGAGCCGGTCTCTCTCCTGATCCTCTCTGTTAGTGGTCTGTGTGGCTTCTTATCAAGCAGCTGTGGAGTGACTGCAGCTAGTCAAGAGTATCAAGGTTTTTATGACTCAAGACCACGTGCACCTTAAATAATACGTAACAAAATAGAAGTTTTCCGCCTTAAAGCCGGGTCATAAAGAAAAACCTTGAGAGACAAAGAAATGACTTCAAACAGACAAAACTTTCCTGTCACAGCTATAAAAGTGACAATGTTTTCATCATTTGGTGTACATCCTGTTTGCCATTTACTAACCTGTTTAGACGACTATTTTGGTACATGATGTGTAATCGGGGACCCAAAAGTAACTAGAAAAGCACTCGGAGAGCGCAGACCTCCGTCAAGCAGCTCATGTCCCCCCTTATATTGTGATTCACACCAAAACTTTTACTGATACGTGTCTTTTATTAACTTTTATTTGTGTTTAAACTGGTATGTTTACTGTTCATAATGTTCCTAAAACAAGAAATGCCCTGACCCGGATTCAAACCCTGGACCTTCTTGCTGTGAGGCAACAGTGCTAACCACTACACCACTGTGTCGCCTATCTACATCACTGTGCTGCCCATTGGTTATCTTTCAGCATTGAAAATTCCAACAACACCCTTATTTTTGTGTGTTCAGGATTACAGTATCCGGTATTTTGTCTGGATCAGGATCAACCTCATAAAACTCATTGAGATCCTTTTGTGTAATTTTTTACTAAACACTCTGGCCATTTTTATAGAGTTAAATGCAAAAATTCCAAAATTTGCTCTATCTCACAATGATAAAGAATCCTTCAAAAAACTCCTGGATCCAGAAGGCGATCCGGATCACCACCAAAATGTGGTGGGGCTGAGACGCACCTCTGGTGAAAATTTCAGGTCAATCCGTCTGTAACCTTCTCCGTAAAGTTGGTCACAGACAAACAAACAAACAAACAAACAAACAAACAAACAAACAAACCAACAAACCAATGCTCCCGAACACATAACCTCCTTGGCGGAGGTAATAAAAAGTAAATAGAAATGTCACCATCTGTTTTAGCGGAAGTGGACACACTCTCACCCAGATCATGTAAACTGGGATATGGACTAACATTCAGTTAAATCAGCCAATCAAGCGATAACCTTATCTCAACTCAGCACAGGGCCTGTAAAACCACCTTTTCTGCAAAATATGAAATATGACCATCTAGACCATTTATTGCAGAAATGGCAGTTCATACTCTTTCTGTCTGGCTGGAAATACCTAAAACTCCTGCTTCCTGACTTGTAAACCTGCTCTGAATACCAGCACTCTTACTGGTTTAAATATTTGGCCACAGAGAGTCTACGCAGCCTTCTTAAACTTTACCTGTGAGGAACTTCGAACAGCAGCAGACATGTCAATATTATCGCTGCATGGAACATAACGAATACTTTTCTCATTCCAGTCTAAGCATTGTTGTCTGAGCATCTCATTCTAGGGAGAGGCTTCTTCAGTCAATTATATTCAACAATGGGAGTAAATTAGTGTTTCCTGACCACCTAAGAGCTTATTCATTACTTAAAAAAACACAGGAACAGATCTGTTACTTATGTTTGTCTCCATGTTGAAAGTAGACAACAGAAACAAAGACCAGGTCACTGCCAAACCAGGGAACCATAGTTTTTTCCACTTTAAAATGGGCATCCGATCAATATTACCACTGTTTGCCCTTTGCAGATTTCACAGGAATCATATCAGACATTTACGGATAGCTCATATCCTCCCTTTTCTTTTGGTCACGCAGATGTGCTAACTCTGTTGGCGCACCCAACGCCTCCTCTGCTGTCTGCCCTAACCCTGTCTCCTCTGCCTTCCTGACTGGACCCTCATCTCCCGGGGCTGCAGTCTCCTCCTCCTCCTCCTCATCCAGAACCCTGACTGCAGAGCAGATGCAGCTCCCAGTCACAGGAGCCAGGAAGGCGAAGGTCCTGTATGACTATGACGCTCATGACAGCAGCGAGCTCTCCCTCCTGGCTGATGAGGTACAAAAGACGGCTGAGTCACTGAACTTACTCTCAAGAACAATGAGTGACCTTTAACCCTAAGAACAGCAGGAAGTAGTCAGCTAAAAGCAAAAACACTTCTCTTAATTATAAAAACATTCTGTTTTCTGCTCCAGGACATTTTCTCACGGCATGCTCTTTATGAAGCATGGTTTATGTTTTCTCTTTCATTGTGTTGAATCTAAACTGTAGTCTTCCTCTTCAATCAGACCTTCCAGTACATTTTAATGATAATAAGTTAAGATATAGTGCTTTTCAAAAACAAGTTCTTGACAATTCAAATAAGTCATCTTAAACATGAACTCAAGTGATTCCAGAAGAACTAAATCCTGTATCAGAGTTCCCTCAATGTTTTGATTGTAAAAACTGTAACAAACTTATGAATTGGCATGTCAATAACACAGTCTCATGGATATGAGTATACAAGGAATAAACAAACACAAGTGAAGGCTTATGTAAAATTAAAGCCATGCTGCGCTAATATGAGGCTAGTTTAGGCTACGTGAATGTTGCCACAAAGGTGGCAAATACTAATTCATGTTCTAGCACCTTTCAAAATAGATTTTTTATGAAGTATGCAGATGATACTGCCTTGGTCAGTCTTTTATATGATGAGGAAAAGGAGCATGGTCCAGTTCTTGAATACTTTCCTAACTGGTGTGATAAGTCAAACCTTCTCCTCAATCCTTCAAAAACCAAGGAAATGTGTAAAGATTTTAGAAAAAAGGAAGCTCCCAATACAGTAACTTTAATCAAAGGAAAGCCAATTCAACAAGTCTCTGAGTTTAAGTACTTAGGGATCGTGCTTGACTGTAAGCTTATGTGGGACAGGACCATTATAGGTGACCAAAGGCACCCCCTTGCCCACTGTTTTGACCTCCTGCCTTCTGGGCGACGATATCGCCCCCCTCTGTTTACTAAAAACAGAGCAAAATTTTCTTTTGTGCCGCAGGCCGTTAAACGCCTTAATACCAAATAGCCATAGTTAGTCACCTAAAGCCTGCTCAGCTGGTCTTATCAGGTTAAGACTCCAAATGTTTTCAATGAAGGCCAAGTCAGGACTGCAGGTAGGCCAGTTTATCAGCAGAACTCTTCTACTACAGAGCCATGCTGTTGTAATCCCCGCAGAATGTGGTTTGTCATTCTCGTGCTGACAAACTTCCCTGACAAACTGATTGTCTGGATGGTAGCATTTGTTGCTCCTAAACCTATTTATATTGTTCAGCATTGATGGAGCCCTCACAGATATGGATGATACCCAAGACATGGACACTGATGACCACCGTATCATCAGGGATGCTGGCTTTGAACTGAGAAAGAGTAGGGTGTTCCTCCTACATCTTGGAGCAGAGACAGACTTGCTGTTAACGTTGCAGGAGTAGGAATGGTGTTCAATCTTATTTAAATGTAAATAATAAACGACTGTTGAAGGCAGGCCAAGAGGAAAAGAACTGAAGTGCAAGCAGATAAAAAAAGACACAGATTAAGAGCCTCTGTCAGATGACTGTACCAGAAGACGGAAATGATTCACATGTCAGGTTAATGAGGTGCAACATACCACTTCCTCTTCCACTCTTATTTTTAAACATCCTCTCTTTAAAGAGTGATTTTGTGGTGGGGCAGTATGGAGGCAATTGTTTGAAACTTCCATCTATCTTTTGTCCCCCTGTAGCTCATCACTGTCTACACCGTACCAGGGATGGACCCTGATTGGTTGATCGGAGAACGTGGGAATGACAAAGGCAAAGTTCCGGTGACCTACCTTGAACTGCTGAGTTAATGGACCAATTGGGAAACACAGACATACACACAAACACAACCCCCCCTTAACTGACACAGTGTGTATTTTCATCATGTTAGGCACTTATGCAAACTGGGATGACTCATTCGGGGAAGTCGGATGAAACTCTTGTCAGTGTGTGAGAAACAGCTTCCTGTAGTTCAACCTCTCAGATCTATACAGAATTAGCTCCCTTTGCGGTCTCCTGTTTGATTGTTTTGACAACTGGTAAAGCAACACTTCCACCTTTTTTGAATTCATTGTTTTTATGCTGATTTTAGTTCCACAAAACTTTGATGAGCTGTTCAAATATTGGTTTAACAGTTTACCGCAAATTTTAGAATATGAGCTCAGCAGTATTTATGACGCAGTCTCTCCAGGTAATTACCTACCAAAGGAGAGGAGACTGAAAATGGGACACTACTGATTGTGTGTATCACCATCTAAATCGCTGCTCAGAGCATGGTGGGATACCACACTATGCCAACTAAACTGGCAGCACATGTTTCAAACACATTTTTGTGACTTTTTTGTCAGAATGATCCACGTTAGAAAACAGAGGTGAACTGCGTAGAAGAGGACATGGGCCGCTGATTAAAAAAAATGATAATAATAATAATAAGATCTATATATATATACAGTATATATATATATATATATATATATATATATATATACTGTATATGTATGTGTGTGTGTGTATATATATATGTGTATGTATGTATATATATATACAGTATATATTCTTTGAAAAAATCAAGTTCTGACTTTTTTCTAAGTAAAAAAGTCAATCAAAGAAATATTTTAAAACCTTTTTCTCAGTGGCCCTTCTCCTACTCTGTGGAAAATCAACCTCATCAGAGGCTGTTTCTTTGTTTTACTCACTGGGACACTGCAGAGTTCTGGGGATGGACAAATGGAGCTGGTAGACTATCAGATTATTTAAAACACAGCCGAAGTTAAAGAGGGTCACTAATATAGTACATGTCGTTAAATTACTGGAAGGTCTCAGTCATATCACTGACGTCTTTCTCTTTTCCTTTTGTTCATAAGTGACGCCAACTCCACCTCTGTTGTGAGCGCTTCCATAATGCACACTAAAGTTGGAGTCTGAGTCTATGCAGTTGGCCTTGGCTGTCTGAGTAGCAATACTAACACCCTGTCCTGTTATATGCAAACTGCTTTTAGCTTTTTTCCTCCTCTCTGAATACTTGGAGGACTCTTTTGCAAACTACAATCACTTTTTCCTCTAAAACAGTGAAAAATAGCCACATCACTGACAAACTTTTAACTCTAATCAATTTTTATCATTATCCCTTTATCCTGTTATTTTCTCCTCATGGAAATTGTGTTCAGTACAGTCAAAAACAATCAGTTTGTCATAGTAAACTTTGTGTGATGTACCAGCAACAAATGCTGCAGAATTGTTCAAAATACTCTGAAATTGAAAGTAACACTGTGAGATTTTTCTGCTGAGGAAGTTCACAGTCACAGTCGGACATGAGTCACTTGATTATACTGCTGTTTTGACTCGTGACATTTTTACTACAGGAAAGTTCAGAAGATTAATGTTTGCTTATTCTGGTGGTGTCTGTGACTAATCCACTAAATCCACAGATTTAAAACTCACTTGCTAGTCTGCCAGCTCCCTAGTTCCACAGAAAAATACCCACCTGAAACGTGACCTCTGAGGACTAAGAAGGGCAACAGAGAGCTGAAAATATTTGTACACAGAGTGATTCACTGAGTCATTGTCCTGCGAGCAGGTGAAGCCCCCTCTGACTAAATGTTTGTTTCTGCGTAACTTCAGATAGATGATGTAGATCTCGAGTGAATAATGATGGATAAGCTCACAAGTGACGGTGCAACCAGTGTGAGTCATACTGTTAGTGTGTCATGTTGTAAGGCATCCAAAGGGAATTCCCTCTCCCTACGTGTTAAAAATAGACCCTGGAGTGTACAGTACTAAAAGTAGATTAACAACTAGCATGAGTGTTTCTGATTTTAAGAGGGTGATTTTGAATGTTTTTGTAACCTGTGACCTTTCCCTTAGAAACACCAGCAGGCCAAAACTTCCCTTAATGCATAGACAAATTTAATCTTTTCCATTATTATAAACTTAATCCCAAATGAATTAAGGTCTGAGTAAAAGAATTGGATGGTTTACAAATCATTTGAAATGGTGCAAAGGTACTGACATGTTTTGTCATTTTATGAAGTGAAAATACTTGTTCTAAATTTGATGCGAGCAACATGTTTCAATCTGTCACAAGTTGTTTTAGGATCATGTTTCCCTGTGTGTTTTTCTTTTAGCAACTCTCTTTAACGCTAGGGAACCTAGGAGACTAGTTTCTGTTTTTAATGCTTTTAATGGGTGACAAGTCAGGACAGGCCAGTTTAGCATCAGGACCCCTCCACTACAGGATACCTTGAAAGGGCATACCAGAGAGCCCAGGCCATTGCAACAACTGGATTTGAGGGATTCTTGGTTCTGGGTTTTGTGACCCAGTAAGTGGATTGTTCTTTAGCCATCAGATGTTTTATGTTTTGTCAAATGTCTTCCTCTGTGCTCAGAAGTAACATACTTGTTTCCATTCAGTCCTGCAGGTTTCTGCGGTAGGTAACTCTCTCAAGCTATTATGACCACTTTTTTTGTCGATGTGGTGAGGAACTGACGAATCTTACAGATGTGGGTAACTGCAGACTTGCAGGCACGTTGCATTAATATTTGAGAACATGCAATGTATTGCAGCCATTGTCCATGATTTACAAAAAGTATGTGAAGTCTTAATTTGTCAGACCACAACACAGTTTTTTTCTTTCCCTCAGTCCATCTTAAATGGGCTCAGGTCTTCAGAAGAGTTCTGTCTGTTTCCCATCAAGGCTTCCTGAGGGCCTGAAGATCAGGACCATCCAGTATTGGTTTTGGTCCTAGTCTCTTTTGTGCAGAGATTCCTCCATATTCTCTAAATCTTTTAATTATATTATTTATTTATTTAAGTGTTTAGGATCCCCATTTGTTATTACCACAGTAACAACTATTCTTCCTGTGGTCCAAACAAAAACAGCACAGAAAAGAAACAGTAAAAATACAATTGTTTACAATACATCACAGTCATTCGAAATAAAAGACGAAATGGATTAAATGAAACTAAATAGAAGATATTTTCATTCAAGGTTGACATATGTATAGTTGGTCAAAACTGCAGAAGATATATTTCCTCATACCAAGATGTCATAGGTAGCCAAAACTGACATTATGTCCTGTAGACGATGAAATCCACTCATTCTTTCACATTTTGCTCTCAGAAACAGAATTCTGATATTTTTGAGCCATTAGTCCACACAGTCTCTCACAGAGTGGTGAACCTCTTCCCATCTTTACTTCCCACCATACCCAGTTTGTTGGTAGATGTTCCCCAAGGTGTTTTTGTCTCTGCTTTCTCACTGTTGTGTTGTCCCTGCACTGACTTTTTGAAAAGATGTGGCCTGCATCAAATAAAAATGGACATACATTTTTTTTAGAAACAAACAACAAACTAAAAAAATTTTAAACATACAATTAACACATAACCCCACTTTTTAGAATGAGGGGTAAGTTACTTAACAAAATTTCCAGCTTTTATGTTAGTACCACCATCAGGTTTAAATTGATGTACTTATTATAGTCTCTGTTTAAACTGAATTAACCATGAACTGAACATATGAAAACATCCACCACTGGTATGTGGACCGATTGGGTCTTAAGGTGACCATTACCACCTATCTGACTCTAACTGGGACCATAATTTACTAACCAAACAAAAAGCTGTACTGAAGAGGACCTGACACTGGAGACTGAGACCATTTACTCTCTTTAAAAAATGTTTACCAAACACAATTTTTTTCTGATTGGTAGTCTCCTCCCTGCCGGCCATTTAAAGAGTTGCGGGTTCAAGACGGTTCCTCATGGCTTCAGATCTTTCCAATGTGCAGTTTGCAGTAACTCTGACAAAATCCCCCCAAACTGTGGCCCTGTTTTAAATGTAAAGGCCTCAGACCTTTGTACCACATTAATGCTCAAGTTTTCCTTGAGCTTGTAGTTTCACTTAAATAAATTCAAAAAAATCTCAGGAGTAAATATTGTTTTATTTGTTTTGTTGTTTTACCCCTGGACTCTTTACTCTTTCATGGATTTCGTCAGTCTACGTGCAAACTCATTTGACTCTTGTGGTTTATGAAATGATCGTGGAAATCTGTGATTGTGCAACAGAGTAGAGATGTTTTCTTTTTTGGCACAGCCGGCTGATTTACAGTAATTTAGTGATAAATACCCCTGTGAGTGTGTGTGTGTGTGTGTGTGGGAGAGAGAGAGAGCGAGCGAGAAAGAGGGAGAGAGAATGTATTCCAATTTATTCTGTTGTTAACTGCAGATGTTTTAATAAGTTGTGATCCTACTGATTTTCTGTTTTCAATTTGGTGTGCCCAAATTAAATTATAGGAAATTAGAAATGTCCAGACCATAACGATCCTGACATTCTTGTATTTCTCCGACTTATGGCTGCTGGTTTGTTGTGCAATAAACATGCATGTGTGTTACAAAAATGTGATTGACTGGTTCTTTCACGCCCACAGTCACAGCTGTGGGAACTATCTTTGAGAACACACAGAGAGAAAGTTTTTTTTTCTTCTTTTTTTAAAGCAGTAAAAGGTTTTAAAGGTCTGTTATCATCAAGCATAGTCCACAAAGATTAGTAGTTTTGAAAACTTAAATTTTCCTTCACCGTTTTCAAAGACTGTCCAGTCCATCCGACCATAACATATTTTCCCACATGCGTTTGGGAGATTTCAGATGTCTTTTTGCTAAATTAAGCCGGGCTTTGATGTTTTTCTTTGTAAGGTAAGGCTTCTGTCTTGCCACCCTACCCCATAGCCCAGACAAATGAAGACAGCAAGAGATTGTTGTCACATGTACTACACAGCCAGTACTTATCAGAAATTCCTGCAGCTCCTTCAGTGTTGCTGTCGGCCTCTTGGTAGCCTCCCTGACCAGTTTTCTTCTTGTCTTATCATCAGTTTTGGGCGGACGTCCTGTTCTTGGTAATGTCAACGTTGTGCCATATTTTCTCCGCTTGATGATGACGGTCTTTATCGTGTTCCGTGGTATATTTAATTCCTTGGAAATTCTTTTGTAGCCCTCACCTGACTGATATCTTTGAATAATGAGATCCCTCTGATGCTTTGGAAGATCTCTGTGGAACATGGGACTGTGCTGGAAGATGTGGCTACAAAAATGTCAGGAAAAGCTACTAGAACAGCTGAACTTTATTTGGGGTTAATCAGAGGCACTTGAATTGGTAACAGATGTGTGCTGACTCCAATTTAACCTGAGTTTGAATGTTATTGGTTAAATCTGAACACAGCCACATCCCCAGTTATTAAAGGGTGTGCACACGTATGCAACCACATGATCTCAGTTGTTTATTTTTACTTCACCTCCCTGAAAGATTTCAGGGAAATTGTGAGAGAGATTGTGCCTGAGTCGACCCCCTCTGTTCAGAGAAGGTTTCTCCAGTCTGGTAAAGATGGCTTCTTTAACTCCTCTTTCAAACCATCTGTCTTCTCAAGCCAACACCTGTACATTGCTGTCCTCGAAAGAATGACCCGTGTCCTTTAAGTAAAGGTGGACTGCTGAGTCCTGACCTGAGGAAGTCAACCACAAGCGGTTGTTGGCTCGAGTACACAGGGGGGCATTAACGACCCTTTCAGGTTAACGACTTGGGAGGGGACACACCCAGGGATGGGTTTCTACGACCCATTCTTTTCCAACCCCTCCCAATCGTTGCCTGTCCCCTTCTCCAGTAAGATAAATATCTGCTCCTCACACTAGCAATTTTAGAACTGAAGAAGCTTCTTGGATAAGAGGTGAAATGTCTTCTCAACTCTGCACAGTCCAGTTGCCTGTTTTTAAGTCTTCAAGATAACCATGACCTGGATGAATGAGAATCTACATGGACATTATGAAAACGCTTGTTATTTTACAAGGATAAAGTCATATTGTGAAAAGTTATTGTGAAGTTGAAATATTAAAACAAGAAGGATGTAGTTAAGTCAAACTATTAAGACGATAAAGTCGTAGTAAAGCTAAAATGATGAGTAATAGAATCATAGTAAATTTGACATATTACCAAAATGAAGTCATAGTGATGACAAAATATTATGAGAATAAAGTTGTGGTAAAGTTGGCGGCTGCATTTCAAAAGGGCCCCCCTATGTGTGGATGAGGCCATTCAGTGAGTGAATGAGCTGCAATGTGCCACAACCCTCACCTGTTGTTTAATTCTGGGCTGATATTTACACACCCGGACAGGACAAATTCATTAAAGACTTAAAGTCAAATCCTGCAGATGATGCCTGGTGCATTACACGCTATGGTTAAGAGAGACTTTAACACTAGAAGGACCGGCTTTTTGCTGTTCTACCTATAAAGACCAGAGGGCAGCCAAATGGCTTGGAGGGCTTTTAGCTAGTACTAAATCACCTCTGAACACTCAGTTTGTTATGCAAACGAGGCTGTCGCTGGTGCACCACAGGAGGGGATATGCTAAGTTATTTCAAGGAAACTTGTGTTGTGGGGAGAGTGAGTGGGGAGGGGGAGGGGAGTTTCCAACCTGAGAACAACTGTAGACAGAAACTGCTTCAGCCATAGCCACTGCACAGACAGTTTGGGCCTCTGTTTGTTTTGTTTGGTTCTACTTCTCCTGATGTTCCTGCACCTCAGCAGATGCCCCAGCGGTCGGTCCACGGACAAAAACTGTTTGTACTTTATATTAATGACATTGTAAATGTATCTAAATTGTTAAATTGCATACTGTTTGCATATGACACTACATTTTTTATACTCTGGTGAAGCTGTTGAGAGTATGAATGTGAGAATGACCATAACGACTCAGGTGAATGCAACCAGTCCCATTCACAGGATCACTATTTGATTGACAATTTATCACATTTTCTGGTTTGCTGGTGAGCAAACCTGGGAAACCCCCAGATCATGGCAACCATGCCCCGAAATCGCTTCAAAGACATCATGCGACACCTACGCTTTGATGACAGGGACACCCGCAGTGAGCGCACAAAGACTGACAAGTTTGCTGCAATTTCTGCTGTGTGGTCGTCATTTGTCACCAACTGCATCACATCCTACAACCCTGGTCGACACATCACCATTGACCAACAGCTTTTCCCCCCAAAGACTCACTGCTGTTTCCTGCAGTACATTGCAACGAAACCTGACAAGTTTGGGATCAAGTTTTGGGTGGCTTGTGACTTGAAATCCAAGTACATCTGCAATGTCCTCCCATATCTTGGCAAGGACCCCAGTCGTCCCAGTGGGGAGAGACTGTCCGAGAATGTAGTCATGAGGCTGATGGAACCATTCCTGGACAAGGGCAGAAATGTTACCACGGACAATTTCTTTACATCACTGTCACTTGCGCAACAACTGCTTAGGCGGAAAACCACCATCCTAGGCACAGTCAACAAGATTCGCCAGGAAATTCCACAGTCATCTAGACAGAGGGACTGCAATGAACTTTACAATGCTACAAAGTGCAGCGTGGATGTGATGGACCAGATGGTGCGGGAGTACACTGTCCGCACAGGAACATGGCGCTGGCCAGTCGCTGTGTTCTATAACATGATTGATATGGCAGCATTGGATGCACATGTGCTGTATCAAGCATGCACCAGGAGGAAGGAGAGACGGGTGGACTTCCTGGTGGAGCTTGCAAGAGAGTTGGCTAACTCTCATGTGACTGCGAAGAAGGCATTAAAGGAAGAATTGCTTCGGCAACAACCTTCCACACCTAGCCCTGGGAAAAGAGCCATGTGCCAGGTTAAAAATCAGTGTAAGAACAATCATGCCACTGTGCGATGTGTTGACTGCTACAGATACACATGTGGGAAATGCAGAAGGGAGATACCATGGCAGTGCCAGGATTGTGAGTGAGAGTCTAACACTGTATCCTGATGATGCATATTCACCTGAAGTCCATCACCAACCTTTTTATACTTTATATATGTCCTGCATGCTCTTGTTATTTTCTATTCTTGTATTTTACATATTATTCTCCGTTTAATGTTGCACCATCACGCCGTAAAAAATCCTAGCATTGTACATAGCCTTTCATACTTTTATTCTTTATATATGTCCTGCATGCTCTAATTTTTTATTCTTGTATTTTACATATTATACTCTGTTTAATGTTGCACCATCACGCCGTAAAAAATTCCTAGTCTGTGAAACCTGTTCATTGACAATAGCAATAAAACCCCTTGTGATTCTGATTCTGATTCTTGTTCTTATTCTATACAGTTGTTTAAATTTTGTTTATTTTTAATCAATAAATTTCAGCAACAAAGTAAACAACCCATGTGTGTTGATCCCTTCCTTTCTGTTGTCCCTTCCCACTGCATACACCACTTAGTCCAGTCCCCTCCTGTGGTGCACCAACGATCACCTCGTTTGCATAACAAAATGAGTGCTCACAGGTGATTTAGGATATTAGCTAAAATCCTTCCAGCCGATCGGCTGCCCCGTGGACCTTGAGGGGGGTAAAGCCAAATGGCTGCTCTGTGGTCCTTCTAGTGTTAAAGTGGTAAACCCTGAAAGGTCAGGACTAAGTGTGTTGTCTGTGCTGTAATCTCATCTGTAAACGTCCTGTTGATAAGCACTGTTTTGTATGACTCCTTCTGCAGATAATACTTGTTGTTTTCTTATGAGTAATCCAGCGATAGTGAAATAAACGTTAGTCATGTGTTTGTTTTCTTAAGCTGAAAAGAAAGCTCCTTTGGGACTGGAGAGGCCCTGCAGTGATTCATCCCAAAGGTGGAGCTCAATAATGTCACACTTTTTTTACCAACATCTCTGGAAACATGACTGTGATGTGAACTGTGTAAAGTGGTATCTGACAGTTGTGACCGTTTGGAATTTAATTCCAAGGAATACGCAGTGAATAACACCCTTTTCTTTAAGGTCAAGGACTGACGATAATCAAGTGGAAAATTACTTGTCTTGGCTCTGCTCACTCATTGTTTAGTTTTAAAGATGGAATGAAATCAGGAGTGAGGGCTGAGTCCAGCCAGCTCAGAAGCTGAGCATATTTTGTTTTAGCACGTTGTGGTCATCATGCTATTTTATGTGTACATGTATCACTAATGTGATGATAATCCGACTAACTGTGGTCATTTCACAGTCCCCCAAATGATAAGTATCCACAGAGATAATAGAAAGTGAGAATTGTGAATGAGACTGGTCCATCTGGTAAGATCACAGCGCAGCTAAAGTTAGCATTCAGACACTTCCCAGGTTACTACTAAGTTTAAAAAGTTGCAGATCAGACTGAAAAAGAAAAATGTTTACATCATTGTGTAAATGCATACAGTGGAAGAACTGGTGTCTTTTACATCATACATTTAATTTACCATTTGTTGATTCATTTGAAGAACGCTCACACAGTGGTGATGCATGTGTTGGATTTCTCATCCCAGGACTGAGGCTTAGAGTGATGTGGGTAGGTGTTGGTGTATCGAGAGTGGTGCTGTTTATGGGCGACTTTTGGTCGATTACTTATGTAACTCTCAGAGTATTGGACAGAAAGCCATTGTCTGCACAAAAACTACTTTAAACAATGTTTTCTTAGCTGGCTAGTGTGGTGTACAGATAATAATAATAATAATAATAGTGCATCAGATTTCATATAGTGCTTTTATCAGAGACCCTCAAAGCGCTTTACACTGGATACATCATTTATTCGCTCACACAGTCACACTTTGGTGGTGGTAAACTGCCGTAGTAGTCACAGCTGCCCTGGGGCAGACTGACGGAAACGTGGCTGCCATTTTGCGCCTACGGCCTCTGCGACCACCACCACACAACACTCACAATCAAACACCAGTGGAGGACACACACTGGGAGCGAGGTGGGTTAAGTGTCTTGCCCAAGGACACAACGGACAGACTTGGGATAGGGGGGAATCGAACCGCCAACCTTCCAGTTATTGGACGACCGCTCTACCTCCTGAGCTACTGCCGCCCCACACCAACTGTGTTCCACAGATTACCCAACCTGAGCATGACACCACAAGATGATGGCCGATAAGGGGATAAGCCTAAATAATTTCGTACTGAATTAAACTTCATGTAGTTAGACAACATCGCTAGATAACGCATTGAGGGTTTGATTTATGTCTCAGTGGGTGTGAAATTGGTCCAAGGGCACTGTGCATACTCCATGGTGTGCGCATTGGGCTTAGACCTCAGGGTTGAATATCATAAATGTGTCTTTAGGAGGCCAGGGAAACACAACTTCTGTTGTGTAGGGAGGTATGTTAAAAAAAAAGAGGAAAGTGTTGCAACATATGTCCAAAATTTTGTTTTCATTATCCCACACACAACCCATCAGCCTCCTGCTTACGCATTTGCCTTTTGTTCCATTCGAAATGTAATAAGATAACATTGAGCCTGCCACCAAGTCGTAACAGGTTTAAAAAGGTTACACCCAATTTACCATAACGGGGGTGGCCCTGCGGAAGTTTTCTGAGCTTCTTTGGTTCTGGTCAATAAATTAGTTTCTTCCTTGTAAATTGACACAAGGGCAATTGCCAAATCAAGCTATTACGTAGCTTGTGCACGTAAAAGTAACTCTGCTTTAATTCTTGGATTAGGTTCATTGCGTCTTTTTTGATAAATGACGATCAGATGTTCTTTTATACAGACATAAGTTTATTTACCTTGCTGACATGTTTCAACGTGCTGGCAACAGTCTTCCTCAGAGCGTCACGTGATGGTTGCGTGACGCGTTCTAAAACAGCTTGTGTTTCTGAAGGCATGACCTTTCCTTCAAGGTGACAGATCGGTCATCCGCACCGAAGAAAATAAACATCAGCGCTCGATCATGGAATCCCGTGCTGTTTTAAGACACGTCACCCAACCATGACTAGCACTCTGAGGAAGACTGCTGCCAGCACGTCGAAACATGTCAGCGAGGTAAATAAACTTGTTTCTGTATAAAATAACATCTCATGATAACTCTGCTTTAAGTTTGGGTCCTCTGTGTATACTTTTTCACAAGTCCTGTCATAATGCTGATCTAAGTAAAGTTTTGATTGGCTGCGAGACCTGCTACTATAAAGGCAAGAAAAACTTCCCTGGTCATGAGGTCGGACTTACAATAACTGACACAGGTCTGGATAGGACGGTATCTGGTTCTTGACAGTAGCCTGTAATTCAGTGACCAAGGCTTACACAGTAAATTAATCTAAATTGCTTCTTTATTCAGTCATGGTGATGCCTGGGCAAAGAATGGGTGACTATGGGTTTAGTATTATTTTATTAAACCTGCCAACAGTGCTGGTCTCCTCCCCTTTGCCATCCTATCAAACTTTTGAAGAAAAGAGGAACTGATTGACTTGTTAACCATATAACAAAACAAAAAAAACTTTCTATCTGAAGGCTTACAGTTTTCAGTCTCCGCAGTGTAAAACTGTTTACACAGTAAGCCAAAAAATGAAACCACCCTTTGGTTGAGGCAGCAGCTGTGTTTAGATGGTTAGGCAATGTTTCATGACTTATTGACTTTCACTGATTCATATCCATTACTCAACTTTAAGTGGCCCTGCATGTCAGTCCTTGGCCGACAGGCAGAAATTCCCCTTCTTGAGACAATTTAGATACTTGCTTGTTGAGGATTTCTTTATATCCATGATGACACGCTAAACCCGGAAGTTTTGCTCATTTGTCATCGATATCCCTATTCTGTGTGCTTACACTCACTTACTCAGTGATGATCTTTGTCACTCGAAATCAGAGTTTATTTTCGTGTCTGTGCTTTTTTTCAAAGGCAAAATAGATGATCAGTGTTACGGTTTTACTTAGATTGTACAGCTGTGGTCACACCCAGTTGTCTAAATTTGTTTAGGCCAAATCCATTTTTTCATAGGCAGCCGGGTGAATGTGGACATTTCTTACTAAGTCCACATTTTAGGCTTATATAACAAAAGTGTCACCTCTCCTGTCAAGGGGGGACCAAGATGACACGGCAGAAGCTCCTAAGATGGATAACAAGCATGATCCCCTATTCATCAATTTTTTCCACAATCGAAAGCAACTTTGATTATAAATTATGCTATTATAGCTTATGCCATAAGTCCGGCTTATGTACAGTAATTCTTTTCAAGTTTGTACCTGCTTCAGGTAAAATAGTTGTTATCAATTAGATTTTAATCAATTAAATTAATAAATCTGATGCCTTGTGATCAAAACAGAGAATTCAGTTTTTAACAGAGTATGGTTAAGCAGGGTCTTCTGACAGAGGTCTGGAGGTCAGCATCCTGCTCCTCAGACCTTTCCTCAAGTTTCATGCGTTCACATACTTTGAGATAATTTCAAACAGGGGACCTGGGTTGGAATGTGAATGATTATTTAGATTATCAGTAATGGATTTAGTTCCGAAAAGGTAATCAAAACTCTAGTCCTTCTTCAAATGGTCTGTGATCCATATTTTCCTGTTGCGAGGAGATCCCTTGGTTATCTTCAAAAGGTCATAAAAGACTGTGATTTGGTGAGAAAGTATTAGTTTGTCTCGTCTCCGCGAAACCAAATGTATGTCTCACATTCCTGTGGGGGTGTAAGGGCTCCAGTCTTCATTACAACATCATACGGATTCTGTTGGGCTTTATTTTTAAACAATGAAATAAACTCTGACTCAGACACTTGTGATCAAACACCCCACTTATTTTCTTGTCAACTTGGCAGTTTTTCCTCTGCCATGGACTTCTCAAGTCTTAACTGTGGGTGTGTTTGGCTTTCATGCAGAGGCGAATCAATTCAAAACCTAAATATGCAACTCAGGCTGAAACTCATATCCGATCCCTCTCACTTGCCTCCCACTCACTTTTTCAAGTCTAAGCCCATTTACGCCTCCTTCATCCAAGGCTTTGTTTTAATCCACAAGACACTTCCTGTCAATATTGACTCATACACCTACAGTCTTAATAATGTTGCAATATCCCCTGTTTTTCACCTAACTCATGACTGGAGTTGCACAAGAGTTTATTTTTGCTCCTACGGAAACAGGGTATGGCCTGTATGATCCTCAGACTATATTGAGTCTGTTTCCTCTCACTCTCACTCAGCTTATTATTGCGTAAGCCCAGGGTTCCCCGGATACACATAGAAATCCCACATTAACAGGTCTGAATATGTGGTGCTCCATTTGAGTCTGACTAATTTGATACTCTACAATTAATTTTGGGATTGCCAGTATGATGGCTGAGTGTGAAGAGTTGGAACCAGAATGCAAAGCCAGACATGGGAGAGGTTTAACAGGTTTTATTGATGCTGATAATTTTGCTCCAGGTGAAGTTTGGGGTCCACATAGGTGAGGAGAAGTTCAGGTGAAGGAGAGAGAGCTGGCTGACGGGCTGGTGAGAGGAATGGAGGGAGGCACTGGAAAAAAATGGAGAAGAGAGTGAGGGTTAGTCACAAAAAACATCAGAAACACCAGGAAAATCTTCAAATCTTCAGGGGCAACAAACAACCTGCTCAAAGGGCAGACTCCAGCCCAAAATTAAAATGAATTAAATCCATGCTCACCACAGCCAGGTCCTAAAAATGACTCCTCACATCAGTATACTGTGTACTGGTATGCAGTCCTCAGTAATGATATCTATTTCTGCATTAATGCCAAACATGTAAAAGGATATTTCAACATTACTGATCTCTGTTCCCAGATTTACAAATATGAGAAGTGGTCTGGTTTTTATCACCTCCGCCAAGGAGGTTATGTTTTCGGTAGCGCTGGTTTGTTTGTTTGTCTGTTAGCAACTTTACGGAGAAAGTAACAGACGGATTGACCTGAAATTTTCACCAGAGGTGCGTCTCAGCCCCAGGAGGATCCCATTAAATTTTGGTGGTGATCCGGACAAAGTTCCGGATACTGTGATCCAGAACACACAAAAATAAGGGTGTCGTTGGAATTTTCAATGCTGAAAGATAACTAATGGGCTGCACAGTGATGTAGATAGGTGGCACAGTGATGTAGATAGGTGGCACAGTGGTGTAGTAGTTAGCACTGTTGCCTCACAGCCAGAAGGTCCTGGGTTCAAATCCAGGTCAGGGTATTTCTTGTTTAAGGGGGGACATGAGCTGCTTGGCAGAGGTCTGCGCTCTCTGAGTGCTTTTCTAGTTTGAAGTATGTTTGAAGTATGTTTTCGTTGTAAAAGTTGTGCTGACCAATCAGGTCTTGGCAGGCTTTAGTATGTCTAAAAAAAACTGTCTGTATAGAGAGCAAAAACAGATGGAAAACAATTCACTGTTATGACATCCCATCGTTGGTTGTCTGAGAAGGACTTATCTCTCTGTATAAACACAAGTCTGCTTGGTCAGCTAACATTTTGTTCTGGGTCAAACATTTACGCTGAGACTCTAATCTTAGTGATGCTGAGTGGGAGTTCAGATTGTCTTATTGTCTCATTTGGTTGCATCAGGAATGATTGCTATAACCTCATTTACATAAACATTAAAAAAAATGATTCTTCTCTCCTTTACAGAAATCACAAAGCTTGACTTTATGTGCGATATGTCATCATCTACCTCTCTCTGTCAAGGTGTGTTTGTCTGTAGACACAGCTACTGGTGTTTTATGTGTAAATCTAGACCCATTTTAACATAAGGATGTTGTTTTCTGAACACTTAACCCCCAAAACCACTCCTGTATTGGGATTGCATGCATCCTTTTAATGTGTGTTTTTCATTCACATCATCATTTATAATGTAAATTAGATCACATGCCTCTTTAACTTGCCCTTTTAATAAAAGATCCTCATGTCCGCTGACATTCAAATGATAGTTTTATTTTTGCTAGTTTGGGTAAAACTTATAGGTGAGACAAGGCTCACAGCAACATCACACACAACCCCCAAGTAGCCTGTTCAAAATCCATGACTGCACAGACTGGGCTGTAGCAGTCAGACAGCCAGCGTGAGTTCTGAAGTAAGTGGGTGTATAGGATTGAAGATCAGCCTGAACATGGAAGAGCATCAAAGGAGAAACCCTAACTTGCTGTCGGGAAAAGGTTTGGTCTGAAATCATGCCGAGACTCCATTGCTGTTTTTATTTACAGTTAGTCATGTCTCTGTCTCTTTTAAGACAGTCTTGTGACAGTCTAGACACATGATGATGACATTCCTGTCGAGAACTTTGCACAACAACCATGATTCAATCTTGATTGACATGTTTTTTATCTTTTAAAGATCATGTACTTATTGTTTAAAAATCATGGTTGTCTGGATGAGTGAACGGCATGCAGGATCATTAACATATACTGAGATTAAAAAAGAAAAACAACCGACTGAGGGTATTTACTTAGACAAAGTCATCCCAGGGAAGGTGAAGAAAAAGCCTCAATATGTGAACTTAGACATACAGTCTACTTAGTGATGAACAGGGGGTCACAAATCTCACAGTTTGGTTTTATTTTGATTAACCTAAAACTATAAAATTATAAATTTCTTTTCCTCTTTTTTCCTCTCTAACCATTGGGAGTGTGAAGATGCACGTGTTCATACCAAACCATTCCAGTACAGGACTTCAGGAACAGTGCACATGTGTACCAAACTGAAAGTACATGCATCTAAGTTCTCACATGACCGGAAGACAGAAGCAGACCACACACATACACTACGGTTTCCCTGTGATATATAACACTGAACAAAGACACATGGATCAGGTGAAAGCAGTTTGACGACACTGTATGGCAGCAACCGGGTACGTTGACAGCAACACAACCAACCTGTAAACACTTTTGAAGCAGCACCACACAGACGTAAACATGACTGCCACAAGAAGAAAAGACACTGGTGATTAAACTCAGCTGCCTCTGGTATTAATAAATATATGAATATGTTTGTTTCCCTTATTCCACCAAGTATTAACACAACCGCAGTGGTGGTTTTTCAAAGCATATCACGGTCCTATCTGGAGTTACATCGGCAGTACTGCAATTTCTTTTGGGCTTGTTTAACAGAGTCTAGTTACCTCCGCCAAGGAGGTTATGTTTTTGGTAGCCTTGGTTTGTTTGTTTGTTTGTCTGTTAGCAACTTTACAGAGAAAGTTACACACGGATTGACCTGAAATTTTCACCAGAGGTGCGTCTCAGCCCCAGGAGGATCCCATTACATTTTGGTGGTGATCCAGATCGCCTTCTGGATCCAGGAATTTTTTGAAGGATTCTTTATCATTGTGAGATAGGGCAAATTTTGGAATTTTTGAATTTCACTCTATAAAAAAATGTCCAGAGTCTTTAGTAAAAAATTACACAAAAGGATCTCAATGAGTTTTATGAGGGTGTCGTTGGAATTTTCAATGCTGAAAGATAACTAATGGAGATACAAAGAAGTGTACGCTTTCAAATATTGCGTATCTAATATGAGCTTTGTTGTTGTAGGAACATTATGAACAGTAAACATACCAGTTTAAACACAAATAAACGTTAATAAAAGACACGTAACAGTAAAAGTTTTGGTGTGAATCACAATATAAGGGGGGACATGAGCTGCTTGGCGGAGGTCTGCGCTCTCCGAGTGCTTTTCTAGTATCCTGATTAAAACTACCGTGACAGTAGCTTCTTGTTTGCAAACCCTTCACTCTTTTCCAGCCCCAACCTGTAATCTAAATACAATCAATTAAAATCTTAAAACGAGACAAATATTGTCTGAAATCAAAACTCAAGGTCCAGTATTATTTATTTTATAAATAATGTTCCCATTTATTATTTAGTAGAGGATACAGTAGGTCATGATGCCACAGTGGCTACTGTTCAAGGTGATCATAGCAAACAACAAAAAGTTGCATTTATAGATTAAGTAACAGATTGAAGCTGTGCATAGAAAGCATATAGTTGATGAAGCCGTTCTTTATGTGAAAATAGCACCAAATGATGACTGCGTGACCAGTCCATAGCCTTCTTCAAGTGATACACTTAAGTGATCACCTTTCATCAAACTGTACAGCTGTATCATAGACAAAGTCCTGAACAATCCTGGTCCGCACTGTACACTGTCCACTGCATTCGTCAGGAGTCTGACATTGTTCCTCGAACACTCTGGGTTGTCGTACACTTTATTCTGTACGTTCAGCTTAATGTGCAACTTCTCAGAGCCATGTTCTCGGTTATAACAACGAAATGCCATCCTGATGTAAACCAGATAGGTTCCCTCCTCAGGGATCACAATGGCACGTTCCTTCTCATCATAGTTGGAATCGTCGCTACACAGCACGACCGACCATTCAATAGTGTTTGAAGAATTCCTGTCTGGATCACCTGGTGATGCTGTAGGGTGAGAGAAGTACATGGGATGTCAAATAAATATTCAAACAGATTAAAGGTATGAATGCATGTTATTGTAGGAGGGAGTCTTTGCAGTTTAAGTCACTCAATATGTTTACATGACGTAAAGATATAGATTAATTACTTTATTCAGTCTGAAAGTGGAATTTTAAAGTTCTCAAAAACATACCAGTCTGACTAGAATCACCCCAAGTTGAATTTATCAAAGTCAAACTGAGATACCGGGACACGCAGCTAGGCATTGATGTTCTCTTGAATGTTAGAGGCCAGGGATACACTGATCAATCAGTCTGACCAATTTATGGCATTCTGAAATAACTGGTGTATATATGGACTCATGAAGCAGATTAGAAAAAACTAAATAATGTCTGGAGATGCTGCAAGCTGCCTTATCAGTGTGGCTGCTGTCGAGCAATATGAACATCCTCTGAAATGATAACAGGTTTTTACCTTCCTAATCTGACAAGTAGAGTGTTTAACATTTATTTTACTATGATTTCTAGGATAAACGAGTTAAATATTGCCACTGATGGGAATGTGTCTTTTTTTTTCATCTACAGCTTGGCCCAGCATATTTTTTATTCTATGTTTGTTTTTTAGCTAAAATAACCTTGTAGATTGCAATATGCATGAAATACTTGCTGGTAGTGTTATTGAGTTGTTTTTTTTTAATCAAATACAATAAATAAATAAATAATAAATAAAACACTTGTGAGGAAAAGTTAATATTGTACAGTATTAATGTCTGCAGTAAGCCATGTAAATTCAAAATATCCAGTATATCAGAGAATCAGGCAGTCTGAAGTAGTTACCTGACCATTGTGTGCACACTTGACCCCGATAGCACAATAACTTCAACGGTTCCAACAGAAATAACTGAAATGTTGTTTTATTATTTGCATCTTTAGTCAAAATAGACAGCTTTTTAAAATCATGTTAGTGGAATACTGTTCCAGATTTGTAGATGAAATCATGTCTGTTCACCATTCAGGGTGGACATGATGGTAAATCAGTAGGATATTCTTGCTAAGATTAACATAAACTGTGTGCCAGATTAAGCCTCAATAATTTCTCTTTTTTTCCTTTGCTTCAGGTTGTGCTGCTGCACTTTCCTGACTTTAGTAATCAGGTCTGTATGAATGTCAGGAAACCCCGATTTCTGGCTTCATGCCAATGTCATCACACAGACCAGTCAGTGTTTGTTAGGTTGTGGAAACCTCCACTGAGTCTGACTCACATAATCTAAACTGGCATTTGGCTGTTGAACTGCTGTTGTGTTCCCGTTCTACGAGATATTTGAGGCGGCAAGCCTCAGCAGGAAGATGACATCAGCGCATGCCATCTGGCTGCAATGTCTTTGATTTGGTAATCTTGAGCTTCCTGAACATCACATCGTGAATCTCTCTCCCAGTGTTGATGCATCGTAAAGTCAGAGCTCTGCTGATCTATTCAAGAGAGCTCTGACGAAATACACTCAGCAGTGGTTTTGGCCTGTTTCCCAGACTGGCTATGAACCAAAGGCAGTCATTTGAACTCCAGTACCTCTTAATGAGTGTAAAACAGATTCTTCTTTTCCATCTCATGACAAATATACAGTATTATTCTTCAGCTACTGAGCTGAATGTCTGTGTCATATGACAAAGTGATGAAATAATTTCTTTTGAATTTGAGGAGGTGGATGTTTTGCGTCAGATGCTTTTGGATTTGGATTTTTTTTTCCCGATACAGGTGTGATTCAGGATCTTGTGTTTCTGTTTTTTCAACATATAAGCCTCTTGCATCATTTGGGATCTGATGACATCTTTAAAAAAATTCTAGGAGTTTGTTTGTTTTTTCTTAAGAGGCTTTTGTTTTTCTGTGAACTTTGAATCAAATTTCTGACTTTTACTTATAGAGTATGTGTGAAATATGCGTGAACTCTCTCCTGTCAGTTGTGAAATCTGAGGGGAAAACACTTACTAAGATCAATGCGCAGTCTTTCGGTATTTCTTTGTGGATCAGCTGTAAAAATAAAAGTGGAAAAGTGAGTTTTAAGTAAGGCTCCAAGGAATGAGAAAACCTGATCCAAATAATGTCTTAAGTTTTCCTCAAAAGAGAGGGAAACTTTCAGATTAATTCATCAAATTTTATGGAGCATGAAGTTGATCTCAGCATACCTGTAAGGTACTCCGTCCTGCTTTCGACTGGACTTTGCCCCACAGAGCTCTAAGGAAACAAAACAGATGAACAAATATTCATTTATAGATTATGCAATGTCTAATAACATCCAGTCTCATAGCAACTTGATGTCGTGCTTAAATGCACGTCCTCCCTGCTGTTACATTTTAGATTGGTCGTATTTCTGAGATTTGTGGATTCAACAAGGCAAATGAATTTCAGTTCCACTTTTTGGTTCCTAACAGCAATATAAATCCCTCAGGATCAAAGTGAGACTTGTTTTAGTCTACAGACAAGAGTCCTATCTGCTCCCCCCCTACTGTAATTCAACATAATTTGTGACACAATACACCGACAAAGCTGTCAGGGGAGGATTGTGGTGAACCACAGAAAGCAGAAGATGTTTCACCTAAACAGAAAATGACACAATGAAGTGCAACACACGTGACACCGACATTTCATGTAAGGGAGGAAGCACGTCCAGTGCGATGACACGTTCGCTTCCAAGAAGCGGCGGTGGCTCAGTGGTTGTCAGTCACCTCTCGGCTGAGGGGTCAGAGAATTAATCCGTGAAACTGTCCTGGGTGGCTGTGCCATTGGTGTGGGGTTTGATAGTGCTGTTGGGTGCTTGAAATAGCAGCTTCTAGATCGATGAGGTTAACCGGGATCAGAATTGTTCACATTTAATTGTTGCTCTTTGTAGTATTACACAACACAACAGGAAACATATAACTTTGGGCTGAAGTAAAAGTGGCAGAGATTTGACCTCAAAAAGAAGACAGAAATTTGGGCTGGAGCTAACATCATGTTTCTGTTGCGAATGTTTCTGTCTGATCTTAGATGCTTGAGGAGCACTGAGAGCTCATCACTAGTTTTACAGCCGTCAATCATCACTACTTTACGAGCAAGTTTGTAGGTTATTCACCTTATCTGCACATAGACTGATACAATGTCATATTCTTATCTGCAGTTTTATTTTTAGGTCTCCCCCTTTCCCATCTTCAAATCTTCAGAAGGAAGAGTTGAGGAATTTATTTACTTTGTTTGTTCCAAAGGTTGAAGTTGGGGCGGTGAAAAGAGTCGGCAGAGAACTTCAGAATCATCTTTATTGGATCGCTTGGAGGGTTTCTGAAGGGACTTGATGGCAGATACACCTGGCTGTTGATTCTTTGCTTGATATACTGTATTTACGATTGTGATCAACTTGTTTAACTTGTTATTTTATGTTAGTTTCTCTCTATGACTTTAAAAGAAAGTCATAGTGTGAAAATCAGCTGGAAACTTTGGGCATGTTTCCAAATAAGCGGAAATACCTTCAGATCAAAGAGTCCAAAAGACTCACTGCCTTATTCGCTCCAGAAGTGAAAATGACCCATTTAGATTGTTCTCAAAACATCCCAGGATCTATAAGGTGTTAAGATTTTTAAAAATGTGGTGCCAGGTCTCAGAGATTATCTGCAGGTACATTTCAGTAAATCAAAGTAGTTCAAAGCCTTAATTGATCGAGAAAATATTCCATTGATTTCTGATTTTTATGAGTCACAAGCCGAAATCATTGACATCAAAATAAATATTTCACTTCAAATTCATCAAACATCGATAAATTTAAGTTTAACTTTGAGCTAAATAAGTGGGGAAAAACTTCCAAAGTTGGTGCACTTCAACAGCATTTTAAAACCATCCTTCAGACTCTAAAGGTAGTTCAGAAATTTGTATTTGTCATCAGAGTTTCTTCAGCGACACAAGATAAGAAGTAGCAGCACTTATTAATATGCGGAGAGTGAAAATGTCAGGAATCATCTCTGCGTCTCTTATTTTAACAGTTTTTTTGTGTATATTCAGGACTTCGATCAACCTAAACAGGTGATCTGGGAGTCAGGGATGCTTTAACAGAATGATATACATACTGGCCTTGGTATCAGAGAGTACACTCACTCCCATCCAATAAATCACTGATTCAGGTGAGTTAAAATGAAATCACACATTGCTGTGTGCTGCTTTCAGTAAGTTAAATATTGGTCAAAGCTTGTTGATTGTCAGCAAATGTTGCTTTAAAGCACTTGCCTCACACTTGTATCGGGAAATCTGAATCAGAAAGGAAGAACTGGTATGGCAGCATTTTTTGGTTTTAACTTCTTCACAACTTTAGCTCCAGAAGTACAATATTAAAATGCTGACTCTTGAGGTTGTTTTGTTCTAATGCGTCACAGATCAACATCAATGACAGATCTGAAAGGCAGAAAAGATAGAGAACTAAACAATGACCCACCTGTTGTCCACTGGATCCGGAGTTCCTCTGAAGCTGAGTAAAAATGAAGAGCCCTGCACAGCCGAGCAGCAGCAGCAGGCTAATGAGCCTGAGCCGGGTCTCCTGACGCTTCATTTCCTGGCAGTGTTTAAGGAGGATAAGCACTGACTCGTCTACACTCCCACAGGCTACTTCATCTGGCATGGTGAATCTCATCTGCCTCTGTCCCATGTCTTCACACTTGATCTCTGCCAAAGGCTGCTGCTGGAGAAAGCTGTTTATCAGTGACACCTGGGGAGACTCTTATACCAGTTGTGGAGATGTGTGGCCCACGTGTTCTTTCACTCTGGTTGCATCATCAGTTCATTCATAAAATAGAAAAGGAAAAAAGAGAAGGAGGAGCACTTTCCTTATCCAAAGGATGAGTGACACATGAGAGCAGAGAGCTATTTCCAGAGCTTTCACATTCTTGTTCCCTCCTACGCCTTAAGAAATCTCAATAGGGTCTGTTTAAATCAGAATTTATGATTCTTCAGCGAGGCAAAAGCTCAAAGTACAGACTGTGAAATGTTCTCATTGTATAAAAAGTGTTTCCCTAATGGACATTTCTCCCAGCTGTTCTTGTATGTACATCCCCAATGTCACATTTTGTTTGGAGACACGTTAGAGAGGAGAAGTAGTTGTGCACAATACTATTGGCATAGTATTGGTAGATAATTGCTTAAAGAGTAAATTGTCGCTCTCAGCATATATGACGTTACTTAACTTTGTAACAAACACGTTGTAAAAAGAAAAACTTCCCCTGTCCTGTGGGTGCCATGGGAGCTCTGAGCTAATCAGGAGGGCCCACTTGAGACTGACATCAGAAGGCCTGGATGCCACTTGCTAGACAGCCCATCTTTACAGAAAATATTAACATCTTTACAGCTTGGTCCAAAAATGGTTTGGGTCTGAAAATCTAGTTTCTTTATTCACACAGAGCATGTACGTCTGTTTTTTACTGTAACTACATAATTCAGCGGTTAGAAATATCTTTACAATTCCCCAGAGGCAATGTGTTTCAGTGCCACAAAGGCGTCACACAGAGAGTGGAAAAGAACAACATCCTGATTTGTTTAAAAAAGGCAACAGCAAATAAATAAATACAAATTAACACATCATCAAGTCTTCCAACAGGAAATGGATCATTTAGCAATGATTTATACCGTTACCGTGTGCATGTGCCAACAGTGCTATTTTTGTACACTAAGTCATTCATACTCGCCTCACCCAAAGATTTACAAGCTTGTCCAAATCACAGCAGGCCACAAATGTAGACACCATGTTATATAAACTTGAATGTCCTCACTCATGGTGTTAGATCCTCTGACCACGCCCTTTCTTTGTCTCATCATCCAGGCTCTTAACATGAGGTGACTGCTCTATAGAGCACTTGTATTTAAGAACGGCTGTCAAAAGAGATGAAGTTGTAAAATCAATTTTATCTGTTAAGCCTTTTAAAACATTTCTATGAACAGGATTTTATGTCAGTTCTCTTTTTGAGTATCTTTTGTCCTGAGATAGATAAATAGATAGATAGATAGATAGATAGATAGATAGACAGACAGACAGACAGACAGACAGACAGACAGACAGACAGACAGACAGACCTTTATTGTCCCCGGGGGGAAATTCATTTTCACTGACACTGGCATGGGCACATAGACTTAAGGACAACAAGGCACATGGGACATCACAATACTAACAATAAGGACAGGGCACACAGGACAACACATATGCAGATTAAGCATGGGATTATTTTAGGAAACTATTCAGGGCAGCGATCGTGGAAGGGACAAAGCTCTTGCTGAAATAATTTAACAAAGCCTGTTTTTCATCCCTAACTGTGGATGTGTTTTTGTCTGCACTTGTCTGACTTAGATACCGTAACACTGATGTAAGACAGGTGCAACAGGTTTTACAACCCCTGAATTCCTTTATTTGACTGATAGTTTGGTGTTTTTTTAATTGTCATACAGAAACACTTTGAGGAACATGTAGTTATTTTATTATCACTAGATTGGCCAAGACCTTTAATAATACGTAATTTTAAGTTGTGATATGATGTGACTGGTGAGTTATACAACAATTCAGCTCAGTACAGCTATCGCCATGAGGGATGGGCCACACATGCCTAAACTGTTTTTAAAATTGTCTATTAATTTCTGTGAAGTTGGGCGTGTTAATACAGGGCTCTGTTGGGATTAACTCATAACTTCCTGTTGTCACCTCGGGAACAGTCGCCTGGCAGTTTCGCCTATGTTCCATATGTCAGTCCAGCTGTTTCTGTTAATTTTCTGTGTCAGCACACTTACAGAAACCGAAACTAAAAGGGTGTCTGTTGAGCCTGGCATAACTGACCGCAAACTCAGAGGGGAAGTTTGTCACACCACAATCCTGTTTCCCCTAGTGAACGAAAAACAATGGTCGCGATGACGTGTGTGTTAGGGCTTAATACAATGCCCTGTTTTGAATTTTATGATCTTGTTTTTAGAGGAACTTAAACTTGTTATGGTACATGTGCAACCTGGAACACAGCAGTCCAATATCATAACAGTATTCAAGCTTCCAACTCTCAGCATGATTCATGAGCAGCTATAATATTAGATTATCAAAGCCCAAAAATTCACAACAAAGATAAAAATCTGAATAAACCTTTAAAAACTTCCAAACTGACGGGGAACCTTTTTGGGGGTTTCAATCAATAAATCAATAAATCTTAATTTACATGGCACCAATTCACAACAAATGTTATTCCAAGATGCTTAAAAAACAAGCCGGTCTATACCGTACTCTATTTACAAAGACCTAACATAAAGATGGGATAAGACTGAGCCCCATCTTGTAAGATCAGACTCACTCTGATTCATCTTCGTCTGCCATGAGTGCAACACTTAGTAACTTACGCTACAGAGGAAAAACTTCCTTTAAAAGACGGAAAGCTGAACCACACTCATGTTAGACAGTCATCTGCTGAGACTGCATCGGGTTAAGAGAGGGGATAGAGGGTGATGTAGAAAGAGAGGGGTGGACCAAGGTGAGACTGAAGCATGTAGCTGAAGAAGCTGGACGGCAAGATGGTCCACAGCAGCAAAACGTCTGCATCAAAGATCCATTGTAATAAAATGAAAATGACATGTTGGGTTCCTCCATTTTAGAAAAAGGGAAGCATTTGTTGGCCACATAGAGGAGGTGTTGAATCCGGGGGCTGCTGTAACACATTCAGTCTGGGAATTTGCCCTTTAAAGAAAGCACATGCTGGTTCTGGACATTGGCCAGTAATGGATAAAATTATACTTGTTTACAAGTTCGTCCAAGTCTGCAAGGATTCCCAGGGATCAAGGAAAACAACACATGGGATCAAGAACTATGACTCAAGTTTTGGGTCAAGGCCAACAGTGTCTGCTTTTTGTCTCCCTGAAGTGAAATAAGCATACCATCAGTCTTTGTCAAAAGCATCAGTTTCTCGTAAACTCAGTAACAAATAAGCACAACGTTATTGTGTATTGTGCCTGTAATGTCTGCATCAATGATCAATAAACAAAACCAGAATGGAGCTCAAAGAAGGAGCCACACAACTTGTGTATATACAAAGATTGATCCATCAAGCACTTACAGATGTGTTCAAGATTAATACACATAATGGAAGCACTTATTTTAATGTCTCTCTGACCCTCAGAGTGTCTTTTTTGTAGCACTTGAAAGTAAATCTGATGGGACATGATTGAAAGAAAGCAGACACAGAAAGGATGATACATCTATTGCCAAGATCGGAAAAAAGTTGGATCGGATTTGTTTCTACACTTCTTGTGATCAACTAAGAATCAGTCAGTATTGTTTGACTGGTTAGGCACCACTGTAGTATATGATGGGATTTTATTGGTGTCTGAAATTGGCATTTCATACATACTCATGAAACTATATTTGGTCACAAACTTGGCTTCAGACTCAGCTCTGATCTCAGGCCGGTTTTCTGTCTAAAGCAAAACAGGGAGAGAAAATTACTGGATGAAAATCTTAGAAGTTGTACACAGTTGCAGGTTTAATTCTGGTGAGTGATGAAAACTTTTTGGTTTTCTGAAATGAAAGGTTTTTTTGCATATCATTAGTTAGTATAAATTGTCTACAGTAAATACAAACAGAAAATATTTTTCTAGTGACCAAAATGTCTCCTGGGCACTTTCAAAAGGGACACATAGTGCCACAGATGTAATGCTTTTGTTATTGAGCGTGTGGAGAGATTATTGGAAAAAATGCACCGCACAAAGATGTACTCGGTTATAAAGTCTTCAACCTTGAGAGCAAAACTAAACTTTTCTGCCAAGGAGCACCACCACTTTATAACATGTGCATTGGCTTGATGCAAACTTCAGCATTAGAGTTACAGGGAGCAGAATTCTGTCAGAAGAGAAGTAGTATAAATGGAAAACAATAATCATAAATATGTTTGAGTTATGTTCAAAGGAGCAAGTCCCCCTCCACTGACGCAGCCATCTTGCACTGCCATGTTCCTACAATAGCAGAGAGTGGATTAAGTTGAATCATACATGTTTCTGTATTTTGTGAGTGGCTACGTGAAATACGAATGTTGGAAGACAAAAATGAGGAGTTGATGGGAATAAAAAAAAACTGAATTGACAGACATTTTTGATTGTGAAAATTTGGCAAATGGAGCGTCATACGTATTTCATACCAGCCCCTTGTACTTAAAGGCTACAGTTACTTAATTCACAGAAGGAGTGAACAAGGGAGTGTTTCAATCTACAATCAAACTAGCTAGATATTGTTCAAGATGCCCTTTTTACACCCTATTCTTCAAAACAAAAGTATTTAAAATCTTTAAAATTGGTGGCTGCTTCCCTGACTGAACCATTGGGGATGCTCAACAAAGAACATAGACTCAGGACAAACTGTGTTATAATTGGATAAATAAATAAATACATGAGCACATCACAAAAAAGCTGTTAAAACTGTCTAATTAACCTTTAAATCAATCTACAATCAGCCCAGAGAGAGCAGGTTCAATATTTTTCATGTGAGAAGACAATCCAACATTGTTCTTGACTGAAGTTTCTGTCTTCACTAAGATTCTGGGAACTTGCATTTTGTTTATTTCTATTGGTTATCAGTTAATCGATGAATTTTTCCCCATCTGTCTCGTATTAACGGAGCTCAGGGATAAATGAGCTGGAACTCGTGACTGTTCAGAATAATAAATATCTTCAGTTTATTTGAAAATAGATTAGATAAGACTAAAGGTTGCACAGTAGCTTTGTTTTTCTTTGTGGAGTCTGTTTTATGTGTGGATCAGTTTTCTGTAGACCTGGGTCTACTTGGTGTGGTCCTGTACCCAGTGACAGAGCCTGTGGCAGTAAGTCTGTGGACTGACGGTGGAGAAGGAGCGACCTGGATGTCTCAGCCTCTTCCACAGATGCTCCAGCCTCTTCTTAAAACTATAAACTGTGAAAATGTCAATGATGCCAATGAAATAGCGCTGCTCCGGCCCATCGATGACATGCAGAGGGTTCTTTAAGTTAGGAAGTAAACGGCGGTTTTGGGCCCTGAAGTCTTGAAGCTCAGCTGTGTCACTACTCAGCCCTGTGTGCTCAGAGCATGTTTGAAGTGTCCCACCACATGATGCGCTTTTTGGTTTCGGACCGCTATCATCTACTTCAGAAAAAAGTACGACAGACTCATCCGGGACTGCCCCTGGGACAGCGACAGTGCCTGAATGGACCGGACTGGAGCCTGGGTTCACTGACCTGTATCAGAGAGAGAAAGAGTGGGAAACAGATGTAACCCTCATTGAAATCAACTCGTGGTTTCTTTCTATTACTTGGGCACAGATCTACAGAGACTTCTGACATTTTCACAAGTTTAACTCTATCCTCCTACGCAGATCAAAGATTCCTGAGTGATGATAACAGCAGCATAGCACCAACACTGCCCCCACACACGCAACAAAGGGACACTGGAACGAAGAAACTTCTTCGCAAATACTTTTCAACTCTGTTTTGAAACTTTTTTGTTTTCTTTTGGAGGTTCTATTTAAAGAAAAAATGTCAAAAATGTAGATTGAAGAGTCACTGCCTCATAGCTTAACTCTACTGCTTTAGTGTCAAGGACCCCTCAGGGAATTGGGTGGTTCCAGCTGTGTCAATGTGTGTGTGTGTGTGTGTGTGTGTGTGTGTGTGTGTGTGTGTGTGTGTGTGTGTGTGTGTGTGTGTGTGTGTGTGTGTGTGTGTGTGTGTTAAATCTGTATGAATCACATCGGAATTTGGCTACTCCTAGAGAGATTTGAATCAGTGTCTCTAACTGCTTTTTTTATGCTACTGGATTTGAAAAAAATCCCTTGTGTTAGTCCACAGACCCTCTTTCTGTCTGAACAATAGACTGCATTTTGAATGGACATGACTATACAAATTTGAAACCAAAAGGCTCTCTGTATTTCTGGGATATTCTCCATTTTCTTGAAACTGGTATTTGCACAGTGGTGTTCAACGGCCAACAGCCTCTCCATCCACCACCTAACATCACCCACAATCAAACACCAGTGGAGGACACACACTAGGAAAAAGGTGGGTTAAGTGTCCTGCCCAAGCACACAACGGACAGACTTGGGATTGGGGGGGGGGGGGTCGTACCACCAACCTTCTAGTTGTACAGTGGCTACTGTTAGCTGGGAAAGACAAGGCTGAAATAATGAACTCATCAGCCACAACCATGGAGTGCTGAATCATTGTGACTCTTGTGAAATCAAAGGAATCTGTGGTCGATGGTGTCGAAAGCGGCCCCCCCTCCGGAACCCTCGGACTCCGCCCAACTCTCCATCCTTATCCTCCTTGACCTCTCCGCCGCTTTCAACCTCCTCACCTCCACAGTCACTGACTTAATATCTCCATTGACAACTCCACCCTCTCCCCATCCTCCCACTGTCGCAACCTTGGTATTCTCTTCGACAGCAAGCTCTCCTTCACCCAGCACGTAAAGCAAATCACCAAAACAGCCTACTACCTAGCCTAAAACATTGCCCGCCTCCGCCCCTCCCTCTCCTACGCTGCAGCTGAAACCCTCATACATACATTCATTTCATCCCGTCTAGATTATTGTAACAGTCTCCTCCATGGCACTCCCTCCACTCTCCACAATAAACTTCAGCTCATCCAGAACTCTGCCGCCCGCCTCCTCACCCATACACGCTCCCACCAACACATCACCCCTGTCCTCCAGAACCTTCACTGGCTCCCCATCCCCCATCACATTCAGTGCAAAATCCTCCTTCTCACCCACAAAGCACTCCACAACCTGGCCCCCTCCCCTACAAGATCTTCTCCACCCCTACATCCCCCCCGCACCCTCCACTCCGCCAATGCCAACCTCCTCATAGTTCCCCTGACCAAGAACCGAACCTGGGGGGACTGAGCCTTCTCAGTTGCCGCCCCCACCCTATGGAACTCACTCCCACTGGACCTCAGAAACTGAACTGACCTCAACAGATTCAAGACCCTTCTCAAAACCCACCTCTTTTTACATGATTTTACATGATTTTATTGATATTGATGTATATTTTATTGTATATTGATGTGTGTTTTATTGTATATTGATGTGTGTTTTATTGTTCTTGCTTTTACTCATGTACAGCGTCTTTGCGTTCTTGAAAAGCGCTTTACAAATAAAATGTATTATTATTATTTTTATTATTAAAAGATGTTTTTCTGCTATTAAATGCCTCATTCAGATGGCCTAGTTTTGACCTTTGGCCTCCCTTACCCTTTAACTGTTACCAGAAATTAAGCGAAACTTAAAGTGCAGTGTTGCACTTCATAAATGATTCACTCCATTTCTTACTGACTGGGTTTTTTTAGTAGTTGTATTTCAATTGGTCCAAATATATTAACTAAATAAATTTTTTTCTGCCTAATTTAAACAATATACCACAGTTATCTTCTCTGTGAAAGTCTTTTGTTCGAGTATAGCAGTTTTAGAGCCACATCCAAGCCACCATTGTAATCTAATGTAGAAAAAGCTGTGTCACCCCCCACCCCACCCCCAACTATTTTTTTTTTTCCGGTAAATGACAACCAGATTTTTAATTTTTGGCATCCTTTCCCATTATAGCACTGAAACAGCTCTGTTTAAGGCCCAGGTGCTTTATTGCGTCAAGCTAACTGTGGGCTGTAATTATATCTTAATGCTCCTCAACCCTGCTATTTAAAATAATGGACCTTTGTACTTTGATAAGACATATGCTGAACACTGTTGCAATTGTGACGCTTTCTGATGCATTTCCTTTTTGCCACACAAGACTATTTCAAGTAATCTTGTAAATGCCTCCCTCTCATGTGACCCACCTCATTATAAGGTCCCTCAGGGATGCAAAATCTGGGCAACCTGGGGCAAACTTTTGTACAAACAGAAGAGTTAAAATATTCCATTGATTTCTGCAGCTGAAAGACATCAATGTCGGGCATTACAACCACCCTCAGCAGCCATAGCTCTGCCAGTTAAAATAATCTCTCCACCAGTCTGAGAGCTTATCTGATAATAATGTCTAGACAGATGCCGTAACCATAATTCCAATGTAGTTGGATCGTTGTGTAAAACGTGAACAAAAACCGAGTACAATGACCATTCAGACTGTCTCTCTACATTCCTTCCCAACCCAGCAGCGACATGGTAGCTGTCTGGCATGAGTCGGGTCCTGCCTTGAGGTTTCTGCCTTGAGCAGGACCCGACTCATCCACTGTTACTCATGTTAGATGAGATGCATGCTACAGATAGGCCAAAATGTTGGTTCTTGATAATTCATCAAACAATGAGCGTGGTCTAGACCTGCTCTTGTTCTTTGAAAAGTGTCTTGGGATGACGACTGTTGTGAATTGGCGCTATATAAATAAAATTTGATTGATTGATTGATTGATGGTTATCAGGTCAAAGTTCAAAGCCAGCATATGTGATGGTATGGGGGTGTGTTAGTGCCCATGGCACGGGCTGCACGGCTCACTGTCACATCTGTGAAGGTTCCATTAATGCTGAAAGGTACGTACAGGTTTAGGGGGAAAAAAATCTTGCCATCCTAGCGATGTCTTTTTCAGGGATGTCCCTGTTTATGCTCTCAGGGATTGGTATGAATTTCACAGTAAGGGCAGCACATTTACAAAACAGGGAACAAAACACACACAGACACACACACACACACTGACTTTTTGGTTCTCATGATGAGAGTGGCGAAGGAGAGGCTCTGGTGGCGTTCGTCTTGGTGGAGAGGCTGATAGGCCAAGAGGAGACTATAGTCCAACACATGGAGCCTCCGCAGGAAGTGTGTGTCGATCTCTACCTGCCGCAGGAGCCAGGAGCGCTGCCGTTCTACACACACGCACACAAAAACACACACATAACTAATCAAACAGAAATACAGTACAATCAATAGATAAATGAAGGGTTGCATCCAGCCTGTTGGCCACTAGTTGAACAGGCCTGATGCTTTCAAAACAACTATTTATGGCATCATTAGATCAGACAGCTGAAGAGGGTCAAGGATACCGTATTTGTACTCATGGGAACTTTCTGTAAACAGCAGATGACTCAGTAATGTTTTCACACACAAAGGAACAAACAGTGCAGGAAATAAAACATGACTAACAAAGTGATGACAGTGTTAATAGGGTAACCCTGAGTAAAAGACCAGATGGAATAAAAGTTCAGTAAAAATGAGGTCAACTAAACAATTTTTACAATTTGTATCTACTGCATTGATGTTGATAAACTGTGTTTTATTAGCATGCTGGCTAAAGGAATGTTATTTACAAGACGACTGAATATTCTTGATCCTTTTCTGGAGAATATCTCACTTCTCTTTGTGGCTGGATAATCGCTGTAAAGTGCTGCTCTCTTACAGGAGGACTTTCCATGAAGCTAAAAGTTGTGTTTTATGCAATGTTTTGAATTAGCCAAAGAGGGACTGCAAACAGACCTAATTTAAAGAAAATTTAGTATATCTTAATTTATTGCAGGAGGAGTTGCTGCAATCCCTCTTGTTAGACTAACCAATCACCAATCATTTCCACTTGTCCATCACACTGGAGTCAGAGCTGTACAGAACCAAGAGAGCACATTTATTTCATTCTTGAATCTTTATGCCATTCATTTACACTGCAAACCAATAACTAATCTCAGATTTCTGATGCTCCTGAAGGACCATAACTCCAGAGCCAAGTTGTTGAAAAATAATCTGATTTGGTAGGATTATCAAAACAAAGTTCAAAATCTGTCAAGACTAGTTAAAGTTTGAATTACTGAAAACTTCTTTGTGGGGATGATAACTTTGATCCAAAAGACAGGACGAATTTGTTGTAGCGGTGTTGATATTACTGACATTTTTAAATTTTGCTTGTGTTGTTTGTGTAAGTGTCGTGACCGTGTGAATGAAGCACACATTGTGGATGTGGGGAAAAAAGCGTCAAGGAATCTAAAGAATCTCAAGCGTTAAAGAATCATTGTAACTTTCAGTTTGTAACGTTATTTGGCGCCCCCTGTGGGAAAGTTTGTAGCATGCAGCTTCATTCAGAGCTCTGGTAATCCTCATTTGGTCATGTTTTAAAGTGTGGGTTATTTTAATCCATTATGGTTTTCTTAGGTATGAAAAACCCAGAACACCGACGAGATGGATTCCCTGGTTTCGGATAAAAATATTCCCATTCTTAACTGTTCTTATGCATGGTAAATGTAGGCACCGGTATCATGGGGGGAAGGACGGTGGACTGACCTGTAACAGCTCCTGCTGTAATCCCTCTCCTTGAAATCTAATCCTGATTAATGTTCTGTAAGTGTCTCACTAGGGTGTGAACTGGGCCAGGTATATGGTAAAGTCATGTACGCATTTCACTCCTGTCACCTTAGTATTGTTATGTTAGTCTCACTAGATCAGGGGTGCTGTACTCTTGTTGTTTGACTTTGGTCGGTCAGAGTTGATGGCCTTGCTTTATGCTGTTCTTTTCACAGATTAGGGTGTATGTTGTTAAACAAAGTAATTCCTCTTTTGTTATATTCATTCATTGATTTCTTCAGCAAACTGAAAGACACTTGTGGTTTTGGTTCTTTGGTTGTTGTTTTTTTTTTTAAATCAAAGTAAATTGAGCGGATAGATCCAAATGTCAGCCATCTGGGAAAAATATTGTGCCTCTGATCTCTCTAAATGTGGTTACACATGATTCAACAGGGTCCACATGACTCTAACCATGAGCCACATTAGTAAAAGCTCCTCCAAGACAGCAAAAGCAAGAAAGAAGGAAAAATTTGGGAAATTATCAAGTAGGTTGCTAGTAGTTTCTTTCTTTCACATAAAAAAAAGGTGAGCAAAACTCAACCAATTTAACGAAAGTCAACACCTGTATTTTAGACTTCAGGTACAAGCTAGGATTCTATTGGATCACACCTTTCCTCATGAGGTAGCGGAACGTATTTGACATCAACAGATTTGCAAGGCCCTTAAGGACGTTAACTCCAATGTGGGGACTTATCTGCCCCCATAAAACCATTTTTTTGTCCTGTGTGATCAACAGTGAAGACCTGATCTATATCACCTCCTGATCTCCGACAGGAAGTCTGTTTCATTTTTCTTTCTGCCTTTTACATTATTGACGTTGACCAGTGAGATGGTGAAGTCCAGGAGGAATGGTGAAGTCGGGGCTACAAGATTGGACAATAAAACCGTAAAGTTTATGGAGCTCTATAAAACACACTCCTGCCCTTTTTAGATTGATGATGATTATAAAGGCAGACCACAACGGACTAAAAATGAGAGAAGAAGCAGACTGCATCAGCAAACCGATAGCTGTTCCCAGAAATTATCCAACGCCTCCAACATCATCAAGTTGCAATGATTACTCATGTCGTCTCTAGTGTATTCATTGATGCCAGTAAAACTGTCTTATGGAAAGTTTGGTGCTTGTTTTTTTAAAACCGTACCACCTGGATGTTGTGGTTTGAGACTGATTTATTTTCATGGCTGAAATTTTGGTTTCATCAGTATTTCATGAAACTGCTTGGTTTTAGTTTTTATTTTCTCATTAGGATACTTAGTCAGAGACAGGACTAATGTAAAGTATTTCCCACAGTCTCACAAAACAATATGAATCACGATAAGATATGTACCAGGATAAGTATCAAGATGCACAACTGTAAAAAGTAGTGAGTAACAGTGAGGACTAGTTTTTCAAGATCCTTCTACTTAATACAAGTGCTGTCAAGCAAATGAAAGAATTGTATCTAAATATTTACGGCTTTGTGATAAATATACACATATATATTGTGATATTAATATGTAGTCTTATTCAGTGTTTATTCCCAAGCACTATTTACCGGAATCATCTTGCCCCCCCAACCCGGCACACAGCCCTGGTCTCTGCAGGCCACCCCCCCTTCCAGTATATTTTCCGTCTCCCCACCCCCGTATATTTTCCGTCTCTCATTTGTCCGGGCAGAACTTTCTATTAGTCACAAAAGTTGAGTTGAATCACTGTCTGTCCCCGAATATTAACAGGATCATACTTTCATATTTGAAGAGCCGGTGAACAACAACAGCTGATAGAGCCAACTTCCTGATGATTTCACATTCACCCAAATTTTAGCCAAAGTCAAAACTTTTATCTCCTGGGCTGTTGGTTAGCTTCATTTATTTTAACTAAAATCTAAATCACATCTACACCTTCTTGTTTTTAAATGTACTCTGTTCTGTTTCTAGAGATGTATAGTTAAAAGTAAATGAATACTATTTGTCTTGTAGTTTCATTTTCTATTATGACATGCCGCTGTGCTTGATATTTGCTCTCCAAATGAAGATGCTATGTCTTATCTCAAAAACAATTTACTGGCTGTCCTGCAGGGGGCGCAGTAATATTTCATGTAAACAGCACATTGTGCTTCCTCACCCAGATTGATGAACTGGCCTTCAAAGTTCAGGTCTTTAAGGACGACGATAATCTGGCTGCCCTCTGGAGCCGGCTCAGTCCATCGGCTCACCTCACAGCCCTTAATGTCGTACCTGAGCATAAAAAACAAGAAACTATGTACAGAGACGGATTCTGTGCGGGAAACACTGAACTTACACCGCTCTGAGCTTTGGATGTAAAATGGAAAGCAAATCAAGCTTACCTGGCATTGATTCTATCATCTGGATAAAACACACTCTGCATCACAATGAAGTATTTCTGCAGAAGACCAATGGAAAGATGCTCTGTAATGCTGTTTAGGGTCCTACAATCATGCTTTCGAACTGTGATAAGATGTGGTTTGTACCTTCTTTTTGTAGGGGATTTTGATCCTGTGAACACCTGGAAAAAAGGGAGGAATCACTCAGTCTAGATCAACCAAAAATCTAAAAATCTTACTTCCTGTCACTTTACAGCAGATGTAGCAAAGATCAAACTTTTGTATTTCATTGGTGAACAACTTTGTATGGTAATCAAAAACTGGTTTCAAGTCGGAACCAGTTCCAACATGTTTGAGATTTGCCTTGGTGATAAATAGTTTCCTTATCGATGCCTTTCACTTCTTCACAATTTAAGTCGCTTTGAGAGACCGACAGCTATAAGGTGATGAACTGTGTGTGTTTCTGCAAAATCCAGGAACATTTCTATCTCACAGAATGATCAGTGTGTTTACACTAAGAGTAAGTATTTAGTCCCACAAAATGAAAGTAATAGGTGATGGTTTAAGTATTCATTTCAGTGGTATGAGCTGCCTGATGTATACCATGATTCTCTGCTCTCTAATATAAATGCAATGACTGATAGTTAAACGGCTGAGTACTACAGTGTTAAATCAAAAGTGTGATTTTTGTTGTTAGCTGACAGACTACTGCCTCATTTTTCTGCCTGTCCATCAATCAGAGGCTGTATTTATGATCAGCTAACCTTTAAAACCCGATCAACACCTGCACACAGAAAAATACACAGGAAATGACGCGGGTATCGATAAAAAATTGGATGTATATTCAATGATGGCACTGGTACCAATTCAACATCAGATTCTTTTTTCTCCTTTTCTTTGAATGTTTTGGCCAAAAACTGTTTGTCTCTGTGTGGAAGTGTGTGCTGAATGCATGTCTATGTAATGTATGTGTACCGAGGAATTTGACCAGCAGTGAATGGGGGTACTTCCTCAGGTGTTCCATGTAGATCTTCAGATTGGCCAGAAGGAACTTGATTTCCCTTTGGTTCTGGGTCTTCAAAAAGAAGCGCTTGTCATTTCTAGAAGTCCAAAAGCAGAGCGAGGCAAAAATTACAATGAAGTCTTTGATGCACATTTTAGTTTTGTAATAAAACAGAAGGGAAAGGAGTTTGTGTGGGTGTCTCACGTCAGGAAGAAGTCGGCCTTGCTTTTTGAGTTGCTTATAAACTGGAGGTAACAGTTTTCAGAGCAGAGCGACTGCTGATACTCCTGCTCCGTCATTCCTAAAGAGCTACGAAGGCTGGCAAACACCGGGCCTGCAAACGTCTCCATGGTGAAATCCTGCTCACACACACACACACGCAAAAACACTCATTAATCTGATGGAAGTGATCAGCACATATTAAAAGGTGTAGATTTTTGTTACACCTCCACCTTACCTTATGAATCTGAGTCACCTGTGACCTGAAGTCGTCGTCAGTCAGTTCAGTCTGCAAAAAAATCAACAGAAAACATGTCACTGATTTTAACTAAGCTTTACAAAGTCTCACTACCTGTTATGCAGTTAAGAGTGGAGTGATGGAGTGACCATGTGCTCTGATCAAAAGTGAAGCAAAATGATCTCTGAGATATATCTGCAATGTGAACACTTCTCTCAGTCTCAGATTCACTGTTAAGAGTAATGCCATAACTGAGTCTTCTATGATGGTCACTGTGTTAGATAAGATCAGCACAGAGACTACAGCATGGTGTCCAACCGGTCATCCTCAATAAGGTGATGCAGGGTGGTCGCAGGGTCTATGCAGCCAAATTTAAAGCCAATAAAAAAGGATTAAAAAGTATTGATCACCAGCTTACCAAGAATTCATTTATGCATTTAATGCCAATGGAAAAAAAAGTTTGTACACTAAAAGTTTTAATTCATATAATTCCTTTTGTTTTTTAATTTTGAGTTTGTGTGTTTAGTGGTCTTTGATCTGCACAGGGTAAAAATACTGATAATTCTGAGGACATCTATGAAATATTTTGCACACCAATGGATGTTCTGCTGATCCACCAAATGTTTGCTAAAACTCCACGTTCGAGACACCATAAAAGTCACAGCGTAACTGTATTTAATTGAGTTTTTATAGCATTGAGACCGTCCACCCATTATCTTCCACTTCACAGGGGCAGAAGTCTAATCCAGTCTACCCAAACTGCTGTCACTTCAGAGGCACTTTCAGCTCTTCTCTGAAGGCATTTCCTGGCCAGGTGGGATATGCAATCCCTCCAGCAAGCTTTGGGCCTACCTAAGGTCTCCTCCTGGTCAACTGGACGTGCCTAAAGCACCTCCAAAGGGAGGTGTCCAGGAGGCATCTTTATAAAATGCACAAACAACCTCAGCTGACACCTTTTGATGTAAAGAAGCAGTGGCTCCGCCCCAGGCTCCCTCCAGATGTCTGAGCCTCCAACCCTTTGTCTAAGGCTGAGCTCAAACACCCTTTGAAGGAAATTTGCTCCGTGATCTCATTCTTCGATTACAGCTCAGAGCTCACAGTGATAGGTGACGGTTGGACAATGATCGACTGAAAGCTTTTCCTTATGGCTCAGCTTTCTCTTCACCATGACGGCCTGGTGCAACTCTTGTAGTACGGCTAACGCTGCACCAATCCACCTGACGCTGCACCTGTCAATCTCTTGATCCATTTTGCCCTCACTTTTGAACAGGACCCTAAGACACTTGAACTCCCTCAGTTGGGGCAAAGACTCACTCCCCACCCAGAGAGAGATGCAGCAATTTACGGCTTGATGCAAGACTCTGCTTTTGAAGACTTTTAAGTCTTAACAATAATGAACTTCTGAACTCTGGGATTTCCTGCATACACCCTGTGATGACACTGGAAGAAAAACAAGGGCTGGACTAGGGGAAACTAGAAAATGAAGATCGAAAAGAAAAGAGAAAGAGAAACGAAAAGAAGAAATGAAAATGTAAAATGGAAACCAAACTAAGACACCCAGAAAAAAGAGTGTGTAAACAAACCACTTTGGCTAATGTCATCAAAAACCACTTACATTGAGTCTAAGGTAATCATTTATATAGAGTGGATAAACATAGAGATTTTAAAGCTCTGTGATGGTGCATATGGAGGGTGTGAGTGTGTGTGTGCTCGTGGGTGTTTGTGATTTTGAGACTCTGCAGTTAAACACAACAGACAGGACTGTCGGGCCGATGCCTGCTGAGTCAGCATTTGTTGTTTGGCTGGGATTAGACTGCAGCAGTAGCTCTGTTTGTGTGTGTGTGTGTGTGTGTGTGTGTGTGTGTGTGTGTGTGTGTGTGTGTGTGAGAGAGAGAGAGAGAGAGCGAGGGTGGACATGACTTCATTCACTGCATAGTTTTGTCATAGTTTTCTAGGTTAAGGTCTTGTTCAGGATGGGATTCCTCTCTCAGCTGTGTGTTTGTGTGTTTTAAAAAGCTTCTCTTATTTTGAAGTATTTTAGAAATCAGTGTGTGACTTTTACAGATCAACTCCATGGGGGAAAAAAAACTCAAGCTTTAAGAGAAACGGTTGAGCGTTTGAGACTGATTCTGAAAAAATTAAAGCCTAAGTTATTTATAGGAACAAAAGTTACACAACTTTTGGCGGCCTGGGGCCTGACTAAAATGAATAGAGTATGTTTAATAAGGGCCAACTATGGCTGATTTCCACTCAAAGTATCACAACTATTTCCAGCTAGGAGCCATAATACAGACTATAATGACTGCAGCATATTCAAGGAGGCCAACTACGGCTGAATTCCACTCAAAGTTATTTTTTTAATTCTAACAGGCTCATATTGTTAATTCAAGTGTCTGAAAACATCACACCAATGCAGAGAGGTTTCTGCCCGAAGCGTTCAGCCCAGGTTTAAATCCAGCCTGTCCTGTGACTGCACACTCTTTCTACCTAAAAACACTACTGCATGTGTATCAAAGTGAACAACAATCAAGGCCACATCTGGGAGGCTTAATGACCCTCTACGAGACCGTCATCTCTAGCAACAACATCCCTGCCTTTATGGGGTTTTTTTTAAGAGACAACGTTGGTAGACAGAAGGAAGAGAATCAGCTGACACGTTTGAGTAACTGTCGTTAACATTTCCAGGTGTCGTCTGGCTCCACTTCCTTCCAACGCCCTCACATCAGTTGGGAATAATTGGTCAGCACCACCGTGTTTAGTCTGTGCTGTCAATTGGTGGAGTTACTGTGAATTTCAGGTTCTGTGATCACCAACTGTGACCGAGCAACCATCAACCACAGCATTACTGCCAAGGGACAGACAGGATATGTGTGCAGTCATCCCTCTTTGGTAATGATGTCTGCGCTGTTTCCAGTGGTGGACGAAGTACTTAGTCAACATATGGATCCTCTTGTTCAAATATTCAAACGGTGAGATTATTTCTTGAGTTAGTAATGATTGGAAAAATCTTAAGATGTTGTATTTTCATGGTGCAAAAGTGCAGTCGCGAGTGTAAATTTTGCAACGTTCTGTTTATTTAGAAATCATCATGTATACTTTTTATAGTTGCATGCTAAAGATTTCCAGATTTCTTCTGGAATAACAGAAACAATAACATGTACAACCAAAAATACCAGATGGCAAGGAAATCAGCACTTAAATCACTTCAAGGACTGCCAGCTTGGTTTCAACTGTTCATCTGAGATCAAGCTGATGTTTAGCCTCATACCTTAAAATGCTTTCTCAGATTAGGCGGTAAATTCTTGTAGACTGTAATGAAGCTTGTGTGCGGGGAATGCGGAAAACATTTAAAGCTATATGAATCATTCTGTACTTTAAAAACCTTAAACATGGGTGGGCTGAAGATATGGCAATGGATGCTAAGGGGGGGGTTCATCCACCTGACTCCTCCTAGGTCCAGAGCATAGACTGTATAAACAATGGACAGAGTCTGCCTCCTCGCTGGGTGAAGCCACTCCGAGAACAGCACCCTCTGTTGACTGGCTGCAGTATAGGTCATAAATCCCGCCTCCACCAGCAAAGCTTATAGGGCTGTGGACCAACTTAAGAAATTTATTACACAGAACATAAATTTTTCTCCCCCCTGCTTGTGATGTTGACATGTAGTTATTGTAAAACTGGTTTGTGCTCAAGTCCTCTTTTATTCTGTGAAGCTCCGTTTTTAAAAGTTATTAGGGGGTTCATGTTTTCAATGATTGACACCTGGTACAGCCTATGGGCATTCAGGGATTGTGTAGCTCTCCTGGGGGGAAACGCTGTTTGAGCCAAGCGTCATTACAGTGACTCTCGGCGACTGCACGGCCGAATGCGCGCATCGCTACTGCGCAGCGCTGGTTTCAGGAAATGAAAAAAAATCCTGGAAATACCTAGAGCTATTTGGCTTTAAATCCATTTACAGGCGGTATTTTGTTAGTGTCCACCTTTGGCTGTCTCTGCTTAAAAGTCCTCTTCCTATCTTACACACATCCTATCTGAAATGTTGTCATACACTTCAAGGAACAATCTGTGCCCATCAGTGACTTCGTTCATGGAAATCTTTGACCCGGGTAGATGTGTTTCCTCTGCTGATCATACTCACAGTGGGTGCGTTGTCTATGCTGCTCTGTGTGGCTGCAGACAGTCCATCCTTCATCATGCAGGTCAGGCTGTAAAACTCGTGCTGTGAATCAATCTCAAATAATCCTAGAAGCTTCCACTGCTGCCTCAGACCCCTCCATCTCCTCCTCTTGGGCTGATGGTGCACCGAAGTCTCCATCTGTGACACAGTAAAAGACAAAAACCTAAGACCATGTGTCTGCTGCCCTGTCCGGTGACTCTGATCTGATGAGTTTTTAAAGCTGCAGCAGAAAGAAAGCAGAGAGAGAGAGAGGCCACTGAGGCCAAACACAAAGACAGCTGACTGTCAGTGGAGTCTTTAACAGAGTAACCGTGGAAACCAACACAAAGGGAGTACAGCTTCATTGACCAGACTCAGTTAAAGGAACAGTTCAGTGTTTTTACAGTGAGGTTGTAATGGGACACTTGAAAGTAACAAGTGAATTTCATAATAGAAGATTATCTTAATGAGTCCACAATTACAAGTCAATTATGAGAGAGTAAAGGTCAATTTAATCACTTGGAACATATAACAAGTCATATTTGGAGGCTCTCTGCCCTTTCATTGCGTACGTGGAATGCCAAAACCTGAACAGGGAGAGCACACCTCTTCTGTGTTTCATGTGCATAGGGGACAGTGGGGTAAGTTGAGTCAAAGGATAAGTTGAGCCCCATCCCCTTTTGTTTGGAAATGGTAAAAGAAATTGATAATGTGACCAAATATTTAGGAGATGAGCATTAATTCATGGAGTCTGTGAAGATTTGAAGGACATGGGTGAAAGGGTAAGATATTTATTTCCAACATTTTTCACTCTTGAAAGTGAATTTAGTCTGTCATCAGTTTTATTAGAATTGTGCTCGGACCAAGAAAGATCATTTTAAATTTGTTTTAAACATCAATTGTGATATCTATGAGCTACAATATGAGGTCAAAAACCTAGCTTAAAAGTCCACCATTTTAGCTTAAAGGACTAATAAAGTCATAATAGTAGTTCAGGGGTAAGTTGAGCCAGTAGCTCAAGTGAGAAAGTAAATCTGTCTCATGAGAGGATCAGAGTTTCAGTTCAGATTGTTGAAATGTTTTTTCAAAAATATAGCTGTGAATGTTCTGAATCTCTTAAAAGCATTCTCGTGTTAAAATGACTTTTTACAAAACAGACTTTTTGCAATAATAATAAAAATAATTATTGTACCAGTTGAATAGCGTATAATAGATAAAAAAAACACATGAATGTGAAGAAGTGACTGTTATTTAGGGAGAGAGAAGGTGAGGGAGGGCTGGGGTGGAGAGTGGGGGGGTGTAGTAGGGATACGGCTCAACTTATCCCACTCCTATGGTCAACTTACCCCAGACACAGTGTAAGTTGACCATAGGAGACCACTTTTTTGGCATGCTTTTTTTTTTATCAAGACAGTCATGTTTACACTCATTCTGTTGGTTTACAGGGATACACAACATCTTGAAATATATACAGATACACTAGTTAGAAACAAAACTATGATTGCCTTGATGTAGTGATCCGACATATGAAAAATGGCTCATCTTACCCCAGTCTCCCCTATATGAAAAGCCAAGATAGGCAGAGCAGCAGCAAAGACAGATGGCAGACATCCACATCACACTGGTAGAATCAAATGTTAATTTTTCATGATGTGCAGAGCGCCATTTATCAACAAAGAATGTGGATTAAAAAAAACTTAACACCACATTGGGCTTGTTAAAGAAACAACTTCTGTTGAGTTCACTAGGGATGTGAATGTAAAAATCTGGGCAAGCGAATTGCTTATTAAGTCACTGTGAATAAGCATAAAGAACAGAACAACAGCTGTTCTGTGCAAATCCACCATGTTCAGAGCTCCCCCTACTGGCTGGCTGCAGTATAGATTACATAGCCTATGCCTGTCTGGAGAAGGATGATACATGGGTTGATAAAAAAAAACAAAAAACACATCAAATAGCCCAGAAGCAAGTCTCATCAACACCATCCTTTCCTTTCAGAGGTTCAGGTTAGAAGGCTTTCAGCAGTGGTAGCAGACTATTGGTACCTGGTTCCACAGGGATCAAATCTATTAGACCAAAACCTGTTTTTGAACCAGGCGGTAAACCTGCTTCATTCCTCAGTACTGGGGGGTTGCTGCTTATTCTTTTTAATGGCAATTTGAGTTGAGTTTAAATTAGTTATTTGATGTCAAATACTGTAGATGTTTGACTGACAGCTCCTGGGCTGCACCAGCTCATTATGTCAGTGCTCTTTGAGGTGCTTTTGCTTCTGAATGAGCAAATATAAGGAATGTTGTTCATTCTGCTCACAGACCAAACCCTCGGTACTTCTTTTTCTGAAATTTGGCCCTTTAGGATGGAAATGACACAAGGTTGAAGGTTGGACTTCCAACTACAGGTCTTCCCCCTCTCTCTTTTCCCCACACTTCCTGCCTCTTTTCAGCTGTCCTATGAAAGCAGGTAAAAAAAGGTCATCAAACGGGAAGTAGTTTAGCCTCAAAAAAGTGTCAAAGGTGTTGTTCTTGCTGCAATCAGGTTTTAAAATGGATCTCCATTCACAAAAAAATATTACAATATCTGCCTTCTGCTCCAGATATGATCGACAGCTTTAAACGTTTTTTACGCTCCGGGCAATTTAGGTTAGTCAGTGCATAACAAGCTGTAAATGGAGTTCAGTTTGACCCCATAAAAACATCAATATCCCTTTGGGTGGACCCTGGGAGAAATGATTTCTCGCAGCATGTTGTTTTTCTCTGAACCTCAGTTGTTTGTTTCAAAGGGTCCATAAAGGAGCAGAATTAGTATTAAAACTGTTGACTTTTACTCTACTTTCATTTATAGACAATGAAAAAACTTAAACCATTATGAAAATACTATATACTGTCTTCTACACCTTCCATTGTGCATGCACAGATACTGTGATCTGATTCTATTAGAAACCAGCAGTCACCTTTGGCGTCAATCTACAATCAAATTTTCCCGTTCAGTGTTGGGGGTTATTTTTGTCTAATTGTTCATTAACAGGCTGTCTGAGGATTTTGCATTTTCTGTTTGTAACATCACAAATCCTGGTAGTTGGGTTAAATGACAGTGCCTCCCTCTATTGTTGACCACTCCTCAACATGGACCTCTTAGAAGTTATCAGATAGGCTCTTGTTCAGTTTCGTAGCAACAAGCAGGCTGCAGAGCTCCTTTAAAGCTCTCCTCTGTGTTACTGCCACGCTCTCGGATCCACTTTCCATTCATCCGCAAAACAAAAGCTTCCTGTCTGATCACGGCCAAGTGTGACCTTGTTTGATGGTCCGCTCAAGCTGCAGAGGTCTGGACGTTTTTTTAAGAGAGAGGGTCAGACGAACAGCAGTGGGGATCAGTGCCAATCTGAACACCAAGATTTAATCTGGAAAATTAAAAAAGAAAAAGACTGAGCAAACTGTACAGAGTTATCATGCTGACAAGTCTAATGAAGAAAATTAAGATAAACTGATGTTACTTTATATATATTCAAATAGGTACATAAGAGTAAAAGGGTGGAAAAACTGAGGCAAAGAGTTCAAGTGCCAAAACTGCAGTTCTTCACTTGTCCACTGGAGGCTGCAACTTGTGGTGAGTCACATTGTAACACCAAGTTAGACACCCCGTTGAAAGATGAATGTTGCTGACCGTTTGCTTCTCTACTTATACCAACTTTAGCAATGACCGCGCAATACACAGCGGTCTGAGTGGTGATGGTGGTGGTGGGGGGGTGTTGACAGCATAATTTCTAAAATCATACACTGAGGGAGCAATGTAGCTGTGCTTATGAAGATTGTTGGATTTGTACTGGAGGTGATAATGGGATCATTTGGGGAAACTGCAGCAGGTGGTGATGAACCTGCAGAGTCATCACTTGACTCTGCAGTTTCCTTCAGTACTCTGTGAGCTCAGATCCAGCCCTGCCTGAGATGCAGTATCACACATCCACAGCTGAGTTTGCAGGATTATAGCAGCAGGATGCCAAGAGGGGGAAAAACTGAAGCACAACGTCACGTATTTGAAAAGAGGAGGTTTATTTCCTCAACGTGACATGAATCTTTGTTTTAGACCAAAATTAGCCCCTCTCTGGTAAGATAAATTAGAGAGATGCAGTTTAGATGAGTCAGTACATAGATCGATAGGATCATACAAAACAACTGAGATGATTCAATAAAGCCAACAAAGAAGACATGTTAGTAATGCATCATAATATCCATTTTGCTGAAGTGTTATGTGGTGTCTGTACAAATCTAAAAGCCTCACTGAAAAACATGTTTTGTACCGTGTATACAAATATCTGTAGAAATATAAGAAACTATTTGTATCTTTGACAAAAAAATGTAAATATTTCACTTTGTTGATGTAAAGAATCAAGAATACATGAAAGTTTCTCTTTTTCTGAATTAAATTATGGTAAAAAATGAACTTTTTTTTACTGCACCTCTATTGATATTCTCATCAGGAAGCAGTTATCAGGTCAAATGTAAAAAATCCATATAGTGTGTCCAGTTTATGGACTGTTTAAGTCAATAAAAGTGACATCTTTTTCTCTGACAGTTTTTTCTACTTTATAGAACAAGTGAGTCTGAGGATGCTTCCTGAAGTCTTTTTCCTGCGTTCTGGCTCCTCGTCACATGTAAAAAGAGTTTTACATCATTAAAAAAGTGAGGGATTAGAGCCCACATTAACCAGAAAATTAAAGCTCATGGATGAAACTGGTTCCAGACAAAAATATTTTTCAAAGCAAACTGGCTGTAGTGGCATTACGCTTCCAGAGAAAACCACTGCTGAGTGGGTCTAATACACACAGTCCAGACAAAACAAAACTGCGGAACCAGCGTCATTTCTGAGGTTCATTACCAAGAAAAATAAAGGAATTATACGTGCCACTCAACAGATTAAAGTAAATGAAAGGAAACTATATTTCAGCGTGTCTGCTCTTTGCAGTCAACAAACTTTTCCGCTCCCACTCTCAGTCATTCGGCCTGGTGTCACCAATCACATTAAATCACCTGCAGTAGGCAATGACTCAGGTACATAGGGATGGGCAGCAGGTGAAAATGACTTGATCAATTTAGTCTTATTACCTTCTACAAATTACTTCAAATTAAATGCAGACTAAAAATGTTAACAATTAGGGAGGCAAGAAGATTAATACAAGCTATTTACTCTCTCACTCCTTCAGAGTCTGCAATTGTGTTTTTGGAAGTAATGCCTCCAAATGTTGTAGGCCTTTATGTAGGTCTATATATTCATATGTCGTTTGTCTGCATTTATATTCAGAAACTATCTCAGGCAGCGTCTTTTGGATGAAACCAACAGCAAGGAGAGGGGTGAATATTTTTATGTGGTGTGAAATAAAGCACAAGAACAATACTTGTGTTGACTTGTAATACTGATGGATGATATAAGAATACCATAAAAGTCAGGGGGAAGCATCAATAAAAACTTTGTCAAATTTTGAGCTGAAGAAGTTCTCACAAATTCAACAACAATCAAAGCTGCAAAGATCCAACCCTGCTGCTGCAGCTTCAGACCGGTAAAATAACTGTTTAGAGACAGTCGGTAAAGAGGCATGGATGTTAAATTCAGTCTGTTTCATTAGCTGCTGTATACTCTTCACAGGAGCTTTAAGAGGAATTTATCTCATCAGGAAACTACAGAGTACATTTTTGCTTTAAATCATCACATAGACTTAACATATCAATGCTAATATACAGGAGCTCATTGCATAGAACTATTAAGTTTCTTGATGTGTTTAAAGCCCATGTTTCACACTTTTATCAGAATTTGATGCTAAAAATGTTTGACAAGTCATGACACATAAATATCTTAAAAGAAAATAACCTACTGTAGACTGATTCAGGCGAGCTCTCCTGCTTCTGCTCTTGATAAAAATGTATTATAAAATAAAAAGGTCCCCTACACCGTTATACAATAACGTTAATGAGACAAACTTTGGACTCTGTGAAACAGAAGCAGGTTTCAAGAGAATGCATGATGCAGCAATACTGCAATGAGAAAAACAACAGAAAAACACATCCCTGGAATCCAGTTAATGTCTCATAAAACCGTCATCAGTAATTTACTTGCCTTGCGTGTCTCGTGGGTGCAGTCACCGGGTTCCGTCTGTCCGTGTATGTCTCCGTGCGTCTGCGTGCGCAACTGTGCGTGACCGTGCATCACATGTCATCCTGCAGACCAAACTTAAATGACATCGAGTGGAGTCTGCGGTCAGTCGATGAGTTACACCCTCTTACACTGGTTCTCTACGAGAGCGGAGACAGATGCAGCTCAGCCCCAAGACCATGTTAGCTGGAAAAAACAGTCATCAGTTCAGAGGAATGGTAGATATAAATTAGAAACTCGTAATACGTGGAAATACGTGCAGTTTTCATTTCTCCAACACTTTGATCAATTATGTCCACAAACAAAAGGCCAAATCAGAACGTCAATGTGTGAGTATTCTCAGAGGAAACCTTTCTGACTCATCTTCAGGCTTCTCTCTGTCAGTCATGCTTCATCTCCTGCTTTCCAGGAACAGTGAAGGAACTATGTAACAGTGGTTATTCTTCCAAGTACAGAAAAGTTCAGGAGGATTACTAATATATTAAAAAAAAAAAAAAAAATGCATGACTCTAAAAAAGAGTGCATAAAAAGTGGTTTGATAGTTTTTTGAAGGTTTCTTATTTATTCTCATATGACTTTCCTCTTTAATCTAAGAGATTAATTTTTTTCCTTTAGCAAATATTATTCCCAAAAAGTGGCCCACTATTAAAGCCAAGATTAACTCTAGAAATCAGCATCCCACTGAGCAATAGACGGCTATTAGATGTCTATTTTTTTTTTTTAGACCTAATTTCAACTGGCTAGATTCTGTATATTTTTAGACGAAATTTAGACGGTTGCTTTAACCCATAATTCGATAACTATTTATCTCAAAAAGCAACTGTAAGTTAACTGACCTCCAAGTACTGAACCAAAATAATTATGATAGTCGTTGAGCAAAATACAGTGTGGTATAGATATAGCCCAGATTGTTAGACCTGTAGTAGCCTGATTTTAGACCAGCTGTCTTGGCTGCTCAGAGGGATGTTGGAACAGACCGTTAAAAGGAGAACAGAATAGGACCCAGCATTGAGCCCTGGGGCACACCATCATTTATTGAGCCAAGCACAAGAACCTATTGAAGTTGTTCTTTTTAGTTTTGCAGTTGGTCCGGATGGAGAGAGCAAACCTAAGATGATTTAAACATGACTTGTAAATGTATCTGTGTGAGAGTTGTTCCTTTCTTTGAGCAAGCCAGCATCAATCTTAGCAAACAACTTGTCTAAACTACGAAAAGGGGAAAAGCATGGGACCTAAAAGTAAGCCCTGTGGATTGTCATAGTCAGATGAGTATGATCTAATACTTCAACCTCAGTAGGAAGTGGAATACATCAGGACGATAACAAAAATAGTCAAACAGCCCTTCCAAAGTCTTGAAAGCTAGAGAAATCAACAGACCAGCACTTCAGTAAACAAACATTTTCCAGATCAAGTTTTAACTTCTCATTAAGACAGAATCAGAGGAGGCAGAGTTTAACTGCCGGGCATAAGACAAATGCTATTGGAGGAAGATTTTTTTTTCCCTTTATATTCTAAGAATAAGGTCCAAAAGTTTAGAATTGGTCCATAATATGAGACCTGACTCCAACAAGTCTGCCAAACCAATATATTTGTTAAAGATTTGTTTTCCTTAAACAAGCAAATCCCTTTTTAAGCAATTTGCTCGTCACACATTATTTCACATTATTTTCACATTATAGCTCTCAGTTTCTCAGGAGGAATGTATGACTGTAGCCAGTAACCAGTTACACCCAGAGATACAGCCGTGAATACGCCTGTCTTCTCAGTGACAGAATTTAAAAGCCACCCTTGGTACACGTCATGAGCAGGTCAAAGTTTTGCCAGCAGGAGAGCACTGATCACGAGAAAACAATCATCCCCTCAGTCAGTTTCTGCATGCACTCAAAACTGTTTTCTTCTCTCTCAGGCTGCAATCTTTCACTTGAAAGCAGAGAAATGTCGCACAGAAATGCTGTGCTTCATGACAGTGTTAATAATTGTGACATTGATGCATGTAGTTGAAGCAGCTGAAGAGCAGGCAGGTCTACAGCAGCAAAACATCTCCAGCAGCGATCCTGAGAAACCTGATGGAGCTCAGGGACTCCTAGAAAAGACTGTGTTAGAGACTCTAATGGGACATGATGATTCTAAGTTAATGACTCAGACAGAAAGATCTTGGAAAAAAAGATATTACTTAGAGTAAGCATATATAAGGTGAAAAGGATTGCTCCTAGCACTGGACCCTGTGGAACACCATAACTGATCTTAGTATGCACTGAAGAATTTTCTGTGCAAAGAAACAATACGTGTTTGGCTGTTCGATTTGTGTGTGCAGCGACTCTTCGTCTTTGCATACTAAGTTAATTTGTTCTTGCCAGTTTTGGCATGATAACGCTGCTAATCTAGATATATCACACAATACATCACACAAAACAAGGACCAACAGACTCAGGGATAGCTTCCTTCTGAGAGCTATCACTGCAGTCAACAACAACAAGTCCAGTTGAACCTGTCCCCCTCAACCAACATATATACTGATCACATTGATCATAGTGCAATAAATTTATAATTTAATCGTGCAATAACACTGGGCTTCACTTGTGCAATTATCGGGTTTCATATCATTCATTCCTGTTTGTTTGTATTTTATAATATATATATATATATATATATATATATATATATATATACAGTGTTGGAAAAAAGTTTGGAATATTTTCTTCAGTGTTTCGTGTAACGTGAATGATCCTCCAACAAACGTGGCTGAACTGACTCAGGCTGTGATCCAATGCTGGCGAGAAATCCCGGTTGAAACTCTTACCAACCTAGTGACCAGCATGCCCAGACGTGTACGCGCATTGTACAATGCTAGAGGCGGTCACACAAAGTACTGACTGTATTGTTGTTATCGTCTTGTTATGTTTGATGTTGCTTTCAAAGATGGTCCACGTATTTTGTGGCAATTTAAAATTACAGCAGTTTATTTATTAAATACCGACTCATGATTTTATGCGTTATTTCTATGGCTTTTTGTGAATCATGAGGTGTCCGCCCTACAATTTTTTGAGAAACAAAACAGTTTGATGTGAATTTCAAAAACATATCACAGAGACCAGGGAACATTAAAAAGTCTTTGAATAATTCTCCAGAAAGCAGCAGACTGCGTTAAACACGAGGCTGGGGTTGAATTGACAAATATTCCAAACTTTTTACCAACACTGTATATATATATATATATATATATATATATATTACTGCCTTTTTACTTTTCTTTCTTCTTATTCTTACCTTATCCTTGTGTTTTAAATGGCTTTCATTTTAGTATTTATTTATTACTTTTGCTATTCACCAAAGGGAGTGGCGCTCAAATTTCGTTGTACTGTGTACAATGACAGTAAAGGCGATTCTGATTCTTATCAGTTCTGTAGTACGCAGTTTCATGTTCCAGCAAATTTAGTCAGAACAGCACACAGACAGAAAGCATGATGTTATATTGCTATAGGAAATTTGCTTTATTGATACTATTTTTGCACATTTCCTACTTTTTCATTGCTTGTTCTTTTGAAGTAACGTCTTTCTGCCAGTGTAGGACATTTTTCTGCCTTATCAATAGTCTGATGTTTTTCAAAAGTAGGCGGCAGAAGCTCAGGAGGTAGAGCGGTCGTCCAACTACTGGAAGGTTGGCGGTTCAATTCTTCCCTATCCTTAGTCTGTCTGTTGTGTCCTTGGACACTTGACCTACCTTGCTTCCAGTGTGTGTCCTCCACTGGTGTATGATTTGTACATCGCTTTGGATAAAAGCATCTGCTAAATATTGTTGTAATCTTGTAATTGCTAAAGTGAAAGCCATCTTTAATCTTAGATTGAATATATATCATAAACTGAAACACTGTGACAAAAAGGTTATATTATCTGAGGTTTACGGACAATAAAATCATCCATACACTGAACCAACAGCGACAAAAATGTCTTTGCACCTGAAAAAGGTGTTGAAAGGTCACCCTGTTATTACAACTATTTAAACAGAACAAACGAGGTGGAACTGCAAACAGTTTTGGTTTGTCCAAGAGATTTCGCCTCACCTCCTGGGCAAACAGACACAGGACAGTGTTTGAGGGTTAACAAGTTGAACAAGTCTTTTAAAACACACGTCTTAAGAGAAAGACAACAGGTGATTTAACGGGTTTTTATTTTATTAAACACATTACAGAGGGTTGTCGGACTCAGTGCTCTGACATCTTACTCTAATCAACGTTCACACTTTCAAAGACTATAAAAACTGACGAGTTACTGCTTATTCGCAGTGTTAAAGATTATTCTGCATGTGACGTATATTGTACCTTAAGCTGTAACACTTTTGATCAGAATATTGTCCAAAATAAAGGAGAAACAATGTTTCAGTGTTAAATTTCCAGAACAAGAAGTTCTTTTTTTTTTTTTTTAAATGGAGAGAAACTTGTGTAACCCAGACAGAGAATGAAGCACTAAAAGCTGGTCAGCTGCCTGGAGTTAGGTCATTAATTAATCAGCTAAAACATGTTTTTTGAGTGACACGCTCTACCTTTTCACCGCAGGACCCAATCATCTGTCAAACAGCCAAACACAACCGCAGTTCAAAACAAAACCAAAAGTGACACATATCAGCATGAGTGTGTCTCATTAAAAAACACCAAATACCTGATTTTCGTTTCGCACCAGTGGAAGTAATTTATCATGACTTTTCTTGGTAAACTGGAAAATCCAGCAGACGTAGGAAACTCTTCAAACATTTCAAAATCACGTAGATTCACCACTTAGATAAATAAATTACCCACAGGACAATAAAACACAGCTGCTGATAAAACCATCTTTGTGTCAGCGTGTTTTTTCAAACCTATTACAGACATGAAGCCTCTACGTGACGTCTTTACTCAGACCTTTCCAGGAACCTCACAGGTCAAAACTATATGACTCAAAGTAACAGTAAAATAACTTTACATGGCTTCACTCTTTTTGCCACATACTGCCCTCTTTGTTGTATTTAACAACATCATAAGTCATAACAAAACAGATTTATTAGTTTAGTGTCACACAGCAGGTTGGTCTCCGGGTCATTGGATGCTAACAGCTCAACTCTTCACATGAGCAAACTGCAAAGAGCTATAACATTTTGGGGGAACTGGGTACTCTGAGGCAAGGAGACTTGGTGAATTAGATCTTGAGACGAAGGAGAAAGAGGGGGCAAATGAAGATGAGCAGTTCTTGGTACCATAAACAGCTTTGATACATTCTTAGCAGATTCCCTCGAAAACACATTCAACAGAGAGAACTTAGCAAATGTTCCAATTTTTTGAGGGGCTGTTACTTATAAATGAAGGTGTGTTAATGTCCAAATGTTGTTGTTTGTTTTACAATTTTTAATCCCTGACACTCCTCGGTTTAGTCCACTTTCTTTGGTTTGCGATTCTTCCACAAAACCACCGCAGTGAAGGCCCCTGAGAAAAGATAAAGACCGTGTTAACTTTGAATCCAGCGGCAAAAAAACATTAAATTTGCTCAGTTTCCACACTATGATAGTGGATTATAGTACGTAGATTTCCAGAGTCAAAAATCAACTTTTTGATTTGTCTATCAACTATTATGCAACAACAGCAACAAAAGTACAAGCCAAAATCTGTTTAAACCAGCTAAGAGCCTTTGTTAGATATGTCTTTGAAGACCAACTTCTTACTAAACTTACAGTATTGGGCAGTTTATCACAAAATCTTACATGTGATCATGTGTTTAATGGACTGAAAAAACTCAGGGGAACATAAAATCAGCTTTAAATCAGCTCTATATGTACAAGTCATACTCCCAAAAGCTGGGACAGTGTAAATGTGATAAACAGATACTAAGGCTTTGAAAACCATGTAGTCTATCTTTATTTCACCCTGAAATTAACTAAGAAGTAACACTAAAAATGTTAAAAATGGACAAATTTCACTACCAAAATTCCACGAACAATAATAATAGAATCAGAATAATGTTTCTGAGTGTCAAATTTTAAAGAATGAGTTGATTTCATCAAAACATAGTATCATGCAGTAATGGAAATCACTGCATGAGCTTCAAATCACTTAAAAAAACCATTGTCTATGAACACAGTTCATCACTGCATCCACAAATGAGGTTAAAACTGAACCATGCAAAGAGGAGACCAGATAGAAACTCCATCCAGAAACACCAGAGACATCTCTGGACCGAGAAGTATTTTCCAGGTCTTCCCAGACAATTCCTGAATGTGGGCTTTGTTTTAGAATAATAGTTTTCTCACCTATACAGATCAACAGTATGACTGCTGCGATGCCTGGAAGAATGACTGAATACTCCCGAGGAAGAAAATATTTGTGAAGCACATGATCGCCATCCACAAAAGGCTGCAGGAGAAGAAAATATCGCCTCATGAATCTCAGTCTTACGATTTCTTACACAGAGGTTTAAAACAGATAATTGAATGTGTTACAACTTGTAAACATTTGAAGATTTAAAATTTGGTTGATGAATGAATAAAATGAAATGTCATCATGGGAATAGGCCATCCTATCTTTTAGGTTGAAATTTTATGTTATGAAAGTGACTTAAACTATAAATGACTATTAAGTGGAGGTCAAGGTTACCAGTTTGACACCTGCAACTTTGACTTCTAGAACTATAATAAACTCTGTCTCTATATCAATGAGTCTAGGATCTCAGACACAAACAGCACGCACCAGTACGATGACCCACACAGAGTAATACGTAAACAACACCAGGCTGAAGACCACCAGACTCATGCCCACAGCTTGATCCACACCTGTCGCCTGAAATCGAAGAAACATCGGGTGAGCAGGAGAACCTTGTTGGGGTCTTATGTTTCATTTCCCCCCATTTCATTTGTAATTTTGTCAATTTGGGAAGCATTTTGTGTAACATACATTGATCTGAAGGCCCAGCACAAAAAAACAATAAACCAGTGTCTCCTGTCTCTAGAGTCTAGAGTGTAGACCCTCCTTTCCCACTGCAGTCAGACTGTTAAATCAAGCTTGCCGCCAACAGGCTGGTAAAGAAATACTAATAGCATGAATGTGCACAGTGTGTATGAGGTGTATGGCTTTGAACTTCCCGACTGAGTGGGACTATCAAAGGTTTATCTTTTTATAATTCTCTTTGTAATTCTCAAACTGGGGGGAAACTATATTTTGTCATTGATCAACATGGTACAATGATCATTTCCAGTACATACAGTTTAAATAGAAGCAGCTGAGGCTGGGTTTTCCCAGTTATCCTCTGAATCCAACATTTCTGATACATGATCTTTCTTTAAAGTTAACCAGCCTTTTCATTACACATAATGACTCTTTTTTATACACCATACCTTGTTGCTTCTCCAAATCCACAGAAAACGTCATAAAGCTGTTGGTATGAGTCTTTACTTATTTAGTGGGTTGACCTTTAAATATCCCTCTTGGTTACCCTTGGTTTACAATATTATTTTCTGGGTTAAAAGTCTGAGTGAGTCAGATCCATTTTTCCTAAACTGCATGAGTAAAGGGCAAAAACGGTGTTTGGATACAGCAGTTTTTGAGTCATCTGCTTATAGCTGGAGAGTAAAACAAAGTCCTACTTTCAAAACCCACATTTCTGTGTTGTTTATCACTGTCTTTACAGAATATTACATTGATTTTTCAGTAACATTGTTATATCTGCCGAAATATGTACAATTTAATTGAATTTGTCCTATTTAAATGTACTGTTATGCCGAAAAGATAGCACATTTTCTCATCTTACCGCCCAGAAAAAAGCTGGGACATTTTCACTGGCATACCTGAACTGACAGGTCAGTCACAGCCCTGCTAAAGCAAACTAAGTCTGCTTCTTAAAGAGCGCCCGCCGAAACTTCATTCAAATATATTACAGCTTTATATTCTTTGTGTTAATTTGACAATATTTGCATCATATACATCAAATACATTGAGACCGTGAATACTCTGTGCTGTCCACGATATTCGTGCACTTTAAGGAAATATCGTAATATCAAGATGTATAAGCTACATCTATAAGACTAACTGAGAGAGGACCTTTAGGAGATGAACTGTTTTCCATTTCTAAAAACAAGAGTGTTTTGGCAGAGTTTTCGTGCATTAGCAATCTAAAAAGAAAAATTGGTTATACTCGAAGACATACTTGAAAAACTGAATATAAAAACCAAAACATCAAACTTAAGTCTGGCTAAAATCTCAAGCATGTTTCATATAACTGTTGAAATAAACCGATTTACGCTTAAGTTAGCCGACGTAGCTTCACTGGGGTCGAATTGATAAAAGCTTTCAGCAAATTATCCTACAGTTAAGGTTAAGTGTCCAAAGTTTAGTGATAAACCAAAGTTTCTCACTTTAATTCAGCTTTTACGTTTAATCTGCTTATTTTCTTACCATTTCTGTCCAGTTAGCTGACGTTTCCCTGTGATCCTTCTTCTACTTAGTAAATACAGCTGTCGACATAAATCGAAGGGTCTGTGCTGCCCTCTGCTGGGAAAGCAGCACATTACACTCAAAGATGAGACCAAAAAAGATACTGCTGTGGATGAATCATAAATCATAAATCATCCACATTTTAGAAATAATCATCACATCATTAGAAATAAATCATGACATGTAACGGATTTGTGTTTATCAGTTAAGTTTATGAAGACATGTGTTGCTCCACTTTTGTGGGTTACCTATTCTCAAACGGACTGTGTTTTTTTCAAGTCCCCTAAAAAGGAAGCAATAATATTGTTATAGTGATATTCTATGGTTATGATGATCAATAAAAGGTCAATATCTGCTATCATGACAGCTCACTGTATCATGTACTCCTGCTGATGTGAAGGTTGAATGACAAAGACAGAATAACAACACTTCTGATTCAAGCATTTTATTGTGGATGTGTGAGTTTGTAAAAAATAACATTTCATTTCCCTCCAACACTCACAGACATGGAAAGGCAAATTGACATAGACACCACAACTCTGCAGTTGGATTTAGCATCTTTTTCCAAACACTTAAATACAAAGAGAGAAAAATATTTGGAGTTACATTCACTTGGAAAAAAAATGTCAGATTTTAAGTTGACAGTTGAAGTTTTTCTGACAGTGTTCATCAAATATGAAAAAGAAGTGTCTGTTATTTTTGACAAGACATAAAGAAGAGCTTTATTCCCATTTAATAAATTACAAAAGTGATATAGTTTCTATATTTTTTCTCTAATAAGTCTGTGCCCTTTGCAAATATAATAGGCATTACTGCTAAAAATGCAACATAATGCAAATAATATTAACATGCAACAAGTTAGTTTAATTGCAAATAATCTGGAAAAAAAAACCCATACACCAAAAAAAAAACTTTACGCAGTCAAGTACATGGAATATGTATTTTTATAGGATAAATCACAGTACAATAATAGTTCCCTTTACTGCAAATAATCTGACCAAACCCTTACTGTAAAAACATGATTGTTTTCAGTCCCATCCCACCTTAAAGTATTCACTGTATGTACAAACATGTGGACCAGCCCGCTGGTCTGAAATCACAGAGGAGGAGGTTTGAGGCACTTTACTCTGCAGAATGAGATGTGCACATCAGTCAAACATGTAGTAGTACATTTAAACACCCACTAACACACACTGGAGAAACACACACACACACACACACACACACACACACACACACACACACACACACACACACACACACACACACACGCTCAGAGTGCTGGGAGGCAGAATCTATTATATATTGTCTATCAGGGCATAACAGAGTCTTTGTGTGTCTTCAGCTGTAGGACCGACCTCAGAGCAGCCTACACCAACAGACCCACATTCTCAGTGTTAACTCTGCACACAGACACACAAAATATCCCACTATCATACAGAACAAAACATTTTGGTCAGTTTACTGCAATTCAGAATCCAAGAGTTTACTGAAGCAGTATCACGACACAAAAACTGCCTAAAAACTACAAAGTGCAACGACAAGAGTTTGACTTTTCTCTAAAAAACTGTGCAGTCAGTGTAAAAACAAATACAAGGTTTTCATTATGAGATCAAGAGGACAACTATCCAACAACCAACAGCTGATAAGATCACTTTAATTTGGTTGAACAGGGGTACACCCAGTGAGTTTTTATTATGTCAAACTGTTACATCATGATTTTGGACAAATATCTTGGTTTGAAGTCCTAATTAATAATGAAGTTTTCTGTTACAACCCAGCTGTGTTAGTTTTTAAAGTGAATAAATTATATAAAGCGTCATTTCCAAAACAGCTGGGACACTGGCTAAAGTGTTACAAATGTTAATATTGTTCAAAACTGATTTGGATAGTTTGTAAATCATTGAAAACTTCTATTAGAAACAGGTGTCCATAATTTCCAGAAAGACTGTCTCATTCTAGTGTGTCAGACTGATTTAAATCTGCTCAGACCAAAAAGAAGTCATCAGTTTTTGCGGATCTTCTTCTTTTTAGTTTTTTATTTTGTTGGTTCCTGTCCATGGTACCCCACATACATGAATTCTTTAAAAAAGGACAAATTTTGGCTCATCACTCCAAAGGACGGTTGTCCACTTATAACGCTAATAAATGCTGATGTTGTTCCATTTTTGTCTGAAGTATGTAAAGGCTGAGTATTACTCCGCTGACAAGTTTGTAACCTGCTGTATTCACAGTTTTTTGATAAAAAAAGAGCCCTAAGTACCTTTCATATTTAGTTTGTTGCAATACCATGTTTTATGTCTTTCTAGCTAATGTGTGTTTTTGATGTAAAGCTTAAGTTTGTAAAATGTCTAAAAGAGTGTAAAAGAGCTTAAGATTCAAAGACAGGAAAAAAGAAGTGCAGAGATCGGACAGTTTCATATGGCCGGCCACATGATTGAAAGTCTGTGCTGTTTCACAAGAGCATAAAGCAAAGTCTGACAGATTCACATGATCACATTTCTCCCCTAAAATAGCGACAATGAAATGAAACATGGAAAAAAAGAAACTTTTAAACACTGTGCCATCTGAATTTTCTCTTAGTGGTTTATAACATCCTCCTCAAGGAGAAAACGTGTGCAAAACTATCATAAGTACGTTTATGTAAGGATCAACTAGCTTCAAATATACTGAAAAGCCTCAGTTACAGTCTGTCTACACAAACTCCGACCTTAATAAGAGCCTCTGATGGCAGCACCTCCAAGATCCTCATCAACTTGTTTATAACAAGGATAAAAGTTTTCATTTCTGATCAGGTTAAACTTTCTGGTTGAGGAGGTTCTCCTGAACGCACCATTGATTCAGTGTTTCACTATACTTCCCACAATGCAGTGGTCCTCAGGGTGCTGTTCAAGTAATCTGTGCAGTAAGCGCCGGTCAAAGTTTCACTGGGAGTGTTTCAGATAGGATGGTTTCTTTTTAAGGGATTACACTCCTGTTTTTGTGTACATCTGTTAAAAAACAGCACAGCTTTTGACAAATGTTTCCCCCCGGACTAGTGGGGGTGTGTAACCGTCAAACAAACATGAGCTGGACCGTTAAAATCTACATGAGGGGACACAAATGGAGTGTTTTCAGATTTACTCTGAATCACAAAAAAATCTAATTCTCCTACTACAAAAGAAATCATACTTTACACACCTGTCACCATCTTATTAAATATACTAGAAAGGCTAAATATTTGGATTTTGCAGTAGTAGTCTTTGAAGCTATGTGCACTGAATCATGTATGCACATACTTTCACAAACACAGTCGTACAATCAGATGTCACAGAGTCAGGATCCAGTGGATGAAGCTGCAGACGAGCTGACATTCCTCTCAGTGAGTTTCGATGACGACGGGCTCAAAAGCTCCAGGAGTTCCTCTGCAGAAGTGCGAAATTTTAGACTGTAAAAAAACATTTTTAGAGAAATAATCAAAGCAGGTATAAAGAGAGAAATGGGTGATGGATGTACCTGTTGGAGAGCTGCATCCCACTGAGTGCAGTCGTCCCATCTTTGCTGACAAAAAGCCTCAGGTTGCTGTCTGCAGAGAAACAACCAGAAAACTGTAAAACACGTTATGATGAGAATTAATCTCTAAAATATGAACAGAGTCTGACCTTCATTGTTGCTGCTGTCAGAGAAATTCTGACTCTGAATTATTTTCTCCACGATAGCATCTGCATCGATGCGAGTGTCGTCGACGCAGCTCGGCTGCCGCTGCACAGTGTCCTTCTTCCTCCTGATAACGACAACAGAGAGAAAATTTACATCTGAAACAAAATTTTAACACTTTATATAGCATATACCTTTAATGGCCAAAGATATGACTAATAAAAAAAATCAAGCAGTAAACTTCAAGGCTAAAACATGAAACCGACATCCAAGTGCAAAGAAGATACTGCAGTTCCTTTAGTGTCCACTAGAGGCTGTCTCTTCCTTTGATTTGTCCCCATAGAGCCCCATGTTTAAATGTCCAATACAAGAGAAACAATCATTTTCACAGCCTTGTACAGAAAGAGTTTGGATCCCTGTAGCTCATTGTCATTCATCACATGAAGGTTTATTGAATCAGCTGTTAAAGCCGTTTACAACAAACTGTATTTTCAAATGCATGCCTCTTCTTGTTTACATTTCTACCACTCGGTATTAAAAAACATGCTGCATGAGTCTGATTGGGTGTATAGGCCCATCCAATATCTGAAAAACAGTAAAGTGTTAAGGTGATGCCAAGCTCAGTGTAAATTCAAACTGAGACAAACAGCACCGATTTAAGATTTTATTTGGTTTTAATATTAGTGTGGTACAAGCAGCAGCAGAATGAAGCAGATTGTTTTTGTTTTTGTGCTGCTTCAGTCTTTGAGACTCTTCCTCATGGCCCACAGAACACGTCAACACACTCTTCTAAGAAAACTTTGACACACACTCCTCTCAGAGACGAGAAATTCCTGGAGAATTTCAGGCATGTCAGTTTACACATCCCTGAGATTTATACAAGACTAAAACAGAGTGTCAGGGTCCAGGCACACCACACATTGACTCTGAAAACACAAAGGTGTGTTAAATGTGCCTGTTTGAGTGTGTGAGTGTGTGTTTTTTACCTGGAGGATCTGTTAAGGGCAGCTGCAGAGGGAGGAGGCGGTCTGTCCGGTTTAGTGGGCGTGGCTTGTTTGGGCATATCTGTCGGGGTGGAGAGAGGCGGCTGGGTGGAGGACGAGGAGGTGGAGGAAGTGGAGGGGTGGGCGAGCCCACAGGAGGCGCTGCTGCTGGAGGAGGCGTTTCTATGGTGACTGAGGTCAGTCAGGCTGGAGCAGCGAGAATGAGCCGTGCTGTAACCTAAATGAGGGAGGAAAGGAGAGAAGGAGAGATTTAGTGAGAGGAAAAGATAAAGTAAAGTAAGATGAGGTGGGAAAAGTAGAAGACAGAAAATGAAAAAAAGAAAGAAAAGAAGAAACAAAATTTGACAAAATAGAGATAAAAATTATGTTTAAAAAGCCTCAAATTTCTCACAGTGCTGCTGTAAAATATTATTATTTCATCCTCCATCAGAAACGCTTTGTTTTAGCTGCTGTCTCTTTAAAGCCACCCCCCCTCCACAAGCCTGATTGCTTCTGATTGGCCACCTCTCCAGAGGCTTTCTGGGGGCCTGCTGAGGCCAGAGCACACTGTAAATAATAAATAATAATAATAAAAAATAATAAAAAATGTAGAAAGAATACAGGGAAAATAAAAAAGAGGAATGGAAGGAAAGAAAGGGAAGGAAAAGGAACTTTTCTTTTACTAAACACTAACTGTTTGTTGTGGGTTTTTTTAAATTAGATGAATAAAGTTTTCTTTTTTTTCTTAAAGCATTTTTTTCCCCTCATGTAGGGTCAATAATGTGAAGCTTTTAGGGACTCCTCTGACCTGAGATCTTGCTGTGCTGACTGGCGTAGCTGGAGCTGCGAGCATGACCGGAGTGAAAGACATCGTCTGGACTGGACACACATTCTCCTGTCTCAGGCAGCCCTGACACACACACGCGCACACACACACACACACACACACACACACACACACACACACACACACACACACACACTGCAAGTTAACACCGGCTTAATGTCATTTTAGTATCTGTTTTTCCTCTGACAGAAACAGTGATTTCATTTCGTTGTCTATAACAGTTTTTTTTATCCACCTCCATCAAAACAAAAAGGCACTTAAAAGAGGTTGGTTTGGTTTAAAAGAGAAGATGTAAGAATAAGTGATAGTGGGCTGTTACCTGCACTGCGGACTGATGATTGTTTGGGTTTGAGGGAGCGAGGAGACTCCTTGAAGCTTCCTCGTGTCCTCACTGTGTCCTCCGTGCTCTCTCCCTTACAGTCCAGCTGCAGGGTCGGGTCCTCGTCCACAATAGCAATCGATTTAGCCGTGCTGGGAGGCCTGATGGAAAAAACAAACATCAGCAAAAAAAGAAAAATTGTATTAAAATATTCTTTTTATCAAACATGTCAGTGGAGGCTGTCTGCATGGGGAAAATTTAGTTTGTTGAATAACAGTGACATTACAAATTCTCCTGCTTGCAAAGTCATAACTCCATAAGGATACCTTCAGACATGATGCATATAGTTTTAGATTTATTGTTTCTTGCATATCAGGTGATATCAGTGTTAACCGTCTGTGTTAGCTGCTGTAACTCACGTTTTAAAGCAGGGATCCCCCGACAGGAGAGTCATCCCGATCGTCACCTGTAAATAAACAAAGAAACAAGGTCGTTACAAAACCACATCTGACCAGTTCAGTGTGTGCCAGTATGTGTGTGTTCATGAGTGTGTGTGTGTTTATGTCATGCCTTGAGGATGGAGTTGTCCTGTCGGGTGTTTTTGGTGTCGTAACCCTCCAGGATGCAGCAGCGAACCGTTGAGCCTGAACCAGCAAACTCTGCCATGTTGAGATCAGCGAAACCCAGCTGCAGACACACACACACACACACAAATGTTGTTCAAGTTTATTTGATGTTTTTTTTTTTTAATCCAAGAATCTGAATCAGCAGATTTTTTCTTCTTCTGCTGTTTTCCATCTGTTTCACTCTGTACATCACGTCTGTTTTATTTCTCCTGTGAGGAAGTGAAGGAGGAGAAACAGACAGCAGAGAGTTTTTACAGGAGTGGATGACCTCCTTTAACCTCCCCATTCATGTTTTTTTGCTCACTCAGCACGAGTCCTCTCGACAAGGGTCACTGTCTGTGGTGAGAGTCAAGCTTTTAAGTCTTTCACTTCATGTGGGGACCTGAACTTTTTTTCTTATTCCACTTATTTTATAAATAGAGGGAAAATCATGCATATATTTCTTCCATTACAGGGAAAAAACACTGCACACATTTACAACCCCAATCCCATCAGAGCAAGGAAGCCGAGTAAAATCAAAGAAGAGCTGATGCAGCGAGATGATGAACATGATTCCGTAACAACTTTTTTTTTTTAATGTGGTTTTGGCATCAAATTTAATACGAGAATATAATATTCTTAAAACAATTACATGTTTCGGCATTTGGTATGGTTTGTTTGCACAGTTTTCAGTAACCCTTTCTTTTACGGTACACTTATTACCAGGTAATTAACAGGTAATTACCTAGTAATAACATGAAATTATCTGGTAATTACATGATAACTACTAAGTCAATACTGTCTAGTTTTTCTTTTTTCTGTGCAGCTCCATTTTCAAAAGCTATTTGGGGTTCTTATTTTCTATGATTGACACTTGATACAGCCTATGGGCGTGCGAAGATTGTGTAGCGATACGCTGTTTGAGCCAAGCATTATCACGATGCTACTGCGCAAGTGGTGGTTCCAGGAAGCGGAGAAAATCCTGGAAATACCAGAGCAATTCGGCTTCAAATTTGTATGATGATGGAAGGTTACCTACCTGGTAGCTAGACAGTATTGACTTAGTAGTTATTATGTAATTACCAGATAATTTCGTGTTAACCTGTTAATTAGCTGGTAATAAATGTACCGTAAAAGAAAGGGTTACCGAAAACCGTGCAAACAAACCATACCAAGTGCCGAAACATGTTATTGTTTTAAGAATGTAATTACCAGATAATTTCATGTTGTTACTAGGTAATTACCTGTTAATTACCTGGTAATAAGTGTACTGTGAAAGAAAGGGTAACCCAGTTTTCTATTAAGAATAAGCTTTATGTGATTTAAAAACTATTAAAAATATATATAATTCAACATTTCACAGAGTTTCGACCAAACCAAAATTGAGGATGTGTTTTTACACATGACATGAGAGAGACCCAGACCCCATGAACACTTGCATCATGCAAACAGCTGACACTTTAGGTACAGGACATAAACACACACACACTGCAGTGAACACACTCATCATCACTCTCAGACTGAGTCACATGATGCTAGAAGTGAACCCTGTGCTGTTTACCCTGGGCTGGTGTTACCGTTGTATCATTAACACCATAAAAAGTGTATTTCAGAAAGAATGAGTGCACTCTAAACTTTATGAGTTCACGGGTTTAACATGACTACAACAAAATAACCCATCCTGGATTCATCTTCAGTTATGATATGTGATGTATTACTGAGGTTTTTCTACAGACATAATAATAAAAAAAACAAATGTACCTTTGAGAAAGTTTTTCCTCCTTTGAGCTCCTGCAAACACATAAAGACAAGGACTTAAATAATGAAGGACCAAAGACTGCTGATGCCTTCTCCACAGTCACATCCATAAACACATTACATCACAAGGACCCAATATGTACCCTGAAGGTCAGCTCCAAAAAGTAAAAACTTAGAGTAGTGTGCACTACTCCTGTCACTCTTTCGGGAAACCATGGATGCTGGGTCCTCTGCTACAAAGAGGAGAGGGACCACCTGGCTTGGCTAGAGTCTGAGATGGCTGCTGGGATTTGTAGTTTACCTTGCGTACAGAAACTCTGCAGGTGCAGGGGTCCAACACTCCGCTGATTGAATTGGCGCTCATCTTGCACACAAACGAGAACTTCTTCCTCCATCGGACACAGTTCTGCTGCACCTCCTCCCTGCACACACACACACACACACACACACACACACACACACACACACACACACACACACACACACACACACACACACACACACATTAAGATCTTGTTAGGCGGTCTTCCACAGAAAAATAAACAGTCCATTATAAGTCTAGAGATGTAAATCCCTAAATCTTTGTCCATTGGGAGTCCTGGTTGCCCCTTTTGAAGGAGGACGCAGCTTTAAAGCCTGAAAACTCCATGCTACTATCAGTTATTACATAGGCAAGGTCAGCACCAGTCAAATCAGTTATTCAGCACAATTCATACAGGTGCAAGAGTTAGTGTACATTTGATTAAAATGTCCACAACAATAAAAGAGGGGAATATTACACATGACAAAAAAACATTTATAACGATATAAGACAGTTGGCATCACACATGAGATCTGTTATCACATCAAAAATGAACCTGATCAGGTGTACAATTCAACTGCTGAGATAAATCAGCCCCTGATCAATAGATTGACATTCTTCAGATGTGCTGGTTTCCCTGTGATGTGAAGCTATCTTAAAAAAATAAAAACTAATTTACACTTCAAGGTGTAAGAACTAACAATCACAGGGAAGAATAGAGAACATGCAACTTATATGGTAGAAATGTCAAAGAAAGACTGCGTTACTTGCAGCTCTTTGACTGGTTGGATCATCTATCCTGTCATAGATGACATCTAAAACCTTGAATATTAATGCTACAATGTCGTTGGTTTATAAAGGAAATGAAATTGGAAACTTCAGCCTGCCTCTCCTCCAAAGAAATCAAGGCCAGCTGGTTTGGATGATCTCATCTGGATCTATGGAGGGGTTTTCCTCTGACACAGATTGGAAACAGACTCAGTGTTTATCAGAGCTCAGCTCTGTGGAGGACATTTCTATCTCTGCATGTTTCAGTCTTCATGATCTCTGCTGCTCTGTTGTAACAAAGAGAAGACACTCCTGAAAGAGAAAGCTTCTCCCTGTTTGTAACAGTGTACATATGAGATGGCTTGTTTCAATATGCAGATAATCTACTGTGCAGAGATTCAGACGATGCCGCATAAACTAAGATAATATTTATTATACAATAGAAAAGCACCAGAGTTTTGGTTGGAACTGTTCAAACAGAAATAAGACTTTTGAAGTATTTAAATTATAATTGAATAAAACGCTGAAGCTCTGTTATTTCCTCTGGTTTTGCATCAAAGTGTAAAAAATGAGTTTTTCCTGACGGGTTTATCTTGTCCTATTTTGCATTCTGTGTTGCTTCTTTGCAGTGGTGGTCTTACACAATGCACGTAAAGGTACATTGTTTTATTTATTAGTACTATTATGGATGTAGTTGAGCCTGTGAAGCACTTGAATCCAAGAGGACAACAAAGTGTAGGCTATCTATAGCATATCGTATCATATCTTGTAGAGCACAAAATTAAAGGACAGTCATGTGATAGTGAAAGTTTTAAAACAGATCTGAGACCTGTAAGCTCATCCATATTTTAGTACCTACATTCGATGGTACAGTGCTGCATGTTCAGACTAAACCTCAGCCAGTTTTAAAAACATTATTTACACAGATATTGGAGTAATTCTCTGATGTCTGATCCAGCTTCTCAGGCCGTCTTGATTGAGAACTTTGCAGTACTTGGCTTGAACCTGACATTGAACTCTGGTGTCCCATCAGAACAATGTTAGGATAAGTCGACCTGGCAGCTCTTTCAAATTGCCCTTCAAAGGGATATGAGTCTCAGCTGTTACTGAAACCTGGAGCTGTTCATCGATAGAGACCTTCATGAAGCACAGAGCCAAAAACTGGAGGATACATTACAACAACAGCTGTTAATGGAGTAATTAGTAACATAAAATAGGGAGTAAATATGAGTACTAACAACTGGTCTCCAAAGTTTTCTGTAAAGGCATAACTTTCAGGTCATTTCATGGTTACAAAGCTGTGTAAAAAGTAGCACCCACAAGCTATGTCCAATTTTCTATCGCAAAGCAGTGAAAAGAAAACTGTTCAGGCAGAGGTCAGATCTGTCTACAAAGTATACAATGTTTTATTTTGGTTCATTACATCTGTTTATAGTGAGTCATAGTTTCACTTTAAATACTAAGTATGAACCTGGATGTAGAACAATTCTTCATGCAGATATCTCTTTTCAAAGAGAAATAAATCCTCCTCAGATTACCAATCATGTCTTTATGGTGGCTTGTGGTCCGCCTGCTTTTGCTCTGTTTGTCTTGTAGGCGCAAAAGTCTATAGACACCTGATTGGTGGATAGTACTCAGACTACAAACAGACTTAGAAAGAATCTGTCCATCATGAGCACACTCCTGATACTTTCTTATGTTGGACTCTAGATCACAGACTGCAGCATGTACTCGCAACAGGGTGGAGTAGGGAACAATTAAAGGAACCCTTCATCTCTTTGAATCTGAAGGCCTCAAGGGTCTCTCTCTCTCTCTCTCTTTCTCTGTACAAACAGGATTTTCTGATAATAAAAGGAATATCGGCTACACCATTCCAGAAAAAATGCATGAGTAATAAGACAAACTAAAGCTGTTCACGAGGTTTTCTAAATTCCCTCGCTCACATTGAACCTGTCTGGACTCGGCTGAGATGTTATCAGTCCCTGCCCAGCTCATTTCAGAGAAAATATTTCACAAAAACTTCAGCTCTCTACAAGTTCAAGACTTTCACAACACACCCATACAGAAAATACCTGCAGATAACAGATCACAACCCCCACATTGTCTGAGATCTGTAACAATCTTTCATTTCTTTTGTATAACTACTGCATCACAAGTTTCTTCTACTCCACAGCATGAAAACACACCATTCCAGGTTGAATTCATATCATCATCTTGTTCTTGTCTTCTCCTAAAGCCTCAAACTCAAAGGCTGAAAACCCAGCCAAAGCACAAATTCCAAAAACTGCAGTTCTTCAAGTTTCCACAAGAGGCTGCATCTAAAAGTGAGTCCGACAATGTCCTGGTTTATAGCAAAAATAAACATGTTTACAGCCTGGTATGAAAACAGTTTGGGTATCTGTGGCTTTTTTCTCTATTCATGACAACCTTGCTGGCTGAATAACTCACCTTTTTACGTTATATTAAGAATCAAAGTTATCCATAATTAGGGGCGTGGCCTCTTTGAGTGATAGGTAGAAGCTGCTAACAGTCTGCAAGGTATCGCCTCAGCTTTCTCAACCACTGAACTTAAACTTTAGACTGTGTTTGAGGATCCTTTTAGCATTTATTTCAGGTCAAATCAAACAAATTATCTTTTGCGTTTCCTTTTTTTTTGTGATTGGTAAAATTCAGTGATTAATTTATTCATGCCTTAACACAATTAGCAGGTATCTGTGTGCGATATACTGGACTTGAAGGTTTGCTCAGCCTTTGAGGGAGTCAGAGTCAGAGAGTAAAAGAGAATTTAGATAGAAATCAAGACAGGTAAATTAACTTTCACTCTTGACTATCTATTTATGCAAGCAATCTCAGGAGGTCATGGTATCTTCAGGCATTTTTTTCCCCAAATAACCTTTAACATACATTTTTATTACTACATCTTTCCCACTCCATTTATCTAACCTAGAGTTTACAGCCCTTCAAACAACGAGCCCGGAGGCAGAAAACGGTCAGACCGGTTCTTCCAGGTCTTTTCTTACAACCTGCACAAACACACCATTGTACCACAAGTCAACACAAGCTACAGCGAGCTGCTCCTCTGAAGGATTTCTTCAGAGTTAAAACAGTCACAGTGTGGGCTCAACAAAGAATTTAATGGTTATGTCACAGAAAAACATTTGAATAGTAAATATTTTTCCATCATTGGGAGAACACACAGATCAAAGTTGATGGATACAGAAGAAAAAAAGCCCTGAACAAATATATACTCTTTTACAGAAACCGGTGTTAATGATCTACGAACCCTGTTTCAAATATGTGATGTGAGGTTGGGTGAAATGTTGTAATAATAGCATGTGATGGTTTGTGTGAGCAAAAATAGTTTCAGAATAACATTCCTGAGTGTCAAGTGTGAAAGAATGAGTGGATTTCATCATCTACAAATCATCATCTAAAATCCAGAGAATCTGGAGAAATCTCTGTACAAAAGGGACGAGAACCGAAACCAGGACTGGATGCTCCTGATCTATAGACCCTTACAGCACTGCATTAAAAACAGATAAGACTTTAGGTTAAAACTGAAGCATGCAAATAATAGACCAGATAGAAATATCATACAGAAACACCAGAGACTTTTCTAGAACTGAACCCTTTAAGATGGACCGAGGGGAAGAGGAAAACTGTGGACAGACGGATAAAAATTTGACACTCTGTTAGGAAATCACGGACAATGAGTGTCATGACCACAACATTCAGCGAATCCTCATAAAAGTCCAAAATGTTGCACTCTTAAATATAGTTTTTATCACAAGAGCAAATGTTACCAGCCGTTTTCACAAGTGTAGACATTTTATGCATAAACTTTAAATCATAAACTAGCTTTTTAGTTGACACTTTATGATTGTAACCTTTAACCACTTTAGTTGTACTTACCATGATGCCAAGAACTACAGCCAGGTCTTTTTCAGTCCTCTGTCGCCTTCAGTAAAACCTCTGCAGCTCACAGGAGTGCATCTAACACGTAATATTGATTAAATCAGCAGTAATTATCATGTAGGGCGTAGCTAATTTTCTAATCCACCCCTCACAGGTGAGTTAATATCTCTGCAGATTGGAGAGTATTTTCCACCTCTCTTCTCATCCCAGAATAAAGAGTCTAACATCAACTAAAACATCAATATTTAGCCTCGGCGTATCATCGTACCACACAGGTCAGGAAGATGATATGTTATGTTTCATGCTGAGATGGTAGGTTTTTATATGCAAGAGTCTGTTTTTACTTTTTAGTTGGAAATAATTTTACAGTTCTGAGATTTTGCCTAAGGATTACTAACACAAATGAAAGGGACTGTCCTGGGTTTATGCTTTTTCCATGTGTTCCTGCAAAGTCACTGTAGCTGCTGTAAAGTTCTTGATGTCATCAAAAGGCTGTGCACGTGTGTGTGCATGCAGCAATGTTGTAGCCGTGGATGGAGCCTCACTTTAATATCCACTTTATTGTTTTATTAAGTACAGGTAGGTGAGCCAACGACACCTAGTTTCCTGCTTACTCACGTGTTTCAGTTGTGTGTAAATTGTGCTCACTGACAGCTGATATAAAAGATCAGGTGACATGATCGGCTGAAAAGTGAAAGACATCATTCAGATCTTAATTAAGTACAAGCCCAAATCAGAGGATATTAAAGAGGTTATCTAAACGCTTGTAAAGACTGAAGGATTTGTTCGATCTGCAGCCTGTCATTAAATCTAAGCTGTAAAAAAGAGCTTGGATCAATTTTTTTTGAGTGAGTAAAAATACTTTTCTACAAGTAACATCTAGCTTTTAATTTAGTGAGTGTTATCACCACAATAAAGCAAAACTCTTAAAGTGAAGTGATGCGTACAGTGTTTCCCGATTTAAGTGTTTTTCTTCAGAGTAATGAAAAGAGTTTTTTTACAGTGCATGTGTGAAATACTTGTGATGCAGATGTCTTATCCCAGGTAATTTGTACTGAACAATATCCATACCAAATTTAGGATTATGAGATTTGCCATGATTAAGCAGAGCCTTTAAAATAGCTCAACTTAACTGCATGTTAACATATTTACTGGTGTAGAAGTGCAGCAGAAATTTAGATAATAAATCTAAAAGGTCATAAAGTTAATTTCACTGCATCCATTTGATTCCCAAATCAAGACACTTCTAGGAATAACATTTTTAATATTGACTAAAACTGTCTTTAAAATGCAAATACATGGAATTGTAAACATGAGATCAAAGATGTAACCTCAACATTGATTGTGCATCATTTAAGTGCTCAGACAAAGAACAATTCCTCCAGAACTCTTGACATTTAGATGCCAAAAGAAGAGAAAGAATTACATGATTTCTCCAGATCTCTTGCTGCACATTTGTGGTGTTTGTCTGTGGAGGAGGGCGTCTTTGTCGAGCCTCGTTGTGTAACAGTGTTAATGTTGTGGACAACGCCTGTTTCCTATTGAATTAAATGTGGGAGTGGAATTTGTTCAAGGGTTGATACTCTCAGAGTGGCTCTCATATATCTGCTGGCAGAAAGAGTGAGAGTGTTTCAGGACACCAAAGAACTGATTCTCTGCAGAGCGCATGTTAGGAAGAGTGGGATGTGTTCTGTGCTATTGTCTCTCTCAGATATTTATCTTTTTTTCTCATCTTTGGGTGTAAGCACAGATTCAGATTTGTCTGCATCGTTGAGATGCCAAAGGAATTCCATTTGGTTAAAAGATTTCAGATAAATTTATCAGGCTCAATCATTTTGCTCATTTCCAAATCAAACATCACATCCTCAAACATGAGATGACTAAAAAGTGTCACCATTTTTTAGAGTCATATTTCAGCTGAACTCAGGAGAAACTCCCCATCAGCAAATAAACACAATGTCAACCTAAACGATGGATAAATAATCCTTTTATGATCCATGTGGTACCCTGTTGAGCGATTGTTGGCACAATAACTACATTCCTGAAGAAACAAATAAACGGCTATTGTTGTGAAATCCTCGAGAAATGAGATCAAGGTTTGGTCTGCTGCTGACAAAAACTCACTATGCGGTTTTTAAGAGGGCAAATTACAACACTGTATAACTGATGAGGTTAATTTCCAACAGGTTAGTAACATGACTGAGTATAAAAAAGACATTCAGAGAGACTGAGTCTCTCAGACAGAAAGATGTGAAAAAGTTAACTGCCCTGTGAGAGACTGTGTGAGCTAATAGTTCAACAGTTTCAGAATAATCTAAAAAGAAAAGAGTTCCACCGCACACAACGTCATCTGAACTGACCACAGGGCAATCCTTCTTTTTGTAAGTTTTAGAATAATGTTACTGAGTCTCAAATGTGAGAGAATGAGTGGATTTCATCATCTACAAAACAAAATATCATTAAAAAAGATTCAGAGAGTCTGGAGAAATACCTCCCTACAGGAACCTACTGTCAGTTTCATCAATAAATATGTTGTCTTTGCAGTACTTTCACTTCATCATAGACTTGAAATGATTTGCAAACTAACAGTGATACATCAGTCAGGCTATATTTTACATCCAGACCATCTTAAGGTGTGTGTAACCTATCAGTATCCACACTGTCATTATTTCAAGTTAAGTGAGGTAACAGTGAGCCGTCAACACCTGTTTCTGCTCTCAGTACCTCACCCTCGGTATTTGCATGCAGGTAAATGTGCCGTGGACTAACTGTGTCTGCTGGCTCTGACCTGTGGAGTTCAGCGATAACGTTGAAAGGTTTTATGGTCGTCTTGGCGCGGTTATCTGGCAGGAATGTTGATTGTCATGCAGGAAGCTGCTGACTGGTCAAAGGTCAAAGGTTAGAGGACTATTAATCTGCAGCTTTGGCCTGAGGAGAGTCTGAGAGAGTTTCATTTTTCATTTGATCCTTTTGGCTTTTTCTGTTATTTGTTTTATCTGTCTCACAATTTCCTGGGTGAACTTTTAGCTTCTAAACTCAGTCCAGATTTACCTTTTTATATTCTGTGGGGGATTTGTTGATATTAAACAGCATATAATTGACTTCTATAATGATTTTTGCATGAAAAACGTTTCTATTTTCCCTCCCTCTGTCTCCATAGAAGTTGACAGTTTATCATCATTCAAAAAACTAGATGTCTTCTCTGACATGTCGTAACGGTTTGTCAGCCAGATGAAAAGTAGTCAAATTAGGTCCTGATTGCTTCCTGTTTTCAACCAACCAAACATCCATCCATCCATGTTGAAATCGCAGTTAGTGCCCACCGAGAGGATACAGGTTAACATCAACATTGTCTGTCTGCAGGTCAACGTCTGTCAGCAGGTTTTGCTATAAGAATATATTTACAAATCACCACGAAAACATTACTGAGACTGATTTTCGGGACTTTTGTGTCCAGATAGAAAACCTGAAGCTGGCTTTCTAAAAAAAGGATTAAAACCATCCATAAATCTTCAGCATCTGTCACATAATAATACATTTGCTGTGAATGGGTTGAAACTTGTTAAACTCTGGTGTGGTCTTTAGTTTGTCAGTTACTCTTTGAACCTGCAGACCTGTCCTGACACCTCCACACAGCTTACTCACTCTGAGCTGCAGAGGCAATTATCATCAGTCTTATTGAAGTCATGCAGTCAGGTGTAGAGCACAAAGGCATGTGATGGGAGTGGGTGGTTTTGAGACTAACTGCTAAATGTCGATGTCAAACATCAGTCAGGGACAAAGACAAGAGCTTTGGGAAGACAAATATGTACTCATTTATAACTTAATGCCAGCAACATGTTTGTAGAAAGTTGCTAGAGGAACAACCAAACAGGTAAAAAGTTGTGAACAGCTGAAGAACATCTCTGTGAAAGAATGAGTGGATTTCATTTTCTACTAAACATAATATCATTAAAATATTCAGAGAATCTCTGCGCAAAAGGGACACGGACCAAAACCAGTATGGATGGTCCTGATCTCAAGCAGCCCTCCATTTGACATTTCTTTTGAAAACCATGGACCCTGCACATTAACAATCTTACAGCTTTTTAGAAATCATGGATGCTTCTGATCTTAAGAGTAGAGGGGCCATACTTGTTATCAGCTCCTAGATTAAAGCCAACATTGCTGATGGTATGGGGATCATAAGTGTCCGTTGGTAGCTTCCACATCTGTGAAGGCTGAACAATATCTACAGGTTTAGGAGTAACACATTCTGACATCCAGACAAAGACTTTTTCAGGAAAGACCTTCATATTTCAGCAAGACAATGACAAACCACATGCTGCAGGGATTAAAACCGCATGGCTCTGTATTAAAAGAGTCCTGATGCTAAACTGGCCTGCCTGCAGTTTATCAAGTAATAAGTCAATAAGTCAAAGGGGATTGAGTGATGAACAAACCTTTAAAATAGGCTTTCATTGACATTTTACACATCCCAGCTTTTCACTCCATCTCTGATATTATCTGTATCAACTGCAACATCAGTCATCAGCAGATGATGTTGCCAGAAACATCACTGACAGAGACTTTCCCAGGAGACATGAGGGTGAAATAATGCTGTGACCTGCAGGTTGGTTCCAGTTTTACAGCCTGAGCTCTCTGTCTGACATGACGTGGAAAATATCATCAACAACAACTAAGTACCCACTAGTACCAGCAGAGTCTTGTAAACAGATCTATCTATACAGAGATAAGCAGAAAAGTCTTAAGCAGTAAAGGGAAATAATATATCAGGAATGTGGAGGAAAAGTCAGTCTAACACGGAGCAGAGAAGTGTAAGGTTCATGGAGTGAAGTTTTCCCAACAAGGAAGTGACAGGTTGTTCTGTTAAATACCTGGAGGAAAGGTTGGAAAAGTCTCCTCCATCCATCAGCCGAATCTTGCAGAAAAGCACTCCGTTGACGAAAGGCACGGCTGTCAGCTCCTCTAAAGTGAAAGAAACCTGAAACTTAAACTTCTTCTTTTTCATCAGGAAAGACATGGTACCCAGCTGCTGCAGGGAGCTCATGGTGCGGAGAGATGACCACTAAAATAAAGTCTGTGTTTGGGCTGAAAGAGGGGGTTTAAAATCCGTCTCTTCTGCAGGGTTGACCATTTTTCAGGGAATATGTGGACCTATAAATGAAAAACAATGAGTAACGTTTAGCAACATTATTTACATCAACTGTAAACGTTGTTTTTGCATCTGAACTACCTCTAAAAATCCAGTTATTCTACTTTCAAAAAAACATTCAACACTTGATCGATTAATCGAGTTTTCTTCCTATTTCAGAGTCTATCTCCGAAATCCCCTGACTTTTTCCCAACTCTTTCAGACTCTCCCGGTGCGGGCAGCTGCCACGCAAACACCAAACCTCGATCTGACTCTCCTCAACTCTGTCGTGGAAACTTCCAGACAAACTCACCGTCCAGTCCGCTTTCTGCTCCTCATCCTCGGGGGAAACTGATCGGCTGTAACCCGCTGCGGAGAACCGAAGTGAGACTTCTTGGTAGTTCTTTCAGCTTCGATACATCCTCCACGACTTTTCCCTCCGCGGCGGAGAGTTCAAAAGTCAGTCTGTCAGTTAGAGACAGTCCGTGAACGCCTCACGTCTTGCTGGGGCTGGTTAGGGACCGTTAACAAAGTCTCAGCGGAGAAAATTGTGTAAAAAGATACTGCTAGTGGACATTATCCAAGCTAGGCTGGGATTATTATTTTTGAAGAAGTAACAAAAACCACAAAAATTATAAAACGTTGTGATCATCATTATGCATCACGATTTTTCATAAAAACACTTAAGGAATCATCATGGTGGAACATTTGTTTGAAGTGATTCTGAGGACAAATACCTGAACACCAGGACACCGTGGCTTGTCTTTCTCAATCCTACAGCTCAGTGTTTCAAAATTAGACCCCTGAAATAAAAGGATTCTTTCTGTGCCAAAGTCTCAAAAAGTGGAAAATGTTTTTCTCTCATGCGCAGAAAATAATTTATCATTGGAACAAAACATTCTTCTGTTCACACAAGATCTCGGCTCCACATCATACTTGCATCATGTTCAACTGGTACTAGCTTGTTCACACAAAATTATAAAAGGTGTCTACAAGATAATCTTGTAGCCACAGGATAACTGTATTTAATAATCTTGTGTGCAAAAAGATAATGACTTGTTCCGAGAGGAAACTGACAATCTGCCCACAGGATAATATCTTGCATGCACAAGATAATAATCTGTTGCCTCTGGATAACTATCCTGGGAGCAAATCTTATTCTAACCTGAATATTATATGGTGTGCATTTAATTAAAGTTTTTCCCTGCAGGTTAATTACATTTTTCAAACAAGATTAAAACGTGCACAAGATAATTATCTTGTATGCACAAGATTGTTTAGCCACCACAAAATCCAGAATAACTCCTCCTATGCCTAAATCTATTCAACATCACATTTTTTTCCACACCTTACATGTGATCACATGTTGCAAAAGTTGGAGCCCCTAGCCTCACAATCACATCAAAATTTTGGTCCTTAAACCAACAACTCCCATATGCAAAGTACAAAATACTCGCGTTGTTACCTGATGGTCTCCTGCTCTTAAACGCATTAAATAAACACAATTTGTGCAGGTAAGACAGTGTGTAGAGTTAGCATTCACTTTTTTATCAACTCACATCTGTCATATTAAAAACTTGCCAAGTATTTTTACGAGCAATATAAAATAAAAACTCAATTTTTATTAAGACCACCAGTATCAGCTCTTTTGTTAAAATTCTCCAAAATCATCTTGTGAGTTTTTCTTTATTGCTAATCCATCCAGAGATACTATAATCTTATTATCTAATCCTGTCAATTGGGATTATTTGTATCTTGGCCCTCTTAGGCGTTTCAAAGTGGAATATACTCTTATCCCAGGAGTAAAATCTATGAACACGACTGCAGACTAAAAACCATTAACAATTGCTTATTTTTATGTACATACAGCTGCTCCACCTGTGACGACTCTTGCTGATACATACCGACCTCTTGTGGTTAGTAAGTAGTAATCCACCCTGTAGAGACAAGCAGCAGTTTATCTTTTGGGTTTTATTCACTTGTGAGGATGTGGTACACAATACGTGAGGATTGTTTATAAAAGCAAGGTGGATTTAGTTTTCTTCACTCAGCATTAAAGCTGCAGGATGAGTTCAAAACTCCTAAAATAAATGTGCATTATTAAAAACATCACATAAATATCAAAGGCAAATTGTTAAATTACACAAGTTCACTTCTGCATGATGTCAACATCAAAATTTCAGAGCATCCATGACTGTCCCAGTGATTTAAAAAAAAAAAAAAAAGTAAAATCCTGTACATGCTCTATAAGGCAACTTTTGACAAGCTTTCTCACACAAACGCACGCTCACACACACACACACACACACACACACACACACACACACACACACACACACACACACACACACACACACACACACACACACACACACACACACACAGTCTTATTGTGCCTCCTCTTGCTGTAGAGGAGGCGGGGTGGATGCTTTGGCCCTGTTCTGCTCCTCGGTTGCAGCTGCAGAGCTATTGGAGTTTGCAGCTTCAGTCCCGCTCTGCAGGAACTTTCTCAGGTCTTTGAGGGCCGGTCGCAGCATCTGGACCAATGCCAGCAGGGCGGCCTGAGTCCCTTCCAGTGCCTGAGCCTGCCTCTCCTGAGCAAACGCCTGAGCCTCCTGTGAGCGCCGCATCATCTGCAGCAGCTCGTTCTGACCCTCCAGGTGCTGGGCAATCTGGCGGATGTGGACGTTTGTGACTCTCTGCTCCTGCAGCAGGCGGGCGGAGTTCAGGGCAATGCGGCTCTTCAGCTCCTGAGGTTTGGCCTGACCCTGAGGAGGAGGAGGGGATGCTGAGGACGAGGCAAGCATCTCTACTGGAGCCTCGACTGTCGTAACCACGGTGGGAGTGGAGTCTCCTACTGTGGTTGTGCAGTACTCCACCACACCTCCATCCTCCAGAGTGTGATACGTTGTTTCAGCTGCAAACAGGATACAAAGAAAGAAGTGAGGGGGGATTCTCATAAAATGGAATAAATGTTAAGGGAAAAGAACTGTGCAACTTTTCCATAAATCAGCCCTAACCGTCGCCTGTCAGATGATTCTTGATACACAAGAACAACGAACAAACTATAAAAATAAAAATCATCAAACGTGTAAGGGGTCAGTTACAGATGTAAACAATTAAAAGGATATATTTTTTAAAAAACAGGGATATTGTCTGGACTCAAAAAAAATATTCAAAATTATATTACGAAATGTTTTTGTTTATCAAGTGCAAAAAAGAAAAAATTCATGTAAGGCAAAAAAGAGACTAAAATGAAAACACCCAAAACAGTTTACACCATACACATAGATATTTAAAAAGTGCAAATACTATTTCTTGAAGCTCTATTTTTTTTTTCATATGTACAATTTTTCACTCAATTCAAAAATATTCCATAATATAAAAAAAATTATGCCATGGAATGCAAAAACAAGAACATTTTTAATATGTAAAACAACACATTTTACAAAATGCAAAACATTTCATAAAAGCTGAAAATTCTTTTACCAAACACAAAATAATTTTAAAAAAATGTAAAAAAAAAAAAAAAAAAAAAAAAAAAGTAGGTCCAGCATGTAAAAATATTTAAATAAACACTCAAACATTTTAAAAGATGCAAAAACATTTTGGAAACCTGAAACTGAAAACACAAAATATTTGACAAAACACTAAAATACTTTAAAAAAACAGCTTGAAAATATTTAATGAAATGCAAAATTCTTTCATGAAACAAAAAATGTTTTACATATTTTTTTACCATATTACTTGGACGCAGACATTCCTCCCAATTACTTTTTATACATGAACTCCCTCCTGGTTTGACCTGATATGGTGAATTTTAAACTGGACAAAGTAAGTCCAAAGCCCTTTTCACATATGCACTCCTGAAGTCTGTAAATTCTGAGGAGCATGTGTGAATACAGCTATTTACAGAACAGGGTCATTGCAAAGGTGAAATCCTTACCAGTTTTTGTTTCGTCACAGACTGTTCCTGAACTGGCTGGAAGAGCTGAAATACAGACAAAAAGTCAATAGAGATTAAATGTGAAATATGACACAGTTATTGGGCCAAAACTATTTTTTCTGTGATTTTTCTCTTAAGTTTGACATGAGATTGATGAGGCCAGGAAATCAAGCTCCTTATTCGAACAGCCATCTTTGAATTTCAGCTTCTGGGTCTTGAAAAAAATTCTGCCATATTCAAAGATAGAAAAATTATCCAGAGCCTAAAAACTAAAAATAGTAGAAATACAGAGATTTCTCCAGAGTCTCAGAATCTTTTAATAATCCTATGTTCTGTAGATGATGAAATCCACTCATTCTTTCACATTTGACACTCAGGAACATTATTCTAAAAACTGTTGAACTATCAGCTCACACAGGCTCTTACAGAGTGGTGAACCTCTTTCCATCTTTCCTTCTGAATGTCCTTTTAATACCCAGTCATGTTACTAACCAGTTGGAAATCAATGTCATCAGTGGAAGATGTTCCTCCAGCTGCTTTTATACCTGTAACTTTTTACCTGTTTGTTTGTTCCTCTTACAACTTTGTAGAAACATGTTACTGGCATCATATTTAAAATAAGCATATTATGTGTATTAAACACTAAAATATTCAGCTTCAGGGTATGATCTGTTGTCTTTAATCTGTTTTCCTTTAAATATAGGCTTTGAATGATTTGTACTCAAGTATTAAACTCTGTGTTAGTTAACATGGAACAGTTACTGATTTATAAGGATGTCCCTCAATGAAACTTTTTATGTACTTCTATTTAATGCATCTCTTGTATTGGGCTGTGAGGTGGTCTGAGCATGCTCAGAATGAAACTTTGCTCACTTACTCTCTGTCAGAGTGACGGTGGCGGCGGTGTTCACGGACACAGGTAGAGTAATCTCAGCATCAGAGTCTCCTGCGGGTAGACTGATGATGGTGGCTTCCCCCAGCAGGTTACAGATCCGCTGCTGCATCGCGGTGAGGATGACGGGAACTGGAGTGCAGTCCGCAGAGTTGCCCTCGATGGCAGCTCGAGCCTGGGCCACCTTCCTCCGGACCTCCGTCTTCATGTCGGACCACTTCTTCTTAACCTCGGGCAGCTCTCTGGGACAGGTGGTGACCGCGTTCACCTTTTTCAGGATGTCTGCCCACGCGTTATTCTTGGCCATGTGTGTGACTCCAGCATTGAAATGGTTAACCAGAGTGTGCTTTTGTTTCTCTATTTCTTCCACTATTATTTCCACCTCTCTCTCCGAAAAATTCATTTTTCGCTTTTTCGCGGCCGATGCCATAATTACACAAATTCCTCTTTTTCGGAGGTAATTGTGCGTATTGTACGCAAAAATAGTAGGATTTACTCAATTGATGTGCGCAACGTAATGGCTTCCAGAATCGGCTTTCTTCTTCCTACCAACAACGCTTACGTTAGCTGGGCGTGTAGCCCCGCCCACGTCACCTTATTGGTTTATCGTATCTCGGTCACAGCAAATTCTTTCTTGTTATTGGCAGAATTAGACATCAATCAGCGAAGCAGCCACACAAACTATGTGATTCAAACGCCAAACACACTGTTTTCTCACGTTAATTTACTGACACGGATGGTGAATATGTTAAGTCTGTTTATGTAGCTGTTTCTCATGTCAACAATTCAACTGGATCAATATTGAGACTTGCATCAAATTTAACAGGAGTTGTAACGTAGAAAACACATAAAGACGAATTTAAGGACTATTAAGTTAAATTGTTTTTTTTTTTTATATAAATATACAGAATGTTAAAGGTGTGCACAGACAAACTCAGTACTATATGAGTAAAAAAAAAACTCAAGCCCTAAATGTAAGTCACATATTAATTTAACAGCTGCTCAATACACGATGATAGTAAACATGAGTACAAACGATGGACATGAATGTGTAAAATAAATGAAGGAAAACAATAATTTCGAGTACAACATTTTGCATTTATCTTTGCTGCTATTAATTGTTTCCTTATGCTTCCAACTTAACTTGTATCAATTTTTTTCTACTTACATTAATTTAAATGTACAGAAATGAGCTTAAATTAAAAAAGCTAATTCAAAAAGAAGAGTTTATGTTGATTCCTCTTGATTTTTTTTCTTATGGGCATTTCCTAGTTATAAAAAACACTGCATTTGATTTTAATGGTCAGTCTGACAAATACAGAGTTCTATTTGAGACAGGACAACAAAATGATAACCAGGACAAAGTTAATACAAGTTTTGTATAGCATGCATTTGAGCTGTTTTCCTGTCAGAACAAACGTATACTCTTGTGCCCTCGTCACAGTTCATTTATATGTTGGTCTTTATCCTAACAAACATGTCTTTTTTTGAAAACTCTGTTCATTAGTTTTTAATGTAAAACAAAACCAAACAAAATCTCCATATAATGTTCTAGTAAGCTGTGGATGTGTGATATACAGTATGTTTCCTTAGATTGCCCTCAAGCAGTGAAGACTCAGTACTTAGGCTTAACCAGGGAGCCACCCTGTCTGAACTGTAAAGTGTTGTATCTGAAAGAAGTGTTTTGCTGCACTGTAGTTGTCTCTTAATTAACATTTTGTTTCAAAAACTCCATGAAGCTTCTTCAGGTATTTTCAGGAACTTGCAGTTTATTTTTTATTATGAATGTAAGTTATTTTTATAAAGCAACGCATGCTGATAAGTCTTAGATGTGTTGATTCATACTAGTTTGTGCATGTTTACTCCATCATGCTACAGGTAAAGTCTCATGGATCTATGTCAACAAATGTCCTGAAATTTGGCTCATCAAACAAAACCTCCTCCTGGAAACTTTTGGTTTCTCTACGTATAAGCAGAGAAAACTTGTCCTTCCTACTGTGATATCTCTGTACACTGGGAGCATAGAATATAGCCCTGAGGCTAGTGACCCAGGTAGTAAATACTTTTTGATATTTTTACCTTTTTTGACAAAAGTGGGCTGTTCTTTTTGGGTACAGCCTCATCTGACAACTACCTCCCTCACAGCAGTTGCAGACATTTAAAATGGCCATGCAAAATTATCTTTTTTTCATTTACAGTCTAGTTTTTTAGGTTACAAAAAACATTATTTTGTTCATTTCATAAGAGCTTGACATAAAAAAAAACAATTTATTTCTTTTTTTATTGATATTCAAAATTGACAGCACCCCTGCTCACGAGAGACCGGCGCCTTGTTTTTCGTAAAATGACTGGATTTATAGCAGGCATGTTTGCCCCAGGACGTCAAATTGGATTAATTTCAGTACAATGCAACTCTGACTCTGAACAAGAGGTGGCGCTAGAGCGACGCACATGACAGTCAATAACCAACATCACACTCAAACGGTAGGGAATAAATAAAAAATAAATTAATAAAATTTGAAAATATCTATATTTAGGACAGGTAGACGTAACAATTAATTGAATTTAAGGGTTTTAAAAAGTACAGTGATCAAAGTAATCAGGTGATATAAACTAAACAGAACAAGTAACACTCAAAAAGCAGTTTTCGCACTTCGTTTATAATGTTGAGTTTCTAATGTCATTTAATTCTGCTCCACATTAGGGGTGTAAAAATATTTAAATTAAAATTGTTCCGAGGGCTAATGTGAAATACCACCACCACTGATGTGGTCACACTGTAGTATCGCGATCAACAGCGAGACTTTAGGCGCACCCGGGTCCGGTGACAAATACCTTTCTCATTTTCAGCGGTCGGCAAGTTAAGGGCACTTTACTATCGAAACAGAAAGTCTGTTATTCATGTCTTTGTATTGAGGGCCTTGTTAATCGTCATTAGGGACTGAAGAGCTTTGTTTTCATATGTAAAGTCCGCACAGTGGAGGTATTTTAGCGAACGGCCAAGCCGCTGACAGCTCCGGATTGTCATCCGAGCACCACGTCTGGCTTTACCGGCATCCTGCTTTAACTCCGCTATTACACCGTGGACGATATCTAACGTTACCCGATCGGATTTATACCGTTTTAAGCTAAATTGTCGAGAAGAATTGTTTCAGATTGGGATAAATTCTCGGAAAAAAAGGGAGTTTAACCAGCAGCCGGCTGCCACAGAGGGACATGTGACGTGGTAACGGTCAACAGAGCTCGAGATGTTCACAGCAGGCACGAGCGCTCCGTTTTGGTGACGTATCTCTCATCCAGGTGATCCTGTTTTTTAGGAGCAGAACCGGGACCCCCATGATGCACCAGCAGGGTTCGTTGATGCCCCCCCTGCTCGGTGGTGTTTTCTGCCAGTGCCGCTCACAAGACACCCACCCCGGCGTGGACCCTGGTGGCGGAGGTGGGGGCTGGCACGCAGCCGGGGACCCCCCCTCAGCCTCCCCGGCATCTGAACCTGTCCCTACCGGCAGTTCAGAGCATCCGTGTGATATCTGTGGAGGTCCGGAGCAGGAGCACAGACTGAAGGTGCTGTTCCAGGTCCTGGACGTGAATGGGGATGGAGGGATCTGTGTGAACGACCTGACTATCGGGCTGAAGAAGTTAGGGGTTCACCGCACCGAACATGAACTCATGGTGAGTGGACAACTCTAAGGTTATTGTATACCAGAGCCCGACCGATATAAAGGTTTGAAGACGGATACCGATAGTGTGGTGTAAAAACTCAAAAAGTGATCTGAAAAACACAGATATATTAGACTTAGACTAGTTTATGTGTATTTGTGCACATGTGATATATTTTTAAAGGTGTTCCCCAAACATCTACAATGAAGTGTATCAAACTATGTAAGACAAGGTACACCTGATTCCTGCTGATGTTCGATAAGCTGGTACTTTCAAACTCATTTTGCTCAAAATTGACAACAAATACACATTGTCATTGTACAGAAGTACCAGTCTCTCTTGAGCTCCAATTTACCTGATACTAATTTTCAGGAACTCTGCATTCAAAATTTCCGAAGTTGTTTGTTTACACCTTCCCCGGAGCACAAAGTGCTTGCTGTAGGAAGAAGATGATGGTGGGAGTTGAGTCTCTTGAAGCAGGACTTCACTTTAAATGAAGTCGGGATGCATGATGTTGGGAGGAGCAATATTAAGCACTATTGGAGGGCATGATGATGACTAAACTGATTTAAACTGTCATGTACAGCATATCACTCTAAAATGCTGGATTAACCACGGCTCTAAATTATTTTACCTTCCTTGTGCTATTTGACTTGTCAGCCTGCGGGCCTTAGTTTGTATGATCTGTAAACAAATGAAAAAAAGAACCTGAAGGAGAATCTGCCCCCAGGTGCGGTTAAGTAAATACCTTTTTACGTGCTGTAATAATTTTGTTTGGTTTGTATCGTTTATATTTTGAGTTGCCTTTAAGTTGGAACACTTCATGCAGCACATATTGTAACTTTTCATGCCAACAGCGAGAATATGGTTGCTTTTTTTCCTAATACATCAAGTTACTTAGACAATGCAGCAGGTATTTGGATATTTTTGGGTGCAGTTTTGCTGTTTGCTGTCTCCATTTTCTACGTGCTTAAATGTTGCTGCTGATGGCAGAAAATAGAAGTCCAAAATTGGCTGCTATTACTTCAAATAATTGCCAGTGGAAAAAAAGAGCACTGTCTGCTTTTTCACTGGAGTTTGGTGAAGCCTCCATGGTGACAGAATAATTTAAGCACCTCTTGGCAGAGACAAGTTAGGGATTGGTGCATGAATACAGTAGTCACTGTATTGCTTTTAATATTTCATGAGTTTACTGGCCCTGGGATCACTGTGGGATTCTTCCAGAAACTGAAAGAAACAGACTGGATTGCCAACACACCAGAATGCAGATGCAGAAGCTACTTCAGAGAGTCCTGGAGTCTCCGTGTCTGACCTGATTTGACAGTCTGGAAGCAGATCAGAGTTGTAGGAATCCCTTCCCTGGAAATTTCTCCCTTTGTTTGTTGATTATATTCACATAATCCAGGATAATGATCCTTTCCTTGCTGGTTCACATTGTGGCGCATGTCCAAGTTGCAGAGGTCACTGGATCAAGCCTTAATAACAGTTTACTATTTCAAACAACTGTAACTGTGCAAGTGAAAACTACCAGGCATCGGTGTAGCTCATAATAATAATTTTCTTCATTATCTGTTAGATGAGCCTAGTGTAAATATAAACACCTTTACCTGCTTATTAATGCTTTTACAAATGTTGTCTTCTATCTTCTCTGTCAGCTGTTTAACTGAAGATCAGGCGGCATAAATGTAGTATCTCTCTGTCTGAGTGCTTGTATGTGTTGAAGATACAGCAGTCTATTGTAAATCTCAGCAGTAACAGCTTCTTTCTGGTGCTCCCAAACTTTTTTCCCTTTAATCCAAGCTGTTAATGAGTGAAAGTGAAAGCGTCCGTGCTCTCCTGTGAATGAAGAGTGGAAGGATGCAGTACAATGAAGGCATAGGACGTAATCGAGGAAACCCAGCAGGCAGCACAAGACAGTTCAGTCTTGATAATCATATTTTTGATGATAGTGGGGGGGTCAAATTTGTGATCAAAATTGAAATCTGATCAATCGGCAAGTTCTCATTTGACATATTTACTTGATAGGACTGAGTCAGGACGAGGGTCTGATTAACGAACTGAAACACACTTGGTAATAAGTGTAATCTTATTCCGAGTATTATCAGGCAAAGTGGTGTGAAGCAGTATCTGGTGGTATTTGAATAATAACCAAAATGAATGTCTACAGAGAGACAAACCCCTACTACAAACATGCATTAAGACAGTATGAGTTCATGAATCCACCCTTCCCTGTGTGCAGGTGGTAACTGATGTCTTATGGATATGTCACATTTAAGCCTAGTTTAATTTTGAGCATTGTATTTGCAGGCTGTGGTGGTTTATTGTGTTTAGATTCAGCATATCTTCCCCTGTGGGGCTGTTTGCTAACCATTTGAATTGAGTGTGGTGTGCTGGTTGGGTCGGAAACAAGCAGAAACCGGACTTTCATGCTGAATCGTTTCTGAAAGCTGTAGGACACATTTAATTTGTTTGGTGAATTCAGATGTGGGGATGTGACCCCAGGCTGTGTAACAAAGGGTGACTTCAGGTTAATTTATAAACAGGTCTGTACTGTATGTTCGGAGGTGTGTGCTGTTTCCACATGTAAATATATACACACACACGCTTCATGAACACGCACACAGGAGGCCCAGGAATGCACTAGATTTTCACTGACAGCAGGTAACTGATTGAGTATCAATCTACCTCTGCAGGTCACAGTCCAAGGCCAGGAACGTCCCTCTGAACACTCATGGATATAGCAAGGCATCCCCACCCCAGTAATAACAAAGAGGGCGGTGTATTGGCAAGAAGCAATATTACACTGTGGTAGGAGACTTTAACCATGCTGCAAATTTTATTCCAGATTAGTCTGTTTTTAAGAAAAAGAACACACAATGTAACATACATTTAAAAATTGCTGTTCATTTGTATGAATTCTCCGGAATAGTTGGACCTGCATATGTATTAAACACATCTTACTGTGCTGCAGGAAAAAAAAGGATAGTTTTGATGAGCCATCAAACAGCCATCAAACAGTTAATCTATGAAATTAAAAAAAGAATCAGAATTTTCCTTCTTTAGTACAACAGTTGAAGGTAGGGGTGTCCCTATACGACGTTTTTACCTCTGATACGATACCGATATTGTACCCTTCAATATTGGCCGATACCGATATTGGCACAAACTTGTGCTGCAACGTCTTTTTCGGACTCTAGTGAAAAATACTGCCACAGGGTCGACATCACTCTTACTCCTTGCTACTTTGTTAGTATCTTCGTACACACTGATGTTGTGATCACGTGGACTCTACATGCTGGATATGGGTCCTGCCAGATGGAGGTGCTGGAACGGAATCTGGAATGGACTGTGTGAATCGGATTGCTGATATCGAAGATTTTAGACGCAGGCCGATAAAATCTGATATTGGACAGATATCAATATCGTATTGGGACACCCCTAGTTGAAGGGTTAGATTTTGTAGTTAAGGATGGGGAATTTGATCTCCATATTTGTAGTTTTATTTATTCTTTTATCCAATATAAAATTGTCATCTGCTCTCAGTAAACTAGTGGGCAATCTCTCTCTCTTCTTTTTAGAGAGGTGACAGACATCATTAGTGTCAGTGGAAGCTGATACATTCAACATTTTTCCATGTTAATCGTGTAGTTTAATGATCTTGCAGGATAACTTGTTGCTTCCTGTCAAATATACATTTGTTATCAAAGTCGTAAAGCAGGCAAAAGAAAAGCAGCAAAGCAAACAGTAATCTCTTACTAATGCTGTAACATAAAAGTGGGTTATTTACACTAGACTGTACCTGCTCTGTGGATGCACTGAAATTATTAAACTCTGCCAGAAGAGCAATTAGTAAAACCAAGCAGCAGAAAGCAGCTGCAGTAATGAGGACTGTGTGCTGGTATATTTTTTGCTGCGTCACAGTGAAGTTGGAGGAACCCAGTACATGTTTTGAATGAAAATGAGATGGAGCTCAGTCTGTGGGCGGAAGGGTTCACCTGCTGTTTGCTGACTGTGTGCTTGGGTGACTAAGAAAAAGAGAGGAGGAGAGAGAAAGAGGGAGGGAGGGAGGGAGGGAGGGGGAGGCATCACTCAGCAGATTTCTCTTCTGTGAGGGAGGGAGGGAAGGGAAACCCTGCGTTTCACCCTCCCCCTCCCTCTACGCTGAACTCATAAATTAATTTCATCACTGCAATCCTGTCCTCCATTGGCAGAGGGGCTCACTCCACAGCTCGGTCTGCCAATAAGGACCGCAGCGATTGGTTGGGCTTGTCTGCAGTGAGGATGCAGGTTTCTGGAGACACTCTTTGCTGCATTTCTACGGCTGCTGGTACTTGAGCAAGCGAAGTGCAAACCCCATCTGTGCACAGCTTCCATCACACTCAACTTAAGATATTTAAGTGTGAAAATTTTCCACGGTAAATGAAGACGCAATGATGAAGTTGAAGTGAAAGAGTTAGCTTGAAGAATTTCACCTTCATCCTGCTGCATTTTGATGATTTTGGACCTGAGCCTGCACGTCTGTCAACAGAAGGATTTAATCAAAGAAAGATCCTGATAAAAAATGAGGTTCTGACCTGGAGCAGAGAAGCAGAGGAGAGTGGAGGAACACTTCTCTGCATTGTCCTCATCTGACCTTACTCTCTCATTCAACTCTTTGCTTCCAGCCAACACACGCAGACTTCAGTGGCATTCTGGTTTCTTGGACTGGACTCAGTAGGACCCTGTTTGAGGATGCTGCAAGACATGCTGAGTTTACTCTGGCAGAGACTTTTTGGCAGGACACAGTGTGATCCTGCTGAAAGTGCGGAGGAGGAAAAGACTGAGGCTGCTGGAAACTGCAAGAAGCTGCATGAAAAGAGTGAAAACTCCTCTTATAGTGAGCAAATCAGCAGCAGTAATGCTGCTCCTAAAAACACCACAGTGTTAATTATGGTGGCTCCTCCAGCCGATCTTCAACAGGTAGGATACAGCAGAACCTGTGACGTCAGTGGGACAGTCACAAGAGGGAAAAGTATTTTTAAGATTATGTCGATTTGTCTCTGTTGATTTTGGACGAGATGTTTGATAGAGTTGCGAATATGGAGAAGAGAACAGTTGAAGTTGGCCCTGGAGCTGCTGGGTTGAAGACTAAGCCTTTGGGTGTGGGGTGTACAGTGGTGAAAACATAGTTAAGTAATCCTGAATGGTAGTCATTTAAAATTTTGCAACTCATGGCAGTATCTTGACTTTAGTAGTCTAATTTTACAGCACACATTACATTGTGAAACTTCAGTTCCATTTTGCAACATTTATACACAATCCAAGCTACGGAGTGCCTTAAGTTCTAAAAGTTACAAATCTTACCTCATGTGCACAAAATAAAAATAAACACACACACACACACAAGTCTAACTTGTAAGCACAAAAAATTCACTCATGCCCAAAGTTTGAACTTAGTCCACAAGATAGTAGTTAGTTCCACCAAGATCGTTATTTTGTGTGCACAGGAAAATAACTTGTGCATGCAAGATAACTACTTTTCCCACGTGATTCTTGTTTTGTGCAGACAAGATAACAAGACAACCCCACATGAAAATGATATTGTGAACCAGAGATAATTTACTTGTACCCACAAGATAGTTAACCTTGGTGGAGAAATAATAACTTGCACTCTTGAGAAACTTAAGGCCCTTTTCTCCTCTCTCACATCTTTTGCAAACTGTGATCCCTCTCTAAAGCAGTGAAGACATCAACACTGGTGACGCCAGTTTTATGTTCTTATTAGCTTGATTTTCTCACAAAACACCGTCTACTGGATTGAATTGTGGAGGCTTGTTATGGTGCAACCAAAATTCACTTTTTTCGTCTGTTTCTATTGGCCACCACTAGCAAGGAAGGTTTGTAGCAATTTTGCCTTGTAATGTCTTGAATTATGATATTAGTTTGAAGCTTTTGCAGCAGTTTTTCACATTTTTGTCATTGTTTGAATTTTGGGGATTTTAACAGGTTTTGTGCTGTGCTTAAGTCAGGTGTTTGTTTTTCAGTGCACTGCTTCATTGAGTGTAAGTTCCTGGTATCTCGGGTCCTCATCTGTGAACTGATCACCATCAGTGTGAGTTCAGCTGTGCACATGGTCGAGGGTGTCTCTCACGCTCTATTAGTTTTACTCCCATGCAAATTTGTTTGGTGAAGTTTGACATGAATTGAGGATTTCCTTTTTATCTTAAACACACAGCTGCTCCCTCCCCATGTAGCCATTTCCTAACAGTCAGTTTGTATTTATATTTTTTTTACAGCTACTCTTTCCAGTAGTCCGAGGTGAACCTGATGTGTGTGATGATTGTTTAAAGTGCAGGCTGAGTCAACAGAGCACAGATGGAGGAGATGTTTGAAGCCTCACCTCTCTGACCTTTGCTGCTGTTTGCCACTTCACTCTGTACAAAACAGTGTCACTAACAGCTGTGAATGAGCTCATAGCCCTGTCCAGCGATGTGTCTGTAAATACAGCAAACTAACCTTCTCACATGTTTGTTCTTCTGGTCTGTTTTTTGCTCCAATAGAAAATCGTGAAAGCTGGAGACAAAGATCTGGATGGACAGTTGGACTTTGAGGAGTTTGTTCATTATCTCAGAGACCACGAGAAGAAACTCCGATTGGTCTTCAAGAGTTTGGACAAAAAGAATGATGGTGAGAAACATTTTTACAACAATCGACTGTCTTTGAAATCTTTGTGATACAATACATATGCAACAAAACCCCTCCAATAAGACTTTTCCCTGTTAAAGATGGTTGGGGTCCAGTAGCTCCTCAGGCTGCTTTCACATCTGTGCCCACTGACTGTCATGTCCGACAACAGAAGTTGAAAGTTTTTACTGTTAACGTTAAATTGGCATCCACGTTTAAAAATTAATCATTAAAAACTTGACGCTGTTAATCAACAATTGACATATTAATGGGCGTGTACCAAGCTCTGTTAGCAAGCTGCAGCAAGACTACGCCCACAACATTTTATTTGTCATGTGCATTTCAGTGAATCACTCTTCACACGTCTTTTTTTCAGTGCTTAATGAGACGGAATATGAATTATATTAAAAATACAAACTGTCTTTTCTCCAAAGTATATTGCAACAGATAATGTTTAATTTTTTAGCCCAGTCACATGCCAATTGCAAACTACTTCAAACAATGGATAACATGTCAGAGATTTCTGTCAAAGTTACTCTTTTAATCTATGGCTCACAATGACATTTTACAATGAAATAAAATGGGCATATTATACATTTCCCTTCAATCTCAGTGTCCGTGTTTTGTGTCCCTGATGTCCCCAGATGTCACAGGGCTTAAAAGAAAAATTTTAATCTTGGCAAAAATTGTGGAAAAGCGCATGTCACTGATCGGTGGAAGAGCCAAAGTTACTTCTGTGTTTGTCAACGAGGGTCTTCTCTAAAATAATACCACACTCAGTATCATAAAGCGCTGAAAAATATCCTGAACATGAACCTAAACCATGATTATCTACATCAGCATTGAGCCATGGGTTATGTCTGACCCCTCAGTAAGGCATCAAGTGTTGAGTAGCCTGATGAAAGAGACAGAGATCATTCTTATGTTTGTCCGTTTGTTTGTTTGTTGCAGGTCGGATTGACTCACAGGAAATAATGCAGTCGCTGCGTGACCTAGGGGTGAACATCTCTGAGGAGCAGGCAGATAAGATCCTTCGGAGGTGAGAGGGATGCTGTGATGGACAGTTTTACCAGTCTGTATATCTGTCTCTGTGACCTTCTCTTCTGTAACTTTTTATGCGTGTGATCAGAGGATTCAGTCTAAAACTCTTCAACAGTTAGATGCCAGTTGTCTGTAAATGAAGACTTTCCTTCTCACTGTTTGTATAATGGTTTTATGTAGGAATAAGTGTAGGAGTTTCCTTCACAGAAAGGTTTCACGACAGAGCCTAAGTGTCAGAGCTGTAATCTGTTTGTACTCCTTTAGATCCAGCACACTCCTGAACTGTTCCATGTCCCATCTCTCACTCAGCTGTGGAGTCTGTCTACACTCATTTAAACTACCGAGTTCTTGTTCTTCTGTGTCATGTGGTTATGGCTCAGTGTGATTCCTGTCTGGTTCTAATCTCATGTCTGTCCGTCTGTGTCCCTCTCTCTCTGGCTGGTCTCAGAATAAGGAGGGGTCATATCTGGGCCCCTATCCTGTAGTAAGTAGTAGCTTCTCTAGTCTGCTTTCTCAGCCACTGCTGCATTGTTCACCTCTGCACCGTCTGTCGGCTTCAGTTCCCAGTTGCTGTTTTTGTGTTCAGTGATTTTAGAAGCAAAATGCAACAATTATCACCAGATGAATGCTCTGATAATTTGTTGTGGCTCATGAGGTTCAGTTTAAGCACTTTGCAGCACTTTGAGTGAATGCACTCAAATGCAACAGTGCACGTGAGCAGATAGCTCTGCTTTCTTTCTGAATTTTTTCTAACTGTCTGTTACTTTACATTCTCAGTATGGATAAAAATGGCACCATGACGATCGACTGGAATGAGTGGCGGGATTATCACCTCCTGCATCCAGCAGACAACATTCCTGAGATCATCCTGCACTGGAGACACTCCACGGTACACACTCCTTTTTATAAAATCTGTCAGTCTTTATTATTTCCATGTGGAAACTTCTATTTATACCTCTAAACTTAGATTTTAAACATTTGTTTTGCTGCATATGCCAGTAAGGCAAATTGTAAGGGATTTAATCGATAAATATGTGCTCATTTTACATTTGATGTCAGCACTACATTTCCAAAAGTTTGGACTACAAAAACCCTGAGGAAGTTGTGTAATGCTGCTAAGGCTTAGTGTCTCAGTAAAGATGGAAAGAAGTTCAGCACTTTGGAAAACCACTGTCTGTGAACACGGTTTGTTGCTGCCATGCAAAGAGAAAACCAAACATAAGTGTGATCCTGAAACTCTGGAAACACTAGAAACATCTGCTGCCATCCAGACCAAGACTTTTGGGAAATCACATTCTGCAGAGATTTCAATAGCATGGCTCTGTAGTAGAAGAGTCCTGCTGATAAACTGGTCTGCCTGTAGTCTTGAATTTTCCCCCACTCAAAAGATTTGGAGCATCATGACACCAAAAATAGGACAAAGGAAACCCTGTACTTTTGAAAAGCTGAAACCCTATCAGGCAAGAATGGGACAATATTTCATTTTGAAACTCCAGAAAGTGGACTGCAGGGTTCACAGAGAGTACGTGGAAGAAAAGCTGAGGACACAGTATGGCAAACATGACCCTGTACCACCTTTGTTACGGGCATCAGATTAAAAATGAGTGTACACTTTTTATTAAAAGATTCAGTTTGCATGTTGTCACAGCACTTTTTTCAATCAAAATCAGTTTTTTTTTTAATAATTTGCAAAACAACAAATTCTGCTTTTATAAACATTTTTTCTCACCTGTTAAAAAGGTTACTTTCCATCAAAGCCAGTGTTAATAAAAGGTAACATATCGCTGCTTTTGTCCTGTAAAGTTAATGTAATCCAGACCTGATAATGTAGTTGATTTAATTCAAATAAAATCATTCAGTAAGTCTGCAGTGTTTTTCCCTCTGCATGTTTCACATTATTTCAAAGATTCTCCTGTCACTGATTCTGACTGTAAAAACACCGACTGAAAGTTAAACCTCTCCGTCCTCAGATTTTAGATGTTGGGGAGAGTTTGCTGGTTCCTGATGAGTTCACAGCTGAGGAGAAGAAAACAGGAATGTGGTGGCGACACCTGGTGGCTGGAGGAGGAGCTGGAGCTGTATCTCGAACCTGCACAGCACCTCTGGACAGACTCAAAGTGCTCATGCAGGTAGAGTGCTCAGCTGATTTGACAGTGATTTTTTCAACAAAGGGACATTTTGATACTAAACCATCATGCTGTATGTCATCCTCAGGTTCACGCATCTAAGAGCAACAGCATGCGGATCACAGGAGGGTTTGCACAAATGATCAGAGAAGGAGGAGTGAGGTCACTGTGGAGGGGAAATGGCATTAATGTCATTAAAATTGCTCCGGAGTCTGCCATTAAATTTATGGCATACGAACAGGTGTGCATTACTCCCAAATGTGACAATTTCACAAAACACAATGTGATTGTTTGGAGGGACATCTAACAAAAAAACAACACATGTCCTGTGTGTCAGATAAAACGATTGATTGGGAGTAACCAGGAGACCTTGGGCATCGCAGAGAGGTTTGTGGCCGGCTCTTTGGCTGGAGCGATCGCCCAGAGCAGCATCTACCCCATGGAGGTGAGAAACCAACTCATACAAAGTTAATATCAGCAAATCCTCACTTTTTAAATGCCATACATGAAGATTTATTCATTCACAACTCATGCCTCATTATGTTTGTGTGCAGAAATATCCACGTGGCTTCTCTTTGTCCTGTGACTGACTCCTCATTTTAATTTTTAGCCTTGAACGCATCATGTGAATCTGTGACCTCTGTTCTGGAGGGACACAGACCTTCACACGCAGACTCACAGACCGCCACATGTGCACATGTGTGAGCAAGTCATTTATGTAAAAGAGGTTATTATGTTAATAATGCACGACATATAATCTACGACTCTTGGACAACACAGTGAAAGTTTGTTTTCTATACGGGACAGTTTGACATCTCATCTTGTCCTGTCAGGTGCTGAAGACGCGGTTAGCCCTGAGGAAGACGGGTCAGTATTCAGGCATTGTGGATTGTGCCAAACACATCTTCAAAAAGGAGGGAGCGGCTGCTTTCTATAAGGGCTACGTCCCCAACATGCTGGGTATCATCCCGTACGCCGGCATCGACCTCGCCGTCTATGAGGTGCGTGTCAGCCTGTTCAATTCAGTCTCTGTTCGGCGCTTTTGTTTGAGCTCAGTCTGACTCCTTTGGTCTTCTCTCCTCCGTCAGACTCTGAAGAACTCATGGCTGCAGCGCTTCGCCACAGACAGTGCTGATCCGGGCGTGTTTGTGCTCTTGGCATGTGGCACGACTTCCAGCACATGCGGACAGCTGGCTAGCTATCCACTTGCCCTCGTCAGGACACGGATGCAGGCACAAGGTCAGTCAAGGCAGAGCTCTAACACACTGAACACGGCTGCCAGGAGGGAGGAAATTAGACCCAGAGTGAAGTCAATTTTCACTGTTCACATAGAAGAGAATTTGACTGGAGATCCATTTAAGGTCATTTGTTTTGTGGTGCATATTTCTCACTGGTATGTGCCACTCTACTTGCATCAACTTTATCTGCAATCTTTCCTTTTCTTCTCTTCTGTTTTAAAGATACTATTATGATACAGCCACCCAATACAGGAGGTGACGCCATGTCATGTTTTGATGTAAATTACAAGTGCACACACAGAAACTAGTTTGTCAGAGTGAAGTCTGTTTACGTGCTAACACAGGCAGCAGGTTTTACAACCACAGACAGTCATTGCCCTGTGGCTGTGGTGATAAGAAGTAGGAAGTTAACTGGAGACTTTCTCTCCAGTGTTAATGTGTAACTCCACTTAGAGGAACATATTAAGACATTATTATGAGTTTCTGGAAGAGACAAGACCACAGACTGCACCAATCCTAAAACTCAGGTTGTTTGGCGTCGTGTTTGATGGTCTTGTGGATGAATTTATGATGTTTATTGTGTTTAGACTACAGTGAGTAGTTTTGTGTTTGAGCTGTCCTCCTCTTGTCCTCAGCAGCAACTCTTGAAGGGGGCCCTCAGATGAGCATGATGGGCCTGTTCAAACACATCATCAGGACTGAGGGGCCCATGGGACTCTACAGGGGCCTTGCACCAAACTTCATGAAGGTTATTCCCTCCGTCAGCATCAGTTATGTTGTCTATGAGCACCTCAAGATCACTCTGGGGGTCCAGTCAAAGTGAGGAATCAACACTCCAAAGGTTTTTTTATGTTTCCGCTGACTGAATCGGCAGCTGATAATCACGTATTCAAAAAAGACACTATCACTTTTTTTGGTTGTTTGAAGTAAAAATGTGAAAGAAGAGGTACTCTTTATAGCAGAGAGGCTCATGAAGGTGCGAGTTAGTTTCTTTTAGCAACCAGGTGGTGCTTCTTACACCAGTTAATGTCCCTTCAGGGAGACTAAAGTTTACATTGAAGGAATGAAGAGGTTTACTGGTGCTCCAGTAAAACGTTCCTGCTTCTTCAGAGCACTACGAAGCAGGTCTGCTGCTCTCTTTGGAAAAGAGTCTTTGCCTTGAAGGGCTTTACTGAGGCATATCATGCAGCATTTCCAATGTCTCCTGATTGGAAGATTTGCACATGGCATCATGAAAAGTACATAAAGCCAGTAAAGGGCCAACCCCTGTGGTTATGCAGATTCCCTTTGCACATGTAAACATTTGTTTGTATATTATTCTGGATGGAATCCACAGTGCTGTTTTTGGAAACTAGAGGGCTACACAAGACTTAAGTAGATCGGGGCATTTGTTACAATAGATTCAGCTGCAGCCTAAGCTTTGAAATATGGTTAAGTTTCACTTTTTATTCTGTTTGTTGTTACTTTGCACAGAGGCCCTGGCAGCTTCTAGTAAACCAGACTATAAGACCTCCTGCAGACTGGCCCATGATGGCCATGCCAGAAGAAAACAATCAAAAACAGAAAAAAAATGAAACACTTTTGGCCAAAATATCACTCGGATATGTGTAGGCTATATTTTGATCTGTTGTTTTGAATATTCAACAAGCACACATTTCTCTGCAGGTTTATCCATACTGAACACTTCTGCCCCCCTCAGGCTTTAACACCAACTTCATGTAGACAGATTTTCCTCATGACATCGGCTCTTATTATGGTTCATCGTGAAAAGCATTTTGAAAAGCTGATGAAAAGCACACAAATTTGCAGTGGATTACGCTCTCAGTGAATTCATATGTCCTCTGCTAAATCTCCGACATAACTCACCTTGTGGTCATTGATACAAGATTGCAGAGAAATTTAAGTCTTCCTTTTCATTCTGCACTTTGCTGAAAAAATTAATCTTGTCAGCTTCCTCAACCTGACCCTTAAAACAAGATGCATTTTGTCCAAAAGCAGCCACCAGCTGTGCTATCAAGCTGCAAATAAGGATTTGTTTCAATCAGTTGTTTCCTCTGTCTTCAGAAACCAAGCGTTAACTTCAGCAGATGACTTGTACTGTACATAATCTAAAGATATTCTAAAGAAACCAAGAATTATATTGCAGTCTGAGAATTTTGACATTTGTGGACCAGTTTAGCCAGCTATTAGGGCTTTACCAGGTAATCGATACAGCTTCGCTGTGTGCTTAGCTGGAGATATCAATGACAAAAAATTTTGGTGTTATCGTTTCAAGGTTTTGGCAAAAAGGTCATTTTTCCAAAGACATCCTACACCATGAACAATATCCTGTAGCTTGGAGGCCAGATTTTTGTATTTCCGATATTTCAAGGTTTTCCAACAAAAACCTGAAATATAGAATCTGATGTTTGGCATAGGATAAGAGGATAATATGATAATAATTCAATTCTTGTTTTTTTTATCATTATTTCTATATCGTAATTATCTGTCAGGACAATCAGACACTGATTGAATTTCTTTATTTCATCATTACACTGTCAATGTAGCTTAAAATGTTTTCAGTTCAATCTCCTCCTTCAACTGTGAAACAAATCCGTATGAAGCCTCCCTGACATATTAAGGTGCTCCTCAGGAGTCAGTTTTCACCTTTAAAACACTTTCCCTTTGACCAGGATTCACATTAGGATCATTAAACTGTGTTTGTTTCAGACTTTGTAATAAGGACCTACAGAACCTGTTTTTTTTTTTTTTTTTTATGTCGTCAGTTAAATCTTTCTCCATCAGTTGTTTCTAAACACTCCTTAAATCTCATAAAGGGCGATCAGAGGCAGCTCTCTCCACCTGCCTAATGTCAGACTGTCCAGGATTCCCATGAGTGCCTTAAGTGCCGAGTCTCTCACCTGTAAACGCACCTGAACACTAGAGGAGTCTGTGGGATGTTGAATGCACTTTAAGGTACTCTGCTTTAATTCCTTTTTTAATTTATTTCTGTATTTATTTATTTATTCAAACAAAAAAGGATTAAAGTTTGAGTTTGGTCTCATTGAGGTTGTAAGGGGGGGTTTGTGATTTTAGAGTCCTCCATTATCTGACGTTTTTTGGTTTATAACTCCATGTTGAGCCCTAATTGTATAGATTGACTATTTAAAAGATCTGTGGCAAATATACAGATAGTCTGGCACTTTTTAAACTGAGGATAGAGTTTTGTTGGATTTATTTTTTTTAATGCCTACTGTAAATTGGCATATTCCTAAAACTCTTTTGTTTATCAAGCCAGTAATTATTTTCAAAAAAGAATTCCATACCTATTTTGTCATCCATGCCAAAATGGTGTGACCTAATGTAAAAGTGCATTTCAATAACACCCAAGGATTTTTGGTTTTGTTTTGTTTTAGTTTTTGTAAAATATTTTGCACAATTGATTGACATTACCAATTATTAAGTTAAAATTTGTTTGGATTTTGTACTTTTGGGCTTCACACAAAAAAATCCACAACAAAAAATCTGTGAAATTTAATGGCTCAGGTGAACATACATCTGACTTCCACAAAAATAATATCAAAATTAAATCAGTTCGTGAAGGGAAACAAAATCAACAGGGTCTGAACATGTTAAAACAACAGACTGTGCACAAGAGGTGGACAAAGCCCCAGGATCTGAAAAATGAACGAAACCTGATGTCCAACAGGGGGAGTTTACTGTCTGGATCTCTAGTTTCAAGTCGTCTTCAGTTCCAAAACTTGATCTGTTTGTAGCTCACAGTGCAGTGACTAACACCAGTTCACACGTAGCACCGAAAACACTATACTGCATGTGATTTCAATTTGAAAACAAATAGGTATCATCAACAAAAACCCAGCATCAGTGTACACAGGCCCTTAAAGCATAATGGCAATAGCCATTTACTGGAGCTGCAGTCCTGAATTGTGGAGGGTGACTGCGTTAGATGCAGCAAATTATTATCATTGTGGACCTACAGTGATAAAATAATAGCTTGTCCACCAACTAGTATTGTTGGTGCTTGCTGATGAAGGCGCCTACATTTGATGGTTCAGCCAACTTTATAAAAACATCCTCCCTGTGATTTGACAAGGTGCATTCAGGAGTGCGAAAAGACTCCTGAGGAGTTGTTTCAAGCTTTTATCATGTAAGTCTAGTCTTTTGCTATCTGACCCTATCATTCTAACCGAGAAGCCGCCTCTGTTGCTGAAAATGAACCCAATGCAGAAGTGCTTTAAAAAACGGCAATAGAGGGAACCTTGTAGGAGCCAGCATGAAGATGTCTAAGTGTGTAAAAGAGTTCAGCATGTTTACAGCCAGGTATTGAAACAGAGTTTGGATCTTTTTAGCACATTATTATTTTTAGTTATAGTTATAGCCTGAACTCCTTTCCTGTTTTTAGAAGGCATTTCATTTTGAGTCAGTTTTTGCAAGCCAAAATGAGTTAACAAGTTGATATCATCATACCCTGAATAATGGATGTGCCTTGCCAGTCCAACTAGTGTTAGCCAATAACTTAGCTTTCTACCCATGGTTCTTTAGTTGTTCACTTCTGGCTGAAAAAAATCCAGCATGACAGTTGCCTAAATGCTAAACTTAGGGCTTTCAAAGAGTAATGGTCAAATGAAGGGTAACATCCGGAAGGTTCTGTCCTCTTCTTGTCTTCAGTCTTTTGTTGAATCACTTGCATGTTGATGAAGAAGCTGTAATAAAACAAGAGAAGCTCTCTCACATGTTGGATGTCTGCTCATCAGGCTGCTACTGTCAGCTGCCTTATCTGAAGCAACACGTCTACTTCAAACTCACGCTGTGTCTTCAGAGAAAGTGCAGCTGGACACCTAATCCATCTCTGTTGTCATATTTACACATTCAAGTGTTTCCACCAATAGCTCCAATGTCTTAAAATGATGCTGTGGCGTACCCACGAACAGGAGGGCTTGAATTGTACAGATAGACTTTACAAACTGAAGGCTGCCATGTATATATGTAAACTGTATATTGGTAAATGGTGGCATAGTTTACCAAATGTATTCATTCTATATATTTCTATTTTATTTTGTTATGCCATGCAGCTGTGACAGAAATGCAGGAATGAGTCTGTGAGTTGTTGTGTCAAAGTTTCTTTGTATGTAGATGCATCCACTGAAAGAATGTTTGGCTGAAAATTCAAATATCTGCCTGTCAAATAAACTTGTTCAGCAGTACAACATGTGAATTGGATTCATTTGTATCTTATAAGTTCATGTCATTCAAGGGTATCAGAATGCACATTTATTTAAACGAGGGGCCCCGAAATACATGTTTTAGAACATGTTGCTGACAACATTTTTGAAATTAGCATTTATTTTTCATAGAATAGACAAGCACACAAAAGTTTCAACATTCATAGTCTTTGCTCTGTTTTTAATGAAATCGTTGTTTTAGATGAGGATGTGCAAACCATCCAATTTAACATTTTAAACCACTATCAAACTTTTAGGGAGTTCAGGCCTCTCTCCTGTAAATGGTTTGTATTGTGGCGCCCTCTAGTGGATACATCATCTCTCTGTTGTCCTGTACACGTCACACCGTGGACATACTGTATATTCTAACAGTGTACTCCTGCAGCTGCCAAGTCAGTGCGTCCACCATATTGCTGAGGGCAAGTGGAACCTGCTTTGAATACAACATGCTAACGTAGCTGATTGATAGGCCAATTTTTATTTTAAACACGTGAAATTTTAGATTTAGAAATTTAGAACCAATCCTTACAAACAAAGTAGATTTTTAAACCCCTAGTTAATCAACGTACATGTTTGAAAGGGAGTGGGAAGATGTAAAAACTTCAAAAAGTCCGGGAAGAGAAAAATATTAATCCCCCGTTTACACTTGCTCTTATTATTATTATTATTATTATTATTATTATTATTATTATTATTATTATTATTATTATTATTATTATTATTATCTCATACAGGCCACCATGTTTTTTTTTTTTTTACTGTACTGATTTTTTGTTGAAGTCCAGCTGTGAGGCAAAAAATGTGATAAATTAGTAAGTAGGTCGGAAATCTGCTTTTATTTCGGAAATACCCAACTTTACGGTGTTTTCGTGTCGTTATCAACATACAAAATAAAACCCTAACGTCGCTGTGAAGTTTCATCATAACAGACATTTCTGTAAAACGATTTGGAAAAATTCTATTGTATAGTATTCGAACCAAAAGGCGTTTGTTAGAAATTGTTGGTATTCAGTTCTGGTGTCGTTATGAGAAGTTGTACTTTTATTCTGAAAAGCTCGAGCGGAAGTGCCCTTGTTCTGCAAAATAACGGAACAGAGACGGTAAATGATGACAGGTTACCTGCCCGTGATGTGAAGACGGATCTCTCATGTAGAAACAACCATTAAATCTTTGAAGTCAGCGTGAACGCTCAGTTCCCAGTAGTTAAAAGGGAGCCTCAAAAATGGCGGCTTTAAGGACGACGGTTAAGACTGGACTAGCTTTATGTTAAAGATGCTAATTTTTATCATTAAGACGATGGAGGGAAATAAAGAGAAGCTGGGACAGCTCGACTCCGGTTCGGGGACGTCTAGAGGATTTCTCGGCTCTTACAGTTGGACCGAAGCTCGGATATAACACACGGTACTCTTTGTTCGGTCGGAGGTCCAGTTTCAGATGGGACAGAGGAGTCGAGAGGACGGGACTGACTGTACTGAATGTATTTATAGCTCCATGATTTAGGAGTATTTTTCCACATCAGGTACAAACGGTCTGCGGGGATGTTTCCACGTCAGCAGCTCTGAACAGAACGGCAGCATTCACACATTCAGGGCTCTGTGGGGGAGACCGGGACCGGCTGCGACACTTTTTGCACTTCTGTCAGTAACAAGGAAGCTGTGAGGACCAGACCGACCAAATTTAAATATCTTATAGTTACACCTGTGTGTTATCGTTTATTTCAAGATACAAACTTTCAAGAAGATTTACAGTGTACACACTTGAGTCATAGGGGTGTAATTTTATTCTATACAGGATGTAATTGTGTTAAAATTGATTACCTTAGACTCATCAAATTTATACTATTGTCTCATTATGCATGTTAATAGAAATATGCATTGGACTACAGTTCTATAGTTATATATTTATTGTCATATTTTTGTTATTCTTAAGGTGCAATTTGTAAACAATTACTTTTAAATCTCCTGCAAGAAACTTTAGATTTATGTGGACTATAACACTCCCTTGTGGGTAAAGTCTCCTCATTTTCTCCTGGATTTTGTTACAAAAATGTGTAAATAGTGTTTCTCAACCACAAATCTCATTATCTTGAAATGGAAGTAATAAAATAGGCAGTTTGTGGTTATTTATTTAGTTTGACACCCAGCCCTCCAGCAGCAGCTGAAATAACCATACAGGAGTAGTCAGTCTTCATCTCAGTGGTTACATTTGTATTTGTATTTGTAGGTCATAAAAAGGTGTCAGTAATATTACTGTCAATCTCATAACCACATTAGAAACACCCTCAAAGGAGTTTTAAATGTTGTTTTTCAGTGCATTAAATATACGCCTGTTTAAAGTATCTTCCTGCCTGATGCAAAACCCATTCAGTACCTCAAAGAATGGAAAGATTTGTAGTTTGACAGACTTTTTTGTAAGACATGATTAATTTTATTTAGATAATTTATTTCCTGTCAGTCCTCAGCTTTGATCCCTGATAACTAGGTTACCCAAAAGTGAACAAAACAAGAATCCAAACTGTAGAAAATTTGCTTTATTTACTCAAAATTTCAGGGCAGTTTGACAAAAAATTACAGATAAAAAAAAATACTTAAACTTCTCCTTAGCATTATATTTTCAGTAGATGCAGCACCAAATGTTAGGCTTATTTCCTTTCTGCCTTGAGGGTAGGAAGCCTATCTTAGCATGTGCAGTGGTAGTCCCATCTCTTTCTTAACCATCCCTCGTTACAACGTCCCTGACTCCCATACTTTAAATAGCAATGGCTCTAAGATCCAGGAGATCATGGACAACCATTATTTTTGGCATCTTTCTGGGATTTACCGCCTCCTCCTGGCTCATCGTACCTCAGGTCCTCGAGAATAAACGGAAAAGATCTCCAGAGTGTTTATACTTCAGTGACTCCTTCGCTGGTAGAGGCCCTAACCAGGGTCTCAGAGACCGGGATGGTCCGCAGGTCGGACCAGAGGAGGTGAGAGGATTGGGCCCAGGAGTCAACAGCACTGGAGACACTGGGAAACCTGTAAACAGACCCACCCGCTTCCTCTATGTCGGGGTGATGACAGCAAAGAAATACCTGAGGTCTCGCGCTGTGGCTGCATACAACACCTGGGCGAGCTCCATACCTGGGAAAGTAGAGTTTTTCTCCAGCGAAGGGTCGGGCACTGTCCATACGCCTGGTCCCCTCCCAGTGGTTTCTCTGGCAGGTGTGGACGACTCGTACCCGCCACAGAAGAAGTCATTCATGATGCTGAAGTACATCCATGACCACTACCTGGATAAATACGAGTGGTTCATGCGGGCGGACGATGATGTTTACATAAGAGGTGATTATTCCAGGAATCTGATGACTAACCGTTTGTGTCAGAGTGAGAGGCACAGCTTACTGAAGCACCTTATTCATGAGGTGTACAGAGAATTTTGGAAACATACATTTCACTGTCAGGCCTCTGTTTTGAGCATACAACTTGTTTCTGCTTGCAAAAATATTCTTAAAAGAGGGCTATCTGAAAGGGCGGTGTTTACATATTTACATACTTTATGCTTAAGATTAGCAGCTTTGGATTTCACACAGGCTTACAGAGAGTCTTTAAGACACTGCAGGACAAACTAGCTACAAAAACACTGATATACAAGCTTCAAACAGTGTTATTCTGTGCACTAAGATCTCCCCTGTTGCACACTAGTCACCTGATATTAATCCCCTGTTCACACTTGTTCTTGATTTATTGTATTACCTGCAGCATTTCCATCCATTCCCATCTAAACAATATCAAGGAAACTCTTAAAACTCTCTTCGTATGAATTAATATGCAGAATTATGCAATTAGTGGGATTTAGCGAGTTTAAAAAAAATAGTGCCATGGAGTCTTCAAGTTTAAACACATGTTGCAGAAGTTTTCTACCTAACCACGTGTCATGATAAAGTCTGGTTCCCCCTCATCCGTTAGGTGAGAAGCTGGAGCTGTTCCTGCGGTCTCTTAACAGCAGTAAGCCTCTCTACATCGGTCAGACTGGCCTGGGTATGGCAGAGGAGCTGGGCAGACTGGCCCTGGAGCCAGGGGAGAACTTCTGTATGGGGGGCCCCGGGATGATCTTCAGCAGGGAGGTGCTCCGCAGGATGGTCCCTCACATCAGCACCTGTCTGAGGGAGATGTACACCACTCATGAGGATGTGGAGGTGGGCCGCTGTGTGCGACGTTTCGGGGGGACGCAGTGTGTCTGGTCTTACGAGGTAAATGTGATTTCTTTTTTTTCTGAATCAGTGACTCTGAAGAAGGCTCGGGATGAGACTTCTGGGGTTTATAATGGTGCCTAGTTTACAAAAGACAGGTTTTAGTGCAGATTTAGAGGGAAACTTCATTACACAGACCTCTGCTAGGACTGTTTCTGTAATGAGGCTGGTCTGATTTGATTACAGACAATCACGACAAAGCTATTCAGTGTTTTTAAGAGAACATTGTTCACTTTCATTACCAGTTGAGAGGTTTATGTGGACTTTGAGCAGACATTAGACTTCAAAACAGACTTTGTCTGCTTACTGTTGCTTGGAAAGTAATTTGTATTGTAATAGTCTCTGAAGGGGAAATCAACTTTTCTACTGTATGATTGCACATTGAACATACACAAAGGCTGAAATACAAACACATGTTAGCAGCAGAGTTGCTCTAGATACCTCCAGCACATGATGCATATATTGTATATGTGGAAAGATTCCAGATGAACAGCTGTGACTGCTTTTGCTTTTAACTTTTTAGAGGCCTATGCACCACATGGTCGGTAAAATTTTGCACAGTTGTCATGTTATCAAAAACTGTTTGTAGTTACTGTGGCTATCAGGCTGCAACCATTATTTTTGGTTTAAGACTTTGTATTGTGTTCAAGCTTCAGGTGATTAACAGTTGATCAGAAACTGTCATTAATCCTCAATTTTGGCATCAGTTTGTATTCAACATAATATCTTGACAAATGTATGCTTCTTAAAACTTGTAACTTTATAAGCTATTATCTGCAGATACCATCATTTTGCTGATAAAATCGTACAGGTCTGTTTCTATAGAGATTCTGTAGACGTGCAGAATTACAATCTGAGTCTGTCAAGGACAAGAAAACTTTGATCCACTTCATTGTGGGATTAATTGAGACCACTAAAACCTGTTTCACTACTGCTCAATGTAGAAATCTGTTGGGGTAATGCAGTGCAATCCATTTGGTCCTTTTCCTCAGATGCAGCAGCTCTTCTACGAGAATTATGAACGCAACAAGAAAGGCTTCATCGAGGACCTTCGCAGCAGCAAGATCCACAACGCCATCACCCTCCATCCCAACAAAAACCCTGCCTACCAGTACAGACTCCACAACTTCATGCTGAGCAGAGAGATCTCCAGACTCCGGTACCGAACCATCCTGCTCCACCGTGAAGGCCTGGACATGAGCCACCTCAGCGACACTGAAGTCCTGTGGGAGGACCAGCAACTGGGATCCCCTCCGTCCTACATGCTGTATCAACCCAATGAGAGGATGGATGTCATTGAGTGGGACTTCCTGACTGGCCGCCATATTTATTCTGCTGTGGAGAACAAGATGGCCCGGCATAATCTTGGGAATGTGTTTCGGACTGCTCTGGAGGATATTATCCTGCAGGTCATGGAGATGATCAATGAGAACTCAAAAACACGTGGCCGTGTGATTGACTTCAAGGAGATCCAATATGGTTACTACAGGGTGGACCCGATGCACGGTGCAGAGTACATCTTAGACTTACTGCTTCTGTACAAGAAACATAAAGGACGGAAGATAACTGTACCTGTGAGGAGACACGCCTACCTCCAGCAGTCCTTCAGCCGACCCTTCTTCACCGAAACAGAAGAGCTGGATGTGACTGAACTCGTGGCCGTAATCAACTCTGAGTCCCAGTCCATGTCTTTCCTGTCCAACTCCCTGAAATTCCTGTCCCCTTTCCAGGTGTACGAATCAACCGTGGAGATGTGGGAGCAAAGTCAGAGAAAGGTCAACATCCTTGTCCCGCTGTCTGGTCGCTACGACACATTTGTCCGCTTCATGGAGAACTTCGAGAAAGTGTGTTTGGTACCGAAACAGAATGTGAAGCTGTCCATCATTCTGGTGGACAGTGAGATCAATCAGAACCGAGGGAGACACGCTCAGTTAATCAAAGAGTACAGCAGAAAGTATCCCAAAGCTGACCTGACCGTAATCCCCATGACAGGGAACTTTTCTCGAGGATTAGCTCTGGAGCTGGGCTCCGCACAGCTAAATAATGACACTCTCCTCTTCTTCTGTGATGTTGATCTTATTTTTAATGGTGAGGCTTTGCAGCGCTGCAGAGACAATGCTGTTCAAGGCACGCAGGTCTACTTCCCTGTCGTTTTCAGTCAGTACAATCCAAAAATAGTCTACCCAGAGAAAACCCCCAGAGAAAGCAAGTTTGTACTCACCAAGAAAAGCGGTTTCTGGCGAGATTATGGCTTTGGTATAACATGTATTTTCAAAAGTGACTTAATAAAAGCTGGAGGGTTTGACACCTCGATCCTCGGCTGGGGACTAGAAGATGTAGACTTGTTCACCAAAGTGATTAATTCTGGTTTCAAAGTGTTGCGCAGTCAGGAACCAGGAATCGTCCATGTTTATCACCCCGTCCACTGCAACTCCAGTCTGGAGCAGAAGCAATACAAGATGTGCCTTGGGTCAAAAGCGAGTACATTTGCATCGACAATGCAGTTGGCAGAGCTGTGGCTGGAGAAACACATCGAGGTGGGGTATAACAGGACTTCATCCTGACACTCCCCCCCACCTGGACTTCTAATGCAAGTTTACCTCAATTCTGCAGATTCATAATACAGAGAAGCAACAGATGGGGGTCTTCACAGATGGGAAAATTAAACCCAGAGAGGACCCAAGACTTTCCAATCCAAATCAGAGGTGGACCAAACTAATAACACCAAATCAACCAGTAGGAAGGACGACCAGAGCCTTCAGGTGATCTGGAAAACATGTTGCTCAGTCAAGGATTAACTGTATAAAATCACAGCTGTTGACTACCTTCTTCATTTCCAAACCAGCTGGATAAACCACTGACTCTGTACACAGTGGTTGTTACTTGGTACTTTGAACATTGTATGATTCTTTCAGCTTTTTAAGTTCATAAATGTATTATTTTATGTGCCAATGATGCAAATACAGAGCTTTGATATTTGAATTCAGTTTCTTTAGGATTTGGCTCAATTTAATTTGTTCAACTGGTGTCATTTGATAAATATACAAATGAACAAGTTCACTTTTAGTTGTCCAAGGCTCAGAAATCTTTTGAAAAAAACTGCCCAAATAACCAACTGCGTCTCCCTATCTGCCTTTTGGGTGATTTCAATCAGTTTATTATCACTTTGACTGATGAAATAGTCAGACATATACTGTAAATGCTATATTAGATTAATAAAGCAGGTAAGGCTTAATCCAACTTTAATGTTATTGCCAGGATGCAGCAGAAACATGGCCTGCAGTTCAGTTAACCAGTGAATCCAGTATTCAGATATGAACAGTATAACTTTGTGTGTGCGTGTGTGTGTTTGTTTCTGTGAGTATGAGTTCGACGACTTAATCTCATTTATCTGAATCTCCTTGAGAATTTTTAGAGCTTTACTCCTGCCAAGATGGAGAAGAGCCTGATTAGTTAATTCCCTTGCCAAGGTGACTCAACTGTGCAAATGTAAGGGATAGTACGGTGAACAGGTGGCTATGTAAGTAAGAACCAACACACAGGGTGAGAAAGACCCCTCTGTACCACCTGATCACTTATATATATATATATTATCCTACTTATTACTCGGCTATCAAGCAAAGACATAAAAAGACGCAAAATATTTAAAGATGATTTTTATGAAGCTAAAAAGTAGTACCTTTGGCTTTACACTTGGTTATATGTCCATGGCAATAGATTCTTAAACAATTCCTTGAGAGACAAACATCAAATTAAATTGAAAATATATTCAAGGGCAGAAAAAAAAACAGTTGCCAGCATACTTCTTATAAATCATATTAAACTTTATATTTAAACTTGGATAAGTGTAGAATGCCAAAGCCTGAGTAGGGAGAGCACAACTCCTCTCCCTATTTGCATGCATGAAAAGCCAAGGCAGGGAGAGCAGCAGCAAACCCCAGGGGGAGACAAAACCGAGCTGGCATCAGTGACAATATTTACAACACTGGTAAAATCAGACACAACATAAATAGGAGGGGCTTGGGTGGAGGAAGGGAGAGCAGCAGCAAATACCCAAAGGTCCAGGACAGAGTTGGCATCAGTGGCGATTTGCATGACACAGATTAAATCAGAGACAGCATAAAAACAGAAGCTGGGTTGCAAAGTGGTTTTGCAGAGGAAGAGAAGGAAGGCTAAAGCAGTTCAAATCGAACCACCATTATGGTATTTACTAATGTGATACACTGAATGTCATCGACTGAGTTGGCAGCTTTGCACTGGCTTTAAAGTCAGCTGATGTACTGTGGCCCAAACTTGACTTTTTGGCTTGCCTGAACCAGCTCTAAGCTCAATGTTTTCATTAAAGGAAGCATTGGACAAGATGAAGAGGATTAAATAGTCAACATGAAAGACTGAGCATGGATTCCTACATATTTACACACCATTTATTTTAGCTTAAAGCCCCCATGAGGAACTTTATGTTTGTTTATATTTTAGCACTTCCTGTAGACATGGTGAAATCTGCTGGTCTTGTTGCAGAATATCAACTCCTGGCCTCAAACTTTGCTTCATGTCCACCCCTTCCTCTACTCCCCGCATTTCTTCCCTCTCTATGGCTGCTCTGTCCAGTAAAGGCAAAGAAGAAATGCCCCAAACATAACTTTTTATCATAGTCTACTCAGCTACAGGCAGGTATCGTATAAGGCAGCCTACAGTTTTAAGATGTCCATAAATTTTTAGAAATTAGTTAGAAAGAAGCAGATCCGTCTTAAATGTTGGAAAGAACAGAGGGGATGAATAAATGCTTCACAACACAACGAATCAGACAATCTGTACATAAAAACTCCTCACTGAAGACATTTTTTATATCATCAAGAGCTTCAGTTTCTCCCAAATGTCATGAAAGAACAAAGCTTCATCTGGGACTTTAATAAATTATTATTTTATGAACTTTTTCCATCTGACTCCGTCTTTATTGTATTTTACAGTGGAGTATTACAACCACATAAAGATAAATAGATTTACATCAGGATTTTGAGAATAAAGTGGTTATGTTACAAGAAAATAGCCATCAAGTTGTAAAATCATATTAATTAGTCAATCAATCAATCAACTTTATTTATATAGCACATTTAAAAGAACCACGGGGGTAGCCAAAGTGCTGTTCATTGAGACATAAAAACAAATAAAACAAGCAAAAAACAAGATAAAGTGAGCAGAAATACATAAATGCAATAAATAAATAAATATTTAAATAAGCAGGCTCACAGCAAGTGCTAAGATGATAACAAACAAAGTTACACTAAAATGTATTAAAAGCCAAGGAGTAAAAGTGCGTTTTTAAAAGTCATTAGAGTTTTTTATAACTTAAAAAAACTAACATTTTATTTAATCTCTTCCATAGAGTCCTAACAATATGTTAATGTAGTATGGAAATAAAGTTGTAAGGTCATAATATCACTTGAATAAAGAACTAGTAAAATCAAAATGTTATGTGAATTAGTTATGTTGTAACAAGTATGAAGGCATTAGAAAGTTCATAGTACAAATATTAATTCATAAATTTCTGGAATAAAGTCATGATTTTTCAAGAGTTAAGTCATAGTGAAGAAATGCCTTTATTTTTTAATAAAAAATAAAATAAAATTAAATACTATTTATGCCATGTAGGAAAGTTTGATTTTTTTCTCAAAATGTTCACTGAAGTCTTTCTCATCCCTCGACACTCATTAAAATGACCGAAAAAACTCAAAACTGTTTTAATTCCGCCTTTAATACAGTAACATTTTCCTTATAAAACCTCCTGTGCTTGTTACAACAATAAGTCGGGGAGGATCTTTAGGTCTAGTGTTCTTATTTAACCTGCTTCATATATTATACGAAGGTTGTAAAATAGTACCGATTTACGGGTGACCGCTGAGTTCCGTCATTTTCTTATGAACCTTGAACGCAGCATCGTTGATGACGTTGCAGCAGGAAAACAAACATGGCGTCCGGGCAGCAATGGGTGTTGGTGGAAATGGTTCAAGCGTTTTGTGAGGTAAGTTTCTCTTCTTATCGTCTCTGTGTGGTATTTTCACCTTCAGTCGTACCCAAACAGACTCTTGTCGTGTTCAGCTCCACTGTGGCGTTAATATATTACAAGAAATGGTGTTAAATTCAAACTTCTCAATCCGGAAGTAACATCCGTGTCCTGAGGAGGAGGCTGTCTCCCCCAGCTCTGACTGAGGAGGAAAAGTAACCTTACCACGATAGAGGGTTTGTAAAGACAGTAACTTCATCTGAGGATCATAATAGAAGGACAGAATGTGCAATAGAGCTGAAAAGTCCAGAACACTGTGAAGTTTGAAGTGTTTGTGCTCTGAAATATCACAGGGTTTCATAACTTGTGTGGACAGTGATGAGTTTAAGTCCCATCAGGTAAAAACAGGGGCACGTCCAGAACAGAAGCCAGAGGTGACATGGCCCCTTTCTATCTGATTAGCCTCCTTAAAATACATGAAAACTGTAAAACAAAACGTTAGGCACTAAAGAGGCGTTTTATACTCATCTTAACCTTTTGTCATTTTCAACCTCTGTCTGCAACACAGTGTTTGGCGGCTTTCTAGGGATATAATGTTAATACACAGTTTGTCTGTGCTACTGTTTACACAGCTTTGTTGTTACTAAATGACCCAAAAGTTATGCCTCCATATAAAACGTTCCTGTATCTACTGTTGCGTCTCTGAGCTTTGTGAAAGTTTCTAGTATAGATGAACAGTTCCAGGATTCAGTAACAGCTGGGGCTCAAATCCAGTTCTCACTGGTCTTTGTTTACAAAGGAGTCATCAGTTAAGTGACAAGCACAAACAGCTACACTGTGGCTGTTGTTGTCCTTAAGACATCCACTTTTCTCAGAGGCCTTGTCCTCTGGAAGAGAAAGTAGCTGAGACTTTCCCTGACAACCAAGAAAACACTTGAAGAAACTTTCAGAGACAAACTGAACCAACAAAGAGCAGAGTGGGGGAAGTGAAATTTAAAAGAGCTGCCAGATGGACTTGTTCAAAGCCAAGAGTCTGAAGTGAGAGGGAACTTTTCAGTGAATTTCGAGACCTGTGATCATGATTTAGTATTTTAAATGGACAGCTCTCCTGCATGATATTGTAACCTAATTATCCTCCTGCCTGTTGCCTTCCTCAGGCTCCTGCGTACCATCTGATCCTGGAGGGAATCCTCATCCTCTGGATCATCAGACTGCTCTTCTCCAAGACCTACAAACTCCATGAGACCTACAGGCTTACAGAGAAGGTATACACAGCCCCACAGAGTTAATCACTATCAGACACAACAGTGTGTAAGTGTGTTTTTCTCACGAGGAAGCTGTATGTTTTCTGCTTCCAGGAGAAAGAGGACCTGATTGAGGAGTGGCAGCCAGAGCCTCTGGTTCCTCCTGTTTCTAAAGACCACCCCTCCCTCAACTATGACGTGGTCACAGGGTAAAAACACTCAGAAATACACCTTCACCGCCCTGTCCCCCTCTGCTTTACATACAGCTGCTTTTAAATGACGACCAAAAAACACTGAATCACAACTGAATCCAAATGAATCACTGTGTGCACCCATGATATTTATATTGTGTGCACTTTACCATTTACACACAAAATATTGACCTGTGAGCATATGATAAAACAGTGTGGGCCCAAGGTAATTCAACAAATATCGCTTTTTGGGACTTCACAGTGTCGTTCTTGATTCTTGTGATGTTTCCGAAGACCCAATCAGTTTAGAGTATTTTGTATAAAACATCGATACAGTGATTCAGATCTGGTGAACTGTTTTAAAGTCATGAAATGCTGCAGGAATAAACATGTGAAAGAATCCCACATTTGATCTGAAACTCTGTGTCCCCTCTGCAGACCTCCCAGCCATAATATCATCATCAACGGGAAAGAGTGCATAAACTTTGCGTCCTTTAATTTCCTGGGTCTTCTGGACAACGAGCGAGTGAAGGTCAGTCATTCCAGTTGAAGATATCTGTCTGTTTAATTTCTCGCCCTGTTTATGTGTGTCCACTTTAAGAATAAATCCTTGTCTTTCTTTCTCTCAGCAAAAAGCTCTGGCGTCCCTTAAGAAATATGGTGTGGGCACTTGTGGACCGAGAGGATTCTACGGGACATTTGGTGAATAAAAGCATTTTTCTGCTTTCTAATTAAATTAAAATTCCTCCATCTGATATCCAGATGAATTGAAGAGTCTTTAAACCACAGAAGCTGGAGACCAGATGTTTCTAAAGACGCTCAGTCTAGAGTTTGAGTAAGAGGAGTGAGACTTGAGTACAGCTGACACGAGGCTGACTGTAACCACATCCATCCCTGCATGTTCAAGGATGGATGTGCAGATGTCTTTACTCTCCTCGGCCTATAGATAATTCTCCTTCAGCTCCAGATGATGTTATTCAGCCTGTTGTGTGTCACCTTTTCGGTTCAGTTTGGTGGGAGTTTCAGCCATGATAACTTAGAAGATTTTTGCCTTTTCCTATGCAAAGAAAGCCGACTGCATTTGTAGAAGTAAAACTTGAAGCAGAATGAGTCGCATTTTGTCTGCAGAAAAACCAGTAAAAGTAAAGAAACCTCGAAAGGCAGAATCATAAAAATGTCACTAACAGGTCTCATTCTTATGAAAATCATTGATATACAGCAACAACATGGTAAAATTGAAATTAAAATTACCCCACTGGGCTTGTTCTACATCCCACAGCCACTTCTGACACAATGTAATAAAGAGGAATTACTGAAGTGTTTAACAAACTTTGAATTCTTGAGTCCTGAGTGACTTGAAGGTTTTGAATACTTCCTCCTTTCCCCTCTGTCAGACGTTCACCTGGAGTTAGAGAGCCGTTTGTCCAAATTCATGAAAACAGAAGAGGCCATCATTTATTCGTACGGCTTTGCAACCATCGCCAGCGCCATCCCAGCCTACTCCAAGAGAGGAGACATCATCTTTGTGTGAGTTCAGACTCTGCTAAGGTTTTTGGAGCTGCTTCATAACCGAGCGCTGAAGGACACATCTGTAAGCTGTTTATGTTGTGTCTTCTGTTGCTTAGGGATGAAGCCGCCTGTTTCGCCATCCAGAAAGGTCTCCAGGCGTCTCGCAGCTTCATCAAGTATTTTAAACACAATGACATGGAGGACTTGGAGAGGCTGCTGAAAGAGCAGGAACAGGAGGACCAGAAGGTGAAGACACTGAAGTTTGTCATGAACATATCCAAGAGTGTTTGAAGGGAAAAGTTTATACGCTTTTCTTTTCTGTTTCAGAACCCCCGTAAAGCTCGAGTGACCAGAAAGTTCATCGTTGTGGAGGGTTTATACATCAACACTGCAGATATCTGTCCTCTACCTGAACTGGTAAACAGAAAAACTAGCCTGCTAACTAACCTCTGGATTATTGCTGATCCTATTATTGATATTATTGAGGTCTATTTTACTTTGGCTCTGTGCATTGTTTTATGAAAACTGGTATAAATTTTTCCTTTTGTTACCGTCACAGTTGGTCCAAGGTTGCTCTGTGTTAAGAAACTTTTTCTGCACCAGTGCTGTACAAAATTAACCCACTTCAGGTGTCCAAGAGTTCATTTTTGTTGCTATTGTATCAAAACGTGTTGATTTCTTATATCAAAGTTCAACCTGCAGCATCACAGCAGAAACACTGGAAATGTGTTTCATTAATAATCCAAAGCTGTGATATTTCTGAGTTTCTGTTTTCTGTTTGTCCTGCAGGTGAAGCTGAAGTATAAATACAAAGTGCGGATCTTTCTGGAAGAGAGCATGTCGTTCGGTGTTTTAGGAGAACACGGCCGAGGAGTCACTGAACACTTTGGGGTCAATGTAAGAACAGCTAAATCTCCAAATCTCAGATTTTGAAATATGTAGAGTAGTTTCTGTGTTGATATAAATGTGATCATACTCACATGATGGGACTATTTTTCCAGATTGATGACATTGATCTGATCAGCGCCAATATGGAGAACGCTGTGGCCTCTATCGGAGGATTCTGCTGTGGACGCTCGTTTGTCATTGACCACCAGGTAAGAAAAAAGGAGTGTAATAGAAATCATTGAAAAGGGTTAGATTTATAAACCTGTTCAGCAGTTTTTCTGCACTTTCCCGCCTGCAGGTGTAGATGCTGTGCTAGTTTAAGCCAGTTGTTCTTGACTTTTTAACGTGAAAACCCCCCAAAAATAAAACTGTTTAAGTTTGTGATGTACAAAATCGCACATGAAGACCTTTCTGCACATTTCTCTTTACTCATGTTCTTTCCTCTGCCTGTCCTGCCCCCTCTGCACTTTGTCATTTTTATCTGTGAATAGAAATGTCTTCCTAACACCTAACCCTCAGAATCAAACTCTGTACAGCTGCAGCAAACAGCGAGGAGACTGATTAGTATGCATGTTTCATTTGTGTGACTTTTTCCCATGCACACATAGCAGTCGTGATGTTCAAACAGTATAACGTCATTGTCTGAATATTACTCTTTATAACATCCACTGTGTCTCTCTTCCAGCGCCTGTCAGGTCAGGGTTACTGTTTCTCCGCCTCTCTGCCTCCCATGCTAGCAGCTGCAGCCATCGAGGCGCTCAGCATCATGGAGGAGGATCCAGGTACAGAACAAGTCCTCACAGTGCTGTCTGGTTTTGTGCTTCTTTAAAAGTTCATCCAAAGAAGAAACTGCTCTGTTGGCGCTCATGCATTTTGTCATGCTTGTTTTACAGATATCTTCACTGTCCTGAGGGAAAAGTGCAAACATGTTCACAAAGCTCTACAGGGGTAAGTCTGATTGAGCAGTTTAAACAAAGGCAACCAAGACCTGAACGTCCAAGTCCTGCTGCAGAGAAACCAACACTTACTTATCCGCTCACTTAGACACCACTCCCTCCAGACTGCTCACACTGTACTGGCAGCAGAACAGGGTTTGTGTGCAGCATCCAGGCTCCAGTATCAAACTTTGCAGATTTATTTGACGTGCAAATTTTGAATGGTGATTAGACAATACCAATGAACGAGCAGAGGGAGGAACTTGATATTTATGTAATTTGAGTATCAGCTGCATAAGAACATTTCTAACAGGCAGATGAGATGACACGGATTGTGCCTGCAGTTTCACAATAAGAGTCAGCAGAATTTATTATGTCCAGATTTGGCTCTGGTTGTTCAGCTGATTTTGTTGTAACCTTTCGTTCGTTGGACAGGACTCCAGGTTTAAAGCTGGTCGGCGTCCCGTTGGCTCCAGCTCTGCACCTCCAGCTGGAGAAAAGTTCAGGATCGAGAGACTCAGACATGCAGCTGCTTCGTTCCATCATAGACTATGTAAGACCTTCATGATATGCTGCCAACAGAGAAATTCATATATCTAAAATGTAAAGATGAAGATGATTTTTATTTGTAATTTTGACAGGTCTTGTCACTTTTAATTCAAGGCCAAAATCACAGTTGTAAGTAGTCTTGATTTTTTTTGAGTTTGTCATGTCTGACAGTAGTTTTCTTTTTTTTTGTTTTGTAGTGTATAGACAGAAACGTGGCTCTGACTCTGGCTCGTTATCTGGAGAAAGAGGAGCGTTTCCTTCCCCAACCCAGGTGAGTGACTCCACCTCACTGTGCAGATGATAGAGTCTGAAAATGAAACATATCCTGTTCTTATATGAGACTATTTTCACACTGTGAAAATAATCCTCACCCTTCAGCCAATCTGTCAGAGTGCAGAAAGAAGTTGGGTCTCAAACTTGTTGATAAAAGAGAAGTTGAGGGTTTGCTGATGATTTAAAGCCTTTATTAAGAATAGAGCAAACACAACATGTTAAATGTTGAAAACAAGGCTGAGTCTCTCAGAAGGAAAGATGGGGAGAGTTGGGTAAGAGACTGTGTGAGCTAATAGTTCAATAGTTTCAGAATAAAGGAATATTCTTCTATTCTATTCTCTATAATGTTCCTGAGTGTCAGATGTAAAAGAATGAGGGGATTTCATCATCTACAGAACAAAATATCATCAAAAGATTCAGAGACTCTGGAGAAATCTCTGTACAAAAGAGACAAGGACCAAAACCAAGACTGGATGGTGTTGATCTGTGGGCCCTCAAGCAGCACTGCATTGAAAACAGACAGGACTCTGTAGTGGAAATCACTGCATGGGCTCAGGATCACTTTCAAAACCATTGTCTGTGAACACAGTTCATCACTGCATCAACAAATGAGGTTAAAACTGAAAGAAAGAGGAGACCAGATGGTAACGTGATCCTGAAACACCAGAGACTTCTCTGGACCTGAGGTGAACAGGAAAACTGTCCTGTGGTCTGGCTAATAACAACTTGATATTCAGCAAAATGAGGATGTGAGGATGTATTTTTATTTTGTTTGTAAATGAAGAGTCAATTTTTGTATTTGATGTATCTTTTTTTGTGTGTCCTCAGTATCAGGGTGGTGGTGACAGTGGAGCAAACGGACGAGGACATTCAGAAAGCTGTTTCCTGTATCAGAGATGCGGCTTCAGCTCTCATTAAGTGATGATGATGATGATAATGATGTTACTGTAAGCAGAGATATCTGAGCTTCAGCAGGAGTCCCCACAGAAAAACAAGAGAGTCAGTATCACTGTGAGGAGAACACTCTGAAGCTCTCATTTACAGACTGAGCGCTATCCCCTGAATGTGTCACAGTGATCTTGGCTGATTTACACACACACTGTATGACTTTTTTTTATCTTTTGTTTATTAATTTTATTTTCTAATGCTCCTCTTTATCATGTGCCATGGTCATGCTACATGTCTGCAATGCTGTGTTTTTGTGAATGTAAGTCTGTGTTCAGCAGTTACTAAAAACAGAAAAGCAGCAGACACTAAATGAACCTCAGACCAAATGACTCCATGCTTTGACCAAACAGAAAATTAATTCTCTTATTGTGTTTAAATTATCTTCAGATTGTTCACACCTGATTTGTTCCGGTGTTCAGAAGGGCTGTGATTTGGAATGAAACTGGATTTTTTTTTTCTTGACAGTTGATGTTATTTTTTTTTACGCTCAATTTACATTTTTGACCACTTTACATTCATGAAATGTAAATATATCTAATTTAAATTAACATATGTGTATTTGACTTTTTTATGTAACCTTTTGAGGATTACGAAGAACCAAAACCTGGTCCTTATGAGGCCAAAAGTAATCTTTAAGTTCTGTTATGATCAGGAGACTACAAGTGTAAAAACTGTAAAAAAAACAAAAACAAAACAAAAAAAACATTTTCCACTCATTCATGTTCAATCTGATAAACTTGATTGTTTTTTTGTTAATATTCACTAATTTTGAATTTGATGTTGCAAGATGTTTCTTAAAATGGGTCAGGGTCAACAAAATTGAGGACTCCTAAAACATAATTTCACAGGTGAACAAGTTCATTGAACACAGATGAGAATCATGATGAGGAAGACAAGGAGCTTTCCTGAAAGGTTCAGTCCTTCACAAGCAAGAATGGAGACAGGTTCGCCACTTTGTTAACAACTGTGTGAGCAAACACACCAACAGTTTAAGAATGTAGCTCAACATACAATTGCAGGAATTATGGATTTTATCATCTACAGTCCATAATATGTGGCCCTGCAATTGACTGACTTGACCAAGACATGTTATGCATGTTAAAACAGTGTGGCTTCAGAGTAAAAGAGTGCTGGTATTAGACTGACCTGCCTGCAGTCCAGACCTGTCTCCCATTGAAAACTTGTGGAGCAACAGTTCAACAATTCAGGGTCTCCTTTGTTCTACTTTTTGTATCATGATGCTTCAAATGTTTTCAATAGACAAATCTGGACTGCAGGCAGCCCACTGAGCAATAGACGTCTAGTTTTAGACCTAATTTCAACCGTCTAGATTCTGTATATCTGTAGACGGAATTTAGACATTGCACTTTAACCTGCTTTTCGATAATTATTTATTTCAAAAAGCAACTGTGAATTGCATAACTCATCTCCAAGTATTAAACCAAGATAATTATGATAGGCGTTAAGCAATATACTTGTAGACCTCTGTTAGCTGGATAGTCTAAACTCGGTCTAAATTTAGACGTCTGAAAACTTTAATTTTTAGACCTGTGGTAGCCTGATTTTAGACCAGTCGTCTAGACTACATTTAGACGTCTATTAGACCTCTTTTAGACCAAAAAATGCTCAGTGGGAGGCCAGTTTAGCAGCAGGACTCTTCTACTACAGAGCCATGCTGTTGTAATCCCTGCAGAATGTGGTTTATAATTGTCTTGCTGAAATATGAAGGTATTCCCTGAAAAAGTTTTTGTTCGGATGGCAGCATATGTCGCTCCTAAACCTGTAGATATTGTTCAGCATTAATGGAGCCTTCACAGATGTGGAAGTTACCCATGACATGGACACTGATAATCCCCAAACCATCAGGGAGCTGAGGACAAGCAGTGTCCATGATTTCCAAACAGAATGTCACATTTTGTTTTGAGGACAGTTTTCTGCGTTTTTCGCCAAAGGAGAAGATGAAGACTCGTTGTTCTGCTTTTAGCTGATTATCAAAGGGATTTGTCAAGAAGAAACTCAGAATACCGGGCTCGTTCGTTTCCTCTCAAGGCCCCAGATGGCGCTCTCTCCAAAACCGTCCCCGCACTTCCATGTGTGCGTGTTCGGTACGCGCGTGCACTCGCTCCTCTGATCCACGCTCCCTTCTTTCTTTTTTTCAGCGCGAAGACAGAAGCCACTGTGGAGATCAACAGGTCTGCAGGAGCAGCTCGGCACACTCTGGGAGTTTCTGCGGGACTTGAACGGGATGAACGTGGCTTTGTTTTCTAACCTCTACCCGCATCCGTCCCGCACCTCCATGTGTGGACCCTGAAAAGTGCGCTCTTCTCTTGAGGGCTGCTGCGAAACAAGAAGAAAGAAATAGAAGAGAGTACTCGGCTGCAAAGAAGCTCTTAAATCCGGATGAAACTGTATTAAGTTTGAGTTTCGCATCATTTCTGCAGAGTTTGCTGAAATCTGCCGCGATGTCTTCGACCCCGAGGACTTTTTTCTGGATGCTTTTCTTGTTTCAAAGTCTGAGATGTGAAGGTGAGTCTCATTCACACTGCAAACACACAGAGAAACGACGTGATGCACTACACTACAGAATAGAAAATGGGTTTAAAGTAAAGTTTCTGCTCAGTTTGCGTAAAAACTTTTGGCACTGCAGTTCTCAGCGTGCGTACTGATGGATGCTCTTTCACCATCTTACTCTTCATCTTATTTGTTGCAGTAAAGTCAAATACAAAGTTGAACTGGGTCTATTTAGTTGCATTAAGTTACAGATTTGATCTCCAATATGCAGGAAAGTTTTCCCTAAACTGAGTCTCCCCGCAACTGCGTAAAATACCTTAAATCTCCTGAGGCGTACTGAAATTTCAAAGTTACTCCAACACTTTAAATTTGAGCTCTAACTTTTCAGAGCTGTGCAGGAAAACTAAGGAGTTCATCTTTTTTATTGACTAAAGTGTTTGATGTGCATTTAACTTTTAAGCTGATTAAGTGGAGAGGTGGAGGATGGGTAAGGGGGGTTGGGTTGAGTGTCTCCCCCTTCTTCTCTCTGAGTTTCTGCGGTCACCTCATCTCCTCTCTCGGCTTGCTGACATGTGTTCCTGGAGCTCCTGGCCTGGATTTGAAAAGGTGCCTGTGTGAGACTCAAAGGGCCTCTGTGTCGTTGTCATGTTAATTGGTCGCATAGCTCGAGGTGCTCGCGCGTCTTTGTCAGTCATGTTAATTCATTTACTCCCCCAGCAGGGGGGTGAGGAGTGGGGGAGATTTCCTGTTTTCGGCTCTGAGGACTCACCATTTGGTATGAAGTGAAAGAGGGTACTGGAGGTGGAGCGAAGGGGCCTAGATGACCCCTAACCCCCCCTTCCTTGACTCTAAGTTGTAGGTGTTTCTGTCTGTTGAGGACAGAGTGAAGAACTGAGAGGTTTACAATTAGAAACAATAAAGCTGAAAACAAAAACATATTTACAGACAGCTTTCCTCTTTGTGAACAAACTGGTCCGAGTCAAACAGGAGGAAAAGTTTGTCTTTTCTGCACAAGGTTTGACTTTTTAGAAAATCCCTGTATCTAACATGGGACTATGTTTTTGATCAGCACACTCAAGTGGGAATGGACACATGAATGAGAAACATTCTAGTGTCATTCCTTTAAAACTGCAAACTTACAAGAAAATTCACAGCAACTCTGGTTATTTGACAGATCATACCAGGTAGTTTTGATGTCTTTTATTATGCAAAGGTCTGTAGAGGATCTTTAACAGGAGAAACATGCTGCAGATGCTTGAACACTGTGGGGTTAAAAACATGCAAAGTCCATAATGACTGTAACAAAACCAAACCATGCTGCAAAATCAACATGCTTTAAGTCTCAAGGGGCCTTTTGTTCTGCTGGTATCATCTTTGTGGTTTTTCCTGGTTTTTGTGCTATTGACTCTGCATCAATGTAGTCATCTTCTGCATAGTTTCTGTGAATGCAACAGATTTCTTTCATTTTTTTCCCTTGCAGTAGATTGTTTCATTTCTCTGGTTCATTTGTTCAAAGCTGTAACTTAAGGTCTAAATCCACATCTCCAGATGAAGTTGAGTTGATCTCAAGATGCTACATCAATGAGATTACCAGGAAGTTGGCAATAGTTCCCATCTACTCTGTCATTTTCTTTTTTCTCCTCGAAACTCATGTTTGACTGCAAGAGGCTCCGTGAGAATTTTAGTTTTGACAGTATAGGACGAGGGATGAGGACTCAGTTAGCTTACAATTACATGCAGCATGTCAGCCCGTTTTGTGGAAGTGGGTGTCTCCATGACTCTTGGACAGGTCTCACCATAGAGTTGTACAATACCATCGCTTTCATTCACAGCTGGGGGTGAAAGGCCGCTTTCTTTCAGACATTCAATCCCGAAAACTTAGCTGACTGGTAAAAAATGTTCAGTTTGTGAGCGCTTGATTACTCATTCTAAAAGTTATTTGATTACTCAAACATGGAGATTACTGGAAACGCCCATCCCCATACAGGACCACTTTATTTAAGACGTATCAGTTACTTGGAATGAGAGCGGTGTGAACATCCAAGAAAAAACACAAGGCAGGGAGAGCAGCAGCAAAGACCTCAGGGTACAGAACAGAGCAGTATTAGGTCTTAAAGGAGAACCCCGTTTTCTTCAACCTAGGCCCTATTTTCCCATGTGGTTGTGTGTACCCAACTGATGGTGAGAAAAATTTCTGAAACTGGTCCAGTATTGAGGGAGAACGAAGCAGCTGGCAGCCACCAAACCAGCTAAAAGATAGTTTGACTAGGTGATTGTGAGTCTTCAAACTCATCTGCATGTCCTTTTTATACAAAGGAAAACTCCTGACTATTAGGGAAACATGGGAATAAAATCTTCCAGGAGCAGGTTGTCCTGAAATTTCCTAGAAGTTTTTAAGGATGCGGAGAACCCTCAGTGTTCAGTGTCCAGGCGGCAGCTGTGACTGTGGTGGAGGTTTTTAATGAGCAGCATGACTCACTGTGTAGGCTCTAAAACAGGAAGGCTGATCTGCAGCCAGAGGGCCTTCCTTCATGTGGTGAGAGCTCCATCACAATCATCTTCTCTGTGATCAGCTTTAACTAATATGACACCAGGCTTCGACATAAACAGCTGCTGAAACTAGAGGATAACATGAAAATATTCTGAGGACTCGACACTTTCTGATTGGTCAGCATTACTCAGGGTGATGTAAGCGGCATTAAAGCAAAAGTTCAGCCTGGTTAAACTGTTCCTCATCATTGTTTTGTTAAAGCTCCCCTGTGATGACCCTCCTGCTGTGCAGACTGAATGACTCCATTCAGATTAATGACAGTGTTGGGGGAGGGATGGGGGGTCTTTACACTAAGAAAAGGTCAGGTAAGAAGCTGTTTACATGGAAATGTGTTAAGTAGAAATTGGGAAACTATTGTTGTGTTTTGGCCAATCCATCACCCAGAACTGGCATTTTAGGCAGCTTTAAAAACAGAGTTCAGACATGTTAGCCTGACTGAAAATGTTAGCATACCTAGATGATAATGTTTGGGACAAATTTCCCCAGTATATCAGCCCCAAACTGGACCAGACTTATAGTTACTAGCTGAAAGGGGACATATCGCCCCTTACTCTAGTTGGCCATGCTTTCGTCAATGAGTTGATTTTTCGTTTGGTACCTGTAAGCTGTGACAAGGACAGTCACTGAGTCCAGTAAAGTGGTCTATTAAAGCTTTAACTAGGGATGCACTGGTCCGATATTTAGATTGGATAATCGGCTCCAATATTGACAAATTAACTGGATCGGGTATCTGATGAATGACGCTGATCCAGCGTTCCGATCCAGTTATTTTTTTCTTTTAATCCAGATCATAAACAGCAACACAATGATTCTGTCCGCTCTGTATTCTATGTCTGTCTATCCTTTTGCACTAAATGTTTAAATGGAAGTCTTACTTCTTTTCACTGTGTGCTAATGTGCAATTTATTATTTTTTAATCAATAATGAGTCATGTTATTTCTCTGTTAATATCTTAATTTTTTTTTTACAAGGCTAATGTCAAGCCTGATGCCTTCAGTCACAGGGCAAGGTATACAGTCCATTCATCCAACAGTTGTATCGCATCGGTATTGGATATCGGCTGATTCGCTCAGCCCAGGTATCGGTATCGGATTGGATTGGAAAAAAGTTAAATTGGTGCTTCTCTAGCTTTAACTACAGCTCTGCTTATCAGAGCATGCTGAGGTGACATTTACAAGACAAACAACAGAGACCCACTCTATGATGACAGTCTTTAATATTAAGATCAATGCTAATCATAAACAGATGGTGTGCAGAGTATGTCATCACTGTTCACATCTTGGAAATGATTCTCAAGTAGCATAATAAAGACTTCATCACCCCCATTGGCTCGCTCAATTGCTTGTGGTTAAATCTGTAATATTTCCTGGTGCGTCTCATATCAGTTCATCATGATTTCATTGGAAAAATCCTGGTTTAGTCAGGGAAAACATTCCAGCTGTGAAAACTTCCATGAAAAATTCAGGTGCGTGTTGTCTATGTGTGTCATCAGTAAGAAGTCAAAGTGACTTAATAACTTTACAGGGTGTTATTCTGCACACAAAGTACTTAAACTTTTGATATTTGAGTATATTTTAGTACATTTTTCTAGTACTTATCATTCCACTGGTATGATAAGTAATTTGACTTGAGGACTTTCACCTGTCCTGGCGGGTTGTTAGAGTGTGGTAAACTGTGGTATTTTAATTTTCCTCAGTATAATCTTGCAGCACTTCCTTCTCATCAGGTGCACTCGCTCTCTCTCTTTCCCAGTCTCATTTAGGTTTCCCATTAGAGCTGTTTTAGGTGATGTGTCAGTATGAAGCTGTGGCTGCAGAATAACAGGCAGTAAAACCTGCAGTTTCTCTTAAATAAAACAACTTGTTGCTTCATTTTAAACCGAAGCCTCCCCGGCTGCTTTGTTTTCAGAGTGTCTGTGATTGGCTGCTCTCCTGAGTGCTGATATAAAACAGCAGGTGAGGCTGATTCATGTGGAGTCAGAGGAAACTAACTTTTCATGCCATAATGTTGTTGATGCCTCAGTGCTAAATTAGACGCAGTTTGATAAATGCATCTGCTGCAGGAGGCGGAGCCTGTCTGTGGTCTGAATGAACTAAGGTCTCTGTTATTTCGCTACAGGCCAGGCTCATGATGAACTGTTAAATGCACACACAGTTTCAGTTTTATAGCATTTACGGTGGATTCTGTAATGCTTAAGTTTCTGTTTTTTTCCTCCATCCATGTTCCTCCAGCCAAGGAGTTAGCCAGAGGTCACAACATTAATGTGGAGTTTGCGGAAATATGAGCGAGAACTTAAAGTTTTCCCCCTGCTTTTACAGCGAGGAAGTTAATTTAGCTGTGAGACATGAAAACTTTACTCTGAAGGAAGAGAAGAACAGTTGATCCAGAGACAGTTTATCCTTCAGTTATCTGACCAAGCAGAGAGTCAGAGAGGTCAGCTGTCAAGGACTGAAGATAAGAAGATGAAGATGATTGCCTGTCTGCAGACTCTTTACATAAATCATTTAATTTTCTGCAACCACTCCAGATCACTTCCAGAAACCATTGTCTGTGAACTCGGTTTATCACTGCATCCACAGATGAGGTTAAAACCGAGTAATGCAAGAGGAAACAAGACAGAAACGTGATCCAGAAACACCAGAGACTTCTCTGGACCTGAGCCCGTTAAAGATGGACTGAGGGGAAGAGGGAGAGTCTCCTGAGGTCTGATGAATTGACCACATTGAAATTCTTTTTGGAAATTGTGGATTTAAAAAAATGAGATCGCTTTTCGACTCATGGGTTTCAACTCGATTTAACATTCTTTTGTCAATCATTGATACTGCAAAATTTGACATTTAGTTTGGAAACCGTAGATCCTGCATCCTCTGCTCTATAAAGGAGAGACATCACCCAACTATCATCCAAATATCGTTGTCATAACTTGCCTTGAAATATCGTGATATCATTTTGAGGCTATATCGCCCATCACTAATGGGAAACATGACCCTCTAAGTACTTTTTAAAACACTGTTGCTACATTGCATTTAAAAATAAACAGATATCTTTCATAAAGCAGCACCAGTTTTCAGTTTCAACATTGAGTGCTTTTCAAACCATCAATATCTGTCATTCTCATCATTTTACATAGTGTCCTAATTGTTTTTAAATTGGAGCAGTAGCAGGAGTGCAGGTGCACGCTATAGATGGTGGTTTAATTACTTAATGTTTATATTTGTCTCGTGGGAACCTTTAGTATCAGCTCCTCATCTCAGACTTTCCTTGCTGTTCTTCCTCCATCTGATCTGCTCTCCTCCCTGTCCTTGCGGCCACACTAAAAGCTTTGTTCTGAGGAGAAGTTAATTGCTGACTGGTGACAGCTTTCAGAGTAGAGGAGCTGCTGCAGGAAGGCTGCAGGCTGTTATTGTGTTAAAGCATAGAGAGATGGACCACAACATACAGAAACATCTAAACTCAGTGGTTTTATATCTTCACAGATGCAAGCTTTGATACATGCCGGTTTAAGGGAGCGATGAAAGACTGAAGAATGAGATCTCTTCAGTTGGTGCAAAACTGGAAATTCCTCTCAGGAAACTTGTTTGAAGTGCTAATGGAGTTTGTAAGGGAGCTGAATCAACCAGTTTGAAGCCAAAAACCTGGCTTGTTGCAAAATGGAGTTTGTTTGGAGGTTAGAGTTGAAGACAATGCTGAGGCGAAGGGGGCAAAACTGAAAACTGAAAACAGAGCGCATCTGCCAACAACCCAGAGTGCAGGATTTCTGCTTTGTATTGACGGTTTAAGCTTCTGTTTACCGGATCCATGCAGGTTGTGGGCAAATGCAAGCTGAAGCAAGTAATCCTTTGCATGCAGAAAATGTGGTAAATATTTTCGAAGGGTGCTGGTTCAGCTCAGTGGGAAAACTGTCCTTGAAGCAGCGTGGGATTTGACACCCATCCTCGCCCATTTGCTGCATTACAACCTCCCAAACCTCTCCTCCCTGAGTCAGACTCTTTTTACTATCCTCTTATCTGAGTAAAACATGCAAAAGCCAAGAACTAAACCTAATTTGTATTTGAAACAAATAAGGAGAGTTTTACCAGATCATTTTCCATTTCTATACCCTAGAGAGGAATATATGAAAACAGACATGTATTGGCAAATACAAAATGAACTAACTTAGATGTTCCTCTTCCTCTTCTTCCTCTCTCTCTCTCTCTGACAGCAGGTATTACACTCCCCCTTTTTGTGCAGGAACTGTGAACATGCAGAAACACTTTAACTCTGTTTACACCTTGTATTTGTGCAGGACGTCCATGGTGATTTGATCACAAGTGCAAAGCTCTTAGTGGGTCACCTCACACCTGGCACTCGTGTGTGTGTGTGTGGAGTAAACACTCCTGATTGGATCTGTGTTTGCAGAGACAGAGTGAGTTGTTGATTTTAACCTGTGGGTAAATGGAAATCGGACAACATGTTTTCTCTGAGCTTCATCCAGGAGGGTCAGTTCTGCAGTTTCTCTCAGCGTGAGTGTGTTTGTCTAAGATGCTGTCGGCCGTGATCATTCATGTACATCCAAATGCAGCTCAGGCCGATTCTGAAGGTTTCCTGAGTCATCATATCTTTGTGCATCTTTACATTTCTGCCGTGTGTCCACACCTTCACTCAGGAAGAAAGCTTATTTTAATGCACACATGGTACTGTGAGGTAAATCTCAGTATTTCTGTTATTGGCCCATATTGCTGAGTCCATATCAAAGCATAATGATCAGTATCCAATCAATCAGTTTGTGCATCGCAATACTTTATTTACAAAAGTCTACCTTGGACCGGTGTTGAAAATCTGCATCTTGCTAAAAACACTAAATGCATTGAGTATGGTTAATAAATAAAACAGCGAGTTAGGTAAAAAGCTAGCTGTCAGGGTAATTCTCTTCAAGCTACAAAGACTAGGTCCTTTAAAAGCTGCAACCCCTGACAAATGCTGCGGCTAAATTTGATGCTGAAGTGTAATCCAGACTATTCCAAAATCAGTGACAACCTCTTCACAGTGGCTCGAATGAAGAAGTGGTGTCAGCCTCACAACCAAGACTTCCAATAAAACCAGACTAAACTGAGATCTACAGTCACCTTTTTAATAACAATGAAAATTCTGCCAAACCAAAGACCTTAACTTTTATCAAAATAATCTAAAAGGATTCAAATAAACAGCAGACTAAAATTAGACTGTTCTACAAACACATAATGAAGGTTTATTTCTCAGTTTAATCCCCCAGTGTAAAAATAAACTGGTGCTGGTCTGGTAACCAGCTCCCTGCTGACCTACTTTAGTCGAAATCTGTTTATTGTTACTCGGGGTGTGACAGGAAGGGATGACGGGCCACGCCAAGGTCAAAGAAAATATGGAAAAAAAAGTCGTTTTCACACCCTACAACACTACGATTAGATTATGATGTCTCCTCTAAGCTTGCTGTTGATTTCTTTCTGAATGAATGAAGATAAATCATGACTCTTGAGTGTGCATGCTGCAGAACGGTGAACATGAACCGAGAAAGATCATAAGCTCTGTGATGAAATCTGAAAAAAGACTCAATGTCGTTTTTCCTCTCCTGTGTTTGTTGACGGGAGGTGACAACAAGGAGAGGAATTACACTCAGGAAGTTGTTCTGCTGTTTGCTGGTATGTTTCAGGTCTGGCACTAATTATAATCCGGGATCTGGGACTCATTAGAGCGATGAAGACATTCCCATGAACGGGCTCAGTGTGGGTCGACGTGTAGACAGGATGGACTCTAAAGCTGTGTGTTTAAGACGCATTACTTTGGTAGCTTTACAAACGTCCTGTTTTCTTTGGGATCAGCAGTTTAATAAAGTTTGCAGCTACTTTAAAGACGGTGTTTTACTCGAACGTGCATTAAAAACATACACGATCGCACGTTGGTGTATTTATGTTTTAGAGAGCAAGGTTTGAGAGGCCTGATGGGAACATGTGCTGCTGATTATGGAGCCTGTAAACAGAAACAGAGGAGGAGGAGGAGGAGGACTACAAGTGTTCTCTGATTTTTCATCATGTTGCTAAAACCTCTGCTGTGTGTTTATAAATGTAAGGAGAGCAAACAGACGACATAGAGGTGGATACAAAGAACGATAAGTAACTTACTACACAGAATGGGTGGAGATTTATAGTTTTCTACCAGGTTAAATTATTTACAATATTGTGAATGATTAATGTATGCAAAAATATTCTTTTTTAAAATTGAGTTAATTAAAGGAAAAAAAGATTTTCTTTTGCCAGTAAAAAATTAGCAAAGTGTCCCACAAAGCCCTGAAAGTCCCACAAGAGGATTCATCAGTCAATCATCAATCAAACTTTATTTATAGAGCACTTGTCATGCATGGACATGCAACACAAAGTTCTTTGCATACGTAGAAAAATAGAAATATGGAAGAAAAAAAAAACAATTACAAATAAAGCCCCTCCCTCCTACCCTCCATACTACACAGACACACGCACACACGTGCACCCTCACACTCTCACTACTGACAATATGGAGACATGGCATTACTCTGAGGATTGAGGAAGCGCCATCCTGTGGGCCAAACTAGATCTCTGAAAATCTTTTTCACCACCTGAAGCGGTGCCATGTGGCAGAGCACGGGCAATTCAAAAGATTACAAACCTGAGTGGAGCGAGGAGCCCATGGCACCTGTGCAGCTGAAACAGCCGACTATTCAATCCGCTTTCTCTAGCACAACGCCCTACGACAAAACGTCGAAGAGACACAAAGACCTCAAAGACGCAGCAACTTATTGTTTTGCAAAAGACATACACCCAATAAGCACTGTTAAATTTTATTTTTTATATCGTGATATATATCGATATTGACTGATATGAAAAAAATATATATTGTGATGAACTTTTTCCCATATCGCCCAGCCCTAAGTGCCAGTATCAAAAGTAGTATCTATTCGGTGTCAGTATTAGGGTTAATAACGGTATCACCATCCTTATTGACATCAATAATGCTTTTAATGCTCTTTATGTATCTGTATCAGTGTCAGTATTGTAATGTCTTTCTTGGGTGTCAGTATCAATACCTGTTTCATTGTAAACAGCTGTATTAGTATCTGTACGGGCATCTGTAATCTGTAAAGTTTTGGTGTAAGTATTGATACATGTTGGGAGTTTTGGCACCTGCTATGATATTAGTATTATGAGGGCCCAATCATTAAGTGGTGTGAAAGCTTTCTAGTCATCATAATACGGACACACACACACACTTACTTTAGTAGTCGGTGTAGTAGTCCCTGAGTTTGCTCTCTCTTTGTAAACACAGTCCTCATATATCACACCCTCTCAGTGTGTTGGGGGTCTCTGTGTTGGGAAGTTTTATCAGTTGTTTGGTTTTAAAGTTTCCTGCAGCGCCTCTTGAACCGTGTTACATAAACTGTATAGTCTGTTCAGAGAGGATAAGCCCCGCCCCCTCCAGCCCCAACACACCACTCTGTCTATCCACACACTCAGAGGTTAGAGGTCAACTGGAGGAGCTGTCAGGCCTTTCTGCATTAGTCTGAAAATTTAAGAGGATTCTTAAAAGAGTTAATAACCAGGAGAGTTGGATAATTTATCCTTTTGTTTCTCAGAAAAAGCAGAGGAGTTTTTCGTGAATGGTTTTCATCATCCTCTGTGTTCCTGGCTCTCGTCTTTTTGAGATTATTGGACATGTGGAGCCACTGGCATGTTTTTGAGTCTGTTCATAATTATGCTGTTAACGTGTCCCAGGATGTGTTCTCGTGTTTAATGGTGCATATTTCTCCACCTGTGTAACCGTCCTCAGAGGAGGGTTTTTTTTTTGTCTTCATGTATATTTGTCCGCATTCCTCTTTAACTGGATTAATACAAACAGAATTATTTCCAAACGTGCAGATCTCCACATGCTGGTCTTGATTTATTCGGATTGATGATTGTGGTAAAATCTCAACATTGTGGATTTTTTGAAACAAAGAGAAACAGATGTGTTTGAGCCTGTTGTGATGCAGATTGATTCATTGGAAAACTTTTTAAGAGGTTTAAAGAGTGAATCGACTGAACAAGGAGTGTGAAGATCACCAAATATGGAGATTTGACTCTGTTGGATATGAGCTGAGTCGATTAGAAAGCAGCTGAGTTATCAGATCAAAATTCATCCCCCTCATAACAACATCATGATGCAGATTAGTAAAAATTAAAAGTCCAGCTTTGCCAGATCTGACCTCAAGAGGAGAAGAAAACTACTTTGTTTGTTGAATGGAGGTCAGAGCCATCATTTCTGATGCATTCAGGGAAGTCAGGAGATCTAATTGCTGATTGTCTTACGTGACTCAGCATCAAGCAAGTGTAAATGTTTGATCTAAACCAAACCCTCATGCAGATATTTGTTTATACAGAGAAATAAATCCTCCTCAGACTACGATGGGAGCTGAGGTAACTGTGGATTTTGATACTCCTGTTTTTGCTCTTCATATAGACGGTTTTCCCTGCTGATACCTGATATTCCTCAGACCACTAACGGAACAGTTTTTCATTCAAAACATTGTATAAAACATTCTTCATTCTCAGTGTCAGCCATGTACTGCATATCTGTCTGTCCACCTTCATATTTTGTGCCAAAATATAAATGAAAGATTTTGTTTCAGAGATTTTTCACAGAAAATGCGATGACCAAGTTCAAGGGTTTTCTTCCCAAAGTGCTTCAGTCAAGGGGGATAATACTCGTGCAATAACTGGTCAGTATGGTCCTGTTATAAGAGCTTCATGTCCTTCCATGTACATACACGGACTGCTAAAGCCTGAGGCAGGAAGAGCACACCTTCCCTCCTGTTGTATGTGTATACATGAAAAGCCAAGGCAGGGAGAGCAGCAGCAAAGACCTCCTGGGTATAAAACGGAGCGGCATCAGTTACAATCCATATGATACTGGAAAAATCAGACTCATTAGAATAAGGGGGAGCTGAGGTGTAGGCAGGTTGCAAAGTAGTGGGCAGAGAAAAGGGCTGCCTGAACTAGCACTAAACTTCATTTGTATGTTGATCAGAAAACTGAAAAACTATGAAGACTTTAAAATCTGCACAATTCCTACAGTCTCTTTTAAAATATCAGTCTTGTAAGTTTAATAATCAGTTGACATGAAGTCAATAGTGTGTAAAACAATAAAGGACATGCATGCAATTCTACATCTTGTTACAGGCTGTTCACTTCAAGAGAGCTGCAAGAGTGAAAATAAATACATTAAGTAAAGATTTAAGTGAAGGAGTGCATGAAAGAGTTTGTGTTGATGGATTCAAAGTGAAGCAAGACGAGTCAAACATGCTGAAAGCTCTGAGTGTGCGGCGGTCGGCCTTTACAGTCGTCCACAGCTCTGTGGAAATATGTTAACAACAGTCCTGTCAGACTAACAGCCCGTCCCTCCTCCTGCTGCAGATGCTTTGTTAATCATAGCCCAGAGTCGGGGGCCGCAGAGGAAGACTTTTACAGGAAAATGGAGCTAAAAGCTGTATTATATTATGCTGTGTTGTAACTTTCTGCTGCACATTCCCCCTCAGACTGTTTGTATGAGGGAAAAAAATGACAAAGAGCCGCCACAGAGAAAGATAAACAGTTGACACTCGGCTTCTTTCTCCCTGGTTTTTCACAGGCCGAGCTTGGTATGCACACGCTTATCAGAGAGCCAATAAAATGTAAATGACCCCTCCTCTCAGCCCCCACTGTCTCCTTTATTGTCCTGTCTTTCAGCCTCCAAATGGCTAAATATTTGAGGGGAAGTGTCTGCGTTTTTATGAGATGGCCATTGTTGTTGTAGCTCAGTCACAGGGATGGATTACCCTTGTGTGATGAGGGCTCTCATGAGGGCGGGAGAGATACCATCAGAGTCTGTAAAGTGGAAATTCTTCCTCAGGCGAGTGATACCATCTGACAGACCAGAGCGCCGTGATGCCGTCATTATGTCTCGAGACTGTAAACTTGTTTTACACGCGTGTTTATGTGGAGATGTTGATGCAGACACATCTGGAGGAGGTTTTGGATCTGAGAGCGACTTCAGCACTGTCACTTTTCTGAGGCAAAGCTGCTCTTGACCTAGAAATGCTTCACCTATAACTGAGGAGAAAACAGTTCAGAGGCCAGGTTTAGAATCATGTTTAACTTATTGTCTAGAATTATTTTAAATCATTGAAAATTGCAGATGTTTGAGGCTGAGAGAGTTGCCTTGAAATGGGGGGCATGTCCCAGGATGTGATTTTGTAAAGTGAGGCTTACAGAAGCTGTTTGACAAAGTAAAAAAAAACTGACCACTTCACAATAGTCATCAGGCTGCAGTCACACTAAACTATTTTCAGGATCCAGGCAGCTGACAATGTTAAACTGTTAACGACCATTTAGAGTCATAATTTAACAAGAATCAAGAGCAAAAAGTAGAAACAGCTAAATAAACAATATTGATGTCATAAATTTAGAAGAATAAAAGTGCAACTTTAAGACAATAAACGTATAAACCTATAAGACCAAAGCTGTGAATGCACAAAACTGCATTTTTATAAGATTCAAATCATAACTCTACAAGAAGGAAGTCAGAAATTTACAAGAAGGAATGGTTTAATCTGTGAAGCAAAATTGGTTAAGAAGAAAATCACATAACTGACCAAGAAAAAGTTTCAAATTTACAAGTCTTGAATTTTTAAGAAAAATGTCCAAAATTAATGAGACGAGCAATAAATATAAAGGAAAACAATAGATAAATTTATGAGAAAATTGTGTTTAATGGAGAAGACTGAACAATTAGAATAAATGTTACTTCATGAGTCCAAAGTTGTAGATTTACACTTTAAACATTGTAGTTAATGGGAGCAGAGTCAATATTTCACAATAAACACGATAATTTCTTAGATTAAAGTTGTTGATTAACGACAATAAACATGTTTATTTAAGGGAATTTGCATGGGAACACTGGAGCATACTCAGCACACTTAGGCCAGTTTCAGCTTGATTGAGCCAAATACATAAAGAAAATCCACCTCCAACCACATTACCCAGATATGGTAGTACGACTATGAGAAGTTTGATTTCAGTGCGATTTCAGTCAAACTAGTGCATGAACACAATTTGTAAAAGTACACTTTCAGTGAGATTGCTGAATTAGAATTTGAATCACTGCAGGTAAATCATGCAAGTGGAAAAAAAATGTTGAAAGTCTTGCTTTAGAAACTAGGAGAAATCGAACTAAACACTCAGAATAAAGAGTTAAAAAATTTTGATCAGGTTTAGGCTCAGAGACTTGTTGGTTAAGTTGAGGAAAGCGGTTATAAATATGAATATCTTGTGTAGCTGAGGGTACTTCCATAACTTTAGAGATGTTAAGAAACTCTGATTTTAGGTCTCCTACTCTTTGCTGAAGTCTTGTGGTTGTGTGACTCATTTCTCCTCTTGTACTTTAAACCAAAGGGGATTTTATTGCTCTGATGTTGCATCATCTTCAGAGTTGCTAGTTGTCCCCACAGACAGCTCTTTCTGCAGATCCTGAGTGGAGCGATCACACCACAACAGTCCCAAAAGCCCAAATTATTTCCATTTGGAGGAATGTGCTGCAAGATTGAAACAATGCACTTGCAAATGTTGGAATCGGTTGTAATGACAGCAGGCCTCTGCATGTGACACAACATACAGCAGAAAAAGAGCTGCATTTACAAAAAAACAAGCAGCAAATACAGTAAATGGGAGTTTTGTGGCTTTAATTAATTTGCAGGAAATCAGAATCTGTTTTATTGACATTTTGCACAAAGTCTCAACTCTTATGAAATGAAATTACGCACCAACCTGTAGCAAGTGTTGTTTTTGATTATGGTTAATATTGGAGAACTCTTCTGGATATTTAAGGACCCTGGGTGAGGAGGTCACGGAAGGTCAGCATTGTTGTCCGCTGTAGCTGCTGCATTGTTAACACACTGATGTAATATAACTAAAGCACTAAATCTAATTACAGTGACTCACACTGAAGGGAAAAAACAGTGTCTGGCTTTTGAGAAAACTATTGTTAGAGAGCCAGAGATAGTTTGTCACACTCGTCTGGTTTCACACATCAGCAGCTGTCGTATTCTGAAGACAGTGAAGCCGAGGATCTCCTGCTTATTGTCTGAACTACGGATGTAGAGACGTTTTTACAATTTGATCTATGTTATATGATATAAATCAAAATGTGTGCAGTACAGATCTTTATTTCTATGCAGATGACACTGTAACATACTGCTCTGCATCCTTTCCAAATTATATTATTATTATTTAACATCAAAACAAAAAGCTGTGTTTTAGGTGCACAATCTAAGTCCTTAGACCTGCTTTTAGTTTATTAGTTTGAACCTTAGTACAGACAGCTTTTATTCCAATGTTTCAGCAGCTGGTGAGAAGATTAAGAGTGAAACTTGTTTACATGACAGAATCTGTCTTTTCTTTGCAGTCTAAACAGAGACTGGTATCTTCCACTTGGATATCTGTGCTGGGTGTTGGTGATGTGTTGTACGTGCTTGCCTCTTCTCAGAGTTTGCATGCTCTGAATACCATGTTGGTGGAGCTCTGAGGTTTATTTCAAATCTTGTCCCTCTTTGGGGTTCACACTGGTCACATAAACAGTGTCTTCACGTCAGATCATCCTGAAGTTTTGCAGATATTTTACCAAATGGCTAGGGTTAGGGTTAGGGTTAGTTCAAACCTGAATGAAAAATTCATGAATTTTCCTGGATATTTGTTGATATGTGAATACAGCTTTGTCCAACACATTGAATACAACTGACAGTGTTGCAAAGCTAATGCTGCGTTCAAGTTACCTAGGAAGTCAGATGTCCGAGCTGGGAATGCAAAATCGGAGGCTACATCTGAGGCATCTGAGGCACGATTGCTGAATCCACGAAAAGTCATTTCGCGCTTGTTATTTTAGTTATTTTAAGTTATTTTAGCACCCTCTTTCGTAGATGTAGCCATCTTGTTTCTGCCTCTGATTTGCGTTTTTCCGACTTGGTAACTGAAATGCTCATAACATTGAGTGTGATATCATTCCCAGCTTGGATATCTGACTTCCGAGGTAACTTGAACGCAGCATAAATACATGTTTGAATCATTCACCATCAAAAGAAATGTTTCAATACTTATTTCATCCTCTACAGATGTCTGTCCTCTTTCTATAACACGTGTTTGAGACACTTTTCCTTGGCGAATTCACAAATAGATGAAAAGACATTATAAAAGACACGACATTTAGTGTTTGTCATTTTCATCCTTGTTCACCAAAATTATGTTTTTGTACCAGGCAGCTGTTTTAAAATGACCACTGAAGTCCAGTTTGGATGATTTGAACATTAGTATTAGTTTGTTATTGCCTGATAAGATCAGTCTGTGTGTCTAGTTGGACTCATGTGGTAGAAGTTTCAGATAACATCTCTGGTTTTGGACAATTATTGGTGTTTACTGGAATATGCATGGGCTACAAACTGCAGCTAACAGCTTTAAAGTTACATTTTTGGAAAACCTCCCATTTATGACCCATAAATAAACTCTCCGTTCATCTTCTGTGAATCTGAGGCTGCAGTAAGCGTTGATCCTGCAGCTTTGCGACAGTTTGGACATTTTCCTCCTGAGTTTTTTTCCATCAGCTGACCCTTGTCTTTATTGGTGTCGTAACTTCAGGACCTCGTCTGTCTTTGTCGTCTTCCTCTAACACTTCAGAGGAGCTGTGTGTTGGACAGGAAAGATGAAGTGATTTGTTGAAATACCAGAGACACATTCCTGCATGTAACGTCCAGACTTTCCGTCCCGCTCTGAACCAGCTTCAGGGGTCTTAATGAAGGATTTCCGCTCCCAGTTTTTGGCTTCATTCTGTCTCCTGATAACTTGCTGGACTGCAGACAGATGCTTGCAGCTCGTGGCAGAGTGTAAAAGTGCGTCTGTCGTTAAGTTTATTGAGCAGGGTTCACTGTTTCTGTTGTTTCTGTTGAATCCAGAAAAGAGATGAGGGTCTGATAAGCCCCTATGATCAGGTTTCAGGGTGGTTTGCCTCAGAGAGAAATGTCCTCATGGAGCGAGAAGACGGCATCGACAGCTTTGAAGTTTAGTTTCAGCAAAAACAAGTTTGAACTGCAGTTCGTTTTTTTCCACCATGATACCTACAGAGAGATACTAAATAATCTCAAGACTCTCATTATTGTCTTTTGTTGTGAGCCAAAATATCTGGTATCTTAAGAGATTTGGGAGGCTGTGGACCTTAAGCACTTGAGCTTACTTAAACTCTTTCAAGTTTGGAAAAGATTGGAAAAAACTGAATTTATCTCCTGAAGCAGTCAGAATAATTCACACTAGGAGCAGAGAGAGATGTGAAGAAACCGTTTCTGGCTGTTGCTCCTGCAGCGCCTCAATGAATGTCACCTAAATTTTACTTCATTGCTCTTTATTGGCCTCTCCTACAACTCTCAGGACTGTAGACTTTATGGTTTTAAGGCTCAGAGCCAAAGAGGCTCTTTAGAAAAATGTTCATATATAAATATCTTTAATAGGGCGGAGGGTAAGGGCCACTGAGGAGGAATTTCAGGTTACAAATGTTTTAAAATCAGACTTTTTTTCTCAGACCTCTTAGATTAAATCAAAACTTCTCAAAAGTCTGAGATTAAAACTAAAATGAAGATCCAAGTCAGAATTTTTTATGTTGATCTCAGAATCTTTTTTTAAAAAGTCAGATTTTAATTTGATCCTTAAACTCCAAAAAAGTCTGAACTTGTTTAATTTTTGAATTTTAAAGAAATAGATTTTATGAAATTTTATCTCAGAATTTAAAAGAAAATGTCAGATCTTAAGAATTACTGTATGAGTGACCCGAATCCTCTTGGTCATCTTAGCTGTTTAATGTCAAGAGGTCGCTCTGGTTGGGTTCACAACTTCACATGACCACTTTTTTTATGTTCAGATCAAAAACTTTGTCTTTTGTTTACAGAAAGTGCAGATTCAAGGTCACAACAATCATCACAATGTACATGAGCAGCTGTCTTTGGGCCAGCTCCTTTAACTTAAGTGTTAAAAAGAGGCATCCTTCATAAACGCAGAAATTTTATTGTTTTAATAAAGAGAGTTTAACAGGGCAGATCCACTTTGGGGGCTCTCTATTCACTTTTTTTGATTTGTTCCAGAAATTATGTATTCCTTATTTTCAAACCAATCTTTAATATCAAATGTTTTGAAAATTTCTGAAAGGACCCTTATTTCATCCTCTCATATTGCTCCATAGTGCTCTCGTAAGACGTCAAGACATACTTAAATCAACAGTTTGATTCTGATCAAGTGTTAATACAATAGTGTCATTTTTCCTACTCTGATCCATTCATAAGAGTTCATGTAAATCCAATGTGGAGTTGAGTTTAATGTTTAAGAAGAAACGCCCTGTTAGGTTTCGTTTGCGACACCAACAGCCTATCCTGTCAAAAGCCCGTCTGTTGCCTTGAACATTATTTGTCAGAGACCTCTTTGTTTTTGGATTTCCTGTTGTTAAAGGCTTAAGTAGAAATCTATGATACATGCTTATTAATGCAGTTTAGATTTTGTTGAAGTTTTATGAGTATGAAACTCTTCAAGTGTCAGGAGCTCACTCCACTGACATCTGGTTGTCCATGGTAAAGTCCTCAAAGTTTCTTGTATAAGTTGGTCAAACGTGAAGAGCACCTGGTTTACCTGTTAGCGCCACGCCTCTGCAAACCTCTCATTAGCACACACACACACACACGCACACACGAACGATCTATCTTTAAACAATTACGACACAGCAGCGGTGAAAACCAGATTCCTGCATAAAGAGGAAAAGATCATTTGAAGAAATCTGAATCTAACAGAGAAAACTTAAAGTTCAAGAACAGTCAGCACTGGTCTTGTTCATTCAGCTAAAAACAGCATTGGGTTTTTTTTCCAGCAGCACTTATCTGTGAAAGCGAGGAGGCTCTGAATCCCCCGACAGGCCCAGAGAGACAGAGAGCACTCAGTGAGGTCTGAACCGGATCTCTAACACTGGGAGGTTGACCAGGACTTGACTTATTCAGATTAGAGAGATAATATGTCCCTGCAGTCACTGAGACCAGACCGAGGTTTAGAGCCTGAACCACAGCGGGTCAGCAAGACTCTAACAGGCAGATTCTTTCAGTCCTGAAGAAATCCAGTGTTTCTGGGAATAAAAGAAATAAACGAAACATGAAGGACTTTGTAGCTCTGCACATCAAAGCACATGCAGTCTGAAATTATGAGCTCCTTAATGTGGTTTGATGTCAGAAAGCCAAGTTTTCTCAGAGTCACGCTCCCTCATTAACACTCAGTAACTCTGCTCTGTGGATTTCTCATAACATGAATCTCTAAAATCCTCTTCAGGACTTTAATGCTGCTTTGTTTATGTGGAACTGTTGATTATTTGTTTGACAAATTGCATGTTTTCACTCCCCTCCCTCTCTTTTTATGGGTGGTTGTACTTCTATTCCTGTCAGATGTAAGAAAAATTGAACTGACAATAATGCAGACTGACTGCTGTGTTTACTTGCATTGCCGTGCCAAAAAGTTGCACTTAAACACACCACTAAAACTGCAGCTGACAGCATTTACATTCTGCACAAACTTAAGGATCAGAGCGTGCTTATATATATATATATATATATATATATATATATATATATATATATATAGCTGTTGTAATGCAGCAGCTTTTACTGACTATTTTACAACAGTTTGGCAATGTAGCTTTGTCTAATAGAGTAACAGGAAACCAGTTTCTGGAGTTTTAAAGTGACATGTCAGATTATTTTCTGAGCTACTCAACAGTTCAGGGTCTCCTTTGTCCTGTTTTTTTGTTTCATGATGCTCAAAATGTTTTCAGTGGGCGTCAAGTCAGGACTGTAGGCAGGTCAGTTTGGCAGCAGGACTCTTCTACTACAGAGCCATGCTGTTTTATTACCTGCAGAATGTGGTTTGTCATTGTCTTGGTGAAATATGAAGGTCTTTCCTGAGAAAATCTTTGTCTGGATGGCAGCAGATGTTGCTCCTAAACCTGTAGATATTATTTAGCATTAATGGAGCTTTTACAGATGTGAAGGCTCCATTAATGTGATGGAGCTGTTGACAAGCAGAGTGGTCCCTCTACTCTTTAGAGAGGAGGACAGGGTGTCGGTGATTTCCAAGGAAAATGTCAACTGTTGACTCATCAGATCACAGCACAGTTTCCTTCTTCCCCTCAGTCCATCATAAATGGGCTCAGGTCCAGAGAAGTTTCTGGTCTTTCTGGATCAAGTGATTTTGAGCCCATGCAGTGATTTCCACTGTAGAGTCCTGTCTGTTTTTAATACAGGGCTGCCTGAGGGCCTGAAAATCAGGACCATCCAGCCTTGGTTTTGGTCCTTGTCCCTTTAGTGCAGAGATTTCTCCACATTCTCTGAATCTTTTAATGATATTATGTTCTGTATTTGATGAAATCCACTCATTCTTTCACTTTTGACACTCAGGAACTTTATTCTGAAGCTGTTGAACTATTAGCTCACACAGTCTCTCACAGAGTGGTGAACCTCTTCCCATCCTTCCTTCTGAGAGACTCAGCCTCTCTGAATGTCCTTTTTATACCCAGTCATCTTACTAACCTGTTGAAATTAACCTCATTTGTCAGAGATGTTCCTTCAGCTATTATTTTAGCATTACACAACCTTTCACATGTTTGGTTGTTCCTCTAACACCTTTTTAGAAACTGCTACTAGCATCGAATTTAAATGAGCAGGTATTGTAAGTTTTAACTTCTGATAAATAGTCTTGGCACTACTTTTAGTAAATTTTATTTACATGATTTGCAAACCCTCGAATCCTACCTAAGTTAACACTTCACAGACTCCCAACTTGATTGGAATTGGAGTTGTACATCACAGAAGTTCCTGTTTGATGAGTGACTCTCTCCTGAAGGAAGAGTTCAGCAGATGAACTGACAGCAAAATGAGCCCTAATGATGGGGGATCCGGTCCAATCTAAATGTAAAAAAGTGTAAAAATAGGCTTTACTTTTCAAACAGCAGCTGACTCATTTCTCCTGACCTTCTAGGGTTTTAAATTGAGCTTTGCATGCAGACCGAAACAGAAACAGACTAAAAAAAAACTTGACTTTGTCCGTTAAGAGGTAGTCCCTCGGTCTTAAAGTTCTGGTGTTTAGGAGGTGGAAACTTGGCGCTATTAACATGCAATCTAACAGAGGTCAAGCCGGAGAGGTACTGACAGAGAAACTCATGAAAATTAAATGAACTTCAGTGAGATTTACTCCGTTAACAATGTCCCCAAACAGAAATATTGATCCTCCTGCTCTCTGGTTTATAAATCTGGTTAACCGCTCACATTCTTGGAGAGAGGAGAAGTAGCCGTTGAATTTCAGCCATGTTTCCCTCCTCTGACACTCTGTGGTTATTTGCTTCCTCTCGTTGAGGTTAAACATGATTTCGGCCTCTGTAGCCGCTAGATGTTTGCGTAACTCTGAGTGAGATCTGTTCAGTCCACCCTCACTGGAGACTTGAGGAGAGGGTGGACATGAGGGCAGAAATGAGGCCGAGGGGAGGATGGGTAGTAACACAGGGCTATAGGACACACACACACACTCTCACACACACACACTCAGCAGAGAAAGGGAAAGTGTTGAGGTGTGCCAGAAGGCCCTCAGTTTAAACCCCGGCTGAGGGAGCTGTGTCGGGCCTCTCGGCTCTCAAAGAGTCCTTTCATGGAGAGGCAGCAGGCCGAAGGAATGCAGGAGCCAGCAGTCTGATTCAGCTGCGATGGAAAAGCATCCTTCTGCCCCGAATCTCTCCTTTCCATCGCCGTGGTAACATGCAGTCAATCAAAAAAGCTGCAGGAAGCAAGCATCACTTATTTGTCGGCTGCTTTTCGGACTCAAATGTGCTTCATTGTATGTCGGAATATCTGCTGCAGAGCGGAGAAGGGAGCGTGCTGCACCACAGAGGAGGGTCAGGGACATCTGGCAGCAGCTTCTTAACAAGACTGAAACCCTGCAAGTGGCCCCAGAGGCCCCATAACCTTCAGTATCAGGGCATTGCAGGAAACCATCAACAGAAGCCACTTTCACACACGCACGCCTGAAAATATCCAGAAATCTTTTGGAATTTTTCTGGGAACTGGCAAGAAAAAAAAAACGGCTAAAGTCAGGATGAAAATCTTGCCTGTTCATGTTCACATGTGCAACACACCCCAACATTTTTGGGAGGTTTTAGGAGTCAGTGCACGACTCAAAATGTCTTTATGTTTCAAATATTCCTGAGCTGAAGAAAGCAGGGCCGCTAAACTCTTCTGACCTGCTCATCAGCATTACTCACTTATACCTGTCTTAGGTGAATCAGCAGGCCTTGCATAGACCTTGAGAGGGGCAGGTCCTCACAATTTAAACAAAAGGACTACATCACCCCTCTTCATTTTGCCCTTTATTTATTTATCTATTTAATTTCTAAAAGTGAGAAAGCTAAAAAGGTTGCTGTGGTAAGTAAGACCTCATTTGATGCTCCAAAATTAAAATGTGGTCAGAGTTCATGTGTCGGGGGTTCAATGATCTGCATAATGTTTAGGTGCATTTCAGATTATAGATGCACCTCAAACACACTGATTAAACATCATGTTTCTTTAACTGACTTTGGAGCATCAGCTGAAGAAACGTGGTTGGTTTTCTGCAGCCTGTTTGGTGAAATCCAAAATCCTGTTCTGTGGCGTTTGCTCCATGTTTATTAATTTGTTAATTTATTTGTTTATTTGACAAATAATCAATAGAGGTTATTGAGTTTCAAATTAAAACCATGAAAAGCAAATAAGATTGATGTTTTAAAAGTAGAATTTCAATGGAGATCAGCATAAAGAGGGACAGAATACTGTCAACAAACTGTCAACAAAGAGCATTTTTTCAGTGTTCAGTTTGTGCTGACAGACTTCTTTCAGTTTCTATTCTCTATTCTTAAAAGCCATCAGTCATTGAATAAAATAATAAGTTATTCCTGTAGTGAATATTAATCTCAAGAGAGCTCCGACATGTTTGTTCAGCAGCAGGTGGAAAATCTCACGGTGTACATATGTCCTGTTATCAGTGTTTAAAGAAAACTGGCTGATTGGAAGATTTAAAAGTATGAGAAGCTCACAGAAACTTTGCAACAGCCAGATAAAGAGATGGACGTCTGCAGCATCAACTGGTCTTATCTTCTGAACATAAACATTACAGTGCAGAGGAAGATAATTTTTGGTATATGCACTCTGAGAAAAGACAGAGCGGTTTAAAACTTCAAAAACACTCATCTTTGCATAAATACAAGTCATAATTTGACTTTCGTCAGAGAGAAACACGAGCAAGTATGAGCAAATATGTCAGAAACTCTTGTCCAGACTTCAGAAAAATTCAAAATACTCTCCTTGAATGTTCTGGACACTGCTGTGAGTACATCTCTAATAATAAGTGAAAATATCTTGCAGGCCTCCTGATTTCTGTCTCGATGAAGATAACTTAAAGTTTATTCAGAGTGCTGAGACTTGTGAACTCTGTGAACGCAAATAATCTGGATACTACCACTGAAACTAACAAATGAGGAGCAAAGTTCCAAAACTGTGTGAACATTTTAGTGGATAAATATTGGCATAAAACAGACTCAGTGAAATATGTCCACAAAATACTTTTGACTCTCCGTCCAGCCATCTGGACCCACTTAGCTCCTGTCACCAACTTTTGGTGGAACTTTGATGGACAAAATAGTCTTTGCTTATCTTGTCTAATGCATTCATAGGTTGTAATTTTGACAAAAATCTCATCTGGACAGTCAAATAGTAAACAAAATAAAGTAAAAAATAATATATATATAAATAAAAATAACAGAAACGGATGATAACTAGGTTAAACACATTTATTAATAAAGTTACCCCTGTACTCTTGGTTTGGCCTTTCCTTAATTTAACTGACCATGTTGTTTTATTTTCAAGTTTTCTGTAAAATACTGCAATGATGTTATTGTTATATTTTATGACACTGATAATTATGTGATTCTGATTGTGTCCAAACAAAAGAAATTCACCTGATTTAATGATCCGTTACTTCTCATACCAGTGTTTCTCCCAGGACGGGAACACTGACGGAGGTGTGTCATTTGAAGGGAGGCTAGTTAATCTGCAATGTGATCGCAGACGACAACTCGCTAATACTCAGCGCCCCCGCGGTTCAGCGCTTCATATACTGATACTGACTCTGAGGTAGCACTGTATTAAAAAAAACCTAATTTTTAGGGTGTGGCAGCTTTTATTTTACAGTGGCGGTGTACCACCGTCAATTACATGTAGGGGAAATCCTGCATACCTCATCATTAGCACAACATAAACCACAGGGCAGCCCTTAAACTACTGAGTTGAAATTACATCATGGCTTAACAAAATTTCAACATTTCCTACAAATAAAAAACCCTGAACTTTCTCTTAATTTGCAAAACTTTTCCTGCTACATTGAAACAAAACAAAGAACAGACAATAGTTTTTGATGAAGTTGATCAGTTTCAATATGCTCTATCTTTGTTTTCAAATAGACACATTTAAAAAAATCACCTTTTGCTTAAGATTTATCATAGCTGTACAGTGTTGAGGATCTGATTTCTAATTTGAACTCAATGAATTGTTAGTGGCAGTCCATAGTCATTTTTTTTAAGAGAGACAGAACATGTAGATCCTGTGAGAATCTGATCCCCCTGACCTGATATAAAACTGAACCGAGCGTCTGACCTGACCCCGCCAAAGTTATCTCTGCTTGACTTTGTGAAGATTAACAACAGACGTTCAGCGTTAAGCGTGGAGAGATGTGGGCGTTCACCAAGCAGGGAGGGTTTTAGACGTGAAAGATGCATTGTGGGAAATGTAGGACTATTAACAGACTGTAAACTTTTAAAATGTCTCTCTGGAGGATAAATCAACTTAAGGAAACACAGACCTCTGCAGCCTGCATTAAATGTTTGAATCAGGAGGTTTACCTCTGCCACAGGTTTGCCAAGAAGCAGTCAGACTGTTTGGCTCTTTTCTCTGAAACAGATCATTTTTGTTGTTTCCATACATCTTTTAATTTCGGTCGTCTGCTGCAGATTTCCAACAGATGGGAGCAGCTCATGGCCTGTTTGCCATTCACGTTTTATTTTTACAGTCTTGATGTTTGGATGACACTGAGAGAAACTCTGAGTCTTACTGGACTCATCTGGGCTGCAGACTGGAGATGATCGGCAGGACATGATCACATAGACTGCACGCAAATCCAGCATCTGCATCTAATGCAGGCATATTTAGAGCAATAATCCCCTCTGTCTGCATACATCTATGACCGGATTAAACTCCAATCTGTGGAGGGAAGTGTGGCTCCGGAGAGGAATGCTGTTTGGTTTTGTTCACCAGAGTCCTCAGCACCACCAATTTCCTCCTGCAGCCACATCTGTGGAGCACATGCTTGTATCGCAGGGACGAGTGAGCCGAGCAGAGCTAATAACCCGGCCATACGTCGTGTCTGCTGCTCATATGTGCATGATCCTGATTAACTCTCGGGGAGAGCAGAGCCAATCACACAGAGCGACCAGAGTATCTGTTACACACAGCGCTCATAAAAAAAGAGAAGTATGCAACGTGTATATCAGAGTCAAGATCCAGAAAAGAAGCTGAAACAGTCAAACTTTCCACTCATCGACTCGGTGCTGGTGTTACATAAAAAGTTCTCTCTGAAAACAACAAAAATAAACCATCGAATCAAATCAAAATTATACCTTCAGCTAATTTATGCCTGTTGCATTTTGCACTATGCTCTGTCGCAGTAGAAAAGGCCAGTCTGGTTTTTGCCTGATGCCTTTCACATCCCTGTAAGACATCAGCTTTATTCACTCAAAATTTCCTGAACTTTTCACCCTGATTTTATCCGAAAATTTTCCAGCCCCCCCACATTAAATTTATGCAAGGAGTTTGAGGTGAACTGGTGAAAGAACTTTACAGATAATATTTAGAGAAATGCACCCAAAGAAACCAGGTGATGATGTCAAGACTAACTCTGAAGTCTGACAAGTTACAAGATGAATGGAAACATTAGAGGTTGAAGAAGGAGGATCATGTTTTAAACTGATGAAAGAAAGGATGTCAGCACATCCGTCTGTTTACTCTGGTATAATGTCAAATCTGTTATTATAGTCTAGGTCTCTGCTGTTTTACTCCTCTGTCTTGTTATTAACATCACAATGTGGCTTCAACGGTGGGATTTGGATCTTAAGAAGTTTTCTGACAGTGATAGAAGCTTGTGAAAAAGTCAGAAATTCAACTCATCTTGCATGTATTCTTATACTCCTGCAAAAGACTTCAGAACTCTCAGTGCAAGATTACAAGAGCTGCGTTTATTAAATCCCCTAAAAGGAACATGCTGTACATTTTACAAATATTTGTGGGCAACACAAAAACAGAGCATCTGATTCAAACTTTGCTGAAAAACACCAACAAATGAATAAAGGAGTATTGTTCAGACCCAGCTCTGCCTTTAACCACATAAAATCGTGTTTTCTATAAAGGAGTGTCTGAGTCGCCCGCTGTTATTCAACATGACACTCGGTCTCCAACATGTGGAGTCGTTCTTCTGCTGGAATCGATATCAGTATGACCCCAAACAAAGAGGCCGTCCTGTGGTTCCCTCTGTCAAATATACTTTTATTCTTTGGTTTATTTTTACTCAGGGTTTCCTTGTCTCTTTGTTTTCTGCAGCTGATCCTGGTCTGTCAGTGGATTCAGATGTTGTGGCTGAAGCTCAAAGTGGATCTGCACCAACACCTGAGGGTAAGACATCTCACTTTGTTCTCTGAGCCATCATCGAAGCCAGCAATCAGCTGGAAGAATCTCCCGCCAATCCGTTTAAAGTTCATTAATTAACTAAATAACCGTCTGGTTCAAGACGTCATGCAGAAATATCTTATAGTAACGTTGATGCTTCTTTAATAACCAACAGCCAGCCTCAGTAACTGCGTTTCCTGGAGTCTTGTCATCACAGAGAGGTTGCCAGGTTTGCTCTCTTAGAGAAGCCAAAAACAAAAACAAAACTCTCACAACACTTTAACTGGAGGGGCTGCTGATTGACTGAGAGGGTGGATCCACTTTGTTGTCCAGAAATATTTTCAGCACACAACAGATTTCTGTTCTTTGTATAAATTTGATTATGAAAAATAATTTTAGATCAAATTAGAAGCAAACGAATCCTCACATCTTAGTCATGAATCATGGCTGATAGGAGAATAGAAAATGAACTGAGAGGCTAGTCCAGGCAGGCTTGTCTGGAACCTCTACTTCAATAAAATAAAAAATAAAAAATTTAATTGGCTAAATTATAAAATGCTCTTATTAAAACTATGGCACTTGTTGTGTTAGGTGTTAGGGTTACTGTTGATCTGGCTAGATCAATATGTGATAATTAGAGCAAAAACTGAAATCATAAGTGTACTGTTAGGCACCACACTTATTTTTCTTATTTTGCCATGTTTTTCTCTGCACAATAATAATAATAATAATAATAATAACATGTGAGATCAGTTCAGTATAGATGTCTGTATGAGGGGTATACTGACAAAAAAAGGCCCAGAGGACCACTACAAAAACTATTATAAGCAAAATTTTCATGGATAATAAAGCCTAACAAGGTAACCTAGAGATGAGAACCAAATTGGATGATAGAGAATTGATTTTAGTGTCATTTACAGCTGATTTAAGACACTGATCAAAACCGACCCTTAACATGGTGGGTGTGTTGTAAAAGCTAACACAGGAGGAAGGTTAACATCAGTCCTTATCAGCTGAAACCTCAGCTGATGACGTCCTACAGGTCTATGAAAATAGTTTTTCTCGTTCATCTGCTCCAGCTCTCCGCCTGCTCCCCCTGCCTCCACCCCAGCTTCTACTTCCTACTCTGCTCTGTACCCAGGGGTCTTTGCTGCTGCTCTCACTGCCTGTGCACGCAGACACATGTAACAGAGGGGAGGTGTGCTCTCCCCGCCTCCTTCTCTGATATTCCATGTAAGCACATGGAAGGGCAGGGAGCTCTCAGAACAAAGCCATGATGCCAAATATAACTTATCACAAGGAGGTGACTGATTCCTCTTGAAGAAATTAGCTTTGACTGAAACACACAGGCCAAGTTTGTAGACATGTGGCGCTCTCGCTGTGTTTACCAGTTGTGTCTTTTGCGCTCTCACAATGATGTAATGCCAATGTGTAAACACGCTGGGAAACCAACATTACACAGTGTGTAAATACAGAAGGGAAGTTGACATTTGCATTTCTGCACAACATAACCAGAATTTATAGTGCTGATGCTTTTTATTGATCCTGAAATCTGTGATGTTTGTGCAGCTTACTCAAAAAAATCAGTCAGTCAAGTTTCAGTTGCTTTTAAGTCCTGAAATACTTCTCCCTCAGCCTCTGTTCCCAGAATGATTAAATCTTTCAGTTTTAGTTCATTAACGAACAGAAACAGGTTTGTTGATGGTTTTTCCTTCTGGATTTTTAGGATGTGGCATCATGGTGGGTGTTCGGTGTTCAGTGTGGCCCCCTGCCATCAATCATTGTATAATTTTAGAGCGAGCTTTGAGTGTGCTGCAGCAGGGTCTGTTTAATACCAGGGTACAGTAATGGAAAAGTACAATATGAGGACTGACCGGCTGTTTAAAATGAGCACTCAGCAGTAATGGTTTTCAGAAACATTATGGAGTTATTCTGTGATATGAAACAGAAAGGTCTGCGGAACTGAGCGTGTAATTATTCTTTCTGTGTTATGATCAATGTTTTAGGACGAGTTTCAATGCATATGGTTTATTTTTCTGACCTGTTAGAGTCGTCAGTGTTGTTAGGGTGTTGACAGAGGTCTCTGTACTGTATGTATTTAAGTTGGCCAGATCATCTGCAGCTGAAAGAAAGAGTTGCGATGGTTTTCCACTTATAGGACGTCTCTATGTTGAGCAGAAATACTTTGCCTCATCTTTCTTGCAAACTCTAAGATCTTTGACTTCTTTATCTTTGTGTTGGTGCCAAAGATGCTAGACCTACAAGTTCTCTGTTTCCAAGTCGGCTGATTTTTCTTGTGTGACGCCAGGTTGGCTGCTTGTTCGAATCTCTAGGGAAGGGTACAGACTCATACATATCAGTATGGATAATACAAGATGGTGGTTTTGTAAGAAAGAAGACAGTAGTATTGACCAATCAGGTGTCAGCAGGCTTTGGTGTCTGCAGGAAACTGTTGTCGGTCCAGGAGTTTGGTTAAAAACACTCAACAGAGCAAACGCTAAACTATTAACCAGTCAGTCTATTTTGAGTAACTCTAACATGCCTTCCATCTGCATTTATAACCATCTGTAAGGCTGACCATATGTTGGTCATTCAGGTGTGCCAAGAAGTTATAAATGCTGTAACCAAGAGTGTCAAACTGAAGCTAAACGTCATTAAACACAGAGAAACTTTGAGGAAATACATTTGAGTCAAACTGAAGTGGAGTTCACGGGATCTTTCCCACCTGTGTTTGCTTTGTGTTTAGTGGGTTTCTTTTTCTCACACCAGTGTACCACTCTGAAATCTACCCATGACTGACTTCAATCTTGCTCTGGCTGCTTTTTCCTTAAAAAACATTGAGTTTGATTCATTAGTATCTTCTTTATAAACTTAGTGAAACTCTTTCATTGAGGTTGTCATTCGCTGTGTTTTCTGAGCCGTCATCTGTCAGACAAACAGACCGGTTGTCCGAGCGGACTGGGTTTTGGACTCCTGCCAGAGCTCCAGCTTTGAGAGAAAGCTGCTTTTCATTACCTCTATCTCCTGGGAAAAGGACTAATCAATCAAGCACTTCAGCCTTGATATTTGAGACATCCATGCCTCCATAAAAGTCCTCTCCAAGTCACAATGTAACCTGGCTGTGGACCAGCAGTGATGAAGGCTGAATCACTGGAGGACTGCTGAAAGTGGGCCAGCCTGCATGCAGGCATGCCGTCTTTATCTCTGCAGGAGTGCATTACACTCAGTGAGGGAGCGGTGAGTGATAAACGTGTTTGAAGTGTTGATTCAGAAAAGTGCAGGCAGCCAAAACTGGGCAACAAACACAGATTACTGAAGTCCTTATGGGAGCCAAAGACTCCAGTCTGGACTGGACCTCTTATACATGGTTGAAACTCAACACAGATTATGAGTCTGTAAACACAGCCAATGCTGGTACTCACTTTATCAACACCAACTGAAATAGAGTTATTGATGCTGTGGTTTTTATTCTACATAGAGCGAGGGTAGAAGCTTGTTTGTCCAGACATCTTGTCCCTGCTCTTTTTTAGCTCCTCCTGGGAGATCTGGAGATGTCCACAGGCCCAAGGATATAAAATTTACCTCAAGCTAGCTTTGAATCTACCCAGCAGACTTTTACAACTAGGATGTGCTTGGAAAGTCTCCCAAGGACTGTGCCTTGGAGGTCGCCTAATTTGATACATTAACCATTGAAGTTGACTCCTTTCAATGCAAAGATGCTGCAGTTTCACCTCAAAGTCACTGAGGATGACTGATAAGCTGTGCGACCCCCTGCCATACCAAAAGAAATACACAAGAAATTTTATTACTGAATTACATGTGCATCCAGTTTTGTACTCATATACTTTATAAGTTTTACTTCACTAATTGATGTCTGACGCAGGCTCGTTGACAAGTCCGAGCTTTTTGACCTTTTAGACTGCTGGCATGAATAGATAGAACAATTTTGGCCTTATATATATCTAAGATTGACGTCAAAGCTTGAAATAACTCCAAAGTCAGACTTTATCCTTTAAACTTTGGATCACATTGTTCCTGGTTGAGTCATCATGACGTGCACAGAAGACTTCGTAGGTAAGAGAGGTCTTTTGGTTTGGTGTCTTTGTCCTGCTTCTGAGACAAACCTTTAATCTGTTTCTTCTGCCCTGTTCTGCCCTCACACACTGATTCCCACCTTCAGAGAGCTGCGGAACATCCTGAAATGAAGGATGAAGATGTTATAATTAAAGAGCAGCGAGGTGACATCAGTCCTGTGCAGGCTGCTCTGTGGAGAGATCTGCTGCAGCCGGGAGGGAAGCTGGGCACCCGAGCCTGTGTTTCCATTCATAAACTTTAACTGCAGATGGTACCGAGAGCCAGGAGACTTCTGAGAGTGTGTTTATCAATGCCTCTGCACAGAACCATCCTTTTCATGTCCTTATACAGTCATTTGCCCGGCTCAAAGACATCCAGCAAACTGTCAAACATTCCTGCAGCTCAGAGGTCAGACTCCTCTGATCATCCCTCTAACTGTGACTCGGTCTGAAGCCTCCACACACTGTTATTATTCTCTATCAGCTCTTTGAGAAAGTCAGCACAAGCAGCCCTCGTATTTAGTTTGGCTAATTGCATTGCTGTTGGATGTCTCCGGGGACACGTTTGAGGAAAGTTTCAAGTATTCACGAGCAGCTTAATTGAAACTTCAGGTCTCGGGAACGCTCAGCACTCCCGTCACTCTGCGGAGAGGAAAAACAGAACCGGAGTCATTTTTCATTTCTTGCTCTCTGGTGGCTTGCTAACATTTTTTGCCTCTATCCTTGTTTACTTTTGTTTTTTCTTTCTCCATCATTCTCTTTCCATTACCGAAGGCCGTTTATCCAGCTTTATTTCATCTGCTGTCAGCTGCACTCACGTCCCGCAGAAACAAAGCATGTGGTCTCTAATCAAGTCTCAGAGGGGAGCTAATCCAGGGCCAGAGGACCTTCGAGGGGAGAAAGTTGGTTCCTTAGATTGTTGGCTCATATAGATTTTATAAATAATGGAAGCTCCCGCCATGACGTTACCTTCAACCGTCTTTTTCAAGCGTTCATGTCGCCATCTCAGCAGTCATCGTGTTTTTGTTCATTTTCTTCTGGAGCAAAAGTGTTATCACATGAAGGAGTGGGTGGATCTTTGTTGATTTGTTGTACAAGAGTGGGACAAAAGTCAACATCCAGCCTCGTCATTGTTTTTTATTTTACTATCTGTGGTGTAGAACTCAAAATATGTCCTCAAGCAGCTTCTCGGGTGTTTCGGTGTTATGACTGTCCACTCAGGATGGCTTCGATTGCAGCACACACCCTCTACATTTATAGACAATCATCACTGTATAAATTCACTGAGGTCAAGAGTGCCATGCAATGGTCAGGTCATGGCAAGAATTTCCTCTGCAGGATCAAACAGCAAGCTACTTCAGACAGTCGTATACACTTTTAAACTGATAATATCTTGGATTTGAATGGCTTAGTAAAAATGATGAACTTTTAGTTTCATTAAGATTAATTAAATCCACATCTGACCAAGAAGTCCTCAACATGGCTTACGATATTATACCCCAAAAATAAGACTACAGTTCTTTGTTATTTGTTATTGGTAAATAATAATAATAATAATAATAATAATAATAATAATAATAATAATAATAATAATAATTGTAAATGGGATAAAAAAAATTTGCCAAGTTCCTGAAAAAAGAAAATGTTGAGTTTTCAGAAAATTGACTTAAATTTTGTTCTTGCCCCATTATTATTATTATTATTATTATTATTTATTTTAAATTATTATTATTAATATTATTTTTTACCTATCTGCATTTTATTTTAGTTTATTTTTTTACTTATCCGCAATTTGACAGTTCTGGCTTTTTTGGAGTTTCCAGATTTACGTTGTCCAATGTGACATGTTTAAGCATCGTCAAACACTTTTGACTGGAAAAAAATTAGACAAAGGCGCTTGCTAAGATTGATAAGAGTTCTGTACAGTGTACACCAACATCACATATCCCTGTCCCTTGTTGACACTGGATAAAAAGATAGAGAAGAAGAAATATATTTTAGTGTTTTTGTGATTGGGTTGTATGTCACTAGTAAGCGTATTAGCCGCAACTGATGATGGTCCGCTCCAGGAAAACTGGCACACAAGCTCGGCTACAGTTTTCTGCAGGGGGGCAACTCTTGCATGTAAGTCAGAGAGACTTTGACGTTTTGTTACAGAGTTTTTTGCACGAAAAAAGCTCAACCAAAAACTCAGTCACAAGCTGCTTGGCTCTTATTGCTCTGGGATTTGTCTTTGCATAAACATGTCCATATAAGTGAACAAAGAAAAGGATATCTATTTCCATTGTTTTCATTTTCATTGAGATCATTGAGAATTTACAAGAGAAATAGCTAAAAAAAATAACCCTGAGACAGTCTGCCTGGTGTAACTCATAATCTATGAGCTCTACGTCTAAATACACAGGCTCTCCAGTCCTCTATTAAGCAGCATTTATCGTCAGATGCTCCAAACCAAACACAATCTGTTGTAACGAGGGACACAAGAAAGAAATATTTATGTGATCAGGAATGTCTGCTGCACATAATCCACTTACCCTCATCACCCCGAGAGAAATGTGCAGCCTCTTCTTGTTTACGTCTGTTTAAAGAAAGGAAGAAATGATAAACAGTGAGAATATCTGAAGATGTCACCTCTATCTGCTTATTTACTCTAATGTGTGTGCGCTTAATACAGCCTGGGAAAATGGGTCAGAGACACAGATATATTCATGTTCACTTCAAACATTATATCGAAGATTAGTGACCAGGTGATGAAGGAAACTGAAGGTTAGCGGCCCACAGAGATACATCCTGCTGTTTGCTGTCATTTTCAGAGACTTCTGTGTCCACAAACAGATCTGAACCTTGACAAATATTTATCTTAGAGCAGCACTGGTCAGCCTTAACTCAATATAAAGTTTGTAAACAACGTAAAGAGGAAGGTCATTATCTAATTTCTCATGTCTGTGCAGCAGAATCAGCTGTGACCGTCTAGTTCCCATAAGCGTGGTTTTATAAAAACGTCTGGACAGTTTTATTACATTTGTTTATTGAAAAATCTTGATCCGTCTGGAGGCAAAATGACATTTGTGATTGATTAGTCTAACCTCCCCTTGCTTAACCCCTCAGGAAAATGGTGGTTCTGCTATTGGAGAGATGACCAGCAGAGAAACACTGAGTTTTTTTCAGCTTTATTGTGGTGGTGCTCCTGATGTTGTTGTTTTGTTTAAGCTTCTGAATATCATCGATATTCAAATATTATTCGATATTCTTTTATTAGCACCAGTTCTGTTTTGGAGAGATATTAAGGTTTGTTAACAGTTTGAACCTCACCTGTGTTTTTTTCTCCTGCAGGTTATTACCTGGAGTTCCAGGAGCCTGTCAACAACATCACACACTTTCAGGGTCAGACGGCCACGCTGCACTGCAAAGTGTCGGGAAACCCCCGACCAACTATCCGCTGGCTGAAGAATGACGCGCCTGTGGTCCAGGAGCAGGGACGCATCACCATACGCAAGACCGAGGCTGGGTCCAAGCTCCGGATCCAGGATCTGGACACTACTGACACAGGGTACTACCAGTGTGTTGCCTCCAACTCTCTCAAAGACATCTCTGCAACCGGGGTGCTCTACGTCAAACTAGGTATGGATCACATTTGTGCTTATTCATACAGAAAACTTTATGAAATAGATGTTAATTTGTGCTTTTTCGACATGGGCAAAAACACTTATTCTTTTATGTTTTGGGGGAGTTTTGCACTTTTGCATAAAAACTTTGCACTGCTGGAAATTTCTGGAAATTATCAGGGACTCTGCCTGCAAATTTTTGCTGAAATGCAAACAAGACTGGCAGGAAGAGCTAAAAAGACAAAGTCTGGGTAGAAATTCTTTCCGTTTTCCCACATGTGTTCACATCCGGAGCTTTTAGTTTTGTCCATGTGTGAATACAGCTTTAGTGATATATCACACATTCTTATAACTGCAAGATCAAATATGCTTTATCCTGTAACTAAGAAAAAATCCACGTTTTATGTGAAACCATTGTGTTGACAATTTTCAAATGGATAATTTGTTTATTGAAAGTCCTTTTATTCTGGATCCACAGGACAGATGCCCACACACAGCCCAGATGAAAAGTAAGTAGCGACATCTTCACACAAATGTGTGTTTAACTGTGGATACTGCGGATGCACATTTACTGCATTCTCTGTTATTGATCTTTGGAAATAATAATAATCAATGGTTGATTCCTTGTAAAAAAAAAATCTAATACCAAATCCATTTTTCTCCTGAATGATATAGTTTCACGTTGCCACTGACAGCATTGTAGAGAAGCTATCCTACAGTTATAAAAAAAGCTGTCTAAGTTAACATCATCACTTGCAGCTTTTTGTGGCTGTCAAACAGGGTCTTTTATAATGGAAATTTATGAGGTGGAACCTATTTGTAGTGGAACATTTTTAGTGTTCCCCGAATAAAAGATCAGAGTCAGAGACTGTTCCAAGATAGTAAATTTTTTCCACCACATTAAGTCTGTCTGCACTCTAGTTTGCCCAGTTATGGCTGTCAGGAGATACGCCGATTTGTTAGGCCTTTTATTTTATTTATTTTTACCAATTTAAGATTTTCCTGAAAAATATGTGAGTAGTGTAATATATTTACACACTTTTTTTTGGTAAAAATCAAGAATAGTGTTACTCCAGGCAAGCCACAAAGTAAAGCTCAGGGTACAGCACATCAGTGGAGGTGCTCCAGACCTGTAAGGGTGAACAAACATTTTTTTGTGGATTTCAGAAAATGTGGATGTTGAGGAAGGAAATTTTATTAGATGAGAGGAAGAGGAGGTGTGCTCTCCCTGTCACAAACTGCCATTCCTCATAGGTATTGGCATTGATAGTGATAAAAATCAATTCTTATCGCTTTCATCACTGGTGCCTGCTCTGTTCCTTACCTGTGGGTCTTTGCTGATGCTCCCCCTGACATGGCAGAACAGAGCCATACTTATAAAAAAAACTCATTGCATGCTAATAATGCTCTATTTTTGACAAATATGGTCCTAAAAGAAGTAGGATTATGGGTTTAGATTCTGTTAATAATGAGCGTTGATTGTTAACATTTGGTATCATGTCAGGTTTTAGATCATGTTTAAATATCCTGTGGTAAATGACAGCTGTAATCTGATTATCACAGGTAAATTACCTGTTAGAGGAGCTAAATGTTTTGGAGGTGAGGATGGATTCAGCAGCTGGAATTCAGGAAATGACTGTAGTTAATAAACATCCTCAGAGGTGTTGATGTGTTAATGCGTGTTTGTGGTGTCAGAGGTGTCTGCCTGAAGCCAATATAATCATGCAGAGACATGCAGCTAACACTCATACCTGCTCAGGTTTTGTAGAGATGCTTCACACCTTCATTGTTTTTTTTTTCCTTTGCTGCACTGAATGGTTAAAACAAATCATCAGGGTAGCAGGGCGTGCAGCCTCTCTCTCTCTCTCTCTCTCTCTCTCGCTCTCGCACTCTCTCTCTCTTTGTGGGTTTTAGTCATCAGGATCCAGAGCTGAGAGCAGATGAGCGGAGCAGGAGTCAGGCTGAGTCGTGGTTTTGGAAAGAATGCTGAGTCATGTCCTTGTTCAGACCAACCGTTCCTCAGTGACTCTCCGTCAGATTATCTCATCAGCCGACAGAACGACTCCTCTGACGTCTTTAAGCTGCTGCTGCAGGAGAACAGTGATTGCTTTTGAGAGACTGTTTTTTCAGGCTTTTTAAGCAGTAAAGGATGATTTTAGTGTTTTTTTTTTTTTTTGTTTAGTTAAACAGTAAAGTTACAGGATCAAGGCTAAAGGCGGGCATTTTTTACCTAGCCTGATCACATTTGTTGGTCAAAGGTCAGAGGTCATAGAGAAAAGGAAAGGGAGCAGCTGTTGCGTCTCATGTCTTCGTCTGATTGGCCGTTTGTGCTGATGTAAGGAGACATCCTCTGAGTTTATCCCTCTGTTCATCATCATTCACGCTGACCACACGCAGACACACAACCAGCAGGAGACGGCTAACATAACACAGCTTCAGACCAACATTAATCACTGTCTCTTTGTAATCATAGTCTGTCCTCCTCACACACACAGACAGACACACTCACAGGTCTCAGTAGATAACAGCTGGTTGAAGCTTTAAACAGTGTTTTTGTATGATTTTAATTAAAAAAATAGAGCAGGTCGCTCAGACAACGCAGGCCAGAACGGACATGTTGTGATATTTTCATTCTGGTGTCTGTGTTTTCATCACAGCGGCAGCAGGAGGGAGACCCTGCTGAGGGGTAACTATAGCCTCTTAGGGTGCCTTTGACCGCAGGAACTTTCTCCAGGAACTAGGGACCTTTTGAGGAATCTACCCATTGAAAAACCCTGCTCAGGGAAAAGTACTTTTAAATGACCCAGGGACTTAAGGAGGCAGGACCTGACAACCTAATTTACGTATCATTTACATATAAAATCCTGGTAGCACACACCAACACACACATATTCAAACACAGGAGGAAATACTGGAGAGATTCTGGATCAAATCCTACATAAGTTAATGATATCTGATCTGTAAAGAACTGTATATACATGGAATTGACCCTGTTAATGAACAATTTTTCATCTCAGAGATGCGTTTGGGTGTTTTACCATTTTGGCATTATAAGCCGGTATTTGATTTACATGCAGACACCAGCTGAACAGAGAGAAGGTTTAACAGGTAGAAGCACCAAAGGGCAATGGCACAAGAGCAAACATTTCCTGTAACCTGGTGTGATTTAAAAACCAATACAGCTTACCTTAGTCTTAAAGCAACTTATGAGGCACAGCCTGTTAACACACAGCACGAACGCCATATACACACACACAGCGCTGTTCCGCCCTACCTGCTCCAATGCAGGAAAAGATTTTAAAAGATTTTAACCTTTCTGAGTTAAAATCTCATTTTCTCCTCAGCTGCACAAACGTTCACGAACACTTTCCACTCAAAATAACTCTAAAAACAAAAGTACAGATGTTAAAAACTTCTTAAAAAAGTAGAAGTACATGAAAAAGCTTTTCAATTATAGTGACATAATATAGTTTGTCAGTCACACACAAAGGGACACCAATATGACACTGCTGGGAGTATAAAGAGACATAGGCATGAAGTGACAGTAGAGTTTTGTTTGATTTCCATCATGTCTGCGAGTCTTTGTGTCTTTTCCAGGGAAGCTTTAGCAGATCACTTGAAGGTCTTACAGTCCTTAGAGTTCTGGTCAGCAGCCAATCAGACACTTCATCTAATGAGGTTAAAATGACAGTGTTTCCCTCAATGTGACCCCACACTCTACAAGAGACTCTAACCTGGAACATTTTCTGGATCTCTGACACCAACTTGTATAAATGCATCTGAAGTCAGTTTAAGGAAGTAGATGACCTTTGCTCACAGAATGAATCAGAACAGCCTAAACATCGTAAGTCAGTGTGTGTGTGTGTGTGTGTGTGTGTTGGCCTGTTTGTTTTGTGGATTAAGACTCGAGTCGGGTGAGAGACTAAGTCCAGCACAAACATGACATCAGCGTGACCCGAGCTAAGAGCCGAGTCCGAAAACACAGTGAGATCAGAGAGTTTAAACTGACACAACTTCCCGCGCAGACCAAACACTGACCCCAAAGATCAACACGCATGATGGCAGCCAGAGGAGGGAGAAAGAGGAGAGTTTGAGCTCATTTACTCATTTTATTTTGTTTTCAGTTTGGACACCGACCCCGGTAAGAGAAGCATTCTGGTTTCTGTTTCTAGTCCTAGTAGTAGTGACCAATCAGGTATCAGCAGGCTTTGGTGTCAGCAAGACGAACAGTTTGTATGGAGAGCAAAAACAGGTAGAACACAATCCACTTTAAAAACATCAATCTCCCATCGTTGGTAACCTGAGGAGGATTTATTTCTCTGTATAAACAGATATCTGCATGAAAGTCAGCTGATAATCTGTTCTAGATCAAACATTTACACTGAGACACTAACCTGCTTGATGCTGAGTCGCTGAAGACAATCAGTGTTTAGATTTCATGAATAGACCTGACTTTGCCACTGATTTTCAGACTAATACAAACTTATGATGGAATCAACATTCCATTTTTCTCACCAAAACTCTTCTTTTAACTTTATTTCAAGAAAAAACTGGTAAAATGTCAGTCCTCAGGTGTTTTTATATTTGTCAAACCTCAAGTGATTTCAAAGTATGTAGGCCACAGACTATATAAGAGCACTGGATTTGTGATAGCAGACAAACACAGCCCATAGGTTAAACTTCAAGGACTAAGTAAGCTCAGATGACACCTAGCAGATAGCTAACAGCTCCTGCCTGTCACTCAAAGAAGCCACGCCCCCAATTTTAGCTCATTTAAATCCTTGATGTAATGTCAAATGTCGATGTAATGTACAGTCATGAGCTTAGAATCTTAAAATGTTATTTGTTCCAGGCTGTAAACATGTTGATTTGTACTATAAAGTTAGACATTTTAACATGAGGAAACATTGCCATGGTTACTGACTCACCTCTAGATATTGCCTCTAGTGGGCACTGCAGGAACTGCATTTCTTTGGCACTTGGGCATTCATTTTTTTCTCAATAACAAGGCTGTTGCTCAGTTCGACATATGTGCTGTAATTTTCCAGGATAAAGGGGAGTGATGGTCATAGTGTGCTATTGTTGGTGGCAGCTCAGCTAGCAGCTCCCTAAGCCCACAGGACAATGTCATTGCAATTTTAACCATGTCTATCATCTCCTGGATTTCTCTTAGTCTAATATGATGCAGCTATAAAACAACATGCAGTTTTTCCTTTGACTTGAGTTTTTCGGCTCTGATGACTGAAACTGTGGACTTTAAGGGGGCTGCAGGGCTACAGCACAATGCCAGGTTTTATTCCAGTGGCTATAAACGGGGTCAGGTTCTGCACAGCGCCTCAGGAAGGTTTGGAGCTGCAGGAAGTCGTTTTCTGTCGGCTGTCATCAGACTTTACAATCACTCGCTGTGTTTGAGAGCTGAGCTAACATTCGACCATTTATAAACTGGCTGCTGTCGTCTGACTCAGACTGGTGGTGAATTTAGTATCAATAAACTCTCTGCTAACAGGGTTGCATGTTAAGGTTTCCAGCTTGAATACAGACACTGTTTTTCTCTTGTTATAATCTGCACAGTACTTTACACTTTTTATTGTAAAGGCTTGATTAGAAAAGAAGAAGAAACAGTGTTCAAAATCTCCTGATTGTCAAAACATCTCAAAATGTTTCTTCTGATCAAGTATTCAGCTGTATTCACTTCAACATGTAAAAACAATGCGATAAATAATGAGTTGTCATATCATATAAGCTCTAATGATAATGTGAAAGATGTCAGGTAAAGGACATGGGCTGAAAACACCTCTTCAGATTTGGTTTACTGACATTGCAGCATCGTCTGTCGCCAACAGAAGAGCAGCTAATGCTAACTTAATGTATAGTATTTGAACTTAAGATTTTATCTCACCAATAATTAACTTATGTCACATTTTATGTCAGTTTCTGTTTTTTTTAAACCTAAAAATCTTTGACAAAAATCTTTTACTGAAAAAATAAATGTCTTTTTATCTTGAAGTTATGAAAAACTACTTCAGCATTTGATCATTTTGACATACTAATATCGTACTTTCAGAATAAGCACTTTGATAACTAACTTATAAAATCATTACTTTTTTCAAAATAATGGCCTCATCATATATTCTAGACTACAACAGTATATTTTTTCTTGTTAAACATTTTATTCTTATAATTTTAACTTTTTTTTTCATAATTATTACTTATATCTCATAAAATGTGTTCTAATTCCAGTAGTTTAACCATCATCTCAAGGTTATAGTTTCCTTTTTTTTTCAAAATTAATACTTTATTCCAAATGTATAATTTCACGTCATAATTCATTTTTACTCTCGATGTTAAATTTGACTTTTTATCTCATAACAATGACTTTTTATCAAAAATATGTCTTTATTATCTTATTATTTATACATTTGTATAAATACAACTGATTTTGACATTTAAATTTTGACAATTTTAACATCTTAATCATGACTTTGACTCTATGACTTTTCCTCTTCACTATCTTGTGTGTTAATCTGTCGTATCATGTCACATGTGTTTCTATAAACTTCCCTCATCTCTGATAAGATACTGGCTCTTTGAAAAAGTTCCTGCTCCCTGATTTTTGGATTGTTAAAGAGTTTAATTTTAGGGTTAAATGCAGAGCTCTTTAAAAGGGAAAGCAGAGTTCAGTTAGATAATGACTTTTCCATTACATAATGTTTTCAAATCAGTGTGTGGGTGCATGCGTGTGCCTGCATGTGTGTGTGAGGACAGATTTGAGGAGCTGCAGACATGACCGCTTTAAACAATGGGGCAGAAATCCAAACACAGCAGCCTGTTGATTCCAGTTTAAGCTGTGTGTCACTCTGAATGTTTGATAATGGCCGAAGCTGAAGGCCTTAAAGAGTCTACACACATGATGGACAGAAGCGTTATTGAAAACTAGAGGGAATATATTTGACTGCAGGGATGGATGCTTTTCACAGACTCTTTCTTGGACCTTATCTGAATAAGTATTTCCAGTTCACAAGGAAAAGAGATATCAGAAATAGGTGCTTTAGCATGCAAGCTAAAGCATATTTTCTGCAATGTGGAGAGATGCTATTTACCTTTCAAGTCAAAAATGTCCAAAACCAGACTTCAGTTTTGTTACAGGTTCTATTATAATCCTCTTAATGCTAAAACCTGTACAATATTAGCAGTTAATCTGTAATAAACCAAAATAAGGCAATTCTGCATGAGCTGAGGTTAACATGTCATTCAGACCTTACAGTTTTATCATAGTACATCATAGTTTTAAAAAGCTGCAGCTGACTAAATTGATTTGTTGCAACATCTGTATCTAAAGCAGACTCTCTTTCTTTTCAGCTCTCGTGAGAAAGGTTTCTGTCAGCCGTACAGAGGCATTGCCTGCGCCCGCTTCATCGGCAACCAGAGCATCTATGTGGAGTCTCTGCAGATGCAGGGCGAGAGTGAGAACCGCATCACAGGTAAGAACACACACAGGGTCTTTATCAATACACAGCCTGGTGTAAATTAGGCAGGACTACTTTAATCATAGAGAATTCATTATTTGCTCATAGTAAGCTATATTTGAAAGTATGACTGTTCTGAGAACTCCCTGCCTTTCCATGTGCATATATGGAGAGGGAGAGCACTCCTATCCATTTGTCGAGAGATATTAGTATTTTTTCCCATGGTTTTTGAGAAAAACCTCACATAAAGCTCCACACGCTGTAAAGGATTCTACGACACGTGAAGTGCCAAAGCCCAAGTCTGGGAAAGCACACCTCTCCTCTGTTTCTTTGTATGTATGAAAAACCAAGGCGGGGAGAGCAGCAGCAAAGACTCCTGGGGCAGATGATGGGTGGCTAATTGTACTTGAGTGTGGATTCCCAAAGTCTGGGGCAGGAGGAGAACCCCTACCCAATGTTTTATGTGCAGACCTGAAAAGCCCAGGCAGGGAGAGCTTCAGCAAAGACTCCCAGGGTACAGATCAGAGAAGGGATCAGTGTTAATCCATAAAATCAGGGTTGGGGTGGAGGTAGGTTGCCAAGCGATTTTCAGAGGAGGCAGGAAGAGCAGGAAAGATAAAGCAGCGCAAATAGAAAGCACTGCCTGAACTAATACTCAGTTTGGGTTTTTATTTATGTGTCTTCTTTTTCCTTCTGCAAGCTGCGTTCACCATGATCGGCACCTCCACCCACTTGTCGGATCAGTGCTCCCGGTTCGCCATCCCGTCCTTCTGTTACTACGTCTTCCCTCTGTGTGACGAAGGCTCCAGAGGACCTCGAATGCGTCAGCTGTGTAGAGATGAGTGCGAGGCTTTAGAGAACGACCTGTGTCAAGCTGAGTACACCATCGCCAGATCCAACCCCATGATCCTCATGCAGCTGGAGCTCCCAAACTGCCACCTGCTGCCACGACCAGGAACAAGCGAAGCTGCTTCCTGTATGAGGATTGGAGTGCCGCAGGACAAACTGGGACCATGTAGGTTTGACATTCAAGTGTTAAGAGGTGGTTTTCTAGTGCTTTGATTTAAATCAGTGCTCCAATCATGCAAACTTTGGTTCAAAGTATCAAATAGGTTCAAAAAGTTGTTTAAACCTATAGGAGCTGCTACCTCTAGATTAAGTTACAGATCAAATACATGTACACTCTGCATTTAGCATACTACAAGCAAAATTTTGTCTCTTATTTGTCAGTGAAAAGTTGGTATTTCTCTCTGCTCCACAGACTCCCCCTCAGATCACAGCTGTTATAACGGGAGCGGCGCAGACTACAGGGGAACGGTCAGCGTCACCAAGTCCGGCCATCACTGCCAGCCGTGGAGTGCTCAGTACCCCCACAGCCACCACATGACCCAAGAACACCCTGAGCTGTGGGGGAGTCACAACTTCTGTCGAAACCCAGGAGGACAGATGGAGGCCCCCTGGTGCTTCACCCTGGACAGTCAGGTCAGGGTGGACCTGTGTGACATCCAGCCTTGCAGTGAGTATCAGAAATGACTGGAATGACTGTGATTTACCAGTAAGACCAAGATCATCAGCATCCTGTTTGTCTAACAGATGAGTATTTGCTTCAAGGGGCCATTTTTGGGGAAACAGTGTGACTAAAACACAAAATCAGAGGGAAATGATCAGGACAAAATCTTAGTTGCAATCATTCTGACTGAAAAATGTGGTGAGGCTGAAGAGACAAAGAATGTTTGCAATCTAATGAGACACTTGTTCATGTCATCAGAGATAAATCCTCATCAGAATCTGATTGAAACACTTTGCGATGCCTGGAGTCTGAAGTGAATTCTGTCAGATCATCCAACGTGGTTAAAAAAAGACCAAAGCCTATTTTGGCAGTCGAACTTGTTCACGCCTATGTGTGAGTTAACAGGGTTTAACATCTACCTGCAAAGATTGTCAAACAAGTGTCCTTTAAGGCTTCAGAGCAGAGCTACGAGACAGACCAATGAAAGCTGCTGCGCCTCACATTGATGTGACAGTTCAGGGTACTTTTAATCCAACAGGGACGCAGAAATCAGTTCAAGTACCTGCTTTTTGAGAGCCTCTGCGTGGACATATACTTCCAAAATTAGAGCACCATCAACACAGATAAGGTCTTTTCATTTAATTTTGTAAAAATGCACAAAATCCATCATTAAAGGAAAAATTTTCCTCCTAAATTATCCAACAACTAAGAAATGGATTATTTATTGTGGACGGGTAATTATGGAAATCAAAACCTCAATCGTCTAAGACTGAAAGGGAATCTAATTTCCATAACTACCCTTTCACCCTCCTATTACACAGCTATCAGCTCATCAGTACATAGACTCAAATTGTTGATTTCAAGTTTTACAACAGAAAATATACAGAAAAAGTCCCTATGATTCTGCAGATGATGGTGTTATCATTGGTTAAGGATTCTCCTCCTTGCAGATCAAACATCAAACGGTCTAATTAGCAACATCAGATGAACAATCATTTCCACGAAGGGAGACATTCCACAAGATGAACTCGAACATTTGGCTCCTTTTGCATTTTCAACATTCACACTAAACATTTCTAGTTTTGTTATAGATGACATGAACCGGTCGTGTACAAAACCTAAGCTCTGAAGAGTTGTGATGTTGATACATCCTTAAAAAAATGAGGCAAGAGTCACATCTTTGTGTCATCAAGCAGAACAGAAGTCAAATGTTGCATGTTTGGCTTGCTAGTTTCCCATGTTGCTCTTATTATGCAGAGTTGATTACTGTCAGGGGTTTTGGCCAATCAGAATTGTGTGTTTAAAGAAAAGGAATAAAGTGAGGTAATAATTAATTTAAGTCTACATATAGCTCCAATACTTAAAAGTTGCTCTCTTAAGACACTTGGGTAATGTTGCAAAGGAGATGAATTATAAGTGACAAATAAACTAAATGTGTGCATGCCCAGAGCTGCAGAAATTTTCACACAAACAGCCAACCCCAGCAACAGATTTTCCCACAGCACTGTAGGGAGTTTACAGGTTATTTGTGTCGAAATTTGGACCTTTGATTAAACCAAACACAGCGGCAGTGCCTTTACATCTCCTCTCCTGACATACAGTGTGAACTGAAGTATCTCATTACCTCTGTGGGTATACTAAACCACAGCCAACTGTGATATATGGCCATCTTTTGACATCATGTATGAACCAGCAGAGTTTAGAGTTACTGCTTGGCTGTGTTTAGATGTCATCTTGAGTTAAAAATTGCTGGTGTGAACAACAGATGCTGGATCAGTTCGGGAGATTTATTCAGTCTTTGTCACTTCATGAATGTGTGGGAGAGACTTTTGACACCATGTTTAATGATGATGAGACTGGAGAAGAGCTGAAATTAAAGAGTTTGTACCTACACATATGTTTATTTTGTGCAGAGCTTCCCTGTGATTAATCTTTCAGCACTGCAAAAAGAAGGTTGTGATCTATAAGCTGTAAACTGTGCAGTTTCTTCAGATGTGTATTTATGCAGGAGGTTTTTTGAAGTGCTGTAGAAGCTGTTGGCCGGCCCCGCAGTCTTCACATGTCCTTGTTGTTGAAGGCCTTGGACAGTTTTCTTTGTAGGGTCGGCCACAGGGTCCAATCAAACTGCAGGCCGAGTTTTCAGCAGACACTTCTGGGACGTTTCGAAGGTCAACAGAAACTCCACTTCTGGAATTCAGAAACTTTCCTCTCGCTCAATTGGCTCACAAACTGAGCTCTCTTATCCCTCAGCTCTCTAAAAAAGGTGCTGCTGATATCTTTCAAGGCCCTCTGCTGCGCTGCCAAAACACTCAGGCCCACATCCAGTAACCTCTCTTGGCCCGAGGACTTGGCCCTGACCCTCATTTCTGTGCACTTTGGAGAGTTGTGGTCATTCAGCCCTCAGGACAAGAGAGGTGAAGGCAGATTCATTGGTTAGTGAAGCAGAAGCAGCAAAGCCTTAGAAAGAAAATCAGTGGAGCAGTCTAGATCAGTGTTTCCACAGAGTGGTTTGGTACAGGGCGGCATGGCATGGCACAGTATGCAATTATTTGTGTGTTTTTAGTAAAAAGTTGGGAAGGTACTTAATGACCATCCAATCCTTTTGGCGCCCTTCTGTTGGGGCACCAAGTGTACTAATCCAACCTTTCAGGGTGGAGCTAGACACACTGTAATCTGTGGAATGAAAAGAAAGGGGAGGGAAGGGTTAACTCATGTTACAACAGTTAATTTCTTGCTCATGTCCAGGATCAGGTCACAGGGGCAGTAGTCTGAACAATTCAACCTAGACCTCCATCTGCCCAGCTACATTTTCTAGTTCCTGAAGGCATTCCCAGGCCAGATGGGCTGTGTAATCCCTTCAATGAACTCTGGGTCTCCATCATTGTGAAAATAACCCACTCTATATGGATGCCATATCATATCTATGAGTATGGAAAAACATGTGAGTTTATGGGAGAGGGGAAGGGTTTCCTTCGTGCCATTTCAGTCAGTTTTCATCAAGCATGGTGGAGGTTGAGGTTTTCATCTCTCTTGAATAAGTAAATGGAGTACCACATTGAACACATTGCAAATTTGCATCATTCATGCACACTTGCTGTGTTTGCACAATTCACATCATGTCATTTACATGATTTGCATTGCTCAACAATAACTGGTGTCTGCCTCTGAAATGATTTTACTCATCTCCCAGCCGGTGGTACCCACAGCACCTCCAAAGAGCGTCACCCAGGAGGCATCCTTATCACATACCTGAACCACATTGGCTGAGTCATTTTGATGCTTAGAAGCAGGATGATATTATTCAGTCAATACGGTCCCGTTTTAGAGACCAGAAAGCAGGGGAGGACTTACTATATAGTGGTGCTAACCTTGGTTGCTATAACGACCTGATGATCTCCAACTTGTTATAACAATAACAAAGTTTAACATGATTCTTTTTCTGTTGTCTTTGCAGAACCTCCAGACAATCCCCGGAAGGAGATCCTGTTCATCCTGATCCCTGCGATCGCCATCCCCTTGGTCATTGCCTGCCTCTTCTTCCTGGTTTGCATGTGTCGCAACAAACAAAAGGAGTCGCTAGACTCACTGCCTCGCTGCCAGCTCAGCGGCTCACCCAACCAGGACATGGAGTTGTCTCTGCTCAGTCAACAGAAACACCAGGTAACATACAAACAGAGTACTAAGAGACATAGAGCTGTTTCATTTACACTCTGTGACATACAGACTAATCAAGGCAGCAATAGCCCAGCGACCTAAGTTCTGAGCAATTTGTCTTTGTGGAGTGTGATCAAACAGCTCTTTCTGGTTAAAAATAAAAAAAGTAATCTTTTTTAAAAGCTCTCTCTATGTAAGAATGTTTTTGTAATGCTGTCAGACTCTTACAAATAACAATCTGGGCCAGTTAGGGACAAAAACAAGGAATTTAAGTAAAGACACTTTGATCCATCAAGAATAACATTATAGATCTGCATCATACCAGATCTTGTCGACTAGTTTCCATTTGTGATTCTAAAGCAGGTTGATTCGACCATGATATATCTTAGTCCAAGTGAAGAAATATAATTTCAACATGCACTTAATACAGATGCTGGGGTTTTTAATGCGGTGCTGAGTGTAGACTTAACACTCAATGCAGAGGAGAAAGTGACCTCCATACACCTGATTTCAGAACTGTTGCATTCCTGTGCTCAAGTTTTACATTGACTTTTACTGTTGGCCGTACACTTTGATGATATATCTGTATTTACTGCTTTCTGCCTGCAGGGAAAGCTGCGGGAGATTAATATGTCAGCTGTGCGGTTTATGGAGGAACTGGGCGAGGACCGTTTTGGCAAGGTTTACAAGGGCCACCTGTATGGCACCGCACCTGGAGAGCAGGGCCAGGTGGTTGCCATCAAGACATTGAAGGACAAAGTTGACTCCACTCTGTGCGAGGAGTTCAAACATGAAGCCATGGTCCGTGTCCACCTGCAGCACCAGAATATCGTTTGTCTGCTAGGTGTGGTAACCAAAGAGCATCCAATGAGCATGTTATTCACCTACTCCAGCCTTGGAGATCTGCATGAGTATCTGGTAATGCGCTCCCCCAACTCAGATGTGGGCAGCTCTGATGATGACAAGACAGTGAAATCCACTCTTGAGCAGGCAGATTTCCTTCATGTTATCACTCAGATCGCTGCAGGGATGGAATACCTCTCCAGCCAGCAAGTCGTCCATAAAGACCTTGCTGCCAGAAACATCCTGGTCTTTGACAAACTCAGCATCAAGATCATTGATCTTGGGCTGTTCAGAGAAGTGTATTCGGCTGACTACTATAATCTCATGGGAACAAGCCCTTTCCCAATTCGATGGATGTCCCCAGAGGCAATCATGTATGGAAAATTCTCAACTGACTCTGACATTTGGTCTTACGGTGTCCTTCTGTGGGAGACTTTCAGCTACGGTCTGCAGCCATACTGTGGATACTCCAACCAGGATGTGATTGAGATGGTCCAAAGCCACCAGCTACTTTCTTCTCCAGATGACTGCCCTGCCTGGATTTACACTCTCATGCTGGAGTGTTGGAGTGAGTTCCCAGCAAGAAGGCCTCGTTTCAAAGACATCCACACTCGTCTGCGGTCCTGGGAGAGTCTGTCCAACTACAACAGCTCTGCCCAGACTTCAGGCACTAGCAACACCACCCAGACCAGCTCCCTCAGCACCAGTCCTGTCAGCAATGTCAGCATAAGCACAGCCAATGCATCACGCTACACCAGCCCGAAGAAGACCTCCCCGTTCCATCAGCCCCAGTTCATGCCTATGAAGGGACAAATGCATCGGTCGATGGTACCACCACAGCTTTACATCCCTGTGAATGGTTATCACCCCATGCCAGCCTATCCATACCTGCAGAACTTTTACCCTATGCAGATACCCATGCCTATGCCCCAGCAGCAGATGCACCACCCATCACAGGTGGTTCCTAAAGCTGGTTCTCACCACAGCGGCAGTGGATCCACATCCACAGGGTATGTCACCACTGCCCCCTCCAATACTTCAGCCACAGAGCGAGCGGCTTTGCTAAATGAGGACTCCAAGGCCAATGAGGATCATTTGGCAGATAGGGTGTCTCCAGAGGAGTTAGATCAAAACAAGGACTTGTCAGTGCCTGAAACAGAGCTTCTAGGTGACAATGATCCTCTACAGACTGACGAACTGGTGATCCACCTATCAGACACATAAAGGTGGTGTCTGAAGGACAATAGAGCTGAAGCAATCTGTGAGCCGTGCTAGTCAGAACTTCAATAAGCAGCATCAAGTGAAGTGAGCAAACATGTAGAGCAGTGACTGAATGTTTTTGTACAACTGTCTTTGATAGTACTGACCCCATTGAATGTCAAGTGTGTCTCATGTTTGTACCTCTTTATCTCCTGTGCCAATCAGTGAGCAAAAGTAACCACACAATCCTTTGGAGAGGCTTTTGATGCAGTCCAAAAACCTTCAAGTTGTTGACATTGCTGTGTTAACAGAGGTTGTGATGTACACGGCACTAGGAGCCACCCCCCAAGGCCTTCCAATGGTAGCAAATAAGGTTAGATTTATGCCCTCAACAACTGAACCTCTAAACTCTGGATTACACACACAACATTGGAGAACCAAGAACTGCAACCAGAACCCATAAGCAAGCTATCAGTGGTGCTGTGTTGAGCATTTTGCTTGTTCACAGATTGTGCCTAAAATGGCATTGTCCACAGACTGATGAATGATTCATTTTTTGGACACATCAAGTGTGGTTTTGTTTAGAGACAGTGCAGCTTTTATACCTGAAGTGCCGTGAGCAGCAACTGAATGTTTTTATATGAGTTTCTCATGTTTGTACCTGTCTGACTCCTGTGTCAATGGATAAGCAAAAGTAATCATACAGATCTTTTTATTCTGATGCCATTAGGACAATTTTCTGTCCTTGCCTTAGCCTTGCAACAGAAAATATTTTCTTATCCATCAGAACTTCAAAGAGTTTTGGATTTGCCAATGCACACAGTGTATATTCTTTCCTCTTGCCTCACTAATGGATTTGTACCATCCTTACAACTTTGGATACCACATCCCTTAACCAAATACACAACTGGCTATGCTACCAGAACCAAGTTCTAACTATGATGGACAAGTGGTTAGCTCAATTGCAATTTGTGCAATCTTCAGAGAACCATTTAAAGGTACAGTGTGTAGAAGTACGATTTCACAATATCTGCCCCCTTGCTAAACCTTTCTGTTGGTGAAGTGATGGTGGCCTTCAAGGACAAGAAGTGCCTGTAATGCATGATAAGCATGATTCTCTGTCAGTCAGTTATTTGCCCATCAAAAACATCAGTCTTTTGCACTCAACATAACCACTCTCTTCCACTTCACCTAACCAATGCGTTTTTTGCAGACATACACTAAGTACGAACGTGTATGTAGAAGTGGACCCACCCCAGTTACGATTTTAAAGGCTCATTTAAGGTTAACAAAAACAAACCTATTTTTATCTTCACAATTCCACACTACTTTAAACATATATTGAACATTCCACGTCTCTGATAAATGCCACACACTGTACCTTTAAAGTTGTTTTAAAGGTTACTTTTTGGTTTTTGAAAGCAATAAGCCTAGAACAATAGAACATTTGTAAAGGATAAAAAATAACTTTTTTTAAGAAGTCGATGTTTTAGTTTGTTAAAACTTATACTCACTAAGATTTATTTTGGAACAGGATGTGAGACTGCTTTCTACCACATTAATAATTGTAACAACTTTAATAACCAAGTTGTACAGATGTGTATTTATGTACTTTGGTTTATACATTTTCATATGTTTATAATTTGTCTTCATTGTGTTAATACTGTGTCCTTTCATCACATGTGCTTTTATAAGCAGATTTTTGCTCATGATATGTCCGTGTAAAGTCATATAAATAAAATGGGGAATAACCCCTCAGTAACAGAAGGAAATTAGGTGCTATGATTTACTCCTTGTTTGTCATTATGTGTCATTTAATGTTTCTTATTTGGTACAGAGCTTACTTATTCTGCCTGGTTTTTACTTTGACTAACTTCACACTGTAGTGGTCTATACTAACATGAACAAGAAGTTCTTGTGCTTTGGAGTTGCTGGAGTTTACTCTCTGTGCTGATGCCACATGTACATGCATGTTATTTTCCACTTGCTGCAAAACATGCCGATTCCCCCTTCACAGTAGTGCAGTGTAGAATGAATCCACAGTTGATGTTTCTTTTTTAAAACTGGTTAAGGGTTTGTTTTACATCCCAGTATTACTATTCTAATCAGATATTTATCTTTAGATTTACAACTTTAAATTAAGAGGAACTGTTGTCCAAAAGACAGTCTGTAATAAATTATGACCATAAACCAAAACAGAATCACAGCCGGGCAACTGCAAAAAAAAGTATGGAGGTGGTTTGTGCCTTTATTTCCATAACATCTCCAACAATCTGTCTGGTTTTATTATGATTCTTTAGTGTATCGACATATAGCATTACATCTTTCCAAGATTATTCAAAGAGAAGCTTGTTGTTTTCCATTGCTGTCTGAAATGTAGTCTAATGTACACATTTTCAGTTACGTTTAAAATCAGACTATCCTGCTGTGACTCAGTTATTTATATATGTATGACAATACAACCATATGCCAAAGTATGTGTACAGAGGAAGAAAGTGGGCTAATTAAAAATAACATTGTAATTGTTTAATGAGATCATTAAAAAACATTCAAAAAGGTGCGTGAATAATAGTTACCAGTAAAAACAATGCTTGAGCGGAGTAAGCATATTTTTTAAACCTGTCAACAGTGAAGATAATAAAACTTGTTGCCAAAAAAATGACACAAAACCTCTTTTGGCTCTGGCAAAATGATGATTTCGCAGTCCTTTCAAACACAGACATGAATCATCTTCAAACTTGCCATACCTCTCACTTGAAACTAAAATGCAACCAGATGTTGTGATGTGATGCTTCATTTTCCAAATGCCCATAATTTTGATAATTACCCTTTTTATATTTTCCAAATTAAGGAAATTACAGACTATAATGTGGGAAAATGTTGCACGTTGGAGAACTACACCAAAACAATGAACATTTACTGAGAGGGTACAATCATAAAAAATACACTTTAACGTGAAAAAACCTTAATGCTGAGTCTGTGTGACAAACTTATTCTGAGTTTGAAGCTATTCAAGCTAAATAAAGTTAAAGATTGTCAAAGTTAAATAAAGTCTCTTTTGTAAGTGAAATAATGATGACTTGATTTGTTATGTTGTTTATTTCCACAGAGTTAACTTTTAAACGGAAGAAAATATCTTATTGGTAATCTTTTCATTTGAACCCTAAAATTCACATTAAAACAATCGTTAGCAGCAGCCATCTTATCTCTGCACCTCCAAAAGCAGCATCCAGGCACTGGAACACACGCTGTATGAGGGCGACCCCAAGAGGTAAAAAGCAACAGTACAGCGCACATTACCAAAAACTTTGACCGTGTGGCAAAAATAATGTCCAACTGAAAAGCACCTTTATTTCAGAAATTCCTCATTGATTGCAAGATAACGTATCTATTTTCCTTTTTAGATTTAGAAACTGTTGCTGCCATTTACAAGAAATTATCTGAGTGTTTTTTTCTCACAACTGAACATGTGATTTTGAGAAATCAGTCGAAATCTTCTCAATAGAAACAACAAAAACAAAACAAAAACATACAATAGTTCATAAGCAATCCTACAGTAATACACCAATGTATGGTTGAACATTGGGGGCTGATATTGCTTTTTTAAGTCATATCTGCCCATCAGCAAATAATGTGCTATAATTTTATGTTTGTAACCTATTATTGTTGTTTCACATCAGTCTAATGATGGTAAGTTCATATATCTGACAGCTGATACAGAGAGGAGGTTTTAATTGGTCAGACTGGTCAGATCTTCATTAAATCAAATAAATCCATTTGATGGTTTACTGGTTAAACACAAATGAAAATGTCATTGTGGAAGTCATGCCAACTATTACAATTCATTGTTCTCTGCCTTGATTATCACTATCAAAGTGAACTTTAAATATGTAAAAGCCCCTAAGAGAAACTTTTGGTTTGCATCACACCCTGTGCACTAAAGAACATTGCCGATCTTGTCCTGTACACCAGAAAGTGATTTTTTCAGAGATGAAAACATCCCCTTGGAAACTCTAAACCTTTACCCTGGTGGTTTTGTTCCCTTTTATAGGTCGTTCAGATGCCTCATTATTGATATAAGTCTGTTTCATAACCTACTGAAAATCCTCACAGGAGCTTTAAGTATCAATGAACAAACTCTGAGTGTTTTTGTGTTTTTGTTTTAATAAACCCATGTTGAACAAACCTGGAATAATGTAACTGTCTGGATTCTTACCGCTCACTTATTTTAATAAAGGTGATGTGACTGCCCACCTGTCCTACATAAATATAAAATTCAAAATAAACAGAGCTGAAAACAGGTTAAGTATTTTTGTGAGGTAGTCACCTGAAATGGTTTCTACTTCACAGGTGTGCCTTGTCAGGGTTACTTATGTCATCAAGAGCAAAGGGTGGCTACTTTAAAGAAACTAGAATATAAAACGTGTTTTCATTTATTTCACACTTTTTATACAAGTACAAAATTCTACATGTGTTCATTCATAGTTTTGATGCCTTCAGTGATAATCTACAATGTAAATAGACATATAAAAAATAAAGAAAAGACATTGAATGAGAAGGTGTGTCCAAACTTTTGGCCTATATTGCATGTGCGTGACACTCATCAAAAATATGTCAAATGCGTGACAACGTGGACATATAAACCATGTAAATATGCTACTTACCATGAGCCTATAAAAGATAATTTATCAGGGTTTTGAAGTCAAACCTTTCTCGCTCGGATTTTGGTTTTTATCACCACGTCAAATGTGTGTTGTTATCATTGTCGTTAAAATCTGCCCACAGCGTGGTGAACTGACGTACCTGAACGCCCCACCAACGCACTCCTGATGACGACACACGCTTTAAATGGGATTTGAGTGCTCTGCCAAACCTCAACGTCATTGGCTGAAGTTGGAAGATGCCGCCTTTCTATTGGCTGCCGCTGCTGTCAGTTAAACATACGCTGCCAATACACTTAAGCAGTGACCTACTAACACAGATCCATGAGTCAGGAGCCACCTTGAGAGGAAAAAGCCAAGGGAGGAGAGAAGCGAGCTTTTCCGCAACTTGTAGGATTTTTATCGAGTTTTTGACCTCACTACCCCATCTGATGGAACACCGGGACCCCGAACCCTGAGCCGGAAGCCCGGCGGACACCGAATCCTCCAACCAGGTACTAAATAAGGTCCAGTTTGGATTTGAGGTTTTCATTAAAACTGCTTTATTTCCACTCCAAGATTTTTGCGTAATGGTGATGTGTTTACGGGTCGTGCGCCACATATTTGTCTTCACGGTTTTACATTTAGACCAAGTGTGTATTTCTGTGTCATGTTGATAACCTGTATGATTTATAGCCCTATTTTAAACTTATATATAACTACGGTAACATTTACAGTGAAGGTGTAGTTAAGTTGGAGGATGTTATGCATAATCACTTCATTACAGCGTGTTATAATTTGATTATTTTTTTTGCATGTTATCTGATTTTTACAGAAGAAGCATAATTATCATAAGTAGCATATTGGAGGCGTGTATTGAAATACAGTCAGGCACAGGGGCCTACAGCAGCAGCAGTAGCAGGAGTTTACGGATTGCGACACAGTGGTGAAACCCAGAATTAGAAATGTCCGACTGTAACGTAATCAAACCCTCACGGCTGCTGTTATCGGGCCACTGTACATTAAAACACACCCCCACATGTTCAGTGTTCAGAGGTTTAATTTCTGATTTAATCGGTTTTGTGTTTGATATAGTTTACTATGAGGTGATTATAAGAGCCCACTCTCAGGGCGTAGATAGATAGACCCCACGCTTCAGTGTCATGAGTAAGCAGCGCAGTGATGTCATGTATTAACAGCGTGAATGCCCTCATTGTCTCACTTCAGCCTGTTACACTGATTTCAATTTTATTCACTGACATCTTTTAACACTTAATACCCCCAGAGTGGAGTAAACACACTGTTATTGCCTTGGTGGTAAATATTGCATAATGTCTGCAGCCATAGACATGGTTTAGAGGGGAGTGGAGGGGAGAGGAGGAGGGGGGAGTTTATTGTGTAATCCGGACACAATGAAGGAATCTGGGGCAATAGGACGTGTTGACGGGCCGCTGCGGTCCGGGCCGCGCTCCCCGGAGCTCACGTTGCGGTAATATTACCTCCCATTTTAATCACGTGTGGGCCAAATTTAGTGTTGATGTCATGTTAGAGAGAACAAAAGGGAGGGATCATCCCCGCATAACCCTGCAGGGCTATGCAACATCTGTAAAATGTTACAACACCGGTCTGAGACAAAGACGTGTTTACTGTAACTCTCTCCTCCTCCTCCTTCTCCTCCACTGTTGCTGTTTTAAAAGGCTGATTTATGGATTTAAAGTGGCCTAAAGGTTAACAACACAAGGCGTGTTTGGGGTTGTAATTATTTGCAGCAAGTTTGCAGAACAGGAAAGGTGCCAGGCAATGAATGATTAATTATTAATCATGTTTTCCTGCCTAAATGCAGACCTAGATAGTGTAAGTCAAGGGAAATTTCCCCCCACCTCTAACTCTTTTCATGTCTATTATGCAAGCAGTTATAAGCAGTCTTAAATATCCAATTGATGTAATTTTTGTAGCTTGTAAAAATGCCAACAGTTTTAGCCCCAAAAGACAGGCACATTTATTGTATAATATAGTAAATTTGGTCTGTATTGTACATATTTATATTTACTTTTATTTTGTGTTTTCATTGCTGCTGTAACATGGGAATTTTCCAGTTTGGGATCAGTAAAGTCTATCTATCTATCTATCTATCTATCTATCTATCTATCTAATCTGTTCAAATTTACATGAGAACATAGGAGCGGTGGAAACAGGGCCAGATAAAAACATTAACTTCATTAACATGTAAAGGAACAGGACAAAGATAGGGGGAGAAAAAAGTGAAAAGAGTTACATCAGTTTAAAAAAAGTTTGTCTCGGTTATGTGTGTGTGAGTGTGTGTTAGCAGGTCTGTATGTAATGTCGGCCTCGGGTTACGGTCTGTGTGTTTCAGCTTTTTGAGCCTCTGCCAGGCCACGTGTTATGATTACAGCTGACTGTACTCCTTTGTTCCCTCTGTGTGAGATGTATGGAGGCTCATAAAGCCCAAAACAGGCAAAACTGCCTTGTAAGGAAGCTTGATCTAAAGCACATTTAACACGTAGGAGAGGAAGTTACTCTTTCACTGGAGGAGAGAAACACTGGCAAAAAAGTTGACTGAATGAATAAATGAAATAGTTTTATAATCATTATTGCTACTTGTTTAAAGGAGATTTGGATGGGTCTGAAAGTGGGCCCTTTATTTTTAAACTGTTTGGGGAATAACAGATTTAAATATACTAAAATATTAGTGATTTTTTTTTTTATGTTATTTTAAGTGTCCGACAACTTCACAGACAGAATCCCTTCAGAGAGTTTATTAAAATGCAGAGTGTTGAGTTTTTGCAGATATTCAAATATCAATGTTTCCAAACTCATATGGACACTGATTCCAATTTATCCAATTCATGTGCATCTTCAGTCTGCAAAAGCTCTGTACTAAGAGGCTGGTTAACACTTACCATAAACCCCTGACTTACAAGAGCAATACATTTACTGGTTTTTGTTTTTAAATCTTGTTAAGCTCTTTTACCTTTGGCTGTTTGCCGTAATATTTATTGGTTTTGTCAACAGGTTTTTGCTTGCCCTGACCTTGTACTGTATGTCAAAAGAACAACATGTCTTCATTTTCAGCACTGGTGATATATGAAGCAAAGAAAAAACCCACCTCAGTATGTGTTGATTTATTGAAACAGTGCAGTCAAGGCATGTGTAAACGCAACCTGGCCTGTAGTTTCATGAAACTGATGTAACTCTCTTTCTGCTCGCCAGCTCACACAGTTAACTTCTTAGTAAGTCATCAAAGTTCTCTCAAGTGGGTCCACTCCACATCAGAGCAGGTTCTTGTGTTAGTTTGAAGCAGTTATGGAAACTTTAATGACTCTGTGTTAATGTTTGTTACATGTCCTCTCACTGTTCCTCCTCTACTCTGATAGTCCAGTGCGCAAAGCTTTGCAAGAGTCTCATTGGTCATCAAAGCTGCAGACCATAATATCCTAAAACTAATTTATATTTAAGGTTTTCAGAAAAATAAACACTAAAATAAATCAGCATGAAAGAGATACACTAGTTCTAATGATAGAAACCATGTTTTAGAAATATTCGTTTGACCTGGACTTAAATTATACACTTTATCCATCTGTTAACATGAGGGAGGTGGGGTTTATGACTCTCTAATCTCTAAAGTCAATAACTATCTTGTTGTTTTTAACAGTATTATTAAACCTATAAACCAATATTATGCTGAGAATATCATGTACCCCGAATTTTTCTTTCTCCCTTCATGGTCTTTTTTTTCGTTAAACAACCTTTACATCTTTGTTTCTGAAGCCACCAGACTTTATTTCCAAAAGATTGAACTTTACAATATAATACAATACTATACAATATTAAGCTAAAAATATTAGTTTTGATTGTTTTGATTGATATTGATGCGCAGCGTATTACAAATGAATACATATGATATCAAAAGAACACTGATTTATGCAACTTACAAATTCTACTTACTTACTTACCCTCAATTTTTAGAAAAACAATTTAAAAAACTGTGTAGTCTGTCTTTTATGTTTAAGCGTGTTTGTCTAACTGGATGATATGAATGTCTGCTGCTCCTCTCCCTGCTCTCCTCTCTCCACCTGTGGCCGCCTGATAGTTTGTACCACAGTTGCAGATCATGTTGAGGATGCATCACTCCACCACTAATTTTAGGGAAAGTCCTAACTTCTTCATGCTCCTAAACTTTGTTTCTCATTGATCTAATCTGCTGGTGATGAAGTGAAAGTGAGAGCTGTCTAAGGGGAGGGATTGTGCCCACTGTTATCATCTTTCTGTTAAAGACGGACATGAGATGATGCTCACACTGGCGGTCTGAACAGAAGCCAACACATTTCTAGGACACTGTTGACTACTGACAGAAAAGTGAAATCAGGGTTTGCCTAAACCAACTATACTGTACTGCTTGGTAGAAACACGCCATCTGACCCCATCAGTGACAGAAGCAGGAACTTTTTTTGTGGACGTAGTGTAATAAAAATGTGATCACTTAAAGGGTATGTTGTGCATTTAATACAAGATACCTTGTGGTTTCTCGCTAAACTAACATCTGGAATAGATCGTAAACTTTATTAGGGCTTTGTTAAAACCTGGCTCTGATACCTAAAACTTGTCTTGTTATCCTTTGTTTTACAGATTTCCTCACTGTCAGCGGATTACTCTGATGTAGGAGTCATTGTTGCTGCACTGGACCATAATGGTGAACAGTTAAAACGACATGAGCACACCCACAGAAGCCTACTTTGATAATATGCAATCAATCAAGCAGGAGGTGGACTCCAGCAGGTCCTACGGCGGGGACGACGCTCTGGTCCTGGCTGTGGCCTTACAAGGATCCAACAGAGACCTAATAGGCCATAAACTCTCTGCAATGCCCTTCAAGGCAAAAAGTACCTGTCGGAGGAAGAGGGAGTTCATCCCAGAGGAGAAAAAGGACAACGTTTACTGGGAGAGACGGAGAAAAAACAACGAGGCGGCCAAACGCTCCAGAGAGAAGAGGCGCATAAACGACATAGTGCTGGAGAACAAGCTGATGGCGCTTGGAGAGGAGAACGCCTCGCTGAAGGCCGAGCTGCTGTCGCTGAAGCTGAAGTTTGGCCTCCTAAGCGCTGCTGCGTATGCACAAGAAGTCCAGAAGTTGTCTACTTCTGTCAACCTCTACCAGGATTTTGTTCCTCCAAGTGCCGCAGAGGGACCCAGCAGAGATTCAGAACCCAGTCATGTTCGCAGCAGCTGCATATCTGTCATCAAGCACTCGCCTCACACTCCTGAGACATGCGCTGCACCTCAAGGGGGCTTCAGGACCGCAGAGGTAAAGCAGGAACCAGCAGAAAACAGCAACTATGCACAGGAGAGGGGCAGCCCCTATGAACTCTACAGGAAGTTAATCTCCAACCCGCTGTCTGGAGTGTACTCACAGCCGGCATCCTTCCTGCAGATCACCAGGTCGTCTAGTAACTCCCCCCGCAGCTCCGAGGACGGGGCCGTGAGTAAATCCTCAGACGGCGAGGACGAGCAGCAGGTCCCTAAGGGTTTGACGCCCTCTGTAGCTGACCAGAGAAGTGTCATTGTCTCCACCCACAAAGTGCCAGAAGCCGGTTCTTCAGCTTTGCCCCACAAACTCCGAATCAAAGCCAGAACCGTCCAAATTAAAGTGGAGGCCATCGACCCTGAGTACGAGTCCTCTGGAAAATCCTCCCCCCCTCTCAGCCTCCCGGACGGAGGAAGCTTCCTGCCTCCACAGGACTCCTCAGGGTTCTCCCAGTCCTCCCCGTGTCCTCTCTCCTTACAGGTATCCGACATGCAGGACTGGACCCAGAGGACGGAGCAGTGGCACAAAACCAGCACAGAGACTCTGCAGAAAGTCAGCAGGCTGACCCCGAGTCCCAACGATGCTACTGTGGACGCCAAAAACCCGCCCAATGCGGACTTGTACCTGAAACAAGGACTTGCTGACCTGTCGGCACAAGTGGCCACTCTGAAAAGACTGATCACATCACAGCAGGGGTCTGTGATAGAGTCGACCAAAAACAGCGCTGTACATCCTGAGTCTGACGGAGGCTCCTCTGAATGATGTTTGTACTTTTTGTATTTTTCACTGTATTTGCTGTTGCACTGTGTGGTTCCTGTTAGGGTTGCACCATGTTTCTATCACCAGACTTTCAAAATAAAATGTCTTTAAATGACAGCAGAATCTCAGATAGTCATGTAGTTTGATTGAAGAGTGATACAGACACATGTCAGCCCATTTCCTCTGACACCACTCTCGTGGTGAAAGCTCAGATGATGTTCATTTTGTGTTCAGGCCTTGAAATACAGTGAAAACTTGGATTGGATATTAGGGACAAAATAATGCTCTCAAAATAATTTGTTAGTTGATTATTTGCTGTAACTAACCATTTCAGTAACCTCAGTAAATGTTAAAATACCGCCCATCATTAACCTAGTTTTGAGTAAGCAGAAAATGAATCCTGAAATCTCCCGAAACAACTCAGAAAGTAACCTTACATTATATGAAAAAAATAACATTTTAGTAACAAAAAAAAGTAGCTTTAAAAACACAAGCCCATAAAGACAACAATTTCATAAAACACATATGAATGTTGTGCTACACTTCAATTAAATACAATTGAATGTTTTTAAAAAATTGGGCCCTGAAAAAATTAAGCTTAGCACAAAAACAATAAACTTGTTTCTAGTAGATTACTCATGCTCAGGGCACTTCGAGCATGGTTAGGACATGCTCTGCCCACAAACTGTTCTGTCCTCCTAAAAAAAAAAACCAAAGAGACCCAAATTACACATAATCAGAAAAAACAAACTTGTGCACGAGTTTACAATAAGCTGATTTAATCCTGAACACAAGATACTGACCTTTGCACATAAGATCATTAACTCATCCCCATACGTTGTGCACACAAAATTACGAGCTCCCAATACATGTAATATAATTTTATTGTGTTACAAGGTTTTAACCTGTGTGCACAATCAACTCCATCTTCAAAGTTATGAACACGTGTTTGTGATATGATTTTCTTGGGGGAGCTGCGCACAAGATACTAACCTGTCATGCACTCGTCATTTTGTCAACTTTTGTGCACAAGATAAAACCTTATTGATCTTAGGTGTTTCACCCTGGCAGTGATGTCAAATAAAAACGGCTTTCATTTAAAACATTTTTTCGCTTTTTTAACTGGCCGCTGCTCTCAGTTGCTCCATCTGCTTCTGGTTTGTGGTTCTTTTGACCGTGTTAAGTTACAATTACAGTCAGTGAAAAATAATGTATAGCGTTAAATGCCCACCAGTAAAATGCGCAGGGTTGTGTCTTTTAAGGGGGACTGAAGTCCTTGAGTGATGATTATCTCTGAAGAGATGTAAAAAGGTGTGTTTTACTGACTGTTTCTGCTTTAGTGAGAAGCTGCAGATGGGTGGATAGATATGAGATGCTCACCTTCATTGGTTGGTGCTGTAATGTCCCCACATGTGATACAGGTAAACGTATAAAGCAATTCAAGGCAAGGAGACTTCTGATCAGTAATACCAGGTAAATAAAGGCTTGTCTCGTTTATACAGTTTTTGTATTGTATCACTGCTGTATGTGTCTGAATAAAGGATTTCTGGATGTTATTTGGGGATTTATCACTCAGCTATGTTTCAAGGTCGATTATGCACAGAGCTTTTATTTGCTTTAAACTTCGTTTTTATATACTTGTTATCCCTCAGCACTGCTCTGCTTAAGTTTTATTAGCCTTCATTGTTATGGATTTTGCAGCTAGGCCATTTTATGCCTTAAAACTGAAATTTATTGTTTTTAGTCTGTTAGGTCCACCTAAAGTGGCTTTTTTTTCACGCCAGTCTGATGATGTAATATCAGTAAGTGGAGGCAAACTTTTAACTCCGCAGTACAAGGAGGTTTCTGAAGGGTTTTCCTTTGCAAAATTTTTATTATATTTGGTAAATTTTAAAACTCCCAAATTTTCTTATAACTCTCCATTTTGGTACAAATAGATGTCATACTTTTAATTATTCCAAAGTTCCCTTGAAATCTTACAGTATTGTCTTCAAAGCTCCTCTGAGGACTTTTCTGTTTGCATTGATTTTGGCGACCCCTGTGGACAAAGTTATACTCCACTTGTATCAGGCATGCATCTCTTTCTGAGTATTTGCAGTAGAAGATGAAAAGAGTGGGTGTTTCTCTTGTGTGATGTGAAGCAGCACTGTCAGGCTTTAAAAATGAAAGTAAAGAGATTATAAGCTTGTTGCTGATGGCTTTCTTTGTTTTTTAGGTCGTAAAAAAACCCAGCATCAATTGCAGTGTTTTTAATGAGCAGTTCAAAACCCCTCACAGGAGCTTAGAGGACTTTTTGCTTCTAATCAGAAGTTCACCTCAAAAAAAAAAACTTTTAAATGATATTTGAGAGTTTCACGTTTCCAGGAAGACACTGAAAAGTTGTTCTAAACAAATTCAAGTTTTCAATTTTTAAATCCTCATGTTTTATGCAGTCTTTTGTTATCACCCTCTAAGGTTTGCAGGAAAAAAGTACAATTTCATGCAAGTCAAATAGAAAGTAATTAGTTTCTCTGCAAGACAGATTTGATTAATAAGATTAAGAAGATATTCTATCAAGTTCAAAAAAGTTTTTTTTCCAGGGAAATTTTGGAAAATTTACAAAAGTACCACCTTGAATTGCTGCATTTCACTCTCTCTGAGCCTGATTTGCAATTTTAATCCCATTGACTTTCACTGCAGCAGGTATCTATAGATTCTGCTGCATGTTGATGACATTGTCACTAAGCTTTTCCTCCCTCTGTCTCTGCTGGAGTTAAAAAAGGCAAGTTGCAAATTTTTGCAGATATTCTAGTTTTGCTGTCAGATTTCCTCTGCCTCATCCACTGGTCACTGCTGTTGCTTCACTTTGTTTTTTTGATTGTGGATTTTTTTTTTATTGTCAGACTTTCAGGGCGCCGGTTAAACGGAGATTTAGATGTTGGTTAGGATTGTAAAAAAGTTTCTGATGGAGCGGACACAAAATGTTCTTAGATATGAGCTAAATTGACATTTTCATGAACAAATCTCCACGGTTTCAGCGTAACACAGCTTTTATAAATGTAACATTAAATTTTAAAGGGGTTTTGTTACACAGCTTTCTCATAGCACATGCATTTAATGTTAAGAATGATGATGATGATGATGATGATGATGATGATGATGATGATGATGATGATGATGATGGTGATAACTCCATTTGCAGCAGCCTGAACTTCGGGTTCTGTATCTGAACACTTTTCTCAATTGTATTGTAATGGTGAGTTTTGTTTACAATAAATGTCTTGTCACTGAATCATAAACGTGTTTCATTTTCATTTCTTTTGTTTTGACGTTATCCAAAACTTGGTCAATTATATCAGCAAATAATCTCCACAATCTCAGATAAAGAGGAACAACTTTTCCCCTAATATGGTCCGAATACTCAAAAAATGCAGCTCCTGGCAGCACGGCCTCCACCGTCTCCAAGGCAGACTCAGACTGGAAATTGGTCATTTCTAGAAACAAAACAACCTTTTCAGTGTTTGGTAAAGAAAGGGCGTGGAGGTAGTTTTTGTCTGTTTTGGACTATGAGGACCCTCCATTTACCTCAAATCCCTTCAATCTGTTTTATATTCTGTTATGAGATGAACTGGTGACCTCTACAACACTCATCACTGTGCTTTATACTCCAAGGTTGAGTGGTCCTCATGCAAGAGAGGCATGAAACTCACCAGAACCTTTTTATACTGAATATAAGGCTATACTGGAAAATCTCCATCATACCTGAGTGATCTCCCTTACCCGTTCTTTCTCTCTCCTTTCCTCTATCTTGTTCTCTTTCTCTCCCCCTGCCCTCTCTCCTACTCCTCTCTCTCTCTCTCTCCCTCCCTATCACTCAGTATTCCTCCCCAACACACGGCCTGGTGGGTGTCTAGCATGAGTCTTGTCCTACCCAAGGTTTCTGCCTGTTAAAAGGTAGTTTTAACTGTCACTCATGTTCGATGAGATGGGCCAAATCCCATTTTAGGTTGGGTCTTGATAATTCATCAAACAATGAGCATGGACTAGACCTGCTCTTTTTCTTTGGAAAGCATCTTGGGATGACGACTGTTGTGAATTGGTGCTGTAAAAATAAAATTTGATTTGATTTGATCTCCCTTATCTCTGAGATGATCAGATCCTTAAATCAGTTACTTTACATGTTCCTCAAGTTTGCAATTAATGGAAAGAGATTCGTGAAAACCAATAGCCAACCTGCTCTCTCATTATCAGTGTTGACATCTGCAGTTGAAAAACTGTAATTGGTGCACCACTTATAAAGATGGACTAATTTGCTTCAATTACTGCACATCATTCATTATATATATATATATATATATATATATATATATATATATATATATATATATGGAGAGAGAGAGAGAGAGAGAGAGAGAGAGAGAGAGAGAGAGATAGGTAGGTGACTACCACATGAAGCTCATTGAGAAAACAGCAAAAGTTTGCAGTGCTATCAAAAAAGCAAAGGGTGGCTACATCGAGGAATCTAAAATTTACTACATGTTTTCAGTTATTTCACACTTTTTTCTTAAGCACATGATTCCACATGTGTTCATTCAGTTTTAAAGCCTTCACTGAGAATCTACAATTTAAATAGTAATGAGAATAAAGAAAATGCACTGAATGAGAGGGTGTGTCCAAACTTTTGGCCTGTACTGTATATATATTTATATCAAGCTTGGGTTAACTGATCAGAGACACCGAACAGCAAACATAAAGGGTTAAATTATTGGCAAAGTATCCAACACCTCCAAAAGAAAATGGAAATGTTGTTTCCTCTAACTTTGGTTAACTAAGGAAATTCAGAAAACAAAAATTGGCTGCTTTTTATTTGTATTTACTTTTATATTCCTAGGACAGCAGATGCATTTTAAAAGTGAGTGTTGATGACTGTTCTCTAAGTTTTGTCCAACTTGTTTAAATTCATAGTTATTTATCATCCAGTGCCATGAAAGCCTCTATAATTGAAGGACCGTTATTTTTGTCCTTTTCTCAGTAGGTTTCACTGTATATGCTTCTTATATATAAATGCGTCTTTGTACTTCGTGTTTACTCTGTTTTATATCTGATCCATACATTGGTTACATACTGTTCATGTGCTTGTTTTGTTATTTAGGGGAAAGACCGCATTAGATCACGTGACCGCTCCATGTGACCCAGTTCATAGTTGAAAGTCAAACCGACTGCAGCTCTTCAAGCATGGCGGCTCTGCTGGGACGAAGAGCCCTAATACAAGCCTTCCGTGTGCACACAGCGGACCGAGACAATGTGTGCAGGTTAGTTTCGTCTTCCTGCTGCACAAGACAGTACGGTTTACCCGGTAAAAAGCTGGTTACGTCTCACGGAGCGGCGATACGATACTACAGCTCCGACTCCAAGGATGACCTGCGCGTCAGATACCTCGACGGAGAGGATTCTGGTGGGTTTAAGGAAGAAACTGTTCATTTAAAACAATTTGAGATGATTTAAAACAGTGTTTAAGAGACAGTGGCGCTGGTTTTGTCATACAGAGAGTCACAGAATTGAACTGCTCAGGTGTAAACAGCAGTAACGTACCCGGATGCAATCACATTAGTGGTCACGCCCACAATTGTATTTGGTAGCACGTGTTGACGTCAGGTTGGACGTGATAATTTGCCGTGCAGTTATAACAAGTCTTGAGTGGGTTTTTTTTTTAACCTGTGGGCGAAACTACTGAAGAATTTTGCATTCATGTATGAGAGAAAAAATCCACTCTGTTTTTCATACACTCAGATGAAGTCCAATTAGGGCTGGGCGATAAAACAATAACAATAGATATCGAAAATTAATTTCCCTCAATATCAAGATAAAACATAGTCAATATGCTTTTCTATAGTCAACATTCTGCCAAGTTTTGGTAGACTACACGAATAGCCAATGAAAAGGGGAGTTGCTCCAGGTCCACTTTGTGCTGAACCAATTATGTGCTGGATTAAGGTCCTTACACACCAGGACCATTTTTGTCGATTATTTCGGACGTCAATATTTTTGACGTCCGAAATAATGTTAATGCAAGGAGAGGATGGCAATCATGAGGTCTCTTCTATTTATTCTCGAAACTGGGAAAGTGGGAGATGAGGCCTAGCTACCTGGCATTAAGCTACACAGACCCACCTGTCAGTCAACTAAGCCCCGTCAATAAGTTTACCTAATTATGCTGTACAGACAAGGCTGTTTTCTTTCATATCAGGCTCTAAACTTCCCACATTTCTGCTGTAAAGAACATTTTATTTTGGACCCAACGCTGTACGAATTTCTTAGAGACAGACCCTCAAGTGGAACTGCAGTTTTTAGCACTTATATATTGGCTTCAGTTTTCACTGCAGCTATGTTCAAAATTCAGTTTGTCAGAGTCAGTAAGCATCTCTCTGCAGTTCTGCCAATTTTCAAAACACTTCTGCAAATCCCATCCCTCATTTGTTAATAAAAAAAGCCAAATTTTAACTTCTCCTGGTGTACACTGGATTGAGACTCTAGTTCATAACATAATCCGGCCTAGACTGATACAGTTAGGTTTAGCAGAACTGGCGGCAGAAACAACAGTGACAAAAGAAAATAAATAAGGTCATCTAAGCACAGGGATCAGATAAAATTGGTTTTCTGCCCTGTCTGCTTGTTTGGGCGTGATAAGAGTTTCTCAGTTTCTCTTGCATCATGTTGGAAAGTTGCCTCACCAACATGAAGAGAGGTCTGTTTTGGGAGATCTTAGTTGTAGTAGCTTCATGGGACACAGAGCCTCAGAGAAGCTGAGGTGGGGTCTGGTGCTTGCATGATGGGCGAAAATGAAAAAATTGCTTAATCTGAAAAAGAAGCATTAAAGAGTTTTGTTTTTTTAAGAAAAGGATGATCAGTTCATGATTAGTTAAAAAGTTAAAGTGACCAACAGAAAATAGTTGTTGACCAAAAAATACAGCCCCCAAGGTCAGCCCCTCTCTTCACTCCACAAAAGTTATCCAAATGACCCTCTATATATTAGATGAGAGAGAGGGAGGGAGGGAAAACCAACAGATCTATTTGAAAATGTTTTCATTCTTTTTTCCAGGTATTGTTGTTGTGGGGTTAAATCGACCAAAAGCCAAAAATGCCATCAGCAAGAATCTTGTGAAAATGGTAAGTATGACCATTTTTAAATCCATCTCAGCACATTGAAAAAGTGTGATTCTGATCACTATAGGAGATTTATATTATATTATGTGTCTCTCAGATGTTTGAGACTGTGGAGGACATAAAGAAGAACAACAAAGTGCGCAGCGTCATTATTTGCAGTTTGGTTCCTGGAATCTTCTGTGCAGGTTCACTCTCTCTTCTTTTTGGATTGGAGGGATTTCTCACTGCTTGAATGTCTTCCGTTCTCAGTTTTTGTTTATGCATAACTGTCTGAAAAGTATTTTTATGTTTTTGGGTTTCCTCTGCGATGCTGAGCTGGTAGAAAAATTGGTGCACTCAGCTTTTTATACAGAAGAGTTCATGCAGAAGATCTGGCAGATATGCAGCTGTTGTGACGGACTAAATTTAGCTCTTTTCCCACATGTTTTAGGAAGCCACAGACCTCTGGTTGATGCTGGGTCTCTCTGTGTGTGTGTGTATTTGCATGGTTGTGTGTGTGTATGCAGGTGCAGATCTGAAGGAGAGGGCAAAGATGCACCAAAGTGAAGTTGGGCCGTTTGTGTCCAAAGCACGGGCGCTCATCACAGAGCTCGGTAAACTATTATTTGTGTTTTACAGTGGATTTTGGAATCAATATCAGATCCATTTGTGTGTTTAACTCAGAGATCTCCTCTAGATCTGCTTTCACAGGCTACAGTTATATGGTGAAAAACTGGAAAGACCTGTTTGAGGATTTCAGGGTATTGATCAGTGGTGTACTAACATATGTTGATTTCTTTTGGGGGATCAGTTTATGCACCAGTTATGAAACATAGTCTAAAAACAGTCACCTGTCCCTCTGATCAGTCTAAACTTCAGATGTCAGGTGCCTTATTTTATTTGGTCGCTCTGTCTTAAGCTGTCTGTTTGAGTCCCTTCCATGTAGAAATAAAAAGTGCGTTCAAGTCTCTTGACTATCTCCATGTTGTTTTTCCTCTTCCAGGTAACCTCCCAGTTCCAACCATTGCTGCGATTGACGGAGCAGCTTTAGGAGGAGGTCTGGAGATGGCGCTCTCCTGTGACATCAGAATCTCCTGTAAGACTTTTTGTTGATCAGTCTGTCAACTTCTGCTCTTCAGAATTTTTAGTTTTTCAAGTCAAAGTCTCTTCATTCAGTGCAGCAGCTTTTTTCTACTAAGTTTGTAGTAGCAAAATGACCTTAATGCGTGTGTTACATGTGGCTGTTGTACTGTTTTTACTTTGCAGTTTTGAAATCTTTCCTTGGGTCGGTGTCATAGATGCTGTTGTAATCTGGTTGCTTGTGCAAATGTATCTTCAATGTTCAGTTTATTGTTTTCATCTTAAGTATTTGCAGATAAACAAACCCAGATCATTCACTTTGAAGGACAAACTTTCACATTTATGTTCTGCTGCAAATCGTGCTTAATGACAGCTGATGTTAGATGATCATGAAGAGATTATCAGATCAAATTTCCAAATCCAGATCAGTTACAAAATGCCCAGATCTGATCGTTGAAGTCAGGATTGGGACTTGCCTTGAGACAGAAGTTTATTTCTAGTAAATACAGCCTTTATATTTGTCTTCCAGCTTGCATATGCTGATCATTTTCTGTGACATTGATATTAATGTGTCGTATTTATTATTTATTATATATATTATCTATATTTATTGTTAAATGTTTATGCTCTCTGCTCTTTTTAGCAAATAATGCAAAAATGGGACTGGTTGAGGCCAAACTTGCTATTATACCCGGAGCAGGTAAGACTTTTATCAAGTTAAAAAATAAATGTATGAATTATTTTTAAACTGCTTTTGCACAGAGACATCAAGGTTTCCATTGACATCAACTGAACAGATTTCCTCTACCTTATATGTTGTCTCCTTTTTCTTTATTATGACTAAAGGTTGTAACCTAAACAGGGTGTGTTTTCACCTCAGCTCACCCTCATGAAATCAAATCTCTTTCTGTTTGTCTCTGACTGGGATTGACTTTGTTTACTTTCACACAGTTTCTAAGAACCACTCAAAGCTCAAAGAGAGTTAACAATCAGGCTAATCTGTCAGCATTGTTTGACCTTCATTATAGTTTGATACCAACAATGAAAAAGATCAAACTTTTTTTGTACAGCACCCTTCAAAATAGTTTCAAAAGAACAGAACATTTTTATGGACTGATAAAGTTGTGAATAATGTGTCACATTTAGGTGAATACAGATGAGACACTGATTGTGTTTTTGTTTGAGACCACACTACATAAGTCTCCCTCTATTTCCTTCAGGAGGGACGCAGCGTCTCCCACGGGCAATCGGCGTGGCTTTGGCGAAGGAGCTGATCTTTGCGGCACGGGCGGTGGACGGGAAGGAGGCTCTTCGTCTGGGTCTGGTCAGTCACTCCGTGGAGCAGAATGAAAGCGGAGACGCTGCGTACCTGCGTGCTCTGGAGCTTGCACGAGAGATCAACCCTCAGGTAATGACGGCGTTTATGTGTGCTAAAGAATTACAGACTGAGAAAACAGAAGACGGTGATTCAGTCATTTATCAAATGAGTAAACAGCTTTGGCTTAAAATTTCCTGACCCAAATTTTCTCAGAAAAGGAATCAGATCACTGCAGTTTTTCCAAAGCTGTCAATAAAGGAGAAAGTCTTTCTTTTGATTTTGTCTCCTCAGGGTCCAATTGCTGTTAGGATGGCAAAACTGGCGATCAATCAAGGGATAGAGGTGAGTCTCTGACAGTAGTTGTGTAAGACTGTTTTGCAGGGTCTTATAGCTGTGTTTTATCTCCCATGGTTTGAGAGATGCACCTTATAGTAATATCGGCAGGATACAGATGAGCAATTATTAGAGTTTCAGCTGTTAGAAGTTTGGAAAAGTACCTGAATAACTGACTGTCTACTCTGTCCTGTTTTTGGCACCCTTCTGTTGGGGTTCCAACCAGACTAGAACTTAGATGCATTGCAATCAATTGATTTTTAGAAAGGTGGGGAGCAGGATTATGTTTTTTTATGTTCATTTGTCTTCATATCAGGGAATGCTTTGTTTTTTTAATGTTTTTGTCTGATCAAGAAACTGTCTTGTTTAAAAGGGCAGCTCAGTTTACACACAGACACCAGCTGAGCAGATAGAAGGAAAGAGAGACTGCAGAAATGTGAGATAGAAAGCAGTTAAGAAGTGCTGCTGTGTGAAAAGCATCATGTTTTTTTATGTACGTACAGCTGATTCAAAGCCCTCAGTTAATCATTTTGGTGACTATAACTTGGCTGACATCTGCATCATCTCATCGCCGGCCTGCACTGGTGGTCTGAACAGCAGCCAATACACTTCCTGAGTGAATCGCCAGGATAAAGTTGGCTGGGGAACAACATCAGGGTTTGCCAAACTGTGCCAAACCAAAGTGGATTGCTTAGTGGAAACACACCATAACGGATGTCAAACTGTCTTTCAGGTGGATCTGGCCACAGGTCTTGCAATTGAAGAGGCATGCTACGCCCAGGTGAGTAATGAAATCATCACAAACACTTTCATTTCCCTGCTGTATGGCATAAACATGAAAGTGGAGTTTAACTGAGGTGTCTTTGCCGAGTTACTCCAAAATGTGACCTAATTTATGGTGCTCCCTTTTAATGGGCATCATAAACAATTTAGACATATATCTTTTATAAACGATGAAATTCTGCAGTTTTAACATTTGCTTGGCCCCCTTTTTTTATACACAAAGGCCTCAAAGGATCAAAATCTGTAAATATTCAACAGGAGACAAAAAGGACAGGTTCTTCTTCCAAATAAACAGGCTGAAGATAGATTTGTAGGATTTACCTCTGATAGGTGTACAATGTTTTTTTTATTTTTTTATTTTTTAGGTGATTCCGACTAAAGACCGTCTGGAGGGTTTGGCTGCCTTTAAAGAGAAGCGGCGCCCTCACTTTAAGGGCGAGTGAGGCGTGCGTCGCCGTCAGCTCTCATTCTGCTCCACTGCTTCAACATATTAACGGGTTTATACTGTACACGACAACACATCAACCTGTACAGAACCCAGAGGATGAGCCAGTGACGGCAGGACATCAGGGACCATCCTGGCGGCTGGTTTGACTGCTGAGTCATGTTCCAGTTTAAAGGATGAGTCGGCTAACACTGAGAAAGAGGGTTCAGAGAAACAAAGGAAACTACCCGTGCATTAACCCACAAAACATCTTGGCAACACGTGAATAATACACATACTAACATTAATAACTCCTCATCTGCAGAATGATTGGCAGGTAGTCACTAACAGTAGCGTCTCAGATTTGTTAACCAATCAGAGAGCCATAGAACCTCCACAGCAGTCTCCAAATTTCTCTGCAGAAGGTTTATTTCTTTTTATTTTGCTGAAGTAGCTGTTTTAAAATCACTACATAACCTCAGAAGTTTGTGCTGGAAATCATTAAACACAGCAGATTCTCCCACAGCTCAATCATGGTCAGAAGGTGGAGGTTTGAGACTAGACGAACATCCACGCTGTTTTTATTTTTTTGAAATCAAGTAGAGGGTTCCCTTCCACTTTTTCAATAATCAGCTTTTAAAATAATATCTACAGAACCTGAAATTAGTCAGAAATGCTGAATTCATTTGAAGTTTTTTTCTGGATGGGGCAAATCAGAGAAGGAGAAGGGATTGACTGGACTCAACCAGCAGGCAGACGCGTCTGCATCGTGATTTTTGCACGTAAACACTAAAACATGTTCCCAGAACCTGCAGTGCTTCATATATCTCCATTTCACAGGCTGTAAAATACAGTGACAGTGTAGATTTTAGGATGAACAGGTGGTCAAATTTTTAAAAACAAACAAAGCATCACTGCCAGTTTTTGTAGGATTTCATCATACCAGAGTATTTTGACCTTTTGAGCAACTTTAAGTTGCCATAGGTTTCATTCAGAAATTTGCTTGGTTATTAAAACCTCCCTGCAAAAGCAACCCCTTTTCCATTGTTGGAGATTAATCCATTTTGTTTGGCTGGTGCTCAACATCACTGCACATCATTTGATGCATTTAATTCTATATGAATATGGGCAACATGTCTTCATCTCCTGCTACTGTGAAAAGCTGAAGCTGTAATGTCCTGGGACAGATAATGCAGCAGATGTCTGAATTAGCATTAATGTCACATCCCCCCTGCTACCACTAACCTCCATTTACCTTGTTGATAAGTCATAGAAGCTCATTCAGGTGGATATACATAATCAGCATGATAAAAATGTGACTGTCACTTTTTCAATAAATCCAGTTGGAACGAATATTAAACACCAACATGCTGATGTTCAGAGTATTCAGACACGATACATTTCCATCCCGTCATTTTCTGGTTTTATTAACAGTAAAACAACATAAAATAAACAGCAGCTCAATGAGACTTAAAATTAAGAGAATTCCAACAACGTTAGCTTAAACAGTAACAGTATTTGTATTAGACCAACAACATGATGGTCTTGTAATAATAATAATAATAATAATAATAATAATAATTATTATTATTATTATTCACCAGATACACAAGGATCTGTATTGAGTGTCCAAAATTAACTATTTTACTCACTAGTTCAGTTCACAGGAAGATTAAAAAGCTCACAGGCCAATCATAACTTAACCAGTTGTAGTTAAAATGACACATCTGTTTTGGTACATTTGATTTCAGTAACGTCTTACTAAATGCAAACCAAACAGCAGTCCCAGGCAACAACTGAAATGCAGTCTCTGCTAATGATTGGTTTTAAAAGACTGAGCACAACTCAAAGTCTTGATCTCTAAAATTCTATACTGTAACTACAAAAACTATCATATGGCTCTTGGAGGGTGTTTAAGTTTCGGACCCTTGATGTATCTTCCCTTAAATATTACCTTCTGGTGAGTAGCGTCATGCCTCCTCTGCTGCCTCACAGGTGAGCATGCAGATTTGTTGTCTTTGAAGAGTAATGTGTTCACACCAAATGCCAGTAAAATCCTTTGTTTGAGTGAAAGTCAATATAAAGACACAAGTTCTTGTTGGGTTGAGTAAATTGAGTGGATTGTATGTGTGAAAGACACATTCGTGATAGAGATCCCAGGTGATATGTGTGACTATTTATGGAGGTTCAGGGTTAAAATGGCATCTTTAATGATTAAGGGTGTATAAACATTTGGAAATATCCTTCACATTACATGGTCTGTTCACTGTCTTTAATTCGCTGCTTTCTCACTGTCATTTTCAGTACATGGTTTCACCTCCATTTGGACTCCCAACAGTTTTACTCACACTAATAAATCCTGATGATATAAACCACCTGGACTTGTTGAAAGCCATGGAAAAAGTTTGACCTTAAGCTGTAGTACTTTTTTTTTCTTCAACATGTTTCAAAAGATTTTTTTCTACAATGCCACCAACGTTATTTTTTTATTGGGAAATGCTGATAAGATTAATGCATATTTGTGCTTATTCTGTTACAGGACTGACAGGACAAATAGAAGCCCATAAATTGTGCATTGATCCTTTAACAGCAGAGAATGTAACACATTTGAACATATCCATGTTTACCTGATATGCCTTGCGTGTGGATTTGTGTTCGACTCCTTTCTGTGTCAGTAATTTAAACATATTTGGAGAGCAGCCATCAGTCCTGATTTCTTTCATGTCCTCTGAGTTGCCTTTTCTTCTGTACTGTATTAGTTTCAGTCTGATTGGTTTAAGTTTCTATTTGTGAATTAATGAGTAAAAAACCTCCAAATGTCTGAATGAAAATGTTGGTAAGTGAATCAGCCACTCTGAAGATAATCTGATGATGTTGGTGAAGTCTGTGAATAAATCTGTCACACAGAAACGCTTTAGTCTCTGGACTGTTTCACTGCACGCCATTATTTCATGTTTTTACAACCCAAAATCCAGCAGCAAATATCAATGAGCGTCAAGTCATGACAGCAGGCAGGTCGGTGTATCAGCAGGACTCTTCTACTACAGAGCCATGCTGTTGTAATCCCTGCAGAATGTGGTTTGTCATTGTCTTGCTGAAATATAAAGGTCTTCCCTGAAAAACTCTTTGTCTGGATGGCAGCAGATGTTGCTCCCAAACCTGTAAATATTGTTCAGCATTAATGGAGAATTAAATAAGGATTTAATGCTTGAGGTGGGAAGATGTCTGTTTTTGGGAGGATGAAAATGTCCTCTGTGGTTTTGGGTGTTTTCAAAAAAGTTTTCTTTGAATGAAATATTTAAAAATGTCAAAGTTGAAATTCAGGCTCTGAAGATATACTGGTTTCTGTCTTATTTGAAAAGTGAAATATTGATATTGTGCTAAAAAGTAGGGGTCCTTCATGCTGGTTACCCCACAACTCAAAACAGTAAGGAGAAACAAAGAAGAAGCAGACTGTTAGTGAGTGAGCTGCAGCATCCCTCTAAGAGACAAAGAGATCCTTTTAAAGATTTATTATGAATCCAAAAACTGTGAGAGCTTGAGTTATTCCAGGTTACTGATCAGTTAAACAGCTAAACTATCAAACTGCTCTTTTAACTGTTTTTATTCAGTTGTAACTTACCATCTACTGGAGCTAATGCACATCAAAATAAAAGCATGCAGAACATGAAGCAAGAGAGAAAAACATTCAAAGAAAAGCATGACAAACAATCGTTCTCCGAGGTCATGTCCTCTCCACAAGAGTTTCAGTTTCAGAGCTGCTGATGTGGAGAAATCACTAATTTGAACATCATTAGAAAGGGATAATGATGGTGAGTTAATTGTGTTATTAAAGAAGTTTATTGAGTGTGAAGCGTTGATTTGCCCTTGTCTTTCTCTCTTTTAGTTTGTGTTGTTTTATTTTCAAGTTTCCATAATCATTGCATCATTATCCGATCATCTTTTACGGCCGTGATAACTATGAAGAGAGAATCTTGTGTCCCCCATTTCACAAAATGACCACATCAATGTTCAATAACACAGTCTAACTCAGTCATAAGCCCTTTTAAATGTCTGTTCTGATATCTGTTAGCTGCTGAGACTCTCCCTGTGAGCACCTTTGAATAAACCCTGTTGTACAGACTGTTAATGATTGACTTTGAGGTCAATTCAAAGGTGTATCTTTATCAGAAAAGTTATGGCTGTTTGCACATGTGTTTTATGAATTAAATGGTCCTCATCTGCTCTGAGGATCCAGCGCTCAGCTTGGAACTTGTTTGTTATCAGGCTAAAAGTGAAACATGCAAAGCTTAGTGCAGGGTCAGAGGGAACATGAGGACAGAAACAGGCCACGAGTGTGTGTGTTGTGTGTGTGTGTGAGCAGGCGGTTGAGGCCCTGGCCGGCGGTTGCTGCAGGCTGCCCTGTGGCTTCGAGCTGCTGCTGCATGGGGCCTGACTTCAGGCTGCACATCCCCACTGTGGCTGCCTCCTTCCGGCAGATGTCCCAGCACAGAGCCGGGGGGAATCCCACCACAGCCCAGGGTTGCGTAAAGAGAGACCGACCGGTTCCCCAACTCTGGAGGCCTGCTTGCACCCCGACCGCCCCACAGGGGGGAACGTTTGAGGTGCAACCCTCTAACGGCAACCCTCATGATTTCAGAAGGCTACCTTCTTTTTGTGGATACGGGTCAGCAAAGACCGAGGTCCTGTGTGTTTTTCCTGTTCACACACACACACAGGCACACACACATACACACACACACAGGAGCTGTTTCTGTTTTAACAGTTTCTCAACAGGTGCTTCTACCGCAGGTTGTTTCAACAGAGCAAACAGTTTCAAATGTTGTAAATTTATCTTCAGTTGAGTAAACTGTAGCTTTTGTAGAAATAAAGGGGGTTCAGTAAATTCAACACTAAATCAACCTCACCCTAACAGACCTCTGGAAACACAGTCAGAGCAGAGAAAAACAATTACAATGAGATATTAACATTATCAAAGGCTCTATCTGGCCCTCCAAGTAAGCACAAACAATGTGACACTGAGCAATCGCTCTTTTTCTTCCGAACTAGTTTCTACAGGATTTATCTTAAACTACTTTATCTTTAAAAAGGTCACAGACACCTGCTGACACTATACATGGATATGGGTTTGACCTGGATAGGCTACATGTGCAACGCAAGGCCAAAAAAACACCAAAAGGTTATTCATACGAGATGACCTCGATTCCTGCAAATATTTAGAGTGCCTCACTAGCAAAATCTGTCGGTTAAAGAAAACCCATGCTGCATGTAGTCAACGTTTAAGGAGAGTATATAACCTTTATTCAATTTGTGTGAACTGTCCCTTTAAAAGCTGCAGAATAAACAGTGTATCCAAGGTAAGAAAAACTGTTTCTTTATTTGATTCAATAATTTACTATGACCAAATAATGCAAACAAGACCGTAAGTAACAAGATCATCACTCCTATAATTTAAAACTGCGGCGAGGAGCTAGGGGTCACAGAAACTGAAGTCTGAAAACACAACCTACACTTCAGCGGTATCACAGGGGGGCACCAAAGTCATAAACATAAACAGAAAGTTCGTCACAGGAGCTCGAACTTATTTGACCCAAATTAAAGAATTTATGCAGGAAAATTAGATTTTTTAGAAGAAGAAGAACGTCAAGGGAAATTCAATTCAACAGCAGAGTGATGACAGGAACCTCTTTATCCACAAGAGGGTGCCACAATACAAACCATTTACTGTTAACCATTTAACATTTAAAATGTTGGTCCAAACACAATGGGATGGTTTGCACATCCTCTAAAACACTGAATTTATTGAACACAGAGCTAAAACAATGAATTTTTAACCTTTTTTCTGAAGACTAGATGGTCCAACACGTGAGAGAGCTTCTCTTTATTAACTACAGTGTTTTTATGTTACCCATTTATTTGATCATTGCACTTTGAAAACCTCAAGTTTGGCATTTAGGCTGCTGCAATGCTGGATTTTTTTCAGCCAGAAGTGAATATTGGGTAAGAAAGCTAAGTTATCAGGTAACATTAGCAGGGTACAATAATATTGATGTGGTAAGTTCTTTTTGGCAAACAAAAACAGACTCAAAATGAAATGCTAACCAAGAAAAAGAAAAATGTACTCCTCAGAGACTTTTCTGATGCCTGTGGTTGTAACTGGTGTAAAAGTGACCATACCACAATGTTTATGCAACATTTAATGACTATATGCAACTTAAAAAACAACAAGGCCTGGTGTATGGGGTTTGTACCATCAGCATCTTGTTGCTTTTAAGCCTTGAAGTGACCACGTCTGGAAAAAGGGTGGAGATAAAGCGTAGCAGGGGTTAGCTGCTAGTGCTGGCTTGGTAAGCAAAGAAGTCCTGTTGACATTACTTCTTGACTTTTGAAGCGGCGTTATAACTTTCAATGGATCTTTAAAACAAACAAAGACAAGGAGTTCAGGCTGTAAATTTGTTGCCTGATAATCGGATGATGAAAGATGAAAGATTTTAAAAATCAAAAGATAAAAAAAAAATCTCTATACCTCCATTGGGTTATAACAAATAAAAATGAGCTAAAGGGACCTAAACTACGTTATAATACTTGGCTGTAAACATGCTGAACTCTTATGTAGACATGAACATTTTAATGTGGGTTCCTACAGGGTTCCCTTGGCTTTTGGAAACAGCCTCTAGTGGTCACTTTGGGAAATGCAGTCTTTTTAAGCACTTGTGCACTGGGCACATTTTCAGCAACAGAGGTGACTTCTTGATGGGGATGATGGGGTCAGATACGAAAGACTAAACATACATAAAAGGTTGACACAACTCCTCAGGGGTCTTTTAGTGGTGTACTCACCTTCACTGGTAAGCATCAACATTACTAGTTTGTTAAACAAGTAATTAATTTATCATGGTAGGTCCACAGTGCAAATAATTTGCTGCAGTTACCACAGCCACTTGCTATTGTTCAGGACTGTAGCTCCAGTAAAGAGACAATACTTTGAGGGCCTGTGTCCACTGACTCTGGTTTCTGGATGATGACACCTATTTGTTTTCAAATTAAACTATGTGCAATAAAGTGTTTCCAGAACTGCATATGAGCTAGCTTTAGTTACAGATCAAGTTTTGGAGCACCACATTAAACACCAATGTCGCATCTCCACCAATAATCATTCAAAACCAATAAAAGGTGGGACTTCTGATATAAAGTATAGCATTGGTTCCCACACTTTTTTTTAGCGGGTCATAAAGATCTGTTTGATACCACCAAAGATCGATAAGTCTAATAGAGCAGACTAGCAGCTAATTAGCTGCTCTCCTGCCAGTCAGATCCCCCTGAGACTGTTTCTATTTGCCACCTGCACAAGGTTCACAGCCTCTATAAGCAATCTGCAGCAGTAGGAGGTCAACTGTGATCTACCTGTTAGGTCTCTGAGGAATAATGCCTGTAATTGATAAGTCACACCTGCTGTGACCAGAAGGGGGAGCTCCCAAGAATGATGCCCTGGTTGTGATGTAGTTGTTGAAAGACTGATTTGTGCTCAAATCCTCTTATTTCTGTGCAGCTCCATTTTTAAAGTTATAAGGGGGTTCATGTTATCTATGATCGACACTTGATACAGCCTATGGGCGTACGAAGATTGCGTAGCTCACCTGCAATCAATTAAGAATCTGCACTCTGAGTTTTTCTTACCTGAGAAACACCTGTTGTTCAGCAGCTTTAAAGGGATGGTTCACGCAGGTTAAATAAAGGGTATATATGTATATATGTGTGTGTTAATCAATATATAGAGATTATTTAAGTACTTTTATATAAAATGTGGTGTATCTTTAACTCAAAATAAAAAAACATCAAACACAGGGACTCAGCTGTGTAGTTCGCAGCAGAAAAATGAAAGTTCATTCTGTTTATTAGAACTTTATTATTGTTTACATTCAGGAAGGAGAGTAAAGTAACAAAATAAAAAAAAAACACATTTGCATAATTGTGGTTTTAAAGTTTGAATAAATCCATAACTTACTGCAGCACTTATAACTCAAACCTGTCACTCATATAGCAGTATTTTCTCATCATGTCATATAGTTTGCATAGTCCCATAAACCTGTGAGGAAATCACTGTGAAATGTCGTAATAGTACTCTCGTAGTCTGGGCTCCACCACACTGAATCCAGGACGCTCGTCCGCCCTGAAACAGAGAACAGACAGAGGTCATTAAACTGATTTAGGCAAGAATGATATAAAATAAACAAGCCACTGATACAGAACCAAACTGATCCAATTCACTTTTGCTGGATAAAGTTATAACAAAGCAAATTTCCCAGAGTCCTTAGTCACTTACTTGTAAGTCCAGCAGGTCCTCATCAGGTCGTACATCTCAGGGGGACAGTTCATGGGAGCGTCCATCCTCTGCCCACTCTCAATCATCTGCATCACATCATTTCCCTTCATCCCCTGAAAAAACATCATAAAACACGTCAAAAATGATCACCTAAACTAAATCTCTGAACAAAACCTCAGCTGTACAGGGAAAATTTAATGCCTGTGCAAAAATTCTGTCCGAGGAAATGATTCAGAACAGACAGGTTGAGGAAACTATTTTACTTCTAGACCAGGAGGTTCTCACTTGAGAATCTGAGGCTGCAGGGTGGTTCATTTCAGTTAAGTAGCTCAGAGCCAGACCCGCAACTGCTTTAAAAGTGATCAGTAAACTCTTAACTTCAATTCTAAATCCAACAGGGAGCCAATAAAAGGAGGCTAAGATGTGATGGAATAGTTTTTATTTCAGGACCTGCAGGCTTCTCAGACTTATTTCTTTGGAAAGGCTAAAATGATGAACGTAAGAATGAACGTTTTTGTGTTTTTTCGACCATCACTGAGAAAGCTGTCATTAATGTTACAAGCCCACTGGTATCACCTGGAGGTTAAAGGTTTAAAGGTTAAAAGCTTCAAATTTTCTCTGACACATAATGGAAAAACAGGCCCAAAGCTTGATGGGGTTTAATCATCTATCACTAATCTATCACTAAGACAGGAATCCTCTCAGTGTCTCTCACAACCTCAGGTCAGGTACAGGTGAGTCTTACCTTGTACGGTTTCTGTCCGTAAGAGTAAGCCTCCCACATGAGCACACCGAAGCTCCACACGTCACTCTTGGAGGAGAACTTGAAGTAGTTTATACACTCAGGAGCGTACCACTTTACTGGCCATTTCCCATGAGCCTTTGCCTGCAGGGGAAGACACGCACACACACACACATCAGAAAAGGTTTTCACCTTTGGCAAAGATATTAACAGATATTAACAGGAAGTTTTGTTTTCAGATTTCAAAATTCAACTTTTTTTTTAATTAAATCGTAGACACTCCCATATCTAAATGCATCCTAAAGGGTCGAGGGACCACTGTGCTTGTTATCAGCTCTCAGCTCCAAGCCAGCATCCCTGATGTTATGGGGATCATAAGTGGCTATGTCATGGGTTTCTGTATGTATCCCTAACTGCCTTAAGTTACCTTGTAGTAGTTTTGGTCCTCAGCGACGGCCTTAGAGAGTCCGAAGTCGCTGATTTTGGCGTAATGTTGTGTAACCAGCAGGACATTTCTGGCAGCGAGGTCTCTGTGGACAAAGTTATGTTCCTCCAGATATTTCATCCCCATGGACACCTGATGGACCAGCTCTGTGATGTTCTTTATGCTGGTCTGCCTAAGTAACAAATCATTTATTAAATTAACTGAAGTCCCTGCATGTTTTCCTGCAGGTTTCAAGAACAAATATTTTTTTGCAGTTTTTGGGGGACATACTTGTTTTTTTGCAGGAACTTGTGGAGCGGTCCGAGCTCAGCCAGCTCCATGACAAGCATCAGGTTCTCAGCCTCGCAGATCCCAATCATCCTGACAATGTAGGGATTATCCAGCTGCTGCATCACATTAGCTTCTCTCAGCATCTCCTCGCGTACCGACTGGTTGTTGTCATCATTCTTCAGAATTTTAACTGCGACCTGCTTCTTTGTCCTAATATAAAGAGAAAGTTTAGAGTTGGGATACCTGAGACGCTTCTTTTTTCTTTTAACATCACCAAGTCAAAAATATTTCTACAGATTGTGATTGGTAACATTTGCACTAAGGAAGATTGGTTTAAGTTAAAGGGGTTGCAAAGTGTTGAGTGCTCTATTGCCCTCACATGACCACACGTTGGTGTCATCCATTAGCAAAAAGTAGTTCATTCAAGTGTAATTTGAGTATTCTTATTTTATACTAAAACTGTGGAAGTTTACTTGAAGTTGACTTTTTATAAACTATATTTTATATACTTAAGAATAGTAAAGTGAAGTATACTTGGCTCATACTGAAAAGTGTAAACAAAAGTCTAAGACTAAGTACATTAATACTAACACTTACACTTATGCTTTAATAGTGAAGCTTATACTTGTACTTTAGTTTATGTTTTATGTCTTTCTGCCTCAACTATACTTATACTTTGTGTATCCTGATCCAAGTACATAATAAGGCCATGTCATTGACTTGTGCTTAACATTTAGTTTATATATTAATATGATAAAATGCTGAAGTTTAAACACTTACAGTAAATAGTATGTGTGTTCAATTACATTATCTTTATGTGCCTTAAAATCATAAACAAAGACAGAAAAACATTTGACTTGAATTTATTGATCATGTTCTAGTCCTTTTCATAAGGGTTTGGCAATGGTTGTCTTAAAATTAACTTACAGAGTATACTTGAAGTATACTTTTATAAACTAAAACTTGATTTGATAAACTAAAACTAATTTAGTCTTAAGAAGTGTTAAATTAGTATATTTTGTAGAACACTAAAAGTACATGGTCGGTAGTATACTTGATTTACTTATACACTTATACTCAAGCATAGTAAATAAAATGAACTTTAAGTATACTGCTATTTGCTAAGGGATGTGATTCAACATACTTCCTCATCGTGTAGATTCCTCGTATAACTGTCCCAAAGTTCCCAGAGCCCAGCTCTCCATCCTCCAGCATAAGGTGTTCTCTGTCCACTGTGGAGCTCCTCAGTTCATCAGGGTCTGCATACGGACTTTCATAAACCTCTGTGTCCATCGGCATGGCCTCTGATGGAGGAATAAAATAAATGCAAGGATGAAGAGATTGACACATCAGTCTGTTCGACATAAATTTACCCCAGAAAGTTGCTTCATCAGAGTACTACGGAGAACCGCTTTTCATCTCTTTAATAAGAGTATCCCTTTGAGTTGGGCTATGGGTGGAGGAAGTTAAGCACCAGTGGCTACAGGATCAGGTGACCTCATTTCATGTTGTGAAATGCTGCAGGTTAGGATATCACAGATACTGGTTATGCTGGCCCAAAGTAAAAGTTTTTTTTTTCTGCAGAGCATTGCAAGGAAAACATTTTGTGTGATGTTGACAAAAAAAACCTCTGGTCGGACTAACGAGACTGTCAACTAGGCCCCTTTGATGGACAACCACCCAGAGATCGGGCCGCATGCTCGGCTACAGTTTTCTGCAGACAGGGTTGACTCTGCCTTTTAATCAAACTAACTTTGAGAGACCCTGACACAAGCATTAATCTCAGATTAAGTGTATGCTCTGATAATTTTTCCAGCACTTAACTCTCAGACAGATCATTTGATTCTGCTCTATTTGCAGACACAACACACAAATGTCCTCTTCTGCCTGCAGCTGCTCAGGTCAGCAGGCTTGGAAGAGAAAGATGAAAAACTAACTAAATAATAAATGATTTGGACAGGCATGCAGGCACATGGACACTTAAAAGAACTTGGGTTTTGGGTTTCTCAGTACCTTCTACAAACATGCTTTTTTATGTCCTTTAAAATGTTTTTTTTTAATATAATTTCAGAGATTTAATTTAGAGGACAGGCCTGTGGAAAAAGAGAAAGAGTGTGGGTGCTGTGTGGGGCACATGCAGAGACCCCCGGGTCACCAGCACTTTATCATTGAGGTGATGTGTCAATTTATCTTAGAAACAGTAAATACTGTTTTAAAAAGTGAGAATGTTTGAGACAGTGAAATGAATTGCTGCATCGGACTCACCTTTGCCGGCCTGACCGTTGGGCGGTCTGATTTCGTAAGGGTTGAGATTATCAGAGTTCTTTTGTCGGGATGAATGGCTCTGTTTGCAGTTTATCAGAGAGGAGGACAAACAGAGAAAAAAAAATAAGGAAAATAACACAAAGACTATTGTCATAGGCTGCTCTGCTATAATGTAGTTCATTCAATAGATCATTCTCTCATTCAGCAGGGGTTATCTGTTTAAATAGCTCCTGTGTTACAGTGAAAGCATCAGCCAAACTGGATTACTCCAAAGATTCAAATGTCTTTATCCTCTGAGGTAAAGCTGAGTGCACTCTGGTTTCTGGATTTTGTTTGTTTGTTTCAGTGTCACTGTAACACATGATGCCCATTAAACTCGGCTTCAAAGGGTGGATCATAGAAGGGTATTAGAGAAAGAAAAGTAATGCACAGGGTTATCGTTATTATACATGCATTTAAAGACGAGGATGGAGCAGGTTTAGCAAACAGCCTCTCAAACCAACGGCTTGTTTACGTGCTAAATATGTCCCAAACCTCGCCTTTAAAAAAAGTGAACCGGCCAGACTTGCTAACATCTATTTTGAATCTCTAGCTCTGCTGTCCAGAGGGTCAAAAATCTTCCAGCCAGCGCACAAACAAAAGTTTAAAGTGAACAAACAAAGAAAGGCGCGAGGTGCAAAAAGCTCAAACAGAGTTAGCAAACTAAATCTGAAGTGTCAGAGGGGATTCATTTCAGTGTGAGGTGCTGCTTCCTTTTCCAAAGACCACAACCAACATGAGCTGTAGCTCTACAAATCCACGTGGAGGCAGGCCGTCTTTGGGTCCACATTTTGAGATTCGATACAGGTATATGTTAGGGTTAATGTTGGTCGATATTTACCATCTTTTGACTCAAATGTATGGTGAGAAAATATTTAACACAGGCCCAAATATGTCAGGTTTTTCTGTTCCTTGAATTACGTGAGGAAAAAGTTGGATTGTTTCATTAATTATATCTTGTGCAATGAAGTAAGCTATTCGATTTTCTTGCTCCCACTCAAACGTCACACAACACATTTTGTGAATGGCAGTGGCACAGAGAAAACAGTCGGACCTGGATGCTGTCAGGCTGTCAAGTTTGCTCTACAAAATCCGCAAAACAAAAGGTCACTGCAAATTTTTAAGGGTTAAAGAAAAATAGAACCAAATGAGATTACCCTCTAGAGAAAATGCTCTTATTGGTCCCAAAGGTAGAAATAATCTTTTAAAATTTTACCTTTTAGTTAAGACTAAGAATTCTGTTCAAATTTAGGTTGAGAGGTTAAAATAACAGAATTCACTTGGAAATCATGCACTAGTTATATCCTCCACATCAAGTCAGAGGAAGATGGAGAGGCCCTCGGATCAGGACAGACACAACGACCTGCTGTGACCTGGGTTTGACTGCTGGTTGTGGTCCATAGTGTAGTTGCATCGAGAAACCTCTGGGTGGCATTAGATGTCTATCACAGATCAAGCATGAAGGGGACGCTACACAAACTGTAAAATATGTTTGTGTCAGGTGAGCTTTTGGAAAGGCTACAGGTGAAAGGAAGACTGAGGTGTGTTAGTGAGCACACTGAAGCCAATCACACACAGCATTAAGGGGGGAGGGGGTCAGACATCTCAGAAACATTCAGGTTTACAAGGAGGAAGAGGAGGAGGAGGAGGGTTAGAGCACCTTTCTTCGGCCTGGTATGGGAACAGTTTTGAGTTTGTTGAGAAATTCTGCAGCACCGTGCTGAAAAACCAAAACGTCAGAGAGATTTTTAGATGCTAACTCGCTCATGTTTCAGTAACACGTGACAATTTCACAGGAAAAAAATTCAGAGTCAAAGGTCAACTCCAAATTTATCTCTGACAGAGCAAAAACTGAGTCAACTGACTGACTGACTGACTCATCAGCTGCGAATGAAAGGAAGTCAGAAACACTGTGATCATACTGTACACAACGACTCAGTGTTAATTACTGAACAGGAAGAGGAAGACCAAAATAAAAAGACTGTTACCAAAACTAGGAAGGAAAGAATTATCCTCTGATCTTCTCTGGTTGTATCTTCAGAGGTGGAGCGCTTATTTGCTCAGATTTCAACATACAGTTTGTATTCATGATATTGTGGACAGTGATTCTTGGTCATGTCTGGTTTACTCTCTGTGGGGTTTTGTCTTAACCACATTCTCTGAATATTTTAATGATGTTATGTTCTGTAGATGATGAAACTGGGTTATATATTATAACGCTTGACTGAACACACATCAGCGTACAACACTGTCTTAAAACCTGCAGCTCCCGAGCATGTCTACCTTTTATGGTTATGATTTTATACAGATTTTAGACATATAGAAATCCTGATACTGGTGATGGTATGGTACAGCAGAACTCACTGCATATCCTGGGATGTGTGTTTCACATGGGCACATCAGTTATGATACTTCAATAATATCAATTTATCATTAACAGACTGGTTACCAGCGGAAATGACTGATAAATTTGGGTGTTGACACATATTTAATCCAATGCTCTGTGGGCTGGTTTACAGTAATGATCTTATCATTTATAGAAAAAAAAAAGTGAACCAATCAAAAATAAAGTGTCTGCATAAAAAGAAACAAGAGGGAAGTGAGAAAAGTGGTTTTTTTTCCATTTCACAGAAAGTTAACAGAGAGTTAACATGTAAAATATCTAAAAATAAAGACAAATGTATGAACCAGTGTGCCGAAGGACTAACAACATTTTTACATTTTCAGACATGTAACTGCATTACGTCACTTCCTGTTTTTTGGGCATGAGCACAGGGCAGAGACCAAATGCAAATGCACCACTGAGTTACACACAGACGTACGTGCAGATTGAGAAAAATAGTCTCAACTTACCACAACTGAGCTGAATCCTGGATGGTCATGTGGGAGCAAAGGTGGTCCTAACGAAGCTGTCGAAATAAAATGTAAAAAGTATGAATACAAACATATTTTTTCACATTTTCCATCATTTTCAGCTTGAAGTTCCTGTTGGGAGCTTTTGGTTTTTTTGTCAATTTGGCACCCCCTGTGGACAAGTGAGTCTTTGTTTATCTTGTCATCTGCAAGCTTAAGTGGGGTCTTCTAGTAAAACGAAACTTATCCTAACACCTTTCAACATTTAGATGTATAATCTATTGTAAATATTTATAGTGGAAAATGTAAAAACAGGGCTTTTTCTTCAGCCGCTCCACTAACACCCTCCACTGGCGCCAGTTTCAGGTTTAAAAATAACAGTATAAACATTATTAATGTTGTCACTGATGGTCTTGTTTCCTTAAAATGTCAAAAAAATGTCAAGAAATTTTTTCAAAGGTATAAAATGGTGTTTCTTGATCATTGTGTGTGTTTTTTACCCGTGTCTCCCCCAGGTCTGGCGCAGGGGTCTGTCAGCACCCTCAGCAGGCCGTCAGGTTTGTAGGAGTAATGCTCCACCAGCTGTTCAAAAACAGACATCACAATTATTAGGAACACTACATGTGTAAATAAAGGATCCCACAGTGTTCATTGTATTCTACAGTTCGTGCTATTTTTACTTTTTTCACTGTATAATTTTCACTGGCTGACTGGCAAAATGTTGTTTCTTATTCTTGCCCCTCCAACTGTGGTACCATACAGATTCAGCAGTTTTCCAGCTTACTGCAAACTTGTGTAAGAGGCGATGGAGAGAGCATCTTTGGACACTTCCTTGTGTGTTTCTAAGACTCCTAAGAAATGATTCTGTTCATTGTTCCTCTGCTATTATTGTTTGCTTCCAATTCCCGCTTGTCTTTGACTTCTCAGTTGTCATCTTCAGATTCATATCACAGTGTCTAACAGATTCTTGAGACAAAGCTTTCTTTTCCAAATTTCCTGACTATAATAATGGTCAGGAAAACTAAAGCTGATAGAGCTTCCTCCATCAGAGCTCCACTGGAACGACCTGCCAGAGGAGATGAGGCGTGCAGAGACAGTCGCTTCTTTTAAGTCAATCTTAAAAACGCTGTTCTAAAGATATGCTTTTATGTGATGCCGTTTTTTGTCTTTTTTCTCTTTTACCTCTATCTTATTTCTTGACTGTCTTTTTAGCTTTTCTTATACTTATAATCTTCTCTTATTTAACCTTTGAGGCCTTGTTTTTTTCTCATCCTTATTTTTGTTATTCTATTTTATCATTACTATTATTATCATTCTTATTTTGTTATTTTATTATCATTATTAATATTGTCTTTTTATATTTACTATCCTGTTTTCTGCTTTCAAACCCCCTTTTTTATTGCATATTCTTTTTCTTACCAATTTTATGTTTTTTATTTTGTACCTCATGGTCTCATTATATGTTGCAGGGTTCTTGTATTGTCGGAGTTCCTTATGACAAATGAAAATGGCCCTCAATTCTGAGGCCTTGTTTTAACTGAGCTTTTGTTTTTATCCGTTTTTATTTCTGTGTGTTTTCGTTCTGTGCTGCATGACTATTTGTCAAAACACTTTGTAAACCTCTGTGTTTAAAAATCAAGTTATTATTATTATTATTATGGAGTTTGGCAGGATTTGTGTTTTGAACTATATCACAGGTATGCCTGTATTTTGTGATTGTATTGTTGGTATGCTATTGCTCCTTTGTGCTGAATGTGTGTCACTCAGGGTTGTTATAGTTGCGTTCATTTGTGTTCAAATTAAAACCTCACACCTCGATGGGAAGACCTCTCTTTACAAAGGTTTAAGATAAAAAATTAAGGGTTTATGTGTATTGGTCAATAAAGCCTGAAAACATTTGAATATTAAAGCCTGTGTTTAAAGAAAAAAACAGGATAGCATGTGTCAGAAATTAGCAACCAGCAGCCACGGCTTTAAGCTTTATTTATGAGCTGCACCACAGAGAGCAGATGGCATGTGGTGGTGCTGCGACAAAACCTCACGCCATCTATTGTTATCACTATCACATTTTATGGCTTTATGCATTCAATAAAGTGCAATATATGCCTGTTTTTTTATCCTAATCAATACTTTTTAACTATTTCTGGAAGATTCTGGCAAGAAAAAAGTCTTGGCAAAGTTGAGGTGTAAAGAATCGGGTGTTTTCATTCAAACATGCAGCTCAGCAGGAAGTATTCAGGGGTTTTGTTCATGTGTGAACACAGCTGTGGAGACTGTAGAGGGAAGCAGCAATTATAGGTTAGCCTGAAGTTTAAAAATATGATATAATAAATGTAATCTTCCTGAACACATGCACTCCTTCAAGCGATACTATGAACATTCAAGCAAATCAGCACTTACTGTAACGACCACATTACACCCACAGCCTCATCTAAAGAAGTCTAATTTGAATATTTCTTATTTGATTCATCTGCAGTCAAACAGATAATTTTGTGGTTTTTAGGGGGTGTTTACTTGCTGGAACTAGTTTTAGACAATGAACAGCTGGGTGCAGTCACTGCGTGCAGCTTCTCTGTGTCTTCAGTGGGGTAACGTGGCTGGATGTCATTGTATTTGTACAGATACCAAAACCAAAACTGTGATCTAGTTGTGTCTGGTCAAAACTAGAGACGCTGCATGGACCTGCTGGCTTCATGACAGCAGTGCTATTTGGAGACGGTCATTTTTTGTCTCATAAGCTCTTCCTTTTTATGTAGAGTGTGATTTTACCACTGATGCCCGCTCATCTGCGCTGTGCTTTGGGGTCTTTGCTGCTGTTCTCCCTGCCTTGGCTTTTCATACATGCAGATGAAACAAAGGCGAAGCGTGCTCTCCCCACCTCAGGCTTTGAGATTTCACATACACATGTGGAAGGGCAGTGAGATCTCACAACAGAGCTATACTGCAAAACATATCTAAAACAGTCCAATAACTCACCCGCCTTAGTGAAAGTGTTGGTTGAACTACTTGTCCATTGCTATTTGGGATACTTATGTGTGGATGGGCTGTTACTTATCCAGTTTTACAGGCCTAGTACTTCCAGTTTACATGCTCAAAATACTCTACTCTAGGACCTGGTTTCAAAAGTTTGTATTTTCATCTGCCTGAAGCTTTTTTTGTCTAAAATAACAGCAGAAACCTTTCAATACTTCACAGTTTTCAGAGTCAACAGCCCCCTAAGTAAAAGCTCCATTAGGTGCACAAAAATTGCACCAACTGCACAACATTAAGACCTTGACCTACTTTTCGTATTTCAAAATTTTTTAGGCTTAAAAGTGAGCTTTAATTTTTTTTCAGTAGAAAAATAACCTGGAGTACATCATCTTAAGTATCTGAGGTAAAAAGCAGCTGGGTATAATTTGACATCTGAAAATGACTTACCTGCCACAGCGTGTCAAACTTCTTGCCGTCCGGGATGGAGAGTTTTCCGGCACTGTCTCTGTCGATACGATAGTGCATGACCTGTCCCTCATGGAGTAAACACAGAGCGTAAGAGCCGTTCTGGTCCCTCTGTCGGATCCTGAACTCATATGAGGAGAGAAAACAAGCATCTCAGTCAAAAAGGAAAAGAAAGATGATACTGATGATTCTAGGATGAAAGGAAGACAAATTTTAATGTTGTAGTTGTTGGTTATAAAGTTATTTACACTGTGGCACCTTCACAAGTGTAAAATTCAGATTTTTTCTTTGCTTTAAGTAACTGTGGAGAGTTTTTTGAAATTATTGAAAAAGACTAAAATTCATATTGATGTTTTTTATAATGGAGAAAGGCAAATAAAACCATAAGGGACAAGATTGGTGGTTTTTATATTAACATTTTAATGTCATTGGACACAACGTCAGCATGTTGAGGCTGTTTTGACCAAAGGGGGCGCCAAAAAGACACAAACTGAAAGTTTCTAATAGGAGTTTTAAGTATAAAATGCCATCTCAGGCCATATTTCTTAACTTAGAAATAACAACTGTACCAAAAGCTACACTTGTTTCAGTGTCCACTAGAGGCTGTCTTCTACTGTAAGTCAAAACCCAAAGAGGCTCATAAAGATGTCCAACACTCCAGCATAAATAAACACGTTTGCAGCAAGCAGCTGTTAAAATGAAACCAATGAAGTGCAAAAGCTGATAGCACCATACTTCTCTTTTCAGACTCTTTTGGGTTTTTTTCTCTCTTAGTGTGAGCGTACAGTGTTATGTGAGCGATGGTGTGGACGAGGGTGATTTCAGAGCGCCAGAGCTAGCTGTAAAGCCACCCTGAGGTGTGAAGGGCCTAAATGTCTGAAACACAAGCGAAGGGAAGTAACTATCCGATAAACCTTGTGATGTTTTCGCTCTCGCTGCTCATCTATTTTCATCCGTCTTCATGTTTGGATGTTTGAGGACGATACAGGTCATGTAGTATAAGTAATTTATCTGAAAAGATCAATACTGGGATGAGGGGCATGAGGGGATTGAGAGCTGAACCTCTATGAGAGCACCTTATGTTGATTTAAAATAAATACTGTAAACAGATGTTAAACCCTCCGTGGAGTTTAACAGGCCACATTTAGGGAAAAAATATCAGATTTTTTAAACACAATGAAATAATTGGAAGAATAATAGAAATTATGATTTTAAAAAAGCATCATTTTGCCTATTGGACTTGGTTTCTGGTGTTAACGTGACAAAAAAATTACCCTACCAGGATGTCCAGTGTTTCTGACCTTTACCAAAACATTATAATGTGCTCCATGGTCCTCGTTGTAATGCAGGTCTCTTTAAAACACCTGTGGACTTACCGCACCTTAAAAAATGTTCTTTTTTTCCTTTGGGATTACAGCTTTAACCCTGAAATAAATGTTTTTTTTTACAGTAGCTCCATCATACAAATGTTATATTTGGACCTAGTTTTTCTTGAATTATTATTATTATTATTATTATTATTATTATTATTATTATTATTATTACTACTATTATTATTATTACTATTATTATTCAATTGGCATGTCCTCTAAAGATGGGTTACAATTTCAAAGGCTGGTTGATAAGGTACATGTATATAACTTTGATAAAGACAGATTTTTATGGTTTATGAGTAATTTCCAAACAATATTTCAATAAAAATAGTGCAAAGACAATATATCACATGTTAAAACTGAAAAATGTTTTTGTTTTATGATCAAATTTATCAACAATTTAAATTTGATTCCAGTGACACATTTTAAAACAGCAGATAAGGGGAATGGTTGTTTTTATGATACAGAGATTTCTCCAGATTGTCTGAATCTTTTATTGATATTATGTTCAGTATGATGAAATCCACTCATTCTTTCACATTATCCTAAAATGTCAATGTGTGAATGTTTTTTAAAGCCCAGTCATGTTATTAATCTGCTGGAAATTAACGTCATTCACTCTTCCTCTTTTAACAATATTTGACCCTGCTTTTTACACACACACACACGATATCATCATCGCAGTGACTGAAATAAAATTGGTGCCATTATTATAAATGTATTAAAAAATACATTTATCTTCAATGCTACAATGTTGAACCTCCATTAGGCAAAACTAATGCAGCAATAAATGTATTTTGACATTAAAACAGAGCAGGGGTTTAACGCAATATTCATTTGGCATATGTCCTATTAGATATATATGTGGGATAATTTTCTTTGTATCGTCAGTTTTAAACATGAGGGTCTCAGAGAGAAGCAGCAGTGGCGTTACGTTCAAATAGAAAAGCTCTTATAGACCCCAAACAAGAAATGTTAAACCTCCGAATCATTTTCAGTGACTGAGCTGATCCATTTTTAGACCAAAAGTAAAAATAAAGGGATAAAATAATGCAAAAATATTACAGAAATGTAATATTTTTAATGTATTGAAGAAAAAAACTTATGTCAGTGTTTGCTGGCCGCATGTTGAAGCAGTTTTAGCTCTGTGTACTGAGTTTTTTAAATGATTGATCTCAATTTATTCGATCTTAATCAATAACCTGAAACTAACTTGTAAGTGTTTGAGATGCTTTGTGAGAAAAAGGACAGAACAGTCTCGCCTTCTTCTTCTTCTTCTTTTTTGGCTACTTCAGGAAGTCCTTTGCAAACTGCCAGAGCGGAAACCACAGTGTTTGTTGGTGTGTGTGTATTTAAGTGTGTGTGTCTTCAGCTGAGACTCCCCCCGCCTCCCAACCAAAGCTTGAGCTACTATAAATACACATCTTTTCAAGTAAAAGACATCCTTTAACTTGTAAATTCACAAGAATTTAACGATTTATGTAGTGCTGCAGAATTTGTGCAGACTGTGGATGTATTTCATAAGTGTTTACAACAGCACTGAGGGGACCAGCAGAGCCATTACTGTCTCTGTTGTGAAAAGAAGTCTTATGCAAACTTCTGTGGGTTTGGTACATGTTCTCTACCCCCTGATCCAGGCCACAGACTTCTGGGTGTAGATTTGACTTTTGTGGACGTCTTGATGCGAAAAGCCTGCCCCAGCTACTTTGCTTATACACCTAGTTTGCTAATCTGTACTTTTATACCCAAACATAAATCTAACAGAGTTGGATGGTCAGACTAAGCTTTGGCCTCTAAACAGTTTGTTTCTGCAACTACACAACACCCACCATTGATGCTCATGCATTTTGTCACTGAGGCCTGCTTTCTTCTTTGCTGCTGCTCTCCCTGCCTTCACCTCAATTCCTTCTTTTTACTCTGAGTCTGACTTTACCAGTGTCGTATAGAACAGCACTGGTGCCTGTTATGCCCAGCACCTTGGAAGTTCTACCGGCTGTTCTCTGTGCCTCAACTTTTCATGCATGCACATGAAATAGAGGGGAGGTGTGCCCCTTCTCTCCCAATGTCTCAGGTTTTGGCCCTCTACATATGCACATTAAGGTTGAAGCTTTCAGAACAGAACCATACTGCAAAACATAACTTAACCCTCTTTCTGGCTGAAATTTGGATGAATGAAGTTGATTTGGTACCTGAGTCTGACTCAAACTCCGCTTTTTTGCAGCAATTCGCTAAATAATTTTGGAATTTAAAAACTCACAGGAATTTCCCGTTTGCCCGTGATCCACTCTGCAGCCGCGGCTCCGAGTCTTCCCGTGTGATCATTCCATGAAACCATGGCATCTTCTGGTGAGCCGTGGTGGCAATGAGCTTCTCCAGCTGAGGTCTTTGACTGATGATGGCCTGCTCCAGAGCCGCTCCCTGCACAGGCACACACGCACACATACAGTGTTTAATGACTACATTTGCATGGACAACAGCCTCTACATCCATCATGCCCTGTATTGAAGTACTTCATGTGTACGTCTATATAAAACTGAATGAATCAATTGCTGTTCTTTTGGTTTCAAATACTGAAGCACAGTTACCACCAGCTTTCAGCAGGCAGTTCAATTGCACTCTAACAGCATGTGACCGTTAGTGTTTGTGAATGTGGTATTTTTTACATGGAGACTCGTCTGTGTAGAGAGATGCCTATATTTTGCCCCATGTAAATGCACAGTGGCCACAAGACACGCTATTTGCTCTGCAGTGCAATTTGTGGTGCATTTATTCTGTCGTACACGCTTTGTGTGGTGGACTATGTCTTTTTGTCGTGTGCACAGGTTTAGTGGATGCAAAAGTCACCCAGTCCTTTTGTGAGTCAGGTCCTTAGCCATCGCAATAAAGCAAAAATACAACACCACAGTAATATTTGAATATGAATAAACTAAACTATAAATATTTAGAAATTGATATATATTATATTATTACAAGTTGTCATCATCTTTTAGGTTTCAGCTTAACATTTTTCTTATACTTTGAATAATCCTCCATAAACCGACACTAACCTGTAAATACTGAACCCCTGACACACTGTTAAAACAGCACTGGGTCATGTGATCGCTTGTGAACAGAGTCAGATATCACTGGGTTTAAATGTATTTTTCTGTCAGTAGAGAAAGTTTCCAGACTGACCTGCAGGTTCCAGGTCTGCTTTACGTACTCCCGAATCAACTTCTCCTTCAGGTCCTCAAAGGCGCCCACTTTGGGCTGCATATTTTTGGGTCTGTTGCACGGCTTCTTTAGCAGACACACCAGCCCGTCTGGCTCCTGGGAGTGGTAGTCGATGACGTCCTGTGGGCTGCGGTGGCTCTTCCCCCCAGCGATGGCGTAGGTCTGGTCAGGCTGTCTCTCGATGGTGTAGTGGTAGCAGCGGCCCGAGTGCAGCACGGACAGAGCAAAGCCACCTAGGTAGTTCCTGCTCTGTCTCAGCAGGTACAGGCCGTTTATGGAGCCCATCTGACGCAGGTAGTCCTCCGCATCCTCTCGGGTGATGTTCCCGTAGAAGAACGGTAATGAGTTTACATTGTCAGCCATGTTGGATTCTGATTCAGAGGTGGTTCTGGAGTGGAAGTCAAAGATCAGTCACCAGGCTGCAAGCAACCTGAAAACCAGAGACAAAAACAAACATCGCTTATACATAATGAATGATCCCGGACCTATCAGTTGATTTCCTGCTCATCTCCTTTTCCAGTTTTATTAAATTCAGTATTTTTAGATATCAGATTTTATCAATTGGAAGCCATGAATGTTTATGAATTGAACAGATTTTAGAACAACTGAGCGAAGAGCTGAAGTGAAAGTCACAGTCAATTCCAACCTGTCTTTGGACTGGAGACCATGAATCTCAAACCCACTTTTAAAGCAATAATCTGATGTGATGGATGAACCAGTGGACAGACTGATTGATAACTGATCCCTGCTTGAGCAGAGTAAATCTCTAGAGTTGACACACTGACCTGCGGCTCAAAGATCCTGAGTTGTATTGAATAAACGTTCACTCTTCCTCTTAGTAGTCATCACAATGTAGAAAAACCACAACACGGCCTCAACATCACACTCGTGAAACCCCCTGCTCTGCAAATCAGCTTTTATAAAAGACTCACAGACATTAACATGTTTGACTGACCACTGAGGGAAACTACCAGAAACATAAAAACGAAACCATACACCACTATTCTCTGCAGGTATGATAAAAGATAAACACCTGTGCAAAACCTCTCACTACTACCTATCCTATCCTCTGACTGACATACATCCAGAAGATAATCTATCCTCATGTATATTTGGATTTTCATAAATCAGCTTTGAGTAGTTAAAGATTGACATTCTTATGGAAATCATGGATGATGTATCCTCCGTCCGCAAGAGGATCGAGACATTTTAAAGCTTTTAATAGTTCAATAAGGGTTTTGTTTCTAACTTGATGATCAGTATTAGCAGAAATGCCTTTTTTATTCATTAAAAATCTAAAATAATGAGAAAACAAACAGCAGCCTGAATACAGAGCAAGCTATTTGAAAGTTTTTAGGTCAACTGAGCAATCAAGTGAACAACCTTCATCCTCAAAATCCCTCATATGCTGACATTAAGGCAACCGCAGAGGAAAAACCCAGACGAAACAGTCCCCCAAAAGTACCCAAAAGTAGGGGTACTGTGTTAAATGTTGTTAAAAACTGAATTTGATGGTTTGCAAATTATATCAACTCCATATTTAACTGAAAATGGTGCAAAGATGAAGCACTAAATATTGTGTGAAACATGTTCTTGTTTCATGAAAAAACAGTGCTCATTTTAAATTGGAAGCAAACACATTTTTAAAAAGTTGAACGAGGAACAACCAGAGAGGTCAAAGGTTGTTGTAGAGGAACAACCAAACAAGTAAAAAGTTGCCAGAGGAACAACGAGAAGGGTCAAAATTTGTGTAATGCTAAAAAAAAACATCAGATAGTTGGCACGCCTCATGTCTCCATCTTAACATCTTAATCTGGACTCTGGACTGACCAGGATGGCTCCACCTGAGGATCTAAAGTGGCAGGTGAGTCGACAGTGCTTTCACTGTGATGATGAAGCAAAGTTTTCAAATATTAAAAACAACTGCGGTGCACAAGAATGTCAGTGCCTCTCAAAACATTAGTTTTTTTTGCCGTCCGCATGAAAACATCCATTTAAAAAAACCTCCACTTGGGAAGTTGTTTTCCTAAATCTTAAATTTCATTGACATTAAACTCCGTTAACATGTTGATGAGAGGTAGATACTACATTAGGTGAGAAATATGTCCTCATGCATGTGGACGTGCTTCTGCACTTGTAGTTTTGGGCAGTTAAGAAACATTTTGTCATTTATAACAATCCCCATCAGCGCGTGAATCACCTGTTGTCGTAATAGCACCACAAGTGAAACTTAATCCAACAAGTTGTCTTATTTTAGTGACTTAAAGGAGAAGAAAAAGTTGAGAGGAGCTGCTGAGTGTGAGTGCAGAGAAAAGGTTGTAGGGAACTAAGAATGCTGTTTGAGGACAAATGATGATACCAGGTGGAGAACATATGCTGAGAACATCATTTCTGATCTGCCATAAATAAAAAAGGGAAGGCCTAAAATTCTTCTTCTCAATCAGTAACAACATAAAGTATTAGGGGTGGAACATGCAATTCAAATGCCAATAAAAAGCCCTTAAAGTAAATAATAAACAAAATAAACAGTATGGTACAGTACAATTAACGTTAGAATGACCCCGGGGGGTTGTAAAACCCAACTTTTTCATTTGAATCAACCTTAATTTAACAAGGTTGGTCCCACCCAGATTATGAAACTCCCTATAGAGTCCGATAGAAACACAAAGAGCATCAGCAGAGTCCATAAGCATTGAAATTAACATGTAAAAAGAGAGACTACCTCAGAGTCATTTGTGCAACTAGGTAATCTTAAATCAACATCCTCAAGAATCTTCTTCAGACCCGCTCCTCAAAGTTTAACATCATTCTACCATAAATTCCAGCAGAAAACCCAAAAGCCCTTTTACCATTTTCTGTGCAAGCTTTCTGGAAGAAGTCCTTGAGAGCGTATTAAACACTGACTGGTACTTGTCTGTTTGATATAAACACAAAGATAGTGTGGTTACAGGCCTGAAATTGCTTTATAAACGAGGTATGGGAGTTGCTGCACATCAGTATGTAACTGTGTGCTGATTATTCATATAAATAGTCACCAAAGGGGGCCTAATACATAACCCTGTGCACACCTTTATGGATCAGAGGCCATCATACCTATTGCAATGAGACTGATCATGGAAGTCATTTAAAAACCATGCAACTGCATTTTCAGAGTGTCCAATATTTAAAAGTCTGTGCCACAGAGAACGTACATAAAAACCATCTTTAAATACACGACCATGTGCAAATTAAAGTACAAGTTCATACAAATCAACGCAAGACACTGACTCCGAAAGAAATTCATAATGAATATGTAACATTGAGGAATGTTTAGCGCGTCCAGCTTTGGTGCAAAATACACGAAACATCAACTCCAGACGTTTGGCTTTCACTCTAAGTTTATTCAGTGTAGGAATAAGTCAATGTTTGAATCTGTTAAGTCTGCCGCAAAAGTCTGTGTGCAAAACATGAGACGTGTTGACGATGATCTTACTGGTTTGTTGTGAGGTTGTCTGTTCATAAATACTCGAGATACACTCAACACCAATGATCCTCTCCATGGAGTACCAATTAACCAGTTTTTTTAAACGATTAAAATGGCGATACTGAACCTGATTGGACTGTCCAGACCTGTCTGACAGAATATAAACAACATTTTTGATCAACACCACAGACCCTTGGGTGGCGTAAAAAACACAGGCTCTGTTGTAATCTGCATCAGAGAAGACACCGAGATATTCGTCTGAGTGGACCTGTCCTGAACAAGGGCGCGATGTGGAAAAGCACAGGTCTGAGGTCACCTGAGGGTCAAACACCATCTCCTTTGTCCTATGAACATTCAGTACAAGGTGGTTGTTACCACACAAACCTTTGAGTTTCTTAAAAACAGTTACAAAAGGCACCACAATCAAATCATTAATGTGCTTTGGTCTTTTACAGTAGTAAGTACAGTAGAAGAAAACCATGTGATATTTAAGACAGCCACACCTTTCTAAAAAAAACAAAAAACTTTCTTTTGTGGTTCTACTTTTGATTTTAATGTTTTATCTCCAATTTCATTTATCTCTTAGCTTTATTAACTGTTTTATTGCCTTATGAAACGCTTTGTGACTTGTATTAGAAAGTTCTATACAAATAAAACATCATTTTTGGAGTAATACCATAAAATTTACCGGGAACATATTTTGGAGGCATCAACATATCAAGAATGCTGTAAGAATGACCTTTTACTGCTGAGGTTCATCTTTCATGATATATACAAATTTGTAAAACAATATATGTTTTGAGAACTTCACAGCTTAACCAGTATTTTTAATCCACTTTGGATTTAGAGACATATCAATACTAAAATAAACTTTAGATTTGAACTTAGTATTCCAACAATTGAACAGCATCACAAATTAAGAGCTTTTTGAGTACAAGTGTTTGAACTCTTAAGCGTTATGGAGGGAAAGTCAATGAAGGAACCCTCAGAGGTGATAAATTTAACTAAAACAGACATAAGAAGATTATCTGCTGTTTAATTCCATGAAATAATTTTAATTTTTGAAACTCATTTAGGAAATGTGGAGCAACCTCGACCCTTTAGAAGCTTTAAGATAAAAAAGTGAGAACGAAAAAAAAGGTGTTATCTTCTGGTTAGACTGATGTTAAAGCTCAAAATGTGTTGACTTTAGGGCAAATATTTTGCAGGTAGAGATCAGAAGTCTAATTTTAATCGGACTAATAAGAGAAAACGCTTCTCGATCTTACTGTTCTGGATGTGTCGAAGCAGCCTCAGAGTCTCAGAGCGTCAGTCGTCCGCAGGTCTTTCCTTCAGTCCTCCATCAGCCGTCTGCAGACTGAACAACATGAGAGGAGGTCAGTCAGCGTTTATCCACACCCTCAGAAACACAGAGGTTTGAATGTTAATGATCTCAAAAATCAATCTCTAACACTGATCAGCAGGTGAAGAGTCTGAGGCACAGAGTCACAGCCAGGCCGAGCAACTCTGAAGCTTCCTCATTTCAACGACTTCCTTCACATTTTTATTCTTTTACTTCCTTTTTTTTTTATCTGAACACTGACCAACACCACCGCCCCGCAACACGGTGCAGGAAGTGACTACTGCAAACAGACGAGTCACTTTATGATGGAGGCGATGCACAGAAGGGTTTCATCATAGTTACAGATGATTATTTTGTTATTGAGAGACAGGAAGATGAAACAACTTATTGATAAGAAAATAACTGAGAGGCTCTGAGCTGGTTTTAAGTGAATGAAGGGGCCGCAGGTCTGTTTTAGCTTTTGTTTAAACTCTTTCAATTTTTTTGTCTTCAGTCTCTGTCTTTTCATTTAAAATGATTCATGGCCTATTTGATAGAAATTTTATTGATTAATATAATTCTAATCATTTTAATCATTTGTTTTGTATGCATTTGTGTGATTTAATTTTTAACTTATACCTTCAAAATCTTCCTTTTAGTTCGAATGAATTCATTATTTAGAGATATTTTCATTTTTATTAATTATTCAATTTCAGCAAAATGGCCTCTATTTATGCTATAACACTTCATTTATATAACACATTCATTTATTTATTCATTTTTATTTGTCGCAGGAAATCTTATGACCCAGAAAAAAGGAATCTAAATATAAAATTTACTGATGTAGGTAGAGTGCTAATGCTAAGCTAATTCATCACTTTTTATAACCTGGCTGTGTTAAATACTTGAGTCTGATTGGTCAAACCACCAGTGATTAACTTTCAAAGCAGAAACAATGCCAGGAACAACCACAGGCCAAATCAAATCAACCTGCAGAAAGAGGTCTGGCTCATTTCCTCTCTGCCTGTTGACACTGCTGCAAAAAAGACTATTTGGTGTTGAGGAAATGATAAAAGTTAGTGGGCAAAAATGAAAAGAAATCATCTTACTGAGATTTAGGCCACGTCAAAAGAAAACAAAATGTTACATTTTCAATGACAAACTTTTATCTACAGGCTTATCTAATAATTTAAGCTGTTAATAAATCAGGAAATAGACAAATCATTAAGAAGTTACTACTATATGAGATAAAAAGCTTAACTCTACATGTCAAAAGTTGTAAATGTATGGGAATTAAGTAAAAAAAAATTTGCAAAAAACTTGTCAGATATCAGTACTGGATTTATGAGAAAGGAGTCGCAAATCTAGAGAATAAACTAGTACATTTACCAGAGTATAGTCATAAACTGATGAGAAAATAGCTGTAAACACAAAAAGTAAGAAATAACAAGAAGAGAGCCACAAATTTACAAGAACAAAGTTTAAGCTCATAGTACGGACTACCAAAGGAAATAAGTGGTGAATTTACATGAAATGGTTTGTAAAAGACTAAGAAAAATGTGTATTAGCATAAATAAAGCTGAAAATCTATGAAAAAAATAAATAAGTTCATGAATAGAAAAGTTGTTTATTAAGGAGAAAAAAGTGTAATATCTGCTTAATTTTGGGGGGGGGGAGGCAAAAATGAACTTACAGAAATAAAAAGGTAAATTCCCCTAAAAATTGGAAAGATATACAAGAATAAAGTTATGAGGACAAATTTATGAGGAAGTTGTAAGATAAAAAGTTGTTTGAAAGAAGTCAATCTGGGAGAATAAACTTGTAAATTTACTGAGTATAAAGTTGTAGATTTGGAGGAAAGAAAAGCTGTGAATCTATGAGAAAAAAGTCATAAATTAACAAGAATTATGGAAATATTTTTACAAGAGAAGGTCATCTATGAGAATCGAATTTTCGGTCAAACATCTTGTTTGAGATTAAAAGTGGAGAATTTTTCTGCTAAAATGTTTGAGTAAAAAAGGAAATCAGAACAGCACGACTGATGATTGTGAAAGAATTTGACATTTTAGTCTGCAGAGGCCCCCAATCGTCTTCAAGGTGAGGAGCTTCAGGTCTGTGTGTTTGCTGAGGTGCATTGAGGAGTGGAAAATCTGCTTTACACTGTGTGGTCTTTGTTGTGTCAGTTTTTCTTTAACTGTGTCAAACTGCTCAGGCCTCGGCTCAGCGAAGGAAGTGATCCGTCTTCACTTCCTCAGTTTAAAGAAGCGGCCTTAAAGGGACGTAAAGGTCTCAGTTTACAGAAGTCAGTTATCAGTAAGACATCTTCCAAGAATACAAACAACTCTTTTTCTATTTATGGTGACAAGAGAGTGCGGTTGTGGCTTCAAATGCACTGATTCTGGAGGAAGAGAGCCCTGAGGGGACAGACTGTGAGAGAAAAAGTAGTAACTTTGCCCTAGACTCCACTGACAACATGAGTACTTTAAAACTGTATAATACAGGAGTTTGGTGGTTTATTTGTGCATTTGTTTTCTTTGACAATATCTAAGACACTGAGGACTGTGGACAAGGTTTTAGATTATGGACCTTTATTTTGGACTAAATAAACCAGACTTTGGGGGGTCATGCACCTTAAATCATCCTCTGTGTCTAAACGTCTTAGTCATTTACATTCCTGATGATATATGATAGTATTAAGGCCAAATTTACATTTTTTTTCTAAGACTTAAAAAAGCTCTCATTTTCTCAGAAGAATAAAGTTCTTATAAAATCATTAGTACCAACCATTACCGCTGCTATAATTACTAATAATAATACATTTGCAAAGAGAAAGCACATTTGTCAACAACAACTCTGACAAGAGTCTTAAAAACTTAAAAAATATCCCTTCAACTTACACTTACAACATTAATGGGATGTGCAATGAATATGAGATTAATAACGGCTTAATTATGGACAATCATGTACAAATCATGATTGAAAAATGTAATGTTTGACAGCCCTAAAGAAGAAATATATATCACCAAAGTATCTGCTGAAACAACAGACAGACAGACAGACAGACAGACAGACAGACAGACAGACAGACAGACAGATAGATAGACAGATGAATGATAGATAGATTTCTTATCAAATCTTCCTATTTAGTTGAAAAGGATATAAAGGAAAATTAACTTCTTCAGACTACAACTAAAAAGCTGGGAGTAGTTACCCAGATCTTTAAGACATGTAGCGCCCCCTTCTGCTAAATAATAGCTATCACATTAACAGGGAAACTGCGTAAATTAAAGCACCCTGAAACCGCCTGATGATGTTCACGTTGAGCCTCCTGGATGACATAAACTTGATGGACAGCTTCAATTCTTACCAATTGTCTCCATCCTCCTGATAGATATTCAGTGCTATTGCTGGTGGCTAAATAAAGGTAACTGGAAAGTAGTACAGGTGATTTGGGCGGTGGCAGAGGGCCCTCAGGTTGGACCAGAAAGGAAGGCCAAAGCTGTGCAGGTATGGCCAAAATTATAAAGCTGACTGACCTAAACTTGAGAATGTAGTGATGGACTTGGTAAGAATTGAAAAGTCCTTTTAAGAGGAGGGGGTAGTTTATATCATGTTTTTACATGGTTTCTTCTTGATTTGGAGCACATGCAGTGATTTCCACTGCAGAGCCTTGTCTGTTTTTAATGCAGTGCTGTCTGAGGGCCTGAAGATCAGAACCATCAAGGATCGTTTTTGGTCCTTGTCCGTTTTGTACTGAGATTTCTCCAGATTCTCTGAATCCTTTAGTGATATTATGATCTGTAGATGATGAAATCCACTTATTCTTTCACGTTTGACACTCAGGAAACTCAGTCTCTCTCAGAGTGTTTGTTCTGTTTTAATATTTGATATTTTGCCTCATCAATGTTTTCAATCATGTGACGCTTTAAATGCTTTGCAAACCATCACAATCTTGAACATTTTGCACTGTGTACTGGCTTTTTAGAGCTAAAAATAACACATGGGTCAAATTAATCTCTGATTCTAAAAGAAAATATTAATTTGCAATCAAAAATAATAAAGGTGTACAATTATCCAATGAAGTTTTACATCTTGAAAAATGAGAAAAATTACAAGACTAGACTATGTATAGAAATGGAATATAGGGATACATTTTTGCTCCTCTAATGCTTAAAATGTCGTAGACTCAGCATAAGTAGATGGGCTACATTGTAATTTTCTGCAATTCAGCAGCTCTGCACCTGTACAAAGTGCATCCTCAGTTGTAAAGACAAAGTACAACAACTACTTCTGAAAGAGTCAATAAATGTTTCATTCTGCAGCCATCTCAGAGAGGTTATTTGATCTTGTTTGATTGTCCCACATAAATGTCCTTCCAGTATTAGTGTACGTGCATGTTACACTTTTTTCTTTGTGTAATTTTTGCAGGAGGAGGATCCTTCATTTATGACGCGAGTCTCAGGTTTCCTCTGCATCAACTACGTCGTTTAATATCTCTACTGTGTTTGATCAGCTTTCACTGCAGAGTATTGTCAGCTTTCACACTCCTCTCCTCTGCTGTTTCACATTAGGCATCAAATAAATGAGATTTAATGGATGCACTTACGGAATTCATGTATTTGAATGAATCTTCATGCACTCACCATCCACTCTCGGGTTGCAGTCTGGGTTCTCGCTCACGGTCTGTCCCGGTCAGCCCATCGTTCTGATCCTGAGAGCTCTGCTTCTGCGGACAGGACTGGGATCCTCTCACGGCTCTGATTCTATGCAGCAACGTCCCATCTCGAGCGCGTTAATATGTTTATGGATGCAGAAGAAGAGCTTCCTGGGTCACTTCCTACTGGTCCAGAAATAACGAGCTCAGTCAGCCGGCCAATGATGCTCGATGACAGAAATCACCTTGCGAGTGATGATGAAGTAAGACCCAAATGTTTACATTTTTCTTTTCTTAGTTTAATAAAGATTTACCTGTAGACACGAATCAGTTTTATAGTTACATTTATTTAATGATCGGTATACAACAAAAAATAGATAGGTATTAGAGCCACATATAAAATGAACGCAGCCTTTTATTCTGCATTGAGAATGTGTCACCAGCAGAGGCCGCTGTTGTTGGGGTTCCTTAAAACAGAATGCAGATAGTGTATTCATGCATGCTCTGCCTTAGATCTGCAGATCTCCTCACGACATTAAAGATGAGGCAAAAAGTAGTAGGGGAGACCGGGGACGGCTGCAATACTTCTAAATTCTCAAAACTTCCAACAGGGAAAAGCTTTAAAATATTTCATGAGTGCATAACGTAGCTGCAAACCCTTCATCTGATTTCAGTCCTCACTTCTTGCCTTTATAAAATCTCCATCCCCCTATTTTCTCTATCAATGTATCCCACATTCTTCCTGAGAAAGCTAGATTTCCCACCTTTATTATATCGAACTTTGTCTTCAAATAATAATAATAATAATACATTTTTTAAAGGCACCTTTCAAAACACCCATGGACACTGTACAAGACAGACAAAAACAAAAAGCAGGTTAATAGTTTTAAACAATGGGAGATCTGCAGAGCAACAGTCAGGGTAAGTATGTTTGGTAATGCTTTCTTTTATGGTACACTTATTACCAGGTAATTACCTAGTAACAACATGAAATTATCTGGTAATTAAATTATAACTTCTGAGTCAATACTGTCTAGCTACCAGGTAGGTAACCTTCCATCATCATACAAATTTGAAGCCGAATTGCTCTGGTATTTCCAGGATTTTCTCTGCTTCCTGGAACCACCACTTGCGCAGTAGCATTGTACGCATTCGGCGGGTGAGTCGCTGTGATAACGCTCGGCTCAATCAGCGTATCGCTACGCAATCCTCGCACGCCCATAGGCTGTATCAAGTGACAATCATAGAAAATAAGAACCCCAAATAGCTTTTGAAAATGGAGCTGCACAGAAAAAAGAAAAACTAGACAGTATTGACTTAGTAGTTATCATGTAATTACTAGGTATTTACCTGTTAATTACCTGGTAATAAGTGTACCGTAAAAGAAAGTGTTACCGTATGTTTTTTTGAACAGGTGGGTTTTAAGGTGTGATTTAAAAATAGTCAATGGGTCGATGTTACGAATGTCCAATGGAAGGGAGTTCTAGAGGTGGAGGGCAGAGCGGCTGAAGACTCTGGACTCCATGGTGGTCATATCAGCAGGAGGGATAGTGAAGTTGATGGAGGATGATGATTACTCTTATGTTAACTCTTCTTTACAGTTTCCAATCCATCATTTTGCAATTTAACCACAGGTTTTATTGCCTCAAGATTTTCCTTTAATCAGCAATTCACTGGAAAGATGTTTTATATTATGTAAAAATAAATAAGAATATATTTAATATTCACAATGCATTCATTCTATTTGATTATGAACATATAATAACTTATTTCGAAAATTTGAAAATTAACTCTAAATGTGCAGTGTAGTTGCCAGTAAAACTACAGAGAAGAACAAACCTGCATTGGAGCAAGGACTTTGGTGGTCGTGGTGGTGGCAAAAGAAGGATGCAGGATGTGATGAAGGGTGAACATCTGAAGTCCCTGACGTTGATGGCAAAGAGTGAAGGCGACTGGGGTAGAGTTGAGTCACAATGATTCAGGCTAAAACAGCTAACGAAAGAAGCAGAGAGGTGAACAAATTAAAAGTATAGCAGCAGCATGATGATTGGTTGAGAGGTCTTAGCAAAGCCTGATGAGTACTTAAGTGTGAATGTAAATGCTCAAAACTGGGTCATGAAAAAAGTAGGAAGAAAGTAGGAAACAGGATAGTAAGTATAGAAGAAGTAGCCTGGCTGGGCCATCCAGTTGCGTGAATCACTTGCCGTTCCTTCCCAGAACAACAGCAAGTGATTCACACAACTGGATGGCCCAGCCAGGCTATGAAAGAGGATATTAATAATGATAATACAATCATAATAAAATAATAATTATGTTAATATTAATGATAAAATGGAATAATAAAAATGAGCAGGAAAAAACGTTTAAATCAATAAAGGACCTGAAAGATAGAATAAGAAAAGATTATAAGTAAAACAAAAAGGATAGTAAGTCAAAATAAGTGAGAGGTAAAAGAGATAAAAGAAAAAAGAGAAAAGACGGCATCCCATAAAAGCAAGTCTGTAAAAGTGAGTTTTTAAATTTGACTTAAAAGAAGAGACTGTCTCTGCGCATCTTATCTCCTCTGGCAGGTCGTTTCAAAGTCGAGGAGCTTTGATGGAGAAAGATCTATCACCTTTAGTTTTGAGCCTCAACTTTTGAACAACCAGGAGGCCTTCACCAGAGGATCTGAGGCTGCGAGTTGGCTCATAAGGTATTAAAAGCTCTGAATTGTAGCTCGGAGCAAGTCCTTCAAGCGCTTTAAAAGTAATCAATAAAATCTTAAAATCAATCCTAAAACTGACAGGAAGCCAGTGGAGGGAGATTGAAATCTGAGTGACCTTCTCAGTGAAGCACTTGTCCTCTGTTCTTTAAAAGTGCTACATAAATAAACTTATTATTCCATATTTGCTTGGGATCAGTTGCTCTGGCTGTGTGACCGCTGTGTATAAAATTTTATCATTTGTATGAAAAAGATCAGTAAATTATGTAATCATTGGCTGCTATTATAAAACTTAAAAAAAGCAATCAAAACTAAAATCTAAGACACATTCTCAGTTTTTTTTTTCTAATCATTTTTGTTTCAGAGAGACTTCTCTGTTATCGTCTTTCCAAAGTTTGACGTTTTATCCTTGTTCCAGATTATTTTTCCGGTTATTTAGTCGGTTTTCATTAACTCTTGATAACCTTGATACTGCTGCCAGATGTTTGCTCGCGTTACGGAGCGCAGAGGCGCACTGTCGTGACGTCACTGTGCGGGGTTTCCTGGAGAAGTGAACCGTACGGCGTCATGGCGGAGGCCGGTTGTCGGAAGAGCCTGGACTGAAATGCCAGCTTTCTGCAATCACAGCTGACCGTGGAGCACTTAACTTTGCTTTCACATCAAACGGAAAAGGGGACTTGTTAATTCTTTTAAGTGGGAGAGGAAGACCAGCACTCTTCAGAGTTCTCCTGAACTGAATAGTCCGGGGCTGCTCTCCCTGACTGGGGGGGATAGCTAGCTGGCTAGCGTACGGTAGCGTTGGCTATCAGCGGCTGCTAGCCCTGTGGTGAAATAAAAGAAGAAAGAAGCCCCGGGGACGTGGATTGAGACATTATTTTCACTGGAATTGACCAGGTAAAATAAACGACGAAGTTACTTATTCGGTAGTTCGGCTGGAAAGGAAGCTAACGCGGCGTGTTGATGCGGTAAAAGCCGCGAGAAGTGAGCGGCGAATGAAAACAAGATGGAAGAGGGTGAAGTTAGGTTAGCTCATTTGTGTTTGTGGCTTTAGTAATGAATAATAAACACGTTAGCCCTCCTTGTGTGGTCCACTGCCTATATAGATATTTGCATTGTAAAATACTATCTCCGTCTTAACGCTAAGTATGAGCTAAAGCGGGAGAGCTAATGGTGTAGCTGCGCAGAGCTAACAGAAAGTAGCGTAAAGTTTTGTCATTTTGTTAGCGCTCGTGCTAGCCTCGTGCTTCAGAGCGTGAGCTAACCCAGCTCTCTCCCTGACAACCCGGACCATCACTTCATGTTTGTTCAGCCCACGTTACTATTCAGTCACTTAGAGCAACTCCATGTCCCAACTGACACATATCGGTACCGAAAATACGTTGTAGTCATTTCGAAAATGCATCCGTTTTTGTTTTTTAAGTACTGTAATTTTCAAACAGAATAGCAAAATACTAGCATAACACATACGAGCTAGCAAACAGTTAAATGCTATTACGTTTCGTAAGAGAGGAGTATTTAAACGGCTGGCAAAAAGAGTGCTGCCGGTACTGATGTAGAAATGAATATGAGGGAGTTTTGGTTTACGAAACACCGTCTGGCGGGTTGGATGTGGCTGAATACATTACAGCTAACGTACCCCGCCAACTGCTAATGTTGGCGTCATTAGCCGGTGTTCTGTCGAAAAGTATTGCCCAACGAAACGCAGACGTGCGCATGCGTACATTCGGGGTCCCGAGTTCTTGACACTTCGACCACAAATGAATGCTCCTGTCTATCCAGAACGTGTCTCCTATTATCTCACATCTAGGTTTTCCCAAAGAAAGTTTCGAAATGTGCACAAATTGGACTATAGATCAAACGGAGCAAGTGGTGCCCCTTAAACTGTCTACACATTAGAGAAGCAATTGATAGTAAGTCTACTAGTATAACAATACGCTTCTTCTGAAAACCTACTCAAGGATGTCGTACTATGATGTCTTCTAATGTCACCAAACTCTTTGTGTAAATTAAGAATGTAGCTGTATATTAGTAAGTGATTATAACTTGGCAGGGTTCCTAAACAGGGGCTATTGATCGGGTCGGCTCTCGGTTGCATTTTTCGACGGAACACCGGGGTTAGCTACTTAGCTACAAGCTAAATTTTAGCCCCAACGAAGCTAAAATGACACCAAGTTTGAGTGGAGAGCGATGACTACAGTCAGTTTTGGGCCCTTACCGAGGCTAAGTAAGCTCTTATTTTTGTACCACCAGCAGAGATTTAGAGAAATAAGAAAAAACACGACGTGATCCACAGGCCTGTTAGGCCTCTGAACTGAGGGAACAAATACAGCCGAAGTTATTGAGAGCCTAAGCCATCCACACTGACTCAGTCTGTGCTCCGGTGTTTTACCTGGGGAATCAGTCAAATGTTTGTATGTTTGTTAATGTGCAGACATCTGTTCTTTTGAGAGAAAATTTACCATAAGTATTGACAACAATGCGGCACCAAATTTACAAACATACCCCAGAGGTGAGAAAGAAACAAAAATACAGATAGTAAGAAATTAAGTGAAACTCATAATAATGTAATCAGTTGTGTGAAAAATGGTGATCTTTACATTTATGAGTAATATTAAAGCTTTGAGGGATATATATTTACTTTTTCCTACATATCTTTTGGGGAAAAAATCAAAGAGATTTTGTGTTGCAAACTATCCCTATTAAATATGAAACTCGCAGTGTAAAATAAAGACATTAACAGGGATGTTTTAACGGTCCAACATGCGTATTTTACGACAGCTAAGGTAAATGATCTGGTGTGGTAAAATAAGGGAGACTGGGATTGGGACATCCATACTCTGGAATACATACTCCACACTTTACCACCAAACATTTTGGATCACTTTTAACTACGGGTGGATTGTGTGTCAAACAGTGACGAATGTCTTTGTTAGAGGTGAGCCCTCACCTTTCACAATGAGGTGAAAGATAAAGTGCTAAAAAATAATGATATCAAGAAAAAAACTGCCCTGTGAGTGCTTTGAAAGTTGCTAGATAGTGTTGACATCTGAATACATAACACATTTCTCATGTTGTGAGTATGTTTTAATAAATATTGCTTGAAGATGATGGGAAAGAGCCAAAACAACTTGGGTTTATCTGTAATACGCAGTGTCTCCTGCTGTACCCCTCCTTTTTGAAGTAACTCTTGGAGCTTCTTTTTAGTTTTTATTTTGATTTGTTTTTATCTGGTCAAACTAACCTTTGATACTGTAATTGTTTAATTAATATTTTTTAAATTGTCTCCACTTGCAGGTTAGCCACGTTGACGATAAAACAGCAGGTTTGTCCGGGGGAAGTCTGTATTTGTGGACTTCAACATGGCAGGACGCAGTGAGGATGAAAGTGTGAGCAACAGCAGTGGTGAATCAAGGTAAGTCACCTGGTCATTGCTTGAAAAAAAAGACATGGAGCAGTTTCATAATCTGTTGAAACTTCTGGGGGTCATTTGCAGAGATACTTACAAAAAATAAATCAGTTATTGTTCGTAGATGCTTAACTTGATGCAGTACGGTGAAGCAGAAAACTCTGGCACTTTCTGACAGTGACATAAGTGTCAGGGACAGAGCAATCTCAAGCTTTTTGATATTAAAATTTGGGATTTTCAAAGACATACAACAGACATACTGTTTATTACAACAAAAATCATTTCTGATAGGCTAAACCATTGAAATGTAAGCTGATGTTAGATTGTGTTGTGATAAAGCCTGCGCATACATACAGTGTTATCCCCTTTCTTTAAGGGTATTTCTACACAAAGCTTTCTCAATGAATTGAACTATGGTGTTGCACTTTGTTGAAGGACATGTTGATCTTCTTTGTACAGGGGGTAAAGTAGTACACACACATTTTAAATGAGTAAATGGTATATTTCTGGATTTCTAATCAACTAATGTGTTTTTTGTGTGTGTGTATGTGTATTTGTTTTCTCCTTGAACTTAACAGTAATTCTGACGATGAATCCGGTTCTGGATCGGGGTCAGGGTCAGGGTCCGGCTCAGGCTCCAGTTCCAGCTCCTCCAGCAGCAGCAGCCAATCAGGGAGCAGTGACTCAGGTAGTGGCTCAGACTCCGGCAGCCAGTCAGACTCTGACAATGAGAAATCCAAGGAGAAGATCGAACCGCCAAATAAGTCAAATATCGACGGAGCAGAGGTGAGAACATGATCATTTTGGTTAGGGGTGCACAATATATCAAAGCTGTATCTTTATTGCAATTAGAGCATTTGCAATAAAAACTATTGCAATAAATGAGAAAAATCAAGACTTTCTCATTAAGCGTGCTGCTTCCTGTTTTCTTTGGCGATGTGGTCACTGATCGACACATTTTCTGAGCTGTAAATCAAGCAGATCTGGAAAATCATGACATACCTTACCAAGAACTCAGATGTTTTGACCTTTTACCCAGTTTGACACATTTGCAGAGTCCTGCTGGTGGCACAAAGTCTCTTTGGGTGTTAAAACTGCGTGATCAACTCTTTGTCATGTGAAAGCTTATTAAACATGTTCACAGATTTTTGGGCTAATCTTCCGCTGTGCTCATTCTTTGCAGTTCTGGAAGTCCAACCCAAGTATCCTCGCAGTGCAAAGATCTGCTATGCTCAGGAAACAGCAGCTTCAGCAGCAGCAACAGCAGCAGCAGCAGAGACAAAGCTCCTCCAACAGTGGATCAGATGATGTTCGTTTCTGTCTGATTTCAGAACAACCTTCTCCGGAGAGTAATGCAAATTCCTTCTCAGCATTTTCTCTTTTGTTATCTTTTCCAGGACTCATCGAGCAGCGATGAATCAGACTCATCGAGCGGATCCAAAAGGAGAAGGAATTCAGGTTCCTCTGACTCTGGATCGGGTTCTGGATCTGGGAGTGGGTCCGGATCAGACTCATCAGCAGAGGAAAACAGTGACGAGACAGCCTCAGACTATGAGCCCAGTCACAAAATCAAAAGCAAAAAACCTCCGACTAAGTAAGTGAACCAAAGAGTCTTTTCCTGCCATCTCTAATGATTGATTTTATGATAGTGCAGCAGCTGATGTAGCTTTAAAATTTCTCTCAAGAAAATGTGTGTTTCCAAGAGTTTCTTTTAAATGAATTGTAAGTCTTTTAAACTGTTAATCATGTACTATTTGCTTTTTGTGATTTATGTATCCATTAATTTTCACACAGTCTGTGTTAATATTAACACAGAAATGAAGTGAAAGTGACCTCATAAGACAAATTACTTTTTCAGCTTTAATTGGAGCGTTTCCCAGCCGATATGTAATCTGTTATGTAGGAGAACAAGCTTTAAAATATTGCAGTGTGCATTGCTACTTAAAAAGGTTGCAGATTAAGGCATATTAAGTTGCAACTAGCTGGTTGAACAATGCAGCTTGCATCTTGGCTTTTTGCTGCAGGAAGGGACTTCAGGGTCTAACCCCACGCATGCATAAATTCTTAACCTTTTTTTTTTTGGTTGTTTCAGGATGAATTTCCGAAATGGAAAGAAAAGCAGTAATCAAAAGAAGAAAACCCAGAAGTGCTCTTCCTCGGATGATGAGGAGGAGAACTACAAGAAGGTGGCATCTGCGGGGCCACGGCGGCAGGCCACTGTCAATGTCAGCTACAAGGAGGATGAGGAGCTGAAGACGGACTCAGATGACCTGGTGGAAGTTTTGGGTGAAGACGTACCGCAGCCTGAGGAGGACGAGTTTGAAACACTGGAGAGAGTGATGGACAGCAGGATAGGACGGAAAAAAGGTGAGGATGCTGAGATTCAACCTGTCACAAATCAAACTGCTCATGTAAAGACGAGTTCACCTGAGTGTGGATTGTTTAACTCAATGTTTCTCTTATTTTCTCCAAACAGCAACCGGAAGTATAACTACTGTATACGCTGTAGAGGCAGATGGTGACCCAAACACCAACTTTGACCCCAGTAAAGAGGCCGGTGATGTCCAGTATTTAATTAAGTGGAAGAATTGGGCTCATATTCACAACACCTGGGAGACAGAGGAGACGCTCAAGTTACAGAATGTGAAGGGCATGAAGAAACTGGATAATTTCAAGAAGAAGGACCAGGAGAAAAAGAAATGGTGAGTGATTGGTTATCAAAATACTTGAGTTTTCTGACTGTTTGGAAACTTCTTAGAGTTTTAGGGACACAGAAAAAACTGACAACAAAGCAGCCGGAAAGATGATGTAGACAAATATATTTGTGTCGGGATATCTTGAAACATCTGTGGACAGCTGTCCTCACCCACACTGTAGTCTTGAAGAAATTTTTCCATTTACATAAAAATTACATCATAAAAATTCTGTGATGATACTGGCTTTGCAATGTCTGATAAATCCTGCCATGTCTGTTATTTATAGCCCTGCAATATCCTGTAGTGTTCTACAGCCTGAGCTTTATGGCGTGCCTTGCCTTCTATATGTTGTATCAAGTATATTAATAACTATGCACATGGTGCAGCCGAATTCCAACACAAAGCTGCACCACGAGACCTTCTCTGTGCCAGCAAACAGTGACACTTTTTTGGAGGGCAGGGATTAGCTGAAGGCAGAATAATCCTCGACATGTTAACCAGAATCAGCCAGCAAGTTGTTCTTGGCTTCTTTTCAAGTCTCTCTGAGTATGTGTCACTTAGGAATGCAGGATAGTATAGGTAAAGTATCAGTGGCAGCAGGACATACATGTAAAGTTAATTATTGGTCTCGGCAGATATAAACATTTCGAACTATATAATTACCAGTTAAACAAGTGATACAAAATCTGCTCCTCATGACAGCTTACGCATGCCATCGTGTATGGCATAAATACATTACATACATGACTGCATGTAAGAATTTTGAGATGTCGTAACCAAACCGCAGACGCATTACCAACTGTCTTTAAATGTAGAGAATGCATTGATCATTTATAGTACAGTCAGATATGTCTGTTCCTCGAACAAGTGGATTTCCACAGCAAGAGTGACTGCTTATTTCTGTTAGAGACTTGGTGTTCTTACAATGGTGTGCAGATATTAGGGCTTTCAAAAAAATCAGCTATGAGCAAATAGCAAACATCTTCAGTGGTGCCTCCGCCTCACGTGCGTGGCAAGCCGTCAGGTGAGCCTGCAAATATGTTGTTACTGATATCAGACAGCTTCTTTGTACAAAGTAAACATACAGCCCAGTCTCTGTCTTTTATTTTTCCTTCTAGGGTGTAGATCCCAGAATACTTCCACACAGCACTTCTCAGATGTTTCAGTGTTGGCTTGTCCACTCAGTGAAGCTTTACTTGACCATGTCTTCCATTCTTGTAGAATAACGTCACTGTATTAGTTTACTGAGGTCAAGCATGCATAGATTGGCTGGGTTACCGTGACAGTGCCCTCAGCAACTTCAAGTGACCTGATGCGCTGGTATACTGTATTATTATGAATTCAAATTTCTGATAATGAACTTTTACGCCAAAGTACTTAAGGTTCAAACTTTGAATATAAAGTGACAGCCTGAGCATGTATTGGTATCAGTTTCAGCTAATCTGAGTTTGAAAATATCAATGTATCATATTTTGGCAAGAAGTCGATATTTTCCAACCCCAACGTGACAGACTGAGGCAGACTGGTTAACTAGTACACTACCGCTTTGCACGGGAATGATTGACAGGACTGCCAAAAGTGGAATTGAGAAATTTACTCTAGCCTCATGAAAAACCCAAGCATATATAGTATAGAGACAAACTGAGAGCATATAAGTTTTTCTTTTTTATGTCTTTGAATTTGCGGTCGATTAGTGTGGTAGTCATACAAAGGAGAATGGCGAATAAAAAGCTCTCATCATTTAAAAAAAAAGAAACAACCTTTATCCAGCCAAATTATATAATAGTTTTGATACTTCATGACCTTATGTGGGACTGAACAACACAGTAAGACGACATCTCAAGAATACCTTATCACCTTTTACCCTGCAGTGGTGATTGTTTTCCTCCAGTTTTGCTTTTTTCTGCCAACAACTAATATCACAACATCACTGGCTAGAAGTCCTGCAGATATCACAATGTCCACATGTATTGACAGATAAACTCACACACAATTAAAGACAGTGATGAGAGGCATATAAGGGTCTATATAAATGATCAGCAGAGGGTAATGGCAGAGTCTACAGTCAGTTGGTCTGTTAGTACTGAAACAACTAAAAACACCACTGTAGACTGAGCTGAGTTAGACATAGATAGCTTGTAGGGTGGCAATGACAGACAATGTTAGATGCAGCTACTCAGCTGAAGCTGAAACTGCGTGTTTTTGAACACGATGTAAGTCCTGGTGGAGGTACAGAGTTTAAATGTATTTCATATATGACTGAATCTCATAATCAGGTGCAGCGTACAGTCCAGATTTCACATTAGTTTAGCAGGATCATTATGTTTTCGTAGAGATGTTATCATAACATTTATGAAGGATTTTTAATAGTCTACTTTCTGATATTTAAGTTACATTTGAAATTTCCCCAACAACTCTTTAAAAATGTTGGGTTTTCATGCATCAGGCAAGTGTTTCAGGAGTGTTTCTTACTTTCTAAAATTTTCCTTCCCCAGGTTAAAGGCAGCTTCACCGGAGGATATTGAGTATTTCAACTGTCAGGAAGAACTGATGGACGACCTGCACTCTCAGTACCAGCTTGTAGAGAGAATAATTGGTGAGTTTTGATGCTGCATTAAAGCATTAAATACAGTATAGGCAGTATGAAGAGTTTGTGTGACTGAACGCTTCTCTCTGATTTCTCTTTGAACAGGACATTCAAACCAGAAGTCAGTGGCTGGTTACCCAGATTACCTGTGTAAGTGGCAGGGCTTACCCTATTCAGAGTGCAGCTGGGAGGACGGAGCTCTGATTGCCAAAAAGTTCCAGAAATGCATCGACGACTACATGTGCAGAAATCAGTCTAAGACCATTCCATTCAGAGACTGCAAGGTAAATAAAGCCAGGGTTCAAACTGTCAGCAGATAGTCAGTGTTCATGGCTGAATGGTGAGATATCTGCTTCCAGTTTGATTCTGAGATCGACCACAGAGTTTTAAATCACAGTTCTGAAAGAGAATTGTCCTGATTCAGTGCCGTGGTGGTTTTTTAAATGTATGTAGCAAAAACCAGTGAAACCAAAAGTTAGAGTTTTACAAAAAAAAGTTTAACTATAAGTAGCAAAACAAACAATCAACATTTTGATCAAAAATGGATCAGATTCTTGAAACGTAAGCAAAAGGTTTTAGCCCTTAAAGGTGTTGATTACCGTCTGGTGACTAATTGCAGGACCTCAAGACTTTGACAGATCAGCTGTTGGCCACTTAAAGTCACGTGTCTGCCATGACTTCACTCACTGCAGTGCAGGAAGGAGTGGTGTTGATGTTGGGGTGCTCTGCATTTTAACTGAATATTGCACTCAAGGTGTATTTGGAGGCCGTCAAACCGAAACTAACATAACAGAGTTAGCCTGTTTGAACACAAATGTGCCTCGGTCAAATGAGGTGAGTCACCTCTAGGGCACTCACAATCAGAGGTATGTAGAGAAACCAGTCAAGACAAGTCCAGTAAGCTGTATATGTATAACACAATTTTGAAATTATCAATGCTGATCAGAGCGCTTTGCACAAGAAACGGTAGCAACAATTAACGACACATCAGACTTTTTGAGCAATTAAACAAGTACAGGTAATGATGAGGGGAAGGCTGGAAGAAGCAGTAGATCGTCAAGAATGATTTAAAACATTTAATCAATAGTTTGGTTTAAAAGCTTTTAATGACAGAATATCTTCCTGTTCTTGTACTTCTGTGTCTCTTTTGTACAAACCAAATGTTATTTCAATGAAGTGAACTTTCACCCTGCAGCCGACCTGTCTCCCTCTCTCACTCCGTAACAAAACTCAGTCATCCAACCAACAAACCTGCAACCCGCTGAGGGGTTGAACGCATCCCTCATGAGCTCCCGTTTCTTTCTTGTAGGTGCTGAAGCAGAGACCGAGGTTTGTACCCATGAAGAAGCAGCCATCTTACATCGGAGGAGACGGACTGGAGCTCCGAGACTATCAGCTGGACAGTTTAAACTGGATGGCTCACTCCTGGTGCAAGTAAGAGCCCGGCAGTCCTAAAATCTTCCCCTCTCATCTTCTACAAGTCCTGACACCTTATAATCAAATGCATTACATCTGTTGGTGACAATCTAACCCACCTCTCCTCCCACAGAGGTAACAGTTGCATCCTCGCTGATGAGATGGGTTTGGGAAAGACCATCCAGACCATCTGCTTCCTGAATTACATGTTCAATGATCACCAGCTGTATGGACCCTTCCTGCTGGTTGTACCTCTGTCCACACTCACCTCTTGGCAAAGAGAGATCCAGCTGTGGGCCCCTCAGATGAACGTTGTCGTTTATCTTGGAGACATCAGCAGCAGGAACATGGTACAGTGGCTTAGATGCAGGTTTTACACCAAAAAGAAAATGCATTTCTACTTTATGTTAAAGTCACGTCTGTAATCAAAAGATGTGCCGGATGGATACAAGTGTAAAGAACTTCATTTGTTTGTGTTGACCTTTTAAATTTTGTGTTTCCTGTCAACAGATCAGGACATATGAGTGGATGCACGCCCATAACAAGAGACTGAAATTTAACATTCTCCTCACAACATATGAGATCCTCCTGAAAGACAAGGTCAGTAGCTGCTTCACTTCATTATGGATAAATATGTGCAACAAATCTGAAGTGGTGAAAATGCTGTAATTTTAGTTGATGAAAAAGCATTAATGAATTTTCATCTGCAGTCGTTTCTAGGAAATGTTAGCTGGGCTTTCATTGGTGTGGACGAGGCGCACAGGCTAAAGAACGACGACTCCCTCCTCTACAAGACCATGATCGACTTCAAGTCCAACCACAGGCTGCTGATCACAGGAACGCCTCTGCAGAACTCTCTGAAAGAGCTCTGGTCCCTGCTGCACTTCATCATGCCTGAAAAGTAGGTCATCAACTGGTACATATAAAGACTGACTTCTGCAGAGATGTAGAAGTCCTCTCTGGTGTACTCATTTCTGTGATCATTCAAATAAAGTTACGTATAAGTTGCGGGAAAAGCTGTCAGCTGATAAAGATTACAATAGGAGATACATAGGAGGAAACCAGATTATCATTGTATAATGATGCAGAAAAATCACTGTTTCAGGACATCTGAAGGCTGAAATCTGATGATATTATGATCATATATCTGTATTAAAGCTGTCTCACCGGTATAAATAATAACTGTCTTTCTGAAAAATGAAATGTATATTCAGCATCCCGCTGTGAGATGATTTAACACTTTTAAAAGCTGACATTCAAAGATTTATCATGAATTCAAAAACAGCAATACACTTTCTGTCTCTGAGCCATTAATCAAAGATTTATACCGTTAACAGATCTTCTAATTTTATTTAGATCTGAAACTTAGAATCTGCAGGAAGTATCTTATAATTTAAGATTGAAAGGTTGTTTTACCACGCTGGGAATCAGGCAAAGTAACGACAAGACAGGGGAGAAAATATCAAAACAAAAGCAGGACATACAGTTGTTTTTTAGGAAATGTCCTCTGCAAAAAAATTTCAGTCAAATGTGGTTAAATTATAAATTTGAACATTAACAGAGGCAGATGATGACATATAGGGTTACTGTATTTATTAGAAAACTTTATGAAGTCATGTTGCTCCACTAATGTCTTGATCGTTTGTGATCTTTTAATTTTAAGTTTTAGGTGTGTCACAGAAATTAATCACATGCTGCATCATGATTTTGTTATTAATAAATCTTTTACCATTTTTGTTCGTGCACAAAATCTAACGAAGTATTTCAGTCATACAAAACTGCTTATTTACTGTGAAAGGACAACAAAATCTGCATTGCCAATATAACTGGAACTATTTAAAATATAACTTAATCTCATGTGAAGTGATTTGAAGGAGATGAATATTATCTGCTTAATGTCATTGAATATATATATAATGTTGTCTTTTTGACTTACTTTGACGTGCTTGACTTACTGAAGCTTACATGACAAACACGCCTTTCTCAGAGAAAATGTTGAGTCTTACTTGTATTTTACTACAGATCTCTTCATCCCTGCTGACGTGTGTCCCTTTTTTAAGGTTTCACTCCTGGGAGATATTTGAGGAGGAGCACGGTAAAGGCAGAGACTCGGGCTACACCAGTCTGCACAAGGAGCTGGAACCTTTTCTGTTGCGCCGAGTGAAAAAAGACGTGGAGAAATCACTTCCTGCCAAAGTGGAGCAGATCCTCCGAGTAGAGATGAGCGCTATCCAGAAACAGTATTACAAGTAAGACTGTTACGCCACCTTAAATTGAAGATAACTTTAAGACATTTGTGGCCTTATCATCATAGAACTCAAAAATGTATCCCCTAAAGCTTGAAATACTGTTAAAACCATCAATAATTTACCTTTTTTTTCACCTGAAAGTGGTCCTTTAAAACTCGCCTGTTTAAGAGTGTCCTGACAGTACTGTTCACCTGTGTTTGTTCAGATGGATCCTGACCAGAAACTACAAAGCTCTGAGTAAAGGTACTAAAGGCAGCACATCAGGCTTTCTGAACATCATGATGGAGCTGAAGAAATGCTGTAACCACTGTTACCTGATCAAGCCTCCAGAGGACAACGAGTTCCTCAACAGAGCCGAAGCCTTACAAGTGAGTTAATTTTTGTGAGGTGTTCAAGGGCAGTTGGGTAAAAAGAGAATTCGGCTAAAGTAGATGGTACATTATCATGATGTGTTCGAATGTCACATCAAGAAAAAGACTAAATGAATTTGGTGAAAAATCTATAAAAATACTATTTTACTATTTGTCCTTGTGAAGGCAGCTATTGAGTCATTATTTCTGACAGTTTCTATCTGTTTTCTCCAACAGCAACTGATCCGCAGCAGCGGGAAGCTGGTTCTGTTAGACAAACTGTTGGTGCGTTTAAAGGAGCGAGGACACCGAGTGTTAATCTTCTCCCAGATGGTACGAATGCTGGATATCCTGGCTGATTACCTGAGGAGTCGGCAGTTCCTCTTTCAGGTACGTACTCACTTCACTCGTGGTCATCAGGCATTCTGTATGAAAGCTAACTCAGACGTGCTGTTAATAGAAAACGGTCCGTATGAATGTTGTAAAACTGATTTTAAATGTTGTGAATTTCTCCAGAGATTAGACGGCTCCATCAAAGGAGAGATGAGGAAGCAGGCGTTGGATCATTTCAATGCAGAGGGCTCAGAGGTGAGTTAAACGCCCTGACTTCTCTGAATGCAGCTTCATTTGGATAAACAAAGACATGTACTGGAGTCTTCTTTTATGCTCTTAGGATTTCTGCTTCCTGTTATCGACTCGTGCTGGTGGTCTGGGAATCAACCTGGCCTCGGCTGACACGGTCGTCATCTTTGACTCAGACTGGAACCCTCAGAACGACCTGCAGGCTCAGGCCAGAGCGCACAGGATCGGACAGAAGAGACAGGTGAGAAACCTTTATCTTAAGACCAGTGATCTAGTTCTTTGTTGGATGAAAACCTCGTCTTTCATGTTTTGAAAGCAGCATTTAAAGCTTTTTCATCAACTCATATAAATGAAATGGAAGCAAAACAAGCAGAAAACTTTTATTTATATGGAGGCCTTTTTTTTCAGAAAGCTATTCTATAGCATTACTTTTTTATGCTCAAACATGTTTGAGGCGTTTTACTGCCACTGCGGATGCAAATTTTTTCTACCTGGTGCCACAAGATCGCACAAGGGGCAAGTTAGACAAGATTTCTTTTGAAGGCGGTAAGCTGTTGCACTAGAGCAGAGCACTGTTTTCCAGTGTAACACAGTGTGAAGATACTGCAAAACTGCCTGATAAGAAATAAAGTTTCCTGCAGAGAATATCCTGCTTGTTTATGCTGCAGGCGAGGGCGTCCTTACCCACTGAACAGTTGTGTCTGAAATAATACACAGAGCTTTCCATGCACTCCAACCTGCAGAGCGTTTTAGACAGCTGTCTGTCTCTGTTCGTCTGTTAGTTAGTCTTTTACAGACACCCTGGGTGTATTTCACACATTGACAGGCCTCATTGTTATACAGAGCAACATCTGATCAAATGTCTGTTTTTATTTCACATCTTCACCTCCATCCATATTCACGCTGACTCTGTCTATCACTGTCGCAGTCCTTGTTTACATGCCTCTGTTAGGGTGCAGTACATTTTGATTATTGATGTAATAAATTTGGATGTGTTGATATTCAGAAAACTCGTCTTCTTGTGAGCTCTTGTTGGGCTCCTTTTGCACATCTCTTCTGTAAGGCGGAGACGTCATATATCCAACACCACTACTTAACAGAAAGTAAAAATACTTTGTCACATAGTTGAACATGACATTCAACCAAAAGCTGTTGTAAATATTTCTCCATTGTTAAATGTCGAAGAGCATCTCGGCAACAGGTGTGAAGGAGGCCAGGATGGTGGTTGTGACATGGCTTTTTTCCATCCAGTGTACTTTCTCTATATAATTTCTGATGGTTCGATGGTGCTGTGTCATCCCCTGTATGTTTTCTTGAGCTGACCAGCTCTCATCAGATTATTGAATTAATGCAGTCTCTTAGGTTTCATATATCCAGACATATTTTGGTGCCTGTAAACACATCAGCCAAAACTTGTCAGTGTGCAGGAGCTCCTTTATACTCTCCTGCTGACAGGCATAAATCTTTTAAGTAGTTTGATGTAATGCATTTCAAATTGTACCACAGAAAATGAACATTTGGCTTCTCCTTATCCTTTTCCTCTCCCTGTTTCAGTTATTACCTCGTTGACCTGATGAATGTTGAGGTTAAAAGGTTAATGTTCAGAGTAAACAAATGATGGTTATTAACAGTGTTTCTAATCCTTCAGGTGAATATCTACCGTCTTGTGACAAAGGGCTCAGTGGAGGAGGACATCATCGAGAGAGCAAAGAAGAAGATGGTGCTGGACCACCTCGTTATTCAGAGGATGGACACTACAGGAAAAACTGTCCTGCACACTGGTGCTGCCCCCTCCAGGCAAGAAATAAGAAACACGTTCAGCCGTTTTCTGCTGATTCTCTCCTTTCTGCCTTCCTTTTTCAGCCAAACTTTTTTATGTTTGTTGATAAATCAGTTGCTGTTAATTTTTGAAAAGGCTTTGTATTCCTTATAAAGTTGTTATTCTGTTCTTTCAAAAACAGTTCAGCGCCGTTCAACAAAGAGGAGCTGTCGGCCATCCTGAAATTTGGTGCTGAGGAGCTTTTCAAAGAGCAGGAGGGAGAGGAGCAGGAGCCTCAGGTACGCACTGAAACTCAGAACCTGTTGTTTTATATTGATATAGGAAATGCTTTAGAGTTGTTTTTCATGATTTGCTCTGTTCTGTAGGAAATGGACATTGACGAGATCCTCAAGAGAGCAGAGACGAGAGAAAACGACCCCGGACCATCCACAGTGGGAGAGGAGCTTCTGTCTCAGTTTAAGGTAAAAAAATATATATAAAAATAAATCTTTACTAATACTAACATATTTCTGTGTGATTTATAAAAAAAAATGAGAGACCCTTAAAGCCCTACAGTGTAAAGTCAACAAACAAAGAAACAGAGTCCATACAACTGCACTCCTGTTATATGACAAAACACAAATGGAGGCAGCTGGGGCAAAAACCCTGAAGGGAGGGGCTGTGAACGGCACCAAATTTAAAAAAACAACTAAAAAGTTAAACTTCTCTCCACCTCAAGACCCTTTCTTACTAGAAATGAAGGAAAATAAACCCTCCCTTTTGAACCTAACTTGCCTGAACTGAGATAAATACATCAGTGGCAACCACTCATAAACCACTGAGAAAAACTACAAAAGTAAACAACTTCAACACAAAATGAAAGTCAGAAAAACAATTAAAGCCTGGTGCCCAAAACCCCAACAGAGCGTGACAACTGCCTCAAACCTAGAAGGTGAGAATAAATTACACAAGGTTACCAGATCAGTTACAGAGTTACCAAAACAAGAGGCGCTAAACACAAGTTTCATAAATATGAACCAGATCCCTACAGATGCAGCAGCTGCTCCTCCTGGGGGTCCACATCAAACAAACATCACATTAAAAATGTACATTTAAAAAAGAAACACTCAACCTGCATTAAAAAAATACACAGAAATATGCACAGAAGCATATCAAGACTTGTACAGTACATTTAGCTTCATGTACAAATCTTGACAACACAATAATAACTAGAAAATATAGAATTTATGACCATAACATACCAGAAAAAAACCCTAAGACAATTTCACAGTGTTATTTGCTTTCTTATACCCTTTGAAAATGATCTCTCAACACATCTTTTTGAAGTGATTTATGCTCAGACATTCCTCGGTCTCAATGTCCAAACTGTGCCAAGGCATTACTCCATATTCAGAAAAACGAACATCTCATTGTGACTGATACAGATAACTTAAACTGCAGAACCAAAGTGTTATGTTACTGGTTCCAGCAAGAAAAGTAATCCAAGTACTTCATTACTCCCATCACTGGTTGCCATCAAGGTCATACATAAAGCTTTTTTGTGACCCGTGCAGGTCGCCAACTTCTCCATGATGGAGGAAGAGGAGATTGACATCGACTCTGAGCGCAGTCAGAGGAGCTGGGACGACATCATTCCTGAGGAGCAGAGAAGGAGGATGGAGGAAGAGGAGCGGCAGAAGGAGCTGGAGGAAATCTACTTGCTGCCTCGTATGAGGAACTGTGCCAAACAGGTACACAAGCACACCTGCGCACCAGCTATGACAGGGACTCTTGAATCCCTTATTTTGTAAATGTTATTGTTCTCAATTATGTCGCTGATGATTTTGTTCTTTGGTTTGTGTTTCAGATAAGCTTTAACTCCGGCGGGGGTCGGCAGAGCAGGAACAGACGGTACTCCGGCTCGGACAGCGACTCGCCCTCAGACAGGAAGAGGCCAAAGAAACGAGGACGACCACGGACCATTCCACGTGAAAACATCAAGGGCTTCACTGACGCTGAGATCAGAAGGTGACATGAACAACCATCTCATCTGCCAATCATCTTCTCGTTACTTGCTCCTCTTAACATCTCTGTGAAAATTTACAGGTTTGTCAAGAGTTACAAAAAGTTTGGAGGACCACTGGAGAGGTAAGCTGGTTTCCAGACTTTTCTCAAAGAAGCAAAATTGTTTCACGCAGCTCTTTAAACTTGACCTCTCCACTCAGGTTGGATGCTATTGCTCGTGACGCTGAGCTCGTTGATAAGTCTGAACATGACCTCAAACGTTTGGCCGACACGCTTCATAATGGCTGTGTGAGGACACTACGAGAAAACCCCTGTGGACCAGAGAAGACCTCAGGTAAACACAGAACTTATTCCATTATATAATGTAGAGTTTAGTTTATTTGTTCTTACTGGTAGTTTAAGGATTTCAATTTGAAGTGTTATTGTGAACAGGTTTATTCTGGGGGTGGTTGAAATTAGATTATTCTCTCACTGGCCCATACTCATAGTTTTGCATCTTGGGCAGTAACAGTCAAAAGTTTTTTCTCAAAGATGAAGAACTTCGTACATAACTGGGATGGTTATGATTAAAGCTTGGGCCAAGATGCTAAAGTCTCACTAACAATATAGCCACTGAAGGGAGACCTCCCATACTCATTTCTTCTGTCAGTCTGGGACATCTGTGAAGAAGTTTTGAATGAATTGGAGCCCAAAAACCTCCATATTTATCATAAACCGACATCCATGAAAACCTTCAACGATTCAGCCTCCACACTTCCAGAGCTTATGGGTGTTATTTTTTACACAGCGTTGTGGTCATGAAACAATCTGAAATAGTTCTTGTGAATTGCACCAGCTCCATTGTTGGTTTGTGAACTTTTATTCCATTACCCTGTTTCAATGTTCCTTCCAGCTCCTCTTCCTTACTTCTGTTCTCCAGCTCAGACGTTGTATTTTAAATAGCTTAAATAGCCACAAAACAGCCTCAAAGTTATGCCCTACCAAAAAAAACATCTGAGCCCATTAGGTTCCTCTTTATACATTAGCTGTATTTCCATCACATGCTGTTGAAATGTTCTTCCAGCTTATGGCTCTGAGCTTCATGAAGGTCTTTATAGATGAACTGCTCCTGGTTTTAGGAACAGCTGAGACCCAAATCCAGCTCGTACTGACCTTTGTTTACAAAAGGAGCCATCAGTGAAGCGGAGAACACAAACAGCTACGTAGTCTTCTGAAAACATACAAACTTTCCACTTTCGACGTCAGGTTTAGGCCAAGTCTTGCAAAGCCCTTAAAAATGGGCTTTTCAGGGAACCTATGAAACATGACCAGGGATTACACCAAAATCTCCAAATCCATGAACCCATGCCAAGGTTTAGAGAGGACATCTTTTATTGTCAAATTATATCTCATAAGTTTGATTTGATCACCAGGCGGCAGGAGAGGGAAGGTAAAAGGTCCCACGTTCAGGATCTCTGGAGTCCAGGTGAATGCCAAGCTTGTGATCTCCCACGAAGAAGAGCTGGCTCCACTTCACAAAGCCATTCCTGCTGACCCCGAGGAGAGGAAGAAGTAATACTCCTCATCACTTCATATCTGTGTACTGTGACAGAATCTGTGTGTAAGCCTGTGTGTTAATCATGAGTGTCTGAACAGGTATATGATTCCGTGCCACTCGAAGGCAGCGCACTTTGACATTGAGTGGGGGAAGGAGGATGACTCCAGTCTCCTCATTGGAATCTATGAATACGGATACGGCAGCTGGGAGATGATCAAGATGGACCCTGACCTCAATCTCACGCATAAGGTGAGAAAAGCAAATGTTTCTGAACTGCGTCTGCTGGTATCCAGAGTCTTTGTTATGAATCTTACACAATACGATAGAGTCTTTAGCAGATTTTAAAGAAGTCCTCAAATGTCTTTAATTTGGCTTTTAGACTTATGATCCTAAAATTTCTTGAAATCCTGGAATTGTGAAAGAAGAGACAATCTCTCTGCATAAACAAAGCATTTAGTCCCGCTGCCTGCAGTGTGTGAAAGCCATTTGGGTTTACTCATAAACTGCAATGACATCAAACTCAAAATCTAGACGTCACTTCTCTTGGTGTTTTTTTTATCCCTTTGAAACACTCTATAGTTAAAACAGAGCTCCTGCAGCTATGATGGCAAATTATAACACTGCTGCACTTTTTAACGGTACATTTCACTTTAAATGGACCAGAAAACTGAACAATAAAAGGTTGAGCTGTTTGTTGGAGATGATGACCGTCTTAAACTGCTTCATTGAGAGACTCAGTGGGTTTTAAAATTCAATGCCATTGCTCATTCAGGTCCTCATGAAGAGATAGACTAAAGCCTTTCCAATGAATAAATAAAGAAATACAAATACATATATAAAAACAGATTAATACATTTTATTTCTCTTTTTTATTCCCATTAATCATTTAGACATTGCTTTCTGTTGTATTTAGTATGACGTGATTATTACCTTTCAAATCTTTACGACATTGTTGTTTATACTGACAGTTTACATGATGTTTAGTTTCTATCTTGTAATTGCTTTGTAAACATGTGGTCTGCATGCCATAGTAATTCTCAGTCATTGGGCCACGTGATGATATAAACACTCAAATACTGTGTCTGTTGAACTTACCACGCCCTGATTAAGACTGCGCTGAGCGATTAAAGGCTTTTTAACCTCATCTTTGACTCAAGCAAGTGGGCCTGAAGACAACCCTGGGGGCTTCCATCCTTTTGTTTGGACTAGAAAACTCTTTGAAATACAGAAAAATATTATTTTAAACCTGCAATTAAAAAGGTGATTAACTGGGATTCTGACAAAATGTTTCACAGCTTTATTCAAAGGTTATTACTTCCCTCAGGAAATGTGCAGAGACCCCATTGTGTATGTTTTCATTGACTCAAATAAAGTACATAATGTTTGCTGAGGTTGATTTAATTTTGAGGTGACAAAGTGATTCAAGATAGTCCAAAAAATAAATCCAAAATAAGCAAAAATATCTAATCTAAGTGCTGACAGACAGTTTCTAAAGTCCCTGCTTGGTCAGTAATGATTTATCTGTCTGCTGTTGATCAGCTCCTACCAGATGACCCCGACAAGAAGCCTCAGGCCAAACAGCTGCAGACGCGAGCAGACTACCTCATCAAGCTGCTGAGCAAAGACCTGGCCAAGCGAGAAGCACAGAAACAAGCTGGAACGGTAAATCTCAGTCACTCAAATCCTGTATGTTCCCCGTCTGTCTAAGGAAGGTTTCACATGCATGTCTAACACCGTCACTGTCCATGTTTTCAGGCTAATTCACGGAAGAGGAAACCAAGAAGTAAAAAGAGCAAAACGCTGAAGCCAGTGAAGTCCGATGAGGTGATGAAGAGCACATCCTCAGAGCCCTCGCCAGACAAGAGATCCGACGACGAGGATGAAGTAGAGGAAGAAAAGGTACGTTCACAAACCACCAGGACTGTTTTTTTCTGCTGTCACATCAGTGTTTTCTGTCGTCATGACTCTGATGTTGTACTTTTAACTTTTCAGGCTGTGGTTCCTGTAAAGCCGCTGAACAGGCGGGGCCGAGCTGACAGGGTGGTAGTCAAGGAGGAGGAAGACGAGGAGGATGAGGACGAAGACAACGACGATGATGATGACGAGGAGCCTGAGGAGGAGGAGCATTCATCATCCGGGGAGAGGGAGGTCAAAGGAAAGGAGATCAAAAAAGAGGTCAAAAAGGAGAAGAAGGAGGAGACTTGGGACACTAAGGAGAAGGAGCCAAAAGAGAGGAAAGACATGAAACCTCTGGAGGCGACACACAAACAAGAGGAGAGCACAGAGAAGGTAAAATAACGACTCCACATCAGATATACGTTTAATCACACGTTTACAGAGAATGCTGCAAAAGTCTGAGTTTAAATGAAAACAAGAAGATTTCACTTCATTCTTGATGGTTTTCCAGCAGAATGAGATAAAGACTGAGGTACGAGAGCGGACAAAGAAAGCCTCTGATGTCCCGGTTCATATAACGGCCAGTGGAGAGAACATCCCAATATCTGAGGAGTCTGAAGAACTGGACCAGAAGACCTTTAGTGTGGTATGTTTGCTACAGACAGATCCGGTATTTACTAAGTTCAATGACATGAAAGTGTTCTGGACAGAGATCAGAACCCGGGTCATTTAAAAAGTAAATCAGCACAATTTAACCAGATCAGAATCGATGTGGGTGCTTTTTGCTCGTCACAATGAGCTGGTATTCCTGCTTTTTTTCTAATGCTATATTTGTTCGGGTTTTCAGTGTAAAGAGAGGATGAGACCGGTGAAAGCAGCTCTGAAGCAGCTGGACAGACCGGAGAAAGGGCTGTCTGAGCGGGAGCAGCTGGAACACACCAGGCAGTGCCTCATAAAGATCGGAGACCACATCACCGAGTGTCTGAAGGAGTACTCGAACCCCGACCTCATCAAACAGTGGAGAAAGTTAGTACACACTCTGTCACATTTCTATGATTAAGACGAGCTCCAAAGTGGATCATCTCTCAATGATGTTTAGATCCAAAGAAATATTTACTGTAAACTCATGAAACTGTTCTGTCGACATTACTTACAACCATTTAGTTCCAACCAAAGTTTACCTTTATCTCCAGAACAAAGAACAAGACCCCCTCAACAGGAAAAAAAAAGGCTTTGGATTGGTGTTACAGCGCTATATTCTTCATGCTTGTGATATAAATGTAGCAGACACAGAGCTGCTCCAGCCCTCAGCTTATCAGTATCATGCACTGCTCACACTAAGGTCTGAACGGTCTGATATGTTATCGGGCACATTGAAATAAAAATAAGACTGCTTCTGGACGGCCACACAGCGAGCATGCATGTTGTGCAGTCAGCTTTGGAAAGGTCATAACCCCCTCACTCTAACCAAACCAGACCACATGGGAGAAATTATTATCACAGTGGAGATTAATTTTTTTAAGACCTGATGAACGCGATCAGTCTTTTTGATTTAGTATTTTTACAAGAATGCATTTACAGGTTGGTCCATTTTTGAAGACGAGGGGCGAGTTTAGTGTTAAGCTTTAGTTTTGTTTTTTAACTTTGTGAATAAATAAATAAATCATCTCAATTTAATAACTGAAAAAACATTGAAACTGGCGCTTTAAATAAGCTTCTTCTGACTCACTTTGCGCCTTGAAGAGTTTTGAAAAAAAAGTTTTCAAAAAATCTTAATAAATGTTTGATTACTTGCAACATCTGTACTTAAAAAACTGACTAATAAAATCTGGTTTCACCGAACAGTTCCTCAACATTTTATAAAAATGGATTTAACTAAAAATGTGACCAAATTTTACTCTTGTATTTTAGTTCTTAAACAACATATTTCAATACCTTTCTCCTCTTATGTTGTCCTTAAAAAAACAGCAGTCCTGATTTTTGTTTAGGTTAAAAGGAGAAAATCTGACAGTTACACTTTATTTGAAAATATTGATTGAATCGAGAGAGAATTAGAATTTAAAAACAGCAAATCAATCAAACAAGATACATTTCTAACAAAGGTGCAGCTCGTGTTCCTGGTCTTGAGTTTGTGTTTTTGTGTTCACCATGACTGATGACTCTTACAAACTGTACTCGGGCATAATAATCTTCCAGTCATCACTAGAAACTGAACCTGAGTCACTTTGTCACGTTGAATCTGGTTTGTTTTTGTTGATTTTGTCAATCTGATGTGTTTCTTGCAGAAATCTGTGGATTTTTGTCTCTAAATTCACTGAGTTTGACGCCAGGAAACTTCACAAACTGTACAAACATGCGATCAAGAAGAGACAAGAGAACGCAGCGGCCATGGAGCAGAACGCCAGAAATCTGAATACGCACGGTTATAAACACACAGGTACGCTTAGTGTCCACCTGAAGAACGTAAAGATTGAACACGAGGAAGTGCTCTCTGTCTAAACTCTCTTTTCCTCCTCAGACATCGAGAGGCTGAAGGACAACTCCCACCAGGACGAGAGCAGCAGAGACAGCTGCAGCTCAGACCGACACCAGCCGTCAAGTCGATACCACGAGAGCAGCAGCAGCAAAGAGAGACACTCATCAGAGTCTCACAGAAAGACATCAGGAGGAGGAGGCGGAGACTCGAGGAAGAGGCCTTACCCCTCCTTCAGTAACGGGAAAGAGCACCGAGATAGAGACCACTACAGACCGGACAGCCGGGACAGGGACAGAGACAGAGACCGGGACAGAGACCGAGACCGAGACAGAGACAGAGACAGAGACAGACAGGACAGGTGAGGAACTATCTCGTGTGATAAGTCTCAACTATTTCTATTCTTGATGACCACCTGCTGTTTTTATCCAGCATGCAGGAGCAGGAGGACTTCTAGATCTAGCTGTGAATGAATCCACATGCATTCCTTCAGCTGCTCGACTCACACCTACCCACTCACACCATTTCAGACGCAATAAAAATCTTGAACTTGGTATTAATGGGCTTCTTTGAAAAGATATCTGTGGATTTCAGTTGATTTTATGGGCGTAAAAAAACTCCTCAAACAAGCTTTTAGGGGGCATTTCTGGTGATGTGTTTATGGAACTTATTTGAATTTCTAAAACCAAATTAGACGCACCATGACATCAGGTCCAATGGTAAAAAGTCAAATAATAATAATACATTTTATTTGTATAGCGCTTTTTACACAAGTTCAAAGACACTTTACAGAAAGTTAAAAAACATAAAAATACAATGAGGCAAAGATCAAAAGTAACAAGCTAAAAATAAGATAAAATCGAATAAAAAGAATAAAAGTGGGAGGAGCAGATGTGAGGGGTGGGATAATGGTGAGTCAGGGGGGGTCAGGTAATAAAAGCGAGTGTGAAAAGGTGGGTTTTGAGGGCAGGTCGTGGAGGGACATCAACATTTAAAGGTCCAAAGACTCATTTCACATCACTGTTTATCTCTTAAAAATCTTGTCAAATCAGGATGGGTGTATTTTTCTTGAACTAAAATGTTTTTTTGTTTTTTTTATATTTCTTTAATGTGATAATTCACTGTCCTATAAAATAAAAGTCTGTAGTAATGGAGTAATCCGTAGACGTCAGGGACCATAACAGTTGAGAGCACGGTCATTCACAAGCATGAAATAACTTTGTTGTTCTGTCATAGCAGCTCATCTGTCACTGGAAAAGTCCTGGAAGTGGTCTCCAGAACACAGACCTTTTGAAGGTGTTTTGTGTTTAGTCTGTCTTTGTCTCACCTTGTTTGTTATTTCTCTTCACTCAGATACTTCAACGACAGTAAGCACAGGAAGCTGGAGGATTTCCGCTCAAGCAGAGACCACCGGCCGGACATGAAGGATCATTCCCACTCAGACCACCGCTCCTCCTACAGATACCACTCAGAGTGGCAGAGCGAGCAGCGAGCCTCGGCCAGCGGGCCGCGCTCCCCCCGAGACCAGCGCTCCCCTTACGACTCCCGCTCACCGTTGGGTCACCGCTCGCCCTTCGACTACTCGTCGGACCACAAGAGCACACCAGAGCAGATCTGGAGCAGCCGCAAGACATAACAGGAGCTGCGAGGTCTGCGTGTAGCAGCCATAGACTCACACACAGCGAGATGCCTTACAGGGACTGAACCTGCAGCTGTTTGAAGCAGCCGTCACGTCACGTGGGCGCGGCTCCTCCTCTGCAGCTGCGCTTCACCTTGGGAACCTGCAGGACGAGCGCCGGGGAGCGGCTCCACCAGGCAGCAGATTAAGAATCATATTTTTCTATTTAAGAGTTTAAAGCTGCGGTGTGCGGCGGCACGCGGCTCGATTTTTGTTATTTTTGTAAACTTTTTTTTAAACTCTGGACACAGTCGACCCTGAGTGCTGCCTCATATTCCCGTCAACCCCTCGACACTGGATCCTGTTTGACTGTTTCTCTATGTTGGTCTGTCTGTCTGTCTGTCCGTCTGTCTCTCTCATGCTACTTTATTTAAGTGTTAACTCAACGAGACGTCACAAGAATCACAGAACAGGTCGATGTAAAGGTGAAGCCACCTGAAGTACCTCATTTACAGCATTTCTCATTTCCTCGGCAGGTTTTCTGTTTCCACCTGGTGTGAATTATTTAATAACATATCTTTAGATGTAAAAAAATAACCTGGATTTTTTTAGAGCGACTTGTATCTTGTTTTTTTTTTCCTCCAATAATGCTGTTGTAAATTTTTGTAAAATAGTAAATCAGTGGTCTTTTTTCCTCAGGCTTTTGGGATTTATTATGACTCTACTTTTCCCCATCGACTCAGGCTTTTTCGTCGTTCTCCGAGTGAGTTTCTGTACTATAGATCTTTCGTTAAATGCTTTCAGAATGTAATTTTGGTAAAGGGAAAGTTCTTACTCAGTTTTTCTCACTAGTGCTTAGTTCTTTTGTCTCCATGTTGGAATCAATGAGAGGAGAGAAGCTAACTTTTTGAATCACCGTCTTTTCTTTAATAGAAGCACCTGTTAGATGGAAAACAGCTCTAGACTTTTTCTTTCTTCCTGATCTTTTCTTTATTTTCTACGTAGGCAATAATAATGTCAATGTTTCTATGCAGCCAAGTATATTTGTGGTGAACCAACCCAACTGAATGAAGTCACTGTTACGGTTCACACTGTTGTACATAAATTTCCTCTATATTTGAAAATGAATTTACACTGAAAGTGCATGAATTTTTATGAACTGTTTTATATAGTTGTTTATGAAGCCATTAAAATCAATCACTGTACTCACTCGTACCAACTCTCCTACACGCAGTGTCACGTTTTTCATTGAGGACGCCGTCCAGACGATTGCGATCTGGTTTTTTGAGGAGTGACTATTCGAATGAGGAGCGCTCGGTGTCCTAGTTTTCTACGAGTTTATATGATTTAAATTTATCACTATAAGGTGATGAGGAAACATGGCAACTATTTACATATACTCTCCATTTATAAAGCATCATAAGCACTTTATAAAGCGTTGTAATTACATTTATAACAGTCTTAAAAAGTGCACAAAGTTTACAAGTTAAACCAGGAGTTGAAGCATGTGTGACAAACTGAAATGTAGAACTTTGATAGAGTGAAAATCAAGCTTACAAAGAAAAATCTGTGCAAATGTTGAATCATACCAAGGTTGTGTAAAGTTGGTGCAAATGCAGGTATTATGAACAAGAATAGTGTGCATTTGCACCAACTTTACCTTCTTTCAAAACTTAATACAGCCTCTTTTCAACTCTTATTAAAACTTATTCTTCTGATTAAGCCTAGGTATGTCTGTAAATTAAAAAAAAAGGACTTGTGTAGCCTCAAAAAGAAAAATGTTTGCACCTTTAGCATAAAAAGATATCAGAGGCTTGACCTTAAAATTTTGATTCAGATTTTTTTGTCTTAAAACTTATATTTTAATAAATTTTCTGTCCCTACTTCTTAGAGAGCATCACATTACCACCACCTTTTACACTTTTCCTGACCCTGCAGGACGACTCAACAGGTGTGAGTCACCATCGCCTGCAGGTGTCGCCCTCACCTACAGCTTTCACGACCTTCAGCAGAATGATCTGATTCTGTAGCGGATGGTTTCTCCACCTTTTAGAAAAAAAAAAACACCACTGTACGCGTTTCTAAACTGGATTGTTATGTCTAAGTTTATCAAACACTCCTACCTGACAGGTTTATACATATCTAGCAGATTCTGGTAGTTGGGCAGACAGTTTGGCATCACATGATCGTTGTGCAGATTTGTAGCGAGCAGCACAAAATCATGCAGTTTGAATAAATGAATGAGAAAAGCAGATTGACTTGACTGATAGTTCAGAGATTTAAGTTTCATGTTTTTTTTATATGAGATAGGAGCAGAAGAAAAGAAAATCTGTGCGTGTTTTACTCTGTGGACTTCCAAGACTTTAATCAAAATGCTGAAATATTTTTGAAATGATCCAGTTTCTCCAGAAGAGCCTGTTCCCTTATCTTTGCTTAAGTCATGCAGACACGTGTTACTGTGTGAAACAGAACAGAAATGTCAAAAATCCTGCAGAGCAAACTGAACTAAAGTCGATTTTTAACATGTTATTAGATCACGATGCAGAACAACGGATTTTACAAAACAAACATGCAGAGAGAACCTGCAGGACCACTTTTGTCTAAGTGTTTAAGATCTGTTACTCAAAGAGGACACAGACATTTATATAAGAAAAGTTTAGATAATTCACATCCTACTGTTTTCAGAGCAGTTATCTTAAACTACAACCAGACAGAGATGAGAGAGAGCTCTTATCCTCTTTTTAGCCAAGAAGTTTTATTCTGTTCTTGAAGTGTTTCAGGACCAGCACTCAGATTTCTCTCCGCCCTCCAGAAGGTAAATGTTAATAAGTGAACCGACCTGAGGAGGAATGGCTTTAATAGACACGGTGACAGTCTACATTCAGATCATTTATCCTAAAAACAAGCATTTTTAAAGGCAACTGTAGTTCAGTAACAGAGTGAGAAGGCTGTAGACAGGTGGTCCTCTTCTTATGTGCTCTTCTTCTCCTCAAACATGATGTTCGCTGTGGCTCTCTTTGCTGTGGACACAAACACAAGAGAAAATATGACCCCTGATATCCACTCTCTGACGCTTCAAATACTCTGATCTTCTGTTTCAAACTATAGTAAGTTCTAGTAAGAAACCCCGACACCCTTGAAAACTAACAGTCCTCCCAATAAAATGTCTTAACATGAGATATTTCTCACTTAAAACTGATCAAATCTTCCCTCTGCTTCAGTCCTATTCAGATCTTAAACCCTAATTTTAGAGTTTTAACCCCTCAATTTCCAGATTATGTACAAAATAAGTAAATGTTTTTATAAAGGTGATGGAGGGACGCTGATAGCCCAGGGGTTGAGGTGCTCCATGTATTGGGGCTATAGTCGTTGTCGCAGCGCTCACTGGGTTGAGTACCAGCCTCGACCCTTTACTGCATTTCTTCCCTTTTTCTCTTCACCCCTCAATTTCTCTCTCTTCAGCTGTCCTTTCTAATAAAAGGCAAAAATGCCCCGAAATATAACTTGTAAAAAAGTTGTAAAAACTGAGGAAGAAAACTTTCTGTCTGATGAAGACAGAATGAGACACAAAAAAATTTGGTTTTGACTGATTTTTTTATGCAGCATCTAGTTAAAGACCAAGACTTTCAGCCTCAACAACTCATCACTGACGGAAGATTGTGATATAAATACAAACTGGCGCCATCTAGTGGAAGGTATTAAACGCTACTAATGTGGAGACTTGGATCTGAAGAATAAGAACAGAGTTGGTGGTTTATGCTGAAGTGGTGGGAGGATCAAAACTTGATGTTTTCTTTAAATAGATCTAAGATTTAAAAAAGTCTCCAGTGAAGAAATTAAAGTTCACTTTGACCTACACTAAGTGAGGTTGAACACCACACTGAACTGAGAAGAAGAAACTGCAGAAAAATCCGGCAGAAACCTATTTCTTCTCAAACTGATTGCTGATTGCTTCTTTCTTTCGGCTGATACTCATTTGGTAAGTTCAGGTTCAGGTGTTATTCACAGTAAAAACACAGACATGTCTCTGAACTCACCCTCGTCTTTAAACTTGTCTGCAGCTTCTGTGGCCTTGTTCTTGATGTTCTTCATGGCGTCGTCGATCTTGGCCTCGTTCTTGAGGAAAAACGGTCGGATGATGCGATTATAAATCTGAGCCGAGCCGTTGGAGGGAGTTGGGGCCATGCACCAGACCAGGAACGCACACTGAAAAATAGACAATAGATAATTTTATATCAGTGATTAGGAAGCAGAAAATTTCCACCATTTTTAGGTCAAACATAGAAGAGATTTTTAAAGAAAAGGATAAAACAGTTTTTGACACAATTTAGATCCTGATTTTCATCATAAGCTTAAAAAAAACAAAAGCAGGACAGATATTTGTCAGGCAGTTTCCTCCCCTCTGTTCTCTCTCTTTCTCTGCCTGTCAGCCTGGATTGAGGGTACAGAAAGCAGACATACTGTACATCCTGTACCTTTAAACAAACACTGACTCAGTGAATCACTGACAGCTGCAGACGCTCTCTGATAGAGTTTATCATCAGAGCCGAGAGCTCCACCCCTGCACACTGCTAACACACACTACTGCTTTGATAAGAGAGGGAACACAGGTGGGACACGCTGACTGAAATACACACAAACACACAAGGCAGGCAGGTGTGTGTTCACCTTTCCGATGTAGTAGAAGGGGAACCAGGAGAGGAAGATGTCAGCGAAGAACTCGGCCACGCTGAAGACCCCGTACACCACCCAGTACGTCAGCCACTTAGTGTCGTCCTCCTTGGTCGCGCTCTCTATGGCCTTAATCCTGCAGAGACACAGAAACAGAGCGTTAAAAACATCACCTGATCCAGAGTGTGGTCTCTACTTTATTTTTAGACTTCCATCTTTATATATTTTATACTCAGTGATCCTTTGTCCTGCTGCATCAGAGTCAAAATGTTCAGTCAGAGCCTTCAGACTGAACTGGTTAGACTGAAGTGACTTTGTGATCTGAGTCTTTTCACATGTTCACTGAGAGTTACATAATTAGACGACTTTTAAAGGAAACAATAACTAATTAAAACCTTCTCCTTAGAGCAACAGCTGACATGTTTCATTATCATTTAAGGAGATTTTTGTGGACTGAGGGAGTAAACCAGCTGAGAAGTAGGAGCAGCTTTCCTTCTTTACAGTCAGACGCCCCCTGTTGGTCATTTGGAAAAATGAGAGATTAATACATCCTGCACTGGCTTCACTTTCCAAACCAGGAGCCTTAATAGTCAGGCCCAGCCTAGGTGTCCACACTCAGGTGCACCACTGCTTTCCCATTATCACACCTCAAGCCTGTGAGGGATCTCTTACAGACTTCTGAGCCCTCTACGAACCTTTCTAGTGTGCACAAATGAATATTCTTGATCTATTCATTTAAGTTTTAATCAGCACATGATGGTTTTTTTGTCTGTGAGCATCATTAGCATCAGTAAAAAGCAGAAATCATGTATGTTTGCAGTGAACAAACTTAAAAAACAATCAATTCAACAATATGAAAGAAAGGACTGATACTCTTTGAGTTACTGGATCAAACAGGGGTTGAGGTTTAACATGAAGTCATGGTCTGCTAGCGTACAGAGGTGAGGAACAGTGTTTATTAGGTTGTCAGTACCGCTCTGCTCTCCTCCCCTCCTCTCATACTTGGCGACGAGGCTTCAAATTATCTGATGATGGCTTGTTGTCATGGTTGAAATTCCTGGTCCTAGCTAAATGTAGCTAGTACAGAGAATTATGGGTCCTTTTTTTCTTCTCTCCTTTCCTAAAGGATGGTGTGGTGTTTACTACACTAAAGGAGGTAATAAAGGTCACAGTGAAGCTCCTCTCCTTATCATTTTGAGGATTCAAACAGCTCTTATCATGGCTGACACTCAGACAGACTGAGGTTTACTCCTGATTTACAGTCTGTGTCATTATGCACAATCTAAATGAGTGAAATGACCTTTTGGCTCTGCAGGCTGCAGTCTGCTCATAGTGACATGACTCTTCCTAACAGCTGCACATTCCCGTCTCCTCTGAGAGTCTCTGAGTCTTTAGTCTAGCAGGTCTGAGGCCTCTGACTGTCTGACCTACTCATCCTCAGCACAGAGCGGCTCCACAGCCCCTCCTCTTGTTCTTCATGTATTATTAAAAAAACTGCACCGACTGCAACATGACACCACCCACACCTTCAACTCTGCGTCTGTGTTCACAGAAACACAACACAGACTTTAAGGCACAATAAGGCAAGAACAGTAAACAGGAACCAAACAGCAGCTGGACCCATCCCTCCACCTCAGAGCGCCCGGCACATGGATTTCACAGCAGGAGAGAAAGACAGCAGCTCTGTTTGTGAAACCATCAGGATCAGATGTGTGACCATGACTCATCACAACACGCTGAATCATCCAATCGTGATGCAGCGTGTTGTTATTCTGTCGTATGCATACAACGTAAATACGCAGAATGATTAAATCCTGCTGTTCACAATATTTAAAGGACGTTTATGATAGAAATGTATATAAAGAGATATAAATAATTTACAAATCATGTTTCAATGGTTGTTGGAGGCAGAAGTGTTTATCTGCAGAAACATAGTGAGGGGCAGTTTCCATTAAAGCTCTAAGTTTTGAAGTTTTGTCTACTTTTCAGTGTGGGCTCCAAAATCTATCAGCCACTCATTATTTTATCTACAGCAGCAATGAGCAACAGTGTGTATAACAGTTATCGAGCAGGGCTGTTACAATACACCAGTATTGATCATTAAAATGAAGAAAGACGAAAAACTGAATATACAAGAAATAAGCATATTAATATTTTATTGTTTTATGAATATTTAAATAAGCTACAAAGACCCAAACTGAATTTGTACCCGACTGTAAACATATATTTCTGCTGTAAGATTGGACCATAGACTGTATATATTATTCTATATAAAGTCTATAGATTGGACATTTGAACAGACCCCCCAGTGGACATTTTGGGAACTGCAGTTTGCGACATGAGATTTTTCTTTGTTTTCTGGCTCTGGATGTTCCTGTTGTGTTAATCCTCATTTTTGAGTATTAATAAAGCCGCTCTGTATCTGTCATGACTTTTCAAACTCTATCCAGAGCTGCAGAGGATATTTTCTGTTAAGGTAAGTGGTCAGAAAATGACTCTGAAACTGACATGGTTGTGGTTCACTTGATGGACTACCTCGACCACTGTACTCCAGCAGCAGCAGCAGCAAAGGTCTTTGTGGTTAATCTGCAGCTGTTACACAGTAGTCCCAAAGCTTTTATCCTTAGACATCCTCTGTGTTTGCTCTCATAAATTCAAATAACCACACCCACCTCCGCACACATCAGACTGATCAGGAAAAACTGGGTATTCTGTGTTCAAACAGGGAGAGTTCAGGCTCTCACAGGTCACAGTTGTATAATGTGAAATACCAGAGGAAGAAAATCACAATGCTGAGCTGTGGCCATATCAAGAGCTTAAATTAGGGACTACTCTTCATTTTTATTTGTGCTCTGACTGTATCACAGCCTGCAGACAGAGGGACTGCATGAAACTGCTGCTGTGTAGGAAGCCGGTAGAGAAAAAGTGGTGACATTTTACACAGGAAGCCTGTGTGGCACACTTTTAACCACAGAACGGGTGCACATTAGTGGTGCACATGCTCAGTCACAAGCTTACGTTGTACGATTTACAGCTATTTCTGCTTTGTGCTTTATAAACTGTCCACATGCACAATCAAATAATATAACATCTTAAAATCAAAACTCTTTGGGCTCCTTTAAGCGTTTTTTTCTCCCATCTGAAATTAGACTTAGACAAAGTAACTGCCTCAATATCCACACAGTTAAGTCACAATTAATAAGAAAAGAGTTATCGGTAAAAAAAAATGTATGTGTGAAATTTCATAATGCTACAAAAAGATTCAACAATTTCCTCTTTCAATATGAGCCCTAGTGAAATGTCTTTTCTTCACAGAACAGTAAACACGCATCACAATGCATACGCAACTACAAACTCATTTTGTCATAAGGTTGATAATAATGTGTACCATATCTGTATATTTTTTGTATTGTGAATGAATGTGAGATAGAAACAGTTTCAGAGATTTAGGCTGATGAACTTGTCAGCGCTGCTTGTAAAAATGTGTTGAAATGAAAATCTCAATGATCACGTTGAGATGTCTTTGTTGTTTTGTTTTCTCATTTTAAGTTGTTTCTCTTGAGCTCCCCAAAACTCAACTGGCAAGTCTCAGTTTCACTGTAGATAGTCATTTAAACTGAGGCTTCACTATTACTTACTGTTCATCTGTTTGTGGTGAGTCTCAGTTGCTGTGTAACAGACAGAGGATTCATTCTACCTTACTGTTTTAGCATTTCAGATGAATCAGTGTCCTTTTTGAAAGTATACCAAACAGTCTTCATTTAGCCCTCCTGCTCATCTGTTTATGGTGAGTCTCAGTTTCACTGTAAATAGTTTCCCACTGTCTTCACTCATCTTATTATTGATTTTTTTAACCCTTCATTAATATTTAATAACCATAGTCAAAGTGTGCATCACTCATTAACAAGATAATGATCCAAAGTCAGAAAAGGACAAGTCTGATTCAGTTCTTGTTTGACATGTTCTGCAACCCCTGATGACCTTCAAACTCTGTTTACTGGAGCAGTTCGTATCTCTACGTCATTGTTCCTTCATAAAGACAAGTCCAGACACCTGACACAAAGCAGGTTCGGGCTGCTCACCTCAGAGTCAGCAGTGGTATCACACCAAACTTCAAAGGGAGAGGCCGCACATAAAACTCTACAACTCTACAAGTACTGTGACACCTTAAAAATCTTTAAAAATCCAGAGTTTAGTAGGGTGATGTATAATCAGGTAACCCTGAGGGGATGACTGATTTCAGTGACAGGTGGGTGTGTCGTAACAGTTTTCCAGCTGTAGCCTCAGATAACCTCTAAACCTGATTCAGGATAAGTTGGAGTCAGCATTTCCAAAATGAAATCACTGAAGACTGTGTGCATATTTTATTCAGTCCACAAACTTTGCCTTGAAAGAAGATAACCAACCTGCTCTGACTATAAAACAGGATCACGCTGAAAACGGTCTGTGTGTGAGCCTACAAACTACAGGATGCAAATCTTGGGAGGTAAATTTATGCAAATGAGTTTGTCTGGGCTGTGAAATGAAGGGCTTTGTTGTAGGAACAGAGGGTGTTTTCTTTCATGGTCTACCATCTTACCTTCTTTCAACGCCATTCCACACACAAAGTCTGTCCTTCTTCCTTCTCACCTCCAGGTGAAAACAAAACTTTTCATTTTTGGTTCAATAACTGCCATGCTGTGTTTTACTCAGTATAGTCAAAATATTCTGAGTAGTTCTTGTATTTCTAGATGTCAAATTTCACAGATTCACAGATTTTGACCTCTGTTTAGTATAAAGTCCAGCAGGGGCTGTCTGATTGGAAGTCTAGGAGACAATGGTCCTACTTCTCATCTGATTTATTCCCTCAGTAAACGTTTGTCTTAATAAGTCTATAGTCTCAAATCTAGTTTTAAGTCTTCCTCAATACAACAGTGTTCTTAAGTAGATTATGAGGCCAAAGAGACTTAAAAGGGGGCGTGTCAAGTGTAACCAACAGTTAAAGATAATCAACTAATAATGATCAGTTTAACACAATCAGCTCAAAGCAAAGACTTCTGTTCTATATACTTATTAACAGTCTACTAATCAACCTGTGAAGGGACTGTGCATTCAGATCAAAAGAGAAGCAAAAGTCATCCCTCCTGACGCTGCACAAACACCGTCATTCCTTGGTTCAGTTCAGTTTATCTGTTTGTAGTGAGTCTCAGTTTCACACAATGTGATATCAATTATGGTTTCAAAATCTATGACATTTTTTTATGAATTTTCCACTTTAAACTCATCTCTTGATACCTTTGACTGGTCTTGCATCCCCACGTTTGTGGTGAGTCTCCATAATTGAGGAGTGTGTTTATCTGTTAATACAGAGAAATAAATCCTCCTCAGGTTACCAAGGGTGGGAGCTGGGATGACATCCACTGTGGGTTGTGTTCTGCCTGCTTTTACTCTCCATACAGACTGCTTTTCCTGCAGACACCAAAGCTTGGTATCTGGTTGGTCAATAGTGCTTGGACTACACGTACTACAAACTGAATACCCCCAAGCACGGATTAAATATGAAATCTGTAAATGAAACCAGTGATCGACCCGGAAATGTTTTGTGTAGAAGTTACACTAGAAAATTCCCAGGAATAAGGTTTTTGTTTCAACAAGTTTTGTATGTTGAAATTTTAATTGGCAGCATTCAAATTACTTTGATGATTAACTTTAATCTTTGTGGGAACCAAGCTCTCATTAGCTGTTAGCCAACTGCCTTAAATCCACTCGCCATTTTCATCCACATCTAAAGGCATCTGATTCAAACAAGAAAGTGACAAAGAACAAGTCCACTTCTTATTCACAGGCTGTATTTCTGCTCCATAAATCAGCCCTTTAATGAATAAAATCCAAAGAGAGACTATTTCCAGGAAAACATTTTCAGTGGAAAAACACCAGTAAGAGAAGCTAATAGGTATAACGGAGCTATAAAGAGATGAGTGTCTTCTTTACTGATCTTTATGATATAATCATGTTAAGGCAGGGCAGGCAGTAAACACAAACGCCACTGAGAAGAGACATTTTTGAAGACTTTTAAAGGTCAGTAATAAAATCTGACATGATCTGACTGTCATTCACCAAATTTACTCAAATGCTTTGATCATTAGAGATTTCTTTGAGTTTTTGTCTGTGGACATGAGAGAGATCAGCTGCTTCATGATTCATCCAGAGACAACAGAGACAAGACTCATTCACTGATGAACATCACATTTTAAAGTTTAAAGCACAAAGGTCAGTTCTCTCACGTCACTTTGGAAAATAAATGGCAACTATTAGAGAATGGATGTTTATAATCTGAGTTTGTGAATTACATAAACTTATAGCTAAAATGATGTAATTCCTGAGGATAATAATAAATCTCTAAAGCATTTAATTCTAGTTTGCATTAAGCACAGTTGATTTAATGCTCAAATTTCTCTGTTTCTGCTGCACAGATTTGGAAAAATATTGTATGAAAAAAACGATTTGTAATATTTGAAGCCAAATAAGTTCAGGTAACATGAAGAGAAAAATATGTTGATGATTTTTTGCAGTAATTTCAAAGATTATTGCCCTGAAATTCAAAGATTTCAATAGTTTGATTAGCCTTTCATTAAAAAAAAGCATTAAAGTGCTGAACTTATCCATCATCTTTTATCATTTTCTGTAGTTTGATGTTTACTTTTGTCTTATCTGTTTTGCTCAGAAGCACCACTGTTGTTTCATCGACCTGACTGTTGAAAAATGAACACACCTGGTTTATTGTTTGGTTGTTCCCTCTGTTTACCAGGTACACACACTGTCAGTACAAAAATGATCCAGTATGAGTGTGTTTCTACTTTAACTTATCCTGATTTCTCAGAAACCTTTGAGTTAAAATGAAACATACTACATAATCTGGGGCTTTTCCGCCTCCATCCTCTCTGAGCTGAATGTAAAGAAGGAGAGCAAAGAGGAAGCAGGGTGGTTGTGGTCAAACTGACTCTGTCACTTCAACATTATACTTCCTGAAGATATCATCTAGTGCTTGTTTTAATGGTTTCAAATAAAGATCTGTTTGTCACTGTGTTAAAAAACTCTAATAAAATAAACCCAAATGTATTCTGGGGAAGAGACTCTGAAAAGATCCTCTCCATCACAGAGTCATCTTCAGTCAGAGAGGTGTCAGACACAAACACAGATTGGGTTTAGGTCTACGTGTGATATAGTGCCATTACTATATGAAACTACGGTCAGTGTAATGAAGAAATGAAATAAAACCCAAACTGGATAATCTGCTATTTTGATGAATTGACATAATGAGGGTCATGAGATAAGGAGGGAAAGTCCACAGACATTACAGACAAGGATGTGAGAGCATGAGCCAGAAACATGACACTGTATGTCTGCAGGAGATTTATACAATAATGACATAAATTAATTTATATGACATGATCTTATTACCTTTGTTCTTCCACCATGTGCATTTAAAGGGAATTATTGCTTTACTTTATCTGCTTGAAAATCGTTCTCTAGTTCATAACCACATCTTTGACGAGTTTACTGTTTGAGTTCCAGTTTCACTCAGCTTTTCCAGAGTTAATGAAAATCTCCATTTCCTGCTTTATAGGAAGACTGACCAGAGAACCAGGATGAGATCAGCTTTACTATGTCGTTAAGATCATTTTAACCAATTCTGAACTAGAACTGGGTGATTAATCTGGATGTGAATTTCATATTTTCATTTCAATCAGTTTTGGCTCCTGACAATCATTAAAATATGATCATAAAGACTATATGGTGGATGACGTGCTCTCTTCCTCCGAACAGCCCTCACTTTCACTTCATCATAAAAAGCTCAGATCAATGAGAAACGTTTGGGAGCAGGAAGAGGGTGCAGCTCCCCCTAAGATTATTGATGGATCGCTGGACGTTTACATGCTGTTTGACAGCGACACAAACTATAGGGGGAAGGTGGGGAGGGGAGACCAAGGAGAGAAGCAGGAGGAGGCATTATTGTATGTTGCTGCTCCCTCATCTTCCCTACATTTTATGGGGAATGACAATCAGCTTGAAGATCTACTGCACCCCCTACTTTAAAGCGATTAGTAACAGTTTACCTAGCTTCTTTTCAGCACAACATCAATATTCTTATTTAAAGACAATTATCATTACTACCAGTTTATAGAGACATCCAAACTCTAATGCAGTCAGTGTTCAAGTCTGAGACCACATTTCAGTCATCAAGAATCAAATCCCAGTCAGGTCAATAAAACAATGTATGGATGCAAGAACAGGTCCAGGCGGCCGCTTGTACCACAGGTGATTTTACAAATAAATAAACTAAAATATACAGTACAGTACAGTAGTATTTTTATATTGTCTTTTCTGAGTCATTTTGTTTTGTTTTATATGGGACGGTGTATGAAACTGTGTATGTGTGCTGTCTTTGCGCATGTTTTTAACTTACTGCAAATGAATTTCCTCACAGGGACGATAAATTCAACCGACCTGCCTACCTATGTCCATTCAGGGCTTCCATAGAAATTCAATGAAAAAGCCTAAGTAACACAAATTAACTGTAAGCCTGAAGCCATTAAAAGGATTAAAACTCTGCCAACACAGCAAGAATATTTTCCTTGATCAGAGATTTTTTTAAATCAATACTACAGTCTATTTACGTTATTACACATTTACAACCTGTTTTTTTGTTTGTTTGTTTGTTTGTTTGTTTGTTTGTTTTGTCTAACTGGCTCCCTCAGGTATCCTGCATTAATCCATCTTTCTGAGGACGTTTTATTTTTTATGTATTTTTTCAGAGAGGAGGCTTCTGTTTGATGTTGTTTAGGTGTGTAGGGGTGTGAGAGTGTGCGTGTGTGTGTCAGTGTGTGTTGGGTGGAGGAGCTGGAAGGCCCCTCCTTGCAGACAGATCTGCTCTATAATAAAACACTTACGATATGTAGGCAGGATAAAGAAAGCCGATGAGGTTACACAGCAGGGAGGCTCCATAACCGATCACCAGATATACCGCGATCACACCGATTAAAGCTGCAAGCAAACACAGCAGATTAAGTCCGATGAGGAATAAAACTCTATAAATGTGCAATATGTTCAATCAAGATGAGATGTATATAAAATGAAGTGGATTTTTCCACTCTTCTAAGTATGACTCAGAGCCACGCTGCCTTTCTTCACACTGATCTTTTCTCTCTCTTTTCCTCTCAGGGTTTTTTCTCTGTCATGGTCACTCACCCAGAGCGATGTACGTCCTGCTCACTCCGGTCTTGGCCTCGATCTTGGCCAGGACATCGGTCATGAGGTTTTTCTCATGGAGGAACTTTTCAAACCTCTCTTTGAGCCCCTGCGCCATGGCTGCACTTCCTTCTTCTTAGCGATGCTCAGGATGAATTAGGAAACTGCAAACTGCGACACGCTGCTGCTGCTGCCTGAACACTCACACACTCCTTCACACTCTGTACACACAGTTCCAGCGCTGAGAGGAGTCAAGTTATACACAACACAGCAGGAACAACAGACTGAGTTCACTTGTTTCAAAATAAAAGCATGACAGACACTCAATAGTCACAGAAGCTCTGGTTTAGAGGCTATTTTTGACTTATAACCAATGAATCTGACTGCATTTAATAGAGGACAGATAAACCAGATGTGCATTTTGTATTAGTTAAAACAATATTTTAGTGAAAGACACTGATTGATGACATATGGTATTTTGACAAATATATACCTATTACTCATCCATCCAAAGGCGTAAGTGAACTAAGCGCCTGCTTAGGGCCCCCCAAGAGCAATAAAAAAAATTACAATATTTTTTATTTTTTGCATGTATGAGTGATGCTATCTGTATGACCAAACATATATTATTTAAAAATAAAATAAAGTAAAAACCTTTTAGTACTGCTGCTGATGTAGGCCTCTGATTCTTACTGCCGATATGTCAAAGCTCCGCTACCATTATGTGCCTCCTGCTTTGCAATATGCACTGAGCATCCAAAGCGCAGGTAGTTGTGGGGCAAAACAAAGTCAAGAAAAAAAGGACATATCCTTCAGGAGCAGAGAAAAAAAGAGGAAGAAGAGAAAAAACGCCAAGATAAAGGTATGTTTGTATATCATGGAATTTTAATTAAAGAGATTTGTGAAGGTGTGTGAATGATCAATAATCAATATTATTGGCAGAAATAGAGGGCCCCAAAATCAAATTTTGTTTAGGGCCTCATTGAGGCATGGGCCGGCTCTGCATACTGGTACTGTCTCAAAAAATGATCAAGCCTCTTTATTTGCCTGGCTGAAACCTTCCTTTAACTCCACCGTTTTACCTGTGTTTGCATTTCCATTATGTTACCTATCACTGTTGGGCCTAAAAAATGTATATCCAGAAACTAACAGTATTATTAGTTTTATTTTAAAGAGCACATTTCATTTCACCCCCTGATATTGTCCAAGATTTCTTCTTCTCATGCTCTCCACAGTGTGTCCTCCCACTTGGATGAGTGACGAGTTTTTACATTTATATCAGTGCTTTGTGTATAACAGATGTATGTGCAAACACGTCTTCTTCATCTTATCTTTAGAAACAATTCCCCTTCTTCAAAAGTTTTATTTGTCCTTCTATTAAATGTCCATTCTCTCTCTTTAAACATTGACTCCTCTCCATCTCACCCTGATACCTTGCAGAAATGACAGAGATGGCAGGGAATAAGTGAAGGATGGAAACTTTGTCTGTTTGCACTCACTTGTGGAGCTCTTCCCTAAAATTTAAGGAAGTTTTCAAGTGTGAATTCTGCTGTGGTTCTGAAAGAGTTAACAGAGTTGTATTTCTTGGTTTTCACAGAGCACACACTCACATGTTCTCTGAACACTTATGAAATCCTCATGAATACAACAAGCTCTTTATCCTCTGTGGCACCTCCAGGGTTTGGGTTTTAGGAACTTCTGCTTTCTACAACCTTTTTTCATCTGTGCTAGTTGGGGAAACCAAAGTAGGTCTGAAGAACATCACGTAATGCCTGTGTGAAAAGTCTTTGAAGTGACCTATGACCTATGATTAAACCACCACAAAGGCCAGTAATAATAAAATAGTCATTCTGGTTTAGGATTTATTGTTTTTAATCTTTTGTATTTTTCAAAATGCAAAAGCAACCAAATGATAACATTAGACAGCAACTGTAGGGCACTCTGCTCTCTAATCACCTCTTCAGTATACCATCTGATCTCATCATACATGAAATCATATTATATTTTTAACATACCTTATCATATCCTGTTGTACGTTAAAATATCGTGTCTTTAAAATATCATATCATTTTGTACCATGTTGTATCTTACGGTATCATATAACATCTTATTGTATTTTTTTGTTTAATATCGTGACACATAGCAATATATTTAATTTATCAGATGGTTTCATGTTATATTGTATCCTATTGTATCTTAACGGATTGTAAGTATTGTAACCTGCCATATCACATCATTTCAGATTGTATTGTTCCAAACTTTATCGTATTGTATGGTAAAGTATTATATTCAATAGTATTGTATAGTATTGTATTTAATGGTGTCACATTCAAATCCAGTGTATCATGTCCTGTCATAGTGTATAGTATCTCAATGGATTGCTTTATATCACACCTTGCATCATATCTAATCATTACATAACTTAATGTACTGGACAATGATCAAGTCTATTGTATGGTATACTAATATATTCTACTGTATCATCTCATACCGTAACATAACATAAAGTAACACAACATAATTTAGAGTAAGGCAATGCAACACAAACACAATACAAATGCAACGAAATGTGACATAATGCACTGTAACATAATGAAATGTGAAGTAATGCAACATAATGTAACATAATTTAATGTAACATAATGCAGCTTTAGTTAAGGTAATGTCATGTATTGTTACATCAGGTTAAGCAATGTATTGTTATGGTATGTCATGAAACATAAATAAAAGCAACATGTGATGTAATATTATTTATTGCAATGTAGCGCAATGATGCTTGTAATGTAATGTCACATATTCTATCTTCATGTAGCATAACATAATGTGATGTAACATATTTTAATGTTTCATATTGTAACATTTCCTTATGTAATTAATAAGAGAAAATACATCATTTATTGTTTGTTTTTTGTATAGTATGCTGTAGTTTCCTATCTAATATTGTTTTGTTCAGGATCATATTACCTTGTATTGCATTGTGATTTTAGGAAATGTGTTACATCATGTTGCACTGTGAAGATACTATTTCTAGTTTCTTACTGTGACTTATTTTGCCTTTAACTGTAACTGTTTCAACAACAGGAGTGCCCCGTAGAAGTAATTCTGAGGCCTCTGGATTTTCATACACATAAAATAAGAAGATGACAGCAACTGGTTAAATATTTTGGGTTTATATCTGAGGCTTAAGTTCCTGTGACGTAACGGCTCTGCTGAAACAATCTAAAAATAGTCTAAAAACACACTCCAGGGACTAAAACAAGAGGAACTTTTAGGGCCAAAGTGAAACAAAAATTACTCCAAAAGACTAACTGACTGAGACACAGAAAACCTTAAACTGTATTTCAAAATTTACCAGCGGAAGAAATAAAGAGGAACATGAAATATAAAAAAACAAAACAGATGTCTTTAAATTCACGTCAGTGTCTCATGCAGGAGGGTTAAGGGCCTGTCACACCTCATGAGCTCAGGGGTTTCTTGCTCTGACTGTATCTGTGTTTATTTTGAAGGTTTGTGGAAGTCAAAATCCTTTCTCACATCAACACTTATGTTGGTTGGCCTGACGTAGCTGCTGCTCAACAATTATAGAGACAGGATATATTTTCCCCTGAGTGAAGTCTTACAGGCGTTTCATTCCACAACACTATGTATATTTTTAAAGCAGCTCCTCCACCCAGTCTTTCTTTTAATGTAAAGATGAGTTAAGAAGTAGATCCTGGTCGAGTCCAGGTCTATCAAGGCTGCAGCAAATTTAACAAAGTGTTTTATAAGCACATTTCCTAGAAGCATAAATTCAGGGCACAGACAGTGTGACATTAACACTGAGCCCTGTGCAGCCACACCCTTCTCTGTTTAGATGACAGTGCAAAATGAACGGCTGTCTATAATTGAATTATTTCAAAGATTCTGCAGTGTGCAGCTGATTCGCACACATCTGCTGCTCTGACATCTATTAAAGAGAAAAAATCTGATGACAGATGAGATTCAGAAGATTTGGGCTGTCAGACTGATGGTTTATGGAGTGTTTACTGTTTGTTTCCTCTTCTCTCTGAGTATTTACATGAACACAGGCCAGCAGTCACTCCTAAGGTGTTTTTAACCATCAGTGCATCTACTGTGTATTGACTGTATTTCCTTATTCACCAGAAGAGGAAGTAAACTGAACATAAATTCAAAACTAACCCAATGCTGCTTGTTAATAATAACAACAGGTTATTCTGGTGAATATTTCTGCAACATTTTGTGGCTGAAATTTAAGAATGTGAAGGAAAAAAAACAGAATTATTGATGCGAATTATATTTCGATATACATGAAGCTCACATGACAGCAAGGTTTAGGATTTGATCTGTTATTTTTCCCAGGGTAATTTCAAAACTGACAAGCTTACTATCAATTAAGTTATGCAGTGAACTTGTTTAAACAATTTAACACTTATACTGGAAAAAAAGACTCTCTGGAGTGTTAATCATAACACACAAACCTTGCATTTCAACCATCATACAGAAGAAAGTAAGGTTTATTGAAATGGCCCTTTCGAGGTTTTATCAACAAAAAAGGCATTCAGAGGTGGAAATGTTACTGCAAGGGCATCCTAAGGGCAGAGTATTACATTTAGATTTCAGAGAATAACTGGAAAGGCATGAAGTGGAAAAGGCTTCATATTCTCTGCATGTGAGAAAACACTGGGAGCATTTTTGTTATTTTTCAATTTAAAGGGTATTCAGAGGGCACTTACTGGTGCAAGGGCATCCAAAGGGCAGAGTATTACACTTCTATTTCAGAGAATTCAGAGAGAAAGTTTTTATAATTTGTTCAACACACTGGCATCAAAAGCGCACTCTTTTTCACTTTATATGTGCTGAAAGGATATTCACAGGAATTTTTCCCACATTTTATTAACTGGAAAGGTATCAAGTGGAAAGGGCTTCACATTCTCTCCATGTAAGAAAACACCGGGAACACTTTTTGTCCTTTTTTAATTGAAGGAATACCCAGGGGCCACTTTTTCTACATTACAGATACAAGCAGAGCATCCTAAGGGCACTTTTTAATGTTTTATATAATGGAACAGGATATAAAAGGAACTTTGTCATGTTTGATATCTCCTGAGTATGACTATCAGAACATTTTTCTCATGTTTTCTTCACAGAAAGAGCATCACAGAGGGCATCTTTTAATATATTAGTTACAGGAGTATCCAAGAAGGAACTTTTTCTGGCAAGTGGATACTGAATATTGCACAGCAGACTCAGCTGATCTGATCTTCTTGGCTTGATAGTTCGGAGTTTTTCTGGCCCTCACTGCAAACACTTCAGTGCCTTCTCTGGTATTTAAAACAAACAGAAGACCTCTGCCCAAGAATCTTACACACATGTATGACAAGGTCTGAAATATAGCTGGGAGAAAGGCCCTAAGAAGAGACTTAAAAATGTTTGGCAAAATGTAAAATTAAAATATACACGGGGGGCAGAGTACAGATTGAATATTCTGGTTCAGGTACTAAGTCTTGTAGCTGAGATTTGCTCAGTTAGAGGATTATCAGCAAATCTTTGTTACAGAGGGTAAAAAGACTGATGAAAAGGCATGATGTAATAACATCGTGCAAAATAAACTTTGTGTTTTGAATAGTTAAAATAGATCAATTTATAGAGGTATTTAAAACATGACTGCTGCAGTTTTGTTGTGTGCTGCTCAAAAACTTTAACCAAACTACTGAAATCTTTGCAGCATGGTGCTGTGATCCAATGACTGACCAGCAGATGGCAGCATTTACCTCTCTTTTTTAAAAACCACATTACTTAATTTATTTAATTACACTTATTCAAAAAGGAACATTACAATGTGGGAGCCGTGCTTTAATGGTGTTCATTGTCTCCTTCCATTAAGAAAAGAAACATGTTTTCCCTACAATGTGTTTTTACATAAAAGCATATACAAATATTATATTATTAAGAATAGCATGAGCATAAAATTCAAATTTACATTTATGCAACAGCAGGCAAGCATAAATATCAACATGTTAAGTAGTTAAATTAAAGCTCTACTGATGAGTTTTTAGTCATGTCTCTATATAAGCTACAAAGCAAACAAACATCAGCACAAAGACAAAATCATTTTTAAAGCTCCTGTGTAAAACTTTCTGTTAGTTCGATTTGGTGCCCTCTGTGGACAAAGTGGTTACCCTTTTGTTGTTGTTGTTGATTGTGTCTTGTCCCTGTGACTTTGAGGTTAAATGACAAAAAAAGTCCCCTCTTGTTGTCTTTTTTTCAGATAAAATTTTCCCTTTTTTGGAAAAATTTGCTGTTGGGGAAAATATAAAGACTTTTTATTCAGTGTATCTCCCCTCTCATAGCTGTAACAGGCATTAGCAATTAAAATATAGAAGTTATAAATCTTGTACATCATAGAGACACTGTACTGTTCATTTCAGTCTGTTGATTTTTTATCAGTTTAAAATTCCTCACAGGAGCTTTAATGTCTAAGACTCCTGGCCTGGGGTTAGTGGCCCTCCAAGTGATAAAGCTCATTCTACCAAAACAAGCTTATTTTTAATTTCATCGCACATTCAAATATTAAATTATAGCAAAACTGAATAAATGAATGAAACAATTGTGAGCTCTTTGTAGGATAATTTCAGTGAACATCTAGTCAATGTCAACATCAGCTTTATTTATATGGCACATTTAAAAACAGCCAGTGGCCTACCAAAGTGCTTTACAGTAAAATAGCCAGAGACAGTAAAAACAATAAAAAATATACTAAAATAAAAGCATAAAACAACAATATAGATAAACATAGCAAACAAATAAAAGACCCAATAAAAGTAGCTATTTTAATGATATGTTCACGGGTCCATTGTTTCTTGTCCGTGACTTGTACACACTGTCCATTCCTCCCGTTTAACTTGACATTTTTCCTCTTAAAATCTTATCCTACTTTACAGAAGCGTTAATAATCAAGTAGGAAGGATGAAATAAACAGCAGAAAATGAGATAACCTCTCACCAAGTTTTAAAGATTTTATGTAAATTTAGCATCACCATAAATCTTGCATCAGCATCGTTGTCATTTGTCTGATGTTCCTGAACGCAGCACCAGGCTGTAATGACGTGTCAAGAAAGTGCCGGAAGCTTTTAGTTTGTCCAAAATGGCTTACCAGACACTACAACAGGAGTATCTACAGATTCCTGTTGTTACCAGGGCTTATACGACCGCATGTGTCCTCACAACCGCTGCTGTGGTAAGATTATTCGTGTATTATCTGTGTTAGCTCGGGATTAGCTTGATACCTTTAAGTATAACTCAGGTACCGTCGTTACTTTGATGTTAGCTCGGTGGTTTAGCTGTAGCAGAGAGTGAGACGTGTCTGAATGTGGTTGTTCAGGATATTATCTCTGTTTTTGAAGTCCATTCGCCTCTTAAAGAGTGGTGAACAGCTGCAGGAGTAGTGCTTGAATTTTAAGTATTGAAATGAGGTTCTTAGTTGATGCTGTGTTGTGTTTCTGAGGCGTGGAGAGAAAAAATAGACAAATGTGTCTCCAGCTGTTCGTGATGCCGACGATGTAAATAAAACCGTAAACGCACCACGAAAACGAAACTCCATCTATTATTGGAAGAAAATGGATTTAATCTGTTATATACTCGTTTACAATGAAATAGTGGGGATAATTGTCTTTGTTTTGCTTTAAAGTGCTTTAAAAACCCTCTTCAGTGTTCCTTTAATGTCTATTTGGGGTCACTACTTTATTCTTAAACTCTAAAAAAAACTTGAAATACCGTGAATAAAAAATATTGTTTCTTATAGGGTCTTTGAAATTGTGAAGTGATAAGGAAGAAAACATTCTAATAATTACATTTAAATATGATTTTTAAAGCACATATAAGATGTTTTTGACATTAATCAATTAGACCAGTGGTTCTCAACTGGTCTCACTCTGGGACCCCATTTCCCATGGTCCTTAAGCCCCTAACCCACTCTTATAAAATTCAAACCAATCAAATTTATTTCTTATAAAGAAAAAATATCTTTGCATTCAGAGCATATTCAGAAGAATTTGAGGAGGACCATGCAATAAATAATAAATATCAAATAGTACAAAAGAAAGACCATACAAAAAAAAAGTTAATTGGCTCGGTTCAGTATTGTCACAAGGGACTTTTGGATTTCTGAAATTGTTGGGAAAGAAAAATAAGATAAGCAGTGGAGTTAAGCTATAAAAAGAAAGCCGTAGTCACAAATGTATTTGTAATGAATCACTGAAAGATATAGATTTTGGGTTATGTTATAGATTGCTAAACATGGCTGATATTGCTGTCAATACCAAATTTTACAATTAATCACAAAATGAAAACAGCAGCCAATGACTGTTTTGGATCTAGTGTGTGCGGTTAAGGGATAAGAAAGATGTGTTGTCAATTAGAAAAGATGCTGTGAAGATTGATGCTGGTTATGACAAATGCCATAAAATCAGTCAAAATAACCAGCCAACCTCTTATTCAGTCTATCTCTAGTTAGCACCATTCGAGGTACATCCCATCTCTTGCCCACGCATTGTGTCATTTGCTGTTACATAGAAGATCAGCTAGAGGACGACCCAATAGCAATGAGCTGAAGGGGTCAAGTCACCACAGTGCAGTGGAAGCAAAACATGCTTCCTTCAGTTTTTTTATTCTTTCCTGTGCCTGTAAACTGCGACAAGAAAAGTCGTCCATTGAAACCATCTTATCAAGCTATAATCATAGCTAGACTGTAAATGAAAACATGCTGAATAAAGCTCTCTGAATCGAGCTGACGAACTGGTTTGTCCACAGGTGGAAACCAAAATTGAGCTAAACTGAAACATCCTCACAGGAGCTTCTTATTGTCGGCTTATATAATAAAAAAAACAGAAGGGGAACTTCTGTGTTTTTCCATATCCTTCAATGTGTTTGTATGTGTTTGGCTAATGGGTGAACAGTCTCTGAAACTGGCCCTTGAGGGTGAGCAGAGCAGCCGGCAGCTGTGAAACAAGCTTACAGATAGTTTGATCGGGTGATTGCAAATCATCAAACTGCATCCAATGCAAGCGCTTTATTTCATCACCGCCAGACTCAATGAAACTTAACTAGATATAAAGTACAAAGTAAAATACGAAGACCCATCGGATCTAGACTAGATTTTTCCAGAAAGAGGAAAAAACAGTTTCAGCTCTGATGAGTACAAAAGTGCGGGTTTGAGAGCAAATAAACTGACTCAGGAGGCTGAGACATGCTTCAATGAGAACCCCTCCTTGTCACGGCCGAGGACCCACAGATGAAGTTCCTTGTGTAAAAACCATGTAAGGAAAGAGGACTTTTGAAGGTCAGGTCTTTGAGTCGAGGGTTATTGATTTGTTTTTGTCAGGAGTTTGTTGTCTGTTATATTAAGTCACTTTGAAAAATTTCTTATTGTTTTCTCTGCCTTTTATTTTCACAGCAACTAGAGATCATCACACCGTTTCAACTTTACTTCAACCCAGATTTGATACTAAGGAATTACCAGGTGAGAAATGTTTCTTTCTGAAGTTAAATTCTAACTAAACGTAAAGTTTGTTAACGTTCAGATAAGAGCAGATCTCCCTCATGTGGTTCACACAGATAAATTTTTTTTCATATTGTGATCAAAACAAAATAGATATACTTCTTTTTTTAACTCAGTCACATCACGAGTGAAGTGTCCGTTTCAGAAAAAATGATCATTATCATCTCACGTGGCCTCCTCTGTGTGAGGTTGTGATGTCCAGCTCAATGCTCTGTCTGTCTCTCTTCCTGTAGGTATGGCGACTCATAACCAACTTCCTGTTTTTTGGTCCAGTTGGCTTCAATTTCCTGTTCAATATGATTTTTTTGTATCCTTCTCAGTTTCAAGTCTCACTTCATTTTACTATTGAATGAATTTACATAGTTTCTGTTTCAGTGGAGAAAATTTGAATGTTTCTCTGTCAAAGCACTGATACAATTTGTAGGACTGTATCCATACTGTAGATCTGTAGATTTCTTTAACATTTGATTTCAGGTACAGATACTGTCGTATGCTGGAGGAGGGCTCGTTCAGGGGAAGGACGGCTGACTTTGTCTTCATGTTCCTCTTTGGTGGTCTACTGATGACTGTATCCTTCACAACCCTGCAAGTCCAAAAAAAACCTCAATCCCAAAAGAGTTGGTTTGCTCTTTGAACGTTGATGAAACAGATTAGGAAGGCTGGCAAACTGTTAAAACCTGACCTTTGATTGAAAATGAAAACAACATATCTAATGTTAAAACTGAGAAATGTTACTTTTTGTGAAAAAATATCTGCCCGTTTCAAACTTGATGCAGAAACATGTTTGTAAAAAGTTATTGGAGGAACAACCGAAAAGCTAAAAAGTAATGTAATGCTAAAAAAAACAGCTGGAGGAACATCTTCAACAGATGAGGTTAAGTTCCAGCAGGTTGGTAAGATGACTGGGTATAAAAAGAACATTCAGAGAGGATGAGTCTCTCAGAAGGAAAGATGGGAAGAGGTTCATCACTCTGTGAGAGACTGCGTGAGCTAATAGTTCAACAGTTTCAGAATAATGTTCCTGAGTGTCAAATGTGAAAAGACAGTGAAGCTGAGAATTGCTCCAGTGCTGTGTGAATACATCTGAAAAGAGTTCATTAGTACTGATGATAGACCCCTAAAGCAGTGGTTCTCAAGTCCAGTCCTCGGGGCTCACTGTCCTGCATGTTTTGGATGTTTCCCTGCTCCAACACACCTGATTCAAATGATCAGCTCGTTATCAAGCTCTGTAAGCTTAATAACGAGCTAATCATTTGAATCAGGTGTGTTGGAGCAGGGAAACATCCAAAACATGCAGGACAGTGGGTCTCGAGGACTGGACTTGAGAACCACTGATCTAAAGCATCCAAGAATGAATGTGGTGTAAGTGGGTGAATATGACAAGTGGTAAAAAAGTGCTTCACAGGGTTGGAACGACTACAACAAGAACCATAGAAGTACAAGCTCACTTCACATTCAGTATGTTGTGACCCATGGCCAGAACATACCCTGATATCAGAAGCTGTATGAGTCCTCATGATAACCTTTGTTTCATCCGTGTATGATATTTGCGAATGCTGCTTCTCTGCCATGTTCTTTAACAAGTCTGCAGATATTTGGCACATTTGTGAGTCTGGTGTTTCTGGGCCAGGCCTTCACTATCATGCTGGTGTATGTGTGGAGTCGGAGAAACCCAAACGTCCGCATGAACTTCTTCGGCCTGCTGAACTTTCAGGCTCCCTTCCTGCCCTGGGTGCTGATGGGATTCTCTCTTCTACTGGGAAACTCCATCATTGTTGATCTTTTAGGTACATATCACCACCAGCTGTAGACCTTATTCAGCACTTTAAGGATCAGTAACACTAATACTAACGTGTATTTCACCTTTTTTCAGGTATCGCTGTTGGTCATGTGTATTTCTTTCTGGAGGACGTTTTTCCAAACCAGCCAGGAGGTGGAAGGTGGCTGAAGACTCCATCGATCATGTAAGTCTGGAGTTTCTTTTCAATCTTCGATGGATAAAATGTCTTGGTCTTATAATAGATTGTAAGGTGACCTTGAATGTTTTGAAAGGCACCCATAAATAAAAATAATTCTTATTCTTATTGTTAAATGATGTTAATGACTTACCTGGTTTGAACTGTTTCTAATTATGATGGTACAGAATCCAGGATTTGACACTTTAGTTTGATTTTTGAAATGATTTATTTGACCCTGGCCTGAACACATACACGCTTTGAGTCTGAACAGTCTGACAGCTCTGCAGAGATTTAGTGTTGGTTCGTGATTTGTTGTGACTCACTGAATCTCTCCCGTGTGTTTCCCGCAGAAAGATGCTGTTCGACACCCCGGAAGAAGATGCAAACTACAACCCCCTCCCTGAAGAGCGTCCCGGAGGCTTCGCCTGGGGAGAGGGCCAGCGCCTCGGAGGTTAAATTAACCTCTGATCGAACACTTACATGGACACTCCTCTTGTGTGATAAAGGGGACAAACTTGGTCTGTTTTTTGACGTGTTTGTTCAGTTCTGGATTAATGCCAAACACGCTGAACTGGTTTGGAGAGAAGCGTCTGTCGTCTTTGTAATTCAGGCTTAAATCATCCTCAGAAGCTCTTCTTTATGCCGGATCGTCGCTCTGAGACTTTTGGGAAGAAACTTTGGGTGGAGCTGTGGACGGTGAGGACGTGTGACTTCATCTCAGAAAAAAAGTTATTGATTTAAAAAAAGCAGCTGTCACGTGAAGGAAACAACGACAGAAGTAAATGTTACTCAGATGGAAAGTGCTTTTTTCTTTTTCATTTCACTTTTTAAAAAAATAAATGTGTGTGTGGCAAATAGTGCTTTGGGTTCATCTCTTTCAAGTGAAGTAGTACCACCTTAAACCAAAGATAAGGTCAGCTGACTCAAAAATACTAAAACAAGGGTCTGCGGAGAGGATCAAGACTGACCGTGGCTTACAAATGCAGAGGTTTTTAATGTTTGTGAATGGGATTGGTTTAATTTTCACACCTGTGCTTGTTTCTTCTGTTTCATTTCACAGCCTCCCATCTGTCCACATTTTTTTTGTTGATTTTATGAATTTTGCACACATTGACACCTTCCTCATTATTTTGTTGCCATATTATCCTGGTTTCTGGTTCAGCAGCAGGTCTGAATGGAAATTATGCTGCTGCCTCATGTTTGTTTGTTTTTATATTTGTTTATTTAGGGATTTTTGCAGACTGAGTCATAACACCAGGGTTAAGAAGCTGTGAGTGTTTTTTGCTTACACTGGGGGAAAATAAAATCCCCTTTCTTAATTTATAGTTTCTAAATATCTGTAAATATTGTGGAGTGGGTTGAGATGATTTTTAGGACTGTGATGAAGTCAAAATTACTTTGGATCACAGCTGGTTGTGTTTTTCTGTTTTATTTTCAACGTTTTATTAATCTTCAGTAAACACTTTGACTAATGGAGATGGATTTTACTGTAACACATAAATACAGGTCGAGATCTGCCTAACTCTATATTTCACAAGTCTGTTTACTTACATGCACCACATTACACTGTGGCCTTATGTTTCACAAACATGAAAAACCAAGCCAACATCAAAAATATTCCACAGAACTTTCATTATTCATGAAACCCCAAAAAGTCTACAAAACGCTGAAATATTGTGGTTTTCTGAGAAATAGTTTAGGATTTTATAAAATCATTTGCATTTTATAGATGGATTATGGTCAGTTGTGACCACCTTAAGTATAACCAGGTTTGTGCTTTTTTTTTTTTGATCAGGCTAAATATAATCATAGCTGCCAGAGACACACACATTTGATTGGCTTCACACACTCTCACGCCTCATTCCCGATTTCTCACACCAAAGTGTACATCTTCAGGGAAAACAAACAGAAAATCAGTTTGAGCATTTAATCACAATTTACCTCCACAATTCTTTCAAACTTATTTCATCGCATTTTCAGTTTGATTTGAGCGAACTCGACGTCACTCTGCTGTTGTTGACTGGCTCCGGATCACTTAGACTACCAAACCCTAAACAAGGCCTTTGAGTAAAGAGTCTCAGTCATATTATTTAGTAAAAATCTGCAATCGCAGTTTACATTTTGTTAATTTTTAAGGGTTGCTTTAAATCATCTATGAACCTGAACTGTACCCTCTGTTGCAGCTGAAAACAGTGCAGTTTGTCAGACATTTGCATGGCATGTTTGTTCCCCAGAATGATGCTGAGTGGAGCTCCTCTTATCACCATCCACAGGGCTCAGTACTACAAACTTATGGATGGCTTAGCCCTTGGCGTTTGGCCCCAGGGCTTCAATGTGCCACAGAGTGTAAAGCTACTGTTATGGGAGAGCTAGAAAGTACTTCTTTATATGCCCTTAACTTTTAATAATCATTTCTTATTTGTTTTGTGTGTTTTTAAAGGCATTTTGAGAGCTTTGTAAAATGTTACTTTAAGGTCTAAAAAGTTTTTACTGTAGCAAAAAGATACTGGGTATGCGGTAAAATATAGGCTGGCCTCACCAAATCTCACTCCAAAATTTTCTGAGAAGTTGGTGGCCCTGATATAGCCTAATACGTTTTTGTAAACGAGACTCTTGCTCATTTTATTGGAAACAGGCAAAGTGTTTTAAATAAAATTTAATAAGATATTCTTTCACATTTTGAGGAGTTGTAGGATTTGCTGTAACTTTGCCGACTAAATATACTGTGAAACCCATTGACACCGCTAAGGGGCGACGGTGGATTTTAAAGTGCTGCTTTGGAGCCGAGGGCCATGAAGCGTTCATGGTTTACGGAAAAATTAGGAAATATAGATAGTGGGCTATTTATAATTATCGGTATTTTTATTTTTTTATGTTAAACTTAACATGAGAACTAGTAGAACTAGTAGAAATTTCATACACAGATTATGCCCGCTCAATCTTTTTTATTCAGTTTAGTGGACGCTGAATTCAGAAGAACACTTATATTTCCGAGCCGTGTCGTGAACCTGAACATCTCTGGAGAAGAGAAGGCTCCTTAGTTAGCCTGTTAGCAACTGCGTGAAGATGCAACTGGCTCTAAGTAAAACCTTCGGCCAGAAGCCGATTAAATTTCAGTTAGAGGAAGATGGAGACTTTTACATGGTCGGATCAGAGGTATGTGGCCGTTCATCCATTGACTTTTCGACGCGTAGCTCTCCTGTATTAGCTTCAGTAAACCATTCTTTTGGCTAGTTGATGCTAGCACGCTAACTAGCCTTATTGGTGCTCCGTAAACAAAGAAACACGTTTAAACGGAGGAGGGAGGGCTGACCCAGGATAACAACAAGGAAGAAGAAATAGAAATAAATCACACGGTTACAGTCATAACCTAAGATTGTGATAAGAGTCTTTGTCTGTTTTGCTGTAAAATAATATATTTTTTATAAATTCCCGCCTGTAGTCTACTACAGGGAAGGTAGTTTTGTTGGGCTGATATGAACATCATCTCCAAATAACATGCAGAAGTGTTAAAAAATCCCTGTTTGTCAGCTTCTGAGAGTGTGGTAGACCGATCTCAAACCAAACCACGAGAAGAAAAGCAAAAAACGTCTTATCAGTCTGTGTTTGCACAAACTATCAGAGTTAAAAAACAAAAAAGACCAAACAACCTAAAAAAGTAGTTTCAAAGGGAGCGAACGTTACACTTCAGTCTGTTGGTCGTGTCAGAAGTACTGGACTAGAACTAGCTGTTTTTACTGCAATATGATGGTGCAACATTAAAAGGAGAATACTAGAATAAAAATTAATAAGAGCATGCAGGACATGTATAAAACTTTTATACTTTATATATGTCCTGCATGCTCTTATTCATTTTATGATAATGTGTAGTACAACCAGGTACTGTAAAGGTTCACATTACACACCATAGTGCATATGCTTGTTGACAGTTGAGAGATCTGGAGTTGTTAATAAGATTTAATATGATGTAAACTAATGGTCGACCAATATCATTTTTTCAATTATTTATTCCCAGAATAACAGAGTAGGTCAGCCACAACTGAGTTATTGAAACAAACCGAAGATATTAAGGTTAGAGGGGAGTCAATGCATTTAATTGAAACTGTCACTAAACTGTATGCAGTTTGCAGCACCATTTGAAGCTTTTCTTAAAAACATGGCCCAAAACCTGGAGGATTACTAATTAGAGTGAAGGTCTAAAATACCAATACATTTTTGTGTTCCTGTTTCTGCATTTAGTTTGAATGAAAGCTCTGCTCTGTGCTCTGCAGGTTGGAAACTATCTGCGTATGTTCAGAGGCTCTCTGTATAAAAGATACCCGTCTTTATGGAGGAGGTTGGCTTCGGTGGAGGAGAGGAAAAAGATTGTGGCCTCATCACACGGTGAGCTCTGTCACTTTGTGTTTTTATAAACGATCTTAACATTCCTACTTTGGTTAGATACTAAGATAAAATGTTGTGTTACGTAAAGCTTGTCGATCAGTCTGTTAACAAATGAAAACTGCCTATCAAATTTACCCAGAATGCAATGCAAATTTCCCACCCATCAGAAGTTGACCCGTGTCTGTGTTTTCTGGTCTGAAGCCACCAGTGTGACTCTTCTGAAGGCGTCTGAATGTGAAGAAATCTTCGAGGGAAATGATGAGAAATACAAGGCAGTGTCCATCAGCACAGAGCCCCCAGCTTACCTCAGGTAACTCTACCTGGATAACAAGTGTGTGTGTGTGTGTGTTTCATCTCTGTTCTATTGACTTCAATCTTAATATATTTTTTGATGGTTTGCAAGAAATTTTTTTGGAGTTCTATCTTTAAAAAACTACAAAGTTATAAGAATGAAAAACGATACAAATGTTTGTCAAAGGTTGACTGGGATCATTTGAAAATCAAATTAATACAACCAGATAACATAGTGTACCAGCGATCCACAAGGGGGCAGAGTGCATTTCTCAGAAGACCACCCATGGACACACATGGAGGTCCTCGATCTGTGACCCACATGTAGATTTGCTCAGATGCTTTAATATTTTTGAAAAAGTGAAGGCGAGTAAAAGATTCGAATAAGTACCCGTATTTTCAAAGTAATTTTGAATGTCCAGTGTCACAACACACCAAAGATGAAACTCTGTTGCATATGTCTACATGTCTTAGAGGACTGAGCTGAAGCTTCTGAAGCTGAAAGCCCAGATGTTAGGCGCAATAACCATGAACACAAAGACAAAACAGGACTTCCCTTTAATCAAAGTGAATTTTAAATATGAGCAGTTCATCCTCCTTTTTCATTTTGTCTGCCTTCATGAGTTCTTTGAGGGCAAAAACATTGATATTGGCATAGACAACACAACTTTAAATGAAAACCCTACAATGTATTTGAACAATGGTTCAGAGTTCATTTGTCATTTCTCCACAGGGAGCAGAAAGCAAAGCGGAGCAGTCAGTGGGTTCCCACACTACCGAACAGCTCCCACCATCTCGACGCTGTGCCTTGTTCCACCACCATCAACCGCAATAGGATGGGACGAGACAAGAAGAGGACATTTCCCCTGTGGTGAGAAAGTTATTTCAGTTACAGACAGGGTGTCCATTAGTCTGTTAGACAACAACACAACAGCAGATCAAGTCCAGATAAGAATCATTTTAAAAACCTGCTGTCTTTTTGGACATCAGTCATGTTAAAACGGGAAGAACTTCTCAGTTCAGCTTTATCTATTCAGTACTGAGTGTTTTTGTGTGTGCCTGTGTGTCTCGCTCAGTTTTGACGACCACGACCCTGCAGTGATCCACGAGAACGCAGCACAGATCGAGTCACTGGTTCCCATTCGTCTGGACATGGAGATAGACGGACAGAAGCTGAGAGATGCTTTTACCTGGAACATGAACGGTTGGTATATAAGCTGATGAACATCCAAAACTAACTGCGTTCTCACCGGTCATGTCCGCTAACCTCTCTTGTCTCACCTTCGTCAGAGAAACTGATGACCCCTGAGATGTTTGCAGAGATTTTATGTGACGACCTGGACCTGAACCCCCTGACGTTTGTCCCTGCCATTGCCTCAGCCATCCGTCAGCAGATCGAGTCGTACCCCACAGACAGCATCCTGGAGGAGCAAGCAGACCAGAGGGTCATCATTAAGGTGAGGGCGTTCAGAATATGAACAACACAAAGAGGATTGAAACAGAAAAAACTATTTAATGGTGCAAATTGTATATAGTATTGGAATGCTTTTATGTTTGCAGGATGAAGGAGCATTTGAGGTGTTTTAAAATGACAAATAAATGAACTTGACTGTTTTCTTTTGTGTGTGTGTCCCTCAGCTGAACATCCATGTGGGGAACATTTCTCTGGTGGACCAGTTCGAGTGGGACATGTCGGAGCGGGAGAATTCGCCCGAGTCATTCGCTCTGAAGCTTTGTTCTGAACTCGGTCTGGGAGGAGAGTTTGTCACCACGATCGCTTACAGCATACGGGGTCAGCTCAGCTGGCACCAGAGGACCTACGCTTTCAGGTAACACACACACACACACCTAATATACCCTGCATGCATGTTGTTCCAAAATAAGGAGGCCAAGGAAGCAGGTGTGCATGTTCAAGGTTAAAAGGAAAAAATGCATGAAAGCGTGCATGTGTACTGTTTGATAGATCTAAATTATTATGTTTATGCACCATGAATTTTGGCATATGAACACTTTTTGTGAGGGTTTATTTTTGATTAGATAGGACAACTGAAGTGAGAGTGGAAATGTGGGGAGTAGAAAGTGGAGAAGACATGTTTAATACTTAGAAAGTAAGCATTATGTTCTTTGGTTTACTTTAGAGAGAGCTCACACCAGTTGTTGTGCGCCTGGCCTTGTCTTTTCATGTGTCGATGGTTTTTGTTTTTTTGCGGTGCTCTGATTTACCGCTCTCATGTCTGTTATTTGTCCGCAGTGAGAACCCCCTCCCAACTGTGGAGATAGCCATCCGTAACACAGGAGATGCAGACCAGTGGTGTCCCCTGCTGGAGACCCTCACAGATGCAGAGATGGAGAAAAAGATCAGAGATCAGGACAGGAACACGAGGTGAGGAAGATGGAAACACATCCCAAAATAGAGATCTTTGGATGCAGAACTTGAAAACAATCTCTTTGCAAAAATGTGTTTCTTGTTTGATAATACCACCTGCATATGATGTGAAGCGTCCGCTTTCAAACACTTCAGTTTGTTGAAGGTTCTTGACGAAATGCATGATCTTTTTTTTTTTTTTTCTCCCAGGCGTATGAGACGGTTGGCGAACACGGCTCCTTCCTGGTAGACGCGTCAAAAAGCTGCATCACGTGATGATTCCTCTGGAGACTTCTGTTACTGAATGGATCAAGTAAACACACACAAAGTTACTCAAACACACAAACAGGTCATCTTTAAAACAGCACCGAACATCTGGACGTCCCTGGAAACATGAATGAATGACTGAACACACACAAACACACACACACATCTGGCATTCCTCTGCACACAGGTCGACGTCTTTCACTGCCTTCAGCACAGAGCTGACACCTATTTGCTGCTGTTTGTATTGAAGGAGGTTTGCATTTGTCACACACTCACACATACATCATGCACCAATCATCATGTGTATCACATCAGGACACTTTTGGTTTTAGTGCATCTGTAACTCAGTTTTTTTTTCCTTTAAATAACTGAAACTCTTAAGACTAAGTTCGGTGGCTGACATGCTGAACTATTCACACTCCGATTCCATCTCTGACATTAACCAAAGCTAGAAGTTAGGAAGTTTTTAGTTACTCAAAAAGATAGGTCAAAAGAATAGATTTCCGTGCACCTTGTTTTCATCAGCAGCGTTTCTCTTGGCTAGATAACAGATCTCTGACTTGCAGCTGTCACCGTGAGGACAGAGGAGACAGAGCGTGCACATATGTCCACACAGTGAGCAGATAATTCCACTCAGCTTCATGACACTCTGACACGCTGGAAGATGACAGCATGAAGTGCTTCTCTGTGTTAAACAGATGCACATTTTCAACATCTGGCTCAGGCATGTCATAATCCATTTTATCCTGGCGTAGATCAGACTGCAGGGAGGTCAGAATCTGTTTCTCAGATCAGATTTTCAAAGTAAAGGTAGCAGTTCATGTCAGAGGCCTTTTATTCTTTTAAATCGACATCTACAAACTAAACGCTCTGATAAAATTAGAAACAATCTGGTGTCTGTGCCAGTTTCAAGTCTTTTGATGATTCCGTTCAGTTTGGGTGATATGATTAGATGACTTAGCTGTGTCAAATGTCATGCACTCACATCTATTTCACCCTTATAATTGAATACAAACTGCACATTTTGCCTTCATGCAAATTCTGTGCAATGTCATGAGCAGCGAAATGGATTGGACAGCTAAATATGAGAGTAGCAGAGACCAAGGTGGCTCAAAGATCAAACAAACAACTGCTGAAGTGAGGACAACATCCTCTGGTGTGTGCTTTAACTGGAGGCCAAATCAGCACCCCCAATAATGACATTTTTAGGTGTCTCTGCAGAGCTTGCATCGTTTGCTTCCCATGACAACGTGAATTATGTGTCTGCAAAATATCTACCTGACATCCTTTCCTCTGCTGAAAGAGCTCAGTCTGCAGAGGATTCTTAGAAACCAGCTTTTACATCAACTTCTATAAATGTAGCTCAGATCGGCATCATTAAAAATCGTGAGTTGGATAACTCCAGAGAAAACTAAAGATGGCCGCTCAATACCTATTAAGTGTACTGTCTGCAAAATCTGTAGCAGGTGTTTTGAAACTATTATAAGACACAGTCACTGTTGGGATTCGACTGGTTCTTTTTGTTTTTACCTTTGTGTTGCACAGACATTATCCCAAATCAATTTTAATGTGTTTCTGCAGTCTGACACACATGCAGCAACATGACGTGAGATCAGTATGAGTTTGGGTTTAGAGAATAAAGGGCCTCTGTTTTTTTCACTTCAACAAAGATTTGAAAAAAAGGAAAACTAAGAGTGTCTGCAGGAATAGTTTGCATTTCACTCAAACAGCATGAAAATCGTGAAGTGTTTTGTTTCGAAGCATAAAAAGGTCAAACATTTTCTGTCCGGCATCTCATACTCATGCAGGAGGGTGAGCTGTACTTTGCTGTCATAAATCATCATGAACTTCTCTTCTAAGAGCTGACCAGACTTTTGAATGTCACTGTTGACTCTGCAGAAACGTGATGTGTTACACTTTTTCAACTGAAGCTGGCCCCGAGCATTAAAGCCCTCCCATGAGACAGTATAAAATAGGAATGAAACGCTTCTCTCTGTGCTGACAGATTGAAGAATTTCATGGGATGGTTTGAAGTGTGGAAAAAAAAAACATCTGCTATGAGAGCAATTAGTTAGGTCAGCAATCTTGTAGAGACTCCAACATAAAGCATATTTAATGAATGTAAAAGATCTTCAGAAAAGACTTCATCCTTTTGTGGAGGGTGTAACTGTCCCTATCAAAGCAGTGTGCATGTACAAAATAAACTCTAACAAGCCCACCGTAATCTTTCAGCACACACAGACAGCAGCGCTTCAGATCTGCCGAGTGTTTGCAGCCATTCACAGTCTCAGACAGACTCTGCTGTTGGTTTAGTGCACCAGTGTTCATGCATGCTAAAACAAACTGTTAGTAGTTGATTCTGTTCTGTGCATGAGGGACGGATGCTCCTGATGTTAACGTCTGTCTGCGCTGAGCGCTCCGAGCATCAGCGTCAGCAGACTGAGAACCAACGGTGTCTTTCAACGTGACCATTTTACGACTTGAATTTACTCTGAGAATGATGTTAACGTTTGTTGCTTCTTGTTCTCTTCTTTTGTAAAATTGCTTTACCTTTATAGTGGACTCATTTTTTATATTGAAAACAACAATAAAGGAAACTTGATGTAAATGTATCTTCTGTTGATCTGGTTTGTTAAAAGTGAGAACAGTGGGTTAAAAATGTTAAAAAGGCTGAAGAGCTGCTGCTGTGTCATCGATTCATTTTCATCTTGTCATCAGGCGGCAGTAGCTCAGGAGGTAGAGCAGTTGTCCAATAACTGGAAGGTTGTAGGTTCAATTCCCCCCTATCCTGTGTCTGTCTGTTGTGTCCTTGGGCAAGACACTTAACCCACCTTACTCCTAGTGTGTGTCCTCCACTGGTGTATGATTGTGAGTGTTGTGTGGTGGTAGTCGGAGAGGCGGTAGGTGCAAACTGGCAGCCACGTTTCTGCCTAAGGTAGTTTACCACCAAGGTGTGACTGTGTGAGTGATAGAATGATGTATCTAATGTAAAGTTCTTTTAGGGTCTCTGATAAAGTGCTATTTAAAATCTAATGCATTATTATAAAGCTGCCCTCCTTTCAGACCTTTTATGATGATGTGTGGGTCTATCTGAGACCTGAGAGAAATCCCCCGATGAAAATGAGCTGACTGTTGGGGTTGGTGTTTCCAGGGTAAGGGGTTACCTGATCCTGATCAAGAAAAGTGTATTTTTAGGTTTGAATCTTTCTAAATCCAGATTAAACCTTTAGAAAAATCTGAACTGTGGTGTGTCGACTGATGCTGATTCAGCAGTTTCTTCAACCTGCATTCTTGCAAACAACCAGAAGGAGGCACTGCACTGTTTGCAGAAACAGAAAAAGGACTAACCAGTTACCTATGAGCAAAAGAGATCTCATTTTATGTTTTTTCTTTGATTTCTCATTTCAGCCCAAACTGAGCAGATCTGCATCAGCTGCTGTTTTTTTTTTAGGATTAACTTTGAGATTGTTTTCATCGTATCAAGGGCCTGACATTGACCCGTACCTCTCCAAGGGATGTTTTCCAGTATTTATTTACATGAAATGGGGTGCAGTCTGAGACCCTAGTGGTGCTCTGCTGGTTGTTACAAAGTCCAGACTTAAACCAAAGGAGAGTTTTGTATTCTTTACCGCTATCTTATTGCCATCGCACTTTATTATCTGTGTTAAAAATTGACATACAAATAAAGCAGCCTATGGTTAGTTTTATCATCATAAACTAACTGGACGAACCACCAAAAGTTAATTATTTTATCACACTATTATTGTATTCAGTGTCTATTATGGTGATATCTTACAATGCTAAGATCTGTGATAAAAATACAGATATCAGCAGCCATGTAACCTTTTCATCCAACTGTGTCTACTGTTCTGTCACAGTCTGCAGTCTTCACCACGGTAATGACCACTATTTCAGACCCTGAGCGTTGACTGTTGTCCTTCATCGATTTTAAGCAGTTTGTGTCAGTTCCTCGTGTTGTTTCCTTCTGTTCAGATCTTCGCTGGTTTCCACGTTGCACTTCTTCTCAAATGTACGTCACTATGGACAAAAGTGTCTGCTGAATGAAACTGTAACATCGTAAACACTGTTACACTAACATTTCACCATCACCTGATTCTTTGACCGGTGGGAGTCAGTTTTGATATATTGGTTTTATTTATAGCCGGTATCTGCAGCCAATCTGATTAGACTGTAACTGTAAACTGTTAGATTCTGGAAACAATGAAATCTGACATGTCTGACCCTGATTGCCATCTGCTGGTGCGTACCAATCTAACCACAGCTGGATGACTGAACCATGACTCATGATAAGATGATAGGAGAGAAAACCTGGAGCTGATCAGAAGTCAAGTTGAGCTTTCTAGACATACTGTACAGTTTATGACTCTTTTTTCCTTTTTTTTCTTTTAATTGATTTCAGTCTGAAAAATTGTAGAAACAGCTGAGAGAATCAGTTATTCGAGAAAAGGACCCCTGCATAGATTTCTTCCAGCTGCATCCTGTGACCTCTTATTCTTGGTAACTAGAGGGAAGTGCATGCACATATAAGACCACAGTGACCTTTCTCTTTGTTCCACTTCAAACTCTACAGAATCTGAACCTGAGTCCTATCTTTCTAGGCAGATGTACCGTATAGAAGTAATTACTGCAGAACTAAACTTGTCTCACAGTGCTATACATTAAAGAGATTGTATGTAATGGTTGGGTGCAATTCTGGATGAACATGTGCAGACCTGCAGAGCCTCAGGAGAAGTTCCTAGTGTTTAAATACAGACGGCACATTAATCCCTATATGAACGTCCCCCTATAAAAACGCAGAAAATACCTGAGTGCACTTTCAAGGGATTTATGGAGATGAAAAAAACGTGTCAGACAGTAAATGATCAACACGAGCAATACAAAAAAAAGTTTTTATTGTTAAAAAAACTTGATAGAAACTTCACACAAGAATTACATGTGCTGACTTATAAAAAAAACGCATATAAACGCAGATAGATCAATAAATGTGTCAGGTACATCAGAGTGGATCTCTTTGTTTGACATGTCAAGAACTAACTTGAACTTTCTGCAGAAACATCAGGACTTATTTTACAAGAGAAGGCATAATCAGTGTCCAGCACTGATTAGAGACAGTAACACCAAAAACACAAACAATACAAATATAAAAATGTACAGTAAATCAAACCATCGTCCAGCTCTGTCTCACTGCTCTGATCAGGACTGACCCACATGGCCTCTATCGGACCACTTTAAAGTTTCAGTGCTTTTCTAACGAAGACACAGTAATCAGAGGACTGAGACAAAGCTCTACAACAGAGAATGAAGACAGTTCATGGCTCTATCAAAATGCACCAAAGAGTACATGTAGTGAAAAGTACAGATATTTTATAATTAGCGTAATAAATGAGGTACTGGTTACATTGCCTACAGAACCTTAAATAGCACCTGTATATTCAGAGACATAGCACAATGGTTCATTCACTCTCAACATGCTGCAGGAAGTTCAGAGAAAGCAGTGGAGCTGGATCGACTCAGTTTGACTTTCAGTACTGACCGTCACATCAGTCACATAAACCGAGCCTAAAAATGCCCCAAAATCAACGCTAAGATAAATGTCTGTCTATGATTTTGCTGCTTTGTGCTGGAAAAAATCAGTTTAAGTTTTTACAGACAGTCACTTCAGAGCCAGTGTGAAATCTCTGAAGGCTGCTGCCCACAGGCTGCATATTCTCATTGAACCATCCAAACTCAAACTCACTCATCATGTGCACGAACGAGGTAAAATGACCTCTTGTACTGAACGAGCTCTTATTTTGGTGAACGGTGAGTTGAACAGCCTAACTTGCAACTCTGTAAGGGGAACGGGCGCTTAGTGTAGACAGTGAACACTCACATTACTGGAAGGATTGGAGAGTTGTTGAACTCTGTGTCATAGCACCTTTGCTGTGAGGTGAGTCACCTTAAGGCTCCTGTGAGTAACTTTTGGTTTGTGGTGATTTTGGCGCCCCCTGTGGACAAAGCAGGCTTTACTGATCCTTCCCTCTGAACGCTTTAATGTTGAATAGTGACAAAATATCTCGCCCTGCTGACTTCTGGCAGTTAAATGTATCATTTATTGTGAATATTTTATGTGGAAATTATAAAAACAGGTTTGTTCCTTTCTTGACAGACACCTCGCCCCTCACAACGGTAAAAATGACAAAATAAAAATCATCAGTATTGTGCTGATGGTCTTGTTTGCTATTTTAAACCATGGATACCATGAAAAGACATCAAATTGCATTTCAGTCTATTTCACAAACCTGACAAAACACTTCATAGGAGCTTTCAATAACATTTTTTTTTGTTAATTTTGTTTTATCCTTTACTAGGAAATTGTTTTTACTTGATCTTGTTGAACCATGAACAAGATTAATTTGATTTAAGTCAATGTTTCTATTTTTGCATGTACCTGGCATGTATCTGGTGTAGCTGATACTAGAAGCTCTGCAGATGTTAGTAGTGCTGAACCTGGACTTTGTGAACAATTGAAGAAGTTTTATGAAGAAATCAGGACTGATCTCAATGTGCCAAAAACTTGTCTGGAGGTAAAGCTTTATAAGAACAAACAAAAAGAGGGGAGCACTGAAAGAGAGACTGTCTATGTCATTGATTGGTTGCGGCAGATTAAAAAAAAGCTGTAAACTAGATGCGTTAGGGGCTGAAAATATATGTAGGCAGCTTTAAGGTATCATCTATCTATGGAGAACACTGATAATGTACGCATACCCATTGTAAGCTCAACCAAGTATTTTTGATGCCTGAATTTGAACAAACTTTAACTATTTCCCAATGTGTGTAGAGGCGTAGCTATGGTGACTTTTTGCTGTTGGTAGGCCCATAAATTGAGAAAACAGTCCGGTAGTTTATATACTGCTGGGTGACTGACTTATGCTCAGTGTCTTTGCCATGAGTTAGTTGTCATATTTGGGGGTTTCAGTCATCTGAAGGATTTTTTTGTGAGCTGCAGTTTAACAGGGTGGATAAAGCTGAAAATCAAACTGATGCTCTGTGCAGCAGCAGCTGAGTCTGAACGGAAACATTTATGCAGAGCAGCCAAAGAAGTCCATGCCAATGCTTCGGGGGTAGCCTTCAAGCACTTTAAGTGCCACGTGATCAAACTTCCAGTAGCGTAACCCGCTGATGAATGTGGCGTATCCTGTCAGGGTGTTAAACAAATAACAATGAGTAACATCCTGATCAAAAAGGGAACAACCAAACAGGTTATAATACCGAAGAGTCCTCACCATATCCATCCCGAAAGGCTGCATCAATCCGGCTGGGCACTCCTTCCCAATTATGGATGCTAAGCGGATGGATACTGTCCACGCGGTTCTGCTGAGGATTGAAGGACCAGTAAGATGCAGATTTGAAGAGGTAGACTTTCTCAACATGGTTTTCTTCCCACTTCAGAGCTGCCTGGACATCTGTTACAGGGAGACCCAGCTGCTGCACTGAATCCGGGCCTGTGATCTTCCTCTCAGCATCAAACACCCAGTAGTTATCACCTAGTCCAGGAAATAAAGATACAAATCAGAGCTGACATGCAGACCTGTCTCTATTCAGATGTCATAATTCAGGATAGAACGCTTGTATCAGGAGAACGGTCAGATTTTCTTGTTGTTAGTTTTATGCTCAAAGAGCATTAATTGATCAGGTGTCAGCAGGCAAAAAAACGTCTGTATGGAGAGCAAAAGCAGGAGGAACATAATCCATCATTACTGACGTCCTAGTTCCTGTTGTTAGTAATCTGAGTAGGATTTCTCTCTCTGTATGAACAGATATCTGCACAAAGGTCAGCTAACAATCTGTTCTAGATCAAACATTTACACTGAGACACTTACCTGCTTGGTGCTGAGTCACGAAAGACAATCTGTGTTCAGATTTCCTGACTTCCCTACATGCTTTAGAAATTATGGATCTGACCTGACAAAGCTTGGCTTTTGACTTTTACTAATCGGCATCATGATGTTATTTCAGCAAACTGAGGAGCTGTTAGTGGCGATAAAATCACAAGAAGATAATTTTCAGTTTCGGGTTCAGACTGCTGAAGGAAGCCTCTGTGACTCACTATTTACAATGAAACTGAGACTCACCAAAAAAAGATGAACATTGATCCAGAGTGTAGCGAAACAGAGACTCACCAGACACAGATGAACTGTCAGACAGGGTTAAGCCTCTGCCTTATCTACCGTACCTATCTACTTGAATCTAAGATCGCCTACAAACAGATGACAAGGCTCTACTCAGCGGAATGTCATCTGATGTTGATGAGAAGTGACCCAATTTGGATTTGCTTCTGACCCGAACACATCATCGCTCTTCAGGGCTGTAAACAGTGCAGGGCTCAAGGAAAAGTCTCTCAAGGCTAGTTCATTTATTGGCCATCATTGCCTTTTGAGATGATAGCCAAAAGTCTTAAAAATGTCGTACTTTGAAAGTTTTCCTCATACCCTCTTGATTTGCTTTATCTGTTTCTACGAATGGAGCCTTTTCAAGTTTGCCTCTATGGAATGACCAACCTTGGAAGAACCAGATGTTCCCAGTCCTGTCTTCATATGCAGCATCGATATGGTCGGGAATCCCTCTCCAGTGGCGTGAAGCCAAGGCTGGATAGCCGGCTTGCAGCTGCCCATCGCGTATACGCCAAACGTAGCGAGACTTGAAGAAGAACAGCTCTCCTCTAATCATGGACACTGCGTCAAAGCTTGTCCTGCAGGCATCTGGCTGAGAAACAACACACAAATCAGGGCTTATTTCTGTCTCCAGATACAACACAGTTTCAAAATGTGAAAGTGTGTAAAAGTGTCTCTTTTCATTGGCTTACCATCCCAATGTCAATCTCATTGGTCTCGGTAATATCAGGGGGTGCATACCGAGACGGGCCGTACAAATACTGGATGCCCCTCTTGTCGTCCTCGCTCAGCATCAGAGGGTAGGAGTCGCTGTAGAAAGGATTCATCACCGCATCAGGCTCCAGGGAGTGCTGCAGGCCCAGGACGTGACCAAACTCATGAGCCGCCACCTGCAGGAGATCGGTGCCTAACCAGAGTAAAAGGACAGAAAAAGAAAGGAAGGTTATGCAACTTAGAATAAAAATCCTTAAAACCAAGAAATCCAAAGCTCTGTTCGCCTGAAAGCATCTCAGATTCACTCACCCACATCGTTTCCATATATCCAGTGCTCATCATAGTCAAAGTGAACCTCTCCTTCTCTGTGGGTTCTGGGGAAAAAGGCGTGGGCGAGGATTCCTCCAGGACCATCAAAAGGTAAGCTGTCCCCATGCCAGTACCTGCACAAGCAGTCCTTTTATGGCGAGCATTCTTGTAAATACAACATTGTGCATCTTAAATGTTTCTATGTGCTCAGTTCGTTGGGAATCTAGCTACAAGTATGAAACTGAAAGAGAGAAAAAGTTGCAAAACAGTCATGACCTTGAACTTTGTTTTGCAAGTGAATGTTACGAAAGCTATGAGAGTAACCAATGAAGGCCTGGTCCCAAAAAAAAACAAGGAGTTGACAGTAGTAGTTATGAAAGTCTAACGTAATGCAGCCCCGTGAAACAGGAGAGTTGTCATGACATGGAAATACCATGTGCCAAATGCCAAAAGGACTAATCTGAGCTGATAAAAATGTAGCTGCAGGCTGCCTGTTAAAAAACCCTGCCAAACAAGTCCTGTGTTGTGTTCACTCAGGTTGTAATCTGCTGCTGGGCTTGGCAGGGAAACACCTCATTTTGTTTTTCCCAGGTCACTTTAACAAAAGGATCCAAAGATTTATATGTCAGATACAGAGATCATCTGGAAAACAGGAGGCTGCTGACTGTGGGTCTGTATTTACAGCGTTCTTTTAATCAGTGGTTACATATGCAGACAACGAGTCCTCCATCCCCCACAAAACCAGGTTTTTCTTTCTGACCAAAAGTACGGCATCAGTCTAATGTACGACAGTTTCCCCTTTACAGGATAGATTTGACAAACTATCAAAAATTCCCCAAATCTGGTTTGAATGAAGAAACTTGTTATTTACCAAGAATACTTTAAGAATAAAAATAAGTCACTGTAAGTCATTGGTGGTTAAAAACCAGCTATATGTGGCCTTAATTGTGGACTCTGTGGCTTTTAGCTGGATGACAGCTCCAAGGCTATATTTCATTTTTATAATTTTCATCTGATTCCATTTATTTGCCCCCAGAAATATCCTTTTATTATTTTATTTTATTTCTGGATTACAATGTGAACACATTTTGTCATCTGTAGAGTGTCTAACCCTGTGATGGATGACTAAAATTACAAAATTTTCCACCGGAAAACATATTAAATTAAACAAATATTAACACAACCCAACAAAATATCAATAAAGATTTAAACAAAAACTGCAGTCTACATTAGTATTGTAAGTTGCACCCTGCTAGACTCACTTCCCAATGATGATGTCCAGAACGTCTGAATCTCTTGTTCTACAGAGAGCATTAGATACCAGGGGTTTTACAAATACTTATTATGACTAGTTGCCAGAATGGTACTAATGCACAATGAAAACTGTATTCCGTGATGCAAACATGAATCCCATCATGAAAAGTAAAAAAAAAATTACTGTGTGGCTTTTCTACACAAAACACACCTTGCGCTGGATGTTAGATCCCAGGTAAGTCCCCCTCCCTGTGAAATTTATCACAGTCAGCCAATAAATTTGCTGGTGAAGCCATTTTTAAATAAATGAGCAAATGCTAAATGTTTTTTTCTGGTTATATCATTTTTCAACTGTTATTCTGAGGTTAGCTATGGCATTTTATTTTCCAGCTTATATGGTCTTTATTTTTAACCTCATTTTCCTTTACCTTATTTTCACTATGATGAAGATGATTGCTCTTCCTCCAGTGAAAACTTATATATTTACTCATCAGTTCATTTGACAGGAACAATACATGTAGGCGTTATTACACTCAATTGAAGTGTAACTGATGCACTGTAAGAAGACCTACTAGCCCTCCTTCATTTGAAAGAAGATCAGAAGAAGTTACACCACATGAGTACATACCGTTAATTACATGACATGACTCTGTCTTACCTGTTGAAGTCGATGATGATGTCGGCTTTTTCTGCGATAACCTCTCTGAATGTCAGAGGAGTCACTTCACTCCACACACTGAAGGCCTCCTGCAGGACTCTTCGAACTTTCTCCTCCGTCATCTGCCACGGGAAACGCAGAATCCTGAAGGAAACATCCAACAAATTACAGGCATTAAAAAAACTACTGTATAAACACAGTCAGTCTTTACGCTTTTGGTCTTTTTGGCTTTGATGGGTCATGCAGAGGTGAATTTTAATCTATGACATGACCCAGATGTCTCAGACTACCAGGCCTCAAACCAGTTCAGGTAATTTGGGACCACGCTATGTAAACCCTGCCAGGACCAAGAGGGTGGATGCAACAAACGTACGTGTGCTGTGTTGTGTTTTATTGTTTTCTTGGAAATATTTGACCCTTTCAGTACGTTTGACAAGGAGTACTATTTTCACGTAAAGTCAAAGTCAACTTAATTTTTAATAACATTTAAGCTAAAGTTTAGATATGAAAACAAAAAAGGTTAATTTGTTGGACCCTGTGTGGGTCAAAGCCAATAGCCTGCTGGAAATATGCATTTTTGTTCTATTGCGTCTGCATTTTGGCAGAGGTTTTGGTTTTAAGACTTTGCCAACAAAAACTGACTGTCTGATTAAAATGTAATGAACCATCAATGACCACATTGAGATTTGACCCAATTGTGCAAATTAGCAGGCAGCAGCCTCTGCTGGTGAGGGAGTAAAAGGAGCCAAACACAACAAACATAAGTTTGGATTCAATCTGTGAGGGGAAACACTTTTCTGTCTTGAAATTTCACCTTACTTTTACCTTTTTTTAAGGACACCAATTCACTCACTGTACACAGTACTGAAACCCATAAATAAAAGTGGTGTTTGAAGTTAGAGAGACCTTTGATAGCAAAGTGGGCACTGTAAGATGAAACTGTTAGTCAAACTGTAGTCGTCAGCACATGATATGAAAGGCTGTATTTCTTAGAAATAAAGCCAACAAGAAGGGAGGGGGGTGTCTTTTTGGAAACAAAAGAGGCCCTAAAAAAGAGCCTTGAGGGATGCCACATTAAGCTCAAGTGTACAATCTTGGTTTTACATGTTAGCACCGATACCCGGGGAGGAATTCTTTTAACCAACAGCATCAAATTAAACAATTCGGGGCTTATTCAGACAGTGAACATCAAATATCTGATACATGCATTTTTCCTTACACAGCAGCAGCACACACACACCCTGCCACCTGTTCAGTGCCAGGGGAATCCCTTCACACTGCCTGCGATTGCTGCCGGAGGTAAACTTGTTCATATTACATCCTGCGTGTCATGTCTGAGCTCGTCCACTCAGCTGAACAATAAGAAAAGCCCATTCTGCTTAATCAGTGTTTGATAACACAAAATTGCAAGATTCACACCAAGTGGAACCACTGACAAGTTTGCCAAGACACTCAGGATGCTTACACAGTGTTTCTTTTTAAGGTGGCGCACCTTTTCTTGGTATTTTCTCAGCCTGGAGTTTCTCCATGAAGACATTGTAAATCTTGGTGGAAACATGGAACAACATGGAAAAAAACGCCCTGCCATTCCCCTGAAAAATCTCTGTGATTATGTTTTCCTATTTTGAAGACAAATGCATGGAAATAAAAACATGCACATTGCAAAGAATTGCAGTACTTGTCATCTTTTGTAGAAATAGAATAAAAAATATAGAGCCATGCTGATGCTAATGACACAGATAATGATAAAAAAAAACATATTTGAAGTAGTCCTTGTTACTTTAATTTCTGGAGAACTGGCAAAACCAGGCCGAATCATATGCTCGGTTTGTTGTTTTCAGTAAACTTGACCATTAAGATCTTTGCTCTGTTGCAGACTCTTGTCCTATCTTTCTTTTTTTTGGAAACAGAAAAATTACAAAAATAGATCAGAGTTCATAATGAGTAAAGACTTAGCTGATCTTCTGACAACCAAATGAGAAGGCTAAGTCAAGACATTTATACACCGGTAACATTGATGATTATTAATCAGTGACTCTACTCTTAAGTGAACAAATTTGCTCATTGTATATCCATGTTTTCAGACACTGTTAAATTCAGGGCTACCGTTTATACTAAAGAGAGTAAAACACTTTTTAATAAATGAACACGATAGCTTTATTACTGATTTTGTTTTGGTGTTTTCAGTTGAGATCTCAGCTGAGATCATGACAAAGACATTAAAGAATGTTGAAAATATTTTTAAGATCCTGTTATTTCAGTGGAGAATCCCAAAAGTCTCTGCTTTGTTGAACATAAACCAGACAGTGATTACATTGTCAACACAATGTGATTTGGAAAATAGTTTAGTATAATCCAAACATCATTTCTGAGGACAGGAGTATCCAGGAAAACATGTTATAGCACGCCATATTTGACTTTTGGTACCTTAATGGTGGTGCCACAGGCTGTAAACACAACCCTGGTGTTTAAAGTACTTTATTTAAACATGGGGCAAAAATGCAGAAATCATTTGTAGGTGGATTTCAGGTCCAATATTTACTCTTTGGGAGGTCAAGATCTCTAATGCCACTCTTGAGAAATGCTTGATGCTCTGTTTTCTTCACTTATAACGTTTAAGTCCTGAGTATGAATACGACTCCATGTGACTTAATGATGAAGAAGAAATAGAAGAAGACTTTTAAATAACTTTTTTTTTTACTTAAGACTTAGTTATTCTCTGACTCTAGGTAAAGTTTTTGATGTGACTACGTGTAACTTTATGTGAGTTATCATGATTTTAAATGAGTAAATGTGACTCTATGTTACAATAAATATAATTTTCTCACTAAATACACTGAGATAAAAATATCAGAGGGAATTCCAGTTCCTGTCTGCCTGTCGACACTGTGGCAAAAATGTTATAAGCAACAGTAAACTACATGGGGATGTTTTAATGCTGTAGATAAGTGGTTGATGCCTGACTTTTCACCAGTAGAGAAAAAACGAAAGGAGGGAGAAGTAGCAAGGAGGTCAAAATATGCAAAGAGCTGTGATAGGGACATCTACCAAATTAAAGAAAACAGACACAAAGCGACTACAAACCACAACACAGTTACGAGCTCTGGCAGTGTTACAGAGCAGACTGAGTAAGAAGAAGAGCCATGGAAGTCTTACTCGAGTCCAGCTGCTTTTTTGATCAAGTGATGAACTTATGGTTTTCCTCTTTGACAATCATTTGCTTCACCTCTGTTTAATGTATTTACTAAAGCAGGTTTAAGTCGTTTCAGTCATGTTTAAATTCGGCTCTTGTCTGTGTTTGTGCGCCCCATATGAGCTTTGGCTAAAACGCATTTGTGTGCAGATTTTTATCCTCGTGGTGTCAGAATGTGTTTCCAGTTAGAGTTTACTGCGTACTTTGAGACACTCTCACATGTGTACTGTAGACATTTGGTTATTCCTGCATAGCACCGTCCCTCGCTCATCCTGTAAGAGTGTTTTTGTAAACAGCACAAGAATCTGCCTCGCTGTTAACACAAGCACATATCCACAAACACGTACACAGTTTCACAGTATATGGGGTAATGATGACAGGACTCAGGCCTCTGCTTTTGCCTCTCTGACCACACTGGTAAACACATGAGGCAAATATCAGTGTCTGAAAAATAACAATTATCCAGAGACGTGGCTTCTAATTACAACATGACCCCACAGTTTTATGCTTACTTTGGTTCTTTGACAAATTAAATGTACAAACAATTTACAGCAACAGCTTTTACATCCATGAGACAAAACTTAGTGGGAAACATATGGAAACCACTCTGAATATTTGTGTCCTACTTGTAAGTGAGGTCCGTCTTCTCCCAGCGTCCTCCAAACAGAGCGAACCTCTTCTTCCTTTGCTGTCGTCTCAGGCCTCCCTTCTTCTTCTTCAGGTTGTAGTATGACAGGCCCATCTGTGTTAAAGTGGGATAGTCTGGGACCCCACAGCGAGGTCGCCTCCAGAACTCTGTGTCATTTTTGGGCAGCAGCACTGTCTTCATGTGGAAATCTTTGTTGAGTGTGTCCTGGTCGTGTCGCCCCCTCTTCTTTAGACCGACATGGTTGCTGCTGTGATCCCATTCCTGCAAAGACACAGATGTTCAAATCAATAATTGTTTTGATTACAAATAATCATGGAGTTTAAATTGGAAATTGCAGTTCATAACTTTTTGATCATGATGTTTATTTACAGGCTTTTGTATCTTTATTTAAGGAGATGGGACAGCAGATAGAGGAGGAAAGCAGGAGGGAGATCGGGGCAGTGGCGCTCCAGAAATGGGGGCTCCAGGCAGGAATCGAACCCAGGCTGCCTGCTCTGTACATGGGATGCATGGCTTAACTCAATCCAAGTCAACTTTATTACACAAACAGGCTGCCCAAAGTGCTTTACCAAGGAACAGACAGAAAAGAACACTGAAAGCTAAAATAATAATAGACTAAAACACTAAGAAAAGAGTAAAAGAAATAAAAGTAACACTTTATTTGAACCTACCTCTCATAACACTGTGTAAGTACATTTATAGAGCCTTATAAATGCATCTATAAAGCTTTATAATAACCCTTATGAATGATAATAAGTATCCATAACAACTCAGTGTTTATGAAGTGTTATGAGCAGTCCTCGTAAAAGTGTGGTTTATCAAAGAAACTGTACCAGCAGACTCAAGAGTGACATCTTTTAGTAACCTGTATTATCAGTGCAGAACTCCAGCTCTAATGAGTGTCCGGGTGACCCTCAGTGAGTCATTACCCTCCTATACGGTGTTGTTTCTGTCCTGCTGATTTGACTTTTTGAAGCCAGCGTGGTCAGCAAGTCCCGCTGCGATTATCGGCACAGCCCACTTCTAAAGACGCTGAGTGGGCTGTCAAGATGCGTTGGACTTACAGTTTACGCACACGTCTGTGAGGCCTTGAGGTTGAAATTACTATGTGAGCATTAATAGTACATCCTTGTCATGTGTCACTATGTCACACGCCTTTAAACACATCTCCAGATTCACTGACTACAAAAAGTGAGATTCACTCCTCCAGATCTGTGTGCAAAAAAAGGGCATGAAAGGAGAGCCTGTTCATCTGCTTCTAGTCGGTTTGGTTTTACTGTAAATACTAAGTTGCACAAAGGCGTCGATTTGGTCTAGTTTATTAGTACCATGTAACTACAAGCCACAGGTGATTATTGATAACTCCCCAAAAATTATTAAAAAGGAAAAGCCTCTTGAGATCAAAATGTTGTTCAAAGGGGGTTTAGATGGGTCATTTTGACAAATCTGAGCAGATTTTTTGATGCTTATATTCAGATTTCTCTTTCAAACAATGAATAAAAGCCATCAGGTTACTTCCAGTTTGCCTAAATGACATCTTGATGTTGATCTTTCACAAGTACTGGAGCCTGCTGATACCTGAATAATCAATCAATCAATTTTAGCAGACCTCTACTGAAAATTACTCATACTTCGATAAATCCTTTGTGTATATTTTCACAGGATCATTTAAAAGACACAAACCACCTTCTCTCATTAGCTTTTGTGAAATTATGACCTCTTCATTTCCTTAGCCAAAACACTCGGATCCTTACCTCGGGTGAATCTGGAAAACATGTTTGTACTGTTTGTATCTGGAATATCAGACCACCTACAGTCTCATTGCTTTGAGCCACAGTAATAAAGAGCCTGTCAGAGTGAAATTATGATATATGAATCTGTATCAGAAACCTCCCAGAAACCACTAATCTGTGAAGTAAAACCAGACAGCTGTGCTCTTTGTGTTTCAGAGCTGAAGGTGAAACAAACAGGATTAGTCTCAGTTCACAGACACAAGGTCAGTTAAAGATTAAAGCTTTACGGAGAGGCTAATTACAGTCGAATTTATTGATGAATGATCTGACATGATTGTTAAACAAATGCACAGATCAAAGAGACTCCCAAATGTTTAAAAAACAGATTAAAATCTGACGTTTGAAGTTCTAAACAATTAAAGGCACGCTCACCCTGAGTCACCCTGCAAAACAACACCTGAGCCGCTCAGGTGCGCCATGTGGGTCAAACAGCCGTTCATTACGCTGTCAGGAAAAGACTCCAGAGGTTTTCTGCATCAACATGTGTGATTAATGGGTATTACCTAACTCACTTTTACATTTATTTACAGACGATATACCTGAGTAGTCTGTGAGCTCAAATTTCATTTTCTTCATCTGATGCATCAGCCCCCTCCTCTTCATTTGACCTGATTCACGTCACCCAAGGCTGCCTTCTCTGTGTTAACAGGTGGGACATGGGTCAAACTAGAACTTCAAAATACAGGTCGAATGTCTCAAACATGTTTTCTGTCATTAAAGAAAGTTTTTTATCACAAAGCTGGTAAGTCAGTTTTAAGCTGTCTGGATGTGTTTTCTACAGCAGGCCCTGGTTGTACTACCAACTAATAGTATACTAAGTATGCCGAAAACTGGACGCTGAGCGAATAAAATATTTTTCTGTTCATTTCTCTGGTTACAGAAATTTCACATGTAGTTTAAGTTTAAGCCTCACTCTGTATGACATAATGTCGGCATTATTCTATGAGCCTGCCCCCAGATCTCCACTTTGTTAGACCAGGTTTTAGGACCATCTTAGGACTGCTGCCAACATTTTGTTTTTCATCTCCTCTTTAAAATAAGCAAATAAATGTGTCAAAGACAGTATGCTCTGTAAGGCATGAACACCCAAGCAGTCCATCTGTGTTGACTCAAAGAGAGCGCATATTTGTTGATACCAGAATAAGAGGAATCAGATAAATCTACTCAAATCAAGTCAGTAGTATTTCTGTACTGAGAGATGACTGTGATGTCTGTCCTCTCATTGGTCCTTGAGGTCAACTGATTACAGATATAGCTCCAGATTAAACCCAAACAAAGATGTCAGCACCCATTTTAACATTATCAGCTAACAGAAACAATACAATGTCACTAAAATCAATCTTTAATTTGCAATCTAAAATTTTCACAGATCAGTTTTGTTTTTGAGGGAGTGGATCCATAAAGTCTCTAAAAACACGCAGATTTTCTCTAAGAGATAGAAAAGCTTCTGGTTGTTGGAGAAACACATAAAGATTAAGGTTTGAAAGTTGACAGTCTCACAAAGAAAATTTATTTTGAAATAATTTGCAACATGGTACAGCTCAATTTTGATATCAAAATCAGGAAAATTTCAATGTTGGACAGCAGAGACATCAGATGAGAAATATGCACTGTGTTTACTAAACTCCATTCTGGTTTCTAAAGTTCCTTGAGGGGCTTCAATGATTTCAGCACACAGAGAGTAAACTTTGATCCAGAAGTCCAATAAAAGTTATCCAAGACTCCATTCAGTACAACACATACCCAAAATATCACCAATCAGACACTCACTGACTGGTTCTGGACTGATGTGATCTGAAACAAACAGGTTTAAATTCCTGCACCTCAGACTTCATAACAGACGGTGTGGTTGCTCTGGCAGGTTTCAGAGGATTTTAATAAAACTGCAGCCACAGGTTTCACTAAGCTGCTGAAATGACGGTGAGTGACAGAAATAAGAAAGCGTTTGGGCAAGAATCATGTTTTCATCCGAACAGCATAAACACAAAGTCACATGACTCAGAAACAAAGCTGCGAGTATGATGGGGTGATCCTGGAGAGCATGTCGCAGCAGGACCCTGCGGTTTCTCTGTCTCTCCCAAACTGACGTGCCCGAGCTTTAACCCACATGAAGCTTTGAGCCGTCTACAGAGAGGAGCATTGTTGTTTTATCTCGAAGGTGGCATCTGTTACATCCAGGAGTCTTTGTTAATGTCACTCAAACATTTAAATACAATGTGTGCACGCAAGTAGAAACATGCACATGACATGAAAAAATGCCCCACATGCAGACACACACAGAGCTGCATCACACACGGTGAGCAGATGTCTGGAAAGTCCCCGTTCAGTCATGACATCAGGTTGTCTGCAAGGGAGTGTGTGCATGTAAGGATGCTGATCGGACTTTACCAGGATGACTAACATAACCGCATTTTAGTAAGATCTGACCAGACTGAATTTCCCCCCACACTGCAAACATGATACAATCTACCTCCTCTGACTTCCTGCTGCAGGAAAACTCCAGATAAATGATGCATAGAAAGGAAGACATTCATCAAGAGTAAATATTTAACCCCCAAACCTCCCGAATATCCTCAAGTATCCTATGTTTAGTACACAAACCCAACAAGTATGCCAAGTGTTTGCAGGATATAGAGGATCAGATCTGTTATGAACACCTGCAGAGCAAAACATATGCAATGTTGTTGGAGACATGAGCAGATTGGTGAGAAGATACTGTGCAAAAAGTTTAATAACCCAAGAAGAAGAAACAGAGTTAAGACACAGGTCAGCAGATAACCACGGGCTAAAACAATGGAGCTGCTGCAGATTTAGCTGCTGACTCTGCAGGTTAAACTCCTTTCTTCATTATTTTGATTTAGCTTTATTTAGACTATAACAGCTGCTTTAAGTTCAAGTAGATAACTATTGTTTGTAAATGCACTTTATGCATCAGTACAGAGGATTTTTAGAGCCAGAGATGCGAAAAAAACATCAAAATGCAGAGAATAAAGCACAATTAGTTTTAAGGCAGAAGTTGAAGAAAGAGAAACCGTTGGTCCAATCTCAGGACTTGCTTGCTGTCATCTGATGATACTTTTTTTTTTCAGAAACAATAGCAAACATTTCAAGCATTCCAGCATAGCCACCCCTTAGGGATACAAGACTTCTAGCCATGACTTGCTTTTCTCTCCACTGCTCCATTGTTTACAGTCAAGCTGCAACGTTACGAGAGGCCGTGTGTGAATCACTTCTTCATATAAGTCACTGTAAACATTAGATTACAGAGAGGCATCACTCTGGGTTACAAGTAGTCTGTTTTGATGAGTCCCAGTTATCGTCCTGTTTATCTACAGTAAGTCTAGGGTTCACTGTAAATACAGCAGTAAGTTACTCCGTCTTCTCACTCATCTGCTTCTTAGTCTTACAGTTTCTCTGTTCAGTGATCAGCTACACAGGCGTCCTTGTATCTTACTGGTCAGCTTATTCTGGTGAGTCATGGTTATACTGTAAATAGTGAGTTACTCAGAAGCTTCACTCTGGATTACTTCAGTAGTATAAATGAACCTGAAGAATAAACAGTTTTCTTGTGATTTTCTCGTCATCAACAGGTCTTCAGTTTGATAAAATAACATCGTAATACAGATTAGTCAAAAGTCAACCTTCATGACCTTCATGCAGATATCTGTTTGTACAGAGAAATAAATTCTAACAACTGGAGCTGGGATGACATTATGTTGGACTGTTTAATCCTGCTTTTGCTCTGTATACAGACTGGTTTTCCTGCAGACACCAAAGCCTGCTGATGCCTGATTGGTCAGTACTACTATAAGTACATACAAAGACCAAAACACCTCTCATGTTATCATCCAGACCTTTAGTATAGACTCTTTAATTTGACGTAGTCCAATAGTAGATAGTTAAGTTGAATTGGAGCTGCAAATGTTATTAGTCATCTGTTAAAGATGATATCACACAATAAAACTGGATTTATTGCTTCTATAATAACTGCAGCTACCTTAAGGTGTGAAGTGTGTAATTATCTTTCATTATCAGCACCTCAGAGCGACAGGCGAAACCTTAACAGACCTTCACTAAAATCATGAACATATACATAATGTTTAACTCAAAGCTCGAGGAAACAGAGATTGTGTAAATAACTCAAACCTGTACTTGTGGCCTCTGCCGTGAAGAGTGGTCTGGCCCATTTATCACAAACAAACCCTAAACTGTTGTGAACTTTCACTCAGCGTATCACCTGTTCTGCTTTACTCTGAATATAAACACCATGTACAAGAAGAGTCACTGTAAACATTTTAGTGAATGACTTTGACTTACTGAATTTGAGGTAAAGTAGGGCCCCATTTCTCCATATCACTGCTACCACCAGAACTGCCCAAAGAAATTCATGATTTATCTGCTTATTAATGATTGGTTGATTTTTTGGCTTGTAAAAAGTTCAAAGGTTGTAAAACAGGTTTTCAGAATCCCAAGCTTGCAAAAGTATCACAACAGGCTAGTAACATTATTGGGTATTAAAAGGACATTCAGAGAGGCTGAGTCTCTCAGAAGGAAAGATGGGAAGAGGTTCATCACTCTGTAAGAGACTGTGTGAGCTGATAGTTCAACAGTTTCAGAAAAATGTTCCTGAGTGTCAAATGTGAAAGAATGAGTGGATTTCATCATCTATAGAACATAATATTATTAAAAGATTCAGAGGATCTGGAGAAATCTCTGAACACAAGGGACAAGGACCAAAACTAAGACTGGATCATCCTGATCTTCAGGCTCTCAGGCAGCACTGCATTAAAAAGAGACAGGACTCTGTAGTGGAAATCACCACATGGACTGTAAATCACTTCCAAAAACCAATACAATTCATCACTGCATCCACAAATGAGGTTAAAACTGAACAATGCAAAGAGGAGACCAGACGGAAACATGATCTACAAACATCAGAGACTTCTCTGGACCTGAGCTCTATAAGATGGACTGAGGGGAAGTGGACAACATTGCCATCCAGACAGTGACTTTTTCAAGGAAGATCATCACATTTCAAGACAATCAAACATTACATTCTAGTGAAGCATCAAAACTTTGAGGTGAGCAAACAAAATTTCCCCCTGACATGTGAAGGAGTGGAAGATAGAAAACAAAAAATCCAAAATGTAATAACAGGTGCGGTACCTGAAATATGTTTGTTAACTCAGTTCTTGGGTAAATACAGGAGTCTTAGCGCTCGTACTATGCCGTCAGGGCTTGGCTGCGTGTTTGATAGATTAATCTGTCAACAATGAAGACCCATTATGTGACATTTTGAGCACTTAAATATGAAGGATCATATATAGGATTCTTTTGTCGTTTCATCATGTTTGGCAGCTCTGCTTGTTTTCTGCAGACACTCTGAAGGATGCACAAATAAAAAGCCTCAAAGGAGCAGCTCACTCAAATCTTTGAGAGCAGCTTTCTGCTGTTTTCTCCGTTTCTCCTGAGTCAGCAAACAAGCCAAGTTTTTATCCTTCACCGGGTGCCAGATGACTTGCCTCTGCTTGCTTAATCTCAACGTCTAACACAAGCAGTTGACAGATTTACCGGAAAGAAGGAGCGCAGCCAAAAATCTGCAGAAAGTTTGAAACAAAAGTTGATCTTCTCTAACTTTTAGCACAAAACAAGAATGTGATAAATGATCCTGCATGCAGGGCAAGAAATGTTTTATAGAAATCAGGATTCTCAGATAATTTAGATTTATTATCTTTACAGGGGTTTTGAGTGAAAACAATTCAAGCTTTCAAATATTTTTACAGCTTTAAAGCTCTCCTGTAGCTGTGGGAAGTGTCAAACTCAGTAAAAATCTCATAACAAAGACACAATAAATGTAAGCCAATAAAACGAGCAGACTCGAGGAACAAAAGCACTCACAGATTGAGCTCAAAGTTCACATGCAGCTTTGTTAGAAACTAAAAAGGAGCGCAGCCTTTGATTACAGCTGGACAAAAAGTTGGACACAGTATGACTTCATTTTTAACCTTATTAAGCTTTGAAGTGACTCTCATTAAATATAATCACTCACATGTGATTCTGTGGCTCAGTCTCTTGTCTCACTCTCACAAATGTCCTCTATTTTCTCACCAGCTCATACTTTCTCCTCATTCAAACTTTACCCTTCACCTTCAGAGCGTTTCAAACTCACCTGCAGCTGCTTGTGCTTGCTGACAGTCCTGCGGTCGTGTGGAGGCAGAGAATAAACGCAGAGGAAAAGGTGCAAAGCCAAGATGCTGCTGCAGAACATCATCTTGTTGCTGAGACGCGGGCCGGCACAGACACAGTGAAGCAGAGCAGACGGTGGAGGAGGCTTAATGAAGGCGGCCGCTGAGAGAGGAGGAAGAGTGTGCAGGAATAATGACGGCAGGGGATCTTATAGCCTGCAGCCGGGTTTCTTTGTCCTCTTCTAATGACACTTTTATGAGTCTGCTCAGATGCACTTCTTGATTTAACCCATTTCCTTCCAAATATGAACAGGAAAAATGCATGAGGACGTCTACAGTAGAGATGACTGAAATACAGAGACTAAATGCCATGAAATAAAGGAGCATTTCAGACACTTTTTAAGAGTTTGTTTGGAAACTTATTTTTCATGAAAACAGCTGTAAAGAGGTTGAATAACTCCTGGGCTTATGATAAAAACAGCTGCCGAACACAGGGAGACAAATGAAATAAGATGATCTTTCTCAGGTCAAAAGTTTTTAAACCAGCTAAATAAAAATCACAAATGCCTGGCTACCACAGAGAAATTTCTCTACCCCCTGAGTTCTCTGCAGGTCACACTTTCTCACAGCAATCCATGCACACCTTCAGTGTCACAAGTGAAAAAAGAAAAATACCTGCACGTATTCCTGTCATTGCAAAAAGACAGGGAGCTACACAAAATTTTCAGATAGGGCTGTATGTGTGAATGCTTTTCTGCAGAGGTACAAACAATCCAGATTTTTCTCTTCAGTTTGGACTGTTGCTATCTTCAGTACTGTCCTCCTGTCCTGCTGCTAGACTATGTGGATTTACTGAAGCTACTGCTGCAAAAAGTATGTTAATATGACACGTTTGTTAATTTTACCCAAGTTAGGTTGAAAATCAAGATAAATCAAATAGTCAACATGTTCATCCCTGACTCCTGCAGATAAGCTTTGAGACACTTTGCCAAGGGGGGAAAGGGAGGACACCTGCACCTGCTGCGCTCCATGGGACAGACACAGCTAACTGATAAGGCCTCAGAACAGAGAAGTTTCACACGGAGAGCATCTGAGGACAACCTGCACCAACATCTGCGCTGATCTTTGTAAGCTCTGAGTCAACTCAGGACAAACTGTCCATAATAAACCTTTGCTTGACCTCAGACAACTTTTACATGCACACTCACACAGACATCACCCTGACATGTGAGGAAGATGAGTGTGTCCTGAATGACATCATGGACATTAGTCACACTAATTGCCACACACATACACACACGCACACAAAAGGGACAGGTAGGTGCTGTCCCCCAATATAACATATCCACCCTTTGCTTAGAGAGTAAAAACTAGTGTAGCATTTCTTCAGCTCACTCTACATCTTCTCTTTCTCAGGCTTAACTAGAGGAAACTCTGACGATCTCTGCTGTCTCTGTAAATAGGCTTACCCTAGAGAAAACCTGTCTTATAGGTTTTCAATCTTTTGGCCACTGATTTTTGTTTGCATCTGCGGGTCATACAGTATGTTTAGTTGATTTAAAAATGATTTAAAAATTTTGAGCTCACTAAAATTATAGAAATTCATACTAAAATCACAGCAAAATGTATACATTTCATGCACTAACATAACTAGGTAATGTGATCCTGGATCAATTTCCTCTTGCATGGGAGAAAGTGGAGGGGAAAAAAGGAAACAAGGAGAAGCTATCACATCGTATCACTTGGTATCACATCGAATTGATGGGCGTTGTATTGTATCATCTTGTGCACATGACGTATAATACCTTATTGTATCATGGCATAGCTTAACATAACGTCTTATCTTATAGTATCTTATTATCATACATTATATACCACATCATATTGTATCATATCCCATTGTAAACTTTTTTTGCAGAAGCTTTAATGATTGCTAGTAGTTTCTCCTTTAAAAATGTATGTCAACATTTTCTTTCACCATAAAAACAAATCAGAGTCTGGGTCAACAGGGGACTTCTTCTGACCAATAAAAAACCTCTGCTCTGAAGTGCTGTTGGCTGCAGGCATTAAACTTATGCAACACAACATATAAACATCAGTACACAAAACAAACCTGAATCTAAGTAGTTTTAACTGCTCTGAACAGTGTCAGTCAACAATCACATGCAAGATAAATTTTTTCTAGATGCTACAACAAGTTGAGCACAAAAATTCCAACAGCATCCACATTGGTTAATTTGAAAAAGGGCATGGATTGGGCTTGAACCACCTCATATTTGATAATCAGTTATGATTGGCCTGACCTGAATCAGGTGAGGTTTAAACCAATCTGAACAGAGGAGAGCAGGATGAATCTGACACAGCAAATAAAACACAAGTTAACAGATCTGATTACCAGTCAGACGCTTTGTAAACACAGATGAAGGTCTCAGTTTAGCTCACCCTCAATGACTCACAGCACTTAAGTCAACGCATACATGATCCTAAACCAGAGAAACCAGAGGGATCAAACTAACTCCTGCAGGTATCCTCCTCGGGTTAACCACAGCCTGACTGGAGAACAATTACTCCTCTGTCTGCAGGAGAGTTTCCTCCTCTGAGTCGTAGAGGCAGTAAAATGTGAGCAGCTGCCGTGTCTGGAGGGGAACACTTTTTAGGTTCTTTGTGTGAAGCAGGCTCTTACTGACAGGAGAGGGAAAGTCTGGCTGACAGACACAGATTTATGTTTGATAAGAGAAACAGTTAATCATGAGATTCTCCACCAGATGACAGTTTGGATGTCTGAGCTTGAATGCTCTTCATATAGACTCAAAAAACTGTAACAGATTTAGTTGGCAAAGTCTAAGCCTGACAAATTCACAGTCACAGAAAATGTACTGAGCACAAAACACTTTGAACTATGGCAGCTGTGCAGGAACCAGTGTAAAAACACACTTATCCTTACATGCAAAGTGACATTTTTTTTCTTTCATGAATTATCAAGAGTAAGTTACAGACTCATCTACTAGAGGAAAACAAAAAAACTGCACTTAGTTTTGTGCCAAATATGAAAAACTGTAATTACAAGTCTCAGGGTTTCATAGTTAGGACCACAATGCCCCCTGTGGACAACATATGTGATGAAACGCTCACTCTCAGTTTGTCATTATTCATAACTTTGGAAGTCCACTGCAAAAAGGCTCCAAAAAAAAAAGCATTCATTATAACTTTGCAAAAAACATTATTGCAAAATCTCCTTTTGTTTCGATATGTATCATTATGTATTATTTAATGTTCTGCATTAAGTAAAACCCTTCTCTTTGTATGACATATTAATGTGATTAATTACATATTTTCAATTTTCAAGTATTTCTGTTTGTGGCAAAATATTCCTTTTTCATTCATGAAAGTTTGTATATAATAGAATATTTTTGCTTTGCATGTAATTATTTTTGTGGATTGTTTTTGTATCTCATGAACTACTTTTATCTCTTGTGGAGTGTTTGTTTTCTGTTACACATCATTAGATATTCTTACGTTTGTAAAAAAGGATTTTTGCATTTGATGAAGTATTTTTGCATTTTGTTAAAATTATGTTTAGTTTTCATGGATCATATTTGTGGTTATTAAAATATTCTTTATCATGAGTTGTTTATGCAGGTCAGTCTTTATCTAAAATAAGTGCTATCTATCTATCTATCTATCTATCTATCTATCTATCTATCTATCTATCTATCTATCTATCTATCTATCTATCTATCTATCTATCTATCTATCTATCCATCCATCCATCCATCCATTGAGGGGATCCGTCACTACACGACTCTTTGAATGCAGTAGGGGGCGCTCAAGCGTCTTCGATGGTTACCAACCAACAGCAGAAGAAGAAGAAAACGTAGCGGAAGGAAAATCGGGCTAGCCTGCTAACTAATATAGCATCTTTTTGCTGCCTGTAGTTCTGTGTAATAATGGCGCCTTTAGACCTTGATAAGTACGTTGAAATAGCGAGACACTGCAAATACCTTCCTGAAAATGATTTAAAGGTGAGTAGCTGTATTAAAGTGACAGATTTGGAATATTTGTCGTAAACAGAAATGGTAACTGGAGCGAAGTTTGTCCAACGGCCGCGGCTAAACTTATGAGCTAACGTTAGTTATTACACAGGACTGGTGAGGATGAGGGTTATTTTGGAGAAGATAAGGTTATTTTGCTGTCGATTGGAGTGATTATCAGAATTACGATTAATATTGAGTTTAAATGTGAATTTAAGGGAAATCTCTGATGTTCAATATTGCTAGTTAGCTCACAGTTACATGTCAGGAGAGGTAAACAGCCTACAGTCAGCAGATTCTCCCTGTCTCCAAATAAAACCGCTACTATCTTCAGTAATATTGTTGAAAACCTGTTTTATATTGCGATTCGTCACTCAAATATTGAGCCAACTCAAAAAACCGAAGAGATATTCCTAACTTCTATACTGAAACTGGAATCACAGTTTCTCTATCGCTCCCTGTTACAGCACAGTGTAGCTTAAGGTAACAAAAATGTTTGCGTAGCTCAACATAGCATATCTTTTCTTATTGTATGTTATCATACATTATATACCGCATCGTAACGTATCATGTCCCATCGTAATGTCATAATGTTTTAAAACATATCGTATTGTATCGTATCGTATCCTACCGATATGTATCATATTGTATCCCACTGACGAGCGTTTCGGTATGTAATTAAAAAAGGCAATCTATGAAGTTTGAATACTCAAAAGGGGACATGTGGCCATGTACTGTAGCAGACATACTTTTGTCAGAAAATTGGTTCTCACCTGGTACAAAGTTAGCTCACAGTTGCATGTCAGGAAAGGTAAACAGCCTACAGTCAGCAGATTCTAACCGAGGAATAGGAAATTACATTATGATACAAGAACGATACAACGCTACTGCAATAATAATGAAATTGAATTAAATCAATGGGATATCGGGATTACTCATACTGTTGTGCATAATTAACTTCCACTCAAATGCATGTCTTACATTTTTTAGCCATTTTTACACAGTAAGGCATTATCTCTGTTTAGCTTTATTATAATACTGCTGTTAACATGATAACTGAGCACTGACAGTTCACCTATCATGTTGATCTTTTTCAGAGGTTGTGTGATTATGTTTGTGATTTACTGCTGGAGGAATCAAATGTTCAGCCGGTCTCGACTCCTGTTACTGTTTGTGGAGATATTCATGGTCAGGTATGTTGTACTAACCTCTGTTTTCTTGATGTAACATAAACTTGACACCTTCATAGGTCAACAACTGTAGTGTTAAGTTTTCAGAATGACCGAAAATCCAGCTCTGAGTGTGTTATCAAAACTGTTTGTATTTTATGTTCCTGTTTAGTTTTATGATCTTTGTGAGCTCTTCAGAACTGGAGGCCAGGTCCCAGACACAAACTACATTTTCATGGTAAGTGACATAGGTGTCTTTGTTAATCTTGTACAGGGCCTGTGATATCCAGCTTTGTGTTTTAACAACTGAACAGCATAATGCCAGTGCATGCCAGAGAGGCTTCAGAAACTGACTTGGTCTTAATACTTATTTACTGTTTATTTAAAAACTTGTGTCTGATTTTTTCTTTCCCGTAGGGAGACTTTGTAGACAGAGGATATTATAGTTTGGAGACTTTTACTCACCTACTCGCTTTAAAGGCAAAGTGGCCGGATCGTATCACACTTCTACGTGGAAACCATGAGAGCAGGCAAATAACACAAGTCTATGGCTTTTATGGTATGAACAAACTGTTACTGCATGAATTGAAATATTAAAACCTTTCTTTCTTACATGCTTTTAAAATCTAGTTGCTGTTTGTTCTTCCTCTTTTTATTTCTTTTAGATGAGTGCCAAACAAAATATGGGAATGCAAATGCCTGGCGGTACTGCACAAAGGTGTTTGACATGCTGACTGTGGCAGCAGTAAGTCAAATCAAGTTTTTTTTTTCTTTGAATACTTGATCAAATATGCATTCTCTGTAATATAACACATGGATTTACAAGTGTAGAAAAAGCTGCATAAACACATTTGAGAGTCAATCCAAAACCTGTGCTTTAATTTGTTTCAGTCTACGACATTTGTTTCACACACATGCTCACATGTGACTTGTGATCTCTTTTTGGCAGTGTGAACAGTACAAGTTACATTGAATCTGATGTTTTTAAATCAGCCACATCCATATGTAGTACAAAATAGGATACAGATCAGATCCTTTAGATTAGAACATGGTAAAAGCCAGGCTGGGATGAATGGGTATTATCAAACTTTTATGGAGTTTGTTTGACACCTAGTGGCCAAAAATTCACATTGCCCTTTTAAGCTTTAAGTCACTGTAAAGCAGATTGTATTTGGGTTGAGGGCACATTAACTTATTCTTTGTACCTAATGTGAATGTATTTCATGTCCTTGTCTCAGCTGATAGATGAGCAGGTGCTGTGTGTTCATGGTGGACTCTCACCCGACATCAAGACTTTGGACCAGATCCGCACCATTGAACGCAACCAGGAGATTCCTCACAAAGGGGCCTTCTGTGACCTGGTGTGGTCTGACCCAGAGGATGTGGACACCTGGGCCATCAGTCCCCGAGGAGCAGGCTGGCTGTTTGGCTCCAAGGTCACTAATGAGGTGTGTAAAGTGTTGTTTTTTTTAACCTTTTTTAAATAATGTTCATAGTCTTTTTTGTGTTTATACTCTTACTATTATTTGTTCTGTTGTTATAGATGTGGCTGCTGTTCATCATTGACTCTATAGCATCCGTTTTGTTGAAGGTATTTGTATTTTTGTTTCAGTTTGTTCACATCAACAACCTCAAGCTCATCTGCCGCGCTCACCAGCTTGTTCACGAAGGCTACAAGTTCATGTTCGATGAGAAGCTGGTGACCGTGTGGTCAGCACCAAACTACTGTTACCGCTGTGGGAACATCGCCTCCATCATGGTCTTCAAAGATGTCAACAGACGAGAGCCAAAGCTGTTCCGCGCCGTCCCCGACTCTGAGCGCGTCATACCTCCAAGAACAACCACGCCATACTTCCTCTAATGACAGACCGATCTTCTTTCCCTTCAGAGGTCTCAAACTTATTTATATGCAACATATTTTTATGGGAGTGATGTCACATTCAGGTGAACAGTCTCGGGTTACAAACGGTTTCCTTGGCCATCAGCCTTGATTGATTAAAAAAACATTTTCTCCTTCTGGGAAAATGATTCTTTACCAGTTCTTCATATTTTATTCAAGAGGAAATGTTGTAAGACTTAGTTTCCATGTTATGTATCCCCTCATAATAAACCGTTTAAACTGGTGATAGCTGGCAATAACACCCACAGAGATAAAGTGATGTATATTTTTCTTTATTTTATATCGTAGCAGTTTGAGCTCATGTTGCCTTTTGAAAGTTTTAAAGGACAGAAACTGTTTAAAAACTGCTCCTGTGAAAAACAGCTGCTGAGCCATCCTCCAGCACTCTGCCTTAAGTGCTGAATTCATTTCATTTTTACACTTTATTTTTAATTTATTGTTTTTAAAAGTGTCTTCTATCACTGCTGACATGATGTGTTTTAAGACAAGTGTCAGTCTTAAACTGGATTTTATTTTCTGATTTGACATTGTGATAAAGTGTTGCTGAAGACGTGGCTTCTTTAAGCAATATCATCAAACTTCAAACACACAGTTTTACAGTGAAAGTGTATTTTCTGGAATAACACAGCTCAGTAGGTGACTTTGTAACAGAATTGTTCCATTTGACTTTCTTCTGTTTTGTAACTTCAATAAAAATATTATTCATTAATCCTTTTCAAGGGTTGTGGTCACTTTACCAACTGATGGATTTCTACAATGACGACTGTCAATTGTTTCTGATGTTGCTGCAGAGAACAGGGTTATAGAAATGGTCATAGTGACATTGTACATCAAACCTGCATGGTTTATATTTTAATGTGAACCAAGTGAGGAAAAATAGCTGATGTAAACATGACTGTAGGAGAAGTCCAGAACAACTTAAGCTGTAGAACAGGTACTTGCTTTAGAGGTCCTAAAGTTTACATTATTATACTGGAGGAAATCTGCAGACTTCATACTGGTGGGCCAAAAATAATACAAATATGATAGGATCTTGTGGGCCAGATATAATTGTTTGACGGGCCAGATTTGGCCAACGGGCCTTGAGTTTGACACCTGTGCTTTATACTCTAAGTATCACCAATGTGCATTAATTTGTATTTTGACGAATGATAAAACGTTTACGAAAAAAAGTATATAAATACGGTAATATAAGTAATTTATAAGTATATAAATAATTTCTCAAAATGCACTTGATAAATTAGTGTTGTCTTCACAAGTTACATTGACAAATTGGATTCCAAAAACGATGGAATTTATGTGTAATATTGGTAAGATTTTTTAGATTTGCAAACAATGGAAAGCCTGTTTTTAATTTACAACAGTGCAAGGACACCATATTAGAGGTTGAACTGTGTAAAAAACATGAGCTCGTTTATAATACAGGCCCAAGTATATGTGCTCATTTAAGATTTAAAGCCCTTTCAAAAAAGTGGTACAAAGACACCAAAGTGACAATGAAGAATGTAATAATGAAAAAAAGGTATCAAACTGTGAGCCTCCCTCTGACTCATTGAAGGAGCATTTGCGTTTTGTCTTTGATGAGGCTTTTACTTTGACAGTGTTGACCCGGAAGTAGCTAGCCAGTTGTGGTGGATGGTAGCCAGCGGCTGTCTTTACCCTGCTGTCTCCTCTGCTGTCACTGGAAAACAGCCTTCCTCACTGAGCTGCCCCCCTTTTTTTTCGGCTTCTGACAGCAGCTCCGTCCTCTCTGCAGCGGGACACGGCTCGTCCCTCAGCCGGCCCGGGTGTCACTCTCAGACGGACTGAGATGCCATCAGAGTCCCGCTCCGCCCTCAGAGCTGGTCTCGGGTTTAGCTCGGGTTTGTAGAAGCCTCCTCACTGTGGTGGTGGTCCTCCGCTCTCTAACGTTAGCCGGCTGGCTAAAGAGGTAAGAAAGACAGACAGCAGCAGCACCTCTGCAGACAAACTCTTTGACCTGTCCGTGGCACGGATTATCCTTCATACATGATTATCTTAATTTTATTGTAATAACAGAGAAATGTTCTGGTGATGGTTATAATGGAGGTTACATACAGAAGAATATCTGTGTTATAGCTCACGGCTAAATGAAGCTCGGTCTAATTAGGTAGATTAATGTTAACCGAGTTCACTTCTGTCAGATTTAGTCAAGTTATGACCACAGCTGAGCTTTTTAATCACAACATCAGTTCATATTATTGGTAACACGCGGGAAACATCACATCAAAAACTCCTGACTGACTGATTTCTCCTGATTTTGGAGTAAATGTATGACAGAATTTCCAAATTAAGGGTTTGTCATGTGTTTTAAATGTTACATTTTTGCTTTACTGAATCTCCTTTGACTGGGATCACCCTTGCATGCAAAATCACTCCACTTCTTCATGACATTTCATTCATTCATTTTTCTATCAGCCTATTGGTTTCCCTCTCTCTTACTTTGAGACAACTCCACACTGGGATGAGTCATCTCTGAATATCTGAATAGTGGTTGGCAGGGTTCAAAATTAAAGGTGCATTGTGTGGAATTTGATGGTACTTCTCAAAAGAAATATGTGTTATGCAGGGGTTTCTTTGAATTAGTTTATACTGAATGGAAAATCACAATTGCCTAATTTCTGATGACTTTGGCTGTGTCAGAAATAAATCACTCAGTCCCTAACCCCCATATGGGGTTTTACTATATAGTTGACTATGTAGTGAACTCAATCACCAGAGGTTTCGGACACTACATGGCAAGACGCAATGCATGACGGGATGCCGCCACTGGTGAGTGACCATCGGATGCTCACTACATTTTGCATGCTTTATGGGAAACTTTGAGTCGCCTATATAGGGCACTGGAATTGATTACTGAGGTTTCGGACACCCCTCAAAATGGCGCTAACCCCCATATAGTCACCTATATAGGGGTTAGGGATCCATTTCGGACACAGCCTTAGAAAAAGTCTTTAGTAAGCCCGGGCGATTTGGCAAAAAAAATGATCATGATAAATTTTGTCGTATCGTCCGATCTCGATTATTATCATGATTTTTTTTTTAACTGCCAGTTTTAAAGCATCTGTACTAATAACTAAAGAAACTAGAGATTAGTTCAACATTTTATTAACATACGAAGTAAATAACAAAGAATAAGATACACTTACAAAAATATAACACTGTTTGAGCCGAGCGTCAGCGCAGCGACTCTCTGCAAGCTTTTTGGCTTCAAATCCGTATACTGGCAGAAGGCGGAACCAAGTTGTCCATAGTATATATACAGTCTATGTTTCTGACACAGTCTGCAGATTAGTGTCTCGTGAGCAACATCTGTCTTTGTGAACCCAATCCTCCTCCATTAGAGTGTGGATGATCCAAGCCTTGTGATAAAATCAACTGTTTGCTCTCTTGCTTTTTACTGCAGCCATGCAGGCAGCTACGCTGGCGTAGCTTGTTGTGATATGTGAACACTGCATATACTCTCCGTGTGCATACACTGTAGTCTGTCCTACAAGGCTTTATCATATTCATTAAGTGTGTGGACAATGAAGGCGCGTTTTGATAGATTTTTTGCTTAATGAGATACAATATTTAAAGTATTAAATTATATTATGATCTACAGCTTACCAACATCCATACTGGCTTCTTTCCATTAAAACTATAAATTGACACTCTTGAAGAGAAAAAGATGATTTAAGTTTTTTAATGCAGAAAAAAACAAAAACATGCAGTTTTCAAATGCAAAACACAAGCTAACAAACCTTCCTCTAATTTCCACCTCTCAGGGTACAAAGATTTATTTTGTAGGTTAGTGTGTTTATTCCTCTTTTACTCCTCCTACACAGCAGGAAGTGAGAAAATTAGAAGTAACCAGATTCTAATTTTAGGCTCAAAACCTGCTTTTTATAGAAATAAACTATTCGCTGATGTCTGTGCTGGGATTTCTCATACATGCACACCTCTTCTCACTACTGCTTACACTTGCTGCACACTTTGTTTTACGGAGCACTGAGGTCAGTCACGCTGTCTGCTGTGCAAACATTTTGGATGGCCGTCCTTGTCTCTTCAAGTAGACCAGAACTGGATTATTCTTATTTTTGAGTCTATTTTAGGTCTGTGTCCTTCCCACTTTCTAACCTGCCTCAGACAGAAGAGTACAGAAACTTACAGTCTTTGGTCCAAAGAACTTTCATACAGCCTGTTTCAAGGTTCAGAACTAAACCAAAGAACTAAAGTTGCTGCTTGTGTTCCTGTGAACGGGTTACAAAAGACCTGAAACACAAGAATCTGCTCTTATTGAACGCTTTTGGGTGATTTTGTATGACTGAATGGTAGAAACATCTGGCTCAAATTTTCTGTTTAATATCTATGATTATGGTTGTATATGATGTATATGTGTGCTGGCTTTGCATGTCTTATAATGTGTTACAGTTGTGTGTTTTATATCATATGTTTAAATGTATAGCTGCCTGGTTATTATGTTTGTAGGAAACTTTTTCACTATGCTGCTGCTTGTCTTGGTCAAGTACAGTGTTTTGAGTGGGCAGGTATGCTCCTGTGTGAGGTAATGCCACTTATAAATTTAACCCTTTAGTGTACGGGAACTTTTTTCATAATACTCTCCCCAGCTACCTGAACCCCTCCCTGTCCTCTCTATACTACAGTTTCTCTTGATAGAAACTGAAATGAATTATTGATGTGTGTGCAAGAATGTTATCTATTGATGTGTCAGGCCAAAAGCTTTAACATACATGGGAAATTGGGGAAGATTGAGCATTTTATATTGGAGTTACAACTGCCTCTTGTTAACAGGTAGTGCCATAGCTGTTGTTTGATATGGTCAAATAGATGTGTTCTGTGGTGGACACTGGTGATATATGTGATATTTAGAGGAGATTAAACACCGGATTTCGTGTTACAATTACTTAATGTGTCATTGAACAATCAAAGATTGCCCCACCACTTTTGATTCTGTCTAATCTTCAGTGTCTCCACCATTGTCAACAAAAAGCACCTCAAATAAATTACCTATATTTAAGTATATTACGCTACAATATTGTGTGTAATCGTCTCAAGTAAAAACCTTTATCATACATGTGAAATTTGGAGAAGATTGAGCATCTTATATAGAAGCCATACTGCCTCTTGTTATGAGGCGGCACTGTAACAGTTTAATATTAGCAAATAGAGGCATTCAGTGGAACACAATGGCCAAACATGAGATATAGAGCAGATCAAACATGAAGTATGTGTTGAAAAAATAAAGGATATAAAGAAATATATGTAGAGATATTTCTGTATAAATATATGTGTCACAGTATGAGAGCGTCTTGGTGCAATGTGCAGTACGTTTTTTTTTTACTTTAGAATAAACTTGAGGCCGTCGGTTTAACAGAAGTTAAATATTGTGATATCATGCACATTCTTTGACCTGATTATCATCCATCTCTGAGACAAGGACTTTAGCCGCTGTGAGAATGAAATCTAGGACAACCCAGGTCAACCTAAAAAAGGTGGCCATGTGACGCATTTCCTCCTCAGTTACTCTGAACATACTTATTTCTGTTCGTATTGAAGTAGGCCATCTGTGAGAGGAGACACTCGGCAGTGTCTCCTCATGAGCTGTGACAGTTTAGATAATAACATTTGAGATATATCAGCAGGGCCGCCAACAACTATTCTTGTAATTATCTACTGTTTCCTGAACTGTATCTGTCGTCTTTTGGTCTGAAAATCTCCAATCTCTTCTGAGTTTATCAAAAACTCACGATGAAGTCTTATTAAAATATCTTGTTTTACGTATTGCCCAAAAATATTCCAATAAGGAGGCTTTAGACCACTGACAACCCGCTGGAAAAATAGCTTTTCTTACTCATCCAACAAAAAATATTCACAATGAGTGACACATTTGGCTGTTAAAAAAGGAGGATGAGATTAATTGTCTGAAAATACTGACATGTCCTTACATTTGGAAGACAGGATCAGCAAAGTATCTGTCAAAAAGGGGCGTCAAAATCAGCTTAACCTAAAAGTTCTTCACTGCAGCTTTAGGAGAACTGAAATACATAAAATCGATTCATTTATTGTCTATGCATTTCTGATGGCTTTGACGTGCATTTATCTCTTTACGTATCCCCCTTGCAAGTAATTCCCTGCTGTATTCTGGAGCACTTGTCAAGTTTCTCCGTTTTTTTATTGGCCCTGTACGGGCTTTTTTGGAATGTGTTGCTGCATCAAATTCAAAATGAGGGAATATTTGAAAAATTTCAATCAAGTTCATCAGTTTGAACATGAAATATCTTGTCTCTTCAGTGTATTTAATTGAATACAGATGGGAAAGGATTTGCAAATCACTGTATTCTGTTATTACTCACGTTTTACCCAACTTAATTGGAATTGGGGTTTGTACATTATGAGTCACTAATCAGCTGATAATTTTCTCTCCTCATAGCCTGCAGTGACCCCAGATTCAGTGGTTTTACCTCACTGATCAAGTTTCAGGTCTATTACAGTCGTGATAAGTTAGTGTGTCTGTTTTATTGTGTGACTGTGGGTGTTTGAAGCAGTTAGAGTGGATTGAACTCAGTATTTCTGTAATAACCCACTTCAACATATATAAAGAACTGATTGAAGCAGCAGTATGCTGTGTTACTGTTTGAGGTAAAATCACAGTTTTATCCATGGAGTTGACTGATTTTGATGTATGCCTTTTTAAATTACATGTTGCACTTGTATTTTGTTCTCTTTAGCATATGTGTAATGTGTTAATGTGTGTGTGTTTTCAGGAGTGAAAAGCCAGTGTCATGACTGGAGCTGAGACTGAGGATGATATTCCATTAGGTGAAAGGAAGACTGTCACAGATTTCTGCTACCTTCTGGACAAATCCAAACAACTCTTCAATGGGCTGAGGTCAGTTTTTGACTTCCTCTGCTTTCTGCCTCCTGAACTGCACTTTGTTTACATGCACTTTAGTTTGTTTGTATGTACAAAAATATAGAGCACATGCAGATAATATAAAAAATAAGACTTAAACATGGGAAACCAAGGGTGATGGGTGACCCTGGGTGAAAAGAACTCAATTTAACCTGATATAGACACAACCAAACAGCAACATCAACTCTCGAAAGGCAACAAACAGACAGAATCCACGAACAGAATCAGCTGCACTTTCAGGCATGTCTTGTTACAAAATCAGACAAAAGACAACCTGCCTTTCAGAGAATCAAAAAGTCTGGAAGCCTTTTCATCACTTTGGTAAAGGTTCAACTTTGTCTTATAAAACTTTGTCTTAGAATCTCCGAGGCTTGTTTCTCTTGTTTTTGTTTTTGGGTACAAATTCCAGTCTGGCCTTTGTATTCTTCTTGCTAACGATTTGACTGGTTTGCATCTTCTGGTGTAGCTTCTACTGTTGTTCACGAAGTCTTCTGCGAACAGTAGATTGTGATACTTTCACTCCTGACCTCTGGAGATGGTTGCTGATGTCACTAACAGTTGTTTAAAGGTTTTTCTTTAAAGCTCTCAGAAGTTTCTTTTGTCTACAGCTGATGTTTTCCTTTCTCAACCCATTCAACATCTGTTACTTAGTAGGACACCAGTGGTTTCCTTCTTCTTCAGGATTTGCTCAGTGTCTGCGCAATGGCTCTGACGTATTTTCCATCTTCTTTCAGTTTCACGGTCGCTTGTTTTTCATCCATAGACAGCTCTCTGGTTTTCATGTTGGTCAACCCTTGAAACTGTAAATGCAGTCTACGCCAGCAAACCCTAAATCTGAACTGAGGGTTGACATTCAGAGCTCTTTATTGTTTGAATAATCAGTGTAATAGGACACACCTGGGCAACAAAACACACCTATCATTCACATGTTCCAATTATTTTGCTCACATGAAAAATGGGTGGGTTCAGATATAACGTGCTCTCTTCTAAGTTTGGTATTAGATCCAGATGTAAAGTTGAAATGCTGATCTCTGGTCTCATATTCGTCCGTTGATGTCAAACCCAAATGTTTTCACTCTGCAGCAAAATAAAGTAATCGGCCTCACTGTTCCAGTACTTTTGGAAGGAAATGTACATCTAATGAAAGTGCAGACAAATACAGTGTGTCAAGGACTTCCAGCTATGGCAGATCTACAGTCTTTATCCCTGTTAGGCTTTTAGAAATGAGGCACATGATACAAAACTTAAAAACTGACATGACCACAAACGAAACCGACACTGACAAGCAGTCACATAGATGCATGAGAGCTAACTATTATGGTAGAGAGTCTTTTACAGACATTTGAGTCATTTCAGTTTCTGGCAGTCCTCAAATTTTTGCAAGGTCTATATTTTAGGTTTTGGGGGGAAAAGGGAGCTTGGATCTAAACTTCTCTTTTGAGCACATTTACTGTTGAATTAGTTCAATAACCACCTCTTATTACACAGAGAGAGTTCCTCCCTGTGTTTTGGTGCAAAAAGAATTATCACAAAAGTAAAATGACACAGCAGTTGGATTTGTGCAGAAATGTGCAAGATGATCATACATTGCAAACTGTGAATTGGAGGGGAAAGTTCTTATTTGTAAAACACACTGAAAACAACAAAGTAAAGCAAAATGTTGTACAAGAAAGAAAGAAAACACTGAAAAACACAATGAAAGGACTAATTTAGAGGGAACAGGAGGAGAAGGGAAAAATGTGCAGGAACACTAATCAGCCAATCCTATTAAACAGTGTTAATAGGTCAGTGATGTTCTGCTAATAATCGTTTCGATTGCGTAATCACAAGAGAAATAAAAAAAGGCTTCAATTTTTAGATCAGGTTTTTTTTTTTTTTTTTTTTTTTGAAAAAAGCTAAAAATAATTTGAGTCTGTTCAGGTCAGAGACGCAGAAAATCTATTTTTATTCCTGAGAACAGATTTTTCAGAAGAGAGCAGCTCTGCCTTTAAAAGCCAAGACCTACTAAAGAAATAATATTCATTTTTAAAACAATCATCTGCAAAATTTTACTCAAATTATGAGATCAAACAGTCTTTATGTTTGACCTGGAATCACAGAATCACCTCAGCAGGAGGATTCTGGACTCAGAGAAATACCTCTAAACAAACACTCTCCTTTTTTGCCAAATTCCAGGCTGCTTTGAGTGCCAACATCTTAAAATAACATGCTTTGATTTTATCCACCAGGTGGGTCCATGACGTATGAAGTCAGAGAGTCCCTGAACAACAAAAACAGTCCTGAAAACGTGTGAAAGCTTTGTGCCAAAAATCTTATCAGTAAGAGAGCAGGCTTTCCAAATAATTGTAGACTTTGTTATCAGAGAGCTGAATTAAAATGAGAAGAACACTCTTTATAGAACTTATTATAAATCAGTGCTAAACATTTTGGTTTGTAGCACAAGTGTGTTACCATTATTTCCACCTGATGTTCGGGTCAGTTTTACTTTCTGCACCCCGGTTTTGTAACTAGCGGGTGAACTTGCATCCATGTGAACGCCTGTGGGTGTGGCAGTCCTGGAAGCAGAAAGCATCTGTGCCGAACACTAAAGAAATCCGGGGCTGAAATCTGGGGTCAGCTGCACAGTCCATCCCTGATATGAAGAGGGTGTTTTAGGGTTCATCAAGTATTTTCTTTGCTCTTTATGCACAGAGGCACACAGTTAGGCACCCATTCATAGTGAAATTGACTTTTTATTAGGAAATGATTGAAGACGTGGCAATGCAAGTATTTTTCCCTCATCTCCAAACATCCTGATACTGCTCTGTATGAGGCTGAGGGCCAAGACATCATCGCTGCCATCTCCTCATAACCTCAGCCCTGCATGACCCGACGGCTACAGCCTGAGACGTCACCAAGCTTTACTGTGCACACTCTCCTGATTATATACAGGAATAGACACACTCACACACAATAAAGGGATATTTTTTACATCATGCTGTCACTGACCATGATGCTTCCATATATTAATAAATACTGAACAGGAACTGTGTGTTATGTACGCAACAGCCTACAAAATACAGTCATGTGATCCAGCTACAAAAGTAATGTGTGTGTTTGTATGTGATTTATGATTTTGAGCTGTAAGGTTGGTGCGTACGTTTCAGACTTTTTTTTTGTACATGTGTATTACAAACATGAAGTTTTGTCTGAAAGGTATGAATTTTCAGATGGTAATGCAATGTCTGAATGAGGATGACTGAATATTGTTCTTTGTTTTCCACTTCCTGACCTGCATATCTAGTTCTGACTCCACCCCTGTGCTTATTTACCAGTTGTCTGAATCTGGTACGGTGATGTTCTCACACTTCAAAATTAGTTTTTTTAAATGAAAAATGAAGTAGAAAGGCTGGAATCTATTGTGTAAATGAAAACGCTCATCTGCAGATGCACCTTACTATGTCCCTGATTGGTCCGGTCTATGTCATGCTCAACACACCAATCAAAGGATGTGATACAGCCTTGTTGCACCCTGCACCTCAGTTAGCACCTAGAGTATGTGCTAGGGCTGGGCGATATGGTCTCAAATCAATATCACGATATATTGAGCAGTTCCCCTCAGTAACGATAAATAGACGATAACTACTTCACAAGCTGCTCACCCCCTCCCACATTAACTTTGTCTACTTCAGCGGCCACTCCAGCTGCTACAACTTTTGAACCGTCCTCCATCTCCTCACCTGTCTTTGTCTCTTAGGACAGCGTCCTAAAGGGACATGAGACCATAGCGTACCTATACACATCCAAAACCAACTTTCATCTATTGACTCATTTTTTTGACACCGAATTTAGTGACATGGGCAAAATAACGTTGGTTATTGTAAAAAAAAATCGGTATCGGTAAATTTTCAGTTTATTGCCCAGTGTGTGCAGCTCAAACAAGAAAATGTAGTGTGACTCTTTTAGCCTAAACAGAACCCTGTGACTATAAAATGATTTTCAACCATGGAAACATGTTCAGAGTAGAAAACTAAAAATATAATGTGCGATCCAAACAGAAAGACCAGCTATTACTTCAGTCAATATCTTCTGTCACAATTTGCGCAAAACCTAAAGTTAAAATCTGTTTGATTCAGTCATTTGAACAACATTTGAAAATGTTTCAGAACACAGCAAAGAGATAAATTGTTTTTCACCCTAACTTTTCAGCATCCAAATTTGCTGTTTTTGCAACTTTAGAAAAAGTTGTATTGAACATTTGTTTGGATAAGATTGATTTTTCAGTAAACCTGTAAGAAACCTGCTCAGTACTGTGATATACCAGGATTCATCCGTGTGTGAGGAGCCACCTGTCTTGCTGGGAGGGCAGCAGGTTGTGAGGGTGTGAGCACTTAGTGGAGAAGAGACACTTTTCTCTGTTACATCCCAACAGTGTTAAAGAAATGTTAAAGTTCTTGTTTTCTCTCGTTGATTTTCTGTAGATCTGTCGGTCTGTAGAGCTCAGCAGGGAACAGTTTGACTCACCTGGTGTCTGCAGCATGAATAACAGGTCAATGCTGTCATGCACCACAGGTTTTTAGGTTACTGGGATATTTTTAACAAAGAATCAAACAGACCAGGCAGAGATCAGAGCCCCAGATTGTCACTTAAATAAGTGACCCTTTGAAAAATTCAGTGTTTTTTTTTTTTAAGTTGATTTCTCAATATGGTCAGAAAGACTAAGAGAGCAAACAGACAGAGCGACCATCTGGAGAAGCAGGAGTCAGCGAATGTGTCGTGTGACTGCGAGCCAAACAGGACGGAGCTGCAGCCAGGATCCTGAACTGAAAAGACGGAGCAGAGGGATGAACTGCTTCCTGTTTTTTTAACCCGCCACTGTGATGTTTGGTCAAGCTGCTTGTCCTGATCCGAGCGGGTAATGATACACTGTTAGTCAGATCTGATGCTGCGTTGGTCTTGCTGAATCACAGAATACAGATTAATGCACAATTACAGACCCAGAGTGAGGGGACAGCATCACTCACATAGTTAAATACAAGCTTTGTTAGCATGCAGATCACTGAACTCAGGTTTGACAGCAAATCAAAACTGCAACAAAAACCGAAAATACTGTATAACAAGGTGCTGGTGTTGCTGTTTAACCAGCCGGGGCGGGACTTGTCACACGGGTAACCAGGGAAACAGATGACTGTTAAATGACCATTACAGAGACAGAGAAGCCCATTTTCAATTCATGTCCGATCATTCTGATTGAAAGTTGCAGATGGACGTAACTTAAGATAAATAAATGTCTTTTTTCACCTCCTCTGACTTTTTTTGTTTTGTTAATCCTGCAGAGACCTTCCTCAGTATGGGCACAAGCAGTGGCAGTCCTACTTTGGACGGACGTTCGATGTCTACACCAAGCTGTGGAAGTTTCAGCAGCAGCACAGGTTATTTCTTTTCTCTTTCTTTTCTACTCCAAACTCTATCACAGGTAAATCTTAAACAAATTGGATAAAGAGATCTGTGTCCAAAGGTTCGGGGTTTCTTGTGAACTGATTCTTCAGACAGAATTCAGGGTCATATTGGGCTAAATATGATAGAGACAAAACCTAATGTTGCCAATCGGCGCCTTTGTCTGAAAAGAATAAGCTGAGTGTTGTTAGAATTTAGTATGACAGAATCTTAGTCCTATCTGATCATGTTGTGCTCAGTATTCTGTGTGTTACTTATTGACAGGCAGGTTCTGGACAGTCGGTACGGGCTGAAGCGATGGCAGATCGGGGAGGTTGCATCCAAAATTGGACAACTTTATTACCACTATTAGTAAGTCCAGCTCCGTCTCTACTGAGCCAATCACTTCATGCATTCATCGTCTAAATATAACCAGCTTCCATCCTCTGCTTTGAGTGCACACTGATCAAACTTCAACATGCAGACTAGCAGAGTCCTCCAGTGAGCAGGAGCAGAAATCCATCCCAATTCCCAGATCGAGGCTGAACTGCTGCAGCAGCAAAAACCGAAACAAACACACTCTGAACTAATCCTGCTCTTGGACTGCTGATGTTTGGTTGATGTTTTGAGAATGTAAATCATATACCAGTAAATCCTCCAACAAAGACTGGTATTCACTCTGCAGCCAGGCTTCTTATAATGACCATGATCATGAGCAGGAGAGAGAAATGGATGTTTTTCAATCATTGAAACCTTAACAGTTTCAGATTTCTAATATGAAATATGGAAAACAGTTTTAAGTGAGTTCACAATGAACACACACCACCATCCACACATTCTGTATGAAAATAATAACATCACCTGCAGTGAACTACATCACAGGCCACCTCTGTGCAGTTTTGTTGTCTCTCATTTGTTTTGTCTAAGATTAACGCTAACTGTTAGCATCTCCACTCTGCTGCTCAGAGCTGCCTTGTGAGCTCTGATCCTGACGGGTTTAAAAACAATCCAGGATATGATGAGCTGAATCATTTTACGTCTAGGTTTAGGTTTAGTGAATAAGGCCCTCACTTTTTACCCACATTGAATTCTCTGAAACAGAGAAGATTTTAAATAAAGGCCCGCCTCTAATAAAGGCCTGCTTCATTCAAAGGCCTAGTACCTTAGGTTGTAAAAATAAGCAAAGACCTGGTCTATACTTGATGATTTACCCTAATACAGTTTTTATGTCTTTTTCTTATTCTCCATGTTCTACACAATAACTGTGGTTGTAAAGTTTCTCCTGAATCCATATCAACCCGTAAAGCTGTCCTCTAGCCTACAATCCAAATACACTCATGCTGAGTGATAAAAACATTAGTTGTCTGCATAAAATCTAATTTTCCACCATAAATCCAGACTTTTTCAGTCTGTCTATTGTTCATTTTCATGTTGGTATCACATTGAACTTGTGACTTATGATTCAAGCCTCATCATTTAGTTTAATGACTAGATTAAGCTTATTTATCTGTTGAATGAGATAGTAATTCTAATTTTGTTGTGTAATTTTGATTGGCAGCCTTCGTACCTCAGAAACGAGTTACCTGAATGAGGCCTTTTCCTTCTACTCTGCCATCCGTCAGCGCTCCTACTACTTCCAGGTCAGCAAAGAGGACAGGTGAGCTCTGTTTTGTCTCGTCTACATCACTGATATTTACAACTCCTGTAGAGTAAATGTTTTTCTTGGGGTTTTAATCTCTTTCTCAGAGTTTCTATTTTTTCTGTTTTCAAATATCTATTTTTCCTCTCCAGACATGATATTGGAGAGAAATGCTTGAGTGTTATCTGTTTGTAGCACAAAGCCGGATATTAAAACCCTGATCTTTTGTTGTTTCCCAACAAATAAAATATTCTACAATTGCAGTTCTGACTTTAGATTTTTTCATGAGTCATTAGCCTTTAGAAGAACAATTTAAGCACCATGTACAGTGTTTACTCTCTCCAGACATTACCAGCCGATCGATCCCCACACAACCTAAAAAGACACATATTTAGAAAAGTGCACCATTATGTGTCCTCGATGTTTTCTATTAAGTTCATTTGTTTTTCTGGTCTCTCATCAGGCCGGAACTCGTAGTGAAGAAGCTCCGATATTACGCTCGCTACATCGTCGTCTGTTTACTGCTGAACAAAATGGACCTTGTCAAGGTTCTGGTGAAGGTACAGTGTGACCCTTAAAATGAAAAACGAACTGATTAGATTTACCCTCGCTTCTCAAAATACTCAGAGAAGTCAACTCCTTATAACCTGTGCATGAGATCTTACTTTGTAAATCTAAAGGTGTGTAGATTTAATGTAAACTTTAACTAAAGTGGAGATAAACTGTGACCTGCAGGAGTTATCTGAGGAGATTGAGGATTACACGCAGCGATTCAACACCGAGGACCAGCTGGAGTGGAACCTGGTCCTGCAGGAGGTGGCAGCTTTTGTGGAGGTAACAGCTCTCCAAATTTTACAGAAATAACTTATTTTAATGTCATCTATCTTGAGGTGTTATTTTTTACACAGCTTTGTTGTCATGAAGGAATTTTAAAGTTATTCCTTCACAGAAAATATCTAAGGCTCATCAACAAGCCATCATCCTTAAGTTATAGTCCCTTTCTAAGGTGTTTCTAGATGAACAACTCCAGGTTTCAGTAACAGCTGAGACTCAAATCCAGCTCATACTGGTCTTTGTTTACAAAGGAGTCGTCAGTGAAGTGGAGAACACAAACAGTTATGTCGTGTCTGTTGTTGTCCTAAAACTTCCTGCTGTCTTCTGGAGTGTTTGTCTTTGGAAAGAGAAAAAAGCTACGACTTTCCTTTTGGACAGAAAGAGGACTGAGAGAAACTTTAGTGACAGACTGAACCAACAAAGAGCAGGGAGGAGGAGGAGGAGGAGGAGTGGTAAAATGGATACAATAGGGATCAGAATAATAAGTGTCTTTTAATAAAAACTATGTTTCAAAAAATCTGACTGTTATATAGTTCGACCCGTGTACGACGAAGTATTAGGGCCATATTAAGGTAAAAATATAATTAAGACTTCGAGATTAAAGTCATTAACTTACAAGTATAAAGTCATGATTAAGTAATTACGAGAATAAAGTCATAATAAAATCATGTGATACTTATGATAATGTGGTGCTGATGTGCCAAAAGACTTAAGTATCTCCTTGTTTGAGAAACCCATTCTGAGGTACATCTTTACGAAGTGCTCCATGGCTCTCATTTCAACAACTGTAATCTTAAATAGCAGGTTAGACTATAAGGACTTTATTCTGACTTTACTCTCGTAGGTGATTACTACGACTTCATTCTCGTGAGTAATTACTATATTATGACTTTATTCTTGTAAGTAATGATTTAATTATAACTTTATTCTCGTAAGTAATGATTTTATTATAACTTTATTCTCGTAAGTAATGATTTAATTACGACTTTATTCTTGTAAGGATTTTATTACGACTATATTTTCGTTAGTAATGACTTTAATCTCAAAGTCTTTTTTTTTTTCTTCTTAATGTGGCCCTAATACTCCGTCATACCCGTGTCTCATCTGTTAACATGGAAAGGGTGGGCTTTATGACTTATACTGCAGCCATTCAGTAGGGGGAGCTCCGAACAGCCTCCCTGTAAAGTGAACTTTCGTTAGTGCTATCCTGTTTTTCAGTCAGTGTGTTTGATCCATCGTAGCTCACTGCCGTTCCTCTCCATGTATCAAACAGGCCGATCCGGTGATGGTTCTGAATGACAACAACTCCGTGGTCGTCACTAGTAACCGTCTGCAGGAGGGCAGCGTGCCTCCGCTGGAACAAGGCATGGTGGTTGGGCAGCTCAACCTTGCAGATGCACTAATCATCGGAAACTGTAACAACCAGGTTTTAACCCACTAATTCTGATTCACACTTCCTAACACTGTATACACACACTTCTGTCTTCTGTCTGGAATATTCATTTTATTTCACTCTTGAATAATAGTTTCACTCCTGTTTCATTTCTTTTCTACAAATGTGTCACCTCCTAAAACACTTCTTTAGGAAACGCATGCACTTTTTGGTGTCTAGATTTTTTTCTGGAGCATAGAAACCGCAAAACACGGTTCTTACAACAAACTCTGATGATTTTTGTTTTACTGGCAATGAGACACTGAGCCTCAAATAAAAACATCTCCCATGAAGAAAAGTGCTCTGCAGCTGTGGTCAGTGATGATGAAGTAAATCTAAGCCCTCAGTACGTCTCATTTGGTATTCTTCTGTACTCAGAGTTGCTCGTCTACATGCACAGGAGTGTTCACACTGAAAAATAAATCCAAAATGCAACGCTCTGAGCTGACTTTAGGCTCGTGACTGAAAAAGGGGCCCAGTGTGTCAGTGCCAGATTTCACGTGATTCTCTGTCCAGAGCTTTTTTTTCACCTAAAACACTAACAATACACCGTTAGAGGGGAAAATAATCAAAATCTAAACATCAAAAAATGACAAATATTTAAGGGATTGAGAATAATCTTCAGATGCCTGTTTATGTTTACCGAACACTTAGTGTTTTTGTGGTCGGCATGACAAATTTATTCATCCATTTCTGTGTGAGGTTAAAAAAAAAGGTGTGAGGTGGTCAAAATAATGGCCGCTCATAGTGCTAGAAGGTGAGTAGGAACAGTAATAAACGTTTCATTCTTTGATCATTTTACAGTTCTACCCTGGTAACAATAAAGAAGGACTGTCGCTCAGTTCAAACAGGGTTTGTCTTATCACAAACTACTAAAAACTTTGGGCCATTTCTTCATCTGGGAAACATCACAATCTAAAAAATGAATCTCCAGAAATGTGTCTGTGATCCGCTGACTTCTGTTTTTTTCCTGTTTCAGGTGAAGTTCAGTGAGTTAACCATCGATATGTTCCGCATGCTTCAAGCTTTGGAGAGAGAGCCTGTGAACCTGGCCACGCAGACCTCCAAACAGGGAACACTGGTGAGTGTTGATGCTCCAGTGAAGGTGTTTAATGCTCCACTGAGAGCACACTGACCTTCTGAGTTCAGAGCTGGAGTAGCATTGTCCATAGAGAGCGGGAATAACAGTGGAGCAAAGAAAACGAGGAAAATATTGAAAAGGGTATCAAGAAGGGAAAAACAAGTTCGGAACAAAGATCCAACTCCAATGACAGACTGATTCAGAAAAGTTTCCTGAATAAAAACGTCTTAATAACATTGTTAAGACTGTTTTTTCTTGAGTTAGTAGTTACAGCGTTAAGTATCTCAGTTGGTTCTTCAGCTGATAATGAATGTTATTTGATTTGCACTAATCCTATTAAAAGTTGCAATACAAAAAAAAAATCAGAGCTGAAACCAAAATCAGCATCCTAAAACAGCGGTCATCCTGTTTTTATAAAGTTGACCTTGATCAGAACACAAACAGTAATATCGTGAAATGTTTTTCCACAGGAGCCCAATGAGAAACCAGCAAAAAGAGAAAACCCTCACAAATATCTGCTGTACAAACCAACATTCAGTCAGCTCTTTACTTTCCTGTCTGCCTCTTTTAAGGTCAGTATTTATTCAACCACAGCATAAATCAGCCAAATCCTTCCAAAGATAAATGTTAAAGTTATTAATTGTTATTCTCATTCAAACTTCAAGGAATTGCCTGCCAACAGCGTGCTGCTCATTTACCTGTCTGCCACTGGAGTCTTCCCAACTGGTCACTCAGAATATGAAGGTAAAGATGTGCTCAGATGGTCAGACTCAACTGGGGGTCTTGTACCTGCTGTGAGGTTACACGTTATGATTCCCTGTGGCTATGTATCACCCATGTTCCTCTGTTATGTTGATTAGCATCACTAGCCTGTTCTGTTGTTGCAGACTTCAAACTAAAACATCCAGCACCTGGATGCATGTTCTCTATGAGAACTTAGGTGTAGCCCAGTTTGAACACAATTTCTAATTAAGGGCAGCGTTTTCATGAACTAGTAGTTGATGTTGTAAACTCTCCAAGATGGCTGTTGCCCCATTAAACGTTTCTGCTAACTAAGAGGTGGAGCTGAGGTCATAAACTAAATAGAGTGATGACTTAAATAATTAAAGAATCCCCCTCTCATACAGAGGCCACAACTGAGCGAAAAGGAAAGAAGAGCATTTGCACAGCAAATAGATGCTTAAATATGATTTTTGGGACACAGTTTTCTCTCTTCCTGTTTCCTGCAGGGCCGTACGATTTTGGAGGTGTTCTCACAAACACAAACAGAGACGTGGTAAACGGAGAGACGGTGCAGAAGAAGAATCAGGCCCAGAAAGAAATGCACTGGTAAGAGATCCTTCATCTGTAGTTGATCAGATGTCAAAAAAATCTTTAAAAAGGGTTGAACTGATGTTGAACAAATTTAAAAAGAACTGCAGGTTTTTTTTTAAAAAAAAAGAAACTAAACAGAAACAAAAAAAAAAGCCTACAGGGTCAAGTCTGGTTTTAAAGCAGTGATTTCCACTACAGAGTCACATACCATTTTAGTGCAGTACATACGTAAATCTACAGAGATGCTGCACATGAACCTCATTAGTTGGGAAATGTTCCTCCAGCAGATTTTGTTTTTTAATCATTAACTTTTTTTTCCTTTTTTGTTGTCCCTATATCAATTTGTTTGAAATGTGCAGCTTGCAAAAAATAGGAAACAAGCACATATTTGTATTAACATGTTTTTTTTTTTTCAGTTTCATCATTTGATCAGTTGTCTCTGTAGGGTTTTTAAATTAAAATAGGTTATAGATGATTTAAAATCTGCTTCACTGAACATATTACACTGTCCCACCTTCTGGTGTTGGGGTTGCAGTTGAAAACTAATCAGAGCATCATTTCAGCTCAATTTTTGACTTATAGTTTTATTGTTAATGTTGCAGCCTTCATCCTGGAGACTTGTTCCCTTTCACTCGGAAACCTCTTTTTGTCATCGTGGATTCAACGAACAGCACAGCGTATAAGGTAAATACTAAAACTGGATAAAGTGGACACAAGTGAAAGCGGATGAGAACTGAAGAGGTTTACAGTATTTTTCAAAATTACACCATGAAGAGCAAAGTGAGGAGGATGTCTCTGTTTCTGGAGTTGGTGTCTGCCGCCCTGGAGGAGTGTGCAGATAGATAATTTTTAGATAGATATTTGAAAAGTGTCGTACAGATAGTTTGACAGAGCTCAGAGTTGTATTTAGAAATCCTACGGTCGATTTAGTATGTTATCACACGTTGTTATGATAAATATGATGTCTTTTGTTTACCTTGATAGAACTTCACAAACCTGTTTGGTCAGCCTCTGGTGTGTCTACTTTCACCTACAGCTTATCCCAAGAGTGTGCAAGGTGAGTGTTGTAGCCCAACAGCAGTCATTGAGAGGCTAAAACTGATTACACATATTTTAAAGGAAACAGACCCTGCCCTGTTGATGTCCTGATGTTGGTGTGATTTGTAGGGGTGGGCTGTAGTGTCTCACGTTGTCCCTCTGTGTCCTCGTTCAGATCAGTCTCAGCGGGGAAGTCTTTTCACTCTCTTCCTCTACAGTCCTCTCCTCGCCTTCTCCTCCATCTGTGGGTTAAACAGTGTGCGGCGAGGACTGTGGGAGCAGGCGCAGGAGCACCTCCGCAAAGTTTACCGTGACATCGGGCAGTTGATAACTCGATCACGAACCATAGGTAACATCAAACTAAATATTTTTAGCTCACCTTGTGTCTGTTTAAAGTTGTATGACTCTGTTAACCCTGTGGATGAATCTACAATTGTCCACTGTGAGCAAGTGCATCTTACTGGTTAAATTTTTTGCAACACTGATGGTGTGAATATTTCCTCTGTCCCTCCACAGATCAAGCCTTTTTACAGTTCTTTGGAGACGAGTTTCTGCGGCTGCTCCTGATCCGTTTCGTCTTCTGCTCTGCTGCTCTCAGGCTGCACAAACTCTTCCGGGTGAGTCACTGCAGCTGCACTTTTCCTGCAGTGTTTTTATTTTGAAAGCCAAAAATGCATCTGGTGCAGGTCTGTGTGTGTCTGTGTTTGGGCTGGTGATCTGCAGCACTTAACACAAACCATCAGGCTCAGAGCTGGGTGTGTCCCACTTTAGAAAAAGGCTAACACACAGTAACAGCCAGAATACTTGATGCACCGTGATCCAAAAACACCTCAGAGTTTCTATTCAGGGCAAAGAGCTCGTTCAGAGCAGTCTGCTGCATCACTCTGGTGCTGTGGGTGAAACACCAACTTCACATTTAAGTGCGAAAGGACACAAAAATAGACTGAACTGTTTTATTTGGAGGGTATTTTTTATTTCAGCCTTTTAAAAAACTTTGTTCCTATCTGAAGACGGCAGAAGTTTCAGTCTTTCACTCTTCTTGTATGTTTACTAACATTTTTTTCCCTCCTGGTTTGCCACATTTTAATCATCCCACTGAGCAATAGACGGCTATTAAACGTCTGGTTATTTTTTAGACCTAATTTCAACCGTCTAGATTCTGTATATCTGTAGACGGAATTTAGAAGTTGCACTTTAACCCGTTATTCGATAAGTATTTATTTCAAAAAGCAACTGTGAGTTGCAAAACTGATCTCCAAGTACTAAAACAAAATAATTATTATAGCCGTTGAGCGATATACTGGTAGACCTCTGTTAGCTGGCTAGTCTAAACTCGGTCTACATTTAGACGTCTGAAAACTTTCATTTTTAGACCTGTGGTAGCCTGATTTTAGACCGGCGTCTAGACTACATTTAGATGTATATTAGACCTCTTTTAGACCAAAAAATGCTCAGTGAGCATAGGGGGTATTATAATCAAATCTCAGAGTTTGATTGCAGAGTTTCACTAACCTTATGTCAGTTGGTTAGAGCCCACAGCTCTATGAGCAGCTTCGGTAATTTAAATAGTTACTGCATTAGCATCAAGGATTTCTGAGAAACCTGCCAAAGAACCAGAACAGGGTCTGGACCACTAATCTTTACAGACGGAGTCAGCTCTACCCACATAATTGAGCTCATTTTAAGATACTCAGACTCAAACACTAGCAAAGATGTATAATTCTTCTTGGAGAATGTCAGTGTTTTAGGCCCGAACTACACGAATGCGGATATATTTCAAACCGCACATATTTATGTCCGATTAGGTCTCCCTACCACACCAAAACGGGAGTTTGGAGCACTCAAACCGGATAAATCTGAATCCGGAAAAACAAGTGGAGAAATAAAAAAATATCCGTATCCCGTATCCGTAGTTGATTCGTGTGGTTGGACTTTTACGGATCGATGACGTCAAACCGCAGCTCGCGCATGCAAATTAAAAAGAAAAACAACAACAACGATGGTGGACATACAGGGTATTCTTTACTTTTTTTTTGCCCTTTTGGGGCAAATTTCAGCCTTGCAAGTGAACCTTGTTTTATACAATTACATCCACCAGTCAGCCAGCTCACAGACGCGTCTGCTGCGGCCAATACTTGTATTGGTCACGTGGTCCGTCACATGGACCCGACGCACTAGCGTAGCTTCCGCAAACAATGCATGACGCATCACGCTGTTACGATTCATCGGCCAATCAGGTAGCTTTGTTCCTGAATGTTTTTTAAGCGGCACCAGATAGGATTGAGTTTGAAGATTACGTGTGGACGCAAGTATTTTTGAGAACTAACACGTGTGGACAGATACATTTATTTAGACGGGAATACAAAAATATCCTGATAAATAAATATCTATATACGTGTAGTTCGGGCCTTTACTTAGCATCAGAAAGCTAGTTTGCTCTGCCGTGTGCCGGTAACGACACATGCATGTTGCTCCTCAGTCTACACTGCAGGGATCAGCTGATCAGGTCTGTGATAAACAAGTCACTGGTGTATTGTGAGTTTTGATGATTTTCCAAGCCAGTTTTAAAAATAAAAGTCTAAACAGTAGAGTTTGGAAGCAGTCATTTGTGCTGAGTCAGGTCGTTCAGCTTCAGAAGCTCACACAGTGATCAGCTTTGTATCACTTCGTTCCTCCAGGAGTCTCGAAGCTTCCCTGAGTCGTACCCTGAGCTCCCCAAACAGGACACGGTGGAGAGCAGCCTTCTACAGAAGCACATCCTGGAGCTGGCAACCATGCTGGACGTGCAGAGTCTATTTTGGGATGATTCACTGGAAGCCTACTAACATCTTCACACAGGGCCACATGGCATCAGTGTACAGACTCAACTGCCAGAGCCCTCACAGTCTTTCTGTTTTTTTACAGGTAAAAAATATTCAGCACATCTTTACACACCATGGCCTGCATTGTGAAGGAAGATGTAGTGCAACATGAAAACGTCCCATAAATAAGCCAGACAGTTTCATATAGTATGTAACTCCCCCATTTTTACACTCACTATCTCTCCTTATAAATAATAGCATCATGAAAAAGAAAACAGACAAGAGAGAGGCTGCAAATAATTCAACAACTCACCATTCCCCTTCAAAATACAAGCATAGACTGCAGCCTCAATCCTGTCAGATAATTGTAAAGAAGTTTTTTGTGTTTTTAAATAATATTTATTATTGTTAAGAGAATGAGGATCGTTCTGAGATGTGTTTGGACCAAAAGCAAAGTGAATTTTTGCACACATAAGGTTAATGCAACTATACAAGTACTTGTTGAATGATTTAAGTGCACTAAAGTCCTGACACTTGTATTTTTGTGCAAATTAAGACACTAGAACTGGCACTGCATCACAAGGTTTCTACTTAACTCCATCAGAAGCTTTCAAGGTGTTGTTTGTTTTCTTGCTGAGATGGTGATTTAGGGCCGCTGTACATAACTAACAAAAAAAGGGAAAAACACAGGAGAAGAGGAGTAATACTCTGAGTGAAGTCACATATTTGTGATGATACGTAGCAAGTTTTTGAGGTTATAAAGCTGCAAATTTGGGAGAAACAAAATCCCAGGACCTCATTTTCTTTAATTTTTTCACAAAAGGAATTTGATTTGATTCATGGACAGAGGGGGGGGGGACAGAGTACCAAAAAAAATTTGAAAGGTGTGTGAAGGTTTGCTTTGCTTGTGGTCTGAACAGAGCCTGAAAAAGTGTAGGGATGAGTGAAAGGCAGGTTTGTGCTGAGAGAACCTTCACTGCATCACTCGATATTTAAATGTATAACGTTAGCACGCGGTGTGAGTTTAAGAGATGTCACCAAAAACATCCTCACTGGCACAGATTTTTTTGTATTTGCCAAACAGTGCTTGCTGTATAGCAGCTTAACTTGTAGCAGGCTGAGGTGCATGAAGTCATGTTCCGCCATTACTGTAAAGATATCACACTTCTTTTTCACGCCATGAACCAGCACTCCATCTTTTTACCTTTAATCATCGGCCTTTGACGGTATATATTTCAAGTGTTTCCTTTTTCCACATCACTGTGCTGTACCTGCATGCAAAAAAAAAAAAAAAAAAAAGCAGAGAGATGCATCCATTTTATTGTGTTTCAGCCACAGCAGCCTCCACCTTTACGGGCAGAAAAAGACTCCGAGATGTTAAAGAGGCATGAGAGGTTGGAGGGAAGTGGAGTCAGTGCATGTGTTGCATGGGCCTGTTTGTTAAGGCAGCGAATGGAAACAATCCAGACTGATAGAGGGCTGAGAGAGACGCTAATGCCAACATGTACCAGTGCTTTAACTGCTTCAATGATTTGCCAAACACCTCAGTAACCTTAATGACAGCAGGAGTGTCATGTGAACTGCAGGATTATTATTGACCTGCTTTTTTATAAACCACTACTCACCTTTACTTCTTCTGGTGCCGATACACTGCTTCAAGCTTCATGTACTGCTGGGGTTTGTTAGACACCAGAACTATGAACAGAAATTCAATTATAAAGAAGAGAGAGAGAGGGAGACAGAGAAGATGAAGAGGTTTGAACAAGCAGCAACCACAATGGCCGACTTCTGCTATTAAAAACAGTCAGTGTTCATCGTCTACTGACTGACCGATCGTTAAACTAATCATGATACTCATATCAGGACCAGTCGGGACTGTAGCTTCAGTTAATGCCTGATGCTATAATGCTCTACTGCCTGGATGTAAACAAGCACAGGTGACAGGAGGTCTGATTAAACTGGTATACAACTGTCACACCAGAGCAGTGAGCGACCTGCAGAACTGAACCCGCTCTGCTGAAGTTTGACTCACTTCACTGGCAGACTCTGTGAGCCTGTGTTTAGCTTTGATAGATGAATCAAAATATGCAGATGTCATTAAATAAAGATTTGTTTCAAAAAAGGTCAGTTCAGTTGACCACCAGGGCAGACCCAAAGTGGCCCTTTAGAGGCTAAACCACCAATCTCAGTTCCAACATGAATTAGCTTTGCTGTATCTCTTAGTCGTGGTGGTTGCTACTTGAAGGCCAAAGCTCTGCGGATCATAAAAAGTGATTGTAGTTCATGGATGTAGGAATAAATAAAACGTTCTGTCGAGTGGGATCACTGAGGAAAAAAAAAAATAAGGGTCACAGGAGGAATCCTGTTTCGGCCCCGGACCTTAACCTCCTCACTAACACGCCTCCCTTTTTTTAACATCAACAAACTCCAGCACGTCTAAAAACTGTAAAGTATTTATTACCAGTGAGTCAAACTGTAAACTTTGGACAAATCTTGAGCTGAACCTTTCTGACAGCATGAACCCCTGCTGACGCTTCCAGAGAAATGTGCTCTCGTTCATCACCTCATGTATATATTTCAGTTAGAGCTTTCTTTGTTTCTGGCACCAGCATGTGAACTGACAGCACAGACCATCGTAGAAACCAGCTGACAGATTACTGCCCTCCACCAAACTGTTTAGGACAAAAAAAAAGAAAAAAAGCTTCACTGCAAAGGTAGCAGAACTGCTGGTTGGAGAAAAGAGTTTCGAACTGACAAGAATGATAAAACACTATTTTTTAGTGTTAGTTCTATTTATTGACATTGTTTGAGTTTGTGTACAGATAATGTAAAGCGATGTTTTGGCACAGGTGTGTTTGTTCAGTAGTTTTTGCGTCTATAAAATGTGTGATGAATTATGGAGTCTGAGCGAAATGTTGACCAGGCCGTATTGTTCTGTTGACATTTTTCTGAAGACGTTACATTCCAGCTTTTCTGAGGACTTGAAGAGGGGCAGAGGAAAACAGTTTTCTCCGTTTTTTGTGGGAAAGTGAGCCGTTTCTACATTTTCCTCTATTTTCAGTGTAACAACTCCTCCACATTCCCGTGTTTGGACTGATTCAGATATTGTAGGCTTGCACTTTATGAAGTTTGATATTGTTATGATCCTGTTTGTTGTGCTTTAAGGAAAAAAAAGAGAAACTCATTCCTTGTCCTTCTGTGATTGTTCAGACCAGCCCTTCACTCGGGTGACTTCTTTTTTTTAACAGAGTCAAAGTTGTGAGTCTGTGATTTTCAGACCGTTTCCAAAAAAGAACTTTTCACCTCCTGTCACTTTTTAACAGCTTCTGCCTGAAAAGTGTGAAACATGTTGACTGATTTCTGAAAGTGTTGGCCATTGACTGAATATAAAGATGAATGACACATTTGCACATCCTTCCACAAAAGTGAAGTCAAAATACTCCTGCAACAGGCGCTGACAGCTTGCACATTTGTAAGGCAGAGACAGCGCTTCAGCCTCATCCTTAGAGCAAAATACAGATTGAACTTCTTGATAAAGCGTCAAAGCTCATTCAGATGGGCTTTATGAGGTGCCAGTAGGAGGAGCTTGATATTTGTGGCTTCACTTTAAGGGAGCTGGCATGTTGTCCAGCCTTTTATATAGTCTTTAGTTGTGACTCAGCAGCAATAACAAATTTAAATGTGTAAAACATCGTGAAGTTTGAATTTTTTAAAGCCAGCAGTGTTCAAACTCACAGCTGTGTGAAATCCAGTCATGATTTTTTTTAACTTTGCGAAGAACTCTCAGCAAAAACAACAAACATCTTCAACATGTTTTCAACATGAATCAGGACAGAAGACAAAGTAAAGACATGTAGTCATTGAAATTGTCAAATATTACATGTGGACGAGTTTGTACTTTTAATCTCAAAATCTCATATTTATATGTTTATAACATGTTACTGTACGATGTGTTTCCCACGAAAAGATTGATAAATACTGGCACAAATGCGCATTATTTAATGGAAAATAACCCCAGACAGTGAAGTGGCACTGAACTGTGATCATAATGATAACCATCAAATAAATAAGAAAACTTTGAGCTTCAGTTAACGTCCGTTTGCGGTGATGATTTATGTGCTTCATATTTAAAGAAATGAGCCATGAACAAGAACAGTTAATTTATTGAGTAGCATCAGTGGTTTTATTAACACTAGTAAGAGTATGAATATGAATTTTTCCTCTCAGTCTGAGCCTTTTGAAAACGGGATGATGTCGGTGTGAGTGTGTTTGATTTTTTTTCTTTTTTGACTTTATTGTAATTTTTTACAGCAGCTGAAGAGCAGCTTTGTGCAATAGCCTGAACTGATTCTGTGTGATGAAAAAAACATTTCATGCTTCAAATAACCTCTGCAAAACAAGATAGCTGGATAAAACATGATATTTTTTCACTGTTGAACAAGATACCAGCAGAGTATGACTTTATGTGAACACGATCTGTTGATAGAAGCCTGTGCAGACGTATGAAGTGATGCATCTTGTTTGATCTTTAATGAGGATACTTTACTTACAAACCGGATAATCTGTAATGAACAAGATACTGACTTCAGGCAAAAAGATACTGATCCATGGAAATAAAAAAAAACAAGGTATAAATGTTGGGGTAATCAGACATAAAGAAAGCCGAATTGGTTCACAATAAATTGTTTTTAGGAACAAGATATAATTTTGTGCGAACAAGATAAAAACAAAGTATTACTTTTTGCAAAAAAAGGACCAATTGAGACACTTAAATATTTACTTTAAGAAACAAGATGATTAAAGAGATGTTAAGTTTTACAAACATGCTTTAAGAGGTCAAGACTTCATTGTGGCAAACAAGATACTTTTTTGACTGGTCCAGATATTGTTTCCTCAAAAAGCTTTGCAAGTACCATTTTATCTGCCCTGCACTAATCTACCCCAAAGAAACATCAAGATACAATTTGTTATGTGCAGTAGTTACTCTTGAATAGGAAAGACACATTTATTGGAAGCTGAGAGATAAAAATCTGTGAACTTGTGCAAAACAAAATATTCTGTCAATGAAACATGGCCTGTGTGAAGGAATAAATATACTTTTGCAAAACGATAGCTACTCACTCGTGCCAACAAGATAATGACAAATGCAAATACAGTATTCTGAGATGTGACTTTCTAAAGAAGCTTGCTCATGCAAACATGATTCTCATTCTTTAAAACAAGATTCAATTAGTGCAAAAAAGATAATAAGTTAGCTAGAATAAGACATTTGGTTCAAGAAGTATCTAGTTGTATCTTGTTGACAGAAAATTTCACCAACTACACTATAACATGTTTGCACGGAATAATAGTTTGTTCTTACGTTTCCTTTTTTATAAAATGTCCAAGGTAAATATCGGTGAGGAGAGCTGGCAGCTGGTTTATACCTTTATGCAGAGTTTCCACTATGACATTATGAAGCTGAATTTATGGTGGAAACTCTGACAAAACATAACATTCCTCCCAAGCCTTTAGGTTTTTCTCTTCTGCTCTTCAAAATTGATCAGTGATCAAATAGTTTATGTTCTGCTGAAGTCTTAAAATACCTGTGACCAAATTAAGCTTCATCGAATAGGTTTTTTAGTATCATTTTAAGGAATTGTAAAGTAGAAAACGTGCATACATCAGCATTCCTCCGTCCATACTGTGAGGTTTCGTCGTCTCCTGTGCATTCCAGTGTGCATTTTCAGGAAGAGAAAAACTGCTGATTGCAATTTCAGGTGTTTCAGCATCCGCATAAGAAGAAGATATCTCTGCTACATGACTATTTAACACCAGATTTGTTTTGCAGTCACACAGAATCACGTGTTTCTTTTCTTAAGCTGCTACTATGCACTTTGTTTGAACGGTCAGACTGAAAAAATGCAAGACTCTGAGAAAATGCAGTTACTGAGGATTAAAAGCGGGTGACAAGGATGTGATCTGGTGAGATTAAATCATTGCTTACCCTGCATTAACAGTGTTAAACCCTCCAGAGCACAAGAAAAAAAAAACGTTTTTAACATGAAACCACAAGCACAACAGCCACTGCATCATGAAACGGACCCTCTATCATGGAGAAGCATGTGGACGACTCCCTGATTACTGCCGTCTGATCAATCCTGTTTTCTTCCCCTAATCTGTGGGAGTCATTTTTACCTTTTTATACTCGTAATATGTCCAAAATATGGGTGCAGCCTTCCTTTATAGCAACATGTGTGACTTGCTTGTTGTGATTTTAAGTCAGTGTCCAACTGTCAAATGTATTTTCTGAGTTTCAGTTTAAAAAAATGCACAGATGCTAATCTCTGTAAGCAGCATGTTTGTTTAGAGTAGAAAGTGCCAAAGACTGGTGTACTCTCACTTTCTCATCCTGACAATGACAGAGATCAATTATTGTACCAGATGTTTCTTTTTTCTGTGTTAACAGAAGGAGCCAATAAAGAAAATGAAAAATTTGGCTTCATGACAACGGCTGCTGAGTGTCTTTATTGTTGGTCTAGATGGATTTGGTCTTAATAAAAACCTGATGCAAAGACAGTTGTTGTGAAACTACATTGTAAACTTTATCTGTTTATTGTGTGTAGAAATAAGAAATAAGGACATTCACAAGGTTAATTGCAACCCTAGTTTTAAAAGCTTTGGCATACTGTATAAAATATTCAAATATTATTTGGAGCATGCATTTTTTGTATGTCATTCACTCATTTTTAAATTTAATGCCGCAAACATGTTTCCAAAAAGTAGTTCCTGGGATATGTTTCCCATTGTGTGTCATCAGCTCTGCTTTTCCCAACTCTCTGTAAACATTAGTGAACCCTGTAGACTAGTTTCTGGAGTTTTCATGTGAAATTTTGTCTAATTTTTGATGGAGAATTTCAGTTTCTCAACAGTTCAGGGTCTCCTTAGTCCTGTTTTTCGGTGTTGTGATGCTCCAAATGTTTTCAGTTGGATGCAAGTCAGGACTGCAGGCAGTTCAGTTTAGCAGCAGGACAATGTTGCTCCTAAACCTGTTTATAGTATCCAGCATTACTGGAGACTTCACCATACCATAAGGGATGCTGGCTTTGAGGGATACTGGTTAACACGCGGGTGGTCCTTGTACTTTTATAGAGAGGAGGATGCAGCATCCATGGTTTCCAAAAATGACTGTAGTTTAGTCAGCCAACAGCACAGTTTTCCTCTTCCCCCTCGGTCCATCTTAAATGAGCTCAAGGTTCAGAGAAGTCTCTTGTGTTTCTGGATCATGTTTCTATCTGGATTACTCCTTACATACTTAAATTTTAACCTCATTTGTTGATGTAGTGATAAACTGTGTACACAGACAAAGGTTTTGGGGAGGGGTCTGGAGCCAGTGTCAAGATTTCCACTCCAGAGTCCTGTCTGTTGTACTGCTGCCTCAGGGCTGCATGGTCAGGACCACCCAGTGTTGGTTTTGGTCCTTGTCCTTTTTATACAGAGATTTTTCCATATGTCAGACAAACAAATACAATACAACCAAAACAGACTTTTTTTTCTATTTTCCATGGCAAAGACCCCTAATGCATATTAAAACAGAACTGCTTTGTTGGAAACACTGCTAAAATAGACACTGGACAAAGCGGGGAGGCACCGCATTCAGCACAAAAGTTTGTCACAGGAGCTTTAAGTTAAAACGTTTGTAAATAGTTACTAAACATGGGCAAAGTTTTAAATTGTGTATGTGACTGGAGGCAGCACTGAAATACATGTTCAAATAGGAAAGGTCCTGCATATTGGAAAAAATATATTTACATGCAGTCATTTGCTTTATTTGTAAAGAAACCGGAATCATTAGCACTACGTTAATATCAAGCTGATCGGACTGACAATTGACGGTCCGTTATTACCCTCTAGCGGCCAAATAGTGGTACTACAACACGGCATCAAACGAGCCACTGAAGGTTTCAGTAAAGATTCCTCTTTATGAAGACTTTTCGTGGGTATTCCCAGCAATTAATAGGCTTAATATTACGACCATACATCAGCGGGTTTGGTGGGCATATTGTTTGTTTCCGTTGTGAGAATTATTCAACATTTAAACGAGAACACGACAGGCGGCAACTATCTTCATCCGCTGAGTATCTTTGACGCTACCCAAGCTTGTTGGGTTGAGGGCGTTGCTAAGAAACGTTAGAATTTCGACTTTGCTCCAATCACTGCTGGAGAAAGAAGTCACGTGTTCCAAATAGCCCTATCAGAGAGAAGATAGCGTCAGTATCAGTTGAAGTTTATCCTGCTTCACTCAAACAGACTATTAAAATTCTTCTAAATTTGCCCGCTAAACTGCTGCTGTTCCGCTTATGAATTACATTTCTATATCCTGGCCAGCCTGTTGTGATATCTCATATGGTAAGTCTTTAAGAATGTGTTTTTATCCGAGACAAAGGCCAGAAAAGTCCTGTCAGGGTTAGCTGATAAGCTAGGCTAAGGTGAATTTATAACTCACTTTATGTTTGTTTACCTCTAAAGTTTAAAACTCACTATAATAATCAGAGAATATAGCCGAATATTTGTTCTTAGATTAAACAGTCTTTTTGCATATGTTTCTGATTCATAGCTTTGACTATTTGCGCATATTTGATCACATTGGTTTAAATGATTGATTTTGTCATAGGTATAAGTCAATGTAAGCTTCAAACTTTTAGTTTTACCCGTTTTTTTCTTCTAGCATTCGATTGATTTATCCTAGAATCTTTAATTTAATGGAAACAAATCGCCAAATGCTGTGCCATGAATTGATAACTGTAGCTGATGTTTAGCTGTATCCTTTAGCATCCTATCACATCCATGCAAATCTGTCATTTTATTTCACTATGCCACAAAGCTGATGTATTGATCAGATTTCAATTTCACCTCACCTGCTGCCTGACAGATCCCACCCCTTGACAGATGACTCCATGGAGGGTCTTTAATCCCACATGTCAAAGTGTAATGGCTGATTGATGGACATCTGAAACCCTCCCAGCCTTTTGTCCTCTAAAATGATAAATGATATCATCTGCTGTTTCACAGAGGAAAGCAATGAGAATTCGGTCAGGTTCACCTCCAATCCATGTGCATGTCAACGACGCCACACCTGTCCATGTCCATGTACAGAGTAAAAGTCCTACGAGGACACCTCAGGTTAGACGTTTACATCTTAATTTGTTTGTCTTGTGTCACTTAATTTGATATATATTAGTGTAAATGTGCGCCTCCTTAGTCTTTCCTCTCATTCCTGTGATGTGTCTGTTTTACAGAGCAAGGTCAAAGCCAACAGAGGAGTCCTCCATCCTACAGCCAAGATCAAAACTCGAGTACCGTGGATACCACCAGGGAGGGCCTCCATACGGGATGCTACACATGTGTGGGAGGTAACCCACCATTTAGAACCATTAAACTCAGACATTAGCCTTCGTCAGAGGGGTTTTTACGTTAAAATCAAGTAAAGGCAGAGATGTTGATAGAATAGAATAGAATTCAACTTTACTGTTATTGCACATGTCACAAGTACAGAGCAACGAAATGCGGTTTGCATCCATCCAGAAGTGCTCAGCAAGTATGAATATGTTTACAAATGTACAGGGTATGAAGGAGATAAACAATGAGTCTATCACGGGTATATAACATTGTTATGAATATGCTGTATTGTATATATGTACAGGCTATGAACAGATTATACATATGGTTATAAATATGAAGGCTATAAACAGACTATAAATATGATTCATGACAGATAAATTATACAGTAGTGCAATATTGGATGTATTTACAGTAGTGCAAATGAGGTTTGAAAGGTTTAAAAAGTTGTTTTACGGATATAAAGTGTGGGTAATAGTAGATAATTATTAGTGGTTGATGTGTTTGCACCAAGGGGCCAACGCACCGCCTTGAGATCACGCCACCACAGCCTGGACCAGAACCAGAACCAGAACCTCCTCAATCTGCACTACGATTAGCTGACCTCACGTCAGAGGAGGAGGAGGGTCTGCACGGGAGAATAAGCGAGTACGAGAGGAAGATCGACAGCTTGATGAGTGAAGTCAGCTCTCTAAAGAATGAGGTCAGCACCTCCTCTAGATGACAGGATGCATATGTCTGCTGTGGTCCAAGGATTTGTTTTACATCACTTGGGTGTTCCTGTTGATGTTTGTGTGTTTTTAGGTGGAGCTGCGGAAGAAGGAGCAGCTGCTGGAGCGTCAGTCGGAGCAGCTGAACGTCTCCCAGCGAGTGATTGCTGAACAGGAGGAGGAGCTGGTGGAGGTGACGAAGGAGCTGGAAGAGACAGAACGAGAGAACACACGGCTACGTCTGTCTATGGAGAAGATGCTGGAGGAGAGCGACTACGGCAGGTCAATATCATACTCAGCTTTTGAGGAGTTTGACTCAGTCTCCTCACGCTCTACGAGCCTGATTGTACCTTGAGGTCCTCGGCCAAGGGTCTGCTGACCATTTCACAGTCCAGGCTGAGGACCAAGAGGGACCAGGCTTTTTCTGTTAGGGCCCCAACACTGGATCAAACTGCCTGCCTCAGGTTCCTTATCCTCTTTTAAAATGTTTCTAAAAGCTCATTTTTATAGGTGTCTTTTTCATACATGAGTTTTAACTTACTTTTTAGTTTGCAGTTTTTAACAGTTTTTACTTATTTCATTAACTTTTAATTGGTTCAAGTTTAATTTTATATTCAATTTTAACTCATTCCTGTGTGTTCTGTTGACTGTTTCATCGTATTCCTACTGTCTTCCATTTCTTTTCTATTTTCATGTCATGAAGCACTTTGTAACTCTGTATTGAAGAACTGATATGAAGATAAAGTTCATCATTAGTAGTATGACTAAATACACTCATGTCCTCGTCTTCAGGTTAGATCGAGATAGTCTTAACAAAGACAGAGATGCTCTGCTCAGGAAGCTAATGGAGGCTGAAGTGGACTGGGCAGCAGCTGCCAAACAAGTTTCAGAGCTGAAAGAGTCTGTGTCCAAACTCTGTAAAGGGAGCGGCAGTGTAAGTGTCAACTCAGTATGTGTGTTCACTATATATCAGAGAAAAAGGTGGCTGTATATCCAGACCATCAGCTGTGATTAAAATAAGTTCTCTAATTCAGTGACTCATCTCTGTAGCAAAAAATCAACACACATACTGTACACGTTACAAGTGAAACAGCTGCATAAAGAAGTTTAAAGATTATATGAACCATTGTTTTTCTGTCAATGTCTCAGCAGAAGAAACTCTCTGGCTCTGAGTCTTCGGTCTTGGCTCGTCAGAAGGATCTGCTGCTGCAGAAACTGGAGACATTCGAGGCCACAAACAAAACACTGCGACACCTCCTCAGAGAACAGCACAGCTCACAGGTACAGGCTGGGAAAAGTATCTTCATAACAGTGTAAGCAAACACCAGGGAGTCAAATTCAGCAGATTAATGTGACATGAGTAACTTCCACTCAGAGCAGGCCTATTCTCCAAACTCCCTGGTGTTTCTTCAACTTCTTATACACCTTTCTTAGACCCCATGAAGATTTCAATGAGGGTGAAGGAAAAAAGGATGGAACAGGATTTAGAGGACGTTTTTGACTTTTCCTTTGCTGGTTACAATCCCTTTGGTGTTTTTTTACACAAGCCTCTGTAACTATGAATGTGAGAAAGAGCAGGTGCAAGTGGTTCTGAGTGCGATGTAAAAGCATTAGGATAGTGGATAAAACAACTTCAGGCACTGTGATTTTAGTGAACCATTTAGTCAATGACAAATCAAGATAGTTCTTACACGTCTCCAAATGTATATAGCCTTTAAGTCTAGACTATATGTGTTGTTTGATTTGTTTTGCAGAGTTCCATAGCTAACATCTGTTAAGCACATATACTGTATATGTAGCGTTTTGTATGTCTGTTTGTGAGCAGATGGAGACGTCACGATTGTCAGAGCAGAAAGATGCTTTGCTCAAGACGCTGGCCGACACAGAGGCAGAAAATGCTGTGAGTTCAATAGATCCATACTTATTTTTTCTTTTCTTTTCCAATGAGTTATCTTTGCATTTTCAAAGATATTAAAGCAAATGAAGTTCTCCTTCTGTTTGTGAAATCTGCTTTTTTTTCGCAGCACCTTGTGGTGAAACTTCAAGAGAGAGAGAGAGAAGTCAATCAATTCTGCAAACTTCTAGATGTCGAGCAGGTATGACGGCTGGCAGCATATGTTTAATCCTTTGGTTTTGAAGCACAATATAAAAATGTATTTCATGTATATTTTGCTATATTTTGGAAAAGGAAAATGCAAAGAGCACAGCCGAACTTTCCAAGAGTCTGGAGTCGACCAGAGCTCACTTACAAGGACAGCTCCGGAGTAAAGAGGCTGAAAACAACCGACTCAACGTGCAGATAAAGGTTTGTCATTGTCTGTCAGGAACACTAAGGCTGCTGTCACAAAAACAGCTGGTAAAACTTTTAAGAAACTGTTTCCTGTCCTCTACTGCTCATTTAAAAGCGCACACAGTGATTATTTTTTGGTCCTGTCATTCTGTCTGTTCAGAATCTCGAGCGAGCGGCCAACCAGCAGAAAGCAGAAGTGGAGCGACTGAAGGAGCAGCTGGCAGCGATGAAGCAGCAGGCCAGTTTTGACCGAGAAGCTCTGAAACGAGCCACGAGAGCGCAGAAACAACGAGCAGAGCGCAGTGAAGGCACTGCAGGCCAGCTCAGCGTTCAGCTCCTGGAGATGGTATGGACTGGGTTAATTAATCTGAGAATGAACTCCATTTGTGTATTCTTGTAAAAATGTAAAGTCTGGGTCTGTGTCTGGATTTTAGTAAGAGAAGTGTTCTGGTTTCTGTATATGATCTAAGAAGTGACAAATCAGGTGTCAGCATAGCCTGGCTGGGCCATCCTGTTGCATGAATCACTTGCCGTTCCTTCCCACAACTTTTGTTTTTGCTGTATGAAGAGCAAAAGTAGGAGGAACACATTACTCTGTACTGACATCCCAGCTTGTGTGGATGGTAATCTAAAGAAGAAAAAAAAACAATCAAGTTTATCAGTTTGAACATCAAATATCTTGTTTTTGTAGTGTATTCTACTGAATATAGGTCAAAAAGGATTTGCAAATCATTGTATTTTGTTTGTAATCATATTTTACATGATGTCCCGACTTCAGTAGAATTGGGGTTTGTATGAAGTAAAAGTGCAGTTTGCAGGAACAGAGTTATCAGGGCTGAGTATTGACTTCACAGTTATCCCTAAAAAAGTCCATAGATCCCACAGATTTTTATCACCATCAAGAGCCAGTGAATCCTGAGACTGACAAAGACGCAGACATGTAAGGTTTATTTTATAGCTAGATATAAGAAATTTGAGGTGAAGTGTCATATATCTAAGGAACACTTTATTACTGATGAAGTATTCTTTTGTTTGTGGGCATTTGTTGTGGTACAAGGAGCCATCAGCATACAGCCACATATTCTGTTAACACTGCTGCCTGTCAAAATAAAGCAAGTCTCATAATATCTGATTTTCTTCCTGCAGGAGAAGCAGGTGTCAGAGGCACTGACAGCAGCAGAGAGCTGGCAGAGTCGACATGCTCAAGAAGTGAAAGAAAAGAGTAAACTGGAGATCGAAGTGTCGCTGCTGAAAAGGTAACTGCAGCTTCTTTATAGTCACAGCTACAAACATAACAGGTGTCTGTGTTTGAAATGAAAAAAAACCACACTGATTTGGAAGCAGTTTAGTTTTACCTCTTGGAGATTCAAAGTGTTGCTGTTACTAAAAGATGATAAGTAGTTCAGAGCTGCTGGAGCCTTGTTGTTTTCATTTATGATTCACAAAATGACAGCTTGTTGTGTGAATTAATGCAGCCGTGTGGCAGAGCTGACGGAGCAGCTGCAGAGCTCAGAGGAGAAGAGCCGAGCAGAGAGAGAGGCTCTGCTGGATCACCTTCACATTCTGACCACAGAGAGCACTGCTGTCAAAGTGGAGAACCAGACGCTCAAGGTGAGAGACCTGATGGTCTACAGAAAGCAGAGGGCCATTCATCACAGTCAAAACATGAAAATCTGAAGATAAGCTCAGTGTCTACATATTTGTCATGATCTGTTTCTTGGATAATGTCATTCCCCTGTCCTCTCTGATACACTCACACTGAGGAGTATTACATTAGGGGGATAGGCTGTCCTCGTGATTTAATAACGAATGAATTAATCTGTCAGGCTGCAGCGTCTGCAGTTGAGGAGAAGCTGTCCTTGTCTCAGTCGGAGCTCCAGCAGGTCAAAGCTTCAATCCAGCAGTATGAGAGTCTGCTGGACAGCTACAAGATCCAGGTACATCAAGACTTCTCTACAGGAGGAAATAAACCTGATAAGATCATAATAGTTCTGCAAATTTAAGACCAAAGGACTCTGACCGGGGGTATTTCTAAACCTGGGTCCTTTTTAAACCTAATTGTGGGTTTGAATGACTCCCGGATCCAGAAAGTTTTGGATGTACTTCAGCAGATTGTTCAGCTTGCAGCAGTGAAACAGGCTTTAATGGCTACATCGTAACTCTGCCAGTGTGTCTACTAAAAGTATTTATTCCCTGACAGGCTCAGATTGCTATTTCAATTATCTAACAATGTTATAGAAAGGATCCCCACAAAAGAAAAGATGTTTTTATCATAGAGAAAGATATTTTTCAACAAGTAACAGCTGCTTCTATTAAAACAACCAGACTTCACTCATAAAAACAGTGATTTTTACCTCATAAAATACAGAAGTTGCTGATTGAGTCCTATTGTTACTGTCTCATTGCCTTGTGTTGTTTTGTGCTTTTTGGTGTTTAAAGGTAAGTACAGATCCAATATAGCTTTTGGGTGACATAGATTTATACAAAAGACACATACCAATCAGTGCAGCAGCATTGGTGAAGTGGCTCTTTTGTCCTGTGAGGTTAAACGGCTATTTTTGTTTATGGAGTCTGGTGTGTCTGTAAAGAGTGAAGTAACAGCTATTTCTGGTTTAAAAAATATCTCTCTGTAGGGATCCTTTATGTCATTTTGTCTGAGCCTGTCAGTAGAGAAAAAGGCCTGGGTTAGATGCATTGGCCTCTTACTCTGCACTGTTACACTGCTGCAGGCTGAAACTATCTACTGAAGTGATTCCAAAAAATTTGAGCCTACTTATTATTTCCCCCCAACAACATTTGAAACATGTCCCACATTCAAAACTAGCTGACAAATTTTTAATGATTTTTTTTTACTGCACAGGTCGGGAAAACTCGAGCTGAGGCAGACGAGTACTGCACCCGACTGGCCCAGGCAGAGCGAGAGGCGCAGTCAGTGCGGGCGGAGCTGGAGAAGGAGATAGAGGAGGTGCGAAGAGAGCTGCTGGGTCGGCTCACGGAGCTCGAGCCTCTTCCTGAAGCTGTACGGCGCTCCAAAGTACAGCTGCAGGAGGCTCAGGAGAGAGAGCGCAGCCAGGAGAAGCGCAGCATGGAGCTCAGCACCACACTGACAGATCTACGCATGAAGGTTTCAACACACACACACACACACACACACACACACACACACACACACACACACTACCATCATCAAAAAACATGCTCATAGCAATGGTCATGTCTGCATGTTTGCATGGGAAGGTGGGACATTTCTTTTTCAAAAAATATTTAATAGTTTTTAGAGACTATTAATCAATATTTTTGCTCTTAAAGTCTGTCTTTATTTGTTATGTTAAAGGAAGACTACTCTTTTTTACACTATCATTCTCTGGAAGCTCAAATACCTTAACAGTGACAGAGCAACTTCTCTTCTGTCGCTGTAGGTGGAGACTCAAGGCAGCCAGATGGAGCTCCTCAGAAAGAAGAACAAGCTGCTGATGGAGGAGAACAGACAACTTCAGCAGAAAGTGGACAGCTTGGAAAGGTCTGTCCTCTTATAATTCACTTAAACCCTGAACCAGTTCATTCCAGCTTTTGAGATATAAAGCCAACACAGAGTAAACAGTGAAACATTTCTTTTTGGGGATTCACATTAAGTTAAATTTGCCACTGTCTCTTCTCAGAATTACTGGCCCCACCAGTGTAACCACTTGTCCTGTGAAATATATTGTGATTCAGAAAATAACAATCAAGAATTTTCTTGTTAAGTCAGGAATCCCAACAAAAACATAAGTCAGTACTTTAACTGAACAGAGCAGGCAGAAGAAACCTGCAATCAGCAAGTCTGTCAGTCATGTGAGCAGATGGTCATATTGAGCCCCATTAACAGTTTCTGTCTAATGTAGATTATATACATGCATACTTGAGTGACATCAAATGTAATGACATGTACAGTTTGAGTACCAATCTACCATCTTCATGATTTGACTGGAAGCACCAGTTCATTGTTAAATTTAGCCGTTTATTGTTATTGTCATTTTGCAGGAAGCTTGAGGAGGCTGGCAGTCAAAACGGGGACCTGCTTGCTGTTGTTTCCAAACGAGAAGAGACAATCCACAGCAACCAGCTCCGCCTGGAGGAAAAATCACGAGAGTGTTCGCTGCTGAACCGAAAGCTGGAGGAGGCTCTGGAGGACGCTCGACAACAGGTCTGCAAACTGATAGGGACTATTAAACATCTAAAGAATACAATTTTTTTGTTGGTAGCGCTGCTGCATCAGGATACATTGAATGAAATCTGTCAAAAAGGATTAAAGACACAAAGGTTATTCTGCAGAGAGATGCAGTATAATTTGTCAAAAAGTTACACTTAGGTTCCAGTCTCTGTTTTCTCAGCACTTCAAGAAAGACTTCATTTTCGACAGATAGTAATTTCACTGACATCTGTGTTACAAAGGGAGAAGCAGGTGCACACCATCAGTATGTCATGTTTAAAGGCTGGAGCAGCATCAAGAAGCATTGAGTTAAGGAAGCATGAAGCAGTCTCCTTGGTTGAGTTAACACTGTTTCATTTTAGTGTTACACCCAGCAGTATCTTCAGCATGGGTGTGTCTGCTTTGTGTAATTATAAGCATGCCCCTAACAGTATGTGTTGTACTTTTTAACAGCTTCTCCTGCACTGTAATTAAGTCCAATTTGTCATATCTGATAGATGTCAGAGACCAGAGAGCGAGCTTCAACCAAAGAGCGCTCCACCCAGTCAAAGATCCTGGATCTGGAGACTCAGCTTAGTCGCTCATCTTCAGAAATCAAGCAGCTGCAGCGCAGCAAAGAGGAGGTAAAGTTTAAAGTTAATTCCAAGTCTGAATCAGCAAGGCCAGGAAGTGTTTTAACTGTCCAATCATGTTTCCAGGTGGAGCGGCGGTACCAGAGCAGACTGCAGGATGTGAAGGATCGTCTGGAGCAGTCTGACAGCACCAACCGCAGCCTGCAGAACTACGTCCAGTTCCTCAAATCCTCGTATACAAATGTGTTTGGAGACATTGCTCTGAGCAGCACATTGCGAGCCCCCTCACCCCTCTGAGAGTCAGAGTGTTTCATTATGCACAAACATTCCCAAACAGCACTGTGGACTCTGAAGAGCTGGTACAGTTTTTCTCTGCAGACTGGTCTCATAAAAGCTCTCTAAGACTGCTACAATGTGGGACTTTTTTTTTAAACTATCAATTTAGAAACAATTTTTAGATTTTGCATTTTAGTGAAAAACTTTTATCACAACAGAAGATCCTTTGTAACAAAAAAGTTCTTATCTGTACAATTTTTAAGATGTGTTTGGTATCAAAGCCAGAAGGCAAACAGAAGCTCCATAACTTACCACACATACAGTATATTCAACACAACACAATAGGTAAAACTTTTTCAACAAAGGTTTCATTTGGTTATCTTACTAACCAAGAACACTAAAATATTACATTAATAAAAGCCTCTGTTCTGATTGTGCCTTTCCAGATTAAGTGGTCTCTTCAAAACATAAATTGTGGGGCTGAAATTTGATAGTTTGTATTTTATAAGTCTAAAAGAACTAAAATTTCATATTTTTATATTCTTTGCTGTCTGACAAACCTTGGCAAGTTACAAAACAAGTTTGATACATTCATCAGTGGAATTATTGGGTGACTTACTGCATTTTTGCAGATTTGTATGACTGATGTGAGGCTTGTTTTTTATTTCTATGCATAAATATATTGAAAGCCATACATGACACATTATGTGGATGAATCTCTCCTGGAAGGAACTGAAACATTGGTGCTATTACAAACAGTGTGTCAAATCAGTCATTTTTGGGTTTACTGTTTCATAAATAAAACCAGGAGAATTGACAGTTGTTGCAAATGTTCATTTTCAAACTATTTTGTGGGATTTTTTTAAAGACTGAGTAACTTTTATCTAAAATTTCAATGTTGTTGGAAAAGCTGAGAGTTGTGTGCATCCGCACATATATGATTTACTACGGTAGTTTGAACCATATGAGGTGAACATTCATTGCAAAACACAGGAAGTGTCGGCAGTGTGGCACACAGATTCTCAATACTGTAACCTCTTGAAAGTTTTCTCAATCTGAAAAATTCCATTGCTGACAGAAAGCTGAGAATCTTTGCTCTCTGTCAATATGTGATACATGGTATATATTACATTAATCTTGAATGGTACCACCAAAACCACAACTTTGACAAGGGTGAGAGGGAGAAAATGAGAGTGAAGTAAGACAGAGCAAGCAAAGTATTTTTTTCTTTTTGAAATAGCCAAATAAATAGTAGGAAATATATAGTATAAGATATAGTTCGTAATCCTCTTACGTACTATAATATATAGTATGTATGAGGAGGAGAGCTATTTAAAGAATGATTCTTCTGAACTGAGGTGTGTCCAGAAGAATCAAATTGTGCATCATTTGCGCACCCAGAGTCCTAGACTAAAAAAATCATTGTATTTTCTGCTTTTAAACAGCTGACAATTCCATATAATGTGCAATGATCACTAACTAGAAAGTTCAAGTACTCCTAGAAAAAGGGACCAAAGGCGCAGACCTAGGGCATTTTCTGACCATTTTACAGCCATAATAACAAAATACCTCCAAATCACCATTTGCAGCCTTAGTAGGTAAATGTAAAGGGTTGAGGATTTTTTTTAAGTCAAAACTAGTCTTAATCTCACTGTTGCAGCTTTTGCAAGTCACAGGCTTCATTTATGTGGGAATGGTTTTCCTTTTGCCCCTTTTTTAATTTGATTTTACACCCTTATTATACTATATTCAAAAGATTTTGACATTTATTAGTGCATCAAATTAAAAAAATACATAAACCTTAAGACATCCAAATGTTCCCTTAACAGCAAGGAGCATTTAATCCTGTGAATATCAAATAAGAAATCACTCCGTGCAGGTATTCTTGTGACACGAAGCTTCGGGCTTTTCCGGTATCAATCGGTCTTTTCCGTTCAGCTGCAGAAAATTACGTCACGTTGGTAAAAAAAAAAAAACAGTCGCCCATCCTAGAGCAGCCGCTCGTCCTTCGTCGTCGATCCGCCTGGACGAACACCAGTTTTTAAGCTTCTTGAAAACAAACCGAGGTATGGATAATAGACACATATACATATGACAAGTCTATAAGTTCTAACATGATTTTGCTTCATGAAGTTCGTGCTTTTCTGGCTGGTCTGTTAATTCAATGAACGCTCCCTTGGCTGCCCCGGATTTGCTAGCTCCATGGCTAACGTTAGCTTGGCTAGCTGCAAACACTCCCTTTTGTTGAATGATGTTTACAGTGCAGGGCAGTAGATGAAATAACGAGAGGGATGCTTCTTAGTTAGTCTTTTAAGTTGTGGAAATGTAAAACATTTCATAAATGGACATATAGTAGCCCTCTTAAGATGACATTGACGGGTTTCACTTGGAAAAGGTTGATGTAACGTTAAAGTCTGGATTTGTATCGTCGGCTAATGCTGTTATTACAAAGATATAGCCTTATGCTTTTGCTTGTTAAGGTAAATGTCAGGGAACATTACAGAGTTGTCATGCAAAGCTGCCTACTAGCTCCCATTCTAACAGGAGTTTGCATCATTATAACCATGCAGTTACAAACATATATTATAAATGAAGGTCTTCCCTCATAGATTGCCAGGTATATGTTTCAATCGTGTGATATAGCCCTGCTTTAGCGGTATGAAGGATATGTATGAGGCGACGTTATCGAGCATGGCTGATAGGGAGCCGCCCAGTGCAGAGGGATAGCTGCGAGGCATATGGCCTCAGCTGTCAGCCCTTCTATTACACTGCATTCATTCCACCATGACCAGAGTCTTGGTTAATAATTTACAGGTTTTACTTGATGGTTTGAGCTTTTCTTACAAGCTTTAATAGATAAGGGTAATGACAGGATGACTGTAAAGTTAACATCTTATTCACAGTTGTTATGGGGAAGGTTAAGGGAACAAAGTCCTGGTATTAAAACCACTAAACCTAGATGATATGAATATACTCTATTGGTCCTGGAAAAAGGAAAATAGTGGACATACAATACAGGCACAAGTTGAAATTTGTGAAACCTTGTTCTACTTGTAAAATGGCAGAATCATAATTTTACTTTTTTCCATCTGGACCTCAATAAAACCAGGTTCTGACCCAGAACCAAAGTACCCAGACTTCTCAGATCTGGCATAACTTATTTTAGAGAAGCTATAGCCTTTTAAAGCACAGTCTTACATTTGTGAAGTCATTATACTGTTTGTAAAATTCAAGGAAGGATGGTTTGAAAGGTGAAAAAAAGACATAGCAAGATTAGCCTTTCTTGCAATTCCCCAAATAAAATTACGGTTTTGCAAAAGTTAGATTGAGTATTTTTGTGACCCTGTTTCTACATGCTTTTTCTGCAATAGCCAAATAAGAAGTTGCAAGTAAGATGCCAACTTCAGCATCGCAGTGGCAGGGCTGTTAGCCCATTACACAATGATATTGTGGTATGATTTGCAATGATTATAGACTGTAAAAACCGTGGTGTGGTGACGTGACGGTGCTATCTAGCACCTCTACAACGGACTGTCCTGCATGCGGCCGTTGTCAGGGTGGTGCCAAGTTCTTCACATACCAACCATGTAACTGCCCCCTCACTCTCCAGAGGAATTTAAATAGAAAGCTAGAGGAGGATACAGCAGATAAGATAGAGGGTATGTAGGACTAGCCTGGCAGTAGCTCATTGTAACTTCAGAATATTATGAACATAGATGTGAATGAAGTGTGTTAGATTTAATCAACCATGAACATGCATTTCCTCGTTAATTAATATTAGCATAGTTTGTCATACGATTGAGTTGAGTTAACTTTTGCATATTTTTCCGTTCATTATCCACAGGATACTCCATGTACTATCCAGTTAAAACTCAGTGATAGTATTGCATGTTTTCAAGGCCTAAGATGGTATGTCAACGTGAGTTTCATGCTTTAAACCACAATGTCTGTCCACTTATCTTTGAAGTTAGTTGGCACTGCTATCAAAATGTTGATTTTTTTTTTACTTAACTTGGCTGTTCAGACCACCTCAGCGGTAGAAAGCCCTCTTTCATTCAGCAAAATACATCATAACATCAAAGAGATAGTTATTGTTTAGACATTAATTAGTCATTCTTTTAGAGCCAAAAATAGCATTGAATGTTCAGTGATCATTGCCACCAGTGTTGGAAAAACATGAGCACAACCAGATTGTTTTTAATTCTGATTAAATTAACATGACATGAACATCCAGGATGCATTCACCATTGTTTTGCTGCAGAGTTTGTGCCCAATTGTTGAATCCATGAACAGATGAATAGAAGCACTACTGACCTCCCTAAGCACTGTAAGGCTGTTGTAATCATCCCTTGTAACACTCTCTGAAATTCATATTTTCCATCCTTTCCTGAAAACATCACTGAGTTTTCTTGCTATAACAGTGAAACTTGAATCAGAGGGTCTGTGAATGAAAACTTAGCATGTGCAAGACATTGTAAAGGGGCACATTAGAAATCTGTCTGATAATGCTGACGCAGATGAAAATGGCTCACATAACAGCTTGGATCCTGTGCAAGTTGGTCGTAGCATTGCAAAATGTAAGATTTATCTGCAACAAGCATTGACAACAAGGTCAGCAGATCCTATTATTCGCTCTGAAGTCGTGGCTGCTGGCCATGGCTGATGTAACTCCTGAAAAATAGTTGCATGGTAAGGATACATTGCGATTCTTAAGACCAAATCGCCAAGGTGATTCGTTTGTCTTTGTCATTTATCTCTAAAACTTGCTGTTCCTTATTTCAATTTGAAATGAGGTCAGCAGTTTCCAAAAGTCTCTGTCTAAGGGGCTTAAAACGCTGGAATTAATTGACACAGGGAATAAACGTAGCTAAAGTGCATTTTAGGATTAGAACTTACTGGGCTGAATGTAGCCTAGGTACGCACTGCACTATAACCTCATGTTTTTCTGTGAAACAGAAAAATGCTTTCAAAATGGGACACTTCCTGAACAGCAGAGCTTAAAATACCTGTTAGATAGGCTATTCCCAGTGCAAATTATGCCTCTTTTTCCTCTGTCTTAATTTAATTAGGTTGAGTTACAGCTATCACCTTAGTACATGACATTATTGTATTTCTTCAGGCCACATCTTACATAGAAAACATGGTTATTCAGAATGATGTGACTGTAAGCAAAGGGATGTTTGCTTTTCTCAACAAACATTGGTCATGCATTATTTAGATAACCAACTGGACTGAGTCAACAGAAAATGTTCATATAGTAACAGTGTTTCTCGCCTATGTGTGCGATGCAAAGTTGACCTAATACATCATTTAGTTTGATGCATTTTGCATTTCATGTGGGATAATAGCATCAGAAAACCACTCACAGAGGGTGTGGTCATACTTGCAGCCATTTTTCATCATCAGCCTCTTTGTTTTTCTGTTGAGTTATACCAAGAACTGATCGTATTTTAACACACTACCAGTAAATGAAAATGTGCATTTATTTGTGAACCTGTGCAGCCTAAAAATTGGCCATGACCTGGATAGGAAATAGGCCTGCATGTCTCCAGGGCTGTCAGGTTTGGTGTCAGGCCTGCACATACAGGGCTCATTGTCATTCTGCTGCTGGTGCTAACTACTTTCAGAGCATTTGAAGACTATTGATGCAATAGACTTGGCTTGTTTTCATATTAAAAATGCAGTTTTCCAACTTTGCTCGCTTCTTACCAGCTCGTGCCAATCATATATTGTGCCTTTACACAGATAAGCCAGCATGTCGACCTTTACTAAACCCCAACTCAAGGTAACATCAGTGTGTGTCCCACTGTGTGTGCTTCTGTGTGTCCTTAAGTTTGTGTGTGCGATGAACATTCCAGAGCAGAGCAGGGCAGTGGGGATGTTTTGCTGAGTAAAGGGTGATGGGAGAGAGCTGGAGGGAGGGGTAGGAGGTTCAGAGCAGAGACAGACGCATGGGCTGGGCTGCATCTTGGCTTGCTCCTTTGTACAGCCGAGTCACTGCAGGTGCAATGCGTCTGTCTGAGCTGCGTAGAAGATCCAACCTCTTCCTCAGTTATTATTAAAGTGTTCAGGACAGATGTAGAGATGCTGTTGCTCACCATGACTTCATCACAGAGATAAACAGCAAGAAAATCTCAAGGGACAGACCAGAAGGAGACAGACGTGTGTTTTATTTTGGTTTAGCACTTCTAGTTTTATTTCCAGCTTTTAAATCTATCATCTCTGATCTGTCTGTTTGACAATGGATTGTTTGATGACATTACAGGATTGGGTAAGCTGCTTGTAATTCAAACTGTGCATGCTGTTGTGTGTTTCCTGTCCTGATGCATCATTATATGGCTCTTTCTTTATAAAACCAGTGAGGACATTAGTTGGTTTTGCTGCATGTCTTTGGATGGTGTTCTTTTTTTCCATAAAAAATTCAATGTGACATGAGGTATTATGATGCTTTTCAAAACCCTGTGATATTAAGTCCTTCAGCAAACACTGAGGTTAGCCTGCGTTCTTCCGGTAGCTCTCAGGCTAATAGGAAGAGAGTGAATTAAATGGATCGGACTGGAGCCTGTGTTGGCTGCTGCAGGCAAGAGTCAAGACTCAACAAATGTTAATGGATTGTGTCTCCCAGGGCTATTTCCTGCATCCTTGCTGTTACGTAGAGTATTTTTTGGCTCAATACATTTCAATATAGGATGTGACATTTGCATTTATTCAGGGCAGTATTTCAACCTCTGTCCCATCTGTATGTTTGGGTAACTAAATGATGAAGTTTGTTAAAATTGTTGATACTTCGATTAATTTCGATATCACATGCTTGGAACAAATTATTTCACCAAAATTATCGATCAGATGCTGCCGTGAGTGAATGACCGAGCTAAGAGACACAAAGTAAATATAGAGAGAGTGTTGGTGAAGTTAACAAACTGGAGAATTAATGAAAATGTCTAAACTTCCTCTTAACGTGCAAGAAGGTGCCAGATTCTTCCTCCCTGTCATGTGTGTCTCTGCTCCCCCCTCCATCACAGCTTCTTCATATTCACAGAAAAAAAAAAGATGTGCTGAGTGTTTGTGCAGCAAACAGCCACCTTAGGCATTGAGGAGATACAGTAATATCACCCGGGCCCTCTTTGTTTTCTACCTGTCCTGACCCTAAGACTGTTGACGTGGAGATTAGCAATACTACGCAATGACTGACTCTTTTAAATCAACAAACTTAGTAAGAAAATACGAACACTTAAAATCAGGATTATTATTGATAATTCAGAGGAAATATTTTGGTGCATAAATTATTTTAAAACGATCCTCTTTCAGTCACACCCACCTCAGTCAGAGAGAATGAATTATTTGCAGGCTAAAGCAGTTTGTTGAACACCCTTTTTCACATTTGCCAAGTGAATGCGCAGAGGGTAATCAGCTGAGCTCTCCACCCCGCTGAAGAAGATCAGCTGTTAAATTGTGGGCTAAGCGTGACTGCGTGACCCTCCAGAACTAACACTATACACAATTTATGTAGCCTTTTACTGTAAACGGTTGTTAAATGACAGTCTCAGTTCAGGGACTTTCTCTAAACCGATGCAGTTTGCAGGGCTAAGACCTAAAGTGAAAGGTAACCAGTATGAGAGCCCAAGAGTTCAATTTTGGTTGCCATAGTATTAAAACAGGCAAAATGTGGTGTGATTTTTATATGGTAGTTCAAACCGTTATTGTGACATCTCTGTAAATGACAAGCAAGGGTTAAAAAAGGTGTCACAAACGTTCCAGAAGATTATGTAATCAAGCAGAGGTGAAACTGTGTAGCTTAGCCTCTTGTGCTAACGTGCTGATTAAAGAGCATCCAATGAAAGCGCTTAGGTTTTCCACTTACAGGGTCAGACTGTTAATTAAAGTCTAACAACATTACAGACTGAATCCCTACAGATATAGAGCTTTTGTTAAAGGGGATTTTAACAACAAGAAACAGCCATTAAAATGTTCCCATCAAAGCCCAAAGACTTGATTGAAGTCAACATTAATTTTGCCCTTCACTAAAGAGGAGGTGCTGCTGGTAGCTGTGCTGGTGCCGCTACGATTGTTCAGCTTGTTTGTGTTGTGTGGCTTTGGCGTTTCCTTATCCAGCATATTGTCATCGTAGCACACAATTGAAAAGCTACGCACAGCAGGGATCCCTCCTGTAATTTGTCACTTAAAAGAACAATCTGAGCCTGTCAGTGACAAAAACAAGAGCTGTTAGTGTTCTTAGTTTGATCAAGGACATTAGCTCTCCAGAATGATATTGCAGTCACTACAGCCTGTTCTGCATCAGCATTTAAACCCCAGAATATGGAAAACAAAAAGATCCTTCTTTTTCAACAAGTAGAGTATGACTTGCAGCTAAAATGTTGTCTGCTTATTTATTGTTACAGAGATCTTGCTGACAATTTTAGCCATCCACAGCATTGTTTGTTCACCACCTGTTTGTCCGAAAACCTCTGAATGAATCTACTTTGATAAACTCGCTCCTCAGCTACCTCAGGTTTGGATAAAGAAAAAATTGGTGGAAAGAAAGCCGATTGATTGGAGTTATATAATCCCCATCCTCTGTTCATCAGCAGGGAAGTATGCTTGTATTGTGTCATGAGACTCTCCCATTTCCTGTAAATTCCTGGAGCCTCCATCCTCCCAGTATGGCGTCATTCAGTATGACCTCTGCTCATACTTACAGATGGTTGTCACAGCAACTTAGAGCTGCAAAATGACTGACCTCATCTCCTCGCCGAGGGCTTCCCATGATAACAGAGGATTTTAGGATAATCTATCAAACTATTGATTCAGCTTTATTCCACACCCAGAGGTGTTTTAACACAGAGCTGCAGTTTTTTTTGTGCACATTAAGGTTTAGATTTGTTTCTTTCATACATAGATCTTGTCAAGAGCTTTTGGGGCTTATTTCATGTAATTCCTGCTGTGTATGAACAATCATGGTAATGGGCTGTACTGATAACCACTTGCCTGCATCCATACGCCCACACACTAATGTTTCTTATCTCTGGGTAGATTTCTCTCAGCTCTCACAAACAGAGCAGGATCTACTGTACAACATGCTGTGTCTCTAAAATTATCCATCTGTGCAGGATCTTTTTCAAGATGCCTGATTTCTGGCACACATAGAAAACAAATTAAGGTTAAAGATGAAATGTGACAATCCACATAATCATCCTTACTTGCATGTCATCGTTTTCAGATGTCAAAAAACACAGTTGTGCCTTTATTCCGTTTTAAACATCTGCAGTAAACAATGTGAAAGTTAAAAGATAGTTAATGCTAATGTTAATCATATCATTTCCCGAAGCATGCATTTACCAGCTCCCTGTTAGACGAAGGCCTGGGTAAAATCATACTTTCACACTCACAGTCATAGAAAGCAAAGAAAGATGGCTTTTAGCTTCCCTCAGAACCATCATTACTGATTTAGTGGTGAGAAAACAGCTTCCACAGGTACAGTGTTAAACAAACAGAACAGCAGATTTCCAGAGACTTTGTTTGAGTTGATGTGCACTGTGAAATATTTACAGCTGGCTATATTATTGGACGATGTATTGCACATTGCATACATTACATTTTAAGAATATTTAGACATATGGTGGGGACATAAGTTCAATTTGGTCACCCATCTCATCAAAGTTTCTTCATTGCATTTTAATTTTTGCCTGCAAAAACGTGCAGTGCCAGCAATCGCAGTTAACAGCATAAGTTCCTTTTTTGACTGTCAATGACTTTGTTTTCTTATTATTTCCTATACAGCACATATTGATGCCAATTTTTTCATTAATTAAAGGACTGCGAAAGATAACTCACCATTATTGAAAAGAAAATTAAAAAGTTTTTTTTGGTAGAGAGATCATCAAGACAGCCCTCTTTAACTCAATATTCATAGTGTTAGCACCAGAAGGGTGTCCAGCCAACAATGAACAATAACTAATTCACAAACACAATTGATCTAATATTTGTTTGTGTTGACACCATCTTGATTAAATTAAAAATATTTTATATTTTATTTCTTTGTCTGAATTGCTGTGACTTTTTGACTGTTGTAGCTGCATTCATCAGTAATTGTCCCCATGCCACTGCCTTTAAAATGGTTAATTCCTCTCATTAAAAGCATTACGCATTTCCACTGACCAATATCCTTTTTGTCTTTAAGCTGGTATACCACTGGTAGATTTAATCCTCCAGGCGTCTGTTTTCAGGTTGTTAAGAGCTTCAGGCTGCTGTGCTGGTTTTAATGGAAGTAAAATACTGAGGCCTGTTTTTATAGAAGATTTGTGTTTTTGATTATATTCTTTACAGTTTTTTCTACATTATTCTGGAGAAAAGCAGTTTATAGTGAGAGCACCTTAGCACCTCCTTTGTCTGTACCTGTGAAACTGGATATTTGGACTTTGGAAGGTAATTACTGTGACAGTCACATGCAGCTGGCCTAGCTCATAATTCCCTCCCAGTATTACATTTTAAACATGGTAGAAGAAAAAGAGAAAGGGCTGCATTGCTGCAGCTTTTGGTGTAATAGAAGCTGACAGTGCAGCAGACTGATATCAGTGAGTGGGTGTTTGCTGCAGAGAGCAGAAAGCCCTCAGAGGCAGCGGTGAGTTAGAAAGAGGAGGGCTGTTATCTGCTGATATAAGATGGTAGAGAGTGCTATCTGCATGTGCAGGACTGTTTTAGGAGCGTCACAGAGCTACAAGGACCCCTGCTGCTCCAATGTGACTTGTTTTTCACATCTAGACCCGCCCCTTAAAAGTGGAAAGTTTGAACCAGACCAGACGAGTTGAGTTAGACTTTGTCGGCTGCAACAGTGCAATAGATATGAAACCTAAAAGTAAAGTCAGTGATGTTAAAGCTTTTAAATGTAATATGACTTGGCTGCAGTTTATTATAAACCCCAAAGGTCCCCCTAGGTTTTTTTCTTTCTGTCTTTCTCAACACTGATGAAAGCTGACAGCCAACAGGACTTCAATGTTAAATGACATGCATACATGCACCTGGATACCATGGTGGCAAGTCCCGCTGCATTTATATGACTAGTCGGCTGTAATAGCAACAGCAGCATGGTAGTTAGTCGGTTGTCACCGCTTATTTAGATCTGCTTGTAAATGTCAAACTGAATTGAGTTTAAGGTGGATAGAGAGTGAGAGAGAGGAGTTCCAGTCCAAATGATAAACTAACCCCGTTCTATTAAAATTCATCAGTCTGTCCCTGTTAGCTTCCATCAGAATGAGGATGAGGTCGGTCTAAATCCCTGAGATGATTTAAGCTCTCTCTGTGAACTGGGACATGTTGGAGGTGGGGGAGGAGTGCTGGATCACATCCTGGACATCACTTTTTTTTTTCAGGCATTGACTAATCTGCATTACTGTAGTGATACCGCTGTATATCGGTTTGTGTGTGCGGGCTCACTGGGATGATTGCTGGTCTGGAAAAGCTAATGTCGTCTCTGGGGGCCAAAGAATCTCTGTGCTTTGGCTCCACACTGCTGACTCCACTAATCCTCCCATTGAGCGTAGACATGGACCAGCACTCTCCCTCTCTTACATCTGTCCATCGCTTTGTGTATCACTGTCTGCAGCATCAACAAAAACCCTGTAATGTCTGCATTTAGGCCCAGCAGACCCACTCAAACCCCTGCCCCCGCCCTGCTCTCTGCCTGGGCTTGGTTGACCTTGGTTCAGGCAGACAGATCAATAACTAGCATCTAATTAGCTTCAAAGCATCTGCCTGAGAACACTTAAACTTCCCAGCATTAGGGTTGTTGATGTTTCCTTTCCCTGATCCCTTCCTCGTTTTCTAGAAGTGAAGCTAATGTGAAAGCAGATCAGAAAGCTTGCAAGCCAGACATTACTCACAGTTCAAGGCTTTGCTGGCCAGAGAGGCTGACAGCAGCACTCCAATTGTAAAGGGGAGCCTGGTTACTGTTTCACACGCATGTGGAATTTCCGCCCCCCACCCCTCTTTGGCATTTGACTATTTCAGCTGCTTCAGCTGCTGGCCCCTTTGGTCGCTCAGCTAGAGACAGGATGGGAGAGAGGGGGGTTGTTGTTTAGACAAACAGTCTTGTTCTTTACGTCCTGAAGTTTGACGCTGAGTTTCCTTTAGAGGAGAACTTCAGGGCTCTTCAGTTCAGAGGTTACATCTAAGGCTGCCCAACAAATATCCGTTTTTTTTGCTATCTACAATATGAGCATTTGTGACAAACCTATTTCAAGAGTCTGAATCATGTATCATTGCAAATGAGAAAATTATCTAAGAAGACATGTAGAACTGATTTATCGATAAAAGTATGTCGAACTCTGCGATGGTAGGTGGCGGTTTGATCCCTTTTAGCAAATCAGCTGTTGGACCTTCTGCTAGTTGACCAGCTATTTGACATACTGAAACAGTTGACAAACCAGTTAGTAAGGGGATAACTGGTTTTATGTCAAACAGTGACAACTTAAATGCTCTGTACCTACTTTTTGTACACATGATATGACAGTTTATTCACTCCCCTCCTTCCTCTGTTAAGGTTTAGCCAAGTACCCCTCTTCTTTCAACCCTTTTATGCTGTTCAGCTCAGGTCATAGCCCTGCATGCAAACTACGGAGCATGTAGCGCACCTAGGCCAGTTTTGGACCTACGAAGGTGTATACATGCAACAGAAAATCAGTCCCCAGCTGTGTTTTCTGGATATGTTAGTCTGACTACGAGAAACTCAACTTAGTAGAATTTCAGCCAGACTGATGAGTTCACTTCACATGCATTTTAAAAGTTCAGTTTCAGTCAGACTTGCACAATAAACTGGCTTTTGGACTTTAAAGCATACAGACAGACATTAAATCATGGTTTAGGTGCACTCTTTTAAAGGTTATTTATTTCACTTCTGATATTTATCCTTATATTGAAAGATGAAAGAGCAAACCACGTATTTATCTTAAACCTTGCAGGCCTAGTTATGTTGCTACTGCGTCTCTTGAAACTGTGTCCATCCTGATGACAAGATTATTTGAAACCATAACAGATCTCATCTCTGTCTATACTTACAAAACACCAATCACATGACCACATGCCTGAGTTTGCAGGTGGTAAACCTTATACCAAACAGCCAGTGCTTCTCTCATCCTTAACAGTTATTCCATGTAGCACTTTCAAATATTGATCAGTAGCTGCTCTTCTGCAAAATCAGCAAGTAGTATCATTTTCACATTATGAATTTACCCACACAGAACAAGCTGCCAAGGGCCGCAGGGTTAGCAGCGTCTGTGATGAGTTATTCTCATTTAGTTCTCCACTGCTACAAAAGTCAGGTGATGTCTGCTAAATTGGCATGAGACTCTGGAGACAATCCCCAGAGTAAATGTTGTGAAATGGTAGCATTGCCAGTTGGCCAGCCTTTGCTGCTGGTCATGCTTGATGCTCGGTTTCCTTTTAATGAGGGTTGTGCAGAGGAAATTTGTCACGTTAAGGGTGGTGCAACTGTAAAGAAAGCCCACACTGCTACAGATGGTGTCCGTGGATGTCATGAATAATGCACAAACGTCCGAATGAATGCAGCATTAGAACCTAACCAGCTGTGCAGACTACATGGCTCGCCTTAATGTTTCTTTTAACTTGGAAAGAAAATGTTTTTGGCTTTAGCAGGAAAAATGTTGAAGTTAGTTCAATTAAATCCAAGTTTTAAAGTTCTAATAAGCAGCTGTTTTTCAGGTGTGAAGTATAAACCAATTTAACGTTTCTGTGAATTTACTGATGAGTCTTATTCCTGTGTTTTCTGCAGAGAATGGATACTGCAGGGGTCAAAGTGCTGGAGACAGCTGAAGACATCCAGGAGCGCCGGCAGCAGGTGCTGGACCGCTACCGGCGCTTCAAGGATCTGTCGATGATGCGCAGACAGAAGCTGGAGGACTCTTACCGCTTCCAGTTCTTCCGTCGTGATGCAGAGGAGTTGGAGAAGTGGATACAGGAGAAGCTGCAGATTGCATCTGATGAGAACTACAAGGACCCATCCAACCTGCAGGCATGTCAACGAGGCTTTTAAGTTTCTCTGAAGGCAGGATTTGATAAAGACAGGCTTCTGTTTATCTGGATTTCAAAGCTGCAGCACAGATGAGATTTAAGCAGATTTTCTTTCTATATATTGACTTTTGTAAATCTTGATTCTGCTCAGGGTAAGCTGCAAAAACACCAGGCCTTCGAAGCTGAAGTTCAGGCCAACTCTGGAGCCATCGTCAAACTGGACGAGACTGGAAACCTGATGATCACCGAGGGACACTTTGCCTCTGAGACTATCCGAGTAAGACCAACAATGATTAACATGTGCTTACTCCAACATGTATATCTTATCCACTTATAACCTGCTTGATGTGATCCAGTCCTACACGCCTTACCGGACACAACAGAGACCCATAGTTACAAGTTTCAATATGGCTGAGTATATAAAAGTAGGTGTTGAGCTGCTGTGGACAAAGTTTGACTCCTTGGTGCCGTGAATTTTCCTCCTGACGCTGCTCTTTGCAGCAAGTTTAACTTTCCTCCCATTCTGCTGTTCTGAAATTGACTTAAATATCATCAGATACCTTACGAAGGAAGAGTGCTTTCTTGTACCAGGTGGGACTTTTGGATACAGATCCAGTGAAAATGTCTGGGGAAAAAGTCTTCCATTAAAGCATGGATGTTTTCTGTCTTTTCTTTCAACTGTCTTTTTATTGATCTACTTTTTCCCAAACTTTCTTACGTCTTAGTATCAATATTATAACATTCTTCCCTCCTCCTACTATACTCTAGACTCGTCTGGAGGAGCTGCATCGTCTGTGGGACCTCCTGCTGCAGAAGACGAAGGAGAAAGGCATGCGTCTCCTGCAGGCCCAGAAACTTGTCCAGTACCTGCGTGAGTGTGAGGATGCTCTCGACTGGATCAGCGACAAGGTAGAGAGTCACACCAGAGATCTAATCCAAAAATAAGTCAATTCAAATAAATTATTCAATGTCTTTTGGGTTAAGGAGCATTTTTAGGAGTTGTCATATAAAATATTTCAGGTTTTTGTTCAGGAAAAAGTTTCATATGAGCTATGACATCCAAGTGGGAGGTTAAAAGTTGTCTTAAAAATCATATTTGGTTTTGAAGGCTGAAAAAACTTTTTAAGGTGTCCAGTACATGGATGAGGGACAAAAACAAGGTGAAGTTTGTCAAGTAATAAAAGATGAGAGCTTTTCTTGTGACATGAGTTGAAAACTGGCATTGTAAACATGCAGTTGATGATAAATTTATAGTAGAAGAGTAAACTATGAAGTGTGGTCAGAGATAAGAAGGATAAAATCATGTCTGTTGCTCAAATTTCACGAATCTTTTGTCAGATTTTCATAATTTGAGTTGTAAAAGGTCTCAATTTTTCTGTGGGGGTTATTCTTTTTTGAGAGGGCATGTCTGAGACATGTATGGATATCTTATCAAATCTACACTGCCCAGAAAGTGGTGTATAAAAATGTCTCTATTTTTTGGATAGATTTCTCATTCACAGTACAACTTAAAAACTCAAACCTTTCCAGTTTTATGATAAAGTCACTGTTTTCTGAAGCTTTAGAGGGAGAAAGTCTGTGCAAAATGTTCACATCTCTTCCATGTAGGAGGCCATGGCCAGCTCTGAAGAGCTGGGCCAGGACCTGGAGCATGTGGAGCTCCTGCAGAAGAAGTTTGAGGAATTCCAGACAGACCTGGCAGCTCATGAAGAGCGTGTGAATGAGGTGAACCAACTGGCAGCCAAACTGATCCAGGAGTCCCATCCTGAGAATGAGCTCATCGTACGCAAGCAGGAGGAGGTGAACGCAGCATGGCAGCGCCTGAAGGGTCTCGCTCAGCAGAGGCAGGGGAAGCTGTTCGGGGCGGCTGAAGTGCAGCGATTCAACAGGTAAACAGCAGTTTATCCCTAAGTGCTGATTTGATTTCTAATGAGATGACACCTGAAGGATATGGAGACTCATTATCCTCCGGTTGTAGAAACAGTTTTTTTTGCCAGGATCTGAATACATTATTCATTATTGATTTCACCAACAGGGATGTAGATGAGACCATCAGCTGGATCAAGGAGAAAGAGCAGCTGATGGCCTCCGATGACTTTGGTCGTGACCTGGCCAGCGTGCAGGCTCTGCTGCGCAAACACGAGGGTCTGGAGAGAGACCTGGCTGCTCTAGAAGACAAGGCAAGAACAAACTTTGTGTGATACTGTACATGAGGAATAGCTTTGGTTTATATTCACACTAAAAAAGACACTTTTTCATCCATCATAAGCAGCATGTCTTTAAGGACACCCTGATCTGTAGTCATCTTGACTCCAGATCAGACCATAATTTACAAAATGATCATCATGCTGCACTGCTGTAGATGAAGAACTAAAGGTTGAGAGACCACAAGAGAGTTTTGCACACTCTGGTTTCTTATATCCTCCTTTTTCCTTCTCTTCTCATCAGGTCAACACTCTAGGCGGTGATGCAGAGCGCTTGCAGCAGACACATCCTCAAAATGCCTCTCAGATCCACCTGAAGAAGGACGAACTCATCACCAACTGGGAACAGATCCGCACTCTGGCAGCTGAGCGCCACGCCCACCTCAACGACTCATACAGGTAGAATATAAGACTCTGCTCAGAGATAAGCCGTCAATATCATCATCATTAAACTTTCTAAATATTTAGAATAAAATATGAAAATTTTGATTCCATATGCAGATAGAAGCTCAGTGACTTTGCACAGGATGTCTGAGGCTGCATCAGCCAACACTTATGCTCACTTCTGCCCTCTTGTGTCTGTTTAGGCTGCAGCGCTTCACTGCTGACTTCAGGGATCTGACCAGCTGGGTGACAGAGATGAAAGCTCTGATAAATGCTGATGAACTGGCCAATGACGTGGCTGGAGCTGAGGCTCTGCTTGACCGCCACCAGGAGCACAAGGTAAACTCTCCATTTAAGTTAGCACACCTCTACGTTTGATTACAGATTAGCTGTGTGCTCTGTGGGAGCTTCAATCAAAGTATTATTCATATATTTATGCATATTTGTCATTGTGTTTAAGGGAGAAATCGATGCCCATGAGGACAGCTTCAGAACCACTGATGAAGCCGGTCAGGCCCTGCTCAACACCGGACACTACGCCTCTGATGAAGTCAAGGAAAAGGTACAACTATGAGAGGATCTAGATTGGTCTTCATTTTTGTGATTTTAAAGCCATAACAATTCTGCACTGTGGAAAAGAAACCAGAATAAAAACCTCAGATATTTGAGATTTTGATGAAACTCTCAGTTCTTGGGCTGTATAAATTATATTAGTATGTCATGCCGTATAACTCGACAGTCTTCAATAACATGATAATACTTAAATCATCAACACAAACAGAATTAAGAAAGTTAGAATAAAAAGATTATATTTACTCAAAAATCAACAGAACCTGGATTAATCGAGTCCTAAATTCTGATGAAAAGGTTTTTAATGGTTTGCTGCTCTTTGTAATGTTTTAACGCTGTCATGTTTATGTGCAGCTCGGCATCCTGGCTGCAGAGAAGGAATCTCTGCTGGAGCTGTGGGAGGTTCGCAGGCAGCAGTACGAGCAGTGCATGGACCTGCAGCTCTTCTACAGGGACACAGAGCAGGTCGACAACTGGATGAGTAAACAAGAGGTAATTTGATGTATTTCCTACTATCTTTTATCAGGGGGAAAATGTCTTAACTGTGTACTCTCTGAGCAATGCATCTGATGTTAAATTTGTCTTTGTGCAGGCTTTCCTCCTGAATGAAGACCTGGGTGACTCCCTGGACAGCGTGGAGGCCCTGCTCAAGAAACACGAGGACTTTGAGAAGTCTCTCAGTGCCCAGGAGGAGAAGATCACCGTAAGTTCTGTTTCTGCAGGAGATTACAAAGTTGTTTCTTTTGTTTGTGGTTGAGAAGGGATTCACTTTGGCTTATTTCTTTCTCCTCCAGGCCTTGGATGAATTTGCCACTAAACTCATTCAGAACAACCACTACGCCAAAGAGGATGTGGCAACACGCAGAGATGCTGTAAGTGCTTCTGTCCTCCTTTTCAACATCCAGCGTAGATTTAAGCAGCGAATGGTGATGTTTGCATGGTTTTATCTTTTGTTTAACTGTGAACTGACATGTCGTCTCTTCTTCTTCGCTCATATTTAGCTCCTCAACCGCCGCAACGCCCTGCACCAGCGCGCTCAGTCTCGACGTGCCGCCCTGGAGGACTCTTTCCACCTGCAGCAGTTCTTCAGGGACTCTGATGAGCTCAAGAGCTGGATCAACGAGAAGATGAAGACCGCTACAGATGAAGCCTACAAGGTAGTTTATCAAAGAAACCAGAAACGAGAGAAATAAATGTTCTTTACACAAACAGATCAAAATATGTCAGGTGCCCCCAGAGAATCAATGGAAAAACACGCTTCTGTGCTGAGAAAGAAAAACTCTAAACCCAATATTTGATTTTAAAAGGACGAAAATAAGTAAGAGCAAAGTGACTTTTGGACAAAAGGGAAATTTTATTATTTTAGCCTTTTTTTAGGGTTTTAAAAAACATACTTTTTGTGGTTTTTTGGTTTTATTTTATCTTATTTTTTCGTCATGAGATATTTCTGCTAATCCCCTACTCTAACCTTTTTACCTCTTTCGTTATGAAAACAGGACCCCTCCAACCTTCAGGGTAAGGTGCAGAAACATCAGGCCTTTGAGGCTGAGCTGGCTGCCAATCAGAGTCGTATCGACGCCCTGCAGAAGTCAGGTCAGGAGCTCTTGGATGGGAAACACTACGCCTCCACTGAAGTGGCCGGCCGCATGGAGGAGGTCAGCTCACAGTGGAAGAAGCTGCTGGAGGCCACTGAGCTCAAAGGTACTGCTGCAGGAAAACTCTGATAGACTACTTATTTAATATACTCAAGAGAGATGATTTATGTACAATAGATTTTATCCAAGGAAAATAAATCTGGCCCTAGCTGTATTTTTCCCACACACTCTTGAATCCTTTACCTCTAAGATTTTCATTTGGGGCTGTGATTTGATGCCAGCTGCTTCACACCACAGTGCCTCACATAGAAAGATCAATGTCTGATCAAATGATGTATCTCATCATAGGCATCAAGCTCCGTGAGGCCAACCAGCAGCAGCAGTTTAACAGGAATGTGGAGGACATCGAGCTGTGGCTGTACGAGGTCGAGGGTCACCTGGCCTCAGACGACTATGGAAAAGACCTGACCAGTGTCCAGAACCTGCAGAAGAAACATGCTCTGCTGGAGGCAGATGTGGCCGCTCACCAGGTTGGAATACAGAAATATCCATCCTAAAGACGGATCATTAGAAGTGTTTTTCCAGACAGCCATGAAATGACGAATATTTCCCTTGTTTTGTCTAGGATCGCATTGATGGCATTACAATCCAGGCTCGCCAGTTCCAAGAGGCTGGACACTTTGACGCCGACAACATCAGTAAGAAACAGGAGGCCCTGGTGGTGCGATACGAAGCTCTTCGAGAGCCGATGGCTGCACGCAAACAAAAACTGTCCGACTCACTGAGGCTGCAGCAGCTGTTCAGAGACGTGGAGGATGAGGAGACGTGGATCAGAGAGAAAGAGCCCATTGCATCTTCCACTAACAGAGGTACAACTTTTAACTTCACTGTAGAAAGTAAAGAACTATCTTTGCAGGATGTTTCATTTTTGGCTAAAGTCCAAAATCTTGAATAATTTCAGATTGTTGGGTTTCTTAAAAAGTCCCATTGTGTTTTTCTGTCAGGCAAAGATCTGATTGGTGTCCAGAACTTGCTGAAAAAGCATCAAGCCCTGCAGGCTGAAATCACTGGACATGAGCCCCGCATCAAGGCTGTTACCCAGAAAGGAGAGGCCATGGTGGAGGAAGGTATTCATCCAGTTCTTAAGCTCTTTCTGTTTTCATTATGAGTTGATGTCCAAACCCTCGGGTTGCTGATCGTATCTGTTCTTTCAGGGCACTTTGCCGGAGAGGATGTGAAAGCTAAGCTGGCTGAACTTCACGGTCGTTGGGACACTCTAAAGGCGAAGGCCTCTCAGAGGAGACAGGACCTGGAGGACTCTCTGCAGGCTCAGCAGTACTTTGCTGATGCCAACGAGGCTGAGTCCTGGATGAGGGAGAAGGAGCCCATCGTGGGGAGCCCCGATTACGGCAAAGACGAGGACTCTGCTGAGGTTCAGAATAGATTCTATATGTCTCATATTTATGTCCCCACACTATGGCTGCAGTTCAGCTGAACATCTTTTCCTCTGTAGGCTCTGCTGAAGAAACATGAGGCCCTGATGTCTGACCTGTCAGCTTACGGCAGCAGCATCCAGTCTCTGAAGGAACAGGCCCAGTCCTGCAGGGTAACACCTTACTACAATTTTTCTTCTCTATTATTCTGTCTCCAATTTTTAAATCCATTTTTCTCCAATTGTAGTATTACGCCTTGAATTGCTTTTGCAAATCAATCAAACTTCTAAAGATGAAGCAGTGACACAAAAGTATTTTGTTTTTTCATCAGCAACAAGTGGCACCAACTGATGATGAGACCGGGAAGGAGCTGGTCTTGGCTCTGTACGACTACCAGGAGAAGAGTCCACGTGAGGTCACCATGAAGAAGGGAGACATCCTCACCCTGCTGAACAGCACCAACAAGGTACTGATGAAAACCAGCTCAGGCTAACCGCGACAAAAACCAAAGATATTTATATTATTGATAATCAGTCTTCTGTGATATATTGATTAAAGATTGTCAAGGAACGGAAAATTTGCCCTGCAACTACATACAGACCCTGGTTCCTGGGGAAAGTTCCTTATAGTGAAAGGACCTTGACTAGTGCATCAGCCATTTACATATTGACAAATGGATGTGTTGAAGGTGATCAGCTAATAAGGACTGGTGTTGTGATCAGGTGATGCGCTGTGGGCTTGATTTTGTGTTCTACCTGGATTATCACTGTGCTCAGTTTGTATTTTATGCAGCCCAACACAATATGAGAAAAAACTTAAAGAACGTGTATTCCCGTTTTTATTTGTGTTTTGGGCAATAATGTGGCTCTTCAGCAAAAATGAATGATGTATCAGGGCTTTGGTTCCTCAGAGAGACTCGTCAGGCCAAGAGAATTTCCTTCTCTAATGTATTGTGCCATGAAAAAGCCCAGGAAGAGCTTTAAATAAGAACCGCATCATAAGCAAAAGGGTTATTCTCGATAAAAACTGTTGACATTACTCCTTCCCCTTTTGTGTAGGACTGGTGGAAGGTGGAGGTGAACGATCGCCAGGGTTTCGTTCCTGCTGCCTACGTGAAGAAGCTGGACCCCACCCAGTCCTCCTCCAGGGAGAACCTGCTGGATGAACACGGCAGCATCGCTCTCCGTCAAGACCAGATTGAAAACCAGTAAGAAACTCACGTCATTGCCTCCACAGTCCCACAGCAGAACGTAATGTTATTACCAATTCCTTCCTTTCCTGCTGTGATTTTTCCTCTTCATTTTCGAGTCCTTCCTCTTTAACCTTTTCTTCACTTCCCACTAATCATGTTTTCTGCTCACTAATGATCTCGCCCCTGGCCTCTCTGTCTGTTTCCTCTGCTCTCCTCTCCTCTCTTCTCCTCTCGCTGTGTGTAACAACTTTAATCTCGTGTCACTGCGCGTTTGCCTCGCCCTGCCTCTGAGCAGGCTTGTCACCAAGGAGGCCTGCAGCGTGTCAGTGCGCATGAAGCAGGTGGAAGAGCTGTGAGTAGATATCAGCGACTCTCTGCGTGTTGTGATCGTGATAAAATAAAACACCATCCTCGACTGTACATCCCTCCAAACCCTCAGAACCCTTCATGTCATGTACTTCACCCTCGTCTTCTATCCAACACGGGGATAGAAGCGCCTCCAATCCACACTTTTCACATCCTTTTTGCTTATGGATGAAAATGTCTGATTTTTCTGTCACGTCATAATCTTTTCTTTGGGTTTGTGTTTATTTTTTGCATCTCATGTCAAGGCTCACGGTGCCGGTTAGGGTTCATCAGGGTTGCAGGGAAATTTTGTCCATTTGAACTGGATTGTGTTGATGAAAATGATGGATTTGTAATTCAGATAAGAAAATATTAGCAAACAAATAAGCCTCGGTCTTTAATTCCTGCTCTGGGCTCTGGTTCTGTCCTCAGACTGCAGCAGGAAGCAAAGGCCGTCATCAGGTTTAATGAGATCCCTGACAGCCCTGAAGCATGGATGCACTTAGAATCAGTCTGTTCATGTGCCATGCAGTGTTGTAGCTGCTCAGGATGCTCGCAATAGAGCATAAAAATGCACAGTACGGCTGCACAATTGTGGCCAAAATGATGATCATGATTAGAATAATGAATATTGAATGCACAATCTTAATAATGATGATTTAATAACTTTAAAGACAACTTTTCCCCAAGTTTTGTTTGTTTAAAAAACATTATTCAGTATATTTGTGTCAGCATGAAGAAGCATCAAAGCTTTACTTTATAAGAACTTTGACTTTGATGATTTTGAGGAAAATCCAACTTGTGGTGGAGTATTTTCTCTTTGTGTTAAGAGATGCACTGATCGTGGAATAAGAGCTGATGTTGATACAGAGGTTTAAAATATCAACTAATCCAAGGCTGACAGAGACAGATGATTTTTTTTTCCTGCATGACTTCTTTATATGATTTTATTATGAGCTGTAATTTTTTATGTCTGTGTAAAAAGTTGCTGATCCCTCCTTTAAAGTCCTCAAATGTCTCTGACTGGATCATGTCTACAAACTGCACGTCGATGATCCTTCTCAGACAGTTTTTTTTTTTTTCTCATTTGATCATAAAGACAAATCATTTGTTCAGCTTTGGGACTTTTCTACCTAACTTAAAAATGATCTGGGTTGGCAGTAAGCTGTGATAGCTTAATAGATTTACCTTAATGTGAAGATAAAGATAGGATGCTACTGATATCAGTGCGTGACCTTGGATTTGTCATTGTGCTGATGTTCAACCCAAACATCATTTATTCCTTCTGATGTTATCTGAATGCCAGTATCACCCCTTCAGTTACAGATGTATCCTATCATATACAGTCATTTAGCCTGCGTCTTTAAAGCAAATGGATTTGTTTGTTGTTTTTCTAAATGATCCAGACTTTCCGGTTTCCTACCATTTAGCTGTGCTACTGTAGGCACATTAAAATCTGTTAATGGTTGTTATTGCTGCAGCTTTGCTCTTTTTCTCACTCTCATTCAGCTTTACTTAAACACATCAGATCTTTCTTTCTTTCTTTCTGCTTTTCTGCAGATGTTTTTTCTCCACTCTTGCTCGATTATCATAGTCAGTCACATTCCTTTTGTTGTAGGATGGCCAAAGATGTTATTATTAACATTTGATTAATTTAGCAGCCTTGTTCTTCAATATTGGGGATTCCTGTAAGGCCCTTTCTGATCATGTTAGACATTTGATATGATCTCTTAGTATTTTTGAAGATACTGGATTAAGAGAAAATTTGATTTGCACTGAAATCTTAAGGGTAATCATTTAAACCAGCAGAGAATCTCCCCAGCAGTTTCCCCACAATCCAGATAAGTATTGTGTAGATTTTGGAAACCCTTAGTTTTAGCTGAGAAATTGTGTTTTGACCCACACCAAATGTTTGTAGAAGGCAGGTGTCCCGTCATCCTCATCAGCAACCATTTTTAATCTTTAAAAATGAGCCATGCTTTAAGAAGAATGATAAGGTTTGTTTTGTTCACATGTTCACTGGTTTCATTTAATTCTGTGACTCTAACTTTCTTCCAGGTACGGCACTTTGCTGGAGCTGGGAGAGAAACGTAAAAACATGCTGGAGAAGAGCTGCAAGAAGTTCATGCTGTTCCGCGAGGCCAACGAGCTGCAGCAGTGGATCAACGAGAAGGAGGGCGCCCTCACCAACGAGGAGGTCGGGTCTGACCTGGAGCAGGTTGAGGTCCTGCAGAAGAAGTTTGACGACTTCCAGAAGGTACTTTTCTACCCGACAACACGTCAGATTTAACACACAGACTGTTGTGATTTCATAAGTGAGATTAGTGTGAAAGCATAAAAAGACTGCAGTGCCCACTTAAGTTCTGAACTGTGGTAGTAAGGAGAAGTCATGTGCTTGATTTAAGGTGGTAAGTGGTGTTAAGAGCTGGAGGTGTGTTCATGACGTGTTAATGAGAGATGAATTCTTTGTTCCCTAAAGGATCTCAAGGCCAACGAGTCTCGTTTGAGGGACATCAACAAGGTGGCATCTGAGCTGGAGTCTGAGGGTCTCATGGCTGAGGAAGCCCCCATGGTTCAGGCTCAGGTAAACATCCCTTCCCTGACTTCACTTTGTGAGCCAGCTTTCTGCTTTCAGCTGTGACTGAACAATGATCTTGTTCTTTTCATATGCAGCAACAAGAGTTGCTGGGTGCTGCTCCTGGCAAGGTTGTGCCCATTACTCCTGGTTTAATGCATGCTTTCTTTATATATAAGACTCAATATTTCTTAATAAGTAATGACCCGTATAACTAACATAACTGCATCTTAATTTTTCAACTAGGATGAAGCTGATTCCAAGACTGCCTCTCCATGGAAGGTAAGCTCCATCACACTATCTGTGTCCAGACAAATACATTCAAACATTCATCTGTTTTATGTCTTTTAAAGAAAATGCATCAACTGCAAAGATTTGACAGCCTGTCGATCTTGATCAGATACTGTAACTGTGCATGACTGTTCAGCATTGAGTTGATGTTTGAGACTACTGTGTCACTTTGGGGATAAACTGCAACCATGTCCAACAAAGGTGCGCTCAGACCAAAAGGGAAGCCAAATGTTTTACACTCGTTGATAAAAGACGATCCTATTTAATAAAGTGAGATGTCTAAACAGACTGAAGAAAAGTCAAAAAAATTATGGTTAAAAAAAATAATTAAAAAAATTACAGTCAAAATCAAGATAAAGAAAATAAGAATCGTAAGTCACAGAAAACGGTAAATACAGTTGTAAGTGCTGTAAGGTAAATGAAACCTGGTGAAGCTAAAATAAATCAGAGCTAGATCTGTATATTTTGGATTCATATCCTGCTGCATGAATGCCAGATTTATTTATTTTGTAGATAGATTATTTGTAGCGATATCAGAGGTGGTACTATGACAAGCTTTTTTGGTTTCTAACCTCCCCTGCACAATGCTGTTTTAAATCTATCATGAAGTTATTCTCTTTTTGTCATGTGCAAATGAATTAAATAAACTAAACTAAACAGATTTAAGCTGACTAGTGATTGACCCAATACATCCAAGAAATCTTGTGCAAATAAAAGTTGGATTTGGGACTTGTTGAGATTTATTTTAATCGAGTAACAGATCAGTTAATCCAGAAGTGGCTCTTGAGAAAACGAGGTGCCAGAGAGGGGAAATATTCACTATTAAACACAGATCCTTCCCTTTGTAAAACGTGAAGCAGGAGCTTTGCTTTTGGTCTGACCACAGCTTTAGAAAGTTAACAGGATATGATTGGACACTGTTGAGACACCCGGTAAGCCTGGGAACTTTGAAGATGTCTCCAGATGTCTAAATCATTTGAAGTGTTTTGTTGATTCATCATAATTCAGAGTCCGGTTCTGGTTCTGCTCTAGCTATGGTTGCAGTGCTTACTACATCTCGATTTGTTTAGAGTCTTGGGAGAGGACCAAGACTCTGGGAGTTTCCATAACACTCTTGACTGGTGTGGTGTTTCTCTCTTTTTGTTCTCCTCCCTTCTGTCTGCCATGTTTTGTTCACTTTGAATTTAGAATGTACGCTTGGCTGTACAAACAACGGCTAACTTTAATACTATCAAGGTAAGATGACCTAGACAAACGGACCTCCCCCTCTCTCCCTGTCCTGCATCGTGATCAGAACACTAACCCCATCGTTAGCGTTTTTTTCCTTTTGGATGTCACATGATCCGTGTCCTCCTGTCCTCTGTGGCCTGAGTCTAACTCGTGTCAGGAGTGCCCAGGTTTTGTTTGGCTCTGTCCATCATGTTGCCATCTTTAGTGTCGACTGTAGTATGAATGATTGTCTGCATACTACAGGTGTTATGTCTGCCACATCTTTTTGTGAATCCCTACCTTTGTGTTGTTATTTTATTTGTCCCTCAACTGTTATGTTCCTCCTGTGCATCTGAACCCCACCATTTTACCTGCATCCATTTCTCCGTCACTGTCTGTGCACGTCAATCGCACTACGCAAAATTGTTACACGACTTGCACATGTTTTATTTGTGTGATTAGATTTAAGCTCAGTATAAATCTTAGCACTCCCACCTCAATCATGATGTTTGCAAATACCTCACCTCACTTCTTTGTAATACCAGAAATCCCCCCCTTAAGTAGAAGCTTATGTAGTTCACACGCTGCTAATCAGAGCAAATTCTGACACCAAAACTAGATTAAAAGTATGCAGGGTCAACAAAGTCTTTAAAAGTAGAGTTGTAAATGTTGTTGGTCGCTTCGTGTGCAGGAGCTGAATAATCGCTGGAGGTCCCTGCAGCAGCTCGCTGAAGAAAGAAGCAACATGCTGGGGAGTGCCCACGAGGTGCAGCGATTCCACAGGTACAGAACAAAGACAGCAAAGGTTTCTACATCACACATCACAACACTGCAATATGAGGCGCAATGATTCAAGTATGTAATCCACAACAAATTGATGATAAAATGAGCCCTAGACCAATTATAAAGTCAGTGAGTTGTTGTTGGGGATGTTATTGCGCATGTTTTCAATGCTGTACACGGATACAAGCTTGTTTTCTGTACTGTCTCTGATGAGAGGAGCAAATGCAAAACAGAAACCAGTAATCAACTGAAGAGGAACATAACACATTTCCTAGAATTTAGCATGTCTTCCGTGAATCAAGATTGTTTTGATGGCATGTTCAGAGTTCAAAAGAGTACAGTAAAATTAAAACACTGATCTATAAACAAAAACACTAAAAGAAAACATATTCCTAGTACACTTTCAAACTCGTCATCCTAATCCTGAGCACCGAACTCTGACAGTTGTATTTAACAACCATAAAAAATGAATTTGAGAGGATTTAATTTTTTTTTTTCATTAGGGATGCTGATGAAACTAAAGAGTGGATCGAAGAGAAGAACCAGGCCCTCAACACTGACAACTACGGACACGACTTGGCGAGTGTTCAGGCTCTGCAGCGCAAACACGAAGGCTTTGAGAGAGACTTGGCAGCCCTGGGCGATAAGGTCAGATGATTTGCTGTTCTACAACCCAAACCTCTGCTGGAAATGTGGTTCAAGTTCCTAGTTGAAGAGAGTCCGTCTCACTTTTTTATTTTTCTCTCTCCCTCTTCCAGGTGAACTCACTCGGAGAGACAGCAGAGCGTCTGATCCAGTCTCACCCTGAGGCAGTGGATGACATCCAGGAGAAGTGCACTGAGCTGAACACCGCATGGAGCAGCCTGGTGGGACGCGCCGACCAGCGCAAAGACAAGCTGGGTAACTCCCACGACCTGCAGCGCTTCCTTTCTGACTTCAGGTGAGGGGAAAACAGCCAGAAAGTGACACAGATTGGATACTTGAGCGTAAAAAATAAAATAAAATAAAATCTCTCTCTCTCTCACAGAGATCTGATGTCCTGGATTAATGGTATCCGAGGGCTGGTGTCCTCAGAGGAGCTCGCCAAAGATGTGACCGGTGCTGAAGCCCTTCTGGAGAGACACCAGGTAGACATTTCCACATAAAAGTCTTACTGTCATGGTAAAAACTCAACAGTTGAGACCTTGTTTGTCACATCTGTAATTTTCTGCAGAGGGTGAGTAATGGAAGGAAAATTTTACTCTAACTTGCTCAAAAATTTGTTCCATCCTCTAGGAGCATCGCACAGAGATCGACGCTCGTACCGGAACCTTCCAGGCCTTCGAGCAGTTCGGTCAGCAGCTGCTGGTGCGAGGCCACTATGCCAGTCCTGAGATCCAGCAGAAACTCGAAGCTCTGGACCGTGAGCGCGCCGACCTTGAGAAGGCCTGGATGCAGCGTCGCATGATGTTGGACCAGTGCCTGGAGCTGCAGGTAACAAAGCAATAAGAGATGATCACAGGTAGCAAAAACTCAACAGGACTCTTCTTCACCGACTGACTTCTGTGTTTGTTTCCCGTCAGCTCTTCAACAGGGACTGTGAGCAGGCGGAGAACTGGATGGCGGCCCGTGAAGCTTTCCTCGCCAGTGACGACAAAGGAGACTCCCTGGACAGCGTGGAGGCTCTCATCAAGAAACATGAAGACTTCGACAAAGCCATCAACGTGCAGGAGGAGAAGATCGCCGCTCTGAACTCCTTCGCTGACCAGCTGATTGGAGCTGACCATTACGCCAAACCTGAGATCTTGAACCGCCGCCAGGAAGTCCTGGACAGGTAGGAGACACCACCAGCATGTTTCATCTACAGAATGGTCCAGTCCTAAATCGAACACTTAAAAATGTTAAAATATTGCAGAGGCTTGAGGTTGAGATGATCCTTTTTTTCAGGTGGCGTCGGCTGAAGAGTCAGATGATCGAGAAGCGCTCCAAGCTGGGAGAGTCTCAGACTCTGCAGCAGTTCAGCAGAGATGTGGATGAGATCGAAGCCTGGATCAGTGAGAAGCTGCAGACTGCAACCGATGAGTCCTACAAGGACCCCACCAACATCCAGGTACACATTCAGCTCCGAAAGAACCTGGTGGGAACAGAGTTAGTATGAGAGGAGGATAAAGGAGTTTTAGACGTGAGGGGGAAATGGTGCTGTGATGAGCAGTGGAGAAGTTCAGACTCCACTTTCTGTCCATATTTTCAAGTTTAGTTCTTCCACTTTGGCTTAAAACTCTTTTGTTTTTGGGTTGTGGACAAATCATTACAATTAGGAGACCGTCAGCCACTAGGACAGTTGATTTAACCCACAAAAGGAAAATATGAAGGAAACTACAAACTGATTGATAGTCATAATAAGAGTAGTTGCAGCTCCTTATATAAATTCAACACTGACAGAACAGAAAGATTATGACTGATTCTCAAACAGGATATCAGTGAAGGAAACTGTTTGGTGTGTCTTTGGCTAAACAACAAGTCTGATCTGTTTTGTCTTGTTTCATTGATGATGATGTTCTTAAACTGTGTCAAATCCCTCCCTTTGTCTTGTCTGAAGTCAGACTGAACTTTTTCTCCCACTGTTTCATTTTTTTTTATTATAGCTGTCCAAGCTGCTGGTAAGTTCGCGTAGTGTGTCAGCTGACTAACAACCGAGCAGGTTGTCCTCGTTTGTGTCCACGTCTGTGCTGTGTGTGTAGACACGACGTAGAACAAGTCCATCTTCAGTTTGTCCCTCATTAGCACTGATCAGTGCCAGCTTCTCTTCCATCTGGGTTTAATTTGTATTAATTTCAAACATTTGGCTCATATCTGTGTTCATTTTTTTCAAGGTTAGTTTCGTCATCAAAGGCTTCTAGTCATTGGGCGTGGCTTCCATTTTTATGTTCAGGTCGTGAGGGGAGTTATCTCTAAAGTTGCTTCACATGTTTGTTTTTCAAATTGATAAAAACAAATCTCAAAACTACAAACTTGAGAATTTCGAGGTAGTCTTTGGTCCTTCCTGCTCTTAAAGCAGGATGTTTAAAGCTTGTTTGAATTGTGTCTGAGGAGTTGATGAAAACCTGCAGAATCAATAAATCATGAAGCAACTTTGGGGTGATTCTTCCTTCAGGTTTGTTCCAGATGTTATCCTCCACACTGCCATGTTTAGTCCTTCCATGTGTCATCCCGCCTGTCTGTTTGTGTCGGACACATTGTTTGTCATGTTCCCTGTCCTGTTTTGATATTTTACTTTATCAGTCAAACTGACTTTAATTTCAGCTTTTGCTTGGACTGTAAGTATGAAAGCTATGCTCCGTGTTTATGATAAAAGACGGTTTTGCATATTTTTTTGGATATTTTCTGCTGCGTGGTTCTAACATCTGCATCCTTCCTCCCTGCAATCAGAGTAAACATCAGAAACATCAGGCGTTTGAGGCCGAGCTGCACGCCAACGCTGACCGAATCCGTGGGGTCATCGACACCGGTAACGCCCTGATCCAGAGGGGAGCCTGCGCCGGCAGTGAGGATGCAGTCAAGGTATATTCATCATGCTGTTTCTTCTGATACGACACAAGTGAATTATTTTATAGAATTAGAAACTTTCAGCATTTCATCTGTGGCATCTTAAAACCTTTGAGTTTGAGTTCAAAGTTGATACATGTTTGTTTTTTCTATTATTAAGGTGAATTTAAGTAAAAAAGACCTCAGAGAGCGTCCATCACCAAGCGGTGGAAGTATAGAATTTATTTACTCCGTCTGATGATTTCGTAAAAAGGTTCTTATGCAGAAGGAAAACAAGAAAAAATAGAGGCAGAACATTGTTCAGCACTAACGCAAAACATGGACTGTGTGGATGAAACAAAGCAAATCAGAGTCTGTCAGTTAAAATAAGATTGAAACTTGATTTGTTTGTTTTTTTTCCTCCAGGCTCGTCTGAACGCCTTGGATGAACAGTGGCAGTTCTTGGTCAACAAATCTGCAGAAAAGAGCCAGAAACTGAAAGAAGCCAACAAGCAGCAGAACTTCAACACCGGCATCAAGGACTTTGACTTCTGGCTCTCTGAGGTGAGGATCTGCATCATGAATACTCTGTACGTGTCACAGCTCCAGGGTTGTCTTGCATCTCATGTGTGTGTGTTGTTCCTCAGGTGGAAGCTCTTCTGGCCTCAGAGGATTACGGCAAAGATCTGGCTTCAGTCAACAACCTGCTGAAGAAACACCAGCTGCTGGAGGCCGATATTTCTGCACATGAGGTTTGTAGCGCGAGAACGAAAGATCTCCACAAACTCAACTCCATTTAACTCCACATTTTTCTGGACTATGATCCAGTTTGATTAGGTCTACCTGTCTACATGGGACTTGTATTGACAGGAGACCTCAAATGATTTAAAAGCAAAACTGAGTAAGAGTCAGAGCATGACTCTCTCTGACTTCCTTTCTCCTCACAGGACCGTCTGAAGGATCTGAACGGTCAGGCCGACAGCCTGATGGCCAGCAACGCCTTCGACACCTCACAGGTGAAGGACAAGCGTGACGCTGTCAACGGACGCTTCACAAAGATCAAGAGCATGGCAGCAGGCCGCCGAGCTAAACTGAACGAATCCCACCGCCTGCACCAGTTCTTCAGGGACCTGGATGATGAAGAGTCATGGATCAAGTAAGATCACAGAGCAGCTGTCTGCGATAGAATCAGCAGCTTTTGATGTTCATTTGTGCCTGAGAGACGATATTTGATGTTTCTGCTCTGATCCGGCACAGAGAGAAGAAGTTGCTCGTGAGTTCGGAGGACTACGGACGTGATTTGACAGGAGTACAGAATCTGAGGAAAAAACACAAGAGACTGGAGGCTGAGCTGGGAGCCCATGAACCGGCTATCCAGGTGAGACCTTTACATATCAGTCCCTTTAAAGTAGTTCTATAGTACAGACAGACTTTAGAGTTAATGCAAAACACAAAACTGTTGGTGAACATCCTGACTAAAATATATTCACTGATCACATGTTGTATTTCTAGTCTGTGCTGGACACTGGGAAGAAACTGTCCGATGACAACACCATCGGTCAGGAGGAGATCCAGCAGAGGCTCGCCCAGTTCGTCGACCACTGGAAGGAACTGAAGGACTTATCTGGAGCGAGGTCAGACACACTCTAGTGTCCATCCTGTAAGCACTCATACAGGGGGTGAATCAGGCGTGTAAATGTGTGTGATGTGTGTTTGTTCTCAGGGGGAAGAGGCTGGAGGAGTCGCTGGAGTACCAGCAGTTTGTGGCGAATGTGGAAGAAGAAGAAGCGTGGATAAATGAGAAGTTGAATCTGGTGGGAAGCGAGGACTACGGCGACACACTAGCTGCTGTGCAGGTGGGACAAAAATTACTATTTCATTAAGTTTTCAGTTTTAAAACGTGATGAAGAGTTTCACTGACTGTCAGGAAACCGATCTGTTGATCAGGGCCTGTTGAAGAAGCATGAAGCCTTTGAGACGGACTTCACGGTGCACAGAGACAGAGTGAACGACGTGTGCGCTAACGGAGAGGAGCTGATCAAGAAGGTGTGTAAACAGTTTAATCCTGAATAGATTCAAACTGTACAACTACAGAAGCAAATCTCTGACCAGAACTTTTATGTTTCTGACAGAACAACCATCACGTGGACAACATCAGCGCCAAGATGACAGCTCTGCGGGGTAAAGTGTCCGAACTGGAGAGAGCTGCTGCTCAGAGGAAGGCCAAGCTGGACGAGAACTCAGCGTTCCTGCAGTTCAACTGGAAGGCTGACGTGGTCGAGTCCTGGATCGGTATGAAAACGCAGAAACACAAGAACATGTCTGTCATCCTTTTCCATCAGAGCAGTCCGACTCCAGTTAAATACTGTGATCTATTTTCTAAAACATTGATGTAACTACGTGTGCAGACAGATTTCTGCACAAAGATTATTTTTATTGTTTCACGACCAGATAAATTCCCCTCACAGGAGCTTTAAGGATGTTTTATATGCTGTCCTGCTCCTGGTGGAAATTTACAAGAAGAAAAACAAAGACTGAAGTAGCTCTTTATTATTAAAAGAGTGTTCCTCTAAAGCTCAGAATAAAGTGGCGCTAACTGTTAACTGTCAGACATTTGTTCCCACATTTAACATCCTCTTAAAGTATGTTTTTTTACTTCTAATTCCTGTCTGGTTTATTTAGCTGTAATATCTTAATTACTGAGATTGTGTTTATTGGCATATTTTTCATTCTTCAGATCAACAGTTTCCCTGCCTTCTTGGCAGAGTTTACACACCTTTCTTTTTGACCTTTACACAAAGGTTATGAGCATGTTTCCAAAGTTTTGAAACTGCTCTTTTACCTGTTTTCTTTAAAAGCCTGATTCAAGTTTAGTTAAAGCCCTTCAATGATTTTCCAGGTGAGAAGGAGAACAGCTTGAAGACAGACGACTACGGCAGAGACCTTTCCTCTGTGCAGACTCTGCTCACCAAACAGGTACTTCAACCTCTCAAACAGCTGTCTGATATCCTCTGTAACCCGCACTTCTCTTCTGTGACGGCATCTTTCCGGGTCTCTCTGCAGGAAACCTTTGATGCCGGTCTGCAAGCCTTCCAGCAGGAGGGAATCACCAACATCACAGCTCTCAAAGACCAGCTGCTAGCTGCCAAACACGTCCAATCAAAGGCCATCGAGGCTCGTCACGCTGCTCTGATGAAACGCTGGAACCAACTGCTGTCCAACTCTGCTGCTCGTAAGAAGAAGCTGCTGGAGGCTCAGGAGCACTTCAGAAAGGTAACGGAGCCTTTCATGACCCTGAAGTAGCAACCAAACTTTCAGCCTGTTTGTAGATATTCATCATATTTCCTCCACACCCTGCCCAGGTTGAGGACTTGTTCCTGACGTTTGCTAAGAAGGCGTCAGCTTTCAACAGCTGGTTTGAGAACGCAGAGGAGGATCTGACCGACCCGGTGAGGTGTAACTCTCTGGAGGAGATCAAGGCGCTGCGTGAGGCCCACGAGGCGTTCCGCTCCTCGCTTAGCTCCGCTCAAGCCGACTTCAACCAGCTGGCTGAGCTTGACCAGCAGATCAAGAGCTACCAGGTGGTGTCCAACCCCTACACCTGGTTCACCATGGAGGCTCTGGAGGAGACCTGGAGGAACCTGCAGAAGATCATCAAGGTCTCTTTAACAAATGTGTATTTTTACCTGATGAGGGGTTTACATTTCTTAAAAGAGTCGATTCGCATTGACCTTCCTTGTCTCTGTGTGCAGGAGCGAGAGCTGGAGCTGCAGAAGGAGCAGAGGAGGCAGGAGGAGAACGACAAGCTACGTCAGGAGTTTGCTCAACACGCCAACGCTTTCCACCAATGGCTGCAGGAGACCAGGTACAGGGCGAGGACTGATAGCCTGCAGCGGCTCCTCTTTTCATCATTGTTTTCTTCTGCTGCATGATGATTTCTGCGTTGATAACACTGCTCCAGGCTCATGTGTTATCACAGATGTTTATGAAGGAACCTTCTGCGGTGTTTGTCTCATTATAAGCCAATGAATCATCTCTGAATCAGCCGAGCACAGAGCATGATTCACGCTTGTGTCCATATTGTGTTTTTTTGTTCTCGATCAAGAAACCCATCCATGTAACTCAGATTTTAAGTTTTCTTCAACATTGATCTTTATTTATTATTAGTAGTACATTTAAATTTACATTTAAATCATGTTGCTTCGTTTCCCACAGCAACACAATTAATCTAACTGACAGTGTGGCATAGATGCAGCGCATATAGAGAAATACAAGGTGTTAAAAAACGTGTTGTATGTTAGTTTCTAGAGTGTAGCTAACACTAGCCGACTTTGCACCACCAGTGGAGAGGCCACGCCCACGCTCTGCTGTTAAAGAAGAGAGGGAGGGTGCACTTCATTCATAACACAGCAGGAACACAGCAGGGCGGCACAGTATTGTTCAGTCTCAATTATATATTATAAATTAACCATATTTTCATGATCCTCAAATCCAATAAATCAGAGCAGTATGTTCTAAAATTACATTTGAAGGGAATAATAGAGAAAAATGCTTTATGGACACAAGACTTGACTGTTGTTTACTCTCTGCACAAATGTCACATCTGATCACATGTCAGAGTGAAAGAATCAAACTAATTCACTCTGGATGTGAAGATTCCTGTGGATGCTTTGTTGTCGCCTCATCTAAACATGTATTTGTCTCTCTTTTGCTCTTTCTCCCTCCCTCCCTCTCTCCCCTCTCTTCCCCTCCTTCTCTTGTCTGCTTCCTCGCTGGTGCTTGGGATCAATCTGCTAATCAGGACATATCTTCTGGATGGGTTAATATCACCTTTTCTCTTTAATATCTTTGTGATTTGAGTGTTTGATTCAGCGTGTGTGTGCGTGTGTTAAACTGCGATTGTTGTGAGGATTATCTCAAAGGTTGGTAAAGATTTATATTATTTTATTTTTTATGTTCCCCCTCCTCCACCTTGATGGTTTTTGGAGTTTCTTTGTATTTATTCTGTGTTTCTTGTCTGTTAAATCTCTCCTCCTCCTCCTCCTCCTCTCTCTGAATAGCATAGCGTATCGCCGGGTTATCTGTGTCTATCAGTACCAAGTTGCTGATGATCTTTCTGGAAGGTTTACCTCTTTGAGCTTTGCTCTGTTTTGTCTTTTTGCCCCCCTCTGACCCTCACAGAGCCGTCAGGCCTGTGTGACCTCATGCACTTCAGTCTAAAACCACCATTCAGGACTGGTGTGCACAGTAAAATCCTCCTGCTGAACTAACACCCACCCAGTCCTCCAAACTCAGAGCACCAGACTGGGGGGGCTGGACGTCACTTTGTTTAACTCAGGGGGTGGAAACTGCAGATATTTAAAATATGTGTAACACTGCACATATTCCATACAGAAGAATTCTCTTTTTAGTGTCTTCTTTGGTGTCATTCTCTCTAACTCTCCATGTGTGCAGTGGCTTCAGACTTCACTCTCCATATTCAGTAACTTAAACTTTCATTAAGAACCCATCCTGGATCCCACCGGCTATAATCTGACGTTGATTTATGTCCCAGTGAGCGATAGTGAATTTTTTTGTAATTAGTAAATTCAGACCAAGATTTTCTTTTCTATACGCAGAAAAAACAAAAGTGAGTGTGTTCACATCAAGGCTGTCTCATGGTACTCACAGCCAATGACATATTTTTGTAGACTTTAGGGGAAAAAACTATCAGCTGGTACTTAAAGAGACAAATTACTCCTTAAATGTAACTAATAAATGCAACAGACTTACGTAAATGTCTTTTGAAAATGTGGTATTTAAACGTAAACACAACCACAGAGATGATAGACAGCATAAATAGCAAGAACATATATTAACTTGGTGTTTATAAATTACTTCAAATCTATTATTTCTGGTGCATTCAGGGAAGTTGGAAAATCTAAACGCTTTAGTGACACGACATCAAGCAGATCAGCGTGTTGGTGTAAATCTTTGATGTAGAGCAGATTGTTCGCCGACCTTCATGCAGAGAAGTAAATCCTCCTCAGATTAGCAGCGATGGGAGCCGGGATGTCATTATGGTGGATTGTGTTCTGCCTGCTTTTGCTCTCCATACAGACTCCTGCAAACATTTCTCACATTAGATTTCAGACTCTTTTCACACACAGATTCTACATTTTGATATAGAATCTGTGAGGAGGAAACTCTTTTATAAAAGGTCTGCTGCAGTTTCCAGTTCTGTGTGCTGGAGCCCTAACCTGCATGGTTTGGGTCACCTGTAGATCTCTGGCATGAATGAGCCAGCCAAGGTCCATTTTTGAGTAGGAAGAAAATTAGAGTTGAACCAATTTATGCAAAAAAGAAAGAAACCGATTCTCTGGCAAACATTTATTGAATGTATGCGTAACGACTTCTGTAGCATTAGTAGATGTGTTTGAGAATGAGAGTCTGTGTGACAGAGTGACTGTAGTACCTTATCAAACTGACCCTCCTCCTGTCTAACATAACTGTGCTGTGTCAGGTCATGTATGGTGGAAGAATCTGGAACCCTGGAGTCTCAGTTGGAGGCCACAAAGGTAAAAATCACTCTTTCATGATTTCTTCACACACCTGCTTCTCTAAAGTGTCTCAGCAGCAGCGGCAGAATGTACGGCCTGCAAACGCTCGTAGTTTTTCTTAAAGATCCTGTCAGTAACTTGGAGTTGTGTCCTCTCTAGTGCCCCCCAGTGGGCAAAGTGGTACCTTGTCTTTAAGAAAGTTGCCCATACGCCACTTATGAGTAACAACTGAAATTTTCTGTGATCTGACACCATGTAGGAGTTCTTGTTGATGTATTGTCTGTGTTTTCTTATGTGTGCAGCGTAAGCACCAGGAGATCCGGGCCATGCGCAGCCAGCTGAAGAAGATTGAAGACCTGGGAGCAGCCATGGAGGAAGCGCTGATCCTGGACAATAAGTACACAGAGCACAGCACAGTGGGGCTGGCTCAGCAGTGGGACCAACTGGACCAACTGGGAATGAGGATGCAGCACAACCTGGAGCAGCAGATACAGGCCAGGTACACACCAACGCGTCGTAACTGCTGAATGATGTCGCTTAAGGGTTCCTGGTTTATCTCTCACCTCATGTAAGAATATTATTCAAGTTTCATGTTTCTTACTTCTTACTTTGCCTGTTTTTTTTTTCTAGGAACACCACAGGAGTGACAGAGGAGGCTCTGAAAGAGTTCAGCATGATGTTCAAGTAAGTAGCTTAGACCTGATACTCTGAGAAAGTTCTGCTCAGTGAGCAGTCAGAAAGTCGAGTGACAGATGAACTTATCTGAAGTCCAGGTCCCGTTATGCACTAAGTTTGAAGAGGGTATTTGGAGGGTGATGTTTTTGGAGGGTTACCTATTGCTTCCTTTCACTTTATTACAAGTTTCCTGCTAAATTGAGTTACTGAGTCACCTGTTGACCTGGTCCGAAATGGAGTAAAAAGACTGCATGAGCTGCTGAGTTCATGTAAGAGTAGCTCGTCTCTCTCTCTGTCTGCTCTGATTGAGTCTCATCCGCACCTCCACATCTTTATTTTCAGGCACTTTGACAAGGAGAAGTCCGGCCGCCTGAACCACCAGGAGTTCAAGTCCTGTTTACGCTCGCTGGGCTACGACCTGCCCATGGTGGAGGAAGGAGAACCCGATCCAGAGTTTGAGGCCATACTCGACACTGTGGATCCAAACAGGTACGTCACAGGTTAGATGGAGAGGTAAACTTCATCCACCAACACTGTTTGAACAGTCTTAACTGAGAGGAACCTTTGTGTGTGTGCGTAGGGATGGAAACGTGTCGCTGCAGGAGTACATGGCGTTCATGATCAGCCGTGAGACAGAGAACGTGAAGTCCAGCGAGGAGATCGAGAGCGCCTTCAGAGCCCTGAGCACCGAGAACAAACCTTATGTCACTAAAGAAGAGCTCTACCAGGTGAGACAAGTCCCTCGCTTACTCTGTGGTCTCAGACCGCCATGAGGACTGACACTGACACTCACTGGCCCCCCCTTTTCTTCTCTGTCTCTTCCAGAACTTGACCAAGGAGCAGGCCGACTACTGCTTGTCACACATGAAGCCGTACCTCGACAGCAAGGGCCGCGAGCTGCCGTCAGCCTTTGACTTTGTCGAGTTCACCCGCTCGCTGTTCGTCAACTGATCCCCCGCCCACCAGTGACCAATCGGGACGCGTTTTCCCTCACACACTTCAACACAAACACACAGCTGAAACTGCATGATCGTGGCACTACTCACTAAAACCGACTCTCTGTATATTTATCTCGCTCTGCCCTAACTCTGTGTGCTTCTCATGATAGCATAGTGGATCTGTCTGCATCTGAATGTGATTGTTTTAGCTGGTTTAGCTTGTGCTTTCGATGACTTTAAGAACCTCCTATTAACAATAATGTCTTAAGAACACCTGAACATGAGTGTGCTTTAATAAACGCTACTGGTTAGAACTGGACACATGCGTCTCTGGTTTTATTTCACCTCCTTTTAAGTCCTTCATAAATCAGGCCAATGCTTTAGTCTCAGTCCATCTCATTCTGCCACCTGATTGGCTATCTGCTCCAGCTGGCTGCTCTCTCGGGGGTTCTGCTCCGTCAGGTCGGTGCTCAGTTGCCAAACAGTGACTGTCCCGTCTGTTTTTCCCACAGCCAGCAGCTGAGGGTTTTTGTGGTTGAAGGATAAACATGTAGCAGCATGTTCGGCTCCTCCCTCCTCTATGGTGGCCGCTGGTCTCAGAGACCTCCGGCCCAGGTCGAATATCTGCACCTCGCCTGAAAGAGATGATGGAAATACAGCTGTGTTACACCTGGAGTACAGTACACCTATCAAAGTGAGAACTCTTCAACAGTCTAAATGACAAATCAGTCTCTGTTCACACTTATTCAACTCTACAGCTAACTGTGTCAGCTAATAGATAATAAAAGTTATACACTTAGTGAGTCAGGGCTCCAGCATCACTCTACTGGAGTGACTGAGCAGTTCATTCATTAACCTCGGGGTCTATCATAACGTCCAAGCTGCTGTAGCTGCTAGCTGTAAAATCAGGTCAACTGTATTGATAAAGCTAATTTAAAAATGACTCGTCAACTAAATCAAAAATTGTTTAGGGTAAAAAGCTAAAATTATGGGAAAATTTTTAATGGAACGACAAAAAAAAAATTTAAAAACTATTTCATGAGCTAAAAAGTCACCATAATGATGTTATTAGTCGTAACTCTTAAATAAATCATGACTTTGTAAAAGTTAAACTAACGAGAAAATTTCAAAAAGTTGAGTCTGATAATGAGATATTTTGTCAGTCTTATGAAATAAAAAGTCATAATTAAAAGATGAAAAGTCACAAATAAAATATAAAGTTCAGTTATAGGAGAAAGTCATAAGATGAAATTTAATTATAAACTAAGTGTCACAATGAGATGATGATTATTAGATCAAAAGTCAAAATAAGACAAAAGTCCTTTGTAAAAAGTTGATCATTATAGTCAGTCATGTTTATCAGATATAAAGTCAGGTATAAAATTAAGTCATATTTACAAGTGAAAATCAAAAGAATTTAAAAAGTCAAATATGACATAAAAAGTTTCTAGTAGATGTTAGTGGAGTTATAGGATAGAAAGTCACACCAGAACAAAGTTAAATACAAGATGAGGAGTCACAATTATGATAAAAAGTCGAGTATGAAATAAAAAGTGATAGTTACTAAATAAAAAGTCATAGGTTAAGAATAAAATATCAGTGGATGTATAAAAAGTGATCATAATAATATAAAAGTCATCAGTTTGAAAATAAGAGAAAAAAATAGACATACAAAGAAAAGTCCCTGACAGGAGCTTTAAAGGCAAGTATGGGTTTAAAGATAGATTTAAAGTCAGGTTTAAATGAAAAGTTACTGTGTTTAAAATTTTAAGTCCACGACAAGATAGAGTTACAACTGTAAGATAAAAAGTAATTTTAAGAGGAAAAAGTCACAAAAGTAAAAGTCATTATTCTCTCAAAAACACAACCTTATGTCAGAGTCTGGATGCTGTACCTTGTCCCGTAGCTGCAGCGAACACCAGCGGTCTGGTTGGAGACCACTGAACCTGGAAGACATAAGAGTCTGAGACTCTGAGAGACAGCAGGGGGTCTGCCTGCAGCAGAGAGTGCAAGTGAGCCAGACCACCAGTCCCAGCACTCACAAACAGGTTCCTGCACAGACACAAAGAGCAGAGGTCAGTCTCCTGTGGAAAACAGCTGCTCACCTCTGATTATACAGATGTTTGTTCTCACCTGTGGAAAGGAGAGTAGTGTATGGAGTGGACCGGTCCACTGAGAGGCTTGAAGGAGAACACAGCAGGGGCCCTTGGCGTCACACTCTGACCTTCTGAAGGAGCAGCAGCCGGAGTCTGAGAGGAGAAGGAGCATCTGAGCAGCAGGCCGCCTTCAGAGCCCACCAGGAAGGTGTCTGAGTCCCAGGGGGAGAGCGCCAGAGAGGTGACGCCCACGGTGCTGCTGCCCCGGGTCTGCAGAGGAAACAAAGATACAAGTTCATCCACAATCAAATATCTAAAAGTACTACTGAATCTAAAAGCAGCTGATCCATTTATTTTGAAAGGTTTTCATGTTAATCTTGGAGTTTTTGGTGATAATAATTAGTTGTATTGTCTTGAAAGAATCACAGAGTCTCACCTTGTAGCTGCTGCTGTGAGGAACTTGCTGTCTCAGTAAGGTGTATGCAGCGTTCAGGACGAACACGGTCTGATCAAAGTCCACTGACCACAGCAGGACCTGACCTCTGGAGCTCGCACTAAGGACACCAAACTCTCCTTTCTTCTGTAGGGGCACCCATGAGACCTGTGCATACACACACACACACACACACACGTTTTGTTTTTTTTTGTTTTTGGTTTGGTTTCTTCAGTAAATTACTTTCGCCTGCTGCCATGAAGAGGGAAAGTGGTCTAGATTTTGTCACTGACAGGTTCAGAGTTTGATTCTAAGGGTCTGAAAACAAAATGTCTGCAGATTCAGGACTGCAGAATCAGGACTGCACTCTAAAGTTGCTCTTTTCTAAAGGCATGGTCTAACCCTGAGTGTTGTAACAACTTAAGGGCCTTACAGATACAATCCAAGAATTGCAGTCCTGAAACTGCAGCTTCTTGCTCTGCAGACACACAATACTGGTCCCAGAGGATTACCAGTCAAAACTGTTTATTATAAATCAATCATTTAGACCCCAAAATATGAAAGGAGACAGTCATAGGTTTGAGTCTTTAATTACCTTAATAAAGTTGAAATAAAGTTGAAATAATCAGAACACTGTTACTTAGCACACTGACTTGATAAAAGCAGCTCACCTGATAAACCGGCTCTCTGTGGCTGTCTGCTGACATCCCAGTCTGAACAAGGACAGGGTCCTGAGTCTGACTGGTGTCCCAGACCACCACCTCCCCAGTGTACAGACCTCCTACAGAAAAACACACACACACATTTACAACATAAACACACAGTTTTTACTGCACTCCACTTCAAGAAACAAAACACAGCTTATTCAACAGCTGTGATTTATTGCAACTATTACATCAGACTTTTTTAGTTCCAGTTGTTAATTTGTTAAGTCTGAACTTTTTAATGAAAAGCTAATTATTGAAAGGCACTAATATTTGCTTTTCTAAGTCTATAATACGAGATGATCTCTGTGGGATCGTCTTGCACCTTTAAGCACAGGTTGGAGACACCAAGTACCTCAGGAATGAGTGTTAAATTCTTTAATTCTAAAAATAAATAAATAAAAGACAGATGGAAAAAATCTTTATCCACTTAATAAAGTGTTACAAATGTTTTCATACTAATTTTAATAAGAATTCTCATCTTCATTTGTTTCAATGACTGAAAATCCACTCTAGAGGGTGTCACTGAAGGATGTTTCCTCGATTCGAGGACAGAGTGAGATCTTGGTTTAAACTCACTTGTGGTAATACAGTTGTTGCTTTTGTCACCATATCAGTTTTATAAGAATATGATGAGCCTGAGAATAAAAAAAAGATGCATTCTTTAAATTTCCCTCTCTTTATTATTATCTACCATTTCCGTATATATCTGCGATTGATTTTTGACTAATGATTTCACGAATCAGTTGCAGGTTCTATTTATTCACCACCTTTAAACCGTTGATTCATGGTGTCCAGAGGTTTGATGTATACTCTCAGATTGTTAGTGTACCTGCGATAAGCGCTGGATGTTGGGGGTGACAGCACAGAGCGGTGACTGCTGTGGGAACATCTATGACCAAATCAGCCTGTTTGGGATTCAGGCTGTGGCGGTTCAGGTTCCAGGTACAGACATAAGATTTCTCAGTGCTCCAGTCTCCGTCATCAATCCTTTAAAGTTAACATACCAGAGAGAAGTGAGAAACATTCAGGACAACGTCAGGTTTGGTTATATAAATGTAAGCATATAAATGAGATGTACATACCGGCCATAGGCACAGGCGATAACTGAACCTGTGCAGCTCCAGGACACACTGGTGACATGAAGACCTCTCTCCTGAGCGTTGGGATGATGAAGACGATGGAGGCAAGAAACCTGCAAACATGGGACAGGATCATGCAGGAACTCTAGTCAGTTTACTGCTCAGACATGTTTAACTTGTAGTCTTCAGTCCCACTTACATGATTACTCTGCTCCTCCCAGTTGACCTGAAATCCATCAAAAGCATGACTCCTGGCGTTTTTGACCAGCTCTCTGACAACTAAGTCCTCGACCCGCAGCAGAAAGTCCTTCAGACCAGGAGGCTCAGGCTCCTCCTGGATCTGTTGGAGGAGCTGCTCTGTGTCCTGGTGCTGAGTTTGTTCTGTCTGAGTCCAGCTGGTGGTAGAAGACACAGTCTGAACCTCTGCCTCAGTGCTGTGGACTGCTCTGGTCTGACAGCCCCTCTTAAAAAAAAAAAACAGCAAACAAGCAAGGTCCACAAAAATTAAGACACTATGTAAAGCTGTTTTTTAAGCAATAAATTTATTGAACTTTTACATATACAAGTATGCAAAAAACTTGCTTGCTTTCCCTCTGATGATATATGTTAATCTCTCTAGTACAACATAGGAAGCCATCTCTTTCACCCAAACATTTATCGAAGGTACATCCATTTTCTTCTAAGATAAGGCGATTATTCTCCTGGCCTGCAGGAGTCCCAGGTCGATTCTGTGTACAGCTGTTTATAAAATCAGAATCTGGTAGTTTGCAAACCATTTGAAGTCTGTATTTAAAGACGACATAAATGATGTTGAAACAGAAAAATGACAGGTTAGGACTGCAGGTAGGCCAGTTCAGCAGCAGGCCTCTTCTACTACAGAGCCATTCGCTTGTAATACAGTATTCTCTGAATCTTTTAATGATATTAAATGTATGTAGATTATGTTATCTAATAACTCAGACACAATCTGAAATTATTGCAACGTTTGCTGACGCAGTCTCTAACAAAGTGGTGAATTAAATTTGGATTTGTTTGAATATTGTTGTTTATCAGTATTAAATTAAGTCAAATTAACTACCTGAAAATCTCATATTCTACAATAAAGGTGACAGGTTTTCCATTTCTCTCTGTTGTAAAACTGTAAATGAAATTTCTCGCCTGTTTATGAATTTTTCGAGTAACATTTGAACGTCACATCACTCAGCTAACTGTACAGCTACCAGTAAGGGCTCTCTTATAGCCACTGTGCTAGCTGCGTGGTTTCGGTCACAAACCAGTAAAATGCCCTCAGATTCAGGCATTTATTATGAAAAGAATCAATTAAACAATCATGGTGTAAACAAGAGTTAACTTTGTTGTTCAAACTTACAGATTCCTGCGCAGACTGCTGAGATTTCCTCCAAAGAGACTCGATTTCCACCGCATCTAACGCCTCGTCTGTAAACATGGTCATCTATCCGGCTACATAAATACTCAATAATGAACAGTAGCTGTTTTAACGAGCGTCATCTCTATGTTTTGGGGAAAAGGAACCGTGTAATAACTTCTCATGGAGGTATCTGTCCTTGTTGGCGGCTTGTTCCTTCCTCGCAGCACTGATAGTCAGTTTTGTTGCCTTGGTTACGGAGACGGGTTAAGTCAAGATGGATACCCCGCCATCACTTCCGCCATTCTTTACACACAAAACAAAAAATAATTTTCATAAATCTTGATGTAATGTGCACTAGTTGATGTATCAGTATTTAAAAGTAAAGTAAGATTTGTTTTTGCTATTATGTTGTAATAGTATTTATAAAAAGGTTTTATTTGAATGTGTATTTCCGGTAAGTAACGGCCTCCGCATTTCTGTCTGCTCGACGTCAGTTGGGCTACAATTGCTCGAAATAAGAACATAAATATATAGAAAATAAGGACCAGATTTCACAAAAATAACTGGACTTTACTTATATCTGCCATTTTAAGGCCTTTGTACTGACACCTTGTTGCCTTAACTCTGGCTTTGGTCTGAAAATGAAATCCTGTCTTGCGTAAAGGATGTGAATCGAGACTTGTCCGCTCGAATAAATAGATAATTGAAATGGTTTTGTCACGTTATTTATACAAATACCCATAAATACGTCTCCAAATTTTCCAATACCGCTCAATTCAAGCATTTATGTCTGTTATCGGGACAAGGTCAACGGGTTCGTTGTCTCTGCTGTGGTGTGATTAGTCTGCCACCTGTTGGCCGGAGGACGACACAATCAACACCCGTCTGTAGAGTTGAACAAAGGAAATGCACTCGAACAAGTCTTTTTACTTATAAAGGTCAATCGCTCATTGGGAAAAACTTTGTAAAGAAATTTAATTTCCAATAAAGTTTATTGAACTCTGTAGCTGAATCAAAACCTCATGTATAACTGAATTAATGAAAGGCCCTAAAGAGCTAGATGATGACATCAATTTTAAGAGTAAGAAATGCTCTGAACAAGTTATTTTATATCTTTTGGTTTCTTTATAGACTTATTGTCTAGGTCCCTTAAAATTTTGTTGAATGGTCATTTTTGGGTTGATGCTGGCAAACATGTCTGTGAATAGTTAAAGGAACAATCAGACAGGTAAAAGGTTGTGTAGTGTTAAAATATCTCCAACTAATTAGGTTAATTTTTAACAAGGACACTCAGAAAGCTGAGTCTCTCAGAAGGAAAGATGGAAGAGTTTATAAACTGCAAAGAAAATTTGCTTCTGTTGGAATTGCAGCAAAAACAAAACATAGTGAAGGCGTGAATTTGATCAAACTACTCCAAGCATCATGTATACATTTATTTATTGTAACAAAGCAACTGGTACACTTAATTTACTGTGAACAGGTTTCCCGCAGAACAGGAGAAAAGCTGCAGACTCCACAGAGAGGACTCCACAGAAACCTTTTCATCTCCCATCTTCAAAATGTTAAGCCAAGCTCAAAATTTTTAGGTTGTTTATATAAAAAAATGTACAATTCAAACGTTTCTTGTGGGTGCCTGAAAAACAAAAAGATTCTCAAACAGACGTCCAGAGTTGTTGTCAAAGCCCAGCTGCCCCCACCGCACCTCCCCTCCCCCTCCCTGTTAAACTGTGTACAATAAACACCTGTCTGACCATGATACATGAAAACCCCAAAACATTTACAATGGTTGAAAGGAACGAGCTGGTGCTTTCGATCAGTTCCATTAGTACAATTAAGTCACAGAGGAAAATGCAACTTCTAATAATAAGCCTCAGTCCCCCCACCACTGGATATATTATAATATACATTTATATATATAAAAGTGGCTAAGGATGCTATGATTAAGTTATCACTGCACCATGGCTTATTTTTATTGAACTCACAACTTCAACAGAACCCATATTTTACATAGAAATTGCTATTGTACGTATTTTAAATCTACGTAGGTATGACGTGCAGAATGCTACAAATTTTTTTTTATTCTTTTGCAAGTCTTTGGGAGATGTAGGGAAACAATGACAAGTGAGACTCTGAGGGCCAACCCCGCCCCGCTGCAACCCAGACACACCCAACGCCGGTACGCCGTAGCTGCAGAGGAAGAGGATGGACATGCTGACGACACACAGGAAACTTTTTATACAAATCCCACCCCTCCCCTCCCCAAAAAATAAACAAACAAAATATTTTGCTCCCGAGGTTTGTGGGATGATCACAGAGGAAGGACGGGGGAAAGGTGTTAGCTGAGAAGTTTAATCATCTTCGCCGTCATCCTGAGGGTTCAAAAGGAAACAAATATTAGGCTGGTTGTTGAATTACTTTCTGGTGCTGTTATTCCACTTCTGAGTATCCTCACCTCTCCATCTTCCCCGTCTCCATCCTCGTCTTCGTCTTCACCTTCCTCCTCTTCTCCCTCGTCGATATCTTCCAGACCCTCTTCTTCCTCATCGTCATCATCACCATCTCCTTCATCATCCTCCATGTCGGGGACCTGAGGGAGAGTCACAGAGGTTAGAAAGTGAACAACAGCAATTTTTAAACTGGATGATCTGGTGGCCTTTAAATCTGATGTGAGGAATCGTTTCGGGTCTCCCTGTGTCAGAAAAATTATAAAGGAGAAGTGATGAACGAATAAACATGCAGATACTGAGGATGTCAGTGACCTAAATGTCGAATTATGAGACAGGCTACTTGGCTAATTCTCGCCCCGAGAAGATTCAAAATAATACAAGGAAAAAAAATCCAGGCAGACCATTAAACTCCGTAAGAAGTGTTTACAGCCTCAATTTTCTGCAACAGAGCAAAAGATCAACAAGCACCTATGGACATTTTCTGTGGGTGACAACGAAAGATTCAAAGGTTAGTAATGACCCTGGAGCCAAAAACAACACTCCCATCATGGCTGACTTTGGACAAACTCTGGGCGCTTTCATACTGACATTTCACAGGGGTGTAATAATGGGCTGTAGTTGTTTCTACTCTGATCCTTCCTCAGAAGAAGTAACAAAGGCAAAACATGGGGAAGATGAATCTGACGTATTGGAGCAGGCAGGGCGGGACAGCTCTGTGTGTGTGTGTGCATATCTAAGTGTGTGTTCAGAGCTCTCAGTGTGCCTTAACGAAAGCCATCACTCTCGAACTCTACAATAACATAATGCGATGTGTAGTCCTGCACTGGGACACCAATGTTGTGCTTTCTCAGGGTGCTGGAAGTAAAAAGGCGCGGTGATGGGAGAACTCTCTTAGCACTGATGCAGAATATTTGTGTGTGAGAGAGCTCAGTTAGCACCTCTCAGGACAGAGGCTTAAGTTACACAGAGACTCAAACAGAGCAGCTAACTCACCACAGAGGGTGGACTCCCCTACACAGAAACAGAAGACATCCCTTGGGGCACTTATACCCATCAAGTAGGTTTTCATGGACTTGGTTGCTTGCTTTTATAATTAGGTAGGGAGGGATGCTGATTTGAGGGAAAAACAGGAGTGGTCTCCTTTTTAAAAAATCTTTTAAAGCTGGTAAAGAGTAGGTAAAAAAAACTGAATTCACAGCCCCGCCTGCAGCAAATGTTCATTATGTTCCTGGTCATATAGTACTTACCACTCTGTTAAAGAACAAAAACACAGGTGTGATCTTCAGTGAAGTTTTATTGCAAAGTCATATTGCAAACTACTGGCATGAATTCTTGCAAATGGGTCATTGTTCACATCCTTTTTATGTGATTTAGACTCTTCTGTCTTTAAATTCGGCAATTCTCGTCTAGACCCAACAAGACCTACAAAGTTCACAAACCCCTCACCCTGGCTCTGCCACTTCCCTCCTTTATGTCTCCTTTCCTTCCTTTGTTTTCTTTTCTCTCTTCCAAGAGAAGAGGACGAGGGGGAGGTAGAACATGCCGCCTAATCCTGCAGGGTGAGCACTTTCTCAAACAAGCTTCACATTCGGGTTTTGCCTTGCCTGTTTTCTTTCAAATGTTTCTCAAGACCCTCTAATCTTTGTTCTCTGTACTCATTCATAAAAAAGTTGGACTTATTGAACTTCTGAAGTGTGCGTGTGTGTACATAGCCTTTCCTCGTGGTCTGTTTTCCAGTTAATCTGGTCCTGCTAACATGATGGTTTTCAACACTTCAAATGATCTTAATCACTGCATTCAGGAAAACTGTTGCCAGAAGTTCTTCCAGTTTTCCCCTATTTTCTTCTGTACTTGTGAATTGATGTCAGTAGCTTGAAAGAAAATAATCTTCAAATAAACTCTTATTTTAGTCTGTAAACAAATGACCCCCATCTTGGTAAAATCTTACAGCCTGTAACCAAAAATCCCCCTCAGGTTCACAAACTTGGTCACAAACTATGACTTTGATGAATGTTTTTAACATCCTTATTGGTATTAAAAAGGCAAACAGATAAAGAGTTTACCAGGTAGTACTGCAGCGGATTGGGCCAGATGTCGTCCTTGATGACTTCCCCCAGCTCGTCAGCCCCTGCATCTGAGTGATCGGTGAACCAGGTGAAGAAGCTCTCTGGTTCCTCGTGCTGCCGTTTCTTCCCTGCTTTGTTCGGCGTCTGGCCTGTGCGCTTTGTCAGGTCCTGCGGACATGAAGGTTAGAAAGGTCTTTCAAACATGCATTGCAAAGAGCAAAAATTGAATCAAATAAAAAAAAAAAGTCCAGCTATTAAGTGCTTGTTGAGGAGGAAAAAAATGATTTGGAACCAACATAAAAAAATGCAACCAACCTTTCCAGCTTTCCATTTGATTTCAGAAGATTTGGACACGGGGTCTCCACTCTCGTTTACGTTAAACTCTTTGGAGAGGGCTTTGTTCTCGAAATATGGGTTCTCGTCGAAATACTAAAACACAAAGCGAAAATGACAAAAAGAAGACAGCTGTGTCAGAGAAAATAAATAAATAAATAAAAGAGGGACTTCGTTTTTACGAATACAGACTTGGAAAACTAATACTTACAAAATCTATTCTGTAGCCAGACTTGATGTCCTCGAACTCAGTGACCTCCACCCTCGACAAGTAATGAAGTGCCTCCTCATCCTCCTCCCCCAGAAGTGCTGAAACTACAGGGCAGAGAAATTGTAAAGGAGGTCAAAAAAATGTTTGGGTTGATCACACAGACAGACGACAAAGTAATGAACAAGAGTTTACCTTGTGGATGGTTGACGAATGTTGTGACCCAGAAGTTGGGGATTTTGGCGATGAGTTCTGATCTCTTCTGAAAGAACGGCTGGCGTAATTTGTTGTACTTCTGCTCTACTTTTAAAATTTCTTCACTTGCTTGTTCATTCAGTCTGAAAGTAAAACCCAAAATAAGTCAGAAAAAACAATGTTGACAGACAGACAATTTCAAGACTCACCCACAACGTTCAAACTCACCTGTCGATTTCATTCTGTACTTCATCAATGTGTTCGATTGCTTCCTGTTGCTCTTTTTCTAAAAGTAAACAGATTTTTGATGAGAGGTAAATAAATGTGTAAAATACATAAAATAAAATACAGTATCTCTCAAATAAAAACACTATTAAAGGCCAGAATTATAAAGGGAGCAGAAATATTGATACTGCAGTCTAACCTCATCCTTTCTTGAGTGGCATATTAGAGAGAAGGAATTGTTTATATATTAGAATATCAAAATTTAGCACTATCATTTCCTTTTTATTCACTGTATCAGTACTTAACAACTCCTCATGGTGGCACTATAAGATTAATCCACTAATCTTATAATAAATAGAAATTATCTAGAAACTTTTATTTAAAAAAAAAAAAAAAAAATTAGGACCAGCCAATGCCAACTTTAACAGGGTGAGTTAAATAGACAAAATTTTCAGGACAACCGTATCAGTCCATTTTATCATTCTTCTTGTCTTAAAAATAACTTTCATGTCTTAATTCTGTTCTCAGAATTTTAATGAATTATGATGTGTCCCATTTAAGTTTGTGATAAATGAGTAGGGATGGAATTATTCATATTTCATCATAATCATCATATCACATGGACAACAACATCGTTTATAAATGATAAAAATAAATAAATTCTGTCAATGACCAAAACTTAGATTTAAACGAAACTTTCTTTTGTCTTCTTTTTTGACTTAACTATTAACTTTGTATTTTATTTTCTCAATAATTTTTGACAGCTAGACAAAGACCCCAAAGTCATTTGTTTAATATGTCACTGTGTTTGTCTACATCTAATCAAAAAAAAAAAAAAATCACTCAAGTTTTTACATTTAAGTTTATTTGTTTAATATTAAACGTTAGTGTGGCTATTAACAACAGGACAATTTTTAATGGGGTTAAGCCTGTGTTTCACTGTTTTAATGTCAACCTTTTCTACAGCGCACCACTTTGGTTAACATTGTAGTTTGGTTAGATATAAGGGCCCGACCGATTTATCGGCGAGCCGATTAAATCAGTCAATTTTTGCCTGTTTGAGACTAATCGGTAATCGGCCAAAACTCGTCGTAAAAAAAAACGGCATCGGCCCCAAAAAATCCATATCTGTCGGGCCCTATTAAATATACCCCAGGAAGTTTTACAAATGTACTTTGGATGCTTTTTAATACACATATTTAATAAAGGATGTAATGTATGGGCGTTATTTAGGGTGCTGCAGCAGTCTATTTTCATGCAAAACATTAACAATCACTTGGGTTTGACTATTAAAATAATTAATATGTGAATCACATTGGGCTGATCCTCACAGGAGACTTCTCCGCTGCAGCATGCACGGAGTTAAATAACGCGGGACGCCAGCAGTAGCGTGTTTTGGTTAGTGTGCGTAAGTGTATGTGAGTGTGTGTCTTCACGGCACTCAGACCCTCTGCCTCCTGCAGTTTGGTGCTTCCTGTTGCAGCTCAAGGCGGCCTGGTTTGAATGAGAGGCTGAACGCCGTTTTTTGTCTGGGACCTGCTGCCTGTTACACACTGACCATTACTAACAGCGAGCCATTTAAAAGCCTAATCAAGCTCTTTCAACACATCATATAAACGAAATTTAAACATTATTACCGCAATTAAAGGAGTTAAAAGTGCGTGTTTACAGTCTGCGGGGCCATCTTTTGCGCGCAGAAACTCCCCCGTCATTGTTAAAGTGATCTGCTCGGCTCGTGTTATCCGTGCTCGGCCTCTTTAGACTGAGAGGGTTCAGGGTTCGGGGATGGATGCACATGCTAATTATGTGTGCAAACAATGTAAAGCTCTGCAGGAGGAGGCGCACAGCTACGCGCGATACCACCTCCACAGCCTCAAAACAAACTTTATAAAACTGCCAGCTGCATAGTACCACGCTATGTGCAGCTTATGTAATGTAAATAGCGTTTCTCCTTCATGTGAACTGAGAGCTAAATAAGCTAACGGCTAGCCCACCTCTCACGCTGTTAGCCTGTTAGCATGCTAAAACAGTCGCGCACAACAGCGTTTAATTTCAGCGTTTGAAAGCAGGGAAAAACTAATTTAGGCGTCTCCGTGTAATTTGATGGTTATTTTGACTGAACAAACTCCGCTTCAGACAACATACTGACGATAAACAAATGAAAATGGCGTTGCTCAGGATAACCGCCATTCTTACCGGAGGTCTCGTCCGCTCCGTCGTGATTTGAATTCTCCTTCCTGCTGACTTTCGCCGATGAGGCAGACATGGTTATGGTTCTTCGCGACCCTTTTGACCAGAAATATCTCCCCGCTGTTCTCTAACTCTTCTCTGGATGATAAAAGTTAGTTCCACCTTTCACAGAGTGCGTGTCTTCAAGCACACGAGAAGGAGGAATGAGCGCAGTTTTGCACGCTTGTTTCTGTCTGTGGCGCGCCGTCGGTGAATACATTTATGGTGCTCTACTGCCCCCACCTGGCCGGAGTACGACACGGCCACTCAAATACAGTTGATGCTGAAATCTGTAGGGGAGAGTGAGAGATGAGCCATTTGTCATATTTCGGATCACAACATCAAGGCAATCATAGTTTTGTCTCTCACTAGTGTATCTGCATATATTTCAAGATGTTGTGCATCCCTGCAAACCAACAGAATGAGTGTAAACATGACTGTCTTGATAAAAAAGCATCCCAAAAAAGTGGTCTCCTATGATCAATTACCCCCGTGTATGGGGTAAGTTCTTCTTCACTTCTTCACATTCATGTGTATTTTATCTATTATATTGTATTCAACTGGTACAAATATTATTTTTATTATCACTGCATATAACTGCTAAAAAGCTGTTTTGTAAAACAAATACATTTTAACATGAGAATGCCTTTAAGTGATTCAGAACATTCACAGCTGTATTCTTCAAAAGAAAAAGTCAAAAATTTTAAGGGTCTGAACTGGAACTCTGATCCTCTCATCATACTTTTTTACTTTTACCCCTAAACTACTATTATGACTTTATTAGTCCTCTGAGCTAAAATGGTGGACTTTTATGCTAGGTTTTTGACCTCATGTTGTAGCTCATAGATACCACAATTGATGTATAAAACATATTCAAAATGATCTTTTTTGGTCTGAACACAATTCTAATAAAACTTATGACAGACTAAATTCACTTTCAAGAGTGAAAAATGTTTTTTTTATTTATTATTTTTTTTTTTATAAATGTCTAACCCCTTTACCCACGTGCTTCTAACCTTCACAGACTCCATGAATTGATGCCCATCTCCTAAATATTTTTTTTTTACCATTTCCAAGAAACAGGGGGTGGCTCAACTTACCCTTTGGCTCAACTTACTCCACTCTCCCCTACTTGTCAGAGGTTTAGTTCATAAATTGATTGTTAACTTCCTTTTATTCGTATCAATCCAAAAAACATAATCAAAAAATCTTCTTGAAAGGCAACTGTGAATCAGGAATACTTAATTATTTCCTTTATCAACTTTGGAGTTACATTTGCTGAAACACACAATGAAAACAAAAATATAAGGCATGAGTTAAAGGAAAAGTATGTCAGGTTTACTCACAGCTCAGACATTAAATGACATACTAAGGTAAGGGTTCCTACAAAGGCAAAAGAAAAGGAAAAGGAGGAGAAAAGTGCATATCAGTAAACAATGTAGATATAGAGTAATGAACATACTAAGTATCCACAGTCCCCCCTCAGTACAGCTGCAACATAATCATTTCAGTCAAGCCGAAGGCAGAGTTACAGGAGGGCAGGTATCACTGTGAAAGAGGCTCATCTAAAATAATTTTGAGAATCTATGTAAAATAAAAGATGACAGAGTGGGCATCTACGTTTTAAGAAAGGGTCTCAGACATTATAAAAGTGACTGATTAAGGTGTGAAGCATATATGTAATAAATTGAGAGATCTCCAAAAACAAGTCTCCAACCGTTTTGTTTTATTGGCAGAAATAGGCTTCCATACACAGATAATAATATAATTTGATTAAATACACAGATATCTTCTAAATTGGAGTATTTTTGATCCAATAAAAGATAGTTTTGTCCTCCTTAAATATGCATTCTGTTATTGTGGTCAATACCGTTTTTTAATTGTGTATAAATTATAGTTCGACAGGTGCATTCAGTCACAGTCTCTGATTGGTTCCGGCAGCCTCTCGTCACCTTCACCGACCAACCAATCCAGCCGCCGTCACATGACGTCAGCTGTGCGTGAAGACACAGTTAAACTCAATTCAAACTTCTCCTGAGATTTGTGTCCATGATAAACAGCCGAACTGCTGTCCGGAGCGCATGAGAGCAGCTTTAGCAGATGTTGAATTTCACATGAACCTGTCAGTTTACTTCTAAGCGAGCCCTGCCGATCCTCCAGGAGCTTTTTTCACCGACTCTTCTACTCGAAGGAGTCCACTGGGAGCTGCCAGTGGAGCGGTCGTGGACGCTCACGGACACCTGACAGCCACCATGTCTGGTTTAGCTCTTCAGGTAAGAGGGGAAGCTATCGTTTTATCAATTAGATTCAGTTCCATTTGTCAGCTGACATTAGATACCAACTTTACACCTGTAAATGTTACCTTTCGTCTAATTTAGCTGAGTTAAATGACGCTCTTCAGGTGTTACAGTGACAGAAAGGTGCACTGGATTTTCCTGTTCGTCTTGTTTGTCTCTCATAGTTCCTCTGCCTTTCAGCTGGTCAGACAAAAACCTTTAATAACTGTTGCTTTAAAGACTCAGTTTCATCAGCAGGGTAAGGTAAAGAGCTGGAAACACCCCGTGTCTGCTTCTATGGGTTTATTCAAATAAAGTCAGCTCATAATTTGTGTATAATTTGTTTGGGCAGCCCTGGTAGTCCTCCCTGTCCTGATAAAAGATGTGCTCAATAGAGTTTTGTTTCCTTCACTCCTGTTGAGATCTTATCAAAATATCAAACTTTTATGGAATCTGACATATCTGTCAACCACTAAAATAGTTATTTTCCACAGATTTTGTCAGATGAAATGAATATCTTCTCAAACTCATAGTGTTAAAATGCAAGTTTATTGTTTTATTAGGTGGTGCACTTGTTTTGATTGGCAGGAGGTGTGTCCTCTGCGTAAAGATACCTGTAATTCCCACACAAAAGACAGCCTCTTGGGCCTGTAATAGAGACACTTACTCAGAGCAGAGCAATAATAATGCAATGCTGTCTGAAGTCCTTAGTTTATTTGAGTATCATATGGCTTGAGCAGGGACTGTAAGCTTATATAAACCCATATGTCTTAAAGAATTAAGACATTGGACATGAAGTTCTTTGTAAAGGATTTTTTTGCAATTACACAACACCAACCCCACCACAATCTCTAGATGTTGATTGTACATAAACATATGGAAAAGAAATTGTCATTTTGAAGTTGTTGTCAGCAGCATATTTATAAAAAGTTATAAGAGGATCAACCAAACAGGTCAGAAGTTATGTCATGCTTAAAGAACAGCTTGAGGAACATCACTAACTAATGAGGTTTAATTTCCAACAGGTTAGTGACATGACTGGGTATTAAAATGACATTCAGAGAGGCTGAGTCTCTAATAAGGAAAGATGTGAAGAGGTTCACCACTCTGTGAGAGACTGTGTGAGCTAATAGTTCAACAGTTTTTTAATAATGTTTCTGAGTGTCAAATGTGAAAGAATGAGAGGATTTCATCAAATTCAGAACATAATATCATTAAAAGATTCAGAGAATCATAAACACCAGAGACTTCTCTGGACCTGAGCCCCTTTTAAGATGGACTGAGGGAAGAGGAAAACTGTCCTGTGGTCTGAAGAATCAAAGTCTAGAATTCTTTTTGGGAATCATGGATCCTATTTTTTTTTTCTGCGAAGAGGGACCACCCAGCTAGTTATTAGCTCTCAGTCTAAAGCCAGCATTCTTGATGATAGAGGGATCATAAGTGTCCATTCCATAGGTAGCCTACACATCTGTGAAGGCTCCATTAATGCTGAACGATATACAGGTTTAGGAGCAACATGTGCTGCCATCCAGACAAAGACTTTTTCAGGGAAGATCTTCATATTTCAGCATAATAATGAGAAACCACATTCTGCAGGGATTACAACAGCATGGCTCTGTAGTAGAAGAGTCCTGGTAAGAGTCCATGGTAAACATGATCCTGTAACAACATTTTAAAACATGTTGCTGGCTTCAAATGTAAGAGGAGCATGTATTTTTCATTTTCCATGACATGTTTCAGTTTCAACATCTGATATGTTGTCTTAAAGTCTGCTCTTGCCTGAACAGGCAGCCAATAAAAGGAAGTTAGCAATGGAGTAAAATGCTATTTACAGCATATGTTATGCTGTATAACATATTTATGTTATACAGTCAGAATACAAGCTTCCATATTCTGAATCAGCAGCAGACCCTGTAAACTCCTCTTTGGCAAACCAGGACCAGAGAGGTCCGTCAACTTGAGTCTGTATCAAGAGTGAGAGAGCAGCCATACCAGTTAAGAAACTGTCCATCCCTAGATCTGGTTTAATTTGTCTCTGAGGCATCTTCTTCCATCTTAGTAAAATGCAGTTCTTTTGTGGTTTGCGGTGCTCCCATAATTCAACAATAACATTCAGGGAGATGAAGTGTGTCACTTTAGGGCGGTGGTTTTTAACTGCTGAGCAAGATGAGATTAATTATATAATAGAGTCTGTCCTGACTGTAGTAGAAACAAATGCTTGATTGTGCAATCTGCAACAGCACAGGACATTGGATAATAATGTTGCCTATTATGCCAAGGCATGTGTGTGTGTGTGTGTGTGTGTGTGTGTGTGTGTGTGTGTGTGTGTGTGTGTGTGTGTGTGTGTGTGTGTGTGTGTGTGTGTGTGTGTGTGTGTGTGTGTGTGTGAGTGAGTGAATCATTCTTAAGTGATGACAAAATGACCTGAAACTTACAGATATCAGTGAACGATTTAATCTGAGTTCCTGCTGATCTTAAAAAAGTCTTAAACTAGATCTTTAAACTTGACAAAATTTAATGTATTATTCTAGTTTTGGAAGGTTGAGATATTCTATCAGATCCACACTATTTAGATAGCATTATAAAATATTCAATGATTCTTTTTTGTGGATTTACTTGTTCATGTGACAGTTCACAGCATTCTCGGCAGTTTAATTAATTTGCAGTAGAAGATATGACAAATGCTAATACAAGGAAATTGGGTTTCAAGCTAAAAAAGTACAGGGGATGGTTGGCGGGGGCAATTTGAACTTCTCAACTCGAGACTTCACATTAAATCAAAAACGCTGAAACCCTGACAACATAGAATAAAACTGTTCATCCATCAGGGGGAAGTACTGAGCCATTTATTGTAGCAAATCCAGCACTAGTTTTCCTGAAATACTGAACCTTTCCAGTGATTTCTATTTTATTATAAAAAGTTCTTTTTATTTCCAAGTTTGTTACTGAGTGAACCAATTTTCTGAGCTCTGTTTCTGTACTTGTTTGTTAATGTTTTATCTTCAAATATGTCATGATGTGTTGAGAGAACATCAATCTAACACCTCAGTTATCAGAGATTCACTCAGCTGTTGTTTCTCCTGCAGAGCGGGAACCTGCAGGATCTAGATGAGGGTGATATTCTCGATCCAGAGTTTCAGCAGCGTCTGGAGGACGCTCGCACTCTCCTCAGGCAGGAAATCCAGAGAGAGCTGAAGATCAAAGAGGCGGCTGAGAGGCTGCGCAGAGCCGTCACCAATCGAAAGAGTGCGGCCAATGTGGAGGGCCAGCTGAAGGCCTCGAGTCGTAAGCTGGAGAAACTGCACTGGGAGCTGCAGGAGCTCAACGCACGCTCTATGGCCACAGAGAAAGAGAGCACCACAGGTACATGAAACAGATCATTTGTTCACAGCTGTTTAAAAGAAAAGCCGACTGTTGGACTTTTTATGCGAAGATAGAAACAGAACGAGAACTCAGACAACAGAAAGACACCAAAAAGACAGAGATAGACTTTCTTTTCAAAGTCCAGGAGGAGATAGACAGATAAATAAATACACTTTTATTCATCTTTAGTAGCCGGTGAATTATGTTTCTTGTGAGGGAAATACATAAGGTTATTTTTTTTTAATTATCAGCTGATTCAATCGGGGATTTTTTTTAAAATGTAGACTTAAGTGTATCACAACATAACTCCGAATGGCCACACAAACATCAATTATAGAGACATGAACACACAGAAGTAGTTTTACAACAACAGCCAATAAACTGATTTAATGTTTCAAATCTGCAAAATATAGAACGCGTAACAAAACACACTTTTCACAAACGTGGACTTCGTGGACTTGTTTATTACAAATAAGACTCAAGGTGGTTTCAGTGAGGTGGAGCAACTGTTCAGACTGTCTTAAATAAAGCTGTTAGAGGGTTTCAAGGCACTAGATGGTGCTGCGTTTGTAGAGTTTAATGCTCCAAAGCTTTGAATCTTGTTTTCAGCACAAATAAACAACTTTATAGTATGTCTGCAGAGCCAGAGACTGCGGTTTCAGGACTGCGTTTTGCCCTTTTATAGTTTTAGTTAAGTTCGGTCAATGAAAAGATCATCACAATTTAGTCTGTCTTTAAACTTATTTAATGAGCCAAACAGATATGAGTATGAAGTTTGTATCGAGTTTCACTCTTTTACGTGTGTTGTGTTACTTCAGGACTGTAACTCCTGAGCTGTATTTCTAGTACTTGTGTGTATTTAAACAGTTAAGGTTAGTGTAAGAGTTCTGGTTATCTGCACTGAGTGGTGCCTTTGCAATAATACCAGTTTTAGAATTGGGGACCAGAAATGCAGTGCTGAATCTGCAGCCTCCAAGTCTGCACACATGTAGCAGAAAGCTTCCTAAGACATGATTTCATTTTATATATTTCTTTAGTGTAAATATGTGTAAATAAAACTGTATTGATCACCGCAGAAGAGGCAAAATCCTTCAAAAAGGAACCACAGCAGGTTGAGATAATTAACTCGAATCATTTTGTTGCAGGTGCCTCTGATGAAGTGGACATCCATTCAGCCGAGTCGTGTCAGTGGGAAGAGGTCACGTCACCTCTGGCTAATCGAGTCCGGACTCTGAAGAAACAGCTCACTATGGAGACTAAAGTCAAACAGGGGGCAGAGAACATGATCCAGACCTACAACAACGGCTCTGTCAAGGTTCAGTAAAGTCTTAGACACAGATGATCTCCTCTTTTTTGTTTTAAAGTATACTTCCCGATGCTTACATGCTCTCGAGGTCATATTAATACTGTTAATTTACTTCACATAGTTTGATGCAGCAGGTTTCAGCCTTTTACCTAAGCCTTGACTGAAAGTCCAGTCAAACAGGCTCACTTGTTGAACTATGATATTGTGGTTTAATGTTACTGTCAGCGTTTAAAACAATTAGCAAAATATTGTCAGATTAATTAGCCATGTTTTGAGTAAAAGGGGAACAAATAAAGCACAGTTTCTTTAATGGCCCTATAGTCATGATGGTGAAAGTAAGACCCCCATATAATGCAATTGTATACATGATCTAAGAATAGAGCTTGAACTTCCCGCCCTGAAGATGCAGGTTTATTAAAAAAATGAGGGATAAACACAATTTACTTGTTATTCGTTTTAGAACTGAACAGTGAGACATGGACTGACATTGTGTTTCAAAATTTCCTGTTTCATTTCCAGGACAGGAAGATGCTGTCCAGAGCACAGCAGATGTTGCAGGACAGTCGTACAAAGATCGAGCTGCTCCGCATGCAGATCATCAAAATCGGTCAGGCCAGAGATGGAGAACGAGAAAGCTCACAGGGTAAATATTGCCCATTATCAACTGCTTTCACCTGGCTTTATAATCTCCTGCATTGCTCTGTATAGTAACTCATTATTGACAAATCTAACCGTAAAAAGTCCTGCATATGGGCAAGAGCAGATGTATGCTCCACGTTGAGTGCAAACACAATGATGTAGAAAATGCAAACTCTAAAAGCCTCACAAAGTGATTTTCTGTTTCCACCCTCAGGCCAGCCTGACGAGATGATCAGCTCTCTGGAGCTGCGTGTGACTGAACTCATGCATCACATGAAGATTGAATCAGCTGTAGCAGAAGGAGCGAAAAATGTGGTGAAGCAGATGAGTGGGAGGAAAATCCAGGACCGCAGAATACTGGGAGAGGTGGGAATGAGCGGGATGGACCCTGGGTTACACCAAGTATTAGCCTGGGGCAGTTTGTTTCTTAACCACTGCCTGCCTGGCAGTGTATGACAAAAAACATAACGTTGTTATCACCCATCTGAAAAGCTTCATGCGGCTCACTGATCAGGGGCTAAGTAGTGCTAAGACATATATTTTTATAGGAGAACATGAAGATTTATAACACACAAATCACAAGTAATCACAGAGTCTCTGTCGGCCAGCCTCAGTGGCGATGGAGACTCCAACAGTCTGGAAATGTTTTGAAATGAAGAGGAGTTGTGTTCATATTCTCAGGAAAGATGTGTCTCAATGTGTCTTTCTTTGTGTCCTTCAGGCTCAGGCCCGTATGGAGGAGTCGTCTCAGAAGGTGGACTTGTTGCGTCTTTCTCTGGAGAGACGTTTAAGTGAGCTTCCTGCGGATCATCCCAAACATACCTCCATCAAAGAGGAGCTCGCATCGGGGTCATCTCCTTCGTTAGGAACACCAAAGAAACACTCCAAAGCTCCGTCCTCGTGCTCGTCTTCCTCCTTCTTCAAACCCGCCAGTATAACAGGTCCTTATTCTCACATCCTGTCGGTTTATTTATGGAAATAGTGTCAATTATTTTGCTTTTTGTCAACTTATTAATTTACACTTAACGCTCTTCCTCAGGTCGTTTGGAGGTATGTTTGAAAGGCTGTCAGGACCTGTTAGAGTCTGTACCAGGTCGTAGTCGTGTGACAGGTTCCTCTTCCCCGAGTTTCTCAGAAGGAAAGTCTCTGAAGGTGAAATCTGGCCTATCAGGACGCAGCATCAACGGGAGGACCAACAAGTCCGACGACCTTTCCGGTATGTTTAAAACTTGATCAAACGTGACAATTTCCCTTCACAAATCTGAAGTTCATGTGTGTTAAAACTGTTCTGTGATCTGCCATTCAGACACGTATTTGATGTGTAAAGCAGGGGTCAGGGACTCTGTCTATAAAACGAGACATTTTTGCCCACCCTTTTTTTGTCTTCAGCTACAGAACATAGCAGTGATATGATTACTTTAAGCTGGCATTTCCGTCACAAAAACTTCCTTTTGTTGCATTTTAGAATAAGAAATACAATAAAGAAGAGCTTTCAGATTTTTACTTGGTTATGCTATCTTTCAACAAAATGCAAAACTGAACGTTTAAAAGAAATGACTTTAGAGTGGCAATGACCAGCTGCAGTCATCTCTGAGAAAATATGAAATACAGCAGCAAAGTGTGGTCTTGGTTGACTGTAGATCAAACAAAGACAGAAAATATAGGCACACTTTAAGTCCTTCTCTCTGTAAATGAAGGGAGTAGTTCTCTTCTCTGTCATCAGCCAAATAATCGACCTCGAAGCCTGAGCATTAAACAAAAGACAGCAGGTGGGGATTATAAAGCGAGCCTTCTCACATTTAATATGACTATTTCTTCTATAATTCATCAATGATTATAATTTATCTATGCATACAGCACCTTTAAAAACATGGGTTTACATAATTCACAAGAACAAAGTCCTAAAACCCAAAGAAGTCAGAGAACAAAATAGACAGAATGATAAAGATGAGCTGAACACCAAAATCACTAAAAATGACTACAATAATTAAAGGCCTCATGAATAAAAACCACACACTTAAATGAAAGCCTAAAAAATTATCAACCCAACATCACAAGAGCCTCAGCAACAGAAGAACTCAACAGCATGAAGTGGAATTAAGAGGGTGAGAAGCTATATGATAATGTGAGGAGACCAGGAGGTAAAGTAGGTGAACTGACTGTAAAATAAAACTGTGACCCTCAAACAGCCTGCATGCTCTCAACTGTGAGGCAGAGCTGTTAAGAAAATCTGCTCAAACAAGTCATCCAAAAATGAACAGGACTCCACAAGTAAGTTTCATCAAATAAAGACTGAAGAAGAGCATTTAAAGTAGGCCTGCAGGTCTGTTTCTTTGACAAAAACTGAGCAGGTGTTTTCTAAATGTGTCTCTTTCTTTGTTCATCAGCTCCTTTATGTGTTTGTGATTTTGTGTCTCAGCTGAGGTGAGCGTGGTACTGAAGGTGGACAGCAGGGTTGTTGGTCGAACACACTGGAGGCCGCCTGGAAATGAAGCCTGGGACCAGAGCTTCAACATCGAGCTGGAACGGGTCAGTCCTTTAAATCTAAAATCTAATCATAACCAAGCCAGAACCAGCAGACTGCAGACAACGCTGATGTTGTGACAGTGAGGATTTTATGTGGAGAAAATCATCAAGACAGAAAAGTTTGTTACCGTGCACAAACAGCAGTCACAATTAAATGAAATCAAACCAACTCAACAAATGGACTAACGTGGGGAACAGACGTATGAAACGTAACATCCTGATCAAATGTAAATGAGTTTCTGACACTCGTCTGGATGTCTCTCACTAAGTGACGTCTGATTCAGTCCGGATGGTGAACATCTGTTAACAGCTTTAGATCAATGAAGCCGACCGCTCACATCTTGTCCTTCACTCAAGTCTGTCTTTGATACTCTGACCGCACTCATGTAATCCCACTGATAATCCTGGGACATTTGCTCTAATCTGGCTTTAAACACACAAAACCCATAGAAGCATCTCTGCTGAAGATTTCTGATGATGCTTTTCACATCCCGGCTCTGATTCTCTGTATTTATTTTGCATACACTCATCAGTTTACAGAGACTCAGAGAGGGGTTTACATCATCGCCTGTGTCTCAGATGGATTTTTTTCAACACAAAGAAAGAAACGTGACGTCGCTATGATGTCATTTAGGCTATTTCATGCAGAGCGCAGAGATAATGTAAAGCCTACATTAACTGGCTGCGTAGAGTTAATCTTCAGTCAGGCTTTCTGGACAGACCAGGGATGAAGCAGAACTATTATACCCTGAGAAACCCGGAGCAAGTTTCTACTGCAGCTCCTTGACTCTAAATCTGTCCATCTGCATCCGTCCTGTTGACAGTACGGACACTCTCTCATTTTAAGCTTCAGTCAGTCTGTGTCTCTTCCTGTTTCCTCTGTAAATGACTGTAACCCGCCTCCACCACAGCTCCTCTTTTAGTGCTGCGTCAGATTTTACCAGGGTCATACGCATCGTCACTGATATCTGCTCTGCTCTGTATGCCGGGGGTCTTTGCTCACGCTCTTCCTGCCCCGGGATTTCCATGTTTGCTCATGAGACAGACAGAGGTGTGTTCTTGCTGCCTCAGGCTTTGGCCTTCCTCATTCAGATGTGAAAGGACTCTCAGAACAGAGCCATACCACCAAATACAACTTACTGCATGAAATAATGAATTCTCTTGAACTGAACTGGTCATGACTGAAATATTGTTTTGTGTGAGAAGACACCATCGCAAACATCTTTAAAAGTGTTAACTTAAATTGAAAGACACAAAACCCTTTTTATTTTGTGCAAATCCGCATTTTATTCTGTCTTCTTTTTTGAAAATCGATTCTTGTTTGACTGAAAGTAGACACTCATTACAGCAGGTGTTGTTTACTTTCCAGAAAGTTTGAACAAAGATTTAATTGATTGAGCCCCTACTTTTTACTTCAATTTTCTTTAAGCACAAACTGAGAGTTATTGAGGCCAATTCCCACAATATGCACTTGTTTCTCATAATGTGTTTAAGTTCTGTGTCTTATTTATGAAAATATGTAACTGTATTTCGTCTTTGCTGCCTCTTGGCTAGGATGAGGTTCTTAATCTCAGTGGGATATTTTCTGTTTTAAACAAAGGTTAAATCAAAATCAATAAACTAGGCTGAGAGCTGTGCAAAAACAGATCAAATTGAAGGTTTTTACATCTCTGTTTACTCTCTTTTAATAAAAACAGCAGAAAAAACAGTTGAATCACATCACTGTACCGTGGCTATCACAAAAAAAAAAAAAAAAACAACCCTGCTGCGAAAATACTGTTTTGTCCAGAGGCTAAATGTTGATCCATTTTAGGACTCTAAATGTAAAAATAAAGTCTTAGAATCAATAAATGAAATTAGATTATTATGCATGTTTGAATATTTAACTCATGTGTTGATGTAGTCCAGGGAGCTGGAGATCGACGTATACTGGAGAGACTGGCGAGCGCTGAGTGGGGTGAAGATTCTGCGGCTCGAGGATTTCCTGGATAACCGTCGGCACGGGATGTGTCTGCAGCTGGAGCCTCAGGGCGTCCTTTTCATCGAGGTGCTCACCTTCATATTTGACATGAGGAAAGTTTATTTACTATGGAAATGCATTGATAAAAAAATTAGACGCCTCATCTCTTAATTACACAATCCTGATCTTGTAATTACGAAATGATGTGTCTAATTTTTTTTCAGTGAATTCAATGTGTTTCTGTAGTATACCACTTTATTATTGGAGAAGAAAAGATGTACTAAAAGATAATCCAGAGTTTACAAAATTAGTTTCCAAAATCCACTGCCAACACTCGACATCGTTACACCACATTAATGATAACTGGGTGTTGTGTTTGTTGCCAGGTGACCTTCATTAATCCTGTCATCGATCGACGCTCCAAACTCCAGAGACAGCGGAGGATTTTCCCCAAAGAAAAAGGTAAAAGCTTGTATTCATAATGCAGTTTTAGTTATTTCTCCAGACATCACTCGTATAAGTACATTAAGAAAGGTGAGTTAAGAGGGATCACATGGGCTCTCGATGAAAACGGCAGCTTCAAAAGTTGTTCTGCGTTGTTTCCCAGATCTCTTTTGGTTTCAGGGAATTTTTGTCACACTGGATCAACTCCCTGATAATGCAGAGATATAGTCCATGCAGGATAAACGACCTCTTAGCCATGCAATGACTAATATAGCAAATTTAGAATTAGCCAGCTGGAACCTTCAGGGACTTTAGGTGATAGAGTAGGTTAGATCAGTAAAAGAAAGTGTGGTGAGAAAGCTGAATAAGCAGAGTTAAGTTTGGTAAAGTGATTCAGGTAAAGTAATTACAATAAAGTCGAATAAATAGAGTTAGTTAACCGAAAAGAGTGCCAGTATTTTCCCACGTTCTGCATGTAGAATATAAACAGCTCCGATTTGATTTTAGCACATTTGTCTCCTCACAGGGAAGGACTTCCTGCGTGCTGCTCAGATGAACATGAACTTTGCCACATGGGGCCGTTTGGTGATGAGCATCCTCCCTCCCTGCAGCTCCCTGGAGCCCATGAGCCCTCCGCTAGCTGGCCCAAACTCCGGCTCTGCATCCTCCACCACATCTCCTCCGAGGTAATAAAGAGAGAGTGTGTGAGTGTGTATGGACACTGTGACCCAGAAACTCCTCTGTGTCACATCTAATGGAGGAGCCGCTGCAGAAAAGAGCTATTAATTCCCCTTCTTGGTTCCCCTCTGTGACCTGAGGCTGTTTCACTGCTTGCTCATGAAATCTGAGACCACAGAGATGTGATTACAGCATTATTACAGACCTGCCCACAGACGAGCAGTATGATTGGTCAGAAAAGGAAGCATTTCAAAAGGATATTTTGGTATTATGATAATTTATGTTTCGTTCAGCAAGACCCAAACCAAAAATAAATGTGTCTACTCCCAAAGCTGGGTTTAACATCTTCATCTGTCAAAAAAAAACACGCTGCCTGCTGCCCCAGATACTCACCAGAGCGCCAAATTTGTATTAAAATGCAGCTGAAAACTATTAGCATATTTCTTCCCTTTAAAGATTGAATGAAAGAAAATTTTTGCACAGTCACAACCTCGACTCTTAGTCACCAGAGTAAGATTAAGCAAATAAAAAGCATCTGCAGATGTTTCAGATCAATTTTGTGTCTTGCTGTAAGAGTCATATCTCTCTCATCACTTAAACAGACACCTTTAAAGGACTCTTGTTGGTCTCTCCATCCATGACTGTTAGACAGTTAAACTTGTTTGTCACTTGTTATCCTGCTCAAGGGAACTTAAAAGTTTGAGAAATACAAAATGGTACACAGCCAATGTCAGCATTTAAGCTTAAAGTTGTATTTTTAATAATATCTAAATTTTACGATGACCATATGTCAGGGAATTTTTGAAGTTAATCCATCGCACTATATCAAAATTTTCTCATGTGTAGTATAATTATGAGCTCAGTCTTACATCCACAACCTCAAAGTAACTTTGTTAGCAGTTACCATTCCTTTCTGTACGTTTTTAAAGAGAGAAGCCTAATGGTGTAATCTCTGAATGAGATTCAAACACACAGGCAAACGTTTCAGAAAACTATGTGAATATGTCACCAGGAAATGAGAGGGCTTTGGACATGCTCAGAAAAGAAAAGGCCAGATTTAAAATGACAGCAGTATTTTTTTAATGTTTTTTCTTCTTTCTGTTGCAGTGAGCCTGCTGTGGTAAACCTAAACTTTACTGATGAACATCCATCTCCATGGCGCACAAGAAAGAGCAAAAAGGACTCTCCTCAGGTGAGAGATCCTTTAACTGTGACATTAAAGTAACTCCAGGAGAGTTTATTCAACTTCTAAGAAAGAGCGATTGACTAACTTTATGATATTGAAATTCAGGTCATCACCTTTCAGTGGTTTTTATTCTGCCCCTGATGTTTCTGTGGAGTTTGTTGTCTCTCGTGTTTTTTAGTGATACTATAGATGTCTGATTTTTCACTTGTGTGTTTTAAATCCAGTCTCCTCCTGAGAGCAAAAGCCCAAAGCCAAAGAGACTACCTTCAATCCAGCCAACTCCAAGGTCAGATTTTCTGAGCTGAAATGTGCATGTTGATCTATCATGGTGGTTTGGAGCATAATGGTTCATCCTTTTCATTGAAATTCGATACGATGCCTGTAATAAATGCATGATCTGTAAACTGTTAAACTGGAGAGTGGACGGATCAAACTCCTGAAATTGACTAAGTGTCGAAGTATTTGGAGATAGCTGTGCTGCAAAAGCAGGGACTCTTTTTAAGAGATCACTAAAAAGAGAGTTTTTGTGATCTAATCTGAGCAGCTGGTTAAATGGATTTCTGTCCTTTTGTTCTGCCCTGTAGAAAAGATGCAGGACTTCAGATTGAGGATTTCAACTGTATCTCAGTGCTGGGGCGAGGTCACTTTGGAAAGGTACGCCTCCACTCTTACTTGTTTAATCTGTTTTCACCTTAAACGTCCTCTCTACACTCTGGAGTAAACGAAAATGTCTAATTAGTTCATGTGAAATGAAACAAACATCAAACATTTCTGCTGATCCAAGGTGCTGCTCGCAGAGTACAAGAAGTCCGGGAAACTTTACGCCATCAAAGCTCTGAAGAAAGGAGACATCGTGACACGAGATGAAGTTGACAGGTAACAAATCCTTGAACTTCACAGTGCTAATCTATGTTCCTGGAGGATTTTTTCCTATTTTTTTGTATTCTCAGAGTAAATTTCTGTGCTGTTGAGCTACTAGAGATGATCTGATGTAAAGGTATTGTGCTGCAAAACAAATATTAGTATGCACAGTAAACCATGTGTTCACAGGGTTCCCATGGATCCTGGATAACTCTTAAGGGTGTAAAACTTTCTCAAAATGTTTGAAAGTTTGATTTTTTCTTGCTAGAGGTCTTTAATCTATGGTGACTGAGACTCTTTTAAATGATTGATCAAAACTTCTCTGTGTTGTTCAATCTTTGATTGTTTTTTTGTGGATTTGTTTGTTTGTTCAGCTGAGAGTTGATAGCATTTACAGCAGCATTAATATCTCTGCATCTGCAAACTACAAAAAGAAGGAAGGAAGGAAATAAGTAAAATGCAGTTAAATGGAATTTAGCCTCAAGCTGAACACACAGGAGATGGTATGAGACAACGTGCAAGAAGTGCAAAAACCAGGGAAATGTTGTTGAACTCGCTTCACCTGCTTTGTTTATGCTGTCGAATGTTTCTCTCAATGTGACCATTTGCTGCTGAAAAGTAAAAAAAAAAAACAGGCAGTTAATGATCAAAAGTGTGTTTTTAGACATTAAAGACGTGGTCTTGTTTGTTTCTGTGGCATCAGGATTCAGTTCAGTCTGTTTGATATCTGCTTAAATCTCCTCACAGCAGATTTGGAAAGATCTCAAAAAGATTTGAATTCAGTTTTAAAAACAGCAGCCATGATGATGAATCACCATATTTGTCAGAATCACAGTGTTGTAAATAATAATGTGTGTTTTTATGTGTCCAGCCTGGTGTGCGAGAAGCAAATCTTTGAGGTGATAAACGCCGCCCGTCACCCATTCCTGGTCAACCTGTACGGCTGCTTCCACACGGCTGACCATGTCTGCTTCGTGATGGCGTACTCACCTGGAGGAGACCTCATGACGCACATTCACACGAGCATCTTCACCGAGAAACAGAGCCTGTGAGCACAAAACTCTGTGCACCGTTACACGCTGCGTGAATGCAGGGTTGAAATAATTGTCAACTCTCTCTTATCTGTCTTATTTTAAAGGTTTTATTCCTCCTGTGTGCTGCTCGGCCTTGAGTTTCTCCACCAGAACAAAATCGTTTACAGGTGAGTCCTCAGAACAATGACAAATGACGCTTCATTCAGCCTTGGAGAGTATGTTGTTACCTGGTGGTGTCTGTCTGTCTATCAGGGATCTGAAGTTGGATAATCTACTGATGGATGCAGACGGTTACGTCAGGATCGCAGACTTCGGATTGTGCAAAGAAGGTAAAAAATAGGAGAGCTCTGTTTTCAGTTTTTCAGGCTGAATGAAATTCCATTTGATCGAAACGTGAAACTCTGATGTGAATCAGACTTTCAGCCACAGTCATGAACAAACAGACTGACAAACATCAAGTGCTTCTTTCTGTGGCTGAAGTTACTCTGTGCAGATATTTGTTGGTTCGCAGCAGAGAAGTCTTAGTGAAGCTGTTCTGCCTGCAGGTATGGGTCACGGGGATCGGACCTCCACTTTCTGCGGTACACCGGAGTTTCTGGCCCCAGAGGTTCTGACAGATAATAACTACACCCGCTGTGTGGACTGGTGGGGGCTGGGAGTCCTGATCTATGAGATGCTGGTGGGAGAGGTGGGTTTAAACATGAGCTGTATTTATCTCAACTGGACAGGATTTTCTTAAACATGAATACGGAGCTGAGAGGACTGAAGATCAGAGGCAGGTGTGACTCAGAGTAGACCACCTTTTCAGGGTCAAATAAGAAGAAAAAGGGTGATAGCAGCACATTCTGTTTACAGGAAGGTTGATGGGAACAGCCTGTAATCATTACCGTCACAATCACTCATAATTTACCAGTTTGGTTGTATTTTTGGTTCTTTGAAACCCAGAGAACTGAAGTGTTGATCAGTGTGCTACACCTTTGTGCTGCTTCAAAAATAGTGCAAATACAAAGCGGCTTTCTGACAGCAAAGTGAAACACTGGGGGGGTTTACAGAGTGCCCACTTAACATGACCTTTAGTGTCAAATTCACTTTGAAAATCATGACGATAAAAGTTAGGGATCATCTAGATACTTGTAGAAGGAGTTTATCAGGCTGTGGTGATGTTCCAGCTTAATTTAAGAAGTCCTTTGAAAACTAACAATGTTGTCGGGACTTTTTCTGAACCACATCTTTTAAACATTTAATACTGTGAGGTTTTGGGTTAAGAGCAGACAGAGCAGAGACTCGAAGTAAAGCATCACATTTGGTTCTGTATTTCTCCCTCAGTCTCCGTTTCCAGGTGATGATGAGGAGGAAGTGTTTGACAGCATCGTCAACGATGATGTGCGCTACCCTCGCTTCCTCTCTCCGGAGTCTGTGTCCCTTATTCAGAAGGTCAGTGTCCCACAGAGTCTCTAATTTAAGAGCTTTTTGATTTACTTTGAGTGTGTTTCACGCTGATTCTCTGGTTCTGTGTTCAGCTGCTGCAGAAGAATCCTGAGCTGAGACTGGGAGCAGGAGAGGAAGACGCTGCTCAGATCAAAAGACACAAATTCTTTCAGGTCAGATTGTCGGCCGATTCTCACTGAAATCTCTTTAACATGTGACAAAATGTCAGCCCAACAGAAAGGTGAACTTCAGAATGATTAGCTCTGACACTTGAACCTTTTTACTACATCGATCACTTTTCTTCATTTCAAAACTCTGGTTTGTTTTGGTTGATGTTGATATCAGGATTATCAAAAACGACTATCCTTGACAATGATTTTCCTAACTGCTGCTTCTGTTTTTAACCTTTCACAGACTATGGACTGGAACGCCCTCCTGGCCAAGAAGGTGAAGCCTCCGTTCCTGCCTGTCATCAGAGCGCCGAAGGACGTCAGCAACTTTGACGACGAGTTCACATCCCTCAAACCCGTCCTCACCCTCCCCCGAAATCCCTGCATCCTCACCACAGAGCAACAAGAGATCTTTGCTGACTTTGACTTCTCCTACATGAGATGACCGAAGGAATTTACCCTTAACTGCTGCTGCCAAACCACCACCACCACCATCATCATCACTATCAACATCGACACTTTTATTTACCGTGTAGTGCCTCATATTCCTCTACTTTAAAGGAAACATCAGTCCTGCCTTTTCGCGTCCATACAGCTCAATATTTCCAGATGCCAGTCATCCATTTATCACAGAGTCCATGAAACTTTCTGCACTTTGAACTCAGGCCGAGCCAGATTTGATGACAAGCATTTAAGATTTTATCCTTTTTGCCTCTGCAAAATCTAAATGAACAAGAATTAAACTGGAAATCAGATATCATAACATCCGGGGCCTATTTTTTTCACATTTTTTTGGATCACGACGACTTACAGGTATGAAAAGTTGTATAGTAGGTTTCCTCATCCTGCAGCAGATAAACACACTGTTATATCTGCAACATAATCTCTGATTTATTGATGTTTAGTTACAATAAACTCTTATTTTTGTTCCTGACAGGCTCAGGTTGTTATTCTCAGGGTCACATAAAGGATCTCTGGGGAAAGAGAGCTTTTAATTGATGATGTTTTTTTAAGCACAGCTGTTAAGGCTACTACACATGTCAAAGTAACCATACTCCATTTAGAAAAACGGTGATTTTACAAATCACAGCTTGGAAAGTCTGGGAGCGGCTGATGGGTTTCTGTGTTGTTGAGTATTCCGTAATTATTTAGTTGTATCAGTTTTAGCTGATTGAAGCACCCAGAGTCACACAGTAACACGAACAAACTATCCTACTGAGGAGGCAGTAGATCAGTAACTCCCATGTACTTTGTGGTAAAATTAGGGATTTTGTCTATGGAGTTTGGTGGCTTTGGAAAAAGAGCTGTTACAACTTTTCCTTGTCATAAAATCCTCTTCTTCTTTGACAAAAAGCTCTCTCACTGTAACAGTCCTTTATGTAATGCTTTCAGACTTCAAGAATAACAACCTGAGTCTGTCAGGGACCAAAATAACAAGTTAAGTGGACACACCTTTATAGATCAAGGATTATGTTGCAGACCTCACAGCTAGTTTCAGAGCTGCAGGCAGATGCAAAAAAACCTTTGTTGTAAAACATCCTTTGAGATCAAAAAACTGTAAATGAACTGTGCAATAATGATTTTTGCTGATATACTTTTAACTGTTGTAACGTCAGCACTGCCCTCTCACTCCAAAATGTAAATATTTATGAATTACGTGAAGACAAAGCATTGATTGTACCTCCTGCTGTTCACTGTCACCTTTGTATGTCCATCCGTTGTCGACATTTTACATGTTGTTTAATGTAATTTACAAAAATGACTTTTTAAAATAACTTTCATTAAGATTTTGCCTTTTCAGAACAAACCAGCCCGTGTGTGTGAAGTACATGAAGGAGAAATAGGAATGAATAAATGTATATATATGCTGGACCCTCACTGACCCGGGAGTTCTTCATGAAACATTTATTTGAACTTGTTAGTGTGTACAGTCAGTTCAAAGAAGTAAAAAACATTGCATGACAGTATTGCATATAATTGAGAAGTACACAACATGAATGAAGGAAATCATAGAATCCAGAGCTCTCACAATCAGCTGTACAGGAAATTCAACATCACATTTATTGCTGGGTTACTATTGCACAAGAAGGAAAAAAGTTCTTTTTTTTTTACAATTGCTGAAACAAAATCCTGTCCTCCAACCAAATGGTAATGTCAGTGGTCACTGTCTGCGTCTGCAGAGGTTTGTGAATGTAGTTTGAAAACTTGGTTTAGAGGTTGAAAGGATTGTGTCTCAACAATTGCGGAAACACTTTAAATGGAACCAAACCATGTATTGCACTCAAATCTCACATCAACAGGTCTTTCAGTTGTTCTGTTTTAACAGTCATACAAAATAGCTCAAGACAACTCCTGGTTTGAAATAGTTTCAATTATTTACAGTCATATAAAATAGCTTTAAATGCTGTTTCATAAATTCAACACATCCTGTACATAATAGCTGGATTAAATACAACAAACGAAAAAAAAAAACAACACAAAATTTTAAAATATGCACGTTCAAATATTTGCAAAAACATGATTGTAGTTTCACGCCCACTTCAACAAACAACTTGTTCTTGAGGAGAAGCTGTTTAAGAAATCAAACTCTAAAAAAAGTCTTTAAATGCAGCAGATTATCACACAAACTTTACAATAAAAGTCATGAATCAGAAACAGATCTCAGTGAGTGAATGAGATCAAACCATAAAAATCATGTCAGACCTCCACATGCACCTGAAACATGATATTAGTGCTCAAAGTAAACTTCAGGGCTCATTAACAGTCTGATACTCTGCTTCATTGTGAGTCACATTGAGGAAAAGACCCCCTTTAAACACAGCCTTTAAGAGGATTTTTAACCAGGTTTACTTTCAGGGTTCAAATGATTACAATGTGCGAACAGTTTTCAGCAGAGCGATTCAGCCTGCAGCAGCAAAATGGGCTGTAAAGGCTGGTGAAGGATTCCTGCAGAAATGAAGCTTTTTGTTGAAGAGTATGTTGTCGGTATTAAAGCCTGCTTAGCTGCTGTAGGCTTTAGGAGCATATTAAAAACTCCAAATTCCTCCTAACAATTGGCTTAAAAAGGGCTCAAGTTAAAAATAGTAGATGTGCCTCTTTAAATACTAATCACTCAGGTTGGGTAAGACCAGGAATCATGATGGAGGAGTTTTTCATAATTACTACCCACATAAATGATCCAGTGTAGAGTGCAGGAATGAGGGTCAGTCTGAGTCGACAGTTTTTATGACTCGCTTCGGTTCGAGCCTTTAAGTGGGACAGTAAAGAGCCTGAAGACAGGACTGATAATATCTCAGGGATTTGTTATACTCCAGCAGTCAGACACAATCAGAGTCTGAATAAGGACAAAATTCAGCCAAACACAAATAACTACCCGATTTCTGACTGATAAATGTTCTCTCTAAAAACGTTTGCAGCTACAGCCTTCAGACATTTTGCCTGATCTTCTCAAGTCCTTCGACACCCACTGATATCCCAAAAAGTTAGGGTACTGTGAAAAATGTCGATAAAAACAAAATGTGATGATTTGCAAATCACCAAAAGCTTATCTTTTACTGACGATAGTGCAAAGATCAACCAGCAACATATTTCTAAAAAGTTGTTCAAAAGTTTTGTAATGGGTAAAAAAACAGCAAGAGGAACATCTACAGCTAACGAGGTTAATTTCCAACAGGTTAGTAGGATGACTGGGTATAAAAAGGACATTCAGAGAGGCTGAGTGTCACAGAAAGAAAGATGGGAAGGGGTTCACCACTCTGTGAGAGACTGTGTGAGCTACTAGTTCAACAGCTTCAGAATAATGTTCCTGAGTGTCAAATGTGAAAGAATGAGTGGATTTCATCATCTACTGAACAAAATATCATGAAAGATTCAGAGGATCTAGAGAAATCTCTCTACTGAAGGGACAAGGACCAAAACCAAGACTGGATGGTCCTGATCTTCATGCCCTCAGGCAGCCCTGCATTAAAAATAGACAGGACTCTGTTGTGGAAATCACTGCATGGGCTCTAAATCACTTTCAAAAACCAATGTCTATGGACACAGTTCATTACTGCATCCATAAATTAGGTTAAAACTGAACCATGCAAAGAGGAGACCAGAGAGAAACATGATCAGAAAAACAGGAGACTTCTCTGGACCTGAGCCTGTTTAAGATGGACTGAGGGGAAGAGGAAAACTGTCCTGTGGTCTGAAGAATCTTAATTAGACATTCTTTTTGGAAACAGTGGATGCTGTATCCTCAGCTCTACAGAGAAGAGGAACCATCCAACAAGTGAACAGCTCACGGTTCAAAGCCAGGGATTACAACAGCATGGCTCTGTACTAGAAGAGTCCTGCTGCTGAACTGGCCTGGCTGCAGTCCTGACTTGTTGCCCATCGAAAACATTTGGAGTATTATGTCATGAAAAATAATTCAAATGAGACCCTGTACTGTTGAGCTGCTCCAGTCCTCTATTAGACAAGAATCGGACAGCATTTCACTTTAAAACTCCAGAACTGGTCTCCTGGGTTCACTTATGTGTTTGTAGTGTTGGTAAAAGAAGAGCTGATGACACACAATGAGAGACAGTTATTTTTTTAGAAACATGCTGCTGGTAACAAACTTAAAATGAGCTTATATTTTAACATTTGACAATTGTGATATTTGTAAACAGTTACTTCAGAACAGAGGCGATAGTGCTGGTATCTTGTTTTCATAGAGGTGACCATAGGATTGGAGCACAGATTTTAGGCTTCCATCGGCCACAAGAGAAGAGGTGGAAGGAAAAAAAATTGACGGCGATAACAAAACAGACTAGGCAATTGGTTCTTTCACATCACATCTACTAATTACAATAGAATCAACAGAGTATTAGCTGTTCCAATCAGATATATCACCAAAAAGATCATGTATTGCACTGTTTATGACTCTGCTGGTGTATTTTTTTGTCTGCGCTGGAAATTTGTGCTTTAATTACCAGTCTTGGTTTAAATATAGATATTAAAAAGCACACTTGTTTAAAACAGGTGTTGCAGGTGCATTTAGTTCATGGACTGCCACAATCAAAAAACAAACAAACAAAATAAGCCTTTTCATCCACCATTTTAAAGCTCACTGCAAGATGACGTTTACAACAGTCAGCTCAGAGAGATTTTTGAGGTTTCCCTAAAGGCATCTGTGATGACACTCTTAATTTGGAGGGAATAACTTGTTCTTTTAGGAAAGGAAGATAAACCAACCAATTAAATAAAAACTGAAAGGAGAGAATAAAATTAAAACATCGTCCAGGAAAGCTCTCTGCTAGTGGGGGTCTTGCAGCACAGACACTTCTCTTGTGAAGAGAGTATCAAGCTTTGCAACTGGTGTGCAAATCTCATGATGCAGACAGTCTGACACTGAGTGCAAACACTGACAGTGCAGAGACATTGGGAAGTCAGTCTTCAACAGCACTGTATCACATCGCTGAGGAGAAACTGGAAGCAGATTGAACAGCCTCTCAGCAATCAACAGGCAGGATGAGACCAAGTGAGGCCAGGTGGGCGTGGATTTAAGTTTTCTTAACACTGCAAGGTCATGCAAGGGAGAAACTCTCTGTGGACAGCCTTCACAACACAACATAGAACTTTACGGTGAACTCAACCAATCCGAATTAAACTTGTTCCTCTGAATGAAGCCTCATTTTCTGACTTGGACCTGACTTCTTTAATCTAACAACTGCCTTATCAGCATGATTTAAAAACACAACGCCGTTTTACAAGAGTCAAAATGATGCGAATACGGGTTCAACAACTGTACAAAAACTGTACAAAAAGCATGATATACATAGTTTGATTCTGGTTATTACATCTCTCATTTGATCCAGGTTGCAGTGATTGGCTGCAAGAAAAAGCGTATAAATAACATTTGTATATAAATCACAGGTCAGTAAAGGAGGTTATAATTCAAACAGCTAGGATCTGAATCAGGGTTTGGGTTATTTTGGTGATCTTAAAAAACTCTAGTTGCAAAACCAAGGAAAAGTTGCAGAGTTACTCACCGTACATGTCTCTAAAAAGGTAAACAGCACACACAAAAAAGTTTATCTCCAAATGTTTAAGTGATTCTCCTCCGATCCGGAAAAGTTTTTTGTGATTGTTCCAGTTCTTGCTCTCACACCTGGTCACTTCCCTCCCTGAAGTACACCTGCTCCCACACCACTGTTCCCCACACGCAGAAGAAGCCCCACAGGTTGTGGAAGGTGCCCCGGTCGAAGGGGTTCTCATCAGCGCCGCAGTGTTTGAGGTAGGAGATGCGGTGGCGGGACATGAACTCCCAGGTGGTGGTGTTAAGGGAAACCAGGTAGAGGTGAGAGCCAAGTAGCAGCAGCACGATGAGCGAAAGCAGAGCCACGAGAACTGCCACCGTCAGCAGCACGCCGTTAGTTCGCAACCAGAGCTGCCAAGTGGGCGCGAAGCTGAACCCCGTCCTGAGGAGACAAGAGGAAATGACTTGAATAATTAAATTGCATCTATTTGTCTGTTTAAGTGAGTTTGAGTTTCACTGTAAGTACAAAGTTACAGAGGCTTTAGGTCTTTAGTTTGATGAAATAATATGATGCAGATTAGTCAAATGTCAAGTTTTGTCAGGTCTGTCCTTAAAACGAGAAGAAAACAACTCTGAAAATGTTTGTTTGTTAAATGGAGGTCAGATCCATCATTCCTGAGGCGTTCAGTGAAGTCAGGAAATCTAAACACTGATTTTCTTTGTTGACTCACCATCAAGCAGGTTAGTGTCTCAGTGTAAACGTTCGATTTAGAACTTCTAGAAGTTTGTGTATATTGTGTTCATAATTTGGTTTATATAGCACCATATATTTTTTTTTCTATTTTAGGTTCTTTGACATGCTGCTTTAAATAAAAGCTTTTTGCTAATTTATACACGTATGTTTCTATCTTTACTTTAATAAAACCCTTTTTAAAAATGTCTACATTATTCAGTGTTTATTACTTTAAAAATAAAACACCAACACAAATTCCTTGTACATGTAAACCCCCTTGGCATATAAACCTGATTCTGATTCTGGTGGTAGACTGTGTTTCTCCTGCTTTTGCTCTCCATGAGGGCTGTTTTTTCCCGCCAACGCCCAATCCTCTCTGCCTCCATGCATCTCTTCCATACGCCTCTATGACATTTTCCTGATGCAGTGAAATAAAACACACGTAAATAAACAGAAACAGTGACAGCGTTGTACCCACCAGGCGATGTGCAGCCCCCACAGCAGCACCAGCAGCTGAACAGCCAGGTAGAGGACAAACCAGCGATGGTTTTTCTCACCCACACAGTTCTCGATCCACGGGCAGTGATGGTCATATCGCCGCACACAGTGCTGACATGTCTGGCAGTGCTTGGATCTCATTGGCTGCTGCTTAGGATGACAGAAAATGAAAACAAAAAGCTTTTTAAAACCAAAAATACTCCATTTACTCTGCTTGTATGCTATGCTGAGTGGATTTCACACAAGGCAGCTAAAAAAGGTATGACTATGAAATGACAGCAATTGTGTAAAAACACTCAAATACCACAGTTGTTACACACATCTTCATGTTTCACACACTAAAAGTGTTTAAAGCAGTATTTTTTTTTTTGCTCAGGTCAGTATCTGTGCTGGATTTAAGCTCCAGTTTTCCTGTTTAACGCTCTGTGAAGCTGAATTTGATCAGTGGTGTGAAAAAATAGCTGCTGTTTCTCATCAGCCTGGAAAAACGAATCGCACTGGGACTGCAGACCTTCAATGAGCTACAGTTCACATGCTAGGAAAAAAAAGCCATTAACCATCTGTTAGAGGAGAAACACAGCAACATATAACGCTAAAGCACAGGAGAATAACTCTTCAGTACACGCTGTATGTCAGGATCCTTTTTCAGCTCAGATGCTACAGACCGAGGGGAAATAACTGAACACACTCCCCTGTATAGAGCTGTAAATAGATACTGACCGCTCCTGTATCACATGCTGTTTGAGCCTATAGCGGGTCAAACTCAAGTGTAACACTGAGCTGTAAAACTCAACAACACACCTGTTATTCTATACACCTGAGAGATCCTACAAGAAATTCAAGAGTCACATTTCTGCCTGAGAGCGACGACAGACCGAAACAAAGATGACAGCCTCTGTCTAATATAGTCCGCTAACAAAAGACCGAACACTGTTTGGCTACAATTAATCCATAAATCCTCACAGATTAACTTTGTTGTTGAGGGTTTGAGTCCGAACAGTCTCTATAAATACTCTGATTTTCTCTGAGGGATATAAAAGCTACAATGTCACAGAATCGTACAAAGTTCATAACCAGAAAACAGACAGTCTCACAAATTGAGTGGATTTTATGGTAAGTTGATATGTAATACTGCACTGTTTTCAGAGCTGTTATTGTAAACACAACAGTAGTATACATGACAGTGTGTTGGACTGCTCCTGTCCTCTGTCCACTATAATTACTTTCTCGGCTATCTTTTGCATTGACTACTTCTTACAATGTGTCATATCATTACTGAGGCACACTGAACAAAGCGTGAAAGTATCAGGTATAAAGACAAATGATGACTCAGATAAGTTGGAACCAGTTGGTACCATTTTCCTACTTTCCTACTGTAACATAGACAAATTCTGGACCTGTATTACCTGGACTTTTCCCTCAACCCCCTCTTGAAAATTGTTGTGACTGAGAAAATTGCCTGCCAAAAGGTATGAGTGGGAGGCAGGTTCCTGAAAATATCGGGGCCTGAAAACTCAAGATATCAAGAAAATGTCTGGAGTGCATGAGTGAAAGGAGCAAAAAAAAGAGTTTTTTCAGCCAAACAAACCCCTCTTTCTACACAACAGATAGTCACTGACCCTTGAAATAAGTATGTACTACTATACACAGAGATGTGTAAGCGTGCTGGTTTGTTGAAGAGCTCACCTGCAGCAGACAGTGGCCACAGCGTCTCTGTCTCAGAGATTTAGTGGTGGGTGGGATCATGTCCTGCTGCTCCTCTGTCACCCCCAGTGTGAACTAAAGCAAAATACAAGGTAGACTTCATTTTTACATACATAGACACTCATCAAAATCCTCTGTACTACTGCATGTTTAAACCCTGTGTACAGTGAAAGCGAAGCTATGAATGACAGCAAGTAAATTAGCCTTTAAAAAACGCAACCAAACTTCAGCATGTTGTCTCACACGCAACATTTATTTCTTGACAATGTTTCTAAAAAATAAAAGGTCACTAATAATTTAAGCTGCGATAGACAGTGTGCAGGAGTTTGTTTCACACCCTTTTAAATGACTCATTCTTTTCCTACGCACTTGTCTTTTAAAAAAGAAGTGTGAAGTATCTGTCTACAAATTCATCAAACATTACTGAAATTACATAGACACAAACTCTGAATCCCACACATTCTTCTCTGTTGTTTAGAAATGTAAAGACTATGGCACAAAGCTGCAACAACTACACAGCAACACATCTGCAATGCCACAGCAAAGCAGTGACACAAAGGTGACACCAGGAAGCATTTTTGTATGTTTCTAAAGGATGATTAAAAGGAAATGCCAGGGACAAAAAAGCCAAACATCATATTTTTGTTTGGGTCAGGAAAATGGTTGCAACGAATGACAATATTTCTAGACTCCTTTATATTCAGCATCCCAAAACACAATAATCCCAGGTGTCATTTACTCTGCTCTCCTAGTGAGCCTGTATAAGTGCACTCCTGTAGCTTTTTCTAAACTCTTGAATAACTCAGACCAAGTGTTTTTGAGTGATTTAAGATCAGTCCTCACCTGTAAATCGCTGTCATCAGAGAGGATAAATCCTGGATCCATCAGGGAGACAGCAAAATAGAGCAACACCGACACCAGCACCAGCAGGACAAAGAGAACGGGCTGGACCAGCTGCCCTGTCTCTTCCTGCTTCCTCAGCTCTACAAGCAAAACATAATAAAGGAAATGTTTCACGCTAGTAACAATAAAAGATTCTCAGGATCAGTCAGGACATTAATACACCAGGTCACTTTTGCTAAACCACAGATCAAAATATGATATAGAAATGTTGACGACTTGTCTTGGCATTAGCCCAGTTATGGTGGAGCGAACAGAAATGGTGCATCCCAAAATTCAAAAGCAAGTACCCCCATTGTCTATGAACAGTTAATCATGATGGGTTCAAACTAAAAACCTGCAAAAAGAAATTAATATAAGAGTGAAATTTGACAGTCTTTTTGGAAATCATGGTCACATCATTTTTCTTGATGATTGCTTTAATTATTCATGACTGTATGGCCTGTTCGTCTTATTTTGCCGCTTTAATGAGGCACTATGTAACTTGTCTGATGAACTAAAATTTAACAGTCTTTTTGGAAATCATGGATGATGCCTCCTCTGCTTTAAAAACAAGAGGGACCACCCAGTGCAATGTTCAAATCCAGGATCCTTGGTGATTCCTGATCTCTGGACCTTAGCCCTTTTAGGATGGACTGAAGGGAAGTGGAAATGTCCCGTTGAATGGATACTCAAATTTGACATTCTTTTTGGAAATATTGGAGGCTATTCTATTGTTATTGATGTAATTATACATTTTTACCTGATACAGGCACTTGATATAGGTATCTTTTATTTAATTATAATAAAGTTTACACATCAATCAAAATTCAACATACTTTTTGGAAATCATGAAACAACGTACACTACATCCTCCACTCAGTAGAGCGACCATAAAGGTATGTGCCATGGACTTAGAGTCCATGGCACAGGAAGCTCACACATCTGTAAAGGTTCTGTTAATGCTGCTGTAATTATATATGTTACACCTGTATACAGCATTATAAAGTGATAGCTTCAATTGTTATAGCCTTACCTGTATCATGTAGGAAGAGTATGAGCGTAACGACCCATGTTAGAATCACATGAGCTGTTCTCACCAGAAACCCTGAGCCGAACACATTCTTGAACATGGTCCTAGCATGTTAGAGCATCCACCTCAGTCTTCAGACTCCGGACCCGACTCTTCTTCGCCCTCTCAGGACAGTCTCTTTGAGGAGTTAGCAGCTGGTTAAATGATTGAAAAATGACACCTGCATCCAGCGGTGACACATAAACAAGCTAACGTCTGTGTCGTCTGAAAACGAACGGATAGACACAGCGGACGTTAGAGCTAACGTTAGCCTGCGGGTACTCTTATTTCTTCTAATGACGGAGCCAAACATTGAATTAAATATTAGTCGAAACACTTTATATTTAAAGGTAAACGTACTGTAAAGTATTTAATTAACTATGTGAGAGAAGAGCCACGACAAATACGCAGCACAAATCGTCCCACTCAGTGCATCTGTGTTTTGTTGTCATCCCTTAAACAGGCTGAGCCCTGATTGGCCAGAGTCAACCATGTGACCGCGGAGGCAGGCTGACTACAGAGCTGTGGGATATCTGTCATAGATATACATAAAGGCTATATCATGTTCCTGATGAAGCCGAGGGAAAAGATGTCTATAACATGGCGAAAAATCAGTTTTTACAACTTATTTCAGTCAATTGGAAACAGAAAAGCTGGTCATTCATTTTTACAGGATCCCCACAAAAATTCTCAAAATGATAAAATGCAAAATTAAACATAAAAAAGCACAGAATATAAAATATTTGGGAGGTATTTTTGCATTTTTAATGTTTTTTTTTTCCGTTTCGCAAAATTCTTTTGCATTTTAAGAATTATTTCAAATAATTTTGTAGCTACATAAATGCAAGTTTTTCTTTTGCATTTTCTTCTAGTTTTTAAAAAAATATTTATTTTGTCTCAATAGATTACGTTTCATTAAATATGTTTTACGTTTCATGAATAATATCTGTGTTCAATGAAATCCTTGGGGTATTTAGTTAAATATTGATATGTTTAATGAGATTCACGGGTTTTGTGAAATGTTTGTACAGTTGACCTTCAGGACCACACATTTTAATAGATTTAAAGATCATATTTGAGCTGGTTTGCCACCTAGACACCACAGCTGTTTCAGGCAATGAAAATAAAAATACAGAAACTGTCACACACTTGCTGATGGTCATTTCTTTTTGTGGAGAGGCTTCATTATTAATTTTGGTAAGTTACAGACTGTCATGTGGCTGTTACGTCCAAATCTGTACAACCTTGGAGTTACACTGTTTTCTTTCGTGTTCATTTCATCTTGTCTTTTTGTTCAATTCTGAGCTTATTAGCTCTACTTCAAATAACAGGAGAGGACACAAAATGAGGTATCTGATGATGTATTTAATGTCATGTGTAAAACAAAGCTTGAAAAAATCCCCCAGCCTCAGCAATTGTCCTTCAATTTTGAAGGTATTTTGTCACATTATTTGTAGCTCTCGGTATAAAAGACGCAGACATTACAACAAATATTCCATATAAAGGTAAACAAATCTGGTAAACAGGCATTCAATCTTGGGCTAAAGGTGTTAAAATGCATCTGTCCAGGGATGTTTCCATTCACTCTGCACAGGAATCTCTGCTGGTACTGACAGAAACATCACTGGGCCTGCAGCTCTTTGGCTTTTTTCTCATCCAGAATAAAGGGAGTCTGCAGAATTTGTCCTTTCAGCAGCTTATCCAGACCCTGCAGAGTGAGAGAAAGTCAGAGAAGGGTCAGATCAAACCAACTCAACAGTTTAATCTGACTTCTAGTTGTATAGCTGCGGTAGAATTAATATAGAAGTTTATGAATCAACTCAGCAACTTTCTACTGCATCCTTCTCTTTCCCTCCCTGCAGCAGCAGAGGTTTAGTTTTCAGAAAGAATTTTTTAGTATCTCTCGCATCTCATTTTATCAGTCCTACTAAAGCAGACATTCTATATTGTACCTTTCAATGAACAAAGGTGTAATTGTAAACACCCTCTTTTCTGTGGCCGTGCACCAAGTCTGAAGCAGAGAGCGTGAGTTAACAGTGAAAGTTCAGAACCAGCTTCATGATGCCCATCAGCTTACTCACAATGAGCTGGAATTGTAAAACACCTCCCCAGTCAGACCTGTCTATGTAAAGTGAATTTTTTAGTTTGACAGGACCTGGGCTCTGAAACACAGTAGGTGGAGCCATATTGGATCTCGAAAGTTTGTTTCTTTTAAAATTTCATGAAACTTCAACTTACATGATCTGATCTGTTCTAGATTTTACAGGTTTTCTGACAGTCCCAGTCTGAACTCATCTACATACTGAGTACATTTCTGCAACACTGCCACCTAGTGCTATTAAGTACTATTGCAATAATAATAGTTGAAGTCACAGCCACACCAGTTACAGCAGTACTCCACTGTGCTCAAAATCATATACTTTATTGTTGGCTGGGTGGTTTGGGCGCATGTGTAGTTTCTCTGGCCCCTCTAGCTGCACAGTAATGGCTGCTATATATCCTACAGCAACAACAGACACCAATTGGCACATACGAGCTTGTTCATTTGGCTCTAGGGATCTGCTGGCCCAATCACATCCTCACCTCTCCAAAGTAAGAGACCAGCGGGGAAATCTCACATCGAGCTGGAGGGACATCGCCAACAGATACTCTGTAAAAACAAAAACACAAAAAAGAAATCCAATATCTTTATACAACATTGAGTCTCTCAAGTCCAGGTACACATTTCTTTGTTCCCTTATTGTTTGTTCATTAAATCCTCAAACACAGGGCTCCATATAATGATGTCCTTTACGAGTTAGTAATGGCTGACTTTCAATTATTGTCTGGGGAAGTTTCATATTATTGGCGTCCTACTCACCAGTAAGTCCACAATGATCGTACACCACCAGCACAGTATGTGTGATTAAAATGATGTCAGATTTATAGTGAACTACATTACAGGCCATCTCTGTGCAGTTTGCTCCAGTTTTTCGTTTGACTGGGACTGAGACTAAAGCCGATAGCATCTGTACTTCGCAGCTCAGAGCCGCTCCTTGAGTTTTAATTCTGACAGCGCTCATTTTGATGATGAGCTGGGTAGAGAGGGAAAGTCTACCATTTCATCATGGAGTCGATTCATGACAGTTAAGACAAATTTACAGTAGCAGTTTGTTTGGAAATAGATATATGAATAAATTCATCATTTGTAAAGGTACAGCCCGTATCTGGGGGGTTAACCTCAGAGTGATTTACCTCCTGATTATCATAAAAATAATAATACAATAAAATACAAGAACTGTTTTTTTACCCCTAAATGGAAATTTATTTGTCTGGAATCTCAGGAAAAATCTCTCTGGAAGGACAGTTAACAAACTGTAAATCTAGTCAGGTGAGAGGCGAGGGTGTCACAGTTGAAGTCTCCTGGTATTATTACAAGTGCCTCAGGGTGTTGAGCTGATATGTTGATGTAATATACACACACTTTTATGCACAGAAATGTTGTTTCTAGGTCATCCAGAGGAGGAATTGCTGCTGTGACAGAAGAGCTTGAGCGTGACGATACTTAAAAATGCTCAAGCACAGTTGGTAAAAGTTTAACTCTTACCTGCACATTTTCTTTAGTACTAGTGTCAGAGAATAAGGTGCTTTTTGCAATGCCATTTATGCATGTTTTGCTCTGAATGAGTGCATAATGTTTAAACTTCTGACATTATAAGCTGCAACCTATGATGTGTAAATATGGAGGCATTTTGCTCTGACCTTGTTGAAGGAGGAACGGTATTCCCCTGTTCGTCAATCAGCGTGGCTCCTGCAGCCACAGCCCAGCGACAGTGCTGATTCAGCAGAGAGTTTCTGGCCGTGGTCGGGCTGTCTGTGGGCGCTCCGTCTGCGTTTTTCAACGGGGAGAACTCGTCTTCTCTCACCACCTCAAAGGCAACAAAGTTCCTTCCAAAGATATAGAGGTAATGGTTTTAATCAGCTTTAACTTCGTATACAACAACAGAGGCGAAAGACTCGATACCTGGAGAAGGGGAAGACATCAAAGACAAATTTCTCCATCTTTATCCCGTTGGGTTTGGTGGGTTTGACTTGATTCCCACATGAGTCCACAAAGGGAACTTTCTTCAATGCAACGTGTTGTTTAAGCTGCTCTTTGAACTTCCTGTGAGATGAAAAGAGTTGTAAAAAATCAAACAAGTTTTAGACCACAAGAAGTGGTAACACCTCTCAGGATTGATCCTAAATTCAAGGTTTTGAATGTGCTGGTATCAGTCTGTTTACTTCCATTTTAATATTCATTGTGTCAGGTTGATAATATCAGTCCAGTTTCACCGTCACACATGTGGAAATGAAGGTTCTTACTCTGCGACATCTTGCAGAAATGCTCTGGTAAAAAAATGGTTGCAGATGTTTCCGGCGCTGTACACTAACTCTCCTCCAGGTCCTCTGAGCTCAGCGGTCTCTGGTTTGATCTCGCTGTACTCCACCACCTGTGTGACACCTTTTACCTTGCAGACCACACCCACTGGCTCTGCGGGACATGCCTTTTCCACCACCTGATGGACACATGATACGATTAAACATTTGTTTACACTTATTTAATGTCACCATATTTCTAAATACTCGTTGAAACACAAAAGAATTTAAGAATTGAACCTGTTGTAACAGCTAAGAAGCCAGAAAGAAAACAGAGAACAATTTGTACCATATTTTTAATTTTACTAAATCTATACCCAATTTTTCATCTTGCTCTTACTCTTGTTCTAACCATGTATTCAAAGTGTCTTTTTATTATCATTTTGGAGTTCAATTCATCATCCTCAACTTATTGAAATTTCTCCCAGGAGTTAAGATTGTCAGCATTATTTTAGGTCTTTGATCAACCTTTTCTACACTTCATCTTTTCCTTTTGTCTGATTTTTGAAAATGCTAGGAAATCTATCTCATAATGTGGGAGATATTTGTTGTTTTTAAAAGATGAATGCTTATTTTCACATGCATTTTCAAGATGCCAAATGTTCCTGTTTCTCAACTCAAAACAAAACAACTCAGTATATCGAGAAATTGTTTGCATTGTGGGCTGGAGAGAAATGCTATTTTCGGTTCTTGTGCATGCATTTCTTTTTTCTTTTCAGTAGTGTTGATGCTGCTGGAATTTTTACTTCCTCAAGGGAACCTTCCCAAAAGGATGTGCAGCACATTGAAAAAATGAATAAAAAAGCCTGACTTGATTTATATGGCTGCAAAGTTGCTGTTTTATCACCAGAATCAGCAATGTGTCTGTGAAGTAACAGAGCAGTGTACTCTGTGTCTCTGTGTTGGATTACATGTTGCCCTGCGCACATTTTTCCCCCCTGTGAGATGAAACTCGACCTTTGCTCCACAGTCGGCTCCTCTGCTCACACAGAACCCGATGAACACTGGGTCGGCCATCTTAACTAGGATATTATCCACACAGTAGACATGCAGGTACTCCACCCCCCTTTTCTCCATGTCCTCCAACACCCCGTTGTCCACCAGCGCCTGATACAGACCGCCGTTACCATCTTTAAACACACAAAAAGAAAAGGACATTTTATAACATCGTCTCACACCGTCCTGATGACTCTTCAGAGGTCGCGGGTGAAACCACACCTACCTGGAGCCATGGCGATCTTCCCCTTCGCCTGCAGGATGATTTTCCCATCGAAGCTCACAGCTGGGATCATCCTCTGCTCGAACATGACCACATCTGACGGCTTCAGACCAAAGTAATGGTTCTCCTTGAAGAACGTCTCAGTGGGAGCCAGAGTGAACTCACTAGTCATGATGTACCTGCAGAGACACAACACAAACAAGGAGGCCTTCTTAAAGAAGTGTCCATGGAGGCAACAACTGATGCAACCATACAGGTTTCATTTACCTGAGCAGTGACCTAATGTGTGTCTCTTACAGTCTGAGGTTTTATCTGCAAAAACTCAGACTTTCATAGACTATCATTACAGTCCAGCATATTTCCTGTTTAATCACAAAAACTAAAAAAAATCAATGCAGCAGTGAGAATTTCAAATGACATAAAATCATTCAGTGTTTGTCCACTGTTTCAGTGGACATAAATAACACTTGAAGTGTCTGTTTCTGTCTCTGGGTTCAAAGTTCAGCTGTTACTCCTTGTTATTATTGACACTTATTGGTTATCCTTGTTTGAAGCATCATTTTTTTTTATCAAGCTGACCTCTAAACTCCTATTTAATGACAAAAACCCAGCATTCAATAAAAGCTGATCCAGCTTTGTGTCTGCTGGAAGTGTAAATTTGTTATAACCCTACACGTGTACTATATGACCAGATGGTGACCAAACAGGTTCAATTTCAGCCTGTTGGGACATAACCATGAGGAATCAGCCCTGTCTGAAAGTTCTTCAAGGAAAATTTGACCTATGACATGTGTACGGCTTTGATACAATTAACAGATGATTAGTTAGAGAAAAATGACAGTAAGTTATTAGTAGGTACTGCACTGCAAAATTTCAGTGCAGCTTTTGATCTCATAGATCATGATCTCCTACTCATAAAACTGCGTATGGTTTCAAATCTGCAGTAATCAATTGGATGATAAGTTACTCATCCAAACAACGACAGAGTGTCATGGTTAATGGTACTTTCTGCAGTTTGGAATCCCTCATGACAGCCATCTTGGACCTCTCTGTATGCTATACTAAAAATGATCCAAAAACAGGCTGCTGTTGTCCTTTTGGTCTGAGTGATGCCCTATAAATGGAGCTTATGATCCTCAGGGTTGAATCCAGCCTGCAGCACCTTTCTTACATGGAACTTTCAAGTGTATCCACTGTCATGTCCTTTCAAAATAAAGGCAGAAAAGCCTCGGTAGTCTCATGATTGATGTGATGAGGTAGACTCTGTCATCTGGTCTTACCATGGGACGGTACCCCTGGAGCCGTGCCTTCTCTCTGCCAGCTGCTGGACTTTGTGGATCCTCTCGGCTTGGATCTCATACAGTGTCTTCCTGCTTGGCAGCCCCACGTCGTACATCCCTTTGGGGTACTGAACACCCAAACGGGTTCCCTGACCGCCGGCCAGGAGCAGGACGCCGACTCGGTTCTGTGAGATCTGCAGGAGACCTGTGGGGAATAACAATGAGGGTATATTAGTGGCAGGATGCAAACGTATTTGTGCAAACATATTGACACGCTAAGGCCAGGAGTATCCAGGCTCTAACAAACCTAAAAAAGACTCTACAAACTGACCATAAGTGTTTTGTGTACAGACGATATGCATGAACATCCTCTTTCCACCAGAAAACCAAGACCAAAGATATTTAGATTCAACAAAGATTCTTATGGTTCACTAAAGAGAAAGTGAAATGTGGATATTTTCAGATGGACAAAAATCCCTCTTGACCAGGTCTCCTTTGTAAAAGAGATTTGTAATCTCAATGGGACTAACCTGGTTAAATAAAATTGATCATCACTTAACATGGAAACAACATAGTGTAAATTCTACAAACAGCTTTCACAAAAAACTAAGTGTATACGTCTATATGAAGTGTTTTCTAGTCTGAGTTCTCTCGTCTGTGTGAGGGATACCTACCCTCATTTTCCCACTCTGTCAACCTCTCCTTGTCACTTTTCCTCACGCTGCCAATCGACCCAGCAGGAACTGGCTCTATGAACTGGTCCAGACTGTCCGACGGGGACTCTGCAGCCCTCCGAGCCCCCTCACAGTGATCCTTCAGCCCCTTCAGGTCCAGCTGAGACAGATCCTGCAGAAAACTCGTCCTCTCCTCCTCGTTCAGCTCAGACCAGAACTGCAGGACGTGAGCCTGACCTGCAGCCTCCAAACGCTGCTGCACTTCTTTATTGGACAGCATATCGAGTCTCTGATAGAAAGCAGATTAAACCCGGATTCTTGGTCCTCTCTTAGGAGCTGCAGGAGGTCTGTGGTGGTTTCCAGGAAGTGACTGGGTGTCTGGAGAAACTCGTGACAGCAGCTCTCGGATCCAAACGCGGATCTTGCGGTGAAAAACATAAACTAACAGGATGAATTTATGCAGACGGATGAAAAGCCTCTGTGTGTAGCTGTGGGCTTACAGAAGAGGGCAAACATGCCTGAAATAACTCGCTGTACCCGACGTTTGCAGGACTTCCTGAAAACAGCTGTGGAAAAAAACAAATCCTGCAGACTCAAGTTCAGAGACAAAGTTTGCTGAGTCAGCTGTTATGATCAGCTGACTGCACCTCAGAAAGTCTGCACAAAGTATCAGACCGCTGAAAAACTGCGATCATAATGTCTACACCTACGGACTAACACTTGAAATCAATCGGGCAGGAGATCTCCTCCTGTGATGGCTAACAGTTGAGCCTCTGATATCCCCAGGGACCGTCACCAAATTACACACAGGCAGAGTGCAGTTTCAATAAAAAACGAAAAAAAAAAACTGTATGAAAAAACAGATATGTAAACTCAAAATAAGATGTTTTTTGTGCAATGAGAAGGAAAAAAAACACAGTATGCAACTGAATGCTGATATGATGAAAATATAACACGGAATTAAAAATAAAACAGACTAGGCTACTTTTTTAAAACTTTTTTTTTTCTTTTTTTTTTCTTTTTCTGACCTAAACTTTTTTTTCTTTTTCTGACATAAACTTTTTTTCTTTTTCTGACCTTAACTTTTTTTTGAGAGTTTAGATGTAATTTTTCTCAGTTCTTAAATTGGTAGTAGCTATTAGGCTTTTTTCATACTTTGAAAAAAAAAATATATGTTTAGGTCAATGTGTGTTGATGTAGCTAGACCCCAGCTAGGACTACTGGGGGATCTGAATGGCTTGTTCAAAAAGACACATGAGATTTAAATGAGATTGATATGAGATTTGCTCATGACATAATCAGACAGTGAATCTCCTTAAAAGTTCAAATTTGTCATGTTATCAAACGATCATTGTTTACTTTCAATACTTTTCCATGTACACTTAAGTGGAGTTTTATCCAATTAGGTTAATTAACTAGACTACTGTCCTTGTCCCACTATACATGCACTGGGCAAATCAATTTATTGACAGAAGCATGGCCACTGTAGTAGGTGGTGACAAACAAAGGAGGCAGCCAGGAAAAAATGAGACTTCATGTTGGGAGGTGTAAACAAGAAAATTAAAACCAACTATGCAAGTTTGGCTGGTTTTAGATCTCGATTTTAGTTGTAATGCTTATTTTACTGGGGTCATCAGTACTTCATTTTATCATCTAAGAATAATTGCTGAAGTTTGACCTTTTTTAAGATGCTGAAATTTTAATTCTTGCTCTTATAACCAGCTGCTGTTTTCTCTGGTTTCAATAAAGCTCATTCAGAATGCTGCTGTGAGGGTTTTAACAGGTAGAAATGACACTGCTCACATAAACCCCCTTCTTATAACTCTGCTCTGGTTCCCCATTTCTTTGGAAATTGATTTGAAAGCTCTTCTACTAAATTTTCCAAGCTTTTCACAGCCTTGCTCCTCCATACATGGCAGATTGTTTTCGTTTTTAAGTCAGGTCACTATGGTCCTTTTAAATATTCCCCATGTGTTTCACATCAGCAGTAAGACAGAGAGATTTCTGTTTTGATGCACATGGACTTTGGAATGATCATGGGATTTGGATTGACAGTAATCTCTCTATTTGTTTTAAAAAAGGAATCTTAAGACCCATGTTTTTACCAGACTTTTAGTGATTCCTAATTATACCGAATTATCGCAATAGCTACTATGGTTACTATGATGTGTTTGAGGAGGTACATCCCTCATTAAAAACTATAACTGCCTTCCTGTAAAGTGTTAAGTTTAATTCATTATTCACCCTTTTGCTAATTTATAATAACTGCTTTTGGCTCATTGTAAAGAAGGCTTTCCCACCAGGTGGCGGCAGAGTCCAACTGATGTTGTGGTTTTTTTTTGCTGGGGATGTATTTAGGTGCATTTTTTTTTTCTTAAAGTTTACTCTTTCTGTAAAATAAATGAATAAATAAAGCTTTCAAGTTGATTTTAAGACTGGAAATCTACATTTTTGTTTCATAAAGGATCTACTCATAGCTTTGGGTCACAGTTAGACACAGACATCAGTGAGCTTAATACTATTGGTGCAAAATCACAAGGTAAGACTAAAATCCACAGCAAACCCCATATTCATGAATAAAAACATTGTTGTAATTAGCCTTTTTGTTATTCTATAAATGAAGATGAAGTAAAGCCTTTAAAATGAACCCAACTGTAGCTTTAAAGTGTCTTTTGGGTGTCTTGAACAAGAACAGCAATTGTAAGTTTAATTAATGTCTTTATTGAAAAAAAAATCAGCCAAAATATCGTTTATCAATATTGAATTGGCGATATGTAATCGAGGAAATAACAGACCACATCACTTTCGCCACAGTGGAACGTGAAATACAATGATGGCCTGTGATTGGCGGACATGCTGGCGACGTCACGCGGGCCGTCCAGGCTGTGTTTTGAGTGGGCTGAAGTTTGTCAGTGTTTGATGAGATGGTGAGAGTACGCTGAGAAACGCCTGAGAGCTCAATGACTTCTGCTGGATGTTTTCTGGACTTTCAGAGAGAAAAACTTTAAACTCCGGATTTATTTCACTGTCGAAGGTCGGACCGATGAGCAGAGGCAGAGCAGTTTTTCTCTCATAAAGAAGGTAAAAAACGTTTTTCCTCATGCAGACAGCGGGCTGATGGATCTGAAAAGTTGATAACTGAAAGTGCAAAATGTTGTTAGTCTGCAGATATTTGGCCTCTCTGTGGGTGCAAACTTTTGGGGAGTTTGTTTTCAAGTTGAAAGTGAGGCTCTGTATCGAGTAAGTCTGAAAAGTACACTTCTTTACAAGCCCCACAGCACGTGGACAATCAATTTATTCTAATCAGTTGCTATTAGGTGTTCTTAGTTTGATTGTTTAAGAAAAATAAGAAAGAACTCGTACTCTAAAGGAGCCTTCCTACTAAAACATTTTTACGTTTTACAAACATAAAAAAAATGTTGAGCTTCTGTTCTGGACCCATTTAACAGAAAAACACTTCAGAAATTGCAAAAACATTTTATCAGATGTGCACAGAGAAAAAAATATATATTTGCAAAAATGCAAAAAAAAAAAGTTTTTTGTCATTGTTTTTCTATCTATCTATCTATCTATCTATCTATCTATCTATCTATCTATCTATCTATCTATCTGTTTTGAGTATTAATTGCCTTAATGGATGTTTTCAGTGCACCTGTAGGGGCCATAGCTGTATTTTTCTATCATTTGAGGTGTCTCATCTTTACAGTTCGAGAAAATATTTTTTCTTTTTTAGCCTGAACACACAGAATTCTTGCAGTTTTGCTTTGAACACAAGTGTAGTAAAGTTAAGTGTATTGAAAGATGAATAGTGGCTGGTTGTGGATCTGTTTTTTTATCATTCTTGTTAAATGTTAATTATAATCTCATACAAAGCAGGTCTCATCTCTCAGCTTCTTTCTCATCTGAACAAAAATAGCACTATTTCCAGACTGATTCATTCATCGAGCCTATAGACATGACACTAGATGCTGGAGAAAAAAATAACAACACAAGATTTCTTTTCTTTAAGTCAGGCTGATATATTTTCACAGTCATGCTACACTTTCACCAAGTACTCTGCATTTTGAAATTGTGAGCTCTGAGTTATTTTTCTCTGGCATGTACGACTCTGGTTTACTGGCATTTTGCACTCTAAGATTACCTTGTTAATGACAGTGTGTTATTCTGGTGAATGCTGCTTATCATCAGGAGTTGGAAAGGCTTACTAGATGGCTTGGTAGTGCAAAAGTTTCTTAAAGTGTCTTCATACCAAACATTTAGCCCTGACACCGGAGTCTACAGGTGGAAAAAAAAACAAGTTTCTGAACTTTTCTGACCAAAGATTTCCCCAGAATAGCAGGCAGACTGACAGAAAACAGGCATAAGTCATGCCATCAAAACACCCATTAGACCTCCACAGTAAACATGATGACTCCCACTGGAAGTGGTTATTAGGCGATGGGTAATTTGTAGTAATAGAAGGACAGACTTCACAGCAACAACACTCAGTTTTCATCAGGCACAGTCGCCCTTGGTTGTCACTTCTAGCTCCCTGAGGAACTATTGTCTTAATTTCAGCTTGAACCAGCTTGACCTAGAGATGTTCTACATGGCTGACAGAAGCTGCTGTCTGTGCCGGCTAGAACAATCTGCATTTGGAGAAACGTAGAGTGAATACTCAAATAATGCAAATTCATAAACTAATGCAAAAGCCCAAAACAAATGCAATTACAAAAAGGCAACACATATTGGAAAAGAATGCAGCAAAGCACCAAAACAACTGCAGTCACAGCAAAGGCCATGCAAATTGATCAAAATTGATCACACACTAAACAACTCCTAAAGATGAATGCTGTAAATCTAGACATCTCAATGAAGTACTCCAAGCCTGTAGGTGGCGCTAAGTGAGCCACAAGCCTTCAGTCCTCCATGCAGGTTAATGCCCACATCCCTCTGCTGGTTACTCATTGCTCTGGTTGATTGGTTTTATACCAGTATAATCAGTTATACTAAAGTATGCTGACATACAACTATTGCTCCAGTGTTTAGATCAAAATACGGACAAACTTCGCCTTTTAATAAGATGCCGTCTGTCACACATGCTTGTTTACATCAGGGTCGTAGAGCATTATAGCATCTTGGCAGTTGACATTAACTTAAAGATGTCTCTGCTCTGTTCTCCACCTGTAAGACATCAGGGGGTTTTAGGTTTAAGAGCTAGTCTACATGCCACCAGGGTCCTGTTAGTCCTGAGCTGCAGACTATCATGCATCACAGAGCTGCTCTTTAAATCCAGTGGACAGACTAGTGTGATTTCCTTGCTGTATAAACATCTTTTCCAAATGCAGCACCTGTTCCTGCTCAGAGCAGTAAGGGACTCTGCACTGAGACTGAACAAATAAGACCCCAGAGGCTTTAATGGGCTAATAAGCCGCACCTGCTAAAATCACACACACAGACTAAACACGCATACAAACACACACACAAACACACTTTCCCAGACCACCAAGTGAAGTGTTGGGAGAGTGAAACTGTGCAGAAAGTTTAGTGCCTGTCAAATGAAACATGTTAATGTGATGGAGATCTATTCTTGGTGTCTTTAGTTTGCTGTTGGGACACACCACTGTGGGAAAGTCTGCTTTGGAATGAACCAGTGCTCCCAGTATGGAGAATGCGGGTCAAATGGACTTACTGTGGTCTGTGAATAAACAGCTGTGCCCTCTGTCAGAGTAAATAATGCTCTGGATAGGGAGGGGATTGATCAGATTTCATTGATACCAATGCCATCATTGATTCTGCTTATTCACACGACTCTATATCAATCAATTTCTGCAGATTGTCTGTGAGGGTAAAAAAAGTAGGTCTGTCAAGGTTATTGGACAGCTTGAACAACAGCCCCAGGGGAAACAGTGTTAAACATCATGAAATACGCCTCAGTGCATGTAGGAAAACATCATTGTGTTTTTCTTACATTACATCAGCTCGTCATGGATGTCCAGGGACTCCTGGTTAATGTGACAGTATATCACTTATCAGAAGATGTTGTTTTATTTGCTTTCCTTCTTGTTAAGACTTGATTGTAGGCTCCTTTGCCTTTACTTTGAGGGGACAGGATAGTCGATAGAATAGGACTGGAAGACCCTGTATTTGTGCATGCAATTAATCAGTAGACTCCCCTAGTTGGTGACCTGAGGACACACTGACACACTAATCTGCTTGATGCAAAGTCACTTAAGACAATCAGTGTTTAGATTTCCCGACTTTCCTAACTGCACTAGAAATGATGGATCTGACCTCCATTCAACAAACAAACATTTTCAAAGTTTCTTCTCTTCTTGAGGACAGACCTGACAAAGCTTTACTTTTGCTTGCCTGTATCATGATGTTATTTCATCAAACTGAGGACTTGTTAATGAGGAGAAAATCACAAGAACATCAGTCTCTATTTTGGGTTCATACTGCTAAAGGAATCCAGAATGAAGCCTCTGAGGGACTTTTTACAGAGAAACTGAGACTCAGCACCAACAGATGAACAGTTAACCACAGTGAAGCCCCTGCAAAACTTATTATTTACAGTATAGCTGTGAGTTGATGCAGTCTGATAAACAGTAAGCCAAAGCAAAGCCTCTATTTAACCTAATAATTGCAGTAAAACTACCAATTACAAATGAATTGACAGTAAGCCTGAGTGAAGCCCCTGTGTAACCTAAGATTAACAACGAAACTGAGACTTGTGAGAAACACACAGACTGGTGCTTGTTTAGGGGAATTTTATGTCAACAGTTTCTGTCCTTCCACTCTTTAATGTAAATCCTAAATGTTCTGCAGCATTTGAAAAGTCCTCAATTGCTGTCTGTGTATCACCTGAGGTTTTTCCAATCCAAAACATGTAACTCTTCTTGTGGCATTGAGTCTGTATAACTACAGGAGCCAAAATAACTTGTGTTACAGAAGTATTAGCATGGTAAGCTAAGAGCCGAGCCCTTGATGCCCGTCCAAATCTTCAAACTAACAATCAGCTCCAACAGTTGGAGTAGAGAAAAACACTTTGACTACAACAGAATGACGGCAGAGAGTGTGTGTGCTTTGGCAAAATAAACTGGATCAGGAGCTGGCAGCTTAGGGTTCATTCATATCTGAACTGTTGGAGTAACACTGTTTCCCTGAAGCTGCAGAGTTTTATTACAGCAGCGAGAGCGTCAACATTCATGAAAACACACAGCAGGACGACACACACACACACACTGTGTTACTCTACGTGTGTGTTAGTGTGTTTGTACAGTGAAAGTCGACTCACCCTGCAGGAGACTCACAGCTGAGTGTGTGGGATGAAAAGCAAAACACAGCATGAGCAGCACAACCAGACAGGACACACACACAAAACACACGCACACACACAAACAGCAGCTGTGTATTGATCTCAGTCGACCTATCAGGGTGCTGGATGTATTTGACTGACAGTTCAAAGAGCATTACATCCTTCAGTCCATAGATTATTCTCCACAAAACAGAGGAAAGTTTTTTTCCGAAGGATCATTCGCTTTTAACCAACAACATCAACAAAAATATCTGAATTCAATTGAATAAGATAAAAACTCGAATCTGGAGGTCAGAGAGGTCGTTGTCTGTCTCTAACATCATCAGTCAGTGTTTTCTGCTCCTCTTCTATTAATGCGATGATGGTTTGGGTGAATGACGTCCTATCCTGTCACAGTAAACACACTGTGGTCAGATCTGTAAACTATAATCAGACTAAGCTGAACTGTGTCAGATTCACTCCACAGTCAGCTGGACCACTTCTTCTACAGTCTCAGCTGTTGTTTTTCAGACTCCTCCAAACAGACGTGATGGGAAACACTCTTTCACCCACTTCTCTTATCCCGGGCCCATAAACAGTAAAAAAACACACACACACACACAAACAATCTCATAGAAAAACACACAGCAAGAAACTTTCAACTCATGAAGAAAATGAAACTGTTTTTTGCTCATAAAATGACATTAAAAATGTTAAGTGTAACTTCGAAGTTACAAGTATTTATTTTCTCTATACGTATACCGCTTAGCTGTACTGAAACTGGCCTGCGTGTTCTGCACATGCTCCAGTGTTCACAGACTGGGCTCTGAGCTAGAAGTTAAATGGTATTGGTATGTTGCTATAAAGCAGATAGTTAACAAAACATTGTTAAATGGAAAAAAAAGGTGAAAAAAGATAAATTTTTTATCCTACAAACAGAGCTGTAAAAGTGAAAGTGTTTGGACAAGGACAGTAGTCCAATTATGTTTGCAAATCAAGCAAAAACCTTAGCAAAACTTAACTGGATGTAAGTGTACTTACTGGTGCTATGTAATGGTGTGTTTCCACCAAGTGGTCTAGTTTGTTAGAGCACAGTATGCTACACAATTATATGCAATTCCTCCCGGTGCAATTTACCAGTCAGTATCTTTTTAAGGTTTATAAAGCTGAAATAAGCCAGAGTGAAACCTCTGAGTCACTTACTGTTTACAGTGAAACTGAGACTCTCTGAGGGATGTAACAAACTGAGAAATAACTAATAATTTTACAAACAAATCCGGAGGGTTGAATTCTTTTCTCCTTTTGATCCAAACACACGTTTGATCTCAAGTTGCCAGTGAAGTCTGTGGATAATGCAGCGCATGCAGAAGGAAGTCTCTGCTGGGATTCCATTATCGTTAATGCTGGCTTCACTAAAATGCCTGAAAAGTTCTATGGAGGCATCTATGTTCCTCAAACAGTAGCTAGTGAGTTCTGTCATCTTTTCCACACAAGCTTCAGAGTAAACTTCAGAAGTAAAGACAGATTTTCATTTAAATTTCCATACATATAAAGGACATTCATGTGCATTTGTGCGTGCATGTCAGTACACAATTTTATTATGACTATCTTGTTTGCAAAAATCACCTCAGTGAGCTATCAGTGACGAATTCAAACCAAAAGCTGAAGTTTAAACTCAATGAAAAAGTAAGTGTAGTGAAAGTCATCTGTAGTCATCATCTGTCTGTTTCACTGGTGCCCTCCCTGCAGTTGGTAAATCAAACTGAAGGACCTGCATGTGTCTGCAGATAGATATAAGTTTAGGGTCTGAGAGCGGCCTTTGTTGGGCCCTGGAGGGACTTCAGTCGCAGGTCTTGGTTCCTGGCAGCTCTTTGTAAGCGGACAGGGAGGCGTCGACACTGCGCTGCCTGGAACTGTGTATCAAAGTGGGGCAGCCCGGTCTAATCCCCTCCATCAGGGTTTGTGTGTCTGGAGCGCTTTCACACACACAGCATACTCCTTGTTTGTGCAGTGATGCAGTTGTCTTGGTTTGGAAGGGGGGGACTCAGCGTTGGTAGCTGCAGCTGTGCCCCCTCTTTGCTCAGTGAAACCAGAGAGGACGGGTCCTGCTGGACCATAAACCGCCTGCACAGACACACCGTCAGCAGACACTCAGACACTGGAGACGTCGTGCAGGATTCTCCATCAACAAGACATTTCCAATAGAAGAGGGACTGGAGACACAGTTCTGACCTTGATGAGGCTCATCAGGCAGCTGGAGTAATAAAGTGGATCTCCTGCTTCAGTTTCCAGCTGTTTTTACATCATTGAGGAAGGAGAACAGACGCAAAGATAAATCCTGAAGATCCCTGCAGAGATTCAAGTGATGTGGTTAAACTTCATCTGCACTTGAACTTTATTGTTTATAAGCTAGAACAAGCGGTGTGGCTGAGCGGCATGAAATGAAACAGACTCATTCAAAGTATAAGTGTGTTCAAATCAAAAGAACACAACAATATCCAGACAATCAACATAATCATTGATGCAATTTTGCTCTGTATGATGCCAAAGCCCTAAGTCATAACTTTACACCATTAATTAGTAGATGAGCTGTGTTGAGAAACAGCCTAGCAGTGTTTGAAGTCCACTGATGATCTCATCAAAAGTGGTCAAACCAAACCACATTCAAAAATCCAACATTTTAGAAAGTGTTTGCATATTGTCTTGGAGACAGACACGTCAAAAACTCACTTTTTACTTTTCGTTAATCAGCATCCTGATGTAGTAATTTCAGCATCCTATCAGTCGATGTATTGTCATTAAATCACAGTTCAGTCACAGAATTATGATTTGCACAAAGTTATGTATATTTGGTGATATGGCTTTGTTCGGAGTGCTCCCCACCCTTCTACCTGCATATGTTGATGCTAAAGCCTGAGGCAGAGAGCGCAGAAGTACTGAAGTTTGAAAAGTCCTCTAAGCAAAAATAAATCTAATAAACCACCTAAAAACTATAAAGCATGCCTCCAGTGACTTTTACTGAAACACTGGGATAAGTGAGGAAAATACAGGTCACAGAAAACTGTTTAAACTTGTTTCTGTCTGTCTGCTTGCTGTATTTGTCCATCCTCTGAGTCCACACAGGTGATGTGACGGGACTGCTGATGCCCTGGGTGTTTTGTCCGTTAGTTTACTGAGCAGACAGAGAAATATACTCTGCTGAGAGGCTGGGAAAGTCTAACAGGAGCTGAATACAGGCATCAAAAACACAGAAAACATCAAGTTTTCTGTCTTCTCCTGCTTTCTTAGCATACTGGGGTTCTGATGTTTCAGTTAATCATAGTTAAAAACATATAAACAATCGCAGGGGATAGAACTGAACAATGTTGTTGATGAAAAATAATGCTAGTCTTAAATTTGATGCCAGCAACATGTTATTAGAGGATCAACCAAACAGGTAAAAAGTTTTGTAATGTGTAAATAAAAAAACTGGAGGAACATCTCCAACTAATGAGGTTAACTTCCAACAGGTTAGTAAGATGACTGGGTATAAGACGGACATTTAGAAAGGCTGAGTCTGTCAGAAGGAAGGATGGGAAGAGGTTCACCACTCTGTGAGAGACTGTGAGAGCTGATAGTTCAACAGTTTCAGAAAAATGTTCCTGAGTGTCAAATGTGAAAGAATAAGTGGATTTCATCAAATACAGAACAAAATATCATTAGAAGATTCAGAAAATGTGGAGAAATCTCTGTACAAAAGGGACAAGGACCAAAACTAAGACTGGATGGTCCTAATCTTCAGGCCCTCAGGCAGCACTGCATTAAAAACAGACAAGACTCTATAGTGGAAATCACTGCATGAGCTCAAAATCACTTCCAAAAAGCATTGTCTGTAAACACAGTTCAACACTGCATCCACAAATGAGGTTAAAACTGAATCATGTGTAGAGGATACCAGAAAGAAGATTCAGACACACCAGAGATTTCTTTGAACCTAAGTCCATTCAAGATAGACTGAGGAGAATTTAAGAGGAAAACTCTCCTGTGGTCTGACTGGTTTGTACTTGGCATTCTTTATTGAAATTGTGGACACTGTAGAAGTAATAGATAATTAAACATCTGTTTGATACTTGAACATTAGGAGTTAAAACAAATATGACAAGTTAAGACAGAAAGAGTAAAGAAATGCTTTTGATTCATTGGTTTGTGTAAGTGTGTGCACTCATAATCTTCTCTCCATCCCTGTGTAAGGTGGTACCACAGTTTGGCCTTCTCAGTCACGTTTCATTTCAGCTTGTAACTCCCTACTGCTAACAAACACCATCCTTTTATTTAGATCCAGCACAACTTTATATATACTTTAATGTGCATAGAGCCAAGATTACATATTTTTTTATGTGAGTTTTCAATGCGGCTGCTTGGAAATGTTAGCTTTTGTAGGCTCTTATGCAGTGGTGCTGATCCTGTACTCTCTTGATAAAATATCTTCTGTGAGGTTTTGTTTTTGCACACTTGCGTTGAATAAATCCTCTTTTGTGCTCTCTCTAATCTAAGGTTTATTTATTTCTGCTTTGTCTCATCTCTCCGGCTGTGAGTGTTTAACAGTAAATGTCACACAGTCTTTAAAGATAAATGAGCACTGGTAGATTTAAGGCCTTTTTGTCAGGAATAAAACACCAAGTCTGCTGTTTTTGGTTGAAATATTTTGGTTATGTGTGACCTTTGCTAACTAAGACATCTTTAGTCTAAACCCACAGAGAAACCAGCGCTTCTTGTTTTGTTCCTGGAAATAGAAAACCAGTAAACAAAGCTCACAATAACAACTCAGACTTTTAATTTCTCTAACCCACACGACGCTCCAGGAGGAGGAGGAGGAGGAGGAGGAGTGTGAAGCACAGACAGCTAGAACTTGAGTTTATGCAGCATGGACATTCTTATTTCCTTTTTTGTTTTTCTTCTTTTCTAGAATTAAATGTTCGTGGCATCATTTAATATTTTGGTATCAAATGGAAACTTTAACTTCTGCTTTATAAGGAAAAGCAAAGAATACTGAGAAAAATTAGAGATCTAAAACTTTTCCTAGAGTTTCATCTTTGTGCAAAAAAAGTTTAAATTGTAAACAGACTTAGGTTGCCCCTTTGGATTTTAAGGTTTCCATCCCACAAGAGTGTGAGTGATGCATTCAGCAGGAACAGAATAGAAATGTTCAGGTTTGCAAAAACTCTCATTAGAAATAAATTGTGCAAAAACATGTTACAGGTTTTTGTTTTGTTCAAGATTCAGAAGAAATCATCAAGTCTTAAATTCAGGTTTTATATTGCTGACTATTTTCAGTCCAAAAGTCAGACCTTACTACACAGACATTGAACTCATGCTCTCTTCCTCCTCCTTCTTCTTCCTCTCCTAAAGGTGCAGCAGCTCCGTCTGAGATGGGCGTGTCACTGTGCTGCCACAGGACCATCCTATTGGCTGTGGCCTTCTGCTTTCTGCCCTTCATCACTTCCTCACTCAACCTGGAGGACCCCAACGTCTGCAGCCACTGGGAGAGGTTGGTCACAAAACGCTGCATCTTTCTTTCTCTGTGCTGCATTGGTGCCTCATGTTTCTACGGGTTTCTGTCTCAATCTGTCTCAATATAAAAACACTTATTATGCAGCAGAAGAAAACTGTTACACTCAACCTTCACCTGCTTTATATTGGGGGCTATGTATTGTGTTGAAGCATACAGGGCAGAACAGCACTGTATGTGTGTCAGGTGTCCTTAGATTTGTAAACAAACCTTTATGATACCTTTAGTGCCCAATGCAAGGAAGTGCATTTGTTTACAGATGGATTGAAACAATAAAACTGACCTGGAGAGGCTAATCTTGTCTAATAACTCATCAATCTGACTGTATTTAATTACATACTGGTAAATATATTCTTAATACGTATCATGTATGACCGTATTACAGCAAAATAACATCACTCACAATGACGTCACACTTGAGTTACCAGCTTTTCAGTTACCAAGTCATAAAAAAGGCAAAATCTGAGGCGGAAACAAGATGGCTACATCTACGAAAGTTATTTTAGAGCTTGCCTTGTCCAAATAAAAGCAACTTCTGGACAAATATGCAGTCCTTCCACAATATCTTGGTTTCGCCTCCGATTTTGCTTTTTTCCGACTTGGTAACTGAAACGATGGTATCTTGGGTGTGACGTCATTCTCAGCCCCGACATCTGACTTCCAAGGTAACTCGAACGCAGCAATAATTCTTTTTACAAACAAAGTATTTACTGTAAAAGTTTGAGGTGTTAAATGGCGAACTCAGTCTGTTTGCTGATTTATAAATGAATAAGAGGCTTGGAAACACATTAAGAGATGTGTAAAAGAAGAAAGGTGGAGGCAGATTTCTCAGCTGTATTCCTTTCACTGACTAATCTGAGGGAACAGCTGCAAACACACTCAGAGACCGACTGCAGAGTCGGAGGAGAGCAGTCTGGACTGACAGAGTCTGTGATGGCGAGGCTTTTCAGGTCATTTCCGAATAATTTTAGAGCCTGAATCCACGTTTTAGAGTTTACGGACCAGCAACTTTTAATTAAACGATTAAAAGAGTGTTAAAACCAAATCAGGTCAAATCCAGTTTGTTTCTGCTGGTTGGATGTTAACGAGTTCCTCTGACCCTCGGCACTGACACAAAGAAATCAACTGGAACTAATAAACATCAAACATGCTCATAGGTTTCTGTTTGTATTTTTCTGTTTGGAGACTCAAACTAATTTCCATGAAGTCAGAGAAGTTTTTAGGGGGATTTTTAAAAAAAGCAGAATTCCCCCTGCCCTAAAAATACTGATTTATTGTCAAACAAAAATAGACATGCAGTACTGTGAGGTGTAAAATTCACATTTAACAGATAGAGTACAAATCAAACCAGTTTTACTAATAAAATGACCAGATTGTTTAAAATCACTATTATTTTTTCCTAGGGTGAAGTCTGTAGGGTTTACTTCAGGTCATATTGGGATCTTTTACCAAAAACACTCAAACAGATTTGACAAGCCCTCCACAAGAACCGGCCCCAGCAACTACACATGAACTCTGACTCAAATAGGGGGAGAAAACTCTTTGGAGTGTTGAAACATTAGCATGTATCTGAGTGGCATGTCTCGATTCGGTTGTTATCTTCTGTCTTACCTTTTTGTGTAAAAAATAATAAGTGGAGAAAACTGTCAGCCCTTCATAGCCTACCTATCATTTCTGTCTGTCTGAGTGAAACGTTTTTGAAAAAGTACTTTAACTCGGACTTTAACATGATTCTGAATGATGTTTCTCACTTTTTAGCTTGTTGACACTCATGATCATGACAGCCTCTCTCTTGACATGCACATTCTGACCCTCTGCTTTTCACACACACACACGCACATACACACACACACCTGCCTCCTCCTGCTCCTCTCCCTGCTCTCCTCTCTCCACCTGCAGCTGCCTGATAGCTTTTACTGCTGTTGCACAACATGTTGAAGATACAGTTGGAGCCACCACTTCTTGTTGCTGCCAACAATGGCGGCATTAAGTTGTTGAGATAAAAAGCGGCCACTGTTTTCTTTGGTCCTCCAGTGCTGAGACATAATATAGACATCTGTGTTGGTTTTTATGTCCGACATAATGTTGGTGTGTCTGTCTCCCATCTTTGACGTCTATCTTTATCTATAGTAAACTGTACAAACATGTGAGTCTCCAGCTGTAGTGTTGCATCGTCTGATGCTCTCTAAAGCTGTTTTGTCTGCCCATTCAATAAATGAACAGAGCTGCTCAATATTGGACAAGAACCATCAACTCCAACACTGTGTCATTAATTTGTCTTTTTTATCGTCATGACCGAGACCCACACAGCAGCACTAAACAAATACTCTGCATTTAAACACCAGCATGAATGAAAACAGTGACTATATCATTTGACTGCAGCCTGCAGTGGTACAGTTAGTTTTTACAGTAAAACTCTCAGACTGTATCCCCCAAGATCAGAAACATCGATGCCCCTGAGGACCCTGTGGTAACACCAGCTCACATGGGAGTCATAAGGTACCTTTACAACCCCCGCCCCACCCCTCCCCTGCTAAAGAATGTAAGACTTTCCTCTGAGACACAATCAGTTAGATCTTTAAATCTTTATGTAACACAAACCGCTAACAGACAGACAGACGGACAGACAGGGCCACACAGAGACGAGAGGGAGGGGCTAATCCTGCGTGAAACACACACACACCTGCATGCACACACACAAACACACACAGATCTTAATACTCCTGTGATTGAAGCAGTTAAAAATGGATGCAGATTGGAGGGGGAACAGAGGTGTGTATGTGGGCTGAATTGGAAATACAGCATGTAAACACCCGTGCTGTGTTTGTGTCCGGTCTGTATTGTTGAGTCGGGGGTTTCTCATCCGGACAAATTTCCCACAGATTCACTTTGGGGTTCAGCTCAGGCCAGATCATGCACAATAAAACCATGATCACTTTCTGGTAGTTTTGGTGCTGTGGGCAGGTGCCAAAACTAGGTAAGCAGGAAATCTACATTCCCATAGAGCTTGTCAGCAGATGTCAACTTGAGGTGCTCTAAAATCTCCTGGTGGACTCTATAGGCTGTGTTGACTTTGGACTCCTCATCTGATATTAGTCACTCTTTTTGTGCAGTTTTGCGTGTTTTATTTGGAAGTTATGTGTGTTTTAACGTGTTTAAAAGTGTTGCTGCTCTAAATTCACATGTCGAGTGACTCCTCTGTCTTGCTGTGGTTTTTTGTAGTTACTCGGTGACGGTGCAGGAGTCGTACGCTCATCCCTATGATCAGATCTACTACACCAGCTGCACCGACATCCTCAACTGGTTTAAATGCACCAGACACAGGTGAGGACAGATGTTTTATACTAACCTGATGAAAGGAGCTTTTTTTAAAGGACCATTACACTGTTCTTTTCTTTTCATGCTTCAGTAGGTTTAATGTGTGTTTTCCCTCCTCCCAGTCAAGCTACTCATCCAAGCGATGATCTACGCCTCCTTTTATATCTTCCATCTTATGTTACGCCCAACACAATTATGCAGTATTGACAGATAACTTATATGTGGGTTGCATGATGCATGTATCTGGTGTAACTCTGCAGGAATAGTCCTCCTTTTTCAGACTTCTTTAATTTATTCGAACAAATCTGATCTTGACACAAGTGGAATTTTTTCACTTAGAGCTGTTTTTACATCCACTCCATCTCACTCCGAAGTTAGAGTCCTGTATTTTGTAAATTGGTTCCCATATTTGAGTTGGTATTGCTTCTTGCCTGTCAATCAAATGCACATTAATCTGCACCAATTGACCCCAACCAGCAGGGTGGTCCTGTGGAATTAAAATAAATCTTTTGTTGTAAGAAATTTGACTGTTTTTAACCATAAAATTAGACAAGGGCTTTTCTTTCAGGGACTTTCCTCTGGATCGCTTAGTTTATAACCTTTGTTAATAAAAAGATTAAAAAGCAGCACAGTGTCAGAGCAATACTCTGGTAAAGTTTTTCAAATAGTTTCTAACAGTATGCAATCCGTAGTTAGTGATGATTATATGTCAGCGTTAATCCTCCAAAGCTTCAGGCTAATTAAGAAAAAAGTCCTTCAAATACCAAACGATAAAATAACCATGAAATACAGACAGAAATTGTGTACAACATTCAGCGGACTTTCTTTGCAGTAATGCTGTATAGTGAGTTCACTTTATCTCAGCTTTACTTTGCTTAGACTGAACCAAACGACACCAGCATGTTGTGGATACAGTGTGTGATGTTAAGCTGTATGTTGGTGTTTGAAACCCAACACGATGGGTGTTACCACCAGATATTTAGGTTTGGTTCAAATCTCGATTTTGAACATCTTAACAGTAAAGAAGTGAACCTTTACATTTTGAAGTGCAGCGTCGACAGTACAAGCTGTAGGGTTGCTCTGATTTATTTGTTTCCTTTTTAAATGACGCAGTTAGATACTATAAAACATAAAACAGAATAAGAGAAAATAATGCAGGGTCTAAAATAACTCCTGACAGGCACCTAATGCAGGGAGATTTCTGTTTGATGATCATTTTTTCAGGGGTACAGGAGTAAATGAGGACCAAGAAAAGCAACAAAACAAAGCCAGAAGTGAGAAATGCTCATCTGACATTAAAGTTACAAATTTGAGAGAAAGAAAAAGGGTTAGGGTTAACAAATATGTGAGACTAGAAAGACTCAAACTAGTGAGAAATAAATTTAGCAAATTTGTACTATTGTCAGGCTGCGTGCTGAAGAGAAAGACTCTTGAAAATGTCTGAGTTTATAAAGGTGCAAAATTGGGATGAGATATTAACAAAATATTTAGAGAAATGAAAAGAATTTTGTACGCTTATACGCTCACAAATTTGCAAGAGAAAATATTGAATTGTGAGAGAAAACAAAAAGAAAATGTGAGAAAAATCTTGTAAGATTATATGAGATTATAAAATATATATTTTTTTACAGATTTGAAAAAAAATTCATGCAAAATTGTAGCTTATTAAGAAAATGAGGAATTATCACCACGTTTAGCTGCAGCTCCTCCCTCCCTGCTCTCCTGGTGTCTTCATGTTGCCATGATGTTTAGTATGGTGTGTGACATCACTTCCTGTCTGTGTGCAGGGTGAGCTATCGCACGGCGTATCGTAGAGGAGAGAAGACGATGTATCGGAGGAAATCTCAGTGCTGCCCAGGCTTTTTCGAGAACGGGGAAATCTGTGCTCGTGAGTATCACTGAACTAAAGAGACTGACCATCTGACTCATTTTAGGACACAGCCTCTAGTGGACACATAAAGGATTGCAGCTTTTTACTCTTCTGCATGGACTCCATGTAAAGGGTTGCTACTTGGCCCAGTTTAATCTTTGGAAATAACTCTTAAAAACACTAACATTAGAGATATTGTGCTCCTAAATCTGGAGTAAACAAATTCATCTTACAGATAAGGCTTCACAGTTTGATTTTTGTGTCCTAATGCGAGGCAGGCGAACTGACAGCACCCTCAGAAAAACATCTAAATTTAAGCTTGATTAATTTGATTTTCCTTTGAATCAGACGCTGATTTGGAAACCGTTTGTCGCCTGCAGAAACTGTGAGTCTGTCAGAGTAGCATGTGATCCCTTCTTCACAACAGAGTCTTTTCACACCAAAATAAAGCCCTCTGTGAACTTCCGACGCCCATTTTCACAGCTCCTGTGTGGATAAAGCAGTGCCCTCTGTCTACTGTGAAGCACACATAAATTATGAGTTTCTTATCACACACCTCCTCCACGTCACAGCAGCAGCGTGTGTGTGCGAGTATAATGCTTTCTTTTACTGCCGCTGCCTGCCAGCAGTTGTTGTTTTTGCCGTCGGCCTCTGCTGCTTCACACCTGTTAGCGCCTGTTGGCTGCAAACGAGGAGGGTCAGGGGTGCAGCAGCCTCATTACAGGGAGACTCTGTTACAGCAGATGGGGAAGACACAGGTAGCCTACTGTTTATTTCTGAAGAGTTATAAGTGTCCTCTGCATGGAGAAGCAGACGATGATCAAATGTTACTGTGCAACTTTGTGCAGGATGAGGATGAATGCATCTGACTCTTAAAACACACAAAAACCTCCATTGTGCATCAGTAAGGTGACACATATCTCTAAGTTTATTTTCTTCACACTCACATGCAGTATTTGCAGAATCCCATATCAAGCCATTATGTTTTAGTACTGTAGAGGAAGACAACTCTTTTCTCCAGTTTAATCAGTCTGCAGAAACAAAAACAGTAATTCTGCCACTCTGAACTCAGGAGTTGTTGGTCTGCCACTGCACAAGTCAGGTAGTTTTTTGTGTTAATGTTTGACTTTGCTGTTTTAAACTGGACACAACACATTATTTGTGAACCCAACATAACAAACCTGCTTGTGAATACATGTAGGTAGACCAACAATAAGGTCTTTTTTTTCTTTTCTGGCTTCTGGTATCAAAACAGTAACATTATATATATTTTTGCACTCTTCATTTAGAGACGTAAATAATTAAAACCTAAGCAAATAAATGGAATAGAAATTGAAATGTGTATAACAACAAAACAACAGGATATGACTGATTATCATCTTGATGCACAATGTGAAAAAAGTTGACAAGGGTAAATTAATGTTGCATTAAGTTTGATTGATTTTTAAATTTGAGTTTGTTAGTCCTGATTCCACTCTTGACACAGAGGACCAGTCATACTTACCCATCAAATCCTGAAATACACTTGATTTCAAGGTATTGCAGCAAAAACAAAGGCCCAGATTTACACAAAGCAGAAAGCCATGAGCAAAGGGGGAATGCCCAAGTCTAACAATAATATTCACCGTTTTATGTATAAAGTACCTTTAAAAAGGGGTTTACAAAGTGCTTTGACAGACAAGCATGAACATATATATAGAACATAAGAGAATGCAAGGACCAAAAACACAAGAGAAATACAGAGTTAAGAATAGAAAAATGAAGAGAAAAGCTCAACAGTAAAATGAAATAAAATCCTACCACAAAATAGATACAGTTAAAGACAATATAAAACATTCAGACCCTGAGCAGCAAAAGAACCAAACAACATAAACCGACACCAAGAGGACCAGTACAGTAAAGTAAGAAAGGGAGGAGATGGAAAGAGACAAAAATGGGACGTGAATCCAAAGTTTAGAAAAGGTGAAGGGTTGTAGAACGCAAAGACTCCCCTGGTGATCCAAACCCAGTCTATAAACACCTGTCTTAATGTGTATATGTAAACATGTACACATTGGTTTAATTCGCCCAGTTCTTCTTGGACCATGTGTTTCTGGCTGTACATGTTGAACCTGCCGAGTTTGAGTCATTGCAGTGAAAGTTTGTGATTTATGTAATACAAACATGAAGAAGATAAAGGGCGAGCAAATATCAATTTCAGCAGAGTTATGTCTTCTGGGAGATCTTTTTCTACACTTTAAATCATGCATCACCTCCATCTCCAGCTGACTCTATCCAGTTGCTGCTTGTCGGACTGGTTTTCAATTTTGTCGAGTTGCTTTGAATCAAACTCAGACCGTCACCTTCCTGCAGAAACACTTTAAATGGTGCACCTGTTACTGTGCACAAATGTTTTTCTATGCACACCAAACGTCCTGATGGAGAAACAGTCTTGTCTGTTTTTCTGTTTGCAGCAAGTTTAGAGGACCAGAGACCTCAAAACATTCAACACATACACTATAAAAGCTGACTGTAGTGAAAGTGGTCATTGGGGAGTAAACTTGTAAATTGGTGTTTTATGCAGCAGAAACTTTTGGATGCTTCAAATCTGTTTTCAACTTTTTGAAACAAGTCCAAGAGCCAGAAGCAGAAATCCTTTATAACCTAATGGATACGCTTTGAACAGAGCGGTCACTTTATATCTGGGTTTAATTTGAATCTTAGGATGTAAAAATATAAAGTAGGACAAGATAAAAGCAGAGTTTAGCAGAGTTTGAGGTCTTACGGAAAGGAAATGAAATGCTGAAACATTACTGATTAACCAGCGGATGTTTCATTGGACAGATCAAACTGTTTAATGTCTGTGTGTCTGTGCTGATGTGAGTCTTCCTGTCTCCTCTGTCTGCAGCTCACTGTGCAGAAAACTGCGTTCACGGCCGCTGCATGGCCCCCAACACCTGCCAGTGTGAGCCGGGCTGGGGGGGCTCCAACTGCTCGAGTGGTGAGTGCTGCAGCTGCTGCTGTCTGTGAGCCGTCAGCTCTTTGTTTGTCAGAGAGAAGAGAGAGAAAGAGAGGGAAAGAGGGTCTGCTTTTTCTGTGAAAGTCTCTGAACTCAAGAGGAGAAACAGGCTGTGGTGTCATCTTACTGACCTCTGGAGTGTCCCCAACAAACGCACATTTACACACACTCACAGAGGCAAAACACTGCTGCTGTTTTTGTTGTTTACCTGGATGGACACGTTTCCTTGATTTCTTTGGGGAAGTTAAGAATCTTTTCCTCCTATAGTTCAACATCTTTACGACTGAGCCCCTAAAAGGACACGGAGAAAAAAAATAAAGGATTTTCTCAAGATCTTTTTGCGTGCTTTTGCAAAACTATTGCAAGATCTCACAAAGTTGTCAAAGGGTTATAAGTACAAAGATTAAAGATCAGTGTATTTCTTCCATATCAAGTCAAGCCAAAGGACGGAACGTACGCAGCTGTGGGAGAGGTTCATTGCATCTTTTTTTTTGACATTGACCTCAGATAAAAAGATATTAAATCAGTTCTGAGACGCAAGCACTGTTTTCTTATAAAACACGAGTCATGGAGGATAATTTGAGAGAATTCCTACGGTCGAGGGACATGGACACGAGGACATTGTGTGCATGCAAAGGGACAAGGTCGGCAGAAAATGAGTTCAAAATAAAATTTTGTGAACCTCTCCCACGGCTGAGAATGTTCCATTATTTTTGTTGAATTGACCCAGAAGTAAAACGCTGACCATTAACTACTGAGACAACATTTGGGAGATCTCGCAATAGTTTTGCGAGAGAACACGAAAGACCTCGAGAAAACCCTTATAAATTTATTTTTTCTCCATGTCCCTTTAGGGGCTCAGCACTTTACTGGTTTTTCAGAGTGTTGCTTTTATTTTTATTGGGTCTCTATTTTATTACAGTTTACAGCTTGTTTGTCAAACAGATTTTTTCTCACTTTTTTCCCTAATTTTTCATACAACATCCTGTGATCTGCAGATGCTGAGGTATTTTCCCATTCTTGATTCACCTCCTTTAGAGCCATGGAGGACATCATGTTTTTGTGGTCCGTAGGAATGATCCATGACCAGTAAAATATAATGTCAAATCAGTGCCAGCTCCTTATAACTTCAGCAAAGCAGGGCACAGTGACAACATGGCATTTCCAGGGGTTAAGCTCTCAGAAAAGAGGAAACTAAAACGTTGAAATGCCTTCAACAGTCATCAGCTTTTGGCCCGTGTGTATTTTAGGTCAAACTTGCCGTGTTTATGACCTCATGCTCGCCACACAGTATGAAAGTATGTAGGACGTCCCTGAAAAAATGGCCGGTTTCATTTTAAAATTAGAGAACAGCCACAAACCCAACACAAGTCCTACAGACAACATGAACTCTCTCTGTATAAATCCAAGACACTTAAAATGCACTCTTTAAAATTCTTGCTGCTCTATTTCTGGAAAATGTTCTGCTCATGGTTTCAGTGAAAATTCTGATTTAAATGCACTTTTAGACAGGATGTGAACTATAGATTTATATGCTGTAGATTAATGTGAAACCTGCGATAACATACTTCATCTGCCTTCAGCTTAGAGCGGATTGTACATTTACAGAGAAGTTAAATGGTTTCGATGATGGATGCTGATGTCCAGCAGTCCTGTAACGGAAATGAAGCAGCTGGTGAGCAGCGAAAGCAGCAGCTGACGGCTGAAGAGGGAACATGGGTGTTTGGATCATGGATCGTGTTGATGTCTGAATGAAAGACTCAACTGTTAATGAGCTTCTGTGCAGCTAAATTTAATTTGAAAATACCATCAGCTTTGTTTTAGCGCAAACTGAACTCAGGCTGTGAAGGACGCTCAAGCTTACAGCAACTTAGTTGACAGAATTAGTGAAGGTAGCCCTTTAAAAAGTCATGTTTAGTGTTCATGCACACTTAATGACAGATACACTGTCCTTACCAAGTTGCTGTTACTTTTGGTCGGTTTTAAACACTTCCTGTTTTGGTTGATTAATTGACATACCAACAACACTGTGCCATGTTTCAACACTGATTGAACTTTATGTAAGTCAGTCATTGCCATAGCTAAGACTGCTGTTGTTTTAACCGATACAAAACCATCTCTAAAGTGCTGCAGTTTGGATTAGTCAACATTTATTTGTCTGTAAATGTTTAAATCAACTCTAACATGCTTCTGTTGCCTAAAGAGTCCAGGTCACACTGTTAGGACCTCCTGCCCAACGACATATAAGCTTGCTGTGTGCTCTTTCTATTTTGGAAAATGCCCTGAAAGGTGCATGAAGTTGAATTGTACCATGAGTTCATACATATGGCAGGAAGTATAAAGGAAGCTGTAGCCTGATCAGTTTTAATGTCACCAAGATCAGGACTCGGTAGATAGATAAAAAGATAAAATGTTGGCGCTGTTGTTGTGGGGAACATCACTTCTGCCCGTGCATGCTGCTCAGCGTGACCTCTGTATTTCCTGTTCTTTAAAATCTGGATCCTGTGCAGAAGGACTGCAGCCTTCGGTACATCCAGAGGAATTAAGAAATGAAAAAGGTTAATTTGTTTCTGTCAAATGGGAAAACTTTCAGATACTCTGGAACCAATTTTACGTCTTCTAGCTTATAAAAATCAGAAATCAAGCATCTATAATTATTTCAATGTTTCTTGAGATCAACCCCAAAATAAAATTTAAAAAAACAGAAATGTCCAATTTCTGAATAGTTCTATAATTTCTTTCTCTTGACTAAATCACTGCAGCCAAGAGGCCCAGAGGCCTTCATTTTGGTGCTGTGGGCAGGTGCTAAATTCTGCTGGAAAAGGAAATCAGGAAATCAGCATCAATATAAATCTTGTCTGTAGATGGCATGAAGTGCTGTCAAATCCAGTAGGAGACTTTAGGCTGTGTTGACTTTGGACTTGATTTAACACAGTGCACTGTTAGCAGCAGATGTCATGGCTCTCTAAACCGCCACTGTGTCCGTGTCTTGATAAGTGCTCCAAGTTTCTGAATCGACTCGTCTTGATCAGTCTTTAAAGGCTGTGGTCATCCCTGTTGCAGCCCTCTCAGTATGTTTTGATGCAGCACTTACCCGAGGGTTAAAAGACTGAACACACAAAAAAACATGTAGTATGGAGACCAGAGAATGATGTCATGTTGGCTTTATCCACTTTCTACAAACAGTCTGGGATTTGTGCTCTTTGGAGCCTCTTTGATGTTTCTGATGTTGTGAAAGTTCAATCTGTAAAGAAGCAGCTGTGGATGAAGAAGGGGAAGTCCTGCTGTCTTGCTTGTCTCCATCAGTTCATCAGCGGACACTGGGAAGCTGTCTGATCTCAGACCAGCTCATGTCTTCAGGCTAGTGTTGTCACAGTTTATCAGCCACAGTTGTAGCCAGAGCTCTTTACCACATTAAATCTAATGTTTGTGTTTGGAGCTGTTAATAACACTGCTGGAAACATGACCTCTCTTGGCAGCAAACATGCAGACACTGCCTGTCTGATGGAGGTTATTTTAATGTGTCTCCAGCAGTAGTCCAGACCTATGTGCTGATATGTATGAGCGGCCCACAGGGTGTTCCCCCACCGTTTTCAGTGTCAGTCTGTAATAAAGAAGCTTATTGTTGAGTCTCTGCTCTCCTGGGTCCCAGCAGGCTGGCCTGTCTGTCTGGAAGTTTCTCCCCTCTACAGGAGCTTAATGAAAGTATGAATGACGGGAAACTTTACCCTCTTTGCTGGAAGATGAGACTGGATTAAGGAACTATTATCAAGGATTTATATTGAGTTATGTTGCAGAGTTCTGCACTGGTATGTTTGCACAAGTTCAGAAAAAATCGTCTGCATTTGTTAAAAATAGTTTTATGCTGGACAAAGTCAGGAAAAAGACCAATTGGGGGTGACATTTCTACAGCAACGTAAAGAAATGATCTAATCTAGATTTTCCTCAAACTTAACCATGCTTACATGCGTTGTCTAAAACTGTACCCCCAAGAACTTTCACAGTTTTAAAGACATAACAATACAGATGCTTTTTGACTGTTTGGATCCTTGATGTCAACTTTTTGCCATCGGCTATTGGTCAGCCATCAGTCAGTGTGTTTACATGCACAGCTTAATCAGACCAAGCTCATAATTTGTTTTTTTTTCGCCAATCAGACTTCGAGAAAGAAGAGCATCGTACAGCATCGTTTTTGTACGCGCTACTTTTTCTCCAGATGAGGTGCTCGCTACTACTTGTGCCACTTCTTCTCCGGTGTTTTTGTTCTGGGGTTACGGGGACGTGACACACGCCCACATGCATTGTCCAATCATACTCCGACTACGCTGGTTACATGGTAGAGAAAATCGAATTCCAATCCCATCATCTGGGTGTCTTAATCAGAGTTTGAGAACTGGGACTAAGGTATTAACATGCACTTCAGTTGTCTTAATCAGCGGAAGGCAATAATTCGGTTTTCTCAAGTGTCATGTAATCGCACTGACTGAGTGTCCGTGATTCTAGTTTTTGGGAAGTCCTGCACTGCTGTTTTTCTCTGATTAAGTCCCTCATAAAGTGGTCACTTTCCACGCTTTTTGCGGAGGAAAACTTGGCGAGTCCTCCAGAAGAACCATCCAGAGTCTGAGTGTGAACAGGAAGTGTTGCAGCCAAGGTTGTAACAGCATATCTGTTAGTGGTTTTCCAGAAACTGGAGTGTTATTCTTACCCTCTTGCCTTTTGTGTAAGTTGACTCTGCAGCATTGGACCAAAACCACAATAGCATAGAAATGAAGTAGGTGTAGGAATGGCTTTGTACACATGCCCATGCAGATCACTCCTGTTCTTACGTTACTACAGGAGATCATTCAGATCTACTTGCTGGTGCTTTCCCAGCAGGTGGGCTGCAGAAATAATGGCTGAAGGATAACCGAAGTTTTTATGACATGAAACCCTCAAGATTTACCCCCTAAATTGATTTTTGACATTCTTAGCCTGTGAAATTGAGCACAAGTTTCATGAGATGTGAAAATTTTACCTCCAAATGTCAAAATAGACTCTTAGATAACTACATCTTGTCCAGACCTCCTTTCCTGGCAGCAGTTTCTTTTCTTTTTAATCTCTCCCTCCTTCATTACAACCGTCTGTCTCTCAGACAATACATGTCCTCAGATCAATACTGAGCTGAAGCTTCGACAGACCACCCGAGCTTTTCTTTATCGCTGTGAATGTGTGACAGAGCAGCTAAGAAGCTGCTGATTCTCATAAAATACCGGGTTACTCGCCAAGTTTTGGAAATGTTGAGTTGATTAAAGAGGACAGGAGAACGTAGCGCCATAACAATGCTATAATCTTTGTCTAAAATGTTTGCTGAAATAGAGAGCAGTGTTTGTCTCTCTGTAAATGTTGAACGTATCAGGTCACTTACAGCTTTCAGCCACCGTTCAGAAACATGTCTTTAATTTCCTGAAGAGCCGCTGAAGCCTCCGATGCATTGGCTGTGTTTTACAGGTCAGTGGGCCCCAACAATATGTCTGAGGATCAATTTGGGGGCCAAGCACAGGAAATGGGGGAAGTCTGCTTGTGTTGCGGGGTAAGCAGGAATAACAGAGGGGAGAAAATTGCGTGGTAGAAATTGACCCCGGGCGCTGGAGCTTGTGATTTAGTACACATGATAGCAACACAAGATGCCTGGGAGGCCTCAAGTTCAGCTGTGAGAATATCAGAAAAATAACAATATGAGGCCTGCTGCTAATCTGACAGCCTCAGATCCTGTTTGTGTTCAGACTTTACTCTCCTGGCAGCAGTCTGACGATATCTTCAGCAGAATTTTGAAGACAGATAATTCTGTGTCATTTTTGTGCTTTTCTTCTTTGTGGTTTATATATGTTTTTTTTTTTTTTTTACATCTTAAACTGAATCAGGGTGCTTAAGATTTTATATCACTCTAAATTAGGGTTAGAACTAATAGCTGCTATTTTTAAAGTCTTCCCTGCAAACACATTAATGAGGTCTGCTTTACCACAAAGTCCAGCTCCAACCAAAGCATTTCAGCTGCTCTGAATTTTTTGCTGCTGCTCTCCCTGCCTTGGCTGTTCATGTATACAGATAAAAGAAAACAAAGCTATAGGCTCACTGTTTCCAGAGCAGATGCTACTGCTGTCCTGGCCCTGTTTTAGATGAAACCAGTCCATGTGAGGTGGAAGTCTTTGCTGCTGCTTTCCCCACCTCAGGCTTTGTCATTCTTCACATGTGCATATATATGTGATTTCATGGGTGAATTTACTCTAAAGTTAGATCATAACTAAAACCAAAAAGGGCTGTAAAGGAGATATAAAATGTAAATAAACAGTTGTCTCCCCAGAGTTTCCTTTTTCAGTGCAGAAAAAAAGCAGCACAAGATATTTTTCAGGTTGCTATGGTTGTGTCTAAAGACTGCAAACTAAAGATTGAGACTATAAAATCATCAGGAAAATTTACTGATGGAATAAAAACGTGGAAAAGTAGGACAATTTTCTTATAGACATCTTTATTATCAAACATACCCTGTTTGACATCTTTATATAGTTTGCCCATGTTCCATCTGGTAACAAGGAGGAGGGGAGCTACTAACGGTAGAAGCTCTTAATGTTTTGGTCTCACTTTTGGAGAGGTGTCTTGTCATCCATCTTCTTATACAGCAGATATCACAGGTCACTTTTAGATGAAGCAAAGCCCCTTCAGAGTCACAGAAGTTGCATTACCGTTAACTTTACCGACAACTTTTTATTATTTCATGGTCCAGGGATGCATTTGGGGGACCTGATGGGACATTTGAAGTGGTGCTGGTTCTGTGTTTCACACGTTTGAAATGGGGTCAACCCCAGTGTAAACACATTGCCGGTGGCCTGGTGGTTTTATTGTGATTTGACGTTAAATCTGCGGAGGAGGACACACATTCCCGTTCAGCCTGGATATCTGCAGGAATGCTACAGATGTTTTTTCTCACTGGGAATCCAGGGTGCCAGTGTGTGAGGCGTTTTCTGTTCCCATGAGTGCACCGTGCCTGCTTGACTGGGTAATCACTGAAAAGATGGAAAAACATCCCGCTCCAATCCCTCCCCAGTGAGGACCGTCTGAGCCGAGCCAACTCTGAACAACTGGCAGCTCCAGTTACCGCTCTGGGCTTTTCTCGACCCTTTCCTCCCCTGAAATCTCACATGGTGCGAGGTGTGAAGAAGCTGTTTTACTGTTTTTATGGCTTGTTGTGTCTTTGATTCACTTTCCACGAACGTGAACTCAGTAGGAACTGAGAGGTGTTACAGATTCCTCCTCCAAAACAAACCTGTAGAAGAATAAAAGCAGAGATTTCCTGCCTGAACTGTGACACACTCAGCCTTGTGACCAAACCCTTACACTGTGCAGTTCCTTTTGTTCCCGGCCATCTTGAATGAGCCGATGAAAGAGAACAGTCTGTTCTCCGACCAGCCTGAAGCTCCTGGAGTTTGGCCTTTTCTTCAATCTAGGTCAGGTTTCACAAAGGTAGCAGGCCTGCAGATCTGAATGAGCAGGGTTTTACATGTGCATCTTAGTATCTCTAATCTCCTCCCCTGTCTCTTTGTCTCCTGTCCCTCCCCCCTCAGCCTCATACAGGCCCAGACTGCCTGAGGAAAAGGAAGTATGCAGTTTTTGTGGGGTCAGAGTGAACCAGGCTAATGCAGGAGGAATAAAAGGAGCCTGTTAATCACTTGAACAACTTGAGAATGGAGGAATGGTTGGAGATTTCTGTGTTGCTCTGCATGCAGGGCACACAAACAGCCAGCTGGAGAGAGCAGACACAGAGCTATGAGGACATTCCTTACAAAAATAACATTTTATGTCACTGTTTGGAGGCAAAAAGTCTTTTAAAATGACAACAATTATACACTGAAGGGAAAAAAGAAGTTTGCAGTTCCTCTTTGTAGCTTTTTAGCTCCTATTTTTAGTCACAGACATAGAACTATTTTCAGCCCTCCGTTGTTTTGCCTACAGCAGAAAGATGTTTTTAATGAAAATAATGGGGTTTGATTTTAGTCTGAGAAGTGGTCTGGCCCCAAGTTGCAGTCTTGAGTATCCTGACCATTCAGGTCTCAGCAAGAAAAACAGTCTGTTTGGAGAGCAAAAGCAGGAGGAACACAATCCACCATCATGACATCCAGCTCCCGTTGTTAGTAATCTGAGGAGCGTTTATTTCTCTGTATAAAGAGATATCTGCATGAAGGTCAGCTGACAATCTGCTCTAGATCAAACATGAGAGAACTTATCTGTTTGAAGCTGAAGTCCCGTCCACAGGGAAACAAATTCAGGAGTAGACGCAAAAGTTATATATCATATTAGCATTTCATCCATATGGAAAGCATTTCAGGTGACTGTAAATTATACTTTTTGAAAATGCGTTCCAGAGTGCATGCACATGTGGCAGCATATGTCGAGCCATTTACTGTCTAGGCATATACACTACTGTTTTCTGTCATTTTCAGTGGTTTTATGTTCACATCAATGTTTCCTGAAATGATGTCTTTATGGAGAACTTTTACAAAATAAAACAACAAGATATTGTTTTCATCTCCGTGTTTATAAGGCATGAGTCATGAAAGACTATCAGCATTTAGATTTCCTAACTTCCCTGAATGCATCAGAAATGATGGATCTGACTATAAGTCAAGACAGACTTGACAAAACCTGACTATTGACTCATCTTCATCATGTTACTTCAACAAACTGAAGACCCGCTGATGAGGAGAGAATCTCAAGAAGATCGGTTTCTGTTTCAAGTTTGTACTACTGAAGGAAGCCAGAGGGAAGCCTGCGAGTAACTATTTACAGAGAAACTGAGACTCACCACAAACAGGCGAACAAATGAACCCAGAAACTATTGTGCTTACTCAACAAACAAACAAATATTGTGTAGGGAATTTGGCTGGTAACGGTTCAGCAAAAGAAAAAAGGGGACTCAGCCAGAAATCACTGAGCACATACAGAGAAGTGGGGACTCTAGAAGCAAACCAATGTCAGTAAGCCAGTATGAAGCCTCTGTGTAATTTAATGTTAACAGTGAAACTGAGACCTACCATAAACAAACGAGCTGAAGGATGTAAGGAGTCTTGAAATTACAGTAATTACTTCACAGACGTATCTTGAGCAGTGATTTTCTTTTCCTTTTAATTCAAACACAAAGTCGCCTTAATTTCAGACTTTGCTCTCTAAGTAAAGGAAAGTTTTTGCTGGAAGTTGTTTGTTGCTGACCCTTCATTACACCAGAGAACGGATAAGCTGGTCATCATACAAATATGTTAAATTGTGGACTTCAAATCATCATCAGGACATGATCCTGACTCTGAACTTAAAGAATAATGTGTAAATCTGTTGAATGTGTATTTAGCTTTTATATTGCCAACATGTCCATCGTAAGACTCATATAGAATCACTTTTGCCTTGTTAAATCTGATCTGATAGTTTGATGTATGACCTCCTGCTTTCAGAAAATAGTGCCCCATAATTCAAACAAGAAGCAAACAGATAAATGTTGTAGAAGAGTTGTAAACCAGAGCGCTGCAGGATTCATTCAAGTTCCCTCACGGTCACAGACATCCACGGTGCTTAAAACACGGTAGATAACCTCTAATAAAAACAAAGTATAGACCTTGTGTGGTTTACACTACATTTACATTCTGGACATAAAGAAGCATTAAGCATTTTGTTTAAGTTATAACATTTAATGGTGCGTAGCTTATTTCTGCCCTTGAGTAATGGTCATGTGTTTTCTTATAAACTGTGCATGACTAAATTCAAAAAAGGGAGATAAACTGCTGTTTTGTGATTACATAGTGTAAGGATTATAACATCAATGCTTTTAAATTTATTTTTTTACACTTAAATTGACTTCACTCTGTTTCTGTATCCCTTCATTTTAAAGTCCTCTCTGTCTCTTCACCTTGATCACACTCCCTGTAAAAGTCCCATCTGATGACAAACCGCAATCTCAGCATCAGTAGGATCACTCATTTCTCCTGCAGCTGTTCTGTGTATATTCAAACCAAAGCGGGGAAAGCACAGTCAGCTGCAGAGGTCAGTCACAGCCTGCAGGAGCCCCACAAGCACATGGGAAACAGCTTTAATGTTTACAGGCAGCTTTTCATACACTGTTACCACCAAGATCAGAGGTGAAGTCGGAGATTTAGAGATTTTGAGTTTAAAATACTCAATAGTAGGAAACAGTCTCATTACTATCTTAGGCAGCCCTCAGTTTGTACCGTTCCTTTAAATATTGGACCTACAGGTATTTTACCTTTTAGTAAGATTTAAAGCAACATCATTAACATGGTGATCTAATGACATTATCAAAATATCATTATATCATGTGACTCGGGCTGAAAAGAGAAAAAAAAGTCATCAACTATTCAAACCCGAGCTCACGATTTTACAAAACTACACAGTGCGAGGTTAGGGTTAGGGTTTAAACAGAACAACTGTTTTTACATCTGACTACTGGTTGTGTCAAAGGTAACCGGCTGAGTTAGAATCAGTAAATGAACTGTAGTTGTTGACTGCTTATTGTTTCATCCCTTTGAAATACATTCAGAAATGTTCAAATTTAAATATGTCACAGGTGTTTCACAAGTATTCGGAGCTAGTAAGGATATCAGAGTGTGATTATTTTTAAATGAGTGAAACTGTCTTCGTGTTTATCGCCTTTACAGTACGCTGTATACTGGCCCATTATTAGCAGAAACACCACTTGTCACAAACACTTAATTTACTGAGGAAAACGTTAAAAATATATATATTGTTTTTTCATACTATACTGGTTGCAGCTTGATAATGTAGTGGATTCACTTACTGTGGCAGATGTAAGGTTTGTGTGGTCTGTGCGTTATAAACAATATTAAAATGCGTCTGCACTGAACAGCAATAAATGACGACAGAATATGTCAATGTTACGATTCCTCCAGATTTGCAGATTGAGGGCATGTTGTAATCCTTCTAATCTAATATCAAGCTATTGTGCACTCCTAACTGAAACAGATTCATTGAGTGTATTTCATAGCAGACCAAGCAGGTGGATGACAGGCCATAAACGGGCCGTAAAACAGATGCTAAATGGTACTTGGATGTGTCTTTATTAAATGCCAAAGTAATGTGACATACAGCTGATATAAGATGACTCTGAGTGGAGACTTAAAGGGTTTAGCAGTGACTTGTCAGGAGAAGGCTGTTAACAGAAACACAGAAAGTGTTGTCTCTAATGAAGTCTCTCTGAACTGAAATAGAGCTCTCTGACGCAGAGTCCCGTAATGAAAGGTTGGCACTGTAAACATTCGGACTCCCCCTCCATCAGCCTCCTGACGTGTTTTCTACAACATGAAACATGCTGAGAATAAACATGTGGTCCAGCTCAGTCTCAGGTTTACTCTTTAACCGAGGCTTAACACGGAGGAGTTTCCAGAGCAGTGATGTGAAGTCCAGAAACACAGACAAGGTGTGGCCTGATTAGGGGTCAAATCCCACAGCTGAAGGTTAATGAGGCGGGTTCAGGTCGGAGCGGACTAACCGCACAGTAATGGCGTCTGTGGCTGCACAAAGAATCAGTTTGCATGTTTGTGATGAGGAGCAGGCTTTGGTTTCAGCTTACATGTTGGCCTCATCACCTCATCAGGGTTGCTTCTTATCACCAGTTCTGTTTGTGATTTCTACTGACAAGATTTTGAGGTGCAGTTTAGGAAAAGGGGTCTGCAGTGTGGGAGCCTCAAGATCCCATCTCTTCTTTTTGCAGATGAGGCTGTTCTTTTTGTGTCTTCAGACTGGAACCTCCAAGCATTGGAGTGATTTGCAGCCAAGCGTGAAGCAGTAGGGATTAGTTTCGGCACCTCCAGGTTTAAGGGCGCTCTTTCAAAAATCAGTGGATTGCTCTCTCTTTAGGTGGAGAGTGAGTCTTTGCCTCATGTGAGGAAGCTCAAACATCTCAGCTTTTGTTCACAGTGAGGGTAAAATCGATTGTGACCATGTTGATGCAGCGTCAGCAGTATTAGAGATACCAAACTGTCATAGTTAGGAGGAAACTGAACTCAAAGGTAAAGCTTTCAGATCACAGAGACAAGCAGCCAAATTTAGTTTCCTCCATTGGGTGTCTGAGCTCAGCCTGGATGTAAGGTCAGGAGCTTGGAGATCTGGAGGATGCTCAGAGTCGAGTTGCTGCTCCTTCGCACTGAAAGGAACCCGGTTGAGGTGGTTTGGACAGCTGATGAGAACGCCTCCTTTAGAGGGTTAGCTAGAGGTAAGGTGGGTTGGCTGGATAAGGCTCACTGTACACCATGCAAATAACATGTTGGTTGGTTGGTTGGTTGGTTGGTTGGTTGGTTGGTTGGTTGGTTGGTTGGTTGGTTGGTTGGTTGGTTGGTTGGTTGGTTGGTTGGTTGGTTGGTTGGTTGGTTGGTTGGTTGGTTGGTTGGTTGGTTGGTTGGTTGGTTGGTCGGTTGGTTGGTTGGTTGGTTGGTTGGTTGGTTGGTTGGTTGGTCGGTTGGTTGGTTGGTCGGACGGTTGAAAGATAAGTTGGTTGGTTGGTTGGTTGTAGCAATCAAATGCATACTGTAAAACACCCTCAAATTTAACTACACTCTGTCATCAGCTCACATGACGCATTTCAAAAGATTTGTCAAGGACCATTGACACTTTATTAAAGTCCATATTTAATCTTTGAGGCTGTGATATGCAAGACTTTTTTGTTTGGAGTATGACACAGAGGGAATTTGTGCAGGTTAAAATACAGTGGCCCAGGAATCAAACCCTGTGGATCCTCGCATTATTAGAGCCTGCATGGCCATCAATTGGAAACACAATGAAGAAAGCATTGTCAGTGTCTGTGATTGAGAAAGACACTTCTGAAAGGAAGCACATACAGTAAAAAAAGAAAAAGGCTTTGCATAAAGCAGTTGTCGGTGTTGTCTTTCATCATATTCATACAACACTTGTGTAAATTGTGTAAATTGTTTAGTTTTTTTTTTGTCCTGGAGCTGCTCTCAGATCAGGGTTTAAATTACTCTCTGTGTCAGTCAAGAGTAAAAAGAGCCACCAGATAACCTGGATGATTACAGGACTGACTGAAGTGTCTCAGATTGTGTTTGTGGAGGTGATATTACATTACAAGGGTGTGTTAAAGGCTTCACAATGCAGTCTGAACATGTGATCCCATGAGTGAAAAGAAGCCGTTAGAAAGAGTTTTAGAAACATTTAAAAAGACACATAATCAGCTGTGACCTGTGCAGAGACACCTGTCCATCAAACCTAACCCTGACTCCTCCTCTTCTTCTTCCTCAGCATGTGACAGCCAACACTGGGGTCCTCACTGCAGTAACAGATGTCAGTGTCAAAACGGGGCGCTCTGTAACCCCATCACTGGCGCCTGTATCTGCACTCCGGGCTTCAGAGGATGGCGCTGTGAGGCCCAGTGCGAGGTCGGGACCTATGGGACCGGGTGCCAGCAGAAGTGTCAGTGCCAGAACGGAGCCGCCTGTCACCACGTGACCGGAGAGTGCAAGTGCCCACCAGGATACACTGGAGCTTTGTAAGTAATGAGTGAGCTTAGCTTTCTTTAGAGAAGGAGAAACATCCTGTGAACGAGTAGAAATCATGGTTCTGTTTGTAAAAAGCGGTCATAGCCATCCTTCCTTCCTTACCTGGAAGTTGGTTTGAAGACTTTTTTTTAAAGCCTAGTGATTGGGGTTTTAGTCTTAGAGTATAGAAAGTTTATCGCTTTGACCAGGGGTTCTTAAAGTTTTTTGGTTTGGGACCCAGAAGAAATATCTCTCTGGGACCCAGATTAAAACAAAATCACAAACCCCCAAAACATCTTTATTTTTACACCAATGACTTTAAAACTTTTCCTGTCATAGAAGTGAGATGCTCTCTTCACTGCTGTCATGCTTCTTTTGTTTTCGGTCTTATTCTAGTTTCTGAAACTGGTATACGAGGTTTGCAAGCACAAATCAGTTTTTGAGAAAGTTCCTGAGGTTTTATAGAGAGTGCTTACATAATAAAGTTGTCCTTGTCTCCACAGCTGTGAGGACCTGTGTCCTCCAGGTAAACACGGTCAGCAGTGTGAGGAGAGGTGTCCCTGTCAGAATGGGGGAGTGTGTCATCATGTGACTGGAGAGTGCTCCTGTCCAGCAGGATGGATGGTACGGACTCAAAACACTTTGTTTGAATCCTTCAAAGCAGGGGTCCTCACCGGTACTGGACCTCGAAACAGTACTTGGTCTTTTGAACCAGGCCACAAAAATCCAGCCTGAACCGAGAAGGTGGCTGTAACTGCTGCTGTATAAATGCTGCACTGATTTTTGTTGCCCAACCTTTTATGAATTCCTCAAGGCAAATTCCTTTAAAGTTAAAAGTGACAATATTTTGTATTTATTTATTTGTTTGTTGGTTTAACGAGAAAATTCAGTAACATGAATGATGAAACATTGAACAGATGAACTGGTTCATATATTTCACCTCTAAACTTTTTAACTTGAAGGACAGAGGGATACTAGTCTTTAATTTTCCATTCAATACTCAGCTTTTTTTTAACTTTTTAAAACTAGAGCTTTTTTAAACTAAAGTAAACCTTTGCTAACTTCATATCATTAGAAACAGGACCTTGCCCACACCCCTGTTTTTCTGCCACTATGAGGCAAACCTGAGTTTGCTCATTTTCGACACTGTTCAAAGAGAAACCGATTTACTAGCTCTCTGTATGGAGGTATAAAGATGTCAGTTCTCATAGATGTCATGTCTATAGCTGCTCTCATGATAAACTCTGTGTGTGTGTCTGTGTGTAATTGTATGTGTAGGGGACAGTGTGTGGACAGCCGTGTCCAGAAGGCAGGTTTGGGCAAAACTGCTCTCAGGAGTGTCAGTGTCACAACAACGGCTTCTGTGTGTCGTCCAGCGGACAGTGTCTCTGCAGCCCCGGATACACTGGAGAACGGTAAAACACACACTTTACTAACAGCTTTTTTGTAACACATTTAAAGGTAACATGCTACTGTATTGGGACAACATTTATCTGTAACACATTACCATTACTGATCAGATGATAATCTTGTTTCTCTAAAGTTCCTCTGTCTGTATAACTGGGGGACAGAAAAAACTATCAAACTTCCTTTTTCATGCCCTTCTCCTTGGCTTCACTCACGGGATGTGCCGGTGGCTTGAGGTCATAGAAGGGGAGACTTAATAGGGCAGAGCAGCTCAACTGAAAGCATCTTTAAAGGTTTGGATGTTGCACATTACTGCAGATTTGACCTGGCCAGAGACAGCTTTCCCAACCTGAACAGAGCTACATGTGGACATAAATGCTTGAGCAGTTGTCTGACTTACACCTGGGTCAAAGTTAAGTCCCTGTCAGGTCCTGGACATGATTTCAAGCGAACTTTGCAGTCTGTCCGTCTTCTTCTGGCTGACAAGTTCAGGGTCAGGTAGGAGCAGCTGCAGATTTTCTTTAGCTCTTAAATTTAGATTTGAAATGAAATTTTTGAGCAGCAGCTGCAGCAGGAACCACTTTATATTGAAGAGAAACTAAAACAGACCATGTTGACCTGGCATTTTCTTTGGTTTCTAAACTGGCCAAAGAAAGCAGACTGACAAACTGAACCGGGAGGACATGTCCCCTGGTGTCCTGGTTCGACCCGGTGATCACTCTGGGGGGTGAACGAAAAAGAAAGTCTGAAATAAATCATCTGTATCTGCTTAAACTCGTCCACATCCTGAAAAGAGAAGAGCTGTCAGAGGAAGCAGACTCGGTGTTTTCTCAGACAGATCTCAGAGCGGCGCTCGGCGTCACACACATATAATTAACAATATCACAGAGCGCACACATATACTTACCCCAAGTCAGGAATAGACCGTTAGAGTGCACTGTAACCAGAAAATAAAGGTTTGAGGCAAGCCAAACCAAAGTGGAGCCCTACTGGGAACTGGGCCGGCCGAGCCACACCCGAACCCACCGGATCCATTAACAAGACGGGGGGAAGAGAAAACAGAGCTGAATGCTAAACACTGCTGATGGGCAGAGCTGAGGAAAAAATGGGGGATGTTTCAAATAGGAAAGAGGGATTAAAAGAATACGTTAAGCCTGGATAATAATGTGAGGATATATCTAATATTACCTTTATTCAAATTTAAAAATGGAGTTGTTTGTTATTATTTTTCTTATCAAACTAATGGTAACAGAAACATTAACCACAAAGAGAGGAATCAAACCTTACAGATCCTCTCTACCTTATCCACACTATCTAACCATGTACCTCCCTGTGTCTCTGTTTGTTTCAGGTGTCAGGACGAGTGTCCGGTCGGCACGTTCGGTGACGGCTGTGCAAGGACTTGTCGCTGTAAGAACAACGCTAAGTGTTACCACACCAACGGGATGTGTCTGTGTGAGCCGGGATACACCGGAGAGACATGTGATGTCCGTCTGTGTGCGGAGGGACACTACGGCCTGCGATGTGACAGGAAGTGTCCCTGCTTCGTTCAAAATACACGCAGGTACACAAACACACCTTTAACTTCGAATGTTGAAGACAGGGTCGGCTTAATAAGGACAAAATCTGAGTAAATATCTGATTAAAAGGTTTCGAATTTGCCTTCAAAGTGATAACACACGTCATAAAGAGGTTTTTCTGCATGCTTCTGGTCTGCGCAGTGTAGAGTATGTGTTGTATTGCTTGAGTGGTTTGTACAGCACAGCTGTGTGTGCATGTGTCTCTGCAGAGAGCAGCTGGTCCGGCTCTGTGAATGTGAGCTCTGTGTCAGGTGGAGCAGCTGTCACTCAAACAGTCACAAACAGAGACAGATGCACACTCCTGTGCCGCTCCAGATCATCCTCATACAGCCAGCAGGAGAGAAAAACATCATGCACACTGTTAGCCTCTGCACAGGAGAGAGAAAACTGATCAAAAACCTGCATTAACTTATGTCAGAGTTCAGCAACCTTAGATAAACTTCATTGGTCCAAATAAGAGATATAGGCTCAGATTCAGTGGGGAATTCAGGCTGTTTAAGGGACAGTCCACCTCCACTATGACCCCGAGCATGAGTGCACAGAAAGTTATGACAAATGAAGATCTGATGGGGTTTTTTTTTATCCCTAAAACTTATCTTTTTTAATACATTTTATGGCAGAAGGGGGACATCTAAATGATCAAACCTGAGGGCACTTTGTTTTTAAACATTTTATTTACTGGACAAGCACCCAAGGGCCCCTTGGAAATGTTTTATCTTGTAGAACAGGAACTATTTAAAACATTTTTATGCATTTATATGAATAGGACACCAGAAAAGGCATTTTAATTAAAATGTTTTATTTGCTACAGGGACCTTAATCAAGAAAATTGTGCAGCATTTTTTCAGTCATGAGAGCAGAGTGTAAAAATACTGCACAATTATTACCCTAGTGCTTAACTTAAGAGGCGTGTCGGCTGTGTGAAAGCCTAAAAAAGGCTGTATCTGTGTTGACAGATTGAACTGTCCAGACAGTCACCATGTCGGAGTTTCAGGACAAACTTTTTTATTATTTGCCAGATTCTTCAAAAGATTAGTGGACCAGTTGTCATGAAAGAAAAAAATGGTGTACAATGAAAACTACATTCTGTGGTGCAAACATCTCAAGTATTCCACAGTAAGATGCCAGACTATTTAAACCCACAAACAGAATCAGTGTGCATTGAGTTGGGTTGTTGTTTACCTTTTGTTTGAAGAATTGTTCTAACTCTCTTTTGTGGAGTGAAACTTTAAGCCCAGAGTTTTTACATCTTAAAACCTGGCTCTCAGAATTTTGGGAGTTTCCATGTTCTAGCATTCCGCATTTTAATGTTAAAACACAGGGTCTGTCAGAAGGAACAAAAGACGCTGTAATAAAAACTAAATCAAATTCACAGTTTATGTAACTTTGACCCATACAGACATTAATCTTCCAAAGAAACACTTTATGTAGCCTCATTAGTAACAAAGCCTAGAGGAAGGATTATAAAACAATGTTAAAAAGGGATCTTTATTCCACTGAAACTACTATTTACAGTTTTATGCTTTTTGAAAGAAGTAAAGATGTGAATAGAAAAAAAATCCTGACGACTCTAAGATGTTGTTTTACACCCAGGCATTCCGTTAGCTAACATCGGAGCTAACTTTAGCATGTTTGAAATCCATAGATCTGATAGAAAAGAGAAATGTTTGCTCAAGCTAGAGAACAATTATATGGATGTAGAGCCAGCCCAAGCCTCCATGGGTGGGGGTGTCACCTCAACAGCGGTGTGTACATCTGTAATAGATTGGCAGGTAGTCAGCGCCCCTATGCACCACACACACTACATATCCAGTTTTTGTGGCCCTATTGTTGATCAGCCTGTTGCTAAGACAATTGCATAAACGTTGATTGAAAGTCGCTGGTTTACAAGATCACTCTTCACCTATGGCCATGTAATAGCCATATAATGTGGTGGCAGGTAATGAGATTATTTCTTTGTACCTGCAAATTCCTTTGAATAAATCCACAAATTATAAATTAAATGTAAAATTACTGGGTTTTTTTGGATTCATAGAAAAACATTTGAAAGAATATAAAGTAACCGGATAGCTTTGTCACATTGACTGTCAGGTTTGTATCACTACATTTGACATCATATCAGTTAAAAAGCTGTATGACTTCATTAGTTGATGCAAAGTGACTCCTGTGGGCTTTAAATGTTGATCAAGGTTCTAACAGTTTCACAGCAGTAATAAACCTGCAGAATCACAAAAATATATATACATATATATATATATATATATATATTTAGGGATAACATCACAGTTTTGTGTCTCTTGTTTACAGTTGCCACCCGATGTCAGGTGAGTGCACTTGCAAACCGGGCTGGTCGGGTCTCTACTGCAACGAGACATGCACACCTGGGTTTTACGGCGAGTCGTGTCAGCAGGTGTGTCAGTGTCAGAACGGAGCTGACTGCCACAGTGTGACTGGAGAGTGCATCTGTGCACCTGGATTCACGGTAAACACATTTTGAGAACAGTTCCTTTCATACAGTGTGTGAATAACAGCATGTGTGAATAAAAATGTGATTATAAAAAAGCAGTAAACTTAAAAATCGTTTGCTATACTCAGAAAATTTGATCCAAATGTACTGACAATCACAGGCTCCATGGCTTCTCTTTATTTGAAGAAGCGAACATCAGTTATGTTGCAGCTCTTTAGCAGCATCTAGTGGTAGCAGGAAGAACTACAATAATATACTAGAATTAGCCATCAGCGCATGTTCACATTTTTGCCTATTTGATGTAAGTTTTTGAATATATTTTCAATCGGTTCACATCCCTAGAACCTTAAGAACTTTTTATTTGACAAAAGTCTGAAAATTGTGTCATATACAATAAAAACAGTAATTTTACATGATTTTTATTACAGATTTGTCTCAACTAATTGTGGAAACTTCTTTATGTGAAATAATTCTAAATTTGAGAACTTGAGAAAAATGTTTACATTGCGGAAGCTGCTGAAGCTCTGTGCCTTCACAGTTCCTGAAAAATATTTTCTTTTTTGTTTCCACAATGCAAATCTGGTATTATTGGAAATTTACCCGAGGTGCTGTGTGCTTTTGGGCAGCAGTGTTTAAGCTTGTTCATGTTTATGTCCACATCATGACTTTTAATTCACTTTTTACTTAACTTTATTTTATTTGAGTTTTTGAATAAACATTTTCTGTTATGAATAGATGTGTCTTTTAGTGATCCAGAGCTTCACATGAGCACAAGAAAACTTTTTCCAAGTATGATGAAACCAAACTCAGAAAACAAATCCTCATTGTTTCCATGTGAAACTTTTCTGTTTAAAAAATTTATGATCCATGGAAAAGTTTTATGTGGAAACAATTTAACTCTGTGGGAACCAAGTCCATGATTTTTTGCCTGTTCCCACAGATACTAAATCCACATGTCACCTTTGATCTTTACTGAAGAATTAGTCATTAATCATGTGTAATGTTGGTCAAACTCTGAAAAAGAGATAAAAAACTGTCTCCTGTTGTTTCATTTTCTTTAGGGTCCAAATTGTTCGGTCCCGTGTCCTGCAGGAACTCACGGTGTGAACTGTTCCTCCACCTGTGACTGTAAGAACAGAGCTCAGTGCTCACCTGTGGATGGATCCTGCACCTGCAAACCAGGTGAGCTAAGGAGGAGACAGAGAGAGAGAATATGACAGGAAAACACGTTATCAGACTGGTCTTGTACTGGTCATGTACAAATATATGCATACTTAAGTGAAAACACATATTCATATGCATCTATACACATCCACATAAAGTAAAAGTGGCGTAGCTTTTGAAATCTTCCTTCCTTCCTTAACTTGCTTTTTATTTTAGGATTATTTCTGATCTTAAAAAAAATTCTCTCTCTGTGGTCAGGTTGGCACGGCGTGGACTGCTCTATCAACTGTCCCAGCGGCACCTGGGGTCAGGGCTGTAACCTCACCTGTCTGTGTGGGAACGGAGGAGCCTGTAACGCTCTGGACGGTCAGTGTACCTGTGCTGCAGGATGGAGGGGGGACAGGTGTGAACTGCACTGTCAGGTGAGATGATATCAATATCATAGGTGTCGATTTATTCGTAAGATTAACTTAAATGTTTAACTTGTTATAAAGTATTTTTTCCCTAATCGATAAACTCTTTCACAATGATTAATATTTAGTCTTATTTATGTATGTATGAATGTAACACTAATGACCATCAATTTTTGTCTTGTATAAGATACTAAGTAATTACAAAACATCTATCTCAATATAGATATGAATCATTACAAATGAACCTCAACCAAAGAGAATATCATTTATTAGCTTCATTAACCTTTATTAAAAAATAATCAGCATTTGCCTATAAAACATGAATATTAGAATGACGTCTGTAAATCATCCAAAATATTTAAATGACCGTTTATGACTATTTACAGCCGTTTACTGCTCTACAAGGCAATAACGAACCAGTCTAAATTTTGTCAATAACATCATCTTTGCATTCCAGAATACAAGTCATGATCCATATTCATGGAGCCTGCAACCATCGTCAAATAATTAAATGAAAATCATTTATGTTCATACTCCTGTTCTTTTTTTAAGGACGGGACATACGGTCTGGACTGTAAAGAGCGATGTGATTGCAGCCATGCTGACGGATGTCATCACTCCAGTGGACACTGCAGGTGTCTGGCTGGATGGACAGGTGAGACTTTTTTATATGTTATACCATCAGATTTAATGATTTATGTTAAAGATCTTAAAGCACAGCAGCTGCTCCAGCAGTATTTAGTCAAAATCAAATGTGCTGCTGGTTAAAAAAAGGTGCCTGTCAATAGATAAATGAGCCATAGAGACACAAACTGGGGCTCTATAGGAACTGACTGACTGCGGGACACAGCCTCTAGTGGACACCAGAGGAACTGCAGATTTTGCGTTGGCTTACTTGATTAGACTGGAGGATGCCTTTTGATCGCATTGATTGTGTGTGTGTGTCTGTGTGTGTGTGAGCAGGTATCCACTGTGACAGTGTGTGTGCAGAGGGCCGCTGGGGGCCGAACTGTTCGCTGCCGTGTAACTGTAAGAACGGAGCGTCCTGCTCACCGGACGAGGGGACCTGTGAGTGCGCTCCAGGATTCAGAGGGACCACCTGTCAGAGGAGTGAGTGAATCATCATCATTATTATTATCATCATCATCATCATCATCATCATCATCACACACTGCTACAAAACAACAACATATTAGTAACATTCACATATTAAACTGAGATCATACACAAAAAGATGTCAAGTGCTCAAAGTAAAGCAGTCCTTTGGGAGATCATAGTTATATGATATGCTGAACCCTTAAAGCAGAGCTGCAATATGTATTAGGACATAAAAAAACAGGCATTTATATCTGATAAATCTAGTGTAATTGTTCGTAATGCTCATTTAAACTCCTGAACATGTAACAGTAGCGCTGAAGATTAAAAATTTCAGGTATTCGTGTTCAAGCCCCTTAAAGGTGTATTTTAAGAATATAATAGACAGGTCTTTATGTCTCCTCTTGTTTTTCTGCAGTCTGCTCTCCGGGTTACTTCGGTCATCGCTGCAGTCAGACATGTCCTCAGTGTGTTCACAGTAATGGACCATGTCACCACGTCACAGGACAGTGTGACTGTCTGCCCGGATTCAAGGGGGCGCTGTGCAATGAGGGTGAGTCCCTCTGCAAAAAAAATCACATGTTTTTTACTGAGCAACAAATTCATGGCTCCTGTGCACACTCTTATGTTTGCATTAAACTGTGGGATTTAACTGTGCATATTTGTATTTGTGCAGTTTGTCCCAGTGGCCGCTTTGGTAAAAACTGTGCCTGGAGCTGCAGCTGCACAAACAACGGCACCTGTAACCCCATCGACGGCTCCTGTCAGTGTTACCCCGGCTGGATCGGCAGTGACTGCTCCCAGCGTATGTCAAAACCAACACAAGAGCCAGTCTGCCGTTTTTTTTATTTGTTTATTTAGTCCTTGCATGATAAGCAGAGGATGACAATGTCACTTACATGCTCTCTGTGCTGTAGCGTGTCCTCCCGGTCAGTGGGGTCCGAACTGTATCCACACCTGCAACTGTCACAACGGAGCATACTGCAGCGCTTATGATGGAGAATGCAAGTGCACACCTGGATGGACGGGACTCTACTGCACACAGCGTCAGTCTCACACTCAAAGACACAAACATCCACATGAAAGAGGAGTTTACACCTCACACAGCTTGTTTTAATTATATAAAATGTTGGTGCACAAGTCTTGACACACAGCAGAGGTCTCTTAATCCTCCCAAACATTTTATCTTTCTAAATCAGGTAAACATTTGATATCAGAAAGAGTGTGTGTCATGTGACTTGTGCTCGCCCCCCTGCAGGCTGTCCATTGGGTTTCTTTGGTAAAGACTGCTCTCAGATCTGCCAGTGCAGAAACGGAGCCGACTGTGATCACATCTCAGGACAGTGCACCTGCCGCACAGGATTCATGGGACGACACTGTGAACAAAGTAAGAAACAGCGACTGTTACGCATATATCTGCATATACCCCCTCCTTCTTTCCTGAGTTTATCTGAGTATTTTAATCCTTATTATACTACTTCTTTCAACCCCTAAAAGTACAGTGGTCCTTTAAGGTCAACTGCAATTTATCAACAAAAAACAAAAACATTATCAATAAAAAAGAAAAAATCAACTCAAAAGTAAAATAAATTTTTACTTTGCACAGAAAAAAATTAATAAAACCCCCAAAAATAATTTAAAGGATTTCAAAACCTCTTTATATAATCCTTTTGCTTACATTGAATTTCTGTTTTATAACATAATTCTGTTTCTTTCAACTTTTTGCATCTAATGGGCTATTTAATTATTATGTAGTTTATTTTTTGGTACTTTCCAAATGTTTATGTGTTAAAATATTGTAATATATTTTAGGATTTTTTTCATTTTTAACATTTTTTTTAATTTCCTTTCTGCATTTTCATTAAATATTTTTGTGTTTTTCAAAAATTCTCATATGTCTATGAAAATAAAATTGGACTTCATGTTTCTATGGCATTTTTTAGTGGTTATGCTTTTCATAAGATATAATTTTTAATTTATTAAATGTTTTTTGTGTAACATAAAGCTTTTTGTTTATGATTTTGTCAATTTAATCATCAAATAGTTTTTGTGTTTCGCTATTTAATAAAGAACTGTCAATTTCTATGTAAATATTCTTTAGTTAAGGGTCAACAAACCTGAATGACATGATGATGCTTTTATTTGCAGAGTGTCCTCCCGGCTCTTACGGTTATGGCTGCCGTCAGGTGTGTGACTGCCTGAATAACTCCACCTGTGATCACATGACCGGGACGTGTTACTGCAACCCAGGCTGGAAGGGGGCTCGCTGCGACCAGGGTGAGGACCGGACTGGAGAAAGTTAGGGGCTGCTGGTCTTCATCGATGAGACGAGGCCACAGTCCATGACACATGCAAACTTGCTGCATTTTTGTGCACACTCTCTGCTCTTTTTCATTTTCTTTTGTCCCCTGAATAAAAGATGAGAAAGAATCTTGAAAAATGAAAATTAAATCATACATGAACTGTACTTTAATTAGAAATGGTTAACTTTTTTGTTTCCTCTTCCTGTGCACAGCAGGTGTGGTCGTGGTCGGCAGCCTGAACAGTCTGACGAGTGCAGCCATGCAGGTGGACTCATATCAGATCGGAGCCATTGCAGGGATCATTGTGTTGGTGCTGCTGGTGCTCTTCCTCCTCCTCCTCTTCATCATCTACAGGAAGAAGCAGAAGGGCAAAGAGCCCGCCATGCCAGCTGTCACCTACACTCCAGCTGTGAGGGTCACTGCGGATTACACCATCACAGGTACGGGTACAAGTTAACCCGCTTTACTCTGCAGCCTGATCAGAACAGAGTCCTGCAGCTTCACCCCAGAATCTGTTTTTTAATCCTGACTTCATTCATGATTTTGGCCATTTTTTTCAGAAGCTCATCCTCCGACATGTGAGACTCACCCCAGTAACTACTTCTCCAACCCGAGTTACCACACTCTGACACAGTGCATCAGCCCGCCACATGTCAACAACGGACCGTATGGAAAGGTAAGCTCTTTTCTGTCATTGAAGCTATTTTTGATTCTTGGGTGTGTTTTTGATTTGCCATGTTTCTGAAGTTACACCCAAGTAAAAAGACGACATACTTATGATTTCACATACATGTTGTCTTTAAATGAATGTTTTGAAAGTTGGTGTCTGGATGATTATTTGTACATTTCTTCAGACAAAGAACAACCAGCTGTTTGTAAACCTGAAGAACGTGGATCAGAGGAAGAGAGGACCTCTGGCTGATCACACAGGAACGCTGCCTGCAGACTGGAAACAGGGAGACTGCTTCAATGAACTGGGTGAGACAAAGTGGACCCATTAATCTTCACATAGACCTTTATTCTGCAAGTTAGAACTATATATATTTCTATCTTTTAAAGTAAACCTGATCCACTCCACGATACCGGTTCAGACTCTGCAACTTCATCTATTAATTTTTCTCTCTCTCTCTTTAGGAGCATACGGTATCGACAGGAGGTACATGGGGAAATCTTTACGAGGTAAGAACCAGAGCGTAAGGAATAAATACAAAGCCGCACAGCTAATAACTGGTATTTACTAACAAGCTCCTCCTCCTTCTCTCCATACGGTCAGACCTGGTGAAGGGTACGCCGTATCACGCCAGCTCCTGCTCCCTCAACAGCTCTGAAAACCCATACGCCACGATAAAGGACCCACCGCTGCTGCTGAACAAAAACACAGAGTGCGGCTACGTGGAGATGAAGTCGCCGGCCAGACGAGATTCGCCGTATGCTGAAATTAGCAACAGCAGCCCGAGCAACAACAGGAATGTCTACGAAGTCGGTGAGGACAACCTTACTTTTAACTATCAGGATGTAAACTGTACATTTCTTACTGTTGTGAAGCTAGTTGAGACCAAAAAAGAAAATCTCAGCTTCTTACTTCTTTACTGTCATTTCGTCTGTCTTTGGTTCAGAGCCGACTGTGAGCACCATCCAGGCAAACGGAGACATCAGCAGCCACCTACAGTTTGGACAGGATCCGTACGATCTACCAAAAAACAGCCACATCCCGAGTCACTACGACATCCTGCCAGCCAGAGAGAGTCCGTCCTCAGAGCAGAACGAGCTGGACAGTGAATGAGACTCAGAGACGAGTCTGGATGTTTGAAGAGACACAAACAGGAGCTCTTTATACCCACAGCAAACTCTCACTTCTTCCCTTACCGTTACTCTTCTACCTTATCGTTGCTTTTATGTATCCTGAGGTTTTTCTGAACAAAGTGGGTATAAAGGCGAGGCCGGAGGAACAACTGTTATGTTTTTATAGCGATTTATAAACTGCCATGAACTCTTTGTAGGTCATTCCACATGTCTGAGGCTAATAGTCTCAGTACACTCGAGTTGAATCTGTTCACGTGATGCTTTCTGACCACAGGAAACAATAACTTCACTGATCTCAGTCCAAGGAGCATATTCACAGTTATATTTACATTTATTAGCTGCTAAACCTAACGTGACAAAAATATCTGACAAAGGGTAAAATGCACTGCAAACTGCTCTGCGAACTTGATGCGACTTTGTCCTCCTGTACAAAATTTAAGCCAAGGAAAAATTGGCACTTCTCAATGCATGAGAACGCAATAACCCCATGCAACAAGAGGGAAAGTATTTACAACGTCCTTCCTCAGCAATGCAGAATCACGCTGTTTGCAGACGATACAGTGGTTTACTGCTCTGCTACATTATTTGGGGAATGGAGGAGCAGCTTTTGGAGCAGAACTTCATCTCTTAACCCCACAGTCATCATAGGATTACACTTGCTTAGGTCTTAAAGTGAAAGTTGTATATAAGCAAACCACTAGATCTACACAGAAGACAAGTGGGGTTTGCATCCCTCTGCTGGTGTGCAGTGAAGCGTCATGACTGGAGGATTTTCTGAGATGGGAAAATGACAAGACCAGAAAAGACCTGCACAATGTCATTCTCTCTCTGAGCGTACTGAGTCCATTAGGATGTTTCTGTGCGACATTCAGCACCAATAAAATCTTTATTTTTGTAACAACAGTGTTAGAAAAAGAAAAAGGCTAATTTGAGTAAATGTTAGCGAATATATCAAAGAGTAGACGGTTCACGAGGAAGAGTGGTGGATTCAAGCTGCTGACAATGTTCTTCATCGCGCTCATCAGTTAGTGTTGATTAGTGTTTATGTTAACCAAAGGTTCAAGTTCATTCAGTTCAGTTTTTAGTAGCTTAGTTTAGATCTCTGCAGCTTTATTTAATCCGAGAGGTTATTCCTCGTGTCTATAATCATGTTTCTAAATCTTAAAAGTCAATTTTCACTAACTCAGATTTTCTTTTTGTCATTAGATAAATTTAACCATACAGCGAAATAAACAAGTTTTGATTTCACTTAGACTCTAATAGAATCAGTCAATATCATAATCATATCAGTCAAACTTGCTTTTTAACAGTAGCACTTTTAAAAACAAACACGTTTCTTGTGTATTTTAGTTAATTCATGCAGTGAATTTGGTTTGATTATGATGCATTTTGGTTGAATGAGAACAGAACAGAAAAACAGAACAGATGTTTTTTACGTCCCTTTTTACCTTTTGTTGATTTACATGGAAACAAATTTGTATTTTTAATCTGAACACGATGGAAAAGGAACTGTCTTTTTTATTTATTGAAAGGTTGCTTAAAATGTTGTTGCTGTGTTTGAAAAAGAAAAATATTAATGTGTCAAAGATTTTCCGTCCCTCTAAAAACCAAGAAACCCAAAAACCAGATGAAGACTTCACCAGTTTTACCAAATTTAATCTCGTGCTCAGTTGTTCCAAAGTTGAAACTTGGTTCAGAACAATGCCAGTATGGAAATTCCCTTTTTTTCCTGTTATGTACAGATGTTTTTATTTAGACAGACCTTAAGAAAAAAACAAATTCAGATCACTGCAGCTCTAAAAGGCAATACATAGTTTGTCCATTGGGGGCGCCAAAACCATGCCAAATTGAAATATCATCAGTGTAAAGCGATTTTTAAGAATTTTAGAAGAAAAAGTCCTTTATTTATCTCCTAGGCCATGACACAGATTTAACAATTCAGTACCAAAGTGTTTTTCAAAAGTCTAAATTATCAGTATCATAGAAAAGTTTCCTACGGTTAAGTTCCTGTAACCGGGACATCTGCTACAGGATCAAAGTTATCCTGAACAACATAACAAAACAAAGCACAATGAGCCCAACTAAAAGAAGAAAAATAAAACACTCACTGAGGGTTTGATTGATCAAAAGCTGGATCACCTGATCGGATGTGATTTATCTCCTTGAAACCACATGAACAACCTGGTTTTCAAGAATCAATCAAATCCAGTGGTTTTAATCCAGATGAACTTTGAACAACTGAGCTGAGAAGGACAAAATATTTTAAAAAAGCAAACTCTTAATAATTGTTTTAAATTATTTCTTAAATATATTATTTTTTTGGTTATTTCTGCGCCCCTTTTAAGGTTTCCTCTTCACATGTGTTGATTTGATTCTGGACTTGTTGGTTGTAGGAGAGGCAGTCTAGACCAGTTTTATCTTTTGAAGAAGATTTTATGCAACAAAATGTTAACTTTGTAGTTTGTTAACAAGAGCTGCCAACATCCCTTAAACTTCAACAAGAGTTTCCAAAGTTTCTCCCAGCAGACAAAACTTGGTCCAAATTAAATAGTTCATTCATGTTTTTGTTATTTAAACTCACAAAAAAAACTGTTAATCATTTTCCTCACTTTAAAGGGCTCCACATTTCTAATAAAGCGTGAGCTTAAGCTGGACTTTGGCTTTTTGCAGGATAATCATGACAGGAACAGTTCACTTCATAAAAAAATCAGTTTGAAATATCGCCATGGAAACCCGAAACATGGTTGGAAAGTGTTGCTTCGAATGATTGTATCTTTGTCTTTGTTATACTCTGTATGGCTTACAATAGCAGCTTTCTTATGCTGTTCTGAGCCTGTGTGACATGTTTGTAAAATATTGTACATAGTTTGATCAGTTCTGGTGTAAAAATATTAACATCACCCAGCGTCTTATGTCCGGAGTGAAACAAGAACAAATGTGGCTTCTGGTTCGCACTGAAAACGGGAAAACTTGAGACTCTCGTCCTCTACAGGTTCTGCATTGTTTCTGTCATCTTTTCCATTTGTGTGTATTTAAACTACCGCTGAGGGTGTTTGTTCTGAAAGGAACTCGAGGTTTTTGTATCCATGTATACATCAAATTCATGTTTTTGGTTCTGGATGTAAAAATAACCTGTGAAATACAACCTGCCACTGTACACCTGTTTTCCAAAAACGATTCAGCCACAAATACGGTCAGATTCTGTCTATTTTCTTTCTGAAGTTTTGTTTTTTTTATCATAGTGACATTAGCAGAAATGCTTTTGAATAAAACATAATATGATGAAACCGTTAAGTGTCTCTTTGAATATGTGAACCCTTAACAACAGCCTGGAAGTCCCTGTTTATTGGTAGATGTTTTGACTTTAAAGTTCTGTCTTAACACTTTCATCCAGCCTAGCTTCAACAACTTTGACAGGTCACTTTGATAAATATTGTTACCCAAACACTGAATGTGAAGTTCTTCAGGTTACATGTAAACAATAGCCACGTATATTTTCAGTAAATGTAATGTTGGTTTCAGGAAATGGAGAGAAAACGCGGAATATGGTTAATTCTCATTATTAGTCATGTAGACAGCCCAGGTTAGGATTGGTTATGGATGAAAAACAATAAATATCAACAAAATCACTGTTTTTTTTTTGTTGTTTTTTTTTTGTAAAATCTAAACTTCTAAGAAATTGTGACATTTCTGTAACTTCCTTACTCTTTGGTTTGTCTTTTGTGTTTTTTTTTTTCATTTTTTGCAGTTCAGGTTTTTTATTTTATTTCAACCTGTAGCACTGATAGATAGATAGATAGATAGATAGATAGATAGATAGATAGATAGATAGACTTTATTGATCCCAAACTGGGAAATTCCCATGTTACAACAGCAATATATGTACAATACAGACTAAATATACTAAATATATACAATAAATACAGACTAAATATACTAAACTCTGGCACTGACAAAAGTTTGCACGCTCCTCCTGCTTTCAGGGATCCAATCAATCTCTTGGGCCCTGAATGAGTGTTTTACGGCCCTGTTAAATCCACACACTGTGCATGTCTTTGCCAATAGCTCATTGGCTGTCAGTGAGCTGCTGTGAAATTGCATAATGAGGGAGCTATCAGGCTGACTGCAGGTTTCCTGAAGGCATGCGCGGCTGCACTCTGCTACTTAAACTTTTCTGAGCAGTCCTGAAGTAAGCCGAGCAGCTGCTTTTACAACAAAAATGTTAACTTTGGTGTTCACCAGCCTCTTCGCAGGACTCCTGGCGCTGCTCGTCTACCAGAGGGTGGCATACCCCTTCTTCTGGGTGGATTTGATTTATTACTTGAAGCTTCAGAGGTACAGAAAGACGCTGCAGGCTCGTATGCAGCAGGGGATCATCACATACCTCGACTCTTTCCTCTACCAGGCGAAGAAGAACCCGAACAAACCCTTCATCATCTTCGAAAACCAGACCCTGACATACCGGGACGTGGACCGTAGGAGTACCCAGTTTTCCAACGCGTTCAGGACAGAGGGGTCTCTCAAACAAGGAGACATTGTTGCCCTGTTGATGTTCAACGAACCGGACTTTATTTGTGCGTGGTTGGGACTCTGCAAACTGGGCTGTGAGGTCGCTTTTCTTAACGTCAACATTAAAGCCAAAATCCTGCTGCACTGCTTCCAGAGCTGTGGAGCCAAGACGCTGGTTGTTGGCGCAGGTACGCACCGTTTCCTCAAGTTTTTACGCAGTTTAAGTGACGCAAAGTGAGAAACCTGCTCACTGCAGCCTGGGTTGGAGTAGAGGATCTCCAAAATAATCCTCACGTAGTTTTTCTACAGCCACTCCCCACCACAACGATGGGAGGGACTGTAATTTAAAGCACATTAAGAGACCATTTAGAAAGTCTCCTGCAATTATAATACGCTCAGGAAGACATAATTAGACTACTGTTGCCTTAGCAGGGCCGTACAAAGACCAGTTGGGGCCCCTTCCACCTTTGAGATACCAAATTGTGGTCTTCAATCTCAAGTTTAACCAATCCTTTCAGAAAGTTGGGATGCTGTGCAAAACATTGATAAAACAGCATTTGATAGAAGACCACCAATGGAATGTTGTAACTGAGATTTTATTGTAATGTGAAATATAGACACTCATTTAAACTTGATGTCAGCAACATGTAGTTCCAGGGTCCTATTTCCTATTGTGTGTCATCAGCTCTTCTTTTACCATCCCTCTGTAAACATTGGTGAACCCCGGAGACCGGTTTCTAGAGTTTTAAAATGAAATGTCCCATTCTTGTCTGATAGAGGAGTTCAGCTGCTCAACAATTCGGGGTCTCCTTTGTCCTGTTTTTGGTGTCATGATGCCCCAAATGTTTTCAATGGGGGACAAGTCAGGACTGCAGTCAGGCCAGTTTAGCAGCAGGACTCTTCTACTACAGAGCCATGCTGTTGTAATCCCTGAAGAATGCAGTTTGTCATTGTCTTACTTAAATACGAAGTTGTAGATATTGTTCAGCATTAATGGAGCCTTTACAGATGTGGAAGTTACCCATGACATGGACACTGATGATCCCCATAACATCAGGGATGCTGACTTTGAACTGGGAGCCGATAAGAAGCCGCTTTAGAGTAGAGGATGCAGCATCCATACATCCAAAAAGAATGTCTAACTTTGATTCATCAGGTCTCTAGACTGTTTCGTGCTTCTTCCAGGTCCATTTAAAAAATATGTTCACTGACAATGTTTTTTGGAAGTGACTTTGAGTCCACGCAGTGATTTCCACTACAGAGTCCTTTCTGTTTTTAATGCAGGGCTGCATGAAGATCAGGACCATCCAGTCTTGGTTTTGGTCCTTGTCCCTTTAGTGCAGACATTTCTCCAGATCCTCTGAATCTTTTAATGATATTATGTTCTGTAGATGATGAAATCCACTCATTTTTTCACATTTGACACTCAGGAACATTTTTCTGAAACTGTTGAACTGTTAGCTCACACAGTCTCTCACAGAGTGGTGAACCTCTTCCCATCCTTCCTTCAGATAGACTCAGCCTCTCTGAATGTCCTTTTTATACCCAGTCATGTTACTATCCTGTTGGACATTAACCTCATTAGTTGGAGATGTTGCTCTAGCTGTTTTGTTTTTTGTTTTTTTTTAGCATTAAACAACTTTTGACCTGTTTTGTTGATCCTCTGACAACTTTATAGAAAATGCTGCTGCCATCAAATTTAAAATGAACATACATTTTTTGTAACGTTTTTCAGTTTCAGTATTTAATATGGTGTCATTTTCAGTTAAACATAGACTTGAAATAATGATATGCAAACCTTCACATTAAGTTTCATCAACAGTTTAGAATATGTGTGTGTACTGTATTAGCATCGGGGTTGTTTGAGAAACATCTTTCGTCATGATGCGGTTAGATTAGCACTTGGATTCTAGTTTTAAAGTGTAGTAATGATAGTTATGTTTCCCCAGAAATCCTGATGATGAACGTGAATCAGCTTTATTTTGGATTAATTTACGGTTTGTAATTTAATAAACTACAAAAGTTAAGACTTCAGTGTTGAAAACCTGTGAGAGACAACTTAAGATGAACAAACTTTATTATAAAGCTTTACCGGTGAACAGTCTCTACAGGCTTCCAGTGTTATCAGTTTATCAATTTATGCTCTAGAGCAACAGCATTGTCGAGTTATACAGTGTGATCAATGAAACGATAAGAATTATTGGGATATTATTTTCCTGCATACTTTTCAGCTCCTAATTTGTTCTCCTCGGTTTTTCACCTCATTATTCTTTAGCACAAGGTCTCTGGGTTATCAGCAGTTGCAGCAACTGTAACACTGTTATCTTTATGGTTAGAGTTAAAGTTTCTTACTGATAGTTGATGTGCAGAGAGCAAAGTACCACATAGTGACTTCTCATGTCTATACGTACAGAGGTGTGTTAATGGCTCAGAATCGGGAGGATATGATCATAATGACTTTTTACCTGATTTCCTCCAAAGTCAAAGTCTGTAAGATGGATCAAGGAAGGTGTTGTCTCAGCATCACACATGATCCAACTACCAAGAACACCTGAGAGTACGATTCAGTCCCAATGAGAAAGAAATAGTGAGTTATGAATGACCGATACACAGTAAATCATATAAAGCACAACCCCAACTCCCAAAAGTTGAAAGATTGTGTGAAATGTTGATAAGAATAGATGGTTTGCCAATCATTTAAAACCTGTATTGTATTGAAAACAGTGGGAAGATAACAAATCAAGTATTACAACTGGAATTATTATTATGACTGGAATCAGAACAGAGGATGCAATGTCCGTGATTTAAAAAAAGCATGTCAAATTCCACACAGACCACCGGACAGTTTTCTTCTTCCCCTCAGTCTTGCTCAGGTCCAGAAAAGGCTCCAGTTTTTCTGGATCGTATGCAGAAATATTGCGTGCACCCTCTCTCAGTTGCGTGCACCCTCTCTCTTGTGGGTGCAACATCCTCGATATCCAAAAAGAATGTCAAATTCTGATTCACTAGACCACAGGACAGATTTACACTTTCCTTCAGTTCATCTTCAGATAAGATAAGAAAGGATGGACTTTATTGTCCTAGTGGGAAATTTATCTTGGACTTCACAGCGCTCTGATACAACAACAAAACATACCACAGCGCATTCACAGGCCATAAAACAATTCGACTTGGGCACAAGTCCAGAGAGAGTCTTGTGTGTCTGGATCATCTTTATATTTATTCTCTTCTTTGTATGGTTCAGTTTTAACCTGCATTTGTGGACGCAGTGACTTAAAGTTTAGAGTCGTATCTATTTTTAATGCAGTGCTACCTAAAGATCAGAAACAATCCAGTATTGGTTTCTCCAGACTCTCTGAAGATTTTAATGATATGTAGGTCTGAATGAGTTTAAACATCGCAACTGCAATCAGATGGGCATGCGGTATAGTCTTATCACAGGATGTGAGATATCAGTGATATGACCTGAAAAACATTCAGGATTAAAATACTATTACAGTCAACCTGAAATCACGTTCATGCAGCCCCTCACTTGAACACACAGATTCTCTATCTGTGTGTATTATGATGGTAGAATGTGAACATGCACATCATTCAAGAAGCTGCTACCAACACAGATACCTGGAAAATGGAAAATTAAGGGAAACAGATTTTAAGATGGAGTCGCCATGCTCTTTAATTTTGTGGGCATGTACACAGACTTTTCAATGAACAGGACTACAGAGGGTTTACTTTTGGCATCCACATCTGCAGTGCATACATTTTGTTCGATAAGAAGTCACCCGGCAGCTTTAGCTCACACTATGTTGCTGCAGTTTCTGGTTCAGCACTCAACGTTTTCGGCCTCTTGTCCTGTGTCTCCTCAGTTGCTGTATCGAATTGAATGCTAAAATTCCATTAAAGATCCATGTATCCTGAATAAAGATTCCTAGCTTTTAGGGGAAATTCCTGCAATAAAAATGTGGCATAGCATAAATCTACAGGAGGGTGCATTCTGGTTCAAGAGATCAACATTAGGATCCTCTGAATCCAAACTGCTCCAGAGGAAATGACATGTTAGTAGGACCTGCATGTAAACAGTGCAGGAATGCAAAAATCAGATGATCAATCTGTGAGATTACATTGTGTGTCTGTTTTTGCAGATCTGGTGGGTTTGGTGTCAGAGATTTTGCCTGATCTGAAGAAAGACAATATGAGTGTTTGGGTGGTGGATCACTCTTCACCATCTGAGGACTTCAAAAGTTTACTGGATAAGGTGGAAAACATGTCTGCAGAAAACTTAAGTGAGCTTCCAAAAGTCAACGTCATGTCCAACTTCCTCTTCATTTTTACTTCAGGAACCACAGGTAAGTGTGTCATTCTTTAAGTATCTAAATCACCTTTGGGAGATTTTTGTTCTTTTCACTGAATCAGAATATCTGAGTAAAGTGCCAAGAAGAAGAAAAAGGTAAATCAAAGGGAAAGCCTTTCCGACATTTAAACCTCAGTACTCTGATGCAAACTAATAAATCTTTGTTGTTTCATCCCTTACAAGTTTTGGGTCATTCAGTATGTTGATTATTTCTGCAGATCTGGTATGTTTTTTTTCTTCCAGGTCTCTCTAAGGCAGCCCGTGTGGGTCATCTGAAAGCCATCATGAGCATGGCATTTCTGAACATGTGTGGAGCCACGTCCGATGACATTATCTACGTCACTCTTCCTCTTTACCACATGTCTGCATCCCTGTTAGCCCTTGGAGGGTGCATACACCTCGGTAAGAACTTCACTCTACATGTTTTTACTCAAGTCCTCTGAATATGTATATAATAAAACATTGGAGTCTGTTTCAGCTGCTGACTGAATACAGTGATCCTTTCATACTGTGAAGGCTGAAGTGTGAAAAAGATTTTGTACCTGCAGCTTCTAGTTCAACTTCCTTTTGTCATTTAAAATAAGTAAGCTGGACCTTCACCTCTCTGTGTAAACACTGACCAGAGACTGTGTCAACTTGTGTCCCTGACAAACACACAATTCCTGGAAGATTTACTGTTAAATTCACAACATTATATTTTCCAAACACAATGCCAGTGGAGGAAACCTTCATGGTGACGGATATCCTCAAAACAAACCTTAAAGGAATTCTCACTTCCCATAAAAACAAAGCAGAGGAAGTTTCTCTGTTTTTGACTGATGCCACTTATAGTTTTTGACTCTTTTTTTGTTCTTTCAGGAGCAACATGTGTGTTAAAGAAGAAGTTTTCTGCCAGTCAGTTCTGGAAGGACTGTGTGAAACACAGAGTGACTGTGGTTCAGTACATCGGAGAGCTGCTGCGATACCTGGTCAACCACCCAACTGTAAGACGAAAATAAACTTAAAAATCAATCAATCAATTTTTGTATATGAAGCAGCAATTCACAACAAGTGTTCATCCAAGACTTTACTTACAAAGCCCCAGTGTAAAGATGGGATCAGATTAAGCCCCATCTTACAAGATCAGACCCTCTCCCATCCCATCTTCAACCACCTGAGTGAAACTTTGCAGCATTTAGTAAGTTACAGTGAAGAGGAGAAACTTCCTTTTTCACATAGAAACCTCGAACAGAACCAGAACCATGTTAGACAGTCATCTGCTGAGACTGCATTGGGTTTAGAGAGGGGATAGAGGGAGATGAAGAGAGAGAGGGATGGACAGAGGTAAAACTGATGCCCTTCGTTGAAGCAGCTGTAGATCAGAAAAGTTTTTCATCCAAATGAATGATTTTTCTCCAAAAAATGGAATGCAGATTGTGAAATTTTATGATGAAATGTGATGCTATAGCTCTATATCTGACCATTATTGTTGCAACAGATATATTAGTGTTTAGTTTAAATCATGAAATCTGCTTTTTTGTACCATGTACCCAAAAGTCAAAATTCTGTCATGATCCCGTCTACAGGTACCAGAGGAAAAAGCTCACAGTGTTCGTCTGGCAGCAGGAAGTGGACTCAGGTCAGACGTTTGGAGGCAGTTTGTGAAACGTTTTGGCAAAATCAAGATTAGAGAAGGTTATGGTCTTACGGAGGCCAGCATCGGGTTCCTCAACTACACCGACGAGGTCGGCGCCATCGGGAGGGCGAGTTACTTTAATAAGGTGAGACAATCTTCATAACAAATGTTATCTTAAGATACTTTACCAAGAGATTTTCTTTGTATCTGAATCCAGCATGAACAGAGCATTTTGTGAGTTTCAGTGCAAAACTGCTGTAACATGCAGAAAACCTCAAGCAGAACCAGGCTCATGTTAGACAGTAATCCACCGGGACCTTGTTGGGATTGGAAAAATCATTAGAGGAAGACACAGAAAAAGAGAGATGAGCAAAGAACCCTGGGGTACAGAGGAGAGCAGTACCTGTGATAATCCATAAGACACTGGTACAACCAGACACAGAACAAAAGGAGGACTTGAGGTGGAAATATGTCTCAGAGTAAGATCAGTTCTGATTTCTGTTTCAGCTCTCGATGCCCTTTGAGCTCCTGAAATATGATCCACAAACATATGAGGCGGTCCGCACAGAATCTGGGATGTGTATACAAGCAAAAACAGGTAAAAAAAAGAAACTCACCACCTGCAGAGTCCTTAATGATTAGGGAATAAATACTGTGTGAACAGAGGTTTATATATTTCTCTTTGTCAGGTGAGGCAGGGATCCTAGTAGCCCCTCTAACCGTCATGAACCAGTTTCTGGGCTACGCTGGGAATAAAGTCCAGTCTGAGAAAAAGCTGCTCAGAGACGTCTTTAAAACCGGAGACATTTATTTTAACACTGGAGACCTGCTGTTCCACGACCACAGAGACTTCCTGTACTTCAGTGACCGCGTGGGGGACACGTTCAGGTAGGACCTCGAACTGCACCAATAAAACTGTGAGAATAAACTACTTGCAAATTTCTCTCTTTTAATCAAACAATTTTCCTTTATTGACTAAGTGATTAATGGTTACTCACATTTTCAAGTTTAGATTCAATTTTTTTAAATAATTCTAAAAAAGGGGAAACTCAGTGATCAAATGTACACCCACTGCAAACAAACTCAAATACTAGCAGGTGCAATTTTTGTGAGGAGTTTTTTTTTTTTTTTTTTTACAGCAATAAAAATGACTAAAATGTATACTGATCCTTTTTGTGATACAAAAAAGCAAACACGACCATGAGTGACAAGACTGATGATTTTATTCAGTCATTTTTAAAGCCTGAAACCTCAATTTTTGCCATAAAATATTCCCCAAAAATGATATATGTGACTGTCAAAAATCAGTAGAGTTAGATTTTTTTGTCCAAGGACACAGTGTAAGCATGTAAACGATAAGATGAGCAGAGATTGCTGTGTCCACAGGGGGCACCAAAATTGATAAAGACTAAAAGTTCCACTCTGGAGCTTTAATGGAACCGAAAGTGATCTGCAAAATCGGGATATAAACAATACTTAAGAATATAAATAGCCAAAAAAGGGTTGATCATGAGTGATAAATGGCTGCTAGCACAACTAAACTAAATTTTCTCTTCAAGTTTCTGAAAATAAGTGTTGTTTTCTCTGTGTTGTTGTTTGTGTGTTATCTTTGTGTTATCTGCAGGTGGAAAGGAGAAAATGTGTCCACCACAGAGGTGTCTGAAGTTCTAGGTGCTCTTGATTGTATCCAGGAGGCAAATGTCTACGGCGTCTCTATCACAGGTCTGTGGAGGTTTCACTCTGTCACCAACAATCATGTATAATGTACTGTGGTGCATATCGAAAGGGTCTGATTTGTTTCAGTGTTTTCATCTTTATTTTTTTGGTTAAAGGCATTTCAGTTTTTAAATTCTGTACCATTATTCGTGCACAAATGTGGAATACTGGCATTGAAATTAACAACTTACCTTGTATGTTTGCATCACCTTTTGTGTGTGTTGTGGGTGTGGATTATATCTAAGCTATAACAAGTTAAAGCTGCACTCTCAAACAAACTTTTACAGTCTTTTTTTGTTTGCTTTTTTTATTAATTGGTGTGCAAAACTGAAGAGACTTAAGTGAACTAAACCATATTATGTTCATGTAAGACATAAGCCAAATGATTAAAAATATTCTTGTGCATGTTGTTCCTCTTGGCTACGTCAGAGTAAACAAATAAACTTTACCATTACAGCAGTGTTACATTAGCATAAATTTTCTCTTTTTCTCTCTGTTCAGGATTTGAAGGTCGAGCAGGGATGGCCGCCATTGTCTTAAAACCAGATCATAAACTAGACGGGTCAAAACTCCACGAGCATTTAGCCCAGGCTCTTCCTGCATATGCCTGGCCCTGGTTCCTCAGGATACAGGTGAGTGAGCATTGGTAACTGAAAATTACTGACTGACACTAATAACAGATATGTTTGTTTGTTTGTTTTACATTTTTTATTCACTTTACAGCTCTGTGAAAGATTCATCGTGTTAAAACTTGAGGACTTTTTTCTCTGAATACTTGCAGCACATATTTCCCAAACTATGATTATGTCATCCTCCTCCGTTTAAAGATTCCTGTTATATGCAACATTATAAGTATTTGCTCTATATTTCAACCCCTGTGTCTGTTTGCATTCAAGAATGCCCTGGATGTGACAGAGACATTCAAGCAGCAGAAGGTGAAGCTGGTTCAGGAGGGTTTTAATCCGGACGTCACTCAGGATCCTCTCTACTTCTTGGACGTCTCTCAGAGGGATTATATTCCTCTGACTGTGTCTCTCTATGAAGACATTGTTTCAGGAAAGATTAAATTATAAATATTTTAACACAAGATTACTCAGTAATTCACTGTACATAAAAAGATAAGCTAAAGGTAAAACATTTAGAGGCCATATTTTTTCATTTCTGCACTTAAAAACTTTTGTGACTGATCAGAACATTGACATGACTTTAACTTCATCTGTCGTCTCTAACAGTCTGAATTTAGTGGGTATTTATCATCATTTATACGAAAGTATAAATTTTCTATTTAATATAAATATTGAATTTAAAGTGAACTTAGCCACAGTGAAGTAACACACTGTTTTCTTTTTATGATTTTAAAGCCTCAGGTTTAACATGTTATTATCTTTTTTAAAGCAGGGACTCACTATTTTTGGACAAATACACAATGTACATCTTTTACTTTGACATACATTTCGTCTTTTACTTTGACATGTTTGTGTAAGTGCAACTTGTAAACTACAGAAAATGCTAACTCAAAGACATACCAGGATTTATAACCTTAGTATAAGAAGATTTTATAATCTTTAGACACTACATTCAAGCACAATGACCAACAATAAAAGGAAATAAATGTTTATGTAAACTGCAGATTAATTTCTATATATGAATTAGAAATTTTGAGAAAAATAAATATGTAATGACACATTTTTCATGTACCAAATGATATGACTTTGGTTTTCCAAAGGAATAAAAAGTGTGTTTTTATATTTGTGGTTTCCTGTGATGTGTTTCTGCAGAATTCAAGGTTTGAAGTTGACTTTATTGTTACTTTTGAAGGCAAAAATAAGATAATAATACACAACATATTTGCATTAAAACAAGCAAAGTGTAGATGTGTGTTCAAGAAAATTATAAACTGTTATCCTTAAATAATGAGCCAATTTTCACTGTTTTAGTGCTGATTTCTTCAAGGAAAGATTCATGTTGAAGACGAGATAAAGACAAACAAACAAACAAAAAAAAGTCTGACATCCAGAATCTTCGGTAAAAGTACAAACCACACATTTCTGTAACAGGGTTATTCAGACAGATGGTGCTGTGAATACTTTGAATATTTATGTATATGTATATGTATCATTCCTTATAAAAATGTTTCCAATTGGCTATAAACATCAGAATCATAATGCTTTATCAAGTACTGTTAATATTGGCTATTAAATATGATTTTACTACGGAAGCCCTAAGCAGACATGGTTAAATTTAAATTTTCAATCTGTTTTCTCAAGATCACGAGATAGTTTTCACATGATCTTGAGAAAACAAGGCTTTGGTTTCTCGAGATCACAAATTAACTTTGCAGTGGACTAGAAACATTGGGCTGATCACTGTACGTGGTACCCGGTCAAAATTATAGCTCTCTGACTTTTCAAACTATTAATTGGGGATGCTCTGGAGGTGTGTAGCCACCTAATGTGCACCCTTCCCGAGATCAAAATCATGGTTCTCTGACTTTTCAAGGTATCAAGGGGGGATTTATTTCATTTATTTTATAAATATCTCATGATCTTGAGAAAACGTGAGTAAAACAAATAAACCGAGTCAGCTTCGGGCTTCCGTACACTACGGCACTATAGTTGCATTATAATGCTTTGTAGAAATTGTTGCTCAACTTTTTCATTAATTTTGGTGAGTTCTTGATTTAAATGATCCAAAATTCCTCTAATTGGAGGGAATTACATGTTTCATTTGATAGGTACACCATGTCTTTAAAGTTGTCCAAACAAACTTTTGGCAATTTATCAGTATCTTTGCAGGAAAAACTGGTGAGTTAAAACTACAAACTCTATTAAATTAAATTTTTCTGTGGTAAAATATAACAATTAAAGATATTGTACCTTAAACTGTGAGAGATTGTGATTGTCATAAACCTCCGTCTGTCTGTCTGTCTGTCTGTCCGGTCTCTCCCGGTTGTGGGAGGAGTCAAGCCTGAGCAGACGTGGCAACAGATGGCGTCATCAAAGTGCGTCGGTGGTTGTTCTGAGCTAGTCCGGCTAGCAGGTGAGTGCACCCACTGTTTTTGTTTTAATGTGAAAACAGGGACTTTAATCACACATGATATGTCGCACCATTAAAGCTGAGGTATGAGGTAACAGGGCTGTAAGTCTGCTCTGACTTTAATCCGGCTGAATCAGAGAGTTTATTGTGTTTGTACACGTGTACAGCTGAGGCGTGAACAACACCAGAACATCATTGTCCTAGGAGTGAGGTTTTGTAGCGAAGTGAATGTATTTAATAAGAGTTTTGGGCCTTTATTTTCATTAATAAATGATAATACGGTCGAATTATTGATGAACACTTAAAAATGTAAGCCTAGAGATCATACTGTTGCAGGTAAACAAACAATAATAACAATCCCCTCAGATTTGAACCCGCTTTAATCCTCCTTTTCTCTGGGCTGAAGTGAAGAAATAAAACCAGAAAAATGATGGAAGAGAGCGGGATTGAGACTACACCTCCTGCCAGCCCTTCACCCCCTCTGAGTGAGGCAGCTACAGCGAGCAGCCCCCCCATGACTACAGGTAGGAAAGGACGATGTTACCTGCATTTCCACAGACACCACACTGACTCCAAGCAGACTTTTTACCTGGAGGGGGGGAAATCCTGGTTAAATCAGGTTGATTCATCCAGCTGATCATGTTCAGACATGCAGTCGTAAAATTAATTTAGGGTCAAACACACTATAACATTGAGTTAGACACCCCCTCGAGAGATAAATGTTGCTGACTGCTTGCTTCTCTATTTATACCAACTTTAGTAATGACCACAGGACAGCAATCTGCCATTTTCCTCGATACATCTTATATATTGAATGAATCTCACCCTCCCTCTCTGCTTTAACATCAGAGTGTGGGTGCAGCCCCTCCTCTTAACCTGCTCTGACTGTCACTTCATCATAAACAGTTCAGATCAATAAGAAACAAAGTTTGGATCTCCAGGAGGTTGTAACTCCTGCAAAGATGAATGGAAGACCGCTGGATCATCAACATATTTAGCCGCAGTATCAGTCAAAATAAACGTGACTATAAATTTTGCCGTAGTCGAGCTGTTTTAAAGCAAGTTTGTCTTCTTCTGCAGCACATCTCTGAAAGTGTCTCTCTGTTGTTTCAGGTCTGTCCAGTCCGCCGTCCCTCCTCGCCACCACCTCTGTTTCCGTTACCTCTTCCCCATTCTCCACCCCCATTCCCTCCCTACCCTCTGGCCCCCTCCCAGCTTTCAGCAGCCCCCTGCCCTCAGCCCCCTCCCTCTCCTCTCCCTTCCCCCCTCCCTCCTCCCTCTCCTCCCCCTTCACCACCAGCTCCCCCTTTCCTCCCTCCGCCTCCCCCGCTGTTCCTCTGCTGGCTTCCTCCATGAGACCTCCTCCCCCTGCGGCTACTGGCATGTCACCCCCTCCTGTAGGACCGTCCAGCTTCTCCTTGAGTGCAGGATATGACATCACACGAGGGCACGCCGGACGGACACCACAGACGCCACTGATGCCGTCCTTCTCTAATCCCACCGCCATGCCGGGTGAGAAACAGACACCTCTCCCTCTTTTATCCTGGTGTAACATTTTCACTGTGGCCGTGTGTTCAGGACGTTTTTATTTTCCCCTCCTGTCCTCTAATTGAACCCTCTCTGATTCGTCTCGTGTCTCCTAGGCGTGGTGTCCAACCCGATGGTCCAGCAGCCGACGATGACAGGAGGAATAGAAACCGGATCTCCCATCACGTTCCCTGAGGAGCAGGACGATCCTCGAGTGTCTGGAGACATTAACCCTGGAGGAGGGATCTGGGGCTTCTTTAAGGTGAGAATTAAGACAGAAAACCTGATTATATAGATTCTTTAGCATCAGCCCAATGGTACCTGTTTTAGCATTTCTGTTGTATTTATCCCCGATTTCTATTTCTCTTTTATTTTTTATAATTCTTCATTTTTCAGTGTGAGTACATGTTGTCACCTGAAGAGAAATATTCTGAATTTTATAAATGTTGATAAAATTCAAAAAAGCCTGTGTAAATATAAACAAAATTTACAGCCAACACTTGTAAAGTAATTAGTGTCCTACTTGACTCACTCACCAATGATGAAGATCAGGATGCTCCATCCTCAGGTGTCAATTGTTGGGTCAATGGTAGAGTCAATCAGCCTTCAGTCAGAAGGTTGGGGGTCAGGAACAGTACATGGACTCCATACAAAACGTTTGCATACATCAAAAAGAGCCATTAAACATCAGCATCACTGAAATGTTTATATGTTTTTGGGGTTTGCACTAATGTTTCACCCCTCTCTTTATGATATCATATGACAAAAGTTTGATCCATAAATGTTATTTTTAATGTGCTGATTTTATCATGTCCAGCTTGACTTGAGCTTTGATCGAATACAAGGTGATTTGGCTATTAGCTGTAAGAGGCCCCTGTGATTCCACATCCAGACTTCTCTCAGATGATGAAGAGTGATGAGAGTTTGTGAAGCAGCCATCGTTGCGTCTCTGTGCACGCCGTGTGCTTTCACAGCAGCCTTTATAGAGTCCAAGAACTTAGATTTGATTGGCTGATTGATGAAATGAGGTTCTACTTCTCTGTCTAACATATTTACTGTCTCTGTCCTCAGGGAGTAGCAGGCAACCCCATGGTGAAGACGGTTCTGGATAAAACCAAACACTCAGTAGAGTCCATGATCACCACTCTGGACCCCGGCATGGCCCCGTACATTAGTGAGTCAAACTGTCTTTTTGACCTTTACAGAGATCGTCTCGAGCTCCTACAGTGACGATTTTTGTCTTTTATGCTTGAGTGGATCATGTTGGCAATGTATAAGCACTTGTTTTTATGAGAACATCTGCTTTTGCTGCAAGTTCATAGTTTTCTCCCACAATTTCAACCTCCTGTTCTCATTGTATCTGAACTTGTTCCTGCAAGATAATAACTTGTGCGCACAAGATCATTTCCCTGTGTGCACAAAATAACATTACTTTGCAGTATAATCTTCTGTGTAAATACGTATGTTCTCTTAAGTGTGAGTTGTATCATACACAGCAGTTAAAATTGATCCCCTTAGCTGGACCTCATGGGCTCTGTGTTGTGTCTCTGTAGGGTCTGGGGGAGACGTGGACATCGTGGTGACCTCAGATAAGGAGATGATTGTGTCTGCGGTCAGAGACGCCTTCCAGGAGGTGTTTGGGATGGCCATGGTTACTGGAGAGCCCGGTCAGTCCAACATCGCTCCCCAGCCGGTGGGATACGCTGCAGGAGTCAAGGTCAGTTCACCTCCCGGAGCGCTGATCTTCACTTTTCTGTATCAGAGGAACAGCAGGGAGCAGGAGAGCCATACTCAAACTTTCCAAGACTTAAATATTGGTGATTGTGTCATAGTAATGTAAATCTAATTCAGACCTGTGTTCAAACTGAATGACTCAGCAGTACAGAAAATTAAGACATGAGATGAAACTTAAGCAGCCAGGTCAGCTTCAGGGCCCAGATGTTTAAAGATAATCTGACTAAAGCTATAAGACTGTATTTCACCTTGAAAAGTAGTTTTCAAAGTATAAAAAAAGAGTTCGCTCTAAGTGAATCATCACTGTTTAGACTAAACATAAGATGGATCAAACACCACAGAAGTTCTGGGCCATGTTCAAACCATCTCTAAGCGTACTCTCTCAGATCCGTTTTAGTGTGTGTCTCTTCAAATACAAATGAGCTTTTTCTTGTTGCTACTTGTCCCGCGGCTGCTGTGAGAAAAACACTTGGCACATTTACACGTTGTTCAAAATGGGTTCAATGTGTCAGTCTGACTGAAAGTGAGACTTTAAAAATACATGCCAACAAGGTAGAGCGACTGAAATGGCACTAAACCAAACCTCTCAGAGTCAGACTAACATACCAGGATACTGTGATTGTGGATCAATGTTCTTTACGTGTTCACACCTCCATCAGACCCACACTGGTTGAAATATTCTGAGCATGCTTCACAGTTTGGGCTTCGAGTGTTGACCTGGATGTTGAACAGGAAGATTGAAGAAGACAAAGAAGAACTGGTGCTTATTGACTTTATGTGATTCATGTGCATTGACATGATAAGCTGCAGATACTCCGCAGTAAATCCATGTCTTCACAGAAATGTCTGACAGCTATTTCAAACATTAACATAGCAAAAAATAAAACATTTGCAAAGAAAAATCTACTAAATTTGACACATTTCAGCAGAGCATGTTACATAAAAGCTAAAAATAAGGTGCATCCCTCTACTCAGCATAGCAGAGGGCGCTTACACAACACTAAAAGTAGCATTGCCAGTGTGATGCTCATTAAAATCTATTATAAAGATTATTAAAGCAGCCAAAAAAGAAAAATAGTTGGAAATTATGGGATTTAATAAGAAGTTTACAACACGCGTTATAAGTTATGTTCATCTTGGACTTCAGGGACTTGGTACTTAAGTGTATGTGGGGGGGACTTAGAGTCAGAGGTGCTGACTCTAATAAAAAAACAACAGATGTAGGGTATCTGACTCTCTTTGTCCAGAGGATGCGTTCGTCTCTAAAACGCCTCAGAGAGCAGCTGTGTGCTGAACTTTTATCGTCGAGGGGAAGTTTTAGAACATTTTGCGAACAATTAGAAACACAAAGGTTGAGATTTATGTCTCATTCAGGGAGTTTTACAGGAGAGGAGGCTTCAAGGGCGACCACGACTCGTCAAATTTATGACTTGTTAATTTCCCAACTCCAGACAAAGAACAGAACGCAGACACCTCAATAAAAGCTGAGACAGAGAGACAAACAGGGCGAGGAGTGAGGCTGCATCCTAAACAGCTTTACTCACAACAAACAGGGCTCCAGAAAGTCAACATTATGATCAGGATGAAGCTCCAGTAATATCAGCTGCATTCATTTTTTCTCTTATTAGCATTCGAATGAACAGAGGCGTATTCAGGCTGTTCGAGGGGCAGGGGAGGAAAGAATACAAAGGGGCAGCGGTGCAGCATGTAAAAACCATTTAGGACGTTTTATTTTAGAAACTTGGGACAGAGTCGTACGCTGGAATAGATACCAGCAGTGTAAAGAGATCAATTCTTCATATTAAAGCACAACTAATAAGAGGGTGTCCGAGGGTCCTTCCTCTGGAAATTTTGACAGCCTCGCACTCACTTCTCTGCATATTATTGCAGCATTTAAAGTGGAAATTTAAATGGAAAAGACAAAATTATTGAGACATAATAGCTAGGAAATAAATGCCACGTCCTGCATCAAGCTCACATTTTATTAAAACTCATTAAAACTCAAACTAAGTGACTAAGTAATGAAATGTTAATCAAATGATAAATTACTTTGATTTAGACTTGAACTTCACAAAAAACAAACAAACAAACAAACAAACACAACTGAATTACAAATGAATCCTCAGAAGGAGACAAATCCACATGCTCACACTTGGGCCACGATTCGATATTTTTGTGATTTTAAACATTTTGCGATACAGTGAGTATTGCAGTACCATATGTTGCAATTTGTACAATTTTTTCAACTGCTTAACCGATTTAGCATTTGTCTTTCCTTAATGTCTGTCTTATTGATGCAATATTCTATTTTCATGTAGCACATCTTGCAAACCTTGTGTCATTTCTATTTCATTTGTGCCCTGCTTGCATTCCTTATGTCTTTCCCAGGGGCTGTTTGTTGTGCTAACTTTTTTCTTCTCTAGGATGTCACCTCTGCCGGCCTCACTGGACAAACAGTTGCTTTTATTTTTCAATTAAAATGTGAAAAAAATCGATACTGGATGGATAAGACAATATGATATATCACCAGACAAAATATCACTATAATGTGCTGTATCAATCTTTTTCTTCTCCAACCCCTTGTTAAGACAAAGACAGAAGATCAGACACTGATTTTATTCTCTCTGCTGCAGGACAGGATTAACCACTGTAATGTAGACGTGCCAGATTTTAATCTTTGAGTAATTGGTGACTTTGTTTTTATCTGCATTACTTTGTAAAACAGAAAATATTACAAAATATTCACCAATGTGCAGGTTTTAGGAGGAATTTAAACTCAGTTGTGTAGTTTTGAGCAGGAATTTTTATTGCAGTCACATACAAGCTGAGTGTGTGTTTGTGTGTGTTTTGTGTTTGTGTGTGCAGGGAGCTCAGGAGCGCATTGACAGCCTGCGTCGGGCGGGTGTGATTCACGAGAAGCAGCCTGTGGTCTCTCTGGAAAACTTCATCGCGGAGCTGTTTCCTGACAAGTAAGAAGAAAGAAAAACAACCTCAACTGACAACAATAAACACGCACATGTACACGCACACACACACACACACAACACACACACAGACATACAAAAGTCTCTCTTGTTCAAACTATTTTTAACAAACTCGTCACTTTTTCTCTGATATTTTGGAAACTCTCAGACTTCTTCATGTTTGACTGAGCTCCTGCAAATATTTGATATTTATTTAGTTTCTGTTTGAAATGTGTTTTTTAGCTCTGATCTCTTGACTATACCTGCGATCAAAACCTTGATATAGTTTTAAAAGCTGATTTCGATGAGTTATTTGTTTGAATTGTTTGGTGTCTACTGTTCTTCACATTTAGCCCACAGATGGTGTCTCTGATATCTCATCTAACTTAAATCTGAGCTCTACTGAAAAACAGACTCGTACTCATTCCTCACTTGTACTTCATTTCCTTCAGATGTCATGAACTGAAACATTATTTTGGTGTTTTTTTTGTTTGTTTATCATAATATAAACTATTTTTATTTTTTGTGTCATTAGAGGGTGTGGGGTCTAGCTAGTTATGGACTTACAGAAGCTCTATCTTCTTGCCCGCAGGTGGTTTGATATGGGCTGTCTGATCCTGGAGGACCCGGGTCACAGCATCCGCATCGAGATCTTTACTCAGGCGACACCTGTGGCTCTGGATCATATCCAACAGGTAAGAATCTATACAGGTGGCACATAGACATCATCTTCCCTGGAGTATTAGGGCCACTCATGGAGGAAAGTTGAAAAAAATGACAAAACCAATTTATTGTCTGTTATTCCATCTTCTCTTTTGTAAAGACCTTAAATTTTCACTTTTGCTTACATTTCACTCTAAATTTTTTCTGGATGACAACAAAACATGACAGTCCTCTCTATCCAAGGTAAAGAGATGGTCATTTAAAAAAAAAACATGATATTTCCAGGGTTTTAGCCCAGATTTTGTTGTTTTTCTTTAACTGATTCTCATGGCATGACCAGATTTGGCAGGTATGATCACATGTGAATATTTTATTTTGCATTTAGACCTCTGATGGTTTTTTTCACGTCTCTAACAATTGGTCCAACAGGGACTAAAGTTATGAGGCAGTAATCTCAGGATGTTTTCAATGAGTGAAGTGAAGATGAACTTCCCTCCATCCTCAGTTTGCTGAGGTGCTTTTGGAAATCAGACCGTTTTCTCGCAGCTCCCTGCAGCAGTATCAGACCCTTCCAACATTTGATTTGCAGAAAAGATCTTTTTTAGCTTTCCAGCGACCTGGTGTTCACCTCCCCCTCTCAGTCATTGATCAGCTGTAAGGAGGTCGAGGAGGGAGGTGAGTTCTGAATTTCTCTTTAACCTGCTGCTGGCACGGCTGTGCTTGTCTGCTTTTACGGGAACACAGAGAGGAGCTGTCTGGAAAAGTGCATTGTCATCCCCATACATTCAAGTCATCACATCTCTCCTTTGCTCCCTCCCAGTCAGGGATATCCTTAAAATCCTCTGCCCTGTTTAAAGTAGATTTTAGCTCATTTCATGGATTATGTATTCTCTCAGTGTGTTTGTTCGCATACGACTTAAATCTGTTGAACAAAGCAGCTCAGCCCACCTCTCTCTTCCTGCTGTATTTCCAGACCCACAAAACTCAAAAACATCTCAGAAATGTCTGAGTGGGCTGCATCTGTAAAAACATGCAGTCAGAGTTTTCCCTGGCTTTATAGAGATTTTTTTTCTGTCTCTTTTTGTGAAGGATTCTGAACCAGTTTTAGGGATCTAACAAAAATTTTGACTTGTGAAAGTTTCTCAGGATTTTGAAAAAGTTTTTTGAGATAAGATTTTGTTTATTTTTATGTACCTGATACATGTATTTATTCTGCCATCATTCTTAAAGGTTCTATGCCTTTGAGACAGACTGGATTTAATGGGTTCAAAGGTCACATTTTTGGTGTAAATTTCAGCCATGGAAGCTCCATTTGAGTTTATCTCCACTTAGAAACCCTTCACACTCATCTATACCCCCCCATCTGCAGGCCCAGTCCCTGACCCCCCAGGACTACAGCCTGCGCTGGTCAGGTCTGATCGCGACAGTGGGTGAAGTCCTTGAACGCAGCATCCCGAACATCAACAGGATGGACTGGCATCAAGCGATGACGGGGATGAGTCAGCGTCACATGATCCAAAGCGCCGCCAAAGCTCTCGCAGGCCTCTACAAACAGCAGCTGCCCCCCAGGACTATGTGAGGCTGAGGGTCCCACTGTGGTCTCAAACCAGGAGGGGGCGGAGGCACAAGGGAGAAGGGACCAGCTGATTGGACAGCTCGTAGCACCTCATCCGTCCTTTAAAAAGCCAAACACTCGTTTCTGTAGAGAGAAAGATGTTTGACATTCCAGTGAGTTGGTTGGTCTTTAATGAGAGGAAAACTCGGCTTTTAACGAAAGACTTTAACTCAAACTGATGGTTCTCCTCCACAGATGACAAAACATCCACTTCATTAATATCAAAACATGTATAACTTAACTTTTATGGTAGACTCTAACTGGTGTCCCAGTTGGTTTCTGTTTGCTAAAGATATCGTCCTCTTCCAGATTTTTTCCTGCAGAACTTTCTAACTTGAGAAGTTTTGGGTTAAAACACATTTTTGAATTTTTACTTGAAGATCCGAGTTATAAAAGCTGGAGGTTAAATGAGATTTGATATGTGCCTGAAGAGAAATTTACCCCTGACATGAGTGCAGAAAAGTACAGTTAAGTGCAACTTGGTGTAACATAAAAACAATCCACATACAAAGTTGGTCGCCACCATTACAAAGTTAGGGTTAGGGAAGCATTAATACAAAGATCAGTGAGTTTCTCTCATACTGTAAATCCTCGATCAAAAACCTGGGTTCAGTTTGTAGCAGGACTCTATAACAGCCAGAACACCTCCTTAACAAGTATATATAAAAACAGCCTGGGCCCTCTCATCCTGACTGTGCAACATTTTATTGTGGAGTGGATTTATCACATATGCATCACTGTTTTCACGATTTATGTGCAGCTTATTTCCTGGAACAAATAATCAAAAAATCATCTTTCTAGATTAAAAAATATATCTATCTGTGGTGGCAATGACAGCCAACAGCCTGTGTGTAGGGATGGGAATAGATTTTATTGATTTATGTGAGTCAACAATGCAAAGTTTTGCTACCTTCTCTACCCTGCTGAGCCTGGCCCCTGATTGAGCCTTCAATGGTCAGCTGATTGCACAGACAGCTTCTTATTGGTTAATAGACCAAAACAAAGATAGCAGCTTTCAGTTAGTATGGTCAGCGAATGATCATACAACAATGTTTTATGCTAAAATTTATTCATAAATTATCTCGGATTGTCTTTGTTTTGAGGGATTGGATCTGGGCAACCTCTAAAATACACTGATCTTCTCGGAGGAAAAGAAAAACTTCTGAGTGGTGTAAAAACACACAGTTTGTGCCCAGAAAGTTGCCAGTCTCACGAAGTGAGTGGATTTTACCATAAATGGATACATTGTTGTGGCATTCTGATGTTGTAATCATAATTCTTAGCTGTATATAACAGTTTTGTCTTTCATGATTACTTGTTAGTTGTAGTCTCGAGACATACTTGTTCTGTAAGGCACACAGAGGTGAATGGGAGGCGTTGTTAAGGGAAGCTGGATGTAAGCTGGAACTGCTCCTGGATTTTCATCCTCTCTCTCTGTGCAGGTTGAGCCACAGACTGATTAATCCTGTCTACTGTAAAGATGTTTATATTGTCGCCAAATCAACAAACTTTACGTACAGAGATATGATTTTAGGTTACACAGAGGTCGAATTACTGTCATGATTACTGCAGAGTTTAGGCATAACTGTGCTGATAAATTCTCCAGCATGGCAACCACCGGCTTTCTGCAGACATCAAATATTATACTGAAACTATACTGTGCAGTAAGTGAGTATCTTTTTTTTTTTTTCACAGAAACAGACTTATTCTGCTCCAAATTACTGCTTTTACATATATATATTTATCTATATATAAACAACGCTGGTGCACAGAAAGATATTTGTGCAGGTGTGGAGCATAAAGCCCTTTGTGCATGCTCTGAATTAGATGATGTGATTTTGGAGGGTCAGAACAGGTTCATCAGATGGAAAAGACATGCAGTATTGAGAATCAAGCTCTCATTTTGCACTAAAATAGCAACAGTTTTACTTCTCAGACAGCAAGAGTTTGATGTGAAGTCCTGTTTCAAATGAGAGCCTAGTACCCACAGCAGTGTGTGCAAATAGAGGACCGGGTTTATGTTTGAGGATTTACAGTATGCACAGTTTAAAAGCATGATAAATAAGAAATATGTTTAAGAAAAATCATTATTGGAGCCAGAGAGCCCTGATCTGAAAGAGAATACAACTTACTAGAAAAATAGCAAAATTATGACAACATAAATGTTTCTTTAATTTCCTTATATTGATGTTTACCTCCAGAAATAATGTCAGAATGGTTTTACTTTGGAGAGTCTCCTTAATATGAAGAATTAGTCTGTAAAAACACAGAGCCAATTAGGATCTAGTTGAATAAAATGCACTAAAATTGCACATCACAACTATATAAATCTGTATTGTTAATGTTTTGTTCCTTAAGATAGCTAAAACTGGAAAATAAGACCTGATTGTATCCTTCAAATATTTCAGTAACAGAGAAAGTGTAGCCACCACAAATTTTCACTGCTTGTGTCTCTGACTATTTCAGATCCAGACTAAAGACTAGAATCGTCACATTTGTTCCTTCAAACCCTCAACTATTTCCTAGAGTTTGGAGGATAATCCAAATTTAATTTAACTGTCATGTTTCCCTCTTTTGTACACAACATATGCCTTCTTCTTCCATCGTGCTTTGCAGTTGAAAATGGGGTTTTTCTTTGTGCTTTGAACTGAAAACTTACTCCTTTTCTTTTTATTTCTGTTTAAACTTACTAAAGGTGGAACAACATCCAAAGTTTGTCAAACAGTTTAATCACACTCCTTTATTCAGAATGTCCAGCCCTTGTAATAAAACACTAAATACTGTAATTTTTCCATTTTGATTTTGTAAAGGGGTTAATATTGAGTTATTGAGGCGGCGTTGAAACTAAAATAAAAGCAAATGATTAAAGGTATTTTTTAATACCCACTCGCTAATCTTACATTTCAAGACATAAAAAGGTTAAAAGTCTTCGATATTGTATGTTTTTCAATAATTTGATTTTCAGAGCTTTTCTGCAGACATGAACTTAGTCTGCACCTTTAAAACAAACAGGAAAGTGATTTTTGTTTGTACATAATTGTTGATATTGGAAAAAAATCTCACATAAACTGAAAAACTAACCTGTCCGATTTCTGTCCAGATTGTGAACCGATTTTTTAAAAATTCTGCATGATAAACAGTCAATTCAACAAAAAAATGATCAAAAACATATTAATTATAACAGAAAGATGAAATTTGGGGGTCATGTAAAGCCTGTAATCCCGTCTAATTCAGTGTAGAGTCAATGGAATCAATAATTATCCTGCAGTTTGCAGCTGGGTCACAGCTCTGGTTATGTGATGCAAACACTGATTATGTTTTCTTTTTTTTTTTTTTTTTTTTTTAGTTTAAAAAAAAAATCATTGCACCACATTTTGTTGATTCCTCTTTGTTTTTATTTGTTTTATTACCTAATAATGCCAACAGCCTTTTTTTTTTTTTATGTTTGCGGCCAAGAGTTAATGTAGCAGGATGCTAACAGTGTCATGTCGGTCAACTGTAGTGGAAGGATTATATTCTGTGTACTTTGTGTCCTCTAAATGTGCCTTTTTACACAGTTCAAATAAATCACTTTTTAATGGTGCTTTCTGTCAGTCATTACCAACATCTGCCGGGGTCTCCTCTTAGACTCTGGAGTTGAAACATCAGAAAGAACAGGTGGTTTTGGTGGTTTCCAGTTTATATCTTCTGCATATTGCAGTGAATCAGGCTGCAGACATGTTTACTTTTGGTGTAAGTACAGACATTTGAATGTTAGTATGGATAGGGATCCCCTGGTTTTTGGAACTGGGCACTCAAGTCGCAGCTCTTATCATCTCTGCATTGGTTTTATTTTTCAGCACATGAGATTAAGCAGGGATCAGTTCTGTAAAGTACTTCATGAGGCTTCATTCATGTTTTTGTAACCACAAACTAATATGACGTTCAAATATTGGATGTTAGCACTTGAAGTTTCTGCTTTGAACTGTTTGTTTAGTTACATGGGTGTCAAAAGAGGGTGGCCCAAGAAGACCATGAGGTTTGCTGAAAACATGACATAAACCTCCTCAAGGAACAAAGCAAACGCAGACAAAATTTTAGGGGTGATATTTCATAGTTTGCCATTCTGAATAAGGGAGCACAACTTGAGTACAAGAATCTGGCACACTAGATTTTGAAGTGCTAAGTACAGGTAAATCGTACTTCAATGCAGAGTTGTGGATCGGTAGATTCTGGAATGGTGTGAGATGAAATGCTGGGTTCCAGAATGCTGGGTTCTAAAGTCCATGGTTCTGGAGTTCTAAATTCTAGAATGCTGAATGCTGGGCTCTTGAGAATTTGGTTCTTAAGAGCTGGGTTCTAGAATACTTAACTCTAGAGAACTGGATCCTAGGTTGCTGAGTTTTTGTATCTGGGATCTGGAGTTTTGGGGTTAGAAAATGTAGTTTTTTTCATATGACAGGATCTAGAATGCTGTGTACTGGAAAGGAAGGTTCTGATATGCTATATTCTACACTCACTGGCCACTTTATTAGGTACACCATGCTAGTAACGGGTTGGACCCCCTTTTGCCTTCAGAACTGCCTCAATTCTTCGTGGCATAGATTCAACAAGGTGCTGGAAGCATTCCTCAGAGAGCTTGGTCCATATTGACATGATGGCATCACACAGTTGCCGCAGATTTGTCGGCTGCACATCCATGATGCAAATCTCCCGTTCCACCACATCCCAAAGATGCTCTATTGGATTGAGATCTGGTGACTGTGGAGGCCATTTGAGTACAGTGAACTCATTGTCATGTTCAAGAAACCAGTCTGAGATGATTCCAGCTTTATGACATGGCGCATTATCCTGCTGAAAGTAGCCATCAGAAGTTGGGTACATTGTGGTCATAAAGGGATGGACATGGTCAGCAACAATACTCAGGTAGGCTGTGGCGTTGCAACGATGCTCAATTGGTACCAAGGGGCCCAAAGAGTGCCAAGAAAATATTCCCCACACCATGACACCACCACCACCAGCCTGAACCGTTGATACAAGGCAGGATGGATCCATGCTTTCATGTTGTTGACGCCAAATTCTGACCCTACCATCCGAATGTCGCAGCAGAAATCGAGACTCATCAGACCAGGCAACGTTTTTCCAATCTTCTATTGTCCAATTTCGATGAGCTTGTGCAAATTGTAGCCTCAGTTTCCTGTTCTCAGCTGAAAGGAGTGGCACCCGGTGTGGTCTTCTGCTGCTGTAGCCCATCTGCCTCAAAGTTCGACGTACTGTGCGTTCAGAGATGCTCTTCTGCCTACCTTGGTTGTAACGGGTGGTTATTTGAGTCACTGTTGCCTTTCTATCAGCTCGAACCAGTCTGGCCATTCTCCTCTGACCTCTGGCATCAACAAGGCATTTCCGCCCACAGAACTGCCGCTCACTGGATATTTTTTCTTTTTCGGACCATTCTCTGTAAACCCTTGAGATGGTTGTGCGTGAAAATCCCAGTAGATCAGCAGTTTCTGAAATACTCAGACCAGCCCTTCTGGCACCAACAACCATGCCACGTTCAAAGTCACTCAAATCACCTTTCTTCCCCATACTGATGCTCGGTTTGAACTGCAGGAGATTGTCTTGACCATGTCTATATGCCTAAATGCACTAAGTTGCCGCCATGTGATTGGCTGATTAGAAATTAAGTGTTAACGAGCAGTTGGACAGGTGTACCTAATAAAGTGGCCGGTGAGTGTAGAGTGCTGTTTTGTTGGGTTATAGAATAATGATTTCTGAGATTATGGGTTCTGCAAATCAGAGGTTCTGGTGTGCTGGATTCTAGACTGCTTACTTCAAGATTGCTGGGTCACTGAAAGCTGGGTTCCAGGATGCTGTGTTCTTGAATACTAATATCTGGAATACTGAATTCTGGTTGTGGGTTCTTAATTGCTAGGTTCTAGAATGTTAGGTTCTTTACTGCTTGGTTCTAGAATATTAGGTTATTAATTCCTGGGTTCTAAAATGTTGGGTTCTTAATTCCTGGGTTCTAGAATTTAAGGTTCTTGACTGCTTGTTTCTAGAATGTTGGGTTCTTGACTGCTTGGTTCTAAAATGTTGGGTTCTTAATTCCTGGGTTCTAAAATGTTGGGTTCTTAATTCCTGGGTTTGAGAATGTACGGTTCTTGACTGCTTGGCTCTTAATTCCTGTGTTCTAGAACGTTAGGTTTTGACTGCTTGGTTTTAGAATGTTGGGTTCTTGACTGCTTGGTTCTAGAATGTTAGGTTCTTAATTCCTGTGTTCTAAAATGTTGGGTTCTCAATTCCTGGGTTCTAGAATGTTTGGTTCTTAAATGCTGTGTTCTGAAATGTTAGGTTCTTGAGAGCTTGGTTCTAGAATGTTGTGTTCTTGAATGCTGTGTTCTGGAATATTAGGTTCTTAATTCCTGGGTTTGAGAATGTACGGTTCTTAATTCCTGGAATTCTAGAATTCAAATTTAAATGTTCCTCAGCATGTTCTGGTGTGTTTGTAGAGAGAGACATAGCATCGGTTTGTGGTTTTAAGAAACCTTTTCCTCTCGAACAAAAAGCTCTCTCTTTGTAGTTTTCAGACTCTTAGGATAATAATCCAAAACATGAACTTTCAGGATTGATGCAGCTGTTACAGCCTGTTTACCTGCTGCTGACTGAAACAGATTTATATTGGACCAAGCTCTTGTAAAGGTTTTATTCAGAGTCTGAAAGTCCTCTGAGTACTTAATATTCAGGCAGCGTGCATTCCTATAGCTCCCACTGCAGACAGAGGCCATGTATTTTTCAGCCCGAGAATAACTCTGAGAGGTCATGTGGTCAGATGACTACAACTTTAGAATGATTCAGGAAACATAATTTGACCTGTATTCTCCATCTCTATCCTCATTTAGTATAAGTATTAAGTATTCTCTCTGCTTTGTGAAATCTTCTTTCCGCAGATCCGTTCAGCATCAGCTTAAGTTAGGAAGTTGATGAATAAGTCTCCTCTGCTAAGCTTTCAAGTAAAGCGAGAAAGGGTATATGCGATTTCACATCAATGATTCATGTTGCCTGGGGGTGGGAATCCTTTCTTACCACAGGAGCTACCCTGAGTGTGTCTGTCGGATTCATGCCCACAATGAGATCAAGGTGTGTGTGTGTGGGCTGATCCTGTATATGAGCTCAGCTTTCACCTTTGTGTGTGCAGAGATTTCCCCTGAAGGTAAATGTTGTAGCTGATTAAACTGAAGAGGAGTTCAAACAGCTGCCTGGAGGAAGAAATGTGACCTGTGTGATATAAAAGATATCCAACCTGCTGCTTTTATCACAAAGCAGAGAAAAACAAACATTGAACTGTTTGATTTCACTGCTGTACGCTCCTGATCTCCAGAGGATGATAATGGCAGATATTGGATTGTCTATTGGTGCCTCCCTCTGCATGGGGGCGCCCATTGTCAAGATAAGCGGGCTTGAACAAAAACACTTTTCAGTATTTGGCTCTGCAAGATTTTTAAAATGTAGACTGAATTTTTCTGCCACTTTTGTTCAAAATCACATTTAGATAAATATTTTTGTTTGTCATAAAAAATGTCTGAAAGATAATGTGACAGCTGTATCTAAATGTTGAATATGAATCTGGAATGTTGAATCTGAATTTAACTTTAATGTTACATCAAAAGGTAAAAATTGGCATAAGTGGTAGCTGAATAATTTACTAATAGATATTAAGTCGTGAGAAAGTCAAGTCGTAATGTCACCCTAGCTCAGAGTCATATTGTTACAAAAATTAAGTCATGTTGAACTCGTAATATTAGCAGGATAAACTCACCACATCATGAGAATAAAGCTGTGTTCAAGTCATAGTTTTGTTCTCTGTTAGCAGCCAGCCTCCCAAAATGAGTGTCTCATTACACTGTACTTAATATTTTGGCATCTCAGTTCCGCAGCTGAATGTTAAATTTTGAATGTAAAGCCAAAGGCCAAATATTAAATACAGTTTTAACAGGGGAATTTATATGCAACATAAAAAAAAAACGTTTACTGTTAAATCTTGGTGTTCAATAACAGGCAAGTGGAGTATCAATAAAGGCAACAAGGGTCTGTGTCTCAGATTTTGGTTAAAGTTTGAAGCTGCTGGTCTTTGATTGATCTCAGACTTCAGACACCATCAATAGCTTCTAATTGAAATCCTTTACTGTAATCCTCTCATATCCTCTCATACCTGCTGCGCTGATTTCTTTTAAAATGTACAGATCTATGACTCCTAACTTAACTGCGTTTCCCTTTAAGAGTTTGAAAATACGAAGTTCAAGAAGACAAAAAAAAGTACATATATATATATATTTACTTTTTTTAAAAAAATTAAACACCTCCCTGACCGGTTTCTTGTGTGTTTCAAACTCTACTCCACTTCTTGTTTCCCTCGCTGAAAAAGTCTCTCTGTTAATTAAAATTCCTCCTGTGTCCAGTCTGTAATCCGAAGATTATTCACTTCCTGTGTCTCTCACTCTAATAAGCCTGCAGACAAATCCCAGGACATTTTCTGCAGTGATAAATATCTGATCCAGAGCTTCATTAAGTCCTCCAGCTGACAGATACACTTTCTCACCTGAGCCCGTTTATTTTCCCCTTAAAGCTGAACTAACATCAGACTCTGTGGTTTCTGGGATATGAAGATAAAACAGCAACAGAAGTATTCTTCAGGCAAACCCAAGCTGCACAAATTAAAGAGGTATTCCACTGCAGTAACACATTAAACTTAACCCACAAGTGAAGGAGAGTGCTCGTGCCTCATCAAAATGTTACATCCACGTTTACCCTAAAAGGCATGTAATTGCCAATTAAATAGAAACACCCTGCCTGCAGATGTAATCAGCACTTTAAAGGGAACAAGAGCAGACACTGATTTGATTCATGTCACACCTTAAGCACACTAGCTTCTAAGTTGTGAAGTAAACATGAAGGCCTGCTCAAGTTGGTACAACTACACGGAAATTCAGGCAGGAATTTAGTGCCAGACTTTCCCACATGATGTCATATTCACTAACAACAAGGTGAACATACATTTTTGTTAATTTTGAGAATTTTTTTAACTAATACATTGCAAATCAACTCTTTGTTCCAGTGTAATTTGTTGTAGGGTATGAGCATTGACTGTCATCCACATAGATTGACCTAGAGCCGTCAGAAATCTTATTCATTTATCTAATTAACAAGTCAGAAACCATCGACTAAAACATTAATCTGGTATTTATTAGTATTCAACTTTGGTTAATAAGACAGATTATATCAAACCCGACTTTCCAAATGGAGAGCATGTAAATTCACCATAGCCAAAGATCAACTTTTCAACTCAGAAACTAGAACCATTAGTTCTAGGAAGCCAAGGTTGTGTGCCGCTTATCTAGCAACAAGTGATTGGATTTGACCTGAACCACTGCGCCATGCACTTTGAAATGTGTGTTTTGGGTGGTTGTGTGCTCCTACATAAGTGATGTGGCAACAAGTATAACATCCATTCATTGACTGTAAGATGCACATTTTGTTGCATTTATTAGTCTACCAAAGATTAGTCTAACATTTTTAGTAGACATGTATAGCGCAGAGTTCTCTGTGTTTTCCTTGTGCCAGTTTTCTATACGGATCCGGCAGGCTTCTTTTATTTAGGTCATGACTGTCACCTCTCTGTCAGTGTTTCTCTTCTCTGACTGCAGACAGCTCAGAGGAACACATGCACACAAACACACACACACACACTGGAGTTAAGTGTGTGATGCATCAAAAAATCAATGTGAAGGTCTTTGCAGGGACTCTATAACCCATCTGTACGCTTCAGGTCGATACCATCCACAGGAAGAGTCTGAGGACGCTCTTCCTCTGTGACATGGACTCCTTAAACACTTCAGTACATTCTGTTCAATACTCATTATAGCACAGAAAGTGACAAAGACTTTAAATAGGTCTGTCACTGTTCAGGGTCATGTCTGTTGGGTAGTGGCATCTGTTTCTGCAGCTAGGTCAAAGACAAAGACACCGAGCAGAAAAAGCACAGAAGGAACTTATTTCACCAAAGATTATACAATTTCATAAAGTAAATAAATAGAGACTCAGGACCTGTGTTGTGCTGACTAGAAACACTTGTATTTGACCTGCAATCACAGAAATGTTCTGTAAATAAAGGTCTATGCTTTTTTTGTGCCGTGCAAGCTACTTTAAATCGGTTAGAAGTTACAGAACTGAGTGAAAACAGATCATTGGACGGTTAAGGAAGTATAAATGCTGATATGATTGGTCACCTGCATGTCAGTTTTTAAAAGTATTCAGTCATCTCTCAGGGGGGCTGCTACAACTAGCTAATAGCTACGATTCTTTTCCTCTGTTTTATGTTTTGACAACCAGTAATACCAAATGCCTGAGTCTTAAAACAGTATCAATATTCTATTTTTTAAAAGATGGTTGTCATCAACAACAGCTATACTGCAACAATTCCAATACTCCATGACATGGTACAGTTCAGTTTGATACAATAAAATAGGGCATGCTACAGTTGCTACAACTTAATACAGTGCAATATGATAATACATGAGTTATGGTAAATAGACCATTTATAAGTAGTAAGCAGATAGTTTATTAAAGTTTAATCATCATTCATAAGTAGCATATAGACCATTAATCGATTGTAAATTTCACAATTTTAAATACCTAACCCTAACCCTAACTTTACAATAACAATCTAAGTAATGTTTATAGGTGGTTTATAAACCACTTATTAATCATTTACAAAGTATTATAAATATCAGTTGCAACTTTACAATAACCATCTAATTAATGTTTATAAATGGTTTAAAAACCAAATATTAAACATAAGTAAACTTTCTATTTACCATTTATAAATTATGGCTATTGTAAAGTGTTACCCATAATGTATAAAAGATATCAAACAATAAGATAGGATAAGATCTGATACAATTCAAAATAAGTTAAAGAGAACTAATCAGGTTTTGTTCTTGATGTTTAACATGTTTATTTCTGCTGCTGAGGTGGACTTTTTCTCATGGGGCTCTGTGGGGACTTAGTTTTGTTATCATTTTAAGAGGTAAGCTGATTTTACTCATGTTGGTGCTCATTTATTCAAACATAATCTGGATTTTGATTTGAGTAAGTCTGCTATGTTTTGTATTCCTCTTTGTTTGTACTGTATCGTGTTGATAGAAATAGGTGGGGGGAGACGAAGTCCGGAGAGGCAGACTTTTGGGGTGGAGTGGGCAGATCCTGATCCAGATCCAGATCCAGATCCTGATCCGCCCGTTTCTCCCAGTGGAGGCAGAAAGGAGCTGAGCGGCACAGAGGCTGCAGAGCCTCAGCCGGGGATGGCATCCTCCTCGCACGGAGTGTCTTCATCCTCCTCCTCCTCCTCAGCTGGGCTTCATGTCGCATCCTGAGCGGACTGAGAGGCGGACTGAAGGTAGAATGGGCCGAACCCCCCGGTCCCCCTTCTGACTCTGGATATGGAACCGACACCTCCGCACTCACACAAAGGTACCCTCGTCTCCTGGTTCCATACGGAGCTGCAGATACATGCGCGCGCGCGCGTGTGTGTGTGCAGGTACGCATGTGTTGCATGTGTGTGTGAGTGTGTGTGCAGTCAGGTGCTTCTGCGGATGTGTCTGCTGGTTAAAGATGACGAGGATGATGATGATGATGAAGGCGCTGCACTTGTTGAGTGATTTTGGGTGTGTGAGTTCACCAGTGATCAGCTTCTGCACACCTGTCGTCTTCATGTCCTGTCATCATGTGTGCTGTAGTAAAGGTACACACGCACGCACACACTCAAACACACGCACACACTCACACAGATGATTTTAGGAGATTAAAAGGTTGCAGCGTCCTTGTCTGATTGATTCCTGCAGCCAACTTTGCCTCCCGGTGTCTCCCTTATTGTCTCCTGGTTTCCCCGGCGTGATTAGGCGTTTTTGAATCAAGCTTTCCGAACCTCTATCTGTAACAAACTACAGAACATATTGCACATTGTTTGAAACATCCTCTGATTAATGTCTCACATGAGGCACAGTGACACTGAGGTATTCGTTTGCTCTGAAATTCATTATCTCAAGCTTTCTTTGGCTTTGCTGTAACAACAAAAAATGAATAGAATAGAAATAAACTAAAGAGTTGGTGTATGAAATTACTGAGTCAGATTGTAATTCCTAAAACCATGCAACAAAAGGACTTTAGGGAAATAAACTCTGTCCAGTGCAGGTTTACACCGGCAGTTAAAAATATAAACCATGAGCTGTAAACAAGTGGTTAAAATGTTGTAGGTCATTGCAGAATACAGTATGTACAGTATCTGCAATGGTGTGGTACAGCAAACTTTACTCCCTGCATTGACCTATATTTTCTTTGTACAGTGGAAGGACTTTAGCCCATTCAACACAAATTAATAATGAAACATGAATCTTAACATTCAGCTCTTAAAATTTAATGAAGGAGGTGTCATTATGCTTTTTTGATATAAAAACTAATATGAAGTTTAAATATTTGACATCAGGTGGGAACAGATGTGCGCAGCAAGATTTCAGTCTGTTAGAAGTTGTGTCGCAGAAATCCCAGGATAAGACTGCAGGCTGTTCTGGAGTGCAAGGTTCTTGGAATGCATGGTTTTGGAATTCATGTTTATTTATTTAAATAATTTTTATTCCAGGTTTCAGAATATGAAGTTCTGGAATGCTGGGTTCTGGAAATATGGGGTCCTTAAATGCTATGTTCTGGCATGCTTAGTTCCGGAATGGTCAGTTCTGGAATGCAGAGGTCTTGAATGCTGGGTTCCAGAGCACTGGGTTCTGGATTATTGGGTTCTCTAACACTGGACTCTTGGATACTGAATTCATAAAAGACAGGTTATGATATCCTGGGTTTGGGAGTGCCCAGTTCCAGGACTCTGGTATTTGGAGTGCTAGGTTTTGGAATGCATGGTTTTGGAATGCTAGGGTCCAAAATGTTTGGTTTGAGAATGCTGGGTTCTGGAATGTTTGATTCTGGAATGCTGGGTTCTGTTACAGAGATGCTCTTGGATGCTGAATCCTAGAATGTCGGACTCTGAAATCCTGGATTCTAAAGCAACAGACTGTGGAGTGTTCCTTTGCTGATCCGCTGTGTGTACTGTGTGTGCCTTGATATGTTACCCATCCCTGGTTTTCGCTGCTGTATGTTTAAAATCAGATGGAGTTCTTACCTGTGAGCTGTCTGCTTAACTGGAGACGATCACTCAGCACTGCAGCCGTCACTGAACCTTTCTGCGCTCTTGCCTTCTTCATTTTGTAAAGGATTTGTCATATTTATCTGAGTTTGACCACTTTTCTGCTCTGTAGCCTCTGAGCAAAAATGCTGAAGCTTATTTCGGTTGGGTAGAATAAGTTATAAGTTTATAAGGGCCAGCTCCCTCGCCTATAAGTGATGTCATATCTGGTGATCGGGGGTGTTAAAAATTGTCGAAACCTTCTTGGAGAAAGACTTACTGGCTGCTGCATTGTTTTTAGAAAAGCCAGTGTTTTAATTTGATATGTTTCTGTAGTTGTCTGATCATGAATTAAGGTAGTTTAATGATATAATTCAGCATATATAACATACATTTCTCTTTTTTGGCATATTTAAAGGCTTAAAAGTCTTAATTCTCAAACTTTCTTGAGTTTTCTTTCCTCGTGATTTAGAAAATACACTTGTGGGAACTTCTTTTATATATATAAAAGTGACATTTTGAAGTGCATCTGAATCTTTCTGCCAACTGAAAATGATCCAAAGACGTTTAGAGCTGAGCTGTTTTTCAAACTGTAAGAGTTTCAGAGACAAAGTGGACCTCATGCAGAAACATATTTGTATTCTTCTCCCGTCCTCTCCGTCTGAAGATGAACTGTTTGACAGATCTCGACCCGCTGGGAATTTTGTTTGTGCCTGTCATGAAAAACTTCTCTGACAACTGTCCTCCGTGCTGTGCATGAATAAGTCTGGCTGTTTTTCTTCAGGCATGAAGCCCAGAGGACTGATTTGTGGATATTTCTCATGTTAGATCACTGATGCCTGACCTGTGTCACCTGTTTCGAAGCTGCTGCTTCAGGTAGAGCCAGCCTTATTTTATTTTTCAGTTTTAAAGCGACACCTGTGAGGCTGTTTTTTATTCCGAGTGGGGTAAGTTCAGTCTGGCCTTCAGGTGAGATGGAGACAGCACCTTTTCTGCAGCGTCCTTCAGGGAAAACAGCCACTGAATTAAAATGCAGCCTCAGACTGGAGAGGGACAGACACAGCCCAAGGAGGGAGAGATGAAACACGAGGAGTATATTTTACTCTAATAACTGACTGTGGAGTATAAATTTGCAGAGAAAAAGCACTGAAGTGTGTATTTTTTTGTGGTTTCAACAATAAAAACTGCAGAGTTTCCTGTGGAGAGACCTATAAAAGGCATAGAGTCGGTGCATCTTTTCTGTTTTCTGCCTCCAAAGACAAAAAACCTTTAAAAGTCTGACCTGCTTTCTGACCCAAAGACAATTTAGTCATCCAAAACCAGACTTTATGAAGACAAGGGATCTTACAGAGCAACTATTTACACAATTTCAGAACCCATTGGCTATTAGCTAATGACATTATGTGCCTTTTGGAAGGATGGCCAGCTTTTCAGACATTCAAGTTCAGCCAAGAGACTTTAAACCAAGACTTCATTTTCTACAAGATGCACTTTTTAAAGACCAGTTAGCAGTGTGGGGAGCGACTGTGCACTCAGGTCCAAAAGACATAGACTTCAACCCTTCCTGATGGTGCAAAATTGTCTAATTTCTTGTTTCAACACATTAACACAAAAAAACGTATTTGCAGCATGCAGAGGACTAAAATGCACAGAAAGGCTGTTTTTAAAAATACCCACCTATGAGAAGGCCTTACGCTTCATACTGACATTCACTCAAAGTGTCAAATACAACAGCGGGAAGCTGAACATAACTCTTAGAAGAGAGGCTGTTTAGGTTTTCTGCTTCATGTACAGACTTCAGGCTGCAGATCTGACATGCATATTTAAGAGTGAAGCCGAAGACATGTCTCTGCACGCATCATGTTTATATTTCAGCTCTTGAGGCTTTCATTGCACAATCTGAAATACCTCCAAACTGAAATTACACAGAAAGAGAGAGAGAGAGAGAGAGAGAGAGAGAGAGAGAGAGAGAGAGAGGCCAACCCAGAGAGTGTTGCAGTTAAAACTGGGTGTAACAGTTTGTAGTTATAGTAGAGTCTAAAGTACCTGAATGCACCATTAGATTGGTCATTTAATGAGATTAATCCACATTAACATTATATGAAATTATACTAGCTGCATGTAGTGTCTCCTTCTCTATAAATGTCTCAGTTGTTATTCGTTTTTCTTAATGCACTACGATGTGATAGAGGAGAGTGAACTTAATGTCATTCATCTTGATATTTGACTATCAAGTTTAAAGTGTGAGAATTAGGTTTGACACTTTTAGGGAAACTCTCATTTAGATAGACGTTGTGTGGGGATTCCTCTCTCTGAGAAAAGTGCTGGCAGGGCGGGTTGGTATAAAGCGTTTGTGTGATGAAAGCGAGTTAAACTCTTAAAGACTTGAGCCCTGAGGCCACAGTTTAAAAATCAAACAACACATTTATTAATAAAAGCTCTCTAATATGAGACGTATGAACAGGCGCCTAATAATTCTCTGATCTATGAGCAGTTCTTTGTCAGATTCAGCGGGTGTACAGCATCTTAACTATTTGCAGCTCTTTGTCATTGTGTCATTATAAAACAACTAAAATTCTGCAAAGTACCAAATGTGTCAAACTAATGAAGCTATACTGCTTTATTTCAGGGTGATAGAGGAATGAGATTACATCCTCTAAAAGGCTTCATTCTGACCTTGCTTTGGGTAACAGCTGACAGATTAGGTCTTACCTTTTCTGTACCTCAAGATTGATTTTTCAAAAATCACATTTGCGGATCATTCAAGCCTGAAGCGTCCTCTCTTCTCAGCTAATCAAATGTTAGCTAATGTGCTTTAATTAGATATTAGTGGGATAAACGTATTGCTTCCAGGAGGGTACATCCGAATGACCCCCATTTCCCAAAAAGTTGGGACACTGTACAAAATGTTGTTAAAACAGAATTTGATGGTCTGCAACACATTCAAAGCCTATATTTTAGAGAAAACAATGCAAAGACAAAACATCAAATAGTTAGACTGAAAAATGTTATAAAAAAATTGCTAGAAATTAATCAGTGACTGGCCTTTGAAAAACTTTTACCCTGTTATTAAAAGTGATCATCTGTGATGTTTTTTTGTCTCTTCCTCTGCAGACTATGAGGTCCATCTAAAGGGGTCAGGCCAGTGCAAAGACGATGCCACAGCGCCCCTTGTGGGAGCTGCAGAGCTGCTGTCCTGCTCCCTCCTCTCTTTTCTCTTCCCGGATGATGGAGGGAGAGCCCTTCACCTCTGCCCTCTCCTCTCTGCTGTATTCTGCTGGGGGACACTTTGTAGCCCTATCTTCCTCCTCATCCTCCTCCTCTTCCTCTTCTTCCTCCTCCTCTTCGGATTCGGCCATCGCTGCCATGTCCCTGGAGCAGAAGACAACTTTTGCCTTGGTCTTCTTCCTCTTTGTTTTCCTCCTCATCCTCATTGTGAGATGCTTCCGGATCCTCTTGGACCCGTACCGGAGCATGCCCACCTCCACCTGGGCTGACGGCCTGGATGGGCTGGAGAAAGGCCAGTTTGACTACACACTGGCATAGAGTTACACACATAAATACTCAGATCTGAACACTGCCGTCTCTCAGTCTACACACACTCCAAACAAGCAGTGTGTTCATGTGTCTACCTGGAGTTTATGGACCACAGACAGACAGAAAACCAGTCTGAGTGCTGCTTCACATCCTGCTGCCTTTCAGGTGTTTAAACCCACATGCACAAGCTAACAGGACAGATAAGCATAATACGGGAGCAACTTCTTCTCTGCATGGATCAATAGGACTTCACTTTGGCCTCGGTGACTGTGATTAAGCGTCTGCTGCCATGTTGATCTCAACAAAACAGAAACTGTTAAAAGACATGCACATCCAGGAGAGAGGGACGACCTAACTGATGGCTGGTTTAGGCTGTGTTATCGTGTGCAGAAGAGTGACTGTATATAAAGATGTACAAAGCATCTTAGCCTCCTCTTATTGTACAAAAGAGAAACCAAAACACCCCTCATGACAGGCGCTCTCATCCTGCACATTTGTAGCCACAGATTTATAACTCGTGACGCCGATCTCTCCAGTGTAAGATTATTTATGACACAATAACGTGCACTGAGGTCTGCAGAGTCAACAACTGACCAATGCCAAAATTTTACAGCTTAATAACCTTTCAGGACTTCCCAATGGCTCTCTTTTTACTGCTGGTTTATTCAACACCAGTCAGCCTCCTTTTGCCACTTCAGACAAACTAATCATTCACATTGTATTTTTGCCAAATATTCGAAAAACTGATTTCTCTTTCCATCTTGTTGTTCTATATATGATAAGATTCTATGATAAGTTATGGCCGCACTGCCCTTTGGTTGAAAGTTGTCCATCTAAAATGAAGAGCAATAAATTCAAGTTCTGGGATCTTTAGCTGTTTAATAGCCTAAAATGAGAAAATGTTTTAACTGACAACTACTGAGAGCCCAAATCTAATGGTCTGTTAGGCAAACAGACAAATCATGACTTTTTTGATGTGTAGTTTTGAAAACTCAAACTTGAAGTTAACATGAGACCTCTTCAGCTGCCTCCAACTAACTGGACAATATCAATCTTGTCATGAATTGATCATCACTTTTTAGTGTGTTTAAACCTCGGTTTCTCCGTTACTTACCTCAGTTGAGTCATCACTTCTACATAATTAAGTTTTTCTTCGTAATTATTGTCCTCTTGTTTCTGCACATCTCGCAAAACAATGATGGGACACTTGAGAGATGCTGTTAGCATGAACAAGAGCAGTGGGATTCATCAAATTCCAATTTTGATGACTAGTATTGCTCTACACGATCGTAAATTTGTCAATTAAGGCTGAACAATGTTGCGCTGCCTTCTTGAAAATGCTGTTCAACAGCAGGACAAACTATCAGGCAGCTACAGGAGGAGAGAGGAGAGCAGGAGGAGGCAGGTGTGTCTGAAAAGCCGAGGGACAGAACGAGCAAGACTAATGATCATGAGTGATCACGAGCTACTGCCTGCCAAGTTTAAAAGACAGAGACATCGTTCTAAATTATATTTAAGTATAAACTTTACGGTCTCTATAAAGGACATTTGATAAAAGCTTGAAAATACTGAATGATCTGTTAGATCTGTAGTCTGTGGTTGAATGTAAGCAGTATAAGCGGTAAAAGAACTCAACTCCTTCAATTTTTAGGACACAGTGTAAAAATACTTTACTACGGGTGAAATCTGACATTTTATTTCATGAGTTATATTACAAAATTAAAGCAAAAGCTCTTAGAGTGAAGAGGTGATGCATGGCCCCTTAAGTAGCCGAACATCAGACTTAAAAAAAAAATTCATCTAGTCAGACACGCTTAAGTAAACTCAAAGGTAGTCAAAACTGTTTATTTTAGTTCTTATTGTTGTGTTTTAAAGAATTACGTATTTTTAAGTTGAAAAGAGGCTGTAAGTTACGTAACTGTTCCTGATGATGTCAAATCATGAGTAGTCATTTTTGATAATTTTAGTATCAATATCAATCTAAGTAATTGCATTTAAGAATTTTTGCTATGATGGAGCAGCGCCAGCGGGAACGACAACCAAGAATATAATCACGGTGGACAGAGACAGAAGTGCTCCCAATTGCTGTTGTGTACTTCTCTGTGTTGTGCTCAAAACATCAGCTCTGCAAATAGGACAGTATGCAGCCAACTAAAAACTTCTCGCTTTGTGAGACTGACAGCGCAGTGAGTTCCTGTCACATCCAAGAGTTTTTCTATCTCACAGAGGAGACTGGTGAAATTTCAGAGACTGAATCCAGTCCCTCAAAAACAAAGTCATCTAAGAGGATTTAGAATTAGATTTAAGTGATTTTCATCTGATTTCACATCTCATTGTGTGTGCTCCATTAAATTTTGGAGGTTGGAATTTCCAGATGCCCATTAGTTTCCTGAATGCTGGAGTCTGGAGTCATACTCCAGCAAGGTACCATGAGCTTGAGATCCAAGATTGTTGTCCCTGCATCAATAGTAAACAGCTGAACATTGAGGTGTTCATGAGCAACTTCATTTTGTTTTGCAGAATTGAATTACTCACACTGATAGTGCTGTGTAAGTTTTATTTGTGTGTGTGTGCATGATGTCATGTTGCTTTCGCACATGTTTTCAACTTGTAAGTGGAACACAGTCAACTCAGGTATGAAGTCATTCCCAGCTCTAACATCTAACCTCCAAGGAAAATGGGATGCACCATGATACATGGATGTACCATCAGTGAAGTCACCTGGTCAGTATTAGTAGTACTTGCCACATAGGACTTGCTGACCCAGCTTAACTTTTGACCCACCAAGAAGCAAAGAGGTGGAGTTGAGGCAAGCCTATAGTCTCCTCACGAACAGTTCCAGTGTGCCCGCCTGTCGGTCAAGTCAACTGGGCCTCTAAGCCGTAAACTCATAGACTTAATGTCTTCAGAAATAATGCATTAAAAAATTACCCTTGTACAGAGCCCCCATTCAGACCAAAGTGGTTTTTACATCAGGCTCCAAATATATTTGTTTTTGCTCCAAAGAAAAGCTTTTTGGAATGATTGTGTATGCGGCTTCTGTTGCCTCTGCAGCCAGCCTCTAGTGGACACTCGAAGAACTGTAATTTTGAACACTTTCAACATAGTCCCTATTTTGTCAAGACCAGTCGCTTGGTCAGCACACACAGGCATACACACTTGTACATTCACTGTGTTGTTGTTCGAACCCTCTCTGTGCATATTTACAGACGTTGCTACGGTTCATTTTCCAAACTACTCACTGTACTTAAAGGTTCATCGCTCATAGAGGGTAGCCGTTTTCTTTTCTGCCTTCACTGTCTCTCTGTGCAAGAACTAACCATAATGGAAATGCTGCCTAAAAAACCCCCAAGTGTACAACCTCTTTTTCACTGTTTAAAGCAACTAAAGCTATTTTCAATTTTGAGAGAAAATGTTGTGACAGTTTCCAGATGAGCCATAAAGATTTCCTGAAATAAATCAGACATTTCCTGCCACTTATTCAGCTACAAACTGTCAGCAGCGTGGACAAACTCAAATATGCTTTATGTTTGTGATGGTGAGGTCAGCGCTCGTACAGTTGTAGTCGTGGAAAAGTGAGAGAAAAAGAAATGCTTCAGAGGCAAAAACAAAAAAATGTCTTAGATTTAAACAGAAACATGAGTGCATTGAATTTTTACAGTAGGTGTTTATCTGTCATGTGTTTCTGACTATAAACAGCTGATCATAAAGGCCACAGCGCTGCTCTAACAGAGGTTTCTACAGTAAGAATATAGCCTGAAGTGTGGTTATTCAACTTTGGAGAAATCAGCCGGATTTTTAAGAGTAGTCAGCTGAAAAACTGCCTAGTCAACTCCTCCCTGAACTCATGACAGTGCTTCACAAAGAGTCAGGATAAGTCTATGAAAGGAGTCTTCCCTCGCTTTAATGAAGTATGAAGCTATTCAGGAGACATAAAAAAAACATATTAGAATCTGGCAAACTTTAAAAATGTAAACTCACTGCCTGCTGTCTCAACGACAACTAAGAGATTGACTTCATTACAACTTTTTTTTTTTTTGGTATAAATTTGCTGACAGCAGAGTTTCTGTTTGCTATTCAAGTGCAGCAGCTACCATCCAGTGGCATGGGACAGAATACAGTCAATTTTACGTGTATCTTTTTTTATATGCATTATCCAGAGCATGACAATGGGGTATTTATTGGTTAAAATCTTTAATCCTGTGGATCATTTTTATTTATCGTGAACAGAACACCACAGCCACAGACATTATTGACCATTATTTCCCGCTTTGTTTCCAATATTTTTTAAACCACAACACCTAACAGTTCTTTGATTTCTTCATAATAAAAAGGTCATCCATATCCTTTAAGTTCAGCTGCGTATGAGTGGTGTTCTTATTTAGATACTGCATGTTGCATGCAGATACTATGAGTTGTCATGAAGATGACATGAGGGCCACAGGCTTTTGTAAACCATTTTCAAACCTTTTTCTGCCTTTTATTTCTGAACAAAGTTAAATTGAACTACTGCCATTTTGCAACATAAGTTAGTAACTATACAATACACAATATGACAACTATCAGGAGTGAGCTAACGTTTAGTTCTTTTACACTGTCATGGACATGCACCTGTGTTACTTTTCTTTTCTACAGCTATCATTTTCATACCTGGATCATCATTTTTGTGACTTTTTAGTCAGTATTTTTGTTTACCTAAACCATTAAGAATAATGATGCATTAGTAGTTAATTAAAAAAATGAAGACAGCAGAAGCCTCTGAGCCCCATGCAAGATATTAGGCTTGCTCCCAGAGTTTTGAGTTATTTTGAAAAGTCACATCTACTGTTTTACATCTGTATGTGTGTCAGGTCTCACGTGTGCTTCTTAAACTTATGTAGGGGTCTGTTTGAGCTGAAATAAGGTGTTGCTCATTGAGATCGTAAAATTGTCTGTTACCCCTTTTCTTTTTTGATTTATAAACAATTCAATCCTTGTCTTGTAGTTTCAACTGTAAGATTGTGACAAAGAACTTATTGTGGAAATGTTCCCAAGTGAAAAAAGCACTTTAGTGAAGGAGTAAGTCAAAGGAAAAGAACAGGGTTTTTACACTTACAGGGTATCAGTGTTGAGGGTTGAGTTGATGGCTTAATTTACATGCACAAGCTTTTATACTGTCAGGTCACAAACATAAAAGTTCTGTCGGCCTGCGGTACTTTTTGAGATGGTTCGGATAAAGAAAACCAACTTTACAGTCTTCCTGCATCAGAGATGAGATCAAACTGCATACACATGAATAATTCTTCACACTGCTCAGAGCCCCTTTGACATGAATGCAGCTAAACATATGTGCTCTGTTGTTAGCACGGACTGCATCTTTAATTAGCTGCTGAAAATGCAAATTACCCGCCATGGGATGAATAAAGGTTTATCTTATCTTGAATCTCCTTTTCCCACGATGCTCTGCAGTAACCGCACAGCCAGGTCTGCAGTTAAACAGCAGGACCAAAAACACTGTAAACAGTCCTTTCATTAAGATCTGGGTGTGTTTTTCTTGCAAAGCTAAATAAAGCACTTTTTGTTTTCTTGTGGTATCAACACTACATCCTCTATATGGTGGTGTTTTACAGCTCCATGGTGGATCTTTCTCTTCGGACATTGATGATGATTTGTTGCTGCTATAAAATCTGACCCCTGTGCTTCCACACTTTGTAAAAAATGACCAAGTACTGTTTGAAAAATCAAGGAAAAAGCTTCAGGTCTGTACATAAGCAGGGCCATAGTCTTACTGTGTGATTTTGCTGCTGTCCTCTGTGATGTCTGTGTGTGTCTGCTTGGAGAGCAGTACTATTAGAAAAACACACAACTCAGGTTGTGTAACTCTAAATAAATGATTTCCAAAACAGTGCATTTGATTTTGTTGTCTTTTAAAATATATACATTTTTATTATCATGCAATTTTCTTGCAAAAAAAACATCACAGATAAAAACAATGCTGTAAAAAAAGGACAAAACACTGTCAGAAACTTCAAGGCTGCAACACTTTTCCAAATTCTGTAAAACTCCAGTGAAAAAGAAACTTAGGCAAACATCTAAATGTCCTTTCATTCACTTATCAACAAGTTGACATATTCACTTGAATCAAAATCTGACATTCTTAACAAGTCCATATCAAAACTTCCTGGAAATGTGTTGCTGGCATAGAAAAATCACAAATAATACATTTTTTTAGTTCTAACATTTAAAAAGCTGTCTTTGCACTATTTTCAATTAAAATGGGCTTTTATTGATATGCAATCCATTAAAGTCTTTTTTAGATCAGCATTTTACAGCATCCTTCAAGCTTGGGTTGTATTATCTCTTATTTAAAACTTTTCTCACCCCAGAAATGTATCTTGTTTATTCAGTATTACTTCTTTTTGAGAGCCTGTAATAAACCATATGGCTAATATATATATTACCAAATTTTGACAGTAAAAAGATGATCAATTAAAGATTAAATAGATTTATTCTGTTGATTACAGAGTTGGGGAGAGAATGATTCTCTCAACAACTGATAGCAGTCATCAGTAAAGTGAATTAGATAAACACCAAGAGAATAGTGAAAATCAATCAAACAGTCAATCAGTGAAAGGCGTGACAACACTTTATTTTTGATGTGATTGTGTTATTGATGATGACTGCTTTTCTCCTGCAGCATTTTACACACAGAGAACAGGCTGATAAATATGCTGTAACGGATGTCTTGGGTTTAATTTTCAGGATATTTTTGTGTCATGGACCTTTATTTTACAACAACTCATGTTGTTGTCATTCAATGATGGTGTCAGGGCTGTTTTCAGAACATTTTGAGTTGAGTGTTATTATAAGACATATATGACATAAAAATGTTCAGGTCCTTATGTGGTCTTTCTGTCTTTATACCGAAACACAGAATCTAATCTCACATTTCTCTGAGTTCTGCTCACTTCTGACGATTCAATTTTACTGTTATCACATCACTGCTGATTGATGCTTTCACTGCCATTGGCTCTCAGTGCTGGGCCCACTCCCTCTGAGGGTGGCGTTTTCAAGGTCTGTTTTGTGAAATCAGGTGTTGATTTGGATTGTGGTCACATGACTCTGAGCCCTCCTGCTGTGGACCATTGATATTTGTTGATTCAGAGAGATGTTGGATCCGCAGCCTGTAAAACTTTGGTAGGTACTTTCAATGTATTCAATTAATTAATGGATTAACAATCAACTCTCATTGTACCATAAAATCTTTTGTGAGGTTTTAGTTTTTGACTTTCTAAATATTTAAAAATGTTCATGATAATGCTTGAGTAACAAAAAAAAAAAAAAAAAAGGATTTGAGTGAGATATACCCCGAATGTGTAAAAGTATGAAGTTCAGACCGGTTACGTTTCAAAACAAATCCTGCCATCTGCTGGTACCTTATTGAATCATTTCATTTCTGCAGCAAAAAATCTTGAGGTCTACAAATAGTTGATGCTATCAAACTTTTGTCATTGTAGAAATGTTTTAAAATACAAACCACCATATGGGCTCCATATCACTTCAAAAACTGTTGTCTGTAAACACAGAATTAAAAAAAAGAAAATTGACTCTTATTTTGGAAATCACGAACTCTATTTTTATATCATTAATTATCCTGATAATATAGTTTTACCTGATACAAACATTTGACAATAAGCCTTTTGTTTATTAACACGCTGACACATCCATGTAAATCAAAATCTGACATTTTCTGGAAATCATGTAAGAGGATCCACATGACCAGTTATCAGCTCAAAAGCAAGCATCTTAAATGTTGTCAGTGATGACCACTGTTTATTACAGTTAGATCTGTATCTGCAAAGAGGAAACATTATTAATGGGAAATTTGACAGTCTTTTTGGAATTCACTGAGGCCACAACATTTTCCTTAATGATCTTTTACTCGTAATTTAATGACTTATCATTTTCTATCATGGATGCTGCTTCCTCCTCGCTGAAGACCAGAGGGACCATTCAGCTTGTTATCCAAACTCCAGTTCATAGTAAGCATCCCTGATGGTACTGATGGTCGTAAGTGTCTATGTCATGAGTAGCTTAAAGACTCCATTAATGCTGAACAATACAGGTTTAAGTGCAACATCTGCTGTCATCCAGACAATGACTTTTTCAGGGAAAACCTTCATATTTCAGCAAGACAATGAAAAACCAAATTCTGCAGGTGTTACAACAGCATGACTCTGTAGTAGAAGAGTCCTGCTGCTAAACTGGCCTGCCTGCAGTCCTGACTTGTCACCCATTGAAAACATATGGAGCATCATGACTCAAAAAAAATAGGACAAAGGAGACCCCAAACTATTATCTTATGGCAAATCCTGCTGCAGGGGCATAGACTTATTTTCAAAGATTGCTCAGGGGCAAGATGATTTTTATTAAATCATTTATTGAAAGATGCTCACCCATTCAATTGCTCCAAACAACCAATAAGCACCTTATGACTAGGGAAAAGCATAAAAGTGACTATTTTTGAAACGTGCAAAATAAATGGAGAAAAAAATGTCAAATGGTTTGACCAAAACCTCTTCACAATTCTGAAAACCTTTGAAAAGTCATACTCCTTTGGCCTCTGCAGACCCATTTAAATTTGCAGCAGCATGTGTCAGGACCATAGACTGTATATACTATACTTCTTTATACAGTCTATGGTCAGGACATCGCACTATCCTCAGTGCTTTTCTCTTGGGTGCTGCTACTGGAGCACCATTCGGAAAGTGCTAGAGATGTGTAGATGGAGACAAATGACATCACCCAAGCATGCATACAAGCATGTAAATACACGCAATGGGAATATGAGTGCCAACTTCTTAAAATGAATTTGATGTTATCCAACCCAGAATTACAGGCCAGAAAAGTGCGGGGGGCAGGTACTGGAAATGTGTGTTTGTGTGTGTGTGGGTGGGGTGGAGTGGGGAGAGTCCCCTGCATACCCTGTGCCAACTATGCCCATGTCCTACTGTCTTTATTATTCAAATGTATTAGTCATCATGATATTTGTGATGGGAATATTTAAAAAGGGGGTTTCTTCACTGTGCTGGAAATGACTTGACATCTCCCCAACTGCAGGGGTTACAGACATTCAAAATGACTTTACAGTCGATGTCTAACTTTTATGTAAATTATGTAGTTTGCTTTTTATGTAGTAAAAGTGTCCACTGTGGACTTCAGTTTGTTTCATAACCAGTAAAAACTCCACATAGAAGTTTTAAAAAGGGTTTAGATGATACGCAAAGTATGGAATTCTGTTTTATTACTATTTTACACATAGTTCTTTTTCTTTTTGTGACTGGGGTATATGTTTTGAAGGTTCAAATCAACATATTGAAGGCAAGAAAAAAAAGTGATGATTCCTTAAAAATCTATACTGGAAAATAATAATAATAATAATAATAATAATAATAATAATAATAATAATTAGTGATTTTTTTTTTCTTCGGTAAATATTTCTCTTTCCTTCTCTCCTAACCGCATTTTCGTGTCCTTACAGTACAACCGAAGAACTGGGGGAGATGATACAATCAAACAAATTCAAGCGGAGTCGTTATTTTTCAGAAGCGCTCGATATGAACGCCAGGGCACTCCGAGCCACGAAGAAGCGTTAGCTCTCTGATTACGCAAGCCGGGAGTTCATCTAACCGCCCGTTTTAAGAATATCCGGCATACGTTGGTTTAATTTTCAAGCAAGCCCATAAGTCAAAGTTGAAAGAACGCATTGCGTCGAGCCTCGCTATTGGCTGGTTTAACCTAACGTAAAATTTTCAATGAGCCGCCATGTTGGGAAGCCAAACCCCTCTTTCATTCGTTTGAGAAAGGACAGGATACACTTCCAGAGGAGTTTACGGAAGTGCAGGCTGTAGTTGAGCGGTTAAATCTGAACCGAAACACCCACCGAGGTGCCATCCGAGCCCGGTTTGTCTCCGGTCCTTTCCTCAGCGAATTTCAGCCACTTCTTCTGCAATGGCGACCGCGACTCCGACCGGTCAGAGGAGCACGTGCGGCAGCGGCACACCGCTGAGCCCGACCAGGATCACCCGCCTGCAGGAGAAACAGCAGCTCCGGGACCTGAACGACCGCCTGGCCGTCTACATCGATAAAGTCCGCAGCTTGGAGTCCGAAAACGACATCCTCCAGCTGAAGATCAGCGAGAAGGAGGACGTGCGGAGCCGGGAACTGACCGGGCTGAAGGCGCTGTATGAGACGGAGTTGGCGGACGCCCGGAGGAGTCTGGATGATTCCTCCAAGGAGCGGGCCTGGCTGCAGATCGAGCTGGGGAAGATCAGAGCCGAGCATGAGCAGCTCCTGCAGAAGTAAGCTTCTAACCTTAATCACACTACAAGGTCTTAATGCGGACACGAACTTTACACGATTAGCTCACAGCTAAAGGCTAAACTTTGATTTTCGAGCCATTTTTGCAGCATTACGTACGCGGGTCTGAGCGAGAGGTTACGTTTCCTGCCCTGCTGAGAGCGTCACTCAAACCCCGACCAAAAATACCAGCCTTAAAAATAACTCTCATATACCCCTTAACTTACTTGAACTCAATATTGTCTGCATTCATGTGTGGTTAAAAGAATAAACAATGTTTTTGAAATGATTGGCAGCTTTAACCCGCCCACCATTGTCTGTCCAGCTACAATAAAATGACAATAAGGTCCTCTTTATAGACCTTAAGTGCTTTAATTTATGTTTATGAATTAGCAAGTAGTAATCACAGCTGACTGACTGACTGACTAGAAGAAAGTCTACTTAGAGCATTAACAAGGTTAATCAGACAGTCTGACTGCATTGAATGTGACGTGGTGCCTTCAGGGTCTTTTGTGGAGTCCGTTCAGAACAAAAGGCAGAAACACGGGTGCACAACTCAAGTATTATCTTTGTTTTTTTGAGAGGTTAATAACGATTATAAAACTGTTTTTGCTACAGTTATAGCAACACAATTATTTGATAAATATTTGCTGTGTAATATCAGAGTTTCACCATTTATTCTAATATTAATGGAATAATTATTCTATTAAGAAAATAAAGGTAAAATATTATCATTAAGTAGTAGTCTAATTTGTACTAAAAAATCTAAATTCTGTCCACCTGATGGTGAGAGTACGTGCTTGGAAAGACTTCAAACAGCTGTCATATTATCAGGTTTTATATGTTTAAAGGGAAAATTAGAATTGTGATACTAAACAGTTATTCTTTCATTTTGTATCTTAAATGCAAAAACTGCATTGAGTAAAAGTTAAGAAATAGACTTAAGGAAGTGGAGGTTTTTTAAGGATATGCAAATTGTAACTTTTATAGTCCAAGTAGTGTTTATTTATTGAAACAGACAGGGTTTCATCCACTTGTGCACGTGCCTGTTCGTCTGTCACACCATATATGTGATAGAAATTAACAGCTGCAGCTCACAGCTGTTGACCTGCGGTGAATGAATAGACAATGTGGAGCTTTTCCTTCTTAAAGTGAGCTTTTGTAATTGAATTTAAACCTGCAGAATACATGCTAACTTTTTGTTGTTGAAAATGTGTCGGGAAAATGTGTAGTTTTCGTGTTTCAATGCCCGGCAGTGTTGAGTTGAGAACATTTTAAAGCAGCACTCCCAGCTGTGTGTATTTAACTGTGTGAAACCAAACTAGCTGAGGACGCGCAAGATTTCACCCGAGTGTAAAATCCCTCAGAGAGGTGAAAATGGTGACACAGATTTCTCTGTAGGTGCTCAATAAACATCCCAATGCTCATGTAAAGCTGCGCACAAGTGCTGCAGTCAGGTGTCATGTGTTGTCAAGCAGAGGCAGTGTGTTTGTGTGTGTGGCCAGCTCTCTGACAGCAGATCACAGGTGGCAGCTACACCTGTTTGGGTTTGCGGTCTTTAATGGCCAGTTGACATGAGCCATTAATCCTCTTCACTCAGTTTTTGACACGACGACTCGTGCGTGGATTGTGATACTTGATGGTTTATGCTCTATTACAAGTCAATAACTTTCCTTTAAGTTAAAGCACGACGGACTCACAGCTTGTTGTTGGTATTTAATGAGCCCTGAGTACCATTATGGTTTATGCTGTTAATGTGATTATACACTAGTGTGAGCGTTTCACATTTTATGTTGGAGTGACCATGTCACTCTGCAATACTCCATCTTTACACTACTGGCAGTGTGATTTCAGCGCTACTACGATTTCAACGCCACAACATAGTCCGATTGGTGAGGCGTCACCTAATAGTGACAGAACTGTCCTGTGAGTGCACACACTTAATTGTTTGCTCCTTTATTGTATAATACTGTTAAATTTTCTGCTTATATTAAAGTTTGATTTTGTGCAATTTCAATTGGACCAAGGCAATAAATTATTCTTTTTTTAAACAACATGTAAACATAGTGAGTGACATCAGCCTTCTGAGTGCTGATACTGTGCCAAATTGCCAACAGTGGGTCCTGTTACTCACCCAACTAGAGACAGACCTAGGGCTGGGCGATATGGCGTCAAATCAATATAACTCATTACCCCACTCATAACAAGTCGGAAATAACGTTGTGTGTTGCTGTGCTCACTCAGGGCGTGTAGAGTCATTCAGCGGTGTGCCTGAATGAATGTAGGGGAAACCCTGCTGATACATATGAGTCCGAGGTAGAACTCTGTGAGATAAAAACAAATTTTTTTTTTAGCGGTGGCGGTGCGCCACAATCAATTGCATGTAGGGGAAACCCTGTGTCTTTCCCTCTTTGTTAGGGACTGGATGGGGTGGAGTCATGTCTCTGACGTAGGACAGCGTCTTAAAGGGACATGAGAACATAGCATACCTAAACATATTCAAAACCAACATTTATTTATGTTTTTGACAAAGAATATATTGACATGGGCAAAATGACGTTGGTTATTGTCATAAATTTCGGTATCGATTACTTTTTCAGTCTATCACCCAGCCCTAGACAGACCTCTGTTTTCCTTTTCACACACAAGCGGTGAGTTTAGTGAAAGTGAGAAATGGCGATGTGACAGGATGAATTGACGTGTGAACCATGTCTCATTCAGCTTTCGTTGTTGTAGTGAAGTGTCTTCTTTTACTAAACTGATAGAGAGCTGACCACCTTTGCACCCTGCACAGAAGCTTTGAGGCTAAAACGCCCGTTACAGCTGATGGAAACCAAAGGAGCAGATTAATTTGGCATAGTTAGATTAGTCAATAATTATCACTTAAAGACAGTGAACCACCCTGACAGTGATGTTTTCCCGTTAGATCAGGACATACTCAGTCAAATCACTCCAATATGACCAAGAGTTGTTGTGAGTAATAATCTTGTTATTATGCTTCAAGAAGCTGCGGATGAAAGTCAACTCGTGTCGAGTAAACCCTGCAGTGAGAGCACATGTTCATACAGAACCTTAATTCAGAGGTGTTTCAGACAGAGGCCAGGCGTCATGATCACTTCAGTGTGTTTTCTGTCTTATTAAAGTTGTGAGTCTGGTGTAAGGGGGCCCCCAGAGACCACACACAGCAGGTTTGACTTTAACTGTGCTTTCCTGAGTTTGTGGCTGAAGCTTGTGTTTTAATGGAGCGAGCAGGAAGAGCTGGATCTTGTGTAGTAATCCGACATCAACTTTGTGATGATTTCAAGCCTACATTGGAGTGTCTGTAGTTTTTCCCTGAGCTGTTTTGGTCTCACAGAGATCGAGAGTTCTCTCCGTCGGGTCAGTGGTTTCCCGCCCAGCTAATGCTTCTCAGTAAAATGTGAGGAAGCAGACATACCTCAGTACATTCCTCTCATAGTTCGTCCTCTTTACCCGCCCATCGTTACTCAGAGGCCGTCCCAGCCCAGCTCCAATAACAGACTCATTTATACTCACAACCCCTCTGAAACAGTCCCACTGTTGGTTTAGTTAACCCCGCTCAGAGCTGGGAAACGGAAGTCCAGCTCAGTTTGAAAGTGCAAATATGTGGCTCTCATCTGTATTTGTCCATTTGTTTTTAAACCAAAGCATTCAGGAGACATAGAGCTTTCATTTTTCTATGACCATATTAGGAAAATATTGAGCTGAAATACAAAAAACATGCAAAATCAGCAAGTAGAAATGTGTCCCAGTGCAGTTTTGACATTAATCAGAAGTTTTTTCTTCCTTTTTTTTGCTCTCAGCTTTGCCAACAGAGGACTCTGTTACCTGTACACTGAACTTTGTAAGACCACAAACACGCAGAAGTTCACTCTATTTATCAGTACAGTTTACTTTTAATAAACAAAGGACGTTATCGTATGTCATGCTCGGATCATGTTTGAGAGACACGAAGGAGACCGAGCTGAAAGAAAAACAGCAGGTGGTTGCATTAAAGGCAGGCGTGCATGATATGAAATATTCTATTACTTCCAAACACAGGTTTTTGAGTTAAAAGAAAAATGCTGTTTTAATAAATGAAAAATTTTATTATGACATTAATTAATTGAACCTCAGGAGGCTCAAACTGCAAATATGTGGCAGCTTGTAAATATAATCTCAGTGATGGTCAGAAGATTCGGGATCCGACGAGACCCGGAACAGATCTTGCTAGAGCAGGTGGTCAAAAAAAATCCCTGCAGGTCCCTGATGCAAACAGCGACAGACTCCAGTAATAACAATTTAAACTGGTTTTCACAAAACTAAGACAGAAAATGAACCAATCTCTCTCTACATACAAACTTTCAAACCGTCAAGCTGAAAGGATTTCTGAGCATCTGTCATGTTTGAAGGTTTAAGTGACTGAAAACGTTTTTATTTATGCTGGCTTTTAATACCCAGTAGCGTGGTGACACTCTATTTTATTGCATCATATCTTATTGCTTTTATTGTTTTTATTGCAATTCTATCTACTATGTATTGCAAAGCACTTTGGTTCATCGAAAGTGTTGTTGTAAAGGGCTGTATGAATAAAGAACATTTACATTTACAAATGTCAGCAGCCATGTGACGTTTCATTTTGAAACCAGTCAGACTGAAGCTGGAGGGTCCACTAAGGCTGTCTATGAAACCCTCTAACAGGGCAGCTGTCTGCACACCTTTATGACCAGCTGAGTTGGACTTTGTAGACGGACTGTAAAACCTTCTGAGTTTATCAGGTGTCTGTTACATTTATGGCAGGAGGTTATCTGGAGGCTGTCATCCAATCTCTCTGCTCGATTATGTAACTCTGATGCCTTACAGGAAGAAATACAAGCTACGAGCTTCATCCAGTGGAAATGATTTTCACAGAAGTTGGTTTCATGAAGGCCCCCTTCACAGGGACAGTCCCCACCTGTTTATCTCACTCCCCGTCCCTGTCCTGGTTTAGTTCTGAGTCCATCATGTGCCAAACCAGAGTGAGAATACAAAACACCACTGTCTCATCCCTCCCCTCTCCTTCTCCTTCTTCTTCTTCTCTCTTTTTCAGCTTCAATAAGAAGGACTCTGAGGCGGCTGGAGCTCAGGCCCGACTGAAGGACCTGGAGGCTCAGCTGAACGCCAAAGAGGGGATGTTAACCACGGCGCTGTCTGAGAAGAGGAACCTGGAGGCCACGCTGAGCGATCTACAGGAGCAGCTGCAGGAGGTACATGAGCTTTATCTCCTGCAGTCTGTTTGTCTGGACTTTGATGCAGACAGAGGAGGCTCAGAAACGAGTTATTTCCTGTCTCTGGAGAAGTCATGTGACACAAAGTCAGCCCCCTGTTTAGAAAGTACCTTCAGGTCCTGTGTTTCATGGCTCACTAGCCTTCTTTTAACCTCATTGAAGGCCCAAAGAGGTCAAAGAAAGGTGAAACAGTTTTCAAATCCAAGAATAAATGAAAGTAGCCAAGAAATGGAAATGAAAACAGGGAAAGGAATAATCCCTTTAAACAGCTGATTAAAAGACGATCATCCTTTTTAATTCATTTGCTTTGAAATTGTTATTGTTCTTTTTTCTTACTGCAACTTAAGCGTTTTGTTTTGTGGTCTTATTTTCTCCTGGAAGTTCTAATTTTGCCAAACCTGACAAAGATTTGTTCTAATCCACCTGGTCTTGTTGTTATTTTCAGCTGGACTCAGGTCTGGCTCAGGCTAAAAAGCAGCTCGCTGATGAGACGCTGCAGAGAGTGGACCTGGAGAACCGCTGCCAGAGTCTGACGGAGGAGATGGACTTCCGTAAGAGCATGCACGAGGAGGTGAGGAGCCGAGCGCTTACTTTGCTTTAAGTTTTGCATCACAGTCAACCACAGCTGACTGGAGTAAATCAGGATGAGACGACATCAGGGTACTCTTGTCTGGATGCTCTGACCTGTGTTTTACTCTGCAGGAGGTGAAGGAAGCCCGGCACCGGTACGAGTCCAGACTGGTGGAGGTGGACTCTGGACGGAAAGAGGAGTACGAGTACAAACTGACTCAGGCTCTGACCGACATGAGGGGTCAGAACGAGGAGCAGATCAAGATCTATAAGGACAACATTGAGAGCACCTACCATGCCAAGGTAACACACACAAACACACACACACACACACACACACCCTAAATTTCTCTAAAATAAGTTTATTTCTTCGTGCACTTGGAGGAACTTTTGCAGCCGTGCTCTGAGGCGCTCATTCCTATGTCTCCTCTTGAAACAGCAGTGTGTTCAGATGTTCAGAAATGAGGAGAGTTGTTGTAGTACACAGAAGAGCCATCAGAGGGCAGTCTTTACTGAGGGAAGGGACAGCCAGGCAGAGAGGAGGTAACTGTGGGTGACTTCATGTGAGAAGACTCAGTCAGTCAGTCACTCGGTCAGTCAGTCAGTCACCTGTCTGTTTGGTTAAATAATCATGTCTCAGCACTCCTGTGAGGAACTCTCGCCTCTCAGCAGTATTTGCTGACCTCTACATGCGCATGTGGAGCCTTAGTTTTCACAGAAAATCTCCTCCTGCTAACTTTGACAGTCAAACGTGTCACTTTAGGTATTACTTTGTGGGAAAATAATGAAAGCAGGACTGCATCTCTGGCCGATAGGCTGACACCTGACCCACTACAGAGGTTCCAGACATAAAAAAAAAAAAAAAACTACAACACAAAACATGAATTCTTGTCACTGAGGATCTTGTTTCCTTTTGTATATCAGAAAAAAAAGATATCAACATGACTTTCAGTTTATTTTATGAACATCAAAAACTCCTCACAGGACTTTGAACTTGATATTTATTAAATGTGTTCACCTATACCGATGTTTGATGTGTGGTGCAGAAAATATATAAAATACGTTCTGTTTGGGCTCTTAAAGCTTTTTAAAGGTTATTTGATTTAATTATAATTTAAATCCACTTAAATTCAAAAATGGTCTTTTTGAGTTTGTGTGCATGTGGTGTCTGGCGCCTCTGCAGACACCTCATAGTGGACATTTGTGGAACCGCAGTTTTTGTTCAGGTCATCTTATTGCACTCAATGATGATAATGTGTCCAAAATTTAAATCACCAGCAGCTCAGCCTCATATATTTCATCAGTGGTGAAATTTCAGGAAGGTCTAAAAAGAGAAAACCTCCACTCTTTCCCTCTGTGGTCTTTCTTCGGTTAGTTTGCAGAACTTCAGTCCCGAGTTTCACCACAATGGTCTCAGGCTCTCTTCCTGATGCTGATAAAGCAGTGTCTAACACAGCGTTCAGTCTGTTTCTGCTGGTTACTCTTCTCTCATTTTACTGTTATCAGTCCTTCTCTGAGTCTCAAAGATGCCGTTAAATCAGCATTTCATCCACCATGTGTCCCGCCAAAATACCAGAATCAACAATAAGTCAGCTGTTTATTTCCAAACCTGACAAGAGAATCAGCAAAAGGTCCAAAATTAGTGTTAATTTTTGTGATAATGTGACAGCAAACCTTCTGTCTTGTTTCCAAATGAAGCAAAATAAGATCATTTGAAGATCACTCAACAAACAGCGTTGTGTTGGTCTTGTTTGCAGTTGTGTTGTTGCTGAAAGGGTGCATATGTGAACCTGCGGTTTCATGCGGTGTGCAAACAATAAGGTTGCATGAAGGTCAAATTGCCTTCAAAACTGATGCAAAAGTTCATCTAAATACAAAAACACAGTTTTTCTGTTGTGTGTGTGTGTGTGAGCTCTCCACTCTCCATCACGAGCGTTTACAGTTGTAACGTTAAGTAATAGACGCATCAGTCTCTTACAAATCAAGGGAAACTAAAAATAAAGCAAGTAAGAGTTCAAACCTCTGAGCAGTGAGTTCCTGTGTGTCAGGAAGTGCACCGAGCGCCTCGGTTCCTCTTTCTGACTGTGATGAGGAGGAAGCAGCGTCTGAAGGTGTTGATGTTTCTCTGTGCGATCATCCACAGCTGGAGGATCTCCATCGTCTCTCTGAAATGAACGGAGCGTCGGCCAACATGGCCCGAGAGGAGCTGAGAGAGTCCTCGCTGAGGATCGAGAGCCTGACCGCACAGCTGACAGGACTCCAGAAGGAGGTAAGAATGTCATCTTTACCTTTCATTTTTACTTCTTGGGCATCTGTGTTTAAATAAAACTCTCACACACGCTGCTTTTTTTAGGTGAATACAGGTGTGTTTCAGTGTCCGGTTAAAAAAGAAATGACCCTCATGATGACGCCCCTTATTTTCCTTTCATCTGTTTTCTTCTGTTCAAATTTTGTTCACTACAGTAAACTAGATGTTTTCTTTAGCTTTGCTGGTTTTCTTTCTGACTCCTCTTTGAGTAATTTTACTTTCTTACATCCAGTTTTGTCTTTGTGACAGATTAAATTGAACAGCCTTCACATTTCTACCACCGTCAAAGGTTCAAACACGATTAAGATTGTGTTTTTATTGGTGTACTTTTTCCTTTTGGTGTTTTGGAGACTATTAGAAACACATAAGTCCCTGCTGATGTTTGAAAGCTCAGTATTTATGAGCTGAAATGAAGACCTTCACAAACAGGAACACAGACTTCTAAGTTCACTTGTTTATCGGGTTTAATTACTCTTCGTCTCTGACTGCTTTTGTCTCATTTGTGGATTTTTTTTCCTGAAGAAAAGTTCAAAACAGTCGTGATGAGCAGGAGTTTCCTCAGCAGGAATAAGCAACTACAGCTGACCTTTCTGTGCAGTGTTGCAGCTTCCCAAACAAAACCCCAACAACTGAGACTGAAAGATTTATAAAGGGACACCACACAGCTGTCAGAATGTTTAAAATACTTCTCTGGATTTACCTTCATGCTCACGTGTAAATAGAGTTTGTCTCTCTAAACGTGTATGACAGCATCCCTCGCTACTTCATTTCAGACTCGCGGTTGGCGTGATCGTATAATGGAGCTGGAGGCGGCCCTGACTCAGGAGAAAGATACCAGCCGCAGGATGCTGATGGAAAAAGACCGCGAGGTGGCCGAGATCCGGGCAAGGATGCAGGAGCAGCTCAATGAGTACGAGCAGCTGCTCGACGTGAAACTGGCCCTCGACATGGAGATCAACGCCTACCGGAAACTCCTCGAGGGAGAGGAGGAGAGGTGAGGAGGTGCAGAGACAGAGATCTGAACTTGAGTCTTTTTGAATGGATTAAACTAAGCTTTTCTTTTTTCGTCCCCTCAGGTTGAAGCTGTCTCCCAGCCTGTCCTCTCGGGTCACCGTGTCTCGAGCTTCATCCAGCAGCCGCAGCATTCGCACCGCTCAGGGCAAGAGGAAGCGCATAGACGTGGAGGAGCAGGAGGCCAGCAGCTCAGTGTCCATCTCTCACTCCGCCTCGGCCACAGGACCCGTCATCATTGACGAGATCGACACTGACGGGAAGTTCATCAGCCTGCAGAACAGCGGGGACGAGGTGAGGCGTTAGAGGATGTAGAGGATGTGTTTTAGAGAAAAATCTATAAATGGAGTAAATGCTAAATGTAGGGTGTGTTTGTTTGTGTTTGTGTGTCTCAGGACCAGGCCATGGTGGGATACGAGATGACCAAAACGATCGGAGACGAGGAGGCCACCTACAAGTTCACTCCCAAATATGTGCTGAAAGCAGGACAGAAAGTCATGGTGCGAGTTTTTTATTTGAAGTTTGCATATTGAGAAGCTCCAACAGAGACGTGTAACCACGCAGAGATGAAAATCTGATCTTCTGTTTGCAGTTATTTAGTGTCTCACAATAACTCTTTCTGTTTGTCTCTGTGGTCCTGTGTGGTGCAGGTGTGGGCCTCTGATGCAGGTGTGAGCTCTAAACCTCCCACAGACCTGGTGTGGAAGAATCAGAGCTCTTGGAGCTCTGGAGAGGATGTCCAAGTGGTGCTCATCAACCCTCAGGGAGAGGTCAGAACACACACACACACACACACACACACACACACGTCACACACAGATCATTTACTAAGAAAAGTGTTTGTCGGCGGTTAAAGGAACTCTTGAATTTCTCACCTGTTGTTGATTTATGCGCTGACGTTGTGTGTGTTTGTGCGTCTCAGGAAGTGGCGAAGCGAACCACCACATACACAACCGCAGTAGAGGAGCAGGGAGAGGAAGATGATGATGAAATCGAGGCTACGGAGGAAGAACTCCTCCAGCAGCAGGTGAGACAAACAGTTTGAGCTCCACAGATGGCAGGAAGGCTTGTGGACTTCTTTTCTGCTGAGTAAGAGAGAGAGAGAGAGAGAAACGTTTTTGTTTATTAGGCTTTCCAGACAGAGTCACAACATAGAGCTGTTCGATTGACTGTTGTGTATTCATAAAGCATATTCAATGACGGAGAAAACACTGTTTCTAATGTTGTTTCAACAATAACTCTCAGATTTAAAATCAGAGTCCATGCCTGCAGCACTTGAGTGTGGTGTAAATTAACCAGCCTTCATCCTGGTCAGTTAATGAAGGACTGTAGTGCTGATTGATGCTTTGCTTCTTCATACTGCGCCCCAGTTTATCGTCAATCCCCAATGTTTCACTAGTACGAGAGTTGCCTGTTTAACCTTTTTTCTTTATTTTTCTTAAATCAACAATCAAAGTGTTTTCCTGCTGCAGCTGTTGGCAAACTTGACAGCTTCACAGCGCTCAGGTCCTGCTGTCCCGTGCTCAGATCAGTTGCCTAGATGTGACGCGAGGCGTTTGGGTGAAAGCAAATTGTTGGGTCTAAAACCTGCAACAAGCGACTCAAACACAAAGAAGAGAAAGACAATGGTGTTAGATTTCTTACTCGCGAGGAGAACGGACAGAGATACGTTCAGTTACAATCTCCTACCGCTCTAAAGTGTATCTTGTCGTCTCCTCTCTTTTTATTATCCTAGTTACATAACGCTGAATACACTAAAGGGTGGGGAATCAATCTGCAGCAGCGTTTTCACTTTCATAACACATATTTATACTAGAGTAAGCATGTGCAGACTTCTTCTGTAGATGTCAAGATGACCGCTGACATTTCACCGTCTCCTTTGCGGTGGTTAACTGTTCACAGCGGAGACAGGTACCCATCTGCTTATCTGCTTACTGCAAGAAGGCAAGCTCAGAGATGGAGGAAAAACACACATGAGTGTCTGCTCATGTGTTGCAAAGCAAAAGCTGAAGGCAGTTCATATTGAGTAAAGCTACTGATAATTTCTATAAACTTTTATACACATCACTCTAACACAAATAATGTGGGTTACGCTGAAAACCCCGAATTTAAGACACAACATGGACATTTCAGGACTAAATCCTCTCATGGGAATCTCACAAAATCAGCAGGTCAGCTGAGAGTATTTGTATAAAAAGAAAAAAGCATGAGCAGCCGTGATAATAGCAACAATCTTTACATTGTGACATTCACTTTTGATGAAAAAATACCAAAGTGGAAAGCTACAGAGTATAACCGTCATAAGGGAATGGTAGGACCACCAGTAGTGGTTACTCTTCCAGAGGAACATGTATTGCTCGACAAAACTGAGGGACATGTTGCATAAGAAACAAATAGTGAAGTAACTGTTTATTCCCTTTCCTGGAAAGACGATTAAAGACTCATTAACCTCGAGTTCAGGGAACACTTTTTTCTTGTATCCACTCGATGCAGAAGCTGTGTTCCGTTCTTTCGAGAGTTAAAATCACTCTGAACCTGATTTCTTATCTCAGCCTCCTGTCAGCATGAAAGAGTTTCTCTACCAACTTCAATTCTGAGAGGACGAGACCTAGACTAAAGAAAGTCCCTGTTTGTTTTGACTGTTTTTTTTTATTTATTTATTTATTTTTTTGACCGTTTGCAGGGAGATCCTCGCACCGCTAAGAGAGGCTGCTCCATCATGTGATCGATCTTCACCAACTAGCCTCCTCCTCCTCCTCCTCCACCTTCCTCCTCTGAGCCCAGCCAGTCTGCTGCCAACTGTAATACTAGAACTATTTTTCTATCTTTTGTAGTGTATTTCAATAAAATGTCTGAATTTTATTTTGTCTGTTAATTTCACAAAATAAAAAAAACAGCTTCTGGTAGATGAAAATCACCCGTAGAACCAAATCAAACCACATATCCACAGAGTTTGTAGTTTCACTTTTTTTAACTTTCAACAATCAGCTGGTCTCAGACGACTGTGTGAATTATTTTTCTTTTGCTACGTTTTTTTTTTTTTTTTTTTTTGATAGATTTTAATTTTGTTATTTTAATGTATATTTTATCTTATTTTTATTATCCATGCTTTATTTTTAGGCTTTTAAAGACACATGAAAAGCCACAAATGCATCAGCGATAAGATCAGGTTATAAAAAGCTAAAAAAAAACATCTGTAAGATTGTAAAAAAAATAAATAAATAAACACTAAATTTTCAGCAGGGACGGGATCTAATGTCATCAATTTCTTCTGGGATCAGTTTGGACCTTAAGAGGACAATAAGTCAGAATTTTGGAAAAGCCTGTTTCTGCTTGTATCTTCAGAAAAATAAGAAAATGAAATAACCATGATTGTATGAGTGTGTTCAGATTAAGTCAGAGAAGTTTGAGGTTTGATTGCAGATTTGAAGGCCTGTATGTGCAGAAACTTTAAAGCTGAAATCTGGATCAGCAGCAACTTTCTGCTCCAGATTTTTTAGTTTTGTAGAAATAATAATGGTGCCAGAATAATGTAATGAGACGCACACTGCCCTCAGGTTTTTGATGCAACAAACATTTCTGTCTCTGACTCTGAACACGTGTTGCACCACTAACTAAAGTGTTTGATTGTATTCTTAACTTTTTGCTATTTGAACTGTTTGAAGTAAGTTTTGTGTTGGTGTTACTATGCATGCTCTGACTGTAGCCTTTGTAGCTGAATGATTAAATGTTGTTTTCTTGTACTGGCGTCTTTTTTCGTTTTTCCACATTTACTCTGCTGGGATTCGAGGCTGAAATGAGCAGAACAAAAAGCTAAAAATCACAAAACAGTTTAGTAGTTTCCATCAGTGATTCATTAAAGTTATATTTCAGTTCTAATTCCGTAAGATGCCACACAATGAGGAAAACTACTTTTGAGGAACCCGTTGGCTGCCGTCAAATTGTGTAGGCTGTGGCTAAAATCAGCCACTAGGGGCAAAATTTAGCCACTAATTTCCACGTAACTTTTTTTTTACTGCAGCAAATGGGATGGTTTTTTGTGCAGTTGCTTATATTGATGGACACTTTGACAATATGACTTTCACCTGGTCAAAAATACGTGCTGGGCAAATTTTCATCTGTAGTTAACGCTCAGTGGCTAAAAACAGCCACTAACTTTGACTGCTGTAAAAACATATTGGGTTAATATTTTTTTCCATTTTTTTTCATATATCTCTTAATTAACTTCTGCTTTGATCAAAACTAGTAAATGTTTCATCCAAAAACATTTTTTTAACTCTTTGAGGGTCCATTCAAAACATAATGTCACTGATATGGTAGAAAATAAATCTAAAAATCTGTCATTTTCCTCCTATTTTTTTCCCAATATTAGTGACTTTATGTTTGAAATGGGTCCGTAAAGGGTTAACATTTGGATTCTTAATGAAACATTCACTAGTTTTTAATAGAGCAGAAGTTAATTAAGAGATATATGAAAAAAAATCTGGAAAAATATGAATCCAATATATTTTTACAGCAGTCAGTGTCAGTGGCTGTTTTTAGCCACTGAGCGTTAAGAAAGGATGTAAATCTAAGGGTTACACAAGGAAACGGCTTTTTTTAAAATTAAACATATACGTTTTAGTATTTTAAATTTTGTCTTTAACCTTCAAATCATTTACAAACCACCTTACTCTGATTTTACAAAAATTTCAAGCATCAGAGCTCATGTGGGATCGGTGGTTGTACATATTGAATCTCGACAACTATTGGGAGGGACTTAAAAAATTAACCTTCATATATGTAAAGTTTACCAGCATTTAAAGTTTTATGTTTAGATTCAAAATTTGGTGATGGTGTCTTTGGGCTAATTTTCATAGAGTGGTCAGTTTTATTGTGCATACATTTGGTAAAAATAGGTAAATATTGAAAAAAAACTGAGACTAATTAAATGTGGTTGTCTCTGCAGCAGGTACTCTCAGAATTAATATCTGCAAACTTTGAAATTATTTGGCTGCATGAGTGAATGTTTTTCTCAAGATCTTAAAAATTCACTACTTTTATTTGGTTTGAACCTCAAAATTGGGAGGGGAATCAACAAACTCTGAGTCTACTGATCTGACTGTCATCCCAAAGTGGTTTCCTGTTTATAAAATCTGACTTTTTTCTTCCTTCAAATGTTCATTCATACATTGACTGGTCAGGTTATTTCACAAACTTCTAAACAAGCTATATTGTGGAGGGGGGCCACGTTTGCTGAGCAGCTGAATTTATTGCTTCAGTCTGATTGGAGAGCACATGCACGTCTGCAGTGTGTTTGCAAAAGAAAGTGTTCATGGGGGAGTGAAATGGTGAAGGAGTGAGATAAGGACAAAAAGAGGAAGAGACAGGCAGAGTTTCTTCAGTTTACTGACCCTCCCCTTTGGACTGATTTGGCTTTATTTGTGAAGAAAACTGAATAAGAGACGAATTTTTACACAACCAGAGCTTCATTTGGTGAATTTCAGCTAAAATAGAAACTAACATAACCCCAAAAGGCGGGATTTGGCGACAGGGGATTTCCATCTGAGAGGAGAAACCGCCATTTTTCATCCATTTCTAACCGTTAATCAGGTGGACTTAGTTCACTTTTTCCTGCTCTTCGAACAGACAACTTAAGGACCAGCTACACGAAGAACTTGGACTCCTTTGTTCTCCTTTTATCGAGCTTCAGCAGAAGGTTTGGCTTGACAACTTTCCTCTCCCTCTCTGAGTTTTAATAATTGATCATCAAGCTTCATTTGAAAGTGTTAATGATTTAATGGCTTTGTATCTTGACTGTAATAATTTTATAAATAGCTGTAATACTCTAATGTGAGCATTTTGAAGTACGTAAAGCTACTATGAGGAGTTTTTTGACATTTGTGAAACTGTCCGAAATTCATGTTTTCATTTTTAAGATTTACAACAGAAAACAAAACCATCAGCAACAATCCTGAAGATTCTCATTTCCTTACTTTTATTGTTTGAAACTGGTACAATGGGATGGGTTAGGGCCTTGCAGCTTTGTTTTTTTTTTTATTACAATGTCCTTGAAAAGTAGTCACAATGAATGGCACAGTTGACTTTCAAAAACCAGGATGAGATTTGTTGTAATAAATCATTACTCAAGCATATCATGGACAAGTCTAGTCTACAGGGCGTGCCAATATTGGCTGAATCTAAAAGTTCCTCACAGGAAACAGACAGCAGCTCAGAGGGAGCGAAACACAAGGCTTTTTTGATTTGAAAATCATGTAAAGCTCATGTAACAGTATCACATAGAAATTGTAGTCTAAAAAAGTGCACGATAACCCCTCTTTAAGACCTTATGTTTGAGTTTTTTGAAGTAATCCCCAGGGAACGTATTGATAACCTATTTAGCTGTATTTTACATTGTCCCAGTCACAGGATAATGTTGCATTTACATTTCATTTGCATCTAACTCAGGGCCAAACATAAATTCATGTGGAAGTGGAGGGGTTTTTATCAATCTGTCCACATCAAACATGGTTGAGGTCGCCTACAGAGTGAGGATTTATTGTGTTTTCACAACTTACTTGATAATCTGACCTCCTTGCTCACTTTCTTCCACGTAAAGTCCTTTTTATATGGTTCGCCAGAGAAACAAGTACTACCATATACTGTAGCCCAGGGTAGCCCCACACCATCATCATCAGTTCATTCTTCAAGTGGATGAACCACCATCTGACTGTTGTAGACATATGTCACAACAAGTGATTGCTGAAGCTCAGATTTTTAAACGCATGCGAAGAAGCAGACTAGTTAGCTGGGCGCTCACGTCACTGACTTTACATGTAGTTCATTCACCAATAGTCTTATTTGCATTAGACACAAACACATCATGAGACTAAACTGAAAAACATTCAAGCTTTCAATCAGCTGCAGGCTGAGCAATAACTCATGTAGCACTGAGACAACCCTGTGTGTGAAACTCCTACAAGCCTCACAGGAAAGGTTCTCTTATCTGGTCCCAGAACACAGGATCATATAAATCTTTCTAGACTTGCTTGGACTTTCAGGTCTGAGGAGGAGCAGGACACACTGACATCCAGACCTCTGTGATAAAATCCCAGCCATATTCTGCTAAAAACCACATTCCTCTGGTGTGTAGCAAGGCGATACTTTTCTTAACCACCTTTGACCAAACCCTGATCAGAAGGGAGATCTACTTATGGTCTCCAAAGAAGAGACAATGCAAGTCTTAAACACCACATTGCTGTTGCTTAAAGCTCCCTGCTATAAGGAGGTAACCAAGAGAGATTACCCAAGGAACTCACATTTGGTCTCGAAAGACCAGACAATGTAAGCCCTTAAAACCAAAGTTCAGGCCATTACAGGTCATTAAGACATCCTGCCATCTGGAGACAAGGACCCACATACAGTCTCCAGAGGCCAGGCTCAAGTTAATTAAAAATTAAAATAAAAAATTAATTCAATGTTTTGTTTCAATTAAACCTTTGTTTTCTTCTATTTTCCCACTATCAAAGTTGGGTGGTGCCCCTATCAACGAGTACATAATTGTCATATTTTCAGATTATTGTCAAGTATTGATCTTAAGACATTTACCATTGCGTCATGAGAAGCAGTCAAGGAAATGCACTAAACTGATTTTATGAACATGTAAACACGTTGACTATGAAGATATTGAAAACATTTACTTGCATGGAAGCAACGTCAATAATCAGTCTCTCATTCTTGCTTCCAGGTGCTTCTCAAGGGTTTGAGATCAAGACTTTGCCAACAAGAAGACGAGAGACAGTGATGGCGTTTCCACTGGACTGGATAATGAAACAAAAGATTCAAGAGAGTGACCTCTCCCCGGATGGGAAAGTGTGGCTGAAACAAATCATTGGAGAAGCAGAGGTGGCTCGGTTCAAGTACGACTGTGGAGACCTTGGAGTTGAACAAGCCCACTCCATTCGAGGGGAAGTGCATGAATGGGTTGAACAGAATTGTTTCTACCCTGAAGCGTATGCAGAAATACATGAAATACTGAAAAAGCTTATCTATTTGCGGATAATCAGGAGAGAATATCGCCCCATCACCAATAGCCCAATCATGGCAATAGAGGAACCTGAGTCAGCAGGAGGGGGATGGAGACCTGTGATGAACTTCAAAGCCCTCAACTGGGAAACAGAAGATTATGAAGTCATTACAGGCGATGCACAAAGCAGACTGAGGGCGCTGAAGATCAAGAAATTCAAGTCCCGCATTGAACTCGAAAATGCAATCTTCTCAATAAGACTAACAAATTCGTCACAGAGGAAGACGGCGTTCACATTCAGCGGGAAAACATATGTGTGGAGGCGTCTCCCTGAAGGGTACAAAAACTCAACCAAAGTCCTCCACTCAGCTGTGAAAAACATCTTGTATGGCCTTGGAGCAACTATCTTCATCAGCAGTGTGTACATCACCGATGACACTGAGGAAGAGCACTTACAGAGGCTGCAAACGATAACACAAAGACTGAGGGAAGCAGGACTAAAGCTCAACCTTGGGAAATGCCATTTTGGACAGTTCCAGGTTGACTATTTGGGGTTCCAGGTCTCAACAGATCTGGGCATTTCAGACAGATACTGGGAGAAGCTGGAGAAGATCAGTCCACCAACATCAAAGAAGGATTTACAAAAGATTTTGGGATCGTGCAACTATGTGAGAGACCACGTTCCCAACTATCAAAAATATGCCAAACCTCTTTATGATCGCCTTAAAAAGACGAGAGGTGCCCAAAACTGGCCATGGAAATGGACGGCTGCAGACCAGAGCAATCTTAATGAGTTAAAGAAGGCCATCCATGCAGCTGAAAGACTGGAACCTCGAGACTGTACAATCAGATTAGTGGCAGAAATCAGTTGTGAGGACCAGGATGCTGTGGTAAAAGTCAGTAATGAAGGAGCAGGAACAGTGTCCTGGTGGAGCCACACCTTGACCATGGTGGAAGAGAAGTTCCCACCAGAGGAGAAAGAACTTGCAGTCCTGCAAAAATACTGGGGTAGGCTGAGGATGCTTGCAAAGGGCCAGGGGGTTAAAGTCATTACCCAAAGCAAAATCCATCAATCCTTGAGAAAAGACATGGTGATAAAGACCCAAGCCACAAAGCAAAGATGGAGAAAGTGGGAAGAAATCTTGCAAGACTCTGAACTCATGCTCAATCCCCTTGAACCTTGGAAGTCACTATGCATGGACGTAGTTGGACCTCTACAGCCAACAGGAAAGAGGGGGGAGGAATACCTCTTTGTGCTTGTGGACTTAGTGTCGGAATATGTTTGTCTTCACCCCGACAGAGAAGCTGACGGCAGCAGTGCTGTTGCAATGCTTGACCAGGCCTGCATTTATCAAGGGATGCCCAAAGAGCTATGGACAGACAAAAGCACTCCTCTTTGCAATACCCAAGTGGACTATTGGTGCCAACAACACAGAGTAACCAGGAGCTACTTCCCATCATACATGACACAGGCCAAACAGGTACTGGAAAAAACTATAGAACTGGTGAAAAACACGATTGCTGAAAATTCCAACTCCAAAGAGTGGAGCACAAAGGTCCTGGAGATAGGAATGGTCCTGAATAACAGACGTCGAGGTAACAGGCCCTCCCCTTCCATGGAGCTGAATAGTCGTCCATTCTAACTACAGTGAGTGGGAGGGTCACAGAAGACACAAAATGATAACTCGGGTTCTGGCAAGGCATCTGAATCATCCTTCAGACACTGCAAGTGAAACAGAAAGGCATATCTAACATGCCAAAACGCTGGACAATAACTCTTTACAGTAATGCTTTAAATGGAGACCTGTCAACTATTTTTGGTGACTGAAAGCAAACTTTTTGAAAATATTTTTGAAAAGCTCTTCTCAAACATGCGGTTTATTCTGAGGTCAGACTACGCAGTCTGTCATTTCTGCAACTAACAAACATTTCTGCGACTAACAAAAGTATTTGCTTTTTCTCAACATATAGAAAAAGTCTGTGTCAGTAGAAGTTTGGGTCTCTAAAGCTCATGATTAGAAAACTTCAATGACGACCATATCATGTTACTTTGGCCTGCCCTGAATCTTGCACTCTTTAAGTTTTAAGTAACAACTCTCACACAATGGACCTTCTCTTCAAGTTTAACATTTTTTATCTACAAACACAGCTGCAAACTGGTGAGGAAATTATGAGAACAGAAAGGAGTGAACTCAACTATTTAGCTCCAGAGAACACCCTGATCTTCTTCAAGGACTCACTTATCTTTGACTTTGCACAGGGAGTTAACACCATGCTGGATCTGCTCTGTGACAGACTGTAAATGATAAAGCTTGAATAAAACAAAGACAAAACACGTGTGAATTTTGCATCTTTATATTTTCACCAAATGTATATCTCTGATCAAGACAACTCTTAAGGAGATTCTTTTTAAAACCACTTTTGGTTGATTTAGAGCCATTATAATACATTTTCATGCATATTTAGGAGCAGTGCTGATTTGATTGACAGGTGAGTGCATTGTAACTGTAAGCCACACGGCCTGTACAGAAGCCCATATATATATAACTCAGATCTATGCAATCTGAGTTGTGTGTTTTGCACAAACTGTGGTTTAGTATGTTGGTTGAGTGATATAACTGGAGTTGTACTTAAAGTTTAGTTTAGACTTGAGCTTAATGTATTCATCACTGTGGGTAAAGTTCCTTTTTTGTGTGAAACGTGTATAAAATTAAAATTAAGATGTGAAATGTTGGCACACTTCTTGTAGACACTGAGTAAACTTCACTGTCAGTTTTTGTGGCTTCATGCTGATGTCAGCACTCTGACCACATCACTCACTTCCTCTTTCAGTCAGTCTGCAAATTACATCCCAGATGCTGATAGCGTAGAAAGACTATTACGCTGCTGATTTTTCATTTAATTTCATCTTTGCAAGGTTTCCTCACATGCATGCTGAAGTTTCACCTTTTTTTATTTTTTTATTTCAACTGTCATCAGTTGAATCAATCAGGCCTCAATATTCTGTTGTGCTGAAAAAAAAGCAAATATAAAAGCACAATTTCTGCCGTTGCATTTGTTATGAACAAGATAACTTCACAAGACAAGGAATTTTGTTGTGTTGAAAATTTTAACTGATTTAACTAAAGCCTTTCACACTGTTGATCACAATCATCTCTTACAAAAGTTATTTTACATGGGTTAGTCTAAAAATTACATTTACTGAACAGTGTGTCAAAATGAGTCAGGCCAAAACTACATTTTTGTTTATTGATAAAGGTGTGCCACAAGGATCAATTTTAGGCCTCATGCTCTTCACTTGCTACATTAGTGACATCTTGTCCCCCTCGAAAGGTTGCTGAGCTTTTTTTTTTTTTTAGCTGAAGACACTGTCTTGTATTGTGGTGCTGATTCTGTTCAGGAAGCCAAAAGGAAACTTTTCAAAAAGCTTTTATCAGCCTCAGGTCAGGCTGCTTTTGAATGGAGGTATAACAAAGCTCATGGTGTTGCCTAGAGCAAGAGATATTGACAATCAAAATGTGTGTGCGAGCGTGTGTGTGTGTTTATCATTAATTTAGTTTGTCATTATCCTGCAGGAAGAGTGATGTTTAAGAATTTTATATCTGTTTTAGATTATAGCAATAGTATATACAGACACACTGCAGAGTTAACTCGAAAACCCCTGGACTCGGTTTATCATTCTGCCCTCAGATTCATAACAGTGGCAGATGTGACCCTCATTACTGTGTCCTTTATGAAAAGGTTGGTTGTCCCTCACTTGAGCAGAGACATAAGAAACACTGGTATCTTAATATTTTCAAGGCCTTAATAGTAAGCTATATATCACAAACTTGTTCTAGTGGAGTCATGAAACCTACATGAATTGTTTGTCTAAGTGGCTCTGGCTCTTATAATGACAATGAACTCAGTAAACAGGATTTTCTTTGAAGCCCCAAACTCATGGAATAAAACCCTCAAACACACACTTGAGATTCAAGTTCTTCCCTCTCTTGCAGGATTTAGTTTCAAACCCCTGACCTAAAAAAAAAACCCTAAACAGCTATTTAACAAATAAATCAATTTTATTATGAACACTTTATTTTGGTACATTATCACACACAATGAACAAACAAAAGGTTTTAAATACAAATACTCTTTGGCATAAATGTTTCCTTATCAAATTTCTTTAAAAGTTAATCAAAAGTGCTGAAACTGTCCATGAATTCTGAACAGACATGAATCTGTCAGTATGGACCTGAGCAGAGAGACAGCTGTAAAATGAACCCCGCACAAGGAGACATGTTGACTTCACTGGATTAACTTTTGCTCTTACATGGATGCCATTTAAACTAAAGCACTAGATTTGTACTTTTTAGGTAAATTTACTCCTGAGTAGTTGCTCTGCTGTGGTTGAGAAGGACAGATACAGAGATACCATTTTTTTCTTTATGATGAACACTAGTTAAAAGATAAACACGTTAATCCAATTATGTCAACATGACTTTTTATGCGGGGTGTGAAAACACAGAACCTGCACGGATCAGATTGAAAGTCAAACTTTTGTACATTTTTACACCAGAAACATTTACAGCTCCTTCTGTTTGGTATTTTTAACTGCATGATCAGATGTAGAGGAATATTCCTCTACAAACCAAAACATCAAAAGAATAGTGCCCAGGTTTAAAAATACAGACTGACAGGTTTCAAAGGTTTCAGAAATGCTGTGGTAGATTATCTCAGTTGGTTGCTGTCACGCAGCATCATAACTTTGGAGTCTGAGAATCAGATCAAAATCCGCCTGATAAGAGCTTTAGTTTCTGTCACTGACAGGCTCGGACTGTTTACCCAAGAGTCTTGCAAAAAGGTTTTGTCTGTATGAACTGTCTTTACAAGGCTTTTAGTGGTTAAATCATAAAATGTTATCAGATCGAGGGTTGAGTTATCTGTTCTTGAGAATTTACTTAAAAACACGTCTTTCTTTCTGGTATCAATAAAAAAATCAAGTAGCTGGTTTTATATTCAACTCTCAGGGTGGTAAGTTTGTTGCAGAAATTCCACGGTTTGATCCTCGCTCTGTACGACTTTATGTCTGCAGAGATTAATTTTATGAGTATATCTGTTATGTTGCTGTGGATTATACAGGATTCAGGGGAAATATGAGTTATTTTAAACAAGTAGTTGTTAACTGCTCATAAAGCTCCTGTGAGGAATTTTTTTTTTACATTAAAAAAAATTGACTGAAACTCATACAGATGTTTTTTTCATGATGCGCAGAAGCAAACAAAACCCACAGCAATAAGATCTCCGTTGTTTCAAGAGTAATTTTAACCCCCTGGAAGCAGCGCGAGGGGGGAAGCAACAGCCCTGCTTTTACATTTCTAACATTAATATTCACAAAAATGGTAGGATCAAGATTTTTTTAAAAAGATGACACTACTGAAGTACGTAGAGCACAAAACCAGAAAAGACTGCTTTGTCCACAGGGGGCACCAAAACTTATGCAAACTAAAAGTTCCTCACAGGAGCTTTAATTTTTTCCAGAGAACAATCGGAATAAAATCCTTGTTTTGCTGCCAGAAACAGCTTTTATATTGGTCGCTCTAAAAGCCATCAAACATAATTTACAAAAACAGCCACTTTATCTTGCTGATCATGGTGGTTGCCTGTCTGCCTCTGCATCAGTCACTTGGACAGTTAGTTCAAATGCAGTACAATGTTTCTGTGCACACAGTAACACTAAGGCACACACAGATCCAAGAAGCACTTTGATCAATAACTCTTCTATGTGCTGTGAAGTAAATTTTCTGTATTTATCAATGGAGTTTGGTGCTTTTTTTAAGAGTGATGTAACAGTTTGTGGTTCCTCTTTCACATAAAGCTCGCTCTTTGCATGGACTCTCTGTTCAACTTGCTGTTGGACTCTGAGAATAACAATCCGAGCCTCTCAGGGACCAAAACAATGGCATTTAGCGGACACTTTTTTGACAGTTGAAGGATTATGTTGCAGCCTGTTTTCTTGCTGCAGGATGAAGAAGAAAAATCCAAAGACTTTTAGCTTTTATGAGGTGAACCCCCAGGTTTACCAATACTGGAATTCTTCCCTTTAAGGAATGCTTAAGTTTTTTTAACATCTGCTTCCTCACATTTTCACAAAGGTTTAAAAAGTCAAACTAGATGTTTAGACATCAGCAAAGTTTTCATGTTGCACCTTCTTTCTATCACAGTGCTTACCAGAGTTTGGTCGACAGTTTCTCCTTCATCCTGAGTCAACGTGGTCACTCCGTCAGCTGACTGTGTGTGTGTGCTTGTGTGCATGCGTGTGTGTGTGTGTGTGAGTCAGTCCAGTAAGAGCTTTTTGTCCCTGAATCAGTCAGAGTGGAGTTTTAAAGTGCAGAGAGATCAGGAGACGGACAGAGTCTACCCATCCAGCCGAGACCTGGACTTGGACTTGGGCTCAGACGATGGACTCTTTGGATAGCTGTTTCTCTCTCAGTGAGGACTGTAGGGAGTGAAGTGCTGAAATCTTGCTGTGTGGGCGGGGCAGCAGGACGATCACTCTCTGATTGGACACTCTCCACTCGTTATAGAGGCGACAGTGATACCTGAGAGACACCTGGAGGAGACAGAAGGATGGGTTCATCTGAAATTACCTGTCTTATAGTGTTACAAGACCAGGATCCAACTTACTGCTTAAACTAACAGATAATTAACTAACAATTACATCAACTACAATCTCTTGTCTTTACTAACTACTGTCTTTACTTTCTACCTTAACAACCATCATGAAAGTGCTGTTTAGATATGAAATTCCTGAGTAACATTAGTAAAATAATATCTTTTAAGTAAATGTGCTAGTCTAAGACACTTTAACTGTCATGTATTAGGTCTTATAATGACTCAAACTAATATATAACTTTTTGCAAAGATAGGGAAAGTTAAATTGTTACAGCAGTAATGGCCAAAAATGTTAAATATAAAAATTCTTATTTATTTTCTCGATTTATCTCAAGAGTAATCAATTACTCAGATAGTCGATAACCGCAGCGATAGAGAGAACTCATCAGCCCTCATTCCTGAAGGAATATTTTAAAAATAAACAGCATGAACAAACTTTTGCCCCATTTTATCCCAGCGCAGGTTGTATGGATCACATGACACCTGTGCATGCTAAAGAGAGGCTTAGATGACCTATATAAACTGAAATAATGTACAGAAGAAATCCAGCTCACTGACCAGGGTCCAGAAGAGGTAGATGGTAAAGAGGGCCACGGTGAGAGCAATGAGCCCCATGGCCTCCAGTCGGCTGGAAAAGTGAAGATGATCAATGGCTCCTCTGAGGCAGAGCCAACCGGAGACGGATGCCAGAGGAGTGATGAGGAGGAAACACACCAGGTCTCCTAACAAAGTCCTCTTCTCCTGACGCAGAGACTGGTTCTGTAACCACTGAAACAGGAAGGAAAGCAGCGTCAGGAGTTGAGTCTAACAGGACGTCATAAATCTCAGTCTGCAGCCCCTCGTACCTCGAGCAGAGACCTGGACCTCCTCTGCACTGTGAACTGGAACTGGCAGAGCTCACAGAAGCTGGTCCCTGAAGCAGACAGCCAGCGCTCCAGACAGCTGCGATGGACAGAGGACAGAGACCCTGAGCACTCACACGGGGACAGCAGCTCTTCCTGAGACCCCCCTTCATGACAGATGCGACACATGGAGGTCTCTGACATGGAGCTGGAGAGAAGGAGAGACAGAAAGGAGACTTCAATTACTGTGTGGATTTTTAATATGTGACTGATTAGCTGTTCACTTGCCTTTATAACAAATGTTTAACCCAAAAACAGAGAAGAGAGGAGCGATGAATGTCGCTGTTTTGTTCCTTTGGTCTGTTCAACCCTGTTTGTCACCTTACAGTTCGAACCAGATTAAAGATTTAAGACACTCTGATGCTCTGTTTGATGAAGAGCATCAGAGGCTACGTCTCAGTTCTCTTAAGTAGCATCCTCGTTCCCTCACCTGCATCTTTCCCTTGTGTCTTAGTCCCTCCCACCGGAGATGCACAGAGAAACAAAGAGAGGGAGGGATGGACCGAGAAAAAGAAACTTTTTTTCATTCCAGCTCATCACATACTGGCTGTTTCAAAACTAACATCTAATAATGTTGTGAAGTTTCTGTGGAGCCTTGTGCACTGCAGCGTCCAGTCAGTGGCTGGTAATTGTCACTGGGTGTGCTTGTCTGTCAGTTAGACTTGAAGGCTACTTGTGCATTCCTGGTTATTTCTCCTCTGATTACCCTCCTCTCTCCTTGATCCTCTCTCCTCTGAGCCACGATAAGAGCCATAGGGTGCTACTTATAATGTCAGGTCTGTAAGTAGTCCTGGTTGAACCAAGGACCCAAGAGAGAACATTTTAGAAAACTGAGATACAGGGCCAGAGATAGCCCTTTTTTCAGTCACCATACAGAAAATTCAGCTCCTACCAGCTGCCATTTTTACACACAGGTTAACTCTGGAAAAACGAACAAAAGGCCTTTGTTTGAAACATATTTTCAACATATCTAGGATATACCATAGTTTGGCGTTTGCGTCGAGTCTGAGCTGAGAATCCATCTTTGTCTTCATCTGCGTGCAACACTGAGTTGCCTCACTGCTCTCCTCCATGATTTTTCCCGGAAGAGGAGGCTCATCAAAATACCCACAGGTGGACTCAAAGCCTGGCTCAGACCTGCAGGCAACATGATCTAATAGATTCTGGTTTGGTGAAACTTCTGGAAACAACGAGCAGTGACTGGATGTCATGGTGTCACAGCTGGATGGCGATCTCACTGGATTTCGCCCATCTGCAGGAACAGGAGAAGGAGTCAGGAGCTCAGATTAGATGATTAATTGACATGAATTAACAAATCTCTTTCTGATTAGTGACCAAAGTTTCAACTGTTCTTTCTCTGGCTTCAATTTTGGAGGGTGAAACTGTGTTTTTCTAGGTTCTGCTTTGTCTTAAATAAATGCTCAACTAGTCTGCATATCATGGTTTAATCAGGCGCTTGGACTCCAAAGGGGAAGACTTTAAATAATACTGAATTTAAACTCCTGTGAAGACTTTTTTTAAGTTTATAAAATAGACTGAAATTCATTTTGATGCACACAAGTGCAAAGAAACTCATCAGCAATAAGGCCATCAGGTTTTTTTACTGAATTTCTTTATTGCTCAAACCGCAAGGGAATAGGCCTCAGCTGAAAAGCCATGTAGTCTACATCTCCCACAAAAATTCACCGTAAATGGAACATTTGACAGCCAAAAAGGATTTTTGTTCGAAGACACTACTAAGGCATGTAAACGAACATATAAGCAAGGACTATTTTGTCCACAGGGGGCGCCACAATGTACAAAAATGATGTTGACATATCAAAAGATATTTCAGTACATACAAACACAGTTGAATGTCTTGTACATAATTTTAATTTTTGTAATTTTTCACGTTTAATGTTTGTACATAGAGAGCAAAGTTAAGCAGAATCTAATTCCTTGTATGTGCACATATATTTGGTCAATAAAGCTGATTCTTATTCTGGGTTTGTTGATAATGATCAACCTGTTCTAACAGTTAATTATATTTTCATATAAGTGTTTAATCATTTCTTTATTTTTTCATTGATCTATATCTGTTCATCATTCTACCAATTTTACTGCCGTTTTTTCAGCACTTTCAAATTTTGCAAAGCACACAGTTATTTTTGTTATCATGATCATCTGCAGTGTAATATCAGTTGACATTGCACACGGAGAAGTGGATAACCACTCATCTCTTCACATTTCCTGATGTTTTGAAAAGAACATGAGTAATTTTAATAACCCGAAACTGATCAGGCTGTAGTTTTATTACACCCATCTGAGGCCTGGCTTATTGTACCACTGGAAATCCTCCAAAGTGTTTCCAAGTTAACTAAGTTACCCAGAGATAACAAACTATACTGGCTTAAATCAGGATATAATGAGGCAAGGCTGTGAAAATGTTCAATTCTCCAGGAGGTTCACAATCATACAATCTCAGTTATTTTTCAATGATCAAAAAGCAACAAGGCTAATGAGAAACACAGAATCGCAGTCATAACGTCAACTCATAAATGCTGCAAAAACAAAGCAGTGGAACAGAAAATAAGATGTTAGAAATGATGAAACTAGCTAATCCTGGCAGCCCAAAACCAAGTCCAGAATCTTACTATGAGTAAAAGAAGAAACTAAATGGAAACAGATCCGTTGAAATCTCTGATTCAGTCCTATGAGCAAACATCAGTCTTCAGACACTCAGCATCACCATGTTGATTTAAACCGTGAGGTTTGAGGAGACTGACTCACTGTTTTCGTCTGAAAACACACACACACGAAGGTACCACAGGCCTCTATAACAAACCACTCATTCAACTGATTTAACAGCAAAAAAATACGATTATTACCTTAATCGAGAAACGTCAGGAAGTAATTTCTATTCTGCTTGTCCTTCTGCCGTCAACTCTCCTCTCACCATGAACTTCCGCTTTCTGAAACGGTTCTGTTATGTTCAGCCTTTTGGGGGTTACTTAGACCTTTAAACTGCCTTGAAGGTACAATACCTCTAAGGTATCTCCACAGAATTTCACAAACACTCTATAAAAACCTCTTTAATCTCAGATCTTTTAAAAGACATAATAATACCCAATTTGAGAGGAAGCCGTCGTGTTTTGATAGAGGGTATGTGCTGTGGGTGGACTACATCTGTGGGTACGTCTTGCCTGTCAGACAAAACTCGGGGCATTGAATAGATAATGTTCCACTGTCACCCTGACCAATCACAACACGCTCTGTACTCCGCTTCACATGAATGGCGTCAAAACATCTCAACACAAAGCAATTTAACACAACCCAAAGGATGTGATTCATAAAGGAACAGTTTCTCTTGTGTATTCGGTTAAACTGGATATTACGGTGAAAATCAATATTTCCAGCACACACACAAAAAAAATCTGATTTCCTCGTGATTATATCCAAATTTATCCTAGCTCAATTGATTTTAAACGTAAAATAAGAAACATCCCATTTAAAGTTATAACTAAGGCCCGACTGATATGGATTTTTTTGGGGTGGATGCCGATACCAATTATTAGGTAGGAAAAAAATCCGATTACCGATTAATCAACCGATTTTTTAATTATTTTTTATTAAGTTTTAAAATTTTGTTAATTTAAGTAATATATCGACATATTTATTTATTTATTTTAACAAATGGCTGCTTTGGAGCCTTTCAAACACTTCTCAGTAACATTAAACTCAGTAATATTGCACGTATTTATCATGAATCAAACTCGAACCAGATAAATCGGTCGATAAATCAGTCGGGCCCTAGTTATAACGTGTGGTCTCACTGTGTCTCAAGTCACTAAAATATCATTTAAAGTAAATACCCATCTTTATTTATTAAGGGCCAAGTGAAATGTCAATTTTTAGCTCCAGAAACGAGCCCACTATAAGTCTTTCAGTCTTTACTGGTCTACAAATTTCAATCATACTTTAAGTTTCACCTCTTCTTTGTCAATGACAAAATAAGAAAATTTGATTAAATTTCATTTTTCAGACCACCATGCTGTCTTTAATTTAATATGCAAATAAGCTCCTTTTGACCTGATCATTTAAATGTTTGTCAAACACATGACCTATTGGAACAAAAATTCTGGAGCATAGTTATTCCACAGACAGGCAACTACAACTCAAAACATTTCACTTGGTAAAATACGACAATATCAGGGCAAAAAAATCCTGAAGCAAATAAATTAGAATAATCGCAGAGATATTTAGGCCTGTTTGATATCAGACTGAACAAATGAGTCTTTGTCTTTTTTTTTCTCAGGAAAGACCAAATACCTCGTGTTGTTTATGTAGTTCTCCAGTTAAACAGAGGGTGGCACCACAGCACATCTTTGAGAAATCAGAGAAGCCTTTGTGTTCAGGAGCATGTAGATGTGTGCAGAATAATACATATTTGTGATTTATGGTATTTGTTTTTTTTTCATTTATTGTAGTTATTATGTTTTCCCTCTTTCTCTTCTGTCTTCCCTCCACAAATGTAAGAGAAGAAAATAAAATAGAAAGAAATAACTAAACAGACAAAGAGTTTGTCATCACCTATCATAATCCTAACACAGAAACATGAGACATTTATCAATCTGAATGTTGAAAATCAACCTGTGATGATTAGGGCAGAGTTTCTTTGTATTAAAAATGGACCATGACTTTTTATCCAGGTTCTGGTGGGGGGAGTTTCCATGTTTCCTTGCATGTTTTGGTTTCTACTTTTTCCTCACAAACAATATTTTTCACTCATTTGTCCCCTTAGAGGAGAAAACCTTTAATGACATTTGCCACAAATTGATTGATCTAAAACACTGAGATAATTCAAAACACCAATCCAAAAAAAAAAAAAAAAGGATTTATGATACAAATATGTTAATTTGTGTTCTTAGTACTTGGTTAGGGCTCCTTTTGTATGGATTACAACCCCCCCCCCCAACCCCCCAACTAAAATGCTGCTTTCAGGCTTCAAAGAGATGAAGTAATCCTCCTCTTCATCGTCCTTTTAGAACAGAGAGCAGGAGCAGCGGGTTTTTCTGCATGCCATTAAAGAAAAGAACAAGAGATTCTTATCTGAAGACAAAAAACTCAATGAAACACTAACAAACACCCCCAGAGATGAACTTTGGGTTTAATAGTGTGCTCTGAGGTTGTAAATTTGCATTTTTTTTCAGTATTTGACCTCAATGAAACTCGTGTTGACTCTGCTCTGCACTTCTGTACATGCTGTTTCTGTTTGCTTTTGAATGTTTTCTCTTTTTTCTGTCTGCAAGCCGACATTTTATCCACAAAGAACAAATCTTTTTGGCTCAGTTGCAACTTCATACAGTATAAGGACACTCTCGGCTGAAATCCAAATGCATTGTTTTTAACAGTGAAACTTGTATAGTAAAAGGACATGCAGGGGCCCTTTTTTATATCACAAACAATGGAGAGGCATCCAAGGGCACTTTTATGTTTACATACCAAGAGGTCATCAAGAAGGCACTTTTACATTCACTTGATGGGCATCCTGATGGTATTTTGTGGGTTTTATACTAGAGGAACCAACAGATGGCACCATATATGTACTGTAAGTAACATCCTGCGGGAAAGGCATCCAGAAGGCATCTTATGTTTTTCATCCAGAGGAGCAGCTACTAAAGCAATTTTCCGAGAAAAGGGCAGTAGAGGGGGTATTTCATACAGTTTATTCGATGGTCGTGGCTGATATGTATAATGTAGCTGATGTGCACTGACTTCAGCCCTTAAATGAACATTGAAGGGCCTCCTATTCCCACACTGAGATGTTCAAAGGTCTGAAATAAAGCGGTAAAGAAATGGAGTGGATGGATGAGTGTTTAATCTGCTAAGTGTGCTCCTGTTGTTATTCCTGGCTGTAATAATGGAGGAGTGCTCTTTGTGTGGAGATCTTAGGATGAATTACAATCCCTTTAACCTGCTTTTTGTGACTGAGAGCAAGTTTATACAACTGTTTGTCTATGTGCACGCATGGTGCAGACAGCAGCATGGCAGTAAATTGAATTTAGTCTGCAGACTGGATACAAAATGTTCATGTGACAGTCATGTGACTCTGGTTAGTTCTTCTCTCTGTTGGTATCATGAAGTCACTCAGATGATCCTTCATCAGCCTCTAGAAGATGAAGAAATTGTATGTAACTGTATGAAAGACTGCAGGTGTTCTCAAAGGTCAGACTGACTTAAAATTTACTTACTGAATGCAAAGAAAAGGAAGGAGAAATATTTCTCTGATATTGCTACTGACTATAAAAACGACAAGTAATAAAGTCACAATAATAGGGACAGCTATTTCACTTAATATGATGCGTTATATATATCAGAGAAATGGTTATTAAAAGCAACTCTTTCCTCAACAAAATAAGTGGATTTCAGCTTCATGTTGGGTAAAATATTTTATTATATCTCCGTTTCTCCTCCTGCTCAAGTGTTTTTTGTGTTTCACCGCCTCTTTCTGACTTTTTATCTGATTTTAAACTGAGAGCGCCTCAGCAGACCCGCCCATTCATCGCTATGGCAACGGTCACATGATTCCACTCCGATGAAAAAACAACAACAAGCACAGTCACCGAACCAGACATACAGGAAGAGAAGAGCCAGTGCCCTTCAAAATAAAACCCGCAATTACTGATCATATAGTTTCTCATTTCGCTTTGTTGATCAACTAAAGACTACTAGACTGAATGGTTTTGTAACTGTGGTTTTGTCAATAAATAAAAGCACATGAAAGCATTTTTGTAACTTTCTTTAAACTTTTTATTTGTGACATAATACAACTTACTCGTGTGACATAAACTTGTGTTTTTCCCTTCAATTCTCCATGTTTTTAATCACCTTTATGCATTTGTGTTCTTGCTACAGTAGTGCTGAACTGTGTACATTTTTTATGTATTGCAAAAAACAAAAACAATTTAACCAAAAAGAAACATTTAAAAGGATGAAAAGGTCAAAATATTGTCATATTGTTAAACTGATTGGTTTTGTCTTGTGAATTTCAAGTGAATTCTGTGAAACATCTTTGTGTTTGGCCAAATATTTCTGTTATTGTACTTTTTTTGGTTCACTTCTAGCTCTCCATTTGATAGATTGTTCTCGTATTTATTGAGACAGACTCGCATTCTGTAAATACCTAATGTTGTTTTTCATGTTGTTGTGGTTTATGACTTTTTTTTTGCTTTTGGTGATATGACTAGAATAGAATAGAATATTCCTTTACTGATACCCCATGTTTTTTGTTTGTTTGTTTGTTTGTTTGTTTGTTTTGCCACAGCAGCATCACAGACAAAGAAAGTGCAAAAATGCAGTTATAAAAATAAATATCGTAATATTAAGAACTTAAATGTTACAATTAAGAGGGAGAAGAAAATTAATTACATAAAATACATAAATTAAACTACATAATACATTTTATGTAGTGTTTAAATGTTTGTCCAGGGCCACCATCACTTCAAGAATATATAAAGCCTAATACAAACAAATCATCAAACCACCCTCACATAAATTATGAAATAGAAATAACAAGCTGAGTCAAAAAAAGGAAAAGATTCAGACATCAATGTTGAACAAATCCCACAAACGCTTCCCGCTCTTATTTTGAAGGCAGCTGCCTTTGTTTTCCGGTATGTAGTGTATTTTGGTTTTTTTTGTCTTGTCCGCTTACATCACGCGTGCTGTGTCTGTTTATTACCTGAACATGTAACGTTGGGCGCAGTGAACAGCGTAGTCTGTACCGAACCTTCCCGACCCTCTCCGCCGCAGACATGACGCTGTCTCTGGGATGGATGTCCGCCGCGTTCGTGGGGTTTTTCTCCGCTCACGTCCTGCAGAGACTCTGCTTCCCGTACTTCTGGAGAGACCTGCTGTTCCTGCTGAAGGTGATGCGCTACGGAGTGAAGCTCGAGCTCTTCAAGCTCAAGTCCCGCGTGTGTACGGTCCTGGATCGGTTCATCCAGCAAGCGCAGAGGATCCCTGACAAATCGTTCATCATCTACGAGGGCGCCGCGCACACCTATGGGGACATCGACAGGCGCAGCAACAGGTTCGCGCACGTGTTCCTTGAGGAGGTGAAGGTAAAGAAAGGTGAATGTGTCGCCCTCCTCATGAGCAACGAACCCGACTTCCTGTGCGCCTGGTTCGGCTTGGCAAAGGTTGGCTGCTCGGTGGCTTTCCTCAACACTAACATCAAGTCCAAATCTCTTCTGCACTGCTTCAACTGCTGTGGAGCCAAGACCCTGATCGTGGGCTCAGGTAAAGAGCTCACCTGTGCCTGATGTCATGTTTCATCTCTGTGTATCCTGCAGAACACCTGTGTGGCAGCATCACCTTTTCTTTCCTGGTTGTTATGGCTCTGACCCTGTAGGTCAAGGTTAGGGTTAGAGTTAATCCTTGAAAAGCTTTAAAACTGACACATACTCTGAGAAGGTTGAGATGAAGGTATACAGACTTAATGTGACACCTGATCAGCCCATTAATAGCACTTCATAAAAAGGCTGCAACTGTTACTTTTGGTATTGGTAAATCCTCCGATCATTTGAACGATTGATCATTTTGCCATTTAATTAACTATACTTAAATAAACTCTGGGGAAAACAAAGTGAGGTATTCTTAAAAAAAAACTCACTTTAATAATTCTAAACTGCAAATTCTGTTTGATATTTCCTCTTAATAGTATTTACTTTAATTACCACAAAAGTACATTTTGTAAGTTATCAAGTAAAGACTCAAAGATGATTAAAAAAAAACCTCATCTCTACTCTGCTGTTGGTTTTATCGTAGTGTTTGAAACCAGGAGACCTGTTAATCCGTTACATCTCTGCATGATACACTTACTTTCCAGGAGCCACAGTTAATTACCTAGACTTACACTAAGATGCGTGGATCCATTTCAATCCATGTTGCTCATCACAATCCCAACATCTAACTTAAAAAATCATAGGATGACTGTGCCAGAGACATGCCCAGGAGCGTGATTCAGCAGGACAAAACATGTGTTTTTGAACAAGACTTCCTTAAAAAGTCACATTATCATGATTTTAAAATCTTATAAAACAATCCCCGATGCTAGCAGTCAGCCCCACTTACTCTGAAACACAAATATGTTTTGTGATTTCCTCTGACTATCTCTTTAGTGCTGAGACTCGAGGACAGTCATGTGCTGGAAAAGGTTGAGGAAAGGTGTATGCATGAATGATAAAGTTCTGATAAAGACAAATCCTATTTCATTTTTAGAAAACTAGAGAAGCCTTCATTTTAGTTATGAGGAATCTAGACAAGTAGCCTTTCACCTAAAGTGGGGACACTGTTGCATGATCCAGGTTTCTGATCAGCCTATAGGCGGTAGAAAAAACAGACAAAAAATTACCCAGACAAATACAAATACTGTAATGAGCATGTTAACAAAAAATACTCCTTTTACTGAACTTTGTAAGATGTGTGGGGTTTTTCAGACAACAGCTTGGAAATTTTAAGGCTTATCAGTCAGTTATAGTAAAAGGACAGTGACCCTACTAACCACACACTGTTCAAAATTCGTTTTGTGGTTTGGGCAATAGTCCAGATTAAGTGTTAATGTAGGTTAAAACGGACTGAAGAGAAGACTGTCAAATCAAAATTTCACATCCTCATTTGAAATTGTTGACACTGTTCTAAAGATAGCTTCAGTTTCAGCATTAGTTTTATTTTTCAATCATCTCATTAACTGTGTTTAATGTTGAATAAACTTAAAATACTCCAATACAGGAAAAAAAAAATTATAGATCATTGTCTGAAAAATTAAAGCTTGACATCCTTTTTTGGAAATCTCTGCATCCTCTGCTCAGAAAAGGAGAGTGACCACCCAGCTTGTTGTGAGTGTGCAGTTCAATAGCAATCATCCCTATTGTCTATGAACACTGTTAAAGGGTTAAAACTGTATCATGCAAAGAGGAAACCATAGTAACCATAGATTTGACGATCTTTCTGGAAATCATGGAGGCCACATCATTTTTCTTAATGATTGGTCTACTCATGATTTTTCTGTTTTATTTTGCGGTCTTGGTGAAGCACTCAGAAATGTATCTGATGAATCAAAATTTAACATTATTTTGAAGATCATGGACTCTGCATCCTCCCCTCTAAAGAGCAGAGGGACCATACAGCCTGTTATCAGCTCTGAATTCAAAGCCAGCATCCCTGATGGTATGCGGAGCATCAGTGTCCGTGACATGGGTAGGGTCCATGTCTGTGAAGGCTTCATTAATGCTGAGCAATATCTGCAGATTTATATTTAGAGGAAATCACGTATGAAAATGATCTAGATATGCCAGTGTCTTATCTGGGCTGGAGAAGTTTTTGTTACTTTAACACCACTTAAATTCGTCAAAACTTATAGTACCCAGGGGCATGCTTTGAGCACTCTGCTGGATTATCTTTGCGCGGCATGTATCTGTGTTTTTTCATTTGATCTCAATAAGGATGTAGAGGCCTTAAATACTTGTGTGTAAGATGTGAGTCACTTTATTTACAGGGTTTTTTCTAAAGAGTTACCGAAGCCTGCAAAAACATTTAATATAGTCGAAACATAAAAATTATATTGATCAAAACACAGCAAAGTCTACTCACTTAAGAACCGCGTTAAAAGCTTCAGTGAATGTATGAGGCGAAGTCTCAGCCACTGGTTTATGAATGAAGTTTTTATTTCTGTTCTTATTCCCGAGCGAAACATTGCAACTGAAAGCTGCATCTAATCACGGTTTTTCAGATTAATCTGTCATGTTTTCAAATGTGTTCCCAAAATACACAAACATATTGACCAGTGTTCCCAAAAGTTTAGGATGACGTCTTCAAATGTTTGTTTTTGTTTGCCAAAAAAAAGATGTTCAGTTTACTGTCACAAAGGAGGAAGGAAACCGGGATTGATATTTTTTTACCTTTTTTTTGTATTTTCTTGTTATTTGGTGATTAATTGACAACAAATTAATCACTTGTTGTCTCTTCACTCCACAAAACACCACAAATATGAGAATTTTTTATATGTAAAATTGAATGTGGTCCATTTAATAACCTTTTATGACATCTTATATGGTAATGATGCCAAATGGGGAACTCAGTGTCCTGCCAGGACACTTGTTGATTTCAGACTCAGGTTTTATCTCTGTTTAGTTCTGTTGAACAACCTGGAAGATTGCTCAATCTGGAAATCAATTCTGAAAACTTTCAACAGCCCAAAAGCTGTGAACGCTCAGTGTTATCGTGATGGGAGTTAATACACATCTGTTCCTTTTTTTTACAGTAAATACAGGGAATAGTTGATGAACTGTATTTCCCTTCCTGCCCTGTGTGGGAGGGAGATTCCTGGGTCTCCAGCTAATAGGATTCACCACGCTGCAGCCATGTGACAGCTGATCATTGCTCAACAAACAGGCGTGATGTTAGTCAGAGGACGCTGTCCTCACTGTAACTCGCCCGCAAAAGGAGACAGATTCATGGCCAGAGTGTGAGCCACACGTCAACTCCGTGTTCTGATTCTGTTTGTGACAGTTTGGGTAATCAGGCTGATTGTATACAGAAAATGATCCTACCCCTCTCTTGCTTTTTTCTGCTATGTTGAGGACTCTTTGAAACTACAGATTTAGACCATAAACCAGATCCTGTTTCCACCAGATCAGGAGACCAGTTTCTGGAGTTTGAAAGTGAAATGTTGTCCCATTCTTACTTGATGAAGGATTTTAGCTGCTCAACAGTTCAGGGTCTCCTTCGTCATGTTTTTTGTGTCAATATGCTCCAAATGTTTTCAATGGGTGACAGTCAGGACTGCAGGCAAGTCAGTTTAGCAGCAGGACTCTTCTACTTCAGAGCCATGCTATTGTAATCCCTGCAGAATGTGGTTTGTCAATGTCTTGCTGAAATATGAAGGTCTTCCCTGAAAAAAAGTCTTTGTCTGGATGGCAGCAGATATTGTTCAGCATTAATTAACGGACATGGACGATACCCATGGCCACTTAAGATTCTCATATCACCAGGGATGCTGGCTTTAAACTGGGAGCTAATAACAAGCTGGATGGTCCCTGTACTGTATAGAGCGGAGAATGTAGTGGCCATGATTTGTTTGTTAAATGTAGTTTGGTTAGACTACGGGACAGTTTTCTTCTTCCCCTCAGTCCATCTTTAACTCAGAGGTCCAGAGAAGTCTCTGGTGTTTCTGGATCATGTTTCTATCTGGTCTCCTCTTCGCATCGTTCAGTTTTCACCTCATTTGTGGATGCAGTGATGAACTGTATTCACAGACAATGGTTATTGAAAGTGATTTAGAGCCCAAGCAGTGATTTTCACTACAGAGTCCTGTCTGTTTTTATTGCAGAGCTGCCTGAGAGCTTGAAGATCAGGACAATCCAGTATTGGTTTTGGTCCTTGTCTCCTTTGTACAGAGATTCTCTGAATCTCAAAGAGAGACTCTTCAAAACCTTTTAATGGTATTATATTTTGTAGATGATGACATCCACTCACTCTTTCACAACTTGCACAACCAGTGATGGCAGAGTGAGATATTGTAAGTGAAGTACTTCTACTATGTAACCTGATACCTTACCCAGGAGGTTAATGGCATCATTTGGCAGCTCCATTCTTAAAATATCCACTTCCACTCAATGCAGAGAAATACTGAAACACGAGTGCAAGCCACTCAGTGCTTAATAAAAACAAGTTTTATGGCATTATGAAATATCATATATCATAATTTATGATTAGTGTCCTCCATGCTCTAGTATCTGTGCACATATTTGTTTACACACTCTTACAGCTGAAACCTGATCTGGAATCAGGGATTGTCCAAATAAAATCTTTTCTGTTTGTCCCCCTCACTCTTTCAGACTTATTGGACACTCTGGACGGCATCCTGAACACCCTGCTGGATGATAACATCCAGGTGTGGGCTGTGAGGAGCCACAGTGAGCACACACAGGTGAACACACTGCTGGATAAGGTCCTCACTGCCTCAGATGAACCTGTACCTGCAGAGCTGCGAGTCACCACCTCCCTCAAATCACCCACCCTCTACATCTTCACCTCTGGGACCACAGGTCAGTCATAGTCTGTCATCTGGACCCTGCTGTGACATTCTTTAATCTGAGAAGTTTATTTCAGTATTTTTCATAGTCTGAGTTACATGCAACTAGAAAGAGTTTAAACCACAGTAGATGGTGAACAGCTCGGCTCCTTCAATGAGAAACTGCATGTTCAAGAAATCTTACTAGCAGTTTCCTTTGCATAAATCCACGAATGGTAGATTAATTTACCAAAAATCATCATAAAGGATTAGAAAGAAAGTTGCCAGATTGAGGTTTCTCTTTTCCCATCAGGTCAGTGATTTTTGAACTTTATTTTTAACCAGAAAGTGTCTGAATGCTGATTTTATCTGTGTTTAAAAGGTTGGCTAAGGGGTGTCGAACATGAGTTTTATCTTAAGATATGACCTGATATCTCCTATGTTCTGTCTTTGTGGCCTCTTATTGATATAAGAGCTGTAATATTACTGCAGTTTGTCAGATTATTGAGGTTAATATGACTCACAGCCTCAAACCCAATAATGATTTTTCCCTCTCTGAGCATTACGTCACAAGAAGATGACTGTTATGGGAATATGATCGTATGAATTCCTTTGGATTTTCTGTTACGAAATTAAACAGTGGCCTCTGTCTGACATATTTTCATGTCTAAAGGAGTGGATCTGGACCGTCTCTGAAATACTCTGAATTTCTCTGCGTGATGGAAAAAAACCTTCTGGATGTCACAGAAACACTCAGAGTTTATCGCTGTAACGCTGTCGGTCTCACAGAGCGAGTAGATTTTACAGTGAGGCATTAGATCAAACTGTTCTATTTTAGAGCTGATTATGTAGAGTTCAGACAGAGTTCACCAAAATTAAATCTCTGCACATTTGGTGAGTTTTAGCAGTGTCAAGTTTGCAAGATGGCTCCCGCAGTTTCACGGTTGGTCCAGAATTTGCAGCAAGGTCAGGCTGATTTTCCTACAGGCGTGCCCATCCAACACTGTGTCTTTAAGCGTGCATGCTGTTTATACATGTCAGAAAAAGGTCCAAAGGTGATTTTATTTATTGTCTCTTTTATTCTGGTTTGATGCAACATTAAGACCTCTGTTTATTGCACTTGTTTGTTTATTCATCCAGCGGTAAGTAAGAGATTAAAAGCCACAGACCCTCAGGCTTTTGAAATCAGTTTCACTCCCATGAATCGCCATTTAATCCTCATGTTTGATAACAATCTGAGCAGCATGTGGTGGAAGTCATCCTCAGATTCTTGTTTTCATCAAAGTGACCAATACCACACTGTAAAACACAATCTTGTTTTATAATTGTACATCTATAAAGACAAGATCTAGAGGTCGTTAGGTTTGGATTATTTATGGTTAGTTACAAGACATAAAAAATGCTTTCCAAATGATCTAAAGCTCACAACGCTGTTCAATAACACTGAAATAGATTGAACTCAGAGATGTGACTCATGGTAGATTATAAATAAATGTGTTTCATGTCTGCTGTAAATCACTGATGGCACTTAAAATGCATTTTTACCTCCTTGTCTGTCTCTGAAGTGCTTTAAACATAGAGACGATCATATTTTCCCGTCAGCAGTGCTTGTCTATCCGCAGCAGTTTACTTTTACTGTGTTCATCAATATTGACTAAATGAAAAGTTGTGTTTAAAGCTTGTTCCTCTGCTCTGAAACAGCCCAGAGTCTGTTTATGCAGATGAAACTGCACAGAAAAACCTCTTAGTGATTTGACAAGACACAAGAAAAAGCAGAGTTTGATTATTTTACTTTTATTTTACTGTAATAACTCTAAAAATAATTTTTTGCTGATTTGTAGAAAGAAATCCCTCCTTCACCTCACTGACTGACCCATTAGTGAGTCATAGTTGTGTGTGTGTTTTGTGGTTGTGTTGGTAACAGGGTAAACAGAGATGATCGTTTTCTTCTCCAAGGACTCGTTCGGTTCCTCCAGAGGAAACTTGGATCTATTCTTTGTCTCCCTCTCTGTGATTCTGCAGAGTGTGGAGGTCTGTGACTCTGTTTTTTTTTTGCAGTCAGACAGTTTTACAGGAACACGTTTTGGTTTTTTTTGGATCTTAGAAAAGTATTTAAATATTGAAAGGTGAAAAATGATCAGCTCTGCATTTTAAACACATATTAGTCAGGTCTAAGTCAGCGGAAATCTCCAGGTTTTATCCTCCATCCGCTTGGCTTGGAAACCTTTGTTCCCTTTCCTTTCAAAATAAAACAAATACACAGATGAGGAAAATTGGTCTCGTGGTAAAGCAAACTTGAAGTTGTGATAGAAACAAAGAAGATGAAATTCAATTAAAAATCAGAAAAGGACACAAAGTGTAGAAAAATAATGCTTTTATTTTGATATTGTGTCTGAAAAGCTATTTAATAAAAGGTGTAACTTGTACTATTCTTTATTTGAGCTGAAGGAAAAATTATGCTGGAAAAAAGCCATCAGAACTCACATTAGCTGCAGATAATCTATGCTTATCTTTTTCAAGGGAGGTAGGTTTAAGAGGTAGGTAGGTTATGGAGAAAACTAGTACATCGAACAAGTCTGAAATGTTAAAATGAAGGAAAGTTTATCGCATTTATCGTAATCGTGAACAATAATTTATCGCCTGTCCCTTCTTGGCCGCAGGTTCAGCACCTGAACCAGCCGTAACATCATGGTCTCTCTAACTTAGTTGAGTTACGTGCAAGACTTGTATACATTTGCAGAAAACTAAGTGAGCTGACCGGCATCCAAAGTGGTTGAAACATTTAGCAGTGACATGTAACTCATAGAGCCTCACTTAAATAAAAACAGTGACTTCTCCGTTGAATATTGAGAGCTGAAATGTTTGTAAAAAATCTGTTAGAGACAAGAGTTGAAAAGGAGCACGAGGAAGAAACTCCTTATGTAACACATCAGCTTCAAGGTCTCTGTTGGAACAATGTGAAATTGTATAAAATGGATGAGACTGAAATTTTGGATTATTTGATCCAACACAAACTATTTTTTTTTTTGTCTTTTTGAACCCATTTCTTGTGAATGAGCCTTTGTTTTGCATGTTTGGATTAATTTGTGAAACTGATGCTGATCTCTTCAGGGCTAAAAAACGGTGAATTTTAAAGGTTCTGAGCCCTGTGGGACTTCATTGTGAAATCGAATTGGTCACAGGCCTTCATCCCACCGTCATAAGATTTCATTCATGTATTTGGAAATAAGTGAAGTTTAGTGTCTTACAAATTTGTGTGGACCGGTCATGACATCAGCTTTTACAAACAGACACTGAGAGCTTGTTAGTGTTGAAAGTTTCCCATCGATGTGAACAGAAACACTTTGATTTCCTCTGATTCTGATGCCATTTCCATCAAAAGACCATGAAGCCCGTGAACAGAAAAGACGTGTTAAAACCGAGGGCAGGGAGGATGAAAAGGGCATCGGGGCATCATCAGGTCTTACTTTGTTTCATAACACTGGAAAGAAGAGGACTTCTAAGACTTAATGTCAGAGTCTGAAAACTGTGTACCCTCAAATGTTTGAGATTTGACTCAGTTTACATTACTTTGCACCTTTGTCCATGTCGAATTGTGGTTCTGGAGGTGCAGTACTGCAGACAAAAAGGTCCAAGTTTCAGTTTTTTGTCGGTCATGTAATGCAGTATCTTGTGTTTCCTCAGGTCTTCCTAAAGCTGCAGTGATCACTCACCTGCAGAGCCTGAAGGCAGCAGCAGGTTTTTGGGCATTCGGTGTCACTGAAGACGATGTGATGTACGTCCCTCTGCCTCTTTACCACAGCGCCGCCTCTCTGATCGGGATCGGTGGAACGATAGAGCTCGGTAAGTTAAAGTGTTCTGTTTTTAGTCCATTCGTTTACATTTCTTCATTCGCTTGCGTCTTAAAAATCAGCTGTTAGCGGCTCCAGCACCAGGTGTGGAGGTTGTCTTTGGGAAGATGACTCACTGTCATCATCAGTAATGGACATATTGAAGCAGAGGCATTGCTTTTCTCTCAGGTTCATGCTGTATAAACATGAATGACTGACAGGTGCACATCTCTTAGAGATCTGACAGCCTGTGGTGATGCAGATAACAGAGCAGCTTTCTCAGTCACCTACATCAGATCTACATTGAACTTTATGAACTTTATGACTCAAATAAAGAACTAAGTGTGAGGAAATTCTAACGTGGGATCATTAATGATAAAAAGTGTTGAAAAAGTGCCAGAACTCAGGTCTGTTGCTCATCACTATTGTGGAGTAGTAGCGTGTTATCAGTGTTTGTGGCTGCAGAGTTGCTAAAATCACAGCCATAGTCACCTGACGCTGAAAGAAGCCGGTGTTAAGGTGTTGGTGGATGAGGATTGAGGTGCATAGCTTGTGAGTCTATCAGGATTTACTCTGACTCCAACAGGATCGACAAGTTCTGCAGCTTTGTCAAAGTTTTTTTATCTTAAAAAAAAAGGAATGAAGTATGTTCATGACGTCGCAGCTGAACAAACGATCTGCAGGGAGTGGTCGGAGACACAGAAACCTGCTAGTTTGAGGAGTGGATGGGCAGCAGGTGGGCAGGTTAGACAGGTGTGTGTTATGAAGGAGGGGCTGCCATGCTCACACTACAGATACAGAGATATGAGGAGGGCGGAGAGAGGCAGTGGAGGAAAAAAAGAAGAAAACAAAAGAGAGACAAAAGATAACTTTCACTTACAAAAACCAACATTTTTTGTCCAGGGGAACAAAAACAGACGTCGTCAGAGAGCACATGTGGTTTGTTTTCATAGAAGGCGGGTCACAACTACGATAAGAAAATCAGTGAGTGACACCATGTCTCTGCAGCATTCATGCAAAACTTCAGCAGTGCCAGAGCATCCATCATATATCATAACAAACAAGTATCCCTTCAGTGATTTTATGTGAACACATTTGGCATGGTTTGATTTGTGATTCTAAGATTTTATGTGCTGCTTTTATGGCGATTTGACTGACCACAGAGATTTTATTTGGTATGAAGATATGAAGGCTGTCGGCTGTGTAAGAGCTGCTTAACTTGTGTCGCTTGACCTCCACTCTTTTCTCATTGTCACAATAAAATTGACCAAGTGAGGCGAGAGTGTGAAGCAGCTGATCTTTTGGACTGTCTTTTAAATAAAGTCAGCCCCCTGGTAGATGGTATATCATGCATCCTAACACATAACAGGTCCATAAAGCAATCATTCATCTGAAGGGGCGACTGTGCAGCCTTTATGTCTTGTGAAACAACCATCTTGTAAACCCACCGTCATAAATCACATCGTTTCCCGGGTTGAGTTTACCGTCACACCTGTGATATAAAAGCATGGATGAGGCCAGACTGTTGCATCATTAAGTTCATTGTTTGAGACTGGGAAGTGACTCTCTTGATGAACTGGTTTTCAATCAGTCCACAGAGTCCAGTCTGTGTGTGTTTCTGCCAATCCCTTTGAGCTGTGGACGTCGTTTCACTCCAGCTAACAGCTTAATTAGAGGCTTCAGAGCAGAAAGTAAAAGCTGGACACTATTATGGAGAATATTTTGATGCCAAGTCATTGTCGCTTCCCTGTTTTTTGATAAAGTCAAACTGTTTGAGTTTTTTTCAGGAAGCAGGAGGGTTTCATGATGTTAAAATTTAGCCCACCTATCGGCCCATCTTCTGTTCCAACTACCACTAAAGTTCACAGTTCAACGTCCTGAAGATAATCTGACAGGCTGAGATAAAAAATTGAGGTTTGTGTCCTCACAGTTTGAGATGTTGAAATATTTCAAACTTTGTACACAAACCAAGCCTTTAGACTGAACATGGGGGCTGCCAGTTACGTCATAATCAGACCTTGTTTTCCCCTGCAAACCTTCATCAAACAGTACAAGCTGTGTCAGACTTCAGACTGTCGATTACGTCATTATACCAGCGTTAGGACACTGTGTGAAATGTTGAGTGAAAACAAGAAAGTTTGTGATGTTTTGCCAATCAATTAAAGACTTTATTGATTGGAAAAATATAAATTCAAAATTGATTATTTAACTTTATTATTATTCAAATTCAGTAACTCAAGATTGAATCATTGAATTTGAATTATTCAATAACTCAAACTGAACACAAATTATCTGATGATTTTAATTTGATGCAGAAACACATTTCTAAAAAGTTATGTAATGTTAAAAAAAAAAAAAAACATCTCCAACTAATAAGAGTTAATTTCCAACAGGTTAGTAACATGACTGGGTGTAAAAAGGGGGAAAGATGGGAAGAGGTTCACGTAAAAGTTTTGGTTTGATGAAGACTCGGGTCTGAGATGTCCAGACCTGCTTTCACTCTTAAATCGTGGTTCACACTCACCACACTGTGTGCGCTGTATACAGGCAAATTTAGTAAAACCTGACTTATCTCATATTTGACCTCAACTCCAAGACCAATATTTGTGAGGTATGTTTGGTGCCAAAGTCTGAGATAGTAAAAATGGACTTGTTTGAATGTAAAGTACAAATACTACAAATACATCTTACAGCCTAGTTTAAAAAACATCCTTTTGCAGTGCTTTAAACCGAAAATTAGATCGCTAGAGTAAAATGATGTTGATTTATAGAAAAGATTTTGTTTGAATTGTGGCCACAGAAAACATCAGCAGACTGGTTTCCTCTCTGTCACTCATGGATCAGTTTAGTGGGTGAGAGGATACTTCGCATATTTCTGACAGAAGTCGGTCTGAAGCAGCGTGTTCAGTTTGAGTTATCGGTGCTTGAGCTGTGAGAACAGGGACTTCTTTGGTCCTCTGTTTGTAGAACAAGAGAAGTCATTCAGGGTCAGTGACAGAGTTTTACTCCTGAGGGTTTCCTCAGTTGGGGCTGAAGTCTTCTGCACTGCACATCCAGGGAGCTGCTTTTTATGAATTTACAGATTTGGGCAAATAAAAGACACAGAAGCAGAAAACAGGAAAGCAGAAAATAAATAACAGAAGACCTGTGAGGGCGCTGAATGATGGAGCTTTATTATTTACAGACACTGAATTCATCTGAGCGTACTGTGTCTGATCACCATCCGTGTGACAAAACATAACTATATGACTAAACCTGCTCAACCTGAGGGAGCAATAATTGATGTCGAGCAGAAAGCCTGGCTAGATCAGCTTTGCTGTCAGTTTGTAAAATTAGCTGACTCAACCTGCGATCAGGCTCAGAAAACATGAGCATGTTTTACCTACGAAGCTCTGCTGGTCTTGAGCCTTTAGATTTTTAAGAGACGCTGAATATAGACAAAGATCTTCTATATTTATTTCTTTTTAGAAATGTGTGCAGATGTTATTTAAATTCTGAGTTTATTTATTTTCACTTGAAATTGATCTTAAACACCCAAAATACTCCAAGCTGCTGTTATTATGGCTTTCTGACTGAGTAAGATGCATCAACAAAACTTCTTCTCTTCAACACCCAACTGTCCTCCTGCATGATGATTCCCATTACTGCAGCAGGATGGATTTTGCACCAAATACACATTTCTGTATGGGACAACGAGAGAGGAGCTGACATAATGATGTTTTTGTTTTTGTCTTTCAGGTGCGACCTGCATCTTGAAGAAGAAGTTCTCAGCATCACAATTCTGGAGCGACTGTAGAAAACATAACGTGACTGTTTTCCAGTATATTGGGGAACTCTGCCGATACCTCTGCAACCAGCCGCAGGTAACCTGCTGTTTGAAACGATCAGCTGTGTGTGTGTGTGTGTGTGTGAAGACGGGGTGAATGATGGAGAGAGTTAAAGCAGAGAGGAGGGGAAAGCTTCTTTACAGTGTCAGAGTGTTTCTCTGTGTACAGTCCTGCTGCTTTTGCATAATTAGAGAAAGGCTGTGACAGAAAGACAAGCGGAGTCTTTGTTTTTTGTGTCTTCATGCACACACACACACACACACACACACACACACACACATAGTGAGGGCACAGCTCGTCCTCCTCAGACTGAAAGTCCTCTTTGTCCCTCCGTCTCTGTTATTCTGCTGCGTGGGCGGGTGAGGGTGGACGTCCTGGACTGTCCTCTGCTCTGATTGGTTAATCGAAGATGTGGACATGTACGACACATTTTCACTGTGTGCACAAAAGCATGAGGGTTCATTACTGCCCATGTTGGACGTGCAAAACGACAGACACTAAAAACTCATTATAGAGTTACCGCCAAGCATCACAGAGCAAACAAACACGGACAGAAGACAGACGCTTAACAGGAGTAAACAAAGTTTTTTTAAAGTCATTTTCACCTGTAAAAGAGGAGGGATGCAGGTGGCAGGGGCAGATTAAGGGTTTATCTAGGGGTGCCCCGGCCCCAGGGGTACATCCTACTCTTGAAATTGATTATACACCCCAAAATCCTAAACTATGATTGGTGATTTGCCTCTCATCGATGGGACGTTTGTTATAATCAACTATCTTGGCTGCTGTTTGTGACATCAAGCATTGTGTGTAGCTTTCTTTGTATCACTTCCTTTGAGTTTGTTGAGATATGTTGCTACTGTGTTGTGTGACTCTTTAGCAGATATAAATTCTGAACGTTGTGTTTGTAGAGGTAACCAAATATCAGTTTGACATGAGGTGAAATAAATCGTCATATTTTTCCAATTAAAGCAGCCCTCCATTTTATGACTACCCACTTTAATTTTGTTGTTATTCATGGACACTCTGAGTGACCTGACCCGAACTCGCACAAAGTGACCTAAAATCATCGCTGACCTAAAAACAGCGTCAGATCTCGTGTCTCTTCAGATCAAACATTTAAACTTTCTGACTGTCCTTTCCCTGTTTTCATTTAGTTCATTCACTTAGGATCTACAAGAGATAGCTTCTCCTTCAAAATAAAAGCATTGTGATATTTTTGAAGTTTTGAAATTGCACATAAACTTCGAGAAAAGGATAAGGCCCACTAAAACAACAAAGTATGTAACTTGATTTTTTCCTATAAAGTGATGGAGCAGTTTAGTCATATATGTCTCGATAAGTGGTTTGTTCAAGTTGAAATTGAGGAAACTTATTTTGAAAAAGTGCTATGAAGCAGTCAAATGTCACAAAGTGTTTTGATAAACTTAAGCTTGTCATTTTTGCTGCGAATCTTTCTTTTCAAAAGTACTCAGCGTTGTACAGGACACAGTTATCTAGTGGTAAATGTAACAGAAACAGATGGAGGTGAGATTCAAGGTTTTCTATCAGCATAACTGAGATGACTGGAAGTAAATGTTCAGTCTTCTTGGTACTTTTTGTGTCCCCAATTTCACTTTGACCGCATTTAATAGATGTGGAATTTATATCCATGAAAACCAGTAAACATCTTTTTAAAAGAAGAGTTTTATTTTGATAAAAGGACATCAAAGTGTAGATAAGAGTTGTGTGTGGTTTTTAGTTATGATGAAATATACTTTTAGAAATGTCAGGGGACCTCATTTGAATTTCCTGGGACCAGAAGGTCGGGAACGCCCTTCATAACACATCGTTTTATTGAAAGCGTTCAAAGTTAATAAATTGTTACCTAGCATATCTTTTGACCTCCTTACATCCTCTATCTCCACAGACAGATCAGGATAAAGATCACAAGGTGGTGATGGGCGTGGGGAACGGGCTGCGGCCGGACGTCTGGAGGGAGTTTCAGAGTCGGTTTGGGAACATAAAGATGTGCGAGGTGTACGGATCCACAGAGGGGAACCTGTGCTTCATGAACCACATCGGAAGAATCGGGACGGTGGGACGCTCCAACTTCATCTACAGGGTGAGACACGAGAGTTTGATTTATCTGCTCAAACACACACCGAATAAACTTTCTATGAAGACAAAATCAAACATTTTACATGAGTGAGTGAGTGAGTGAGTGAGTGAGTGAGTGAGTGAGTGAGTGAGTGAGTGAGTGAGTGAGTGAGTGAGTTTATGAACATAATGGAGCAGCATTCAGATTTTTGTGTCACACTTTCCTAGAAATACTAGCAGGGAGGAAACCCTGAAGTCTTTCCTGGTAAACATGTGAGTGAGAGTGTTTGAGCGCTCTGTGTGATAGACAGAGGCTGTGTATATACGATTCACTCTGCCTACATGTGAGAACATCTCAGTAACGTCTTGTTTACAAACCAAGTTATTTAAGGTCACGGCAGCTGTGATCCTTCTCAGCTGTCCCCTCTGCTCAGGGGTCAACACACAGATATATAAATATTAAACAGAGTGAGAGCTGAAGAAGAGGCTGAATTAACCTCAACAAAAAAGAGGAGAAAAAGGAACGAAGAACATGCAAATTTAAGGAAAGCAGGCTTTAAGATGAAAAACAGGGGAGGTGGACGCTTGGCATGGAAAACACTGAGGCCACTTGAGAAATTACAGAAACGCTTTTAATCTTAAGGGGGGGATTTGTTTTAATTATGACGGATCTGTGTCAGTTTCACTTTGTTCTGTCGTGCAAAAATTCTGATTTTCCTCTTTCAGGTTCTGAAAAATTCTTAAAGAATCTCAGATTTGATTTGATCAAGTGTGCAGTTTAATTTTTTTTATTTTTTGTCATTGTAATTTTTCAAATCTTAAACCTCTCATTTTTAATTTTTTGATTTTTTTCATGTAGGTTATTTTCATTTCATTTTACTTTCTATTTGACTTTTTAATATATTTAATTCTTACTTTCTTTCACTTAATCTTAAAGCTATTATGAGGAGTTTTTTTGACAAAATATGAAACAGACTGGAATTTTTATTGATGCCTTTTTTATGACATCCAAATTCAAACCAGACCGGTGGGGAAAATATTGACAGATTTAAACTGCAGTAATGTTATTAATACTTTAAACCACTGAGACGGGGGTCAGACTTCTAAAGAAAAAACCCTATTTTCACAATGTTCCCCAAAAAAAGCGATTTAACTGTCAACAGTCTGCAGGAAGAGACTTTTGGTCCGAAAACTTCACTCAGATAGATAGAGGACCCCTAAGAAGAGAGTGCTTCATCCACCGCTGGCTCCAAGAGTGAAAAAATGTCAAAAATTACTCACAGGACCTTTAAATTTATTTGGGCTTTTTCTAGTTTAGCGTTACTTCTATCCAGTCTTAATCTTCTCTGTCCTCTTCCTCATATCCACTCCTGTGGTGGGTTTAAAAGGGTTTGAAAACAGAAAAAAAGAAAGAAGCATTTTAGCATTAATTTAAAAAAATCAGTGAAGAAACACGACACCATCAGATATTTCCAAATGTCTACTTTTATCATGTTATTTTGAAACATGTGAAGGTATACCAGCTGTATGTTTTCTTAAGGGTGTGTAACATAACTCACTCCGTGAGTCACATCCTGCAGGGGCCTGGTGATCCTTGTAACCTGGTGGGGGAGGGTGGGGGATGATGGGGGAGGGGGTACCGCGTAATCCAGTAACCTCAATCAGAGGGTCTCTGACAGGTCAGCATCAGACTATGTGCTTACTTAACGTGGCATACACACAGTGACATGAACACCTGTTACACGCACTTCTATAAATACCTGAAACACCGACTGAATCATCACTGACAATTAACACAGAATAAAACACAGAAAACTGAGAGTTTTATTCAGCACAGAAAGAGTGAGTGAAGCTTTTATTTTCAAAAGTAATCTATAAATGTTGTCCAGTTATTATAATCACTATTAAAATTAAGCAGTAAATCTTCATTTTTGATGAACAGTAAAGATCTAAACAACAGCACCCTTCTGACAAACAACTTTGAATAACTTCTGCATAAACAATAAAGTTGAAGAAATACTTCTATAAAAAAAAAGATCCATCTAAAGACACAACCTCAGTTTGAAAACTTATGGGATATTTTTTGGTGTCATGATGCTCCAAATGTTTTGAATAGGTGACGAGTCAGGACTGCAGGCAGGACTCTTCTACTACAGAGCCATAGTGTTGTTATCCCTGCAGAATGTGGTTTATCAATGATTTGCTGAAATATGAAGGTCTTCCCTGAAAAATTCTTAGTCTGGATGGCAGCAGATGTTGCTTCAGCATTAATGGAGCAGGATAACTTTCTTCATTTTTATCACTTTATATTTTATCCTTATTTTATTTAACATTTTGCACAGCTTTCCAGCTTTCATTTCCAATAATCCCAGTGTATATTAAAGTGTCATTTTGAGAAGTTTGCTATTTATTTTGATTGAAAAACAACCAGAACGACTGTTTATTCTCTGAAATTGATTTGTCATGACACGGACCTGATGAGTCGACTGAATCCAGCAGAGCGCCTCTGTGTAGACTGCCAAACCTGAGTGTATCGCTGAAGAGATTAAGTCTGTGAGTCGGTTAGTGGGATGGCTGAGGAGCGTCTTCAGAGGGTTTAGCTTCAGTAAAGCTCGTATTTAGAGCTGCTGTTAATCAGAGGAGTTACACAAACACACGCTCCATATATTTAGCCCTAATCTCTGACTCGGACTATTCTTAGACCATCTTTCTGCTGAGACACAAAGAGTTACCAAAGTGAAGTTATAAAACATCAGTGTTGTAGGACACTTATCCTGACTTGGCGCAGAGGAGAGTCGGTTCTGTAACGTGCAGTAAGGATTTATTTTTAGACTTTTGGGTCAGAGATTTTATGTTAAACCTCTTTTAGACCGACTGGATGCTGTTTTTAAATCAGACAAAGAGGCACAGGTGAAGATGGCTGCTAATCAGGGCTGACCTAATGTTATAACGTGACTGAGTGTGATAACAGTGTGCCACACCTGTTGGATGGTCTGTCAACAAAGTGCACAGGCTGTTTAGTCTGATATTAACATAATAAATCTCCACAAACGTGACCCAGAGGGTGAATTTCAGGGACTGAATTAGCTGAAGAGACACCGAGCAGATAGCTGGCAGCTCCAACTTGTCAATCAAAGAGGCCACGCCCTGAATTATGAATCACGTAGAAGAAGCTCTAGGGGGACTAATTGCAGATGACGGCCTCTGGTGGACTTTGGAGAACTGCAGATTTGGGGACTGAGGTATGGTGTCCCTGAAGGTCAACTGCTTAAACATTATATAATGCAAGAATTTTGTTGCATCTAATGGTTTGTCTTTTCTCTAATGTTTGTGCAGTTGACCTTTAGAGCCACCATACTGAAGTGGTGATTTCAGACAACTAGTTAAACTGAACTCTTTGATGGGAAGAGCTTAAAAAAAAAACATTACATATTTTATTTTATCGTTATGAGTTTCCTGAGGACTTTATACTAAATTTAATCTAAGCCTGTTAAAACTTCAACAACTTCCTTTTTACTTTTTTATGAATTTTCCAGTCTCGATTTTTGATTCTTGCACCTGTTGTGTAACTACTTGACTTGATTTTTCCTCAGTTGCTGTTTAAATATGACCTGGTGAAGTATGACATGATGAAGGATGAACCAGTGAAAAATCAGCATGGATTCTGTCAGCGAGTGAAAAAAGGTGAGAGCGGCTCAATCCTCTGCTTTAGCCATTCTTAAAGAGTTATTTTTGATCCCTTGTTTCTTTCGCCTTCCAGGGGAAACGGGGCTGCTGCTGTCGAAGGTGAGCGCCATCAGCCCATTTTTCGGTTACGCGGGCAGCAAACAGCTGACAGAGAAGAAGCTGCTGAGGAACGTGTTTATGAAAGGAGACGCTTATTTTAACACCGGAGACCTGATGTCTGAAGACCAGGAGGGTTTTATCTGCTTCAGAGACAGAGTGGGAGACACCTTCAGGTAAAGGTCGATCGAGTAGAGAGCTCACATCCAGAGGGGGATATTCTCCTGGTTATAATAAAAGTAAAAAGACTTTTTAAAAATACACCTAAAAAGGATAAAAGCAGCTTCCAATACAGCCTCTGTCTTTAAAAGCTAAACAGAAACTGTGTTTGTCAAATAAAACTTATGAGTTTTTTTTTCAGGTGGAAAGGTGAAAATGTAGCAACGACAGAAGTAACAGAGATCCTGGGTCAGGTGGATTTTATACAGGAAGTTAATGTGTACGGGGTGGAAATACCAGGTGAGCGTTTATTTACCACTACTGGTTTATGTCAGCTTTAAAAACGTACTCTTTAAAAATTGACCTCTCTGATTTGCCTTATTTTGTTCATCAGGACACGAGGGCAGAGCAGGAATGGCAGCCACGATCATCAGACCAACCTTCACATTTGATGGAAAGAAACTGTTTGATCACGTGACCAGAGAGCTGCCAGCGTACGCCCGCCCGCTCTTCATCAGGATTCAGGTAATGAAGAGTCTGTGTGTCACCCAGAAGTGAGGCATCTCAGCAACCGGCATAAGCAGGTGTCCCCCTGGTGGCAGGCCGTTGTGAACATCCTCTGCTTTCTCCTCCCTTCTTAAGTGAATGTGGTTTCTGTACGGCAGGAACTCTGCAGAAGATCCAGGGGTGGGGGAAAGCTCTCTGAACTTATATCTAACAAAAATGCATTTGAAATATCTGTAACAGCGATTAAGTTCATGTCTTTATTTACTTTCATGAATCTCAGAGATTTGGAAACAGTTCCAGATGGGGCCAGTTGTCACTACACAAGCCTGAACACAATTACACTGTGATTTGTCTGTCAAAGATAAAAGTTGGTCCTGAGGTCTGACAGATGCAGATATGAGCCACTTGGCACCCTGAAACTCTCTTTACAGCCTGACCCGTCACAGATTCTGATGCCTTCTTGTTTTTGGTTGATCAGGAGGTGATGGAGATGACGAGCACCTTCAAACAGCAGAAGTTCCAGCTGGTTCACAGCGGTTTCAACCCGACGACCATCTCTGACCCTCTGTTCGTCCTGGACGCCCAGCAGCAGATGTACATTCCTCTGACAGACACAATCTACCAGAGCATCACCAGTGGGAACAGAAAACTATAAAACTGACTGAGTGTGACTGAGTGAAGTGCACAAAGTTAGTTTCTTGAATTAAACCAGTGAGCCTACAGTCGTGTCTGTGACGTCCTGAAGTCTGAGTGAAAAGACGTCGTCTGTTAATGAATGAAAGAACGTGCAAAGAGATAATCCTGTGAGCTTGTTGTGTTCATTATGGAATTCTGTAGGTTTGTATCCACATATCAGTCAGAGAAATATCTTTAATTTACCCGTTATCAGTTTAGTTTATTTAAAGTCAGCATGTTGCTCCCTGCTACATATTTTCAGCTACAGATTTATAAAAGTTTTTTTAGTCAGTATTGAAGTATATAAAGTTTACTCATACATGCACTTGGTTAATGACGTTATGAGAAGTAAAAATGAAGGAATTGAAATCTGTTTTAAGAAGCGTTTGAAAGTCTGTCTACTGCATTGTGATGTTTTTTTTATCAGGTAAATAAACCTTTATAAAAAGGTGCAAATTCAGGGATTAACCTCAGCATTTGTGTCAAAAAAAGGAAACCCCGAATGAAGTTTCATAAAAGAAGTGAATGACGCTAATTTAATGGATGATATATTACAGTTTAAAGGCTTTTAAAAACCGACCAATCATATAGGAGACATCTTTTAAATCCTATTCCAGCAAGAGGTCAAGTTTCCTCCAAGGCAGAGTTTATTAAACCTGTCATCTGATAACATGCCGGTTTGATCCCTCAGCTCTTTATAACAAGGGCGTCCATGATTTCCAAAAAGAAAGCCAAATTTCTTTTTTGTCAGAGCGCAGGACAGATTTGGACTCAGGTCCAGAGAAATCTCTGGTGTTTATAGTTTATGTTTCTATCTGGTCTACAGGCTAAATGTCTGCAAAATAATGGATGAAAGTGTGTCTAGAAAAAGTTATTTTTGCTCCTGACCGGCTCCAGATTGTTTTTTTTTTCCAAAACAATCTCCAAACATGTTATCAAAATACCAACAGCTTGACAGCTTTTGGACCTTTTGTACTAACGATCCAACAACTTTGCCTCTTTTTTTTTACGTCCCATTTTGTGTTGAAGTTTTGTTTTCCTGTAACGCATTGGTGCTGTTCGACTTTTGGGCGAAGCCTGATAGGTAAACTGTAACGTCTGATCAGAAGGCTAAAACCAGTTTGAGATTTAGTGCGTTTTCAGTCAGACTGACTGAATAAGAAATAAATCAGTTGCCGGTGCTCTGCTAGAAGCGCTGAACTGTTTCACCAACCCTCGTCTGTTGATAGCTCTGGCCCCTCTGTGAGAATTACTCTCTCAGAGTAAAATAAAATTGCAGAGATGGTTTTAAAGCTCCATCCGGGTCTTTTTAACTGGTTCTGAAACTGACTGATGCTCTTTTTGATCGACATCTATAAACTATTGGTCCTATGAACAGGCAGGGAAAATTCCTCAGTCCTTTTATGTTATCAGTGGATTTGGAGTAGGTTTAAGAGTCTTTAAACTGTGTGCTTATCTCATTAAAAAGGAACATGAAAATCTCTAAAATAACATTTAAGTGCCTTATTTCTACCAGAACTCATGGATACATAGATGACCAATGACTATTACAGAATTTATTTTGTAGTTCATAAAAATGAAGGTTGATGGATGTGGTCAGAAGTTACAGCCTGTTTATATAACTTTAAAGATAAGGAGAAAACACATCAGATCATTTATTTCATCATTTTGTTTGAATATCTGCACCGATCACAGCGCCACTGTTGAAAAAATGAGTTCAGCCAGATTTAAAGATTATTTCCCCTTGTTTTAATGCTGTGATACTTCACATTTCCGTCCTTCATTTATTTATTTTTGGTTGAATTTTGTTTCCTTTCAGTTTGATTATTTTACCAGAGATTTAAACATGTGCTGCTAATTGTATTCACAGACAATCACAGACTATCAGCTCCGATTTTTGTGTTAACCGTGAGGTAATAAGTTAATAACAATAACATTTACAGGTCAGGGCAGAGCTGGGATTCCACCTTCAACCACAATAAGATCCTCATTCCTGTGGTCTGTGTGTTTGTCATGATTCAGGTGAGGCATGGGAGTATATTTCCAGAGTTTGTAAATGAGGTGAGAGGGATTATTTGTGATGTTTCTGAAGGTTAACAGACATTTAAGTGACTGAAATGATTAGAGCAGTTGTTCTGAGTTATTTCTGTTTTATCTGTGGAGTCTGTAAGTTTTTATTTGTAGGATTCAGAGGATTTTTTGTTTTTATATGTCATGAGATTATGAAGTGTTGCAAACAGGTTTAAGGATGACTGTAATTTATGTAAACTTGACTGTTCCTTAATGTAATGTAAATGAATAAACATGATATTCATCTGAAAAACAGTCATTCACTGCGCTGGACTAAAGTTTAGACTGATCAGATATTAAATAAGGTGTGGGACTGCACTGTATGACTTTCCTTAGGGGCAAACTGAGGCCTTTTCCATGATGTGGCTATAAGAACTGTATTTTAGTCAGAATATATGTTTATCATTGGTAACACTAATGGAGACAAATCAATCCACCATCAGATACCACAGGTTACCCTTATCAAATAATGAAAATCAGTGCACAAACACTTTTTATATTATCATACAGGTCTGAATACACTGATGTGCACACTCAGGTTCAGGCTCACATTAACATGCTTTATCTTTCTACCACTGTGATAGTCCTGCACCATAGACTGTATGTAGACTTTATACGCTATCCTGCAGAGTGACATACTGCCCCCTGTGGAGAGTGACAGCACTTTAAGCAAATGAACAAATATACTACAACAGGTGAGTGTGTGTAGGCGTGGCGTGATTCAGTTCTTGGCTCTGTGATAAAGAAAGATTTGTAGCTTTATCAAGGTGGAAGTTGACCGAAGTGATTTACTTTGACTTAAATTACATGTCTCAATCCAGCCAAAATGATTTTTAAAAAAAACTTTTTTTTTTTTAATTTTAATTTTTTTTCTTTTTTTTTTTTTCTTTTTTTTCTTTTTTTTTTACTCATTTTTGTTTATATTTTTTTCTCTCCTTTATACATTCTCTCAATCCATCTTTCTTTCCTATGGATCAGTTCAAATCCTCTTTCCTTTCACTCTGTCTGCAAAGCACTGACTGAACAGCAGGAGGCACCAAAGTGTTAAAAACAATTACCCAGTGTGTCTCCAGTCTACGGACTCTCTTTTTCTCCTTTTTTGTTTAACAAAACACACAGTTAATATTCCCCTTAAAAGAAACAGTATTCTATCAATCATCAGTTCATACTTAGTGTAGTAAAAATGATAACCCAGTTAAAGGTGCTCATATTTTTTAGGTCTAATGATGTGTTTCTTGTTATCAGTATTTTATTTTCTGAGTCATGATACAGTTACACGAAACTGTTCTGGATTATTTTATAAGGTGTATCTACTTTTAGTGTCCTTTATCCATATTTCAAATTACAGAGTGTTAAAGAATATCATGTCAAGAATGTCAGTTTTCATCACCACAAATCAGTTTGTCCTTGTAAATGTAATGTAACCCCTAAATCCATTCAACCTTTCAGAGCTTCTGATGTACTCAGCTTTTAGAGAGCTCAGTGTGTAATGAACTATTGTGAGCCAGACACAGTGAAACTGAGATCAGCTGTAGAGAGATAAATGGGAGCTCCTCTGAGGGATTTCATAAACCACAAGATGATGGCGTTAATGATTTATGATTGATATTGACACTCAGACTTGGTTTTCTGGCATACAGGTAGTCTGTAACCTGTGAAGCAAGGATGGTGTTGAAGCTGAGAAGGACATCTTAAAGCAGATATCTGTGTGTAAACATTATATAAAACCTCATATTGAGTAAAGTTGTTAAAGAGCCACACATCATAGCTGACACTGCAGAACAGCTGATAAGTTTGGTCTGTTTTTGCTCTGCTTTTCTGCAAATCGTTGAAACTTGCTGAAATGCTCGTCGACAGTTTTACTCTGAACTAAATGAGTGTCATTTTCTTACAGATTCTGCAACTCCATGAGGAATCTGTTATTGTAGATAAGAGCTGATGGATGCTAGAGAAAACATTCGAAAACAAGAGCTTGTCTCCTTTTAAATAAATAAATCCTCAGATTTATTTATTTATTTTTTTGGTCATATATTTCTCTACTATCAAACTCAAATCTATATATTTTAATTCTTCAAGATAAAATGGGCTTTAATGATTTTAATGTGTAAAAATTGCTGCAAGTAAAAATTTACCATTACATCCTCATAAGAGACCCAGGACTGATCAGGAGAGTATATGAAGACATACAATGGGGAGAAATCAGACATATTTACTGGTTGTGTCCCTCCCTCCAGATCTGCACTGTAAACATGCAAAAGAGGAGGATCAGGATTAAATTCAGCTCCTCTCCACTCCGAACTCATTTTTTTCCTGCAGTTTAATAAAACCTTGAAGTTCGTGTTCTGACATTTTAGCGGTAGAGCATCAATATTGACATCCATAATGTTTACTGTGATTCAAAGTTCACTGCACGCTCCACCTGCAGGATAAATGCTGGTCCTTCTTGCCTGAGTGTGTAAGCTGAAAACAAGCAGGAGTGTGTGTCCACGGGGAACTTTCCACTCCACAGAAACACCCACACACTCTCACACACTCACACCCGCACTGATGATCTGTATTAAGAAATGCTTGTTTGTTAATGACGACAAACTCTGCAAAAGAGCATCAGCTGCAGCTCACAACTTTCTTTCACAGGTCATGGTGATGAAACGGGAAAGTCTCTTTTTATCCTCTGCTTTGTTTCCTGTGAAGCTGCAACAAAGAGGATTTTTCTGCCCAGGGTACATTTGGCTTTGCATGCTGAAAGTTTAACTGTCAGTTTTCTCACTTTTCTTTTTTCATAGTTCATGAACATTTCATAGTTTCATGGATGGATGGATGGATGGATGGATAAATGGATGGATGGATCAGTCAATGGACAGCTATCATCTTGATTCAATTTGGATGTTTAATAGATAAATAAATGGATGAATTGATGTGATGCTGGATGGGGGTTGGATGGATGTTGTTTGATTTCTCATAAATGCATAAATGGATGGATGTTGGTTGGTTGATTTATGGATGGATGGATGTTTGATTTATGTTGGATGGATGGATGGATAGATACTTGGATGAATTTGAGGTAAACTAATGGATGGATGAATCTATGAATGGATTACTGTAAGGATGTTTGTTGTATGGATGGATGGATGGATGGATGGATAAATGGATGGATGGATGGATAATGGGTGGATAAATAGATGGATGGATGGATGGATGATAAACAGATGGATGGATGGATGGATGGATGGATGGATGGATGAATTTAGGGTAAACTAATGGATGGATGAATCTATGATTGGAATACTGTAAGGATGTTTGTTGTATGGATGGATGGATGGATGGATGTTTGGATGGGTGGATAAATGGATCGATGGTTAAATGGATGAATAAATGGTTGGATGGATAAATGGGTGGATAAATAGATGGATGGATGGATGGACGGATGAATAAATGGGTGGATGGATAAATGGGTGAATAAATAGATGGATGGATGGACGGATGAATAAATGGGTGGATGGATAAATGGGTGAATAAATAGATGGATGGATGGATGGATGGATGAATAAATGGGTGGATGGATAAATGGGTGAATAAATAGATGGATGGATGAATGGATGGATAAATGGATGGATGGATAAATGGGTGGATAAATAGATGGACTATCTTCAGAGAGACCTTCGATATCTCTGTAAACAGGAGAACAGAGAGCTGTTCTGGCAGAGTTGGAGTGGATAATTGCTCCCTCATAAAACTAAAGTGAAATCGTTACAGTCTGCCACTTTTTAACCACCACTCTGTTTTTTATCAGTCAGGTTCAGTCATCAGAGTGAATTTATCAGCTCTGTGTTTATCTGTTTAGTTCCCTTTGACTCCAGCTTGAGATGCTGCGGTGAATTCTGGGAAAATGAGCTGCCTCTTCAGGTCAGATATGTGCTAATAGTTTCTGACTGTTCTGAGAGGTCAGTGTGACACTCAAGGCCGAAAAAGAAAAAGTAAAAAACCCTTCTGAACTCTCTCTGATACTCCTCAGAGAAATTATCCCACCGTCTGATTCCTTTTCACATGATTACTGCGTTCTTCTGCATTTTTAATCTGCTCTGAACTTCTGAGTGTGCATGAAAATATTTCCACCTGCATGTAGTTTGTGATGGCAACCCTCTTGTTTTGGTTTTGGAGCACATAGTGAATGGCAAAAATCACTCCCATCAATCAGTAACCACCGATTAAAAACACCTGGTTTCCATCATGCAGATATTTAAATAAGTTTCTCATGATAGCTTGTAAAAAAATAGATCATAATGTGTTTCAGAAAATGCCTCAAACTTTCTAAAAATTCCTTGAATAAAACATTTCATCCTCAAATCAAATCAACTTAAAGTCTGTTTTTAACCCTTCGCTCAGAGACCCTGACAGATTGTGCACTCGTCTGTCTCACTGGAGTCACCTTGCAGGTATCGAGCAGTGTTCAGGTGATATTGGCAGCAGGTGAGGAGGGGGAGGAGTTAGACTTGGTGAAAGTCACCGCACCCTGCTCAGTTAAAGGTTACAGATATGGTCAAAACAAACTGAACCTGATGATACATAAACTCCAGCACACCACCATGAAACACACACGACCATCAAAACCATCAAACAGTTGATTACATGCTAACTGTGTTATCATGCTACAATACAGCCCTTCATGACATATTTGATGAAATAATTGAATAACTGAAGCAGCTTTTCATCTTTCGGATTTTTTTCTTTGACTGTTTCATTTCCTGTAAATTCGTCTTTATCTCAGCAGTGAGCTGCAGTGACTCATCCACCCTCCCCTTCTCTGGTTCATGTGTTCATTAGTTGTGCGTTATTCGAAAGATGAAAAACTCAGAGAGGTTTTATTTGCTCGCACCCCTCCTGAAAGATTCCCATGCTGTGTGGTAATTTAACACGTCTCTGCAGACTGACACTAAAGGTCGCACAGACCCTCTGATGGGTTCAGAGGACCCTGCAGACGTTCACATGTAGACCTGTTGATTTAGACTCACTGCAGAAATAACTCCAGAGGTCAAACCTGTGGCACACTTCTCAGCTTACAGAGAACGCAGAGAGGACGGAGACGGCAGCGTGAGGACGAGGACAGATTCTTTCTGTTGACCTGACTGGAGGTCTGGTCTTCCCAGCAGCCAGAGAGATACTTGGCTCTTTATCAAACACACAACCTCTGCTTCATAGAAATGTTGTTTATCATTAAACATTTTTATGATTATGTTTTGATGACAAAATTAAAGCTGCCTGCAGGAGTTTTGGTTGGATGGCAGTCACTAAAAGTCAAGGCCTGTTGCACTTCGTTTGCA